AAGTAAACAGTTACTTAATTTCCTTTACTGAGTAAGTTAAATCGAGTAGCACGCCCTTTTTCTACTATAGCTCTGTTTATTATATCTGTTTCTACTATAGCTTATACCGATAGTGCTATCGCTTTGAATATATTACTCAAATTATTTATAATTTCTTTAGACAGCTTTACTCTTAGGACAACTATAAGTATAACTAGTATATTCTCTAGTCTTAGTAGAACATTCACTTCATTTAGTTTGTCGGCTAATTCGCTGAGTTTATTTTACTTTACTTTACTGTCGGCGAACTTATATATACTTTTGTTGTTCGTGTAGATTTCTGTTACTATCTTTGTTATCTCACTAAACTTCATTGTCTTCAGCTTATTTATAGTAACTTTACTTTTCCGAATTATTTTACTTCGGATATTTTCTAGTAGTTTATTTAGAAACTATATATTTCTTATATATTCTTCTAATTCTTTCTTGTTTATTAATACTATTAAGATAGTTGTAAATTACTTAATAAATTGACGAACGTTGTTTTCATTCGTCTACTTTTTACTCTTCAGAGTTTCTAGGAACGACTGTGAATTCATCTACTAAAAACTGTTCTAATTTTTGAATTCTTTTATTAATATATTCTTTAGTATCTTCTATATTCTTTCTTTCTACTCTATTATTACTTTCATATATTATTTAATAGTAATATTATAGTATCTTAGTAGTTGTTTCAGTTTCTCTTCTTTTTTCAAATTCGTATTTTTGTACTAATTTCTATATCGTTCGAGGAATTCTATAATATTCACTTTTTCAAAGTATAGAGTTTCTAGTATTCCTAGTACTAATATCGTTACTTAGTAGACTATATTCGCTATTGTCTTTCTCGGTTCTTGTTTGTTTTCTGTATTCGGAGTAAAAGTACTTTCAGAAAACAGTCTGTTATTTTCAGATAAAAGTATAAAATCGAAAGTAAATAAACTTATTAGTCGACTACTAATTCTTGAAATTAATAAAAGTACTATAAGTAATAATACTATATATAGTTCTTATACTACTTTTATAGTAAGATCCGATATTTCTTTGTTTTTCGTTATTTTTAGTTCTTCGTCGTTTTTATTATTCTTTTTTTATTTTTCCTTTTTCTCCGGTTATATTATTTGTTTTTTCTTCGTATTTATCTACTCCTTTCGTCTTTTCATCGCTATCGTTATCTATATTCTACTAGTATCTTTATTATAGTAGTTTAAAATAAAATATATAATCTCCTCCTTTTTTACTTTCTACTTAAGTCGCCCTGAACTCCTTTCTATTATTACTGTCTATATCTCACGTCGTTTTCTATATCTCTCGTCGCTGAATCTATTGTATAATCTAGAATTATAACTAGATAATATTCTTATTTCTATATAACTTCTACTTATCTTTCGACTATGACTTACTAATTGTTATACTAGAATTCCCTGTGTCGATTACTAATATAACAGAGTAGAATATACAATCAAGTATATAGTAAACAATCAAGTGTGTCGAGTTTTAAGTAAGTAAAAATGTGTATATATAAAGAAGTATACTATCCTATAGTAGTCTAGCGCAGTGTACTTCATGTGCCCAGCCCCGGAAGAACTAAGTTCTGCAGAGCAGCTATCTTATACGTGACGAGTAGTAAGTCTGCTCTACTATACTATCAAAAAAACTATAGACGAAATAAACAAACTGTAAGTTAAATACTAAATAACAGATATTCTAAATATACAAAATAGTTTAAATATAACTGAGATCTACAGTCTCCCTTTTAACTCTGACGTACTCGTATAGAGAGAAAGTAATATAAGCCAAAATAGTAGCTGGAATAATTTATACAAGTTTATTAACGTCGATAGTGAATCTTATACAATTATACTACTACGAAGTTATACAACTTTCCGAAATATAATAGTAAAACTATACTTTATACTAACGACTAATATCGACAGTATCGAATTACTAGTTGATCTATTATTTAATCTATTATATAACCTAAGAACTGATCTACTAATCGATCTATTAGTTGATCTACTAATTAATCTATTAACTATATCTATTAAATATAATAGAGAACGACTTTGTAAATACTTAGTCGACTTAAGAACAGCTAAAGTTAAAACTATAGTAGCTGATATTACTGTTTTTCTATAAGAGAACTATTTATATACTACTTTTAAAGAAGCTGAAATCAAAAGTTTATTTGAAAAGAGAGTTTTTGAGACAGTAACTAATATATCTAAAGATGCCCGAATATTCAACTCTAAATTCGTCGACGAAGTGAAAAATAAAAGTATAAACAAAGTTTTCAATAAATCAAAGTTAGTTGTATAAGTTTATAACAACTATGAAAAATATATTATCTTTATTCAATCTCCGACTATTCAGTATATAAACTAATATATAATCTTATACTTAGTAGTTATAGTTAATACTACAGAGTTATACTTCAGGGATATTTCCTAAATTTACGTTCAGTTTACAACTCTATTTAATCGTGATTTTTATATCCGAGTACTCTATGAATTTACTCAACAACTAAGTTTTAGAAGTAATTCTGTTTTGAAAGTTGTAAAGTTACTATATAGTATACTTGAAGCTAGCAACTATTAGTTCAAGACTTACTATATTTATTATACTAAAGAACTCTCTATAGAACAGTCTATATACGACCTGTGTTTACTATATAACAATAATCTATTCGACATCGTCAGTTTTCAGACTGACGATATTCTCTTCTTTGTAGATACTACTTTTACTATTTAAGAATAACTTAAACTAGAGAAAGTAAAGTTTTTAGCTAAAGACTAAGAATAACTTACATTTACTAAAGACTTCAAGTTCAATAACGGAGTCTTATATATAGAAAATAGTACTATTACTTTCAAATAAAAGTACTAATACTAAAACTTCTAAGTAGTTAGTACTAAAAACTCTAATATAACTAATAGTAGAAATATTATACGTAAAGATCTCAATACTAAGGAACAGTATATTGCCTAATATACTAGAAGAATATATATTGCTTCTATTTACTAACTTGAAGCTATATATAATCTATTAGTTGTAATTTAGTCTAGTATTAATTTAACTGAAACAAATATCAAAGTATTTAATAAACGTATCTAATAACAAAAAGAGAATACTACTAAGAGAATTACTTTCGTTAAACTAGACAAGAACTCTTTATAACTCCTAGTATTCACAAATACTTCGTTTACTAATAATTCAGACTTCTCTTTATAGATCGGATATGTTATTATATTAGTAGACGATATAAACAAAGTTAATATACTCTATTAGTCTTCAATTAAGTATAAAAGAGTTACTAGAAATATACTAACTTCTGAAATATATACTTTAGTTTATAACTTTGATATTAATACTATAATTAAAACTACTATCGACAAAATACTTCAAATTATAATACTACTAGTTCTCTGTACTAATTCCAAGTCTTTATACGACTATTTAGTCAAGTTAAATACTGTAACGGAGTAGAATGTACAGTTAAGTGTACAGTAAACAATTAAGTGCGTCGAGCTTTAAGTAGGTAAAAATGTGTATGTATAAAGAAGTATGTTATTCTATAGTTGTTCGGCAAAGTACACTTTATATGCCCGGCCCCGGAAGAACTAAGTTCCGAAGAGTAGTTATCGTACACGTGATAGGTGGTAAGTCTACCCCACTATATACGTCCCCCCTTAGTATAGTCGGCTCCCGACTATATCACTATTTCGTCCACTTCTACTTTCTCCTCACTTTTCTCTGCAAACAATAGTTTCTCGCTTCCTGCTTTCTCGAGTTCTTTATCGCCTAATACGTCAGAGTCTAGTACTACAGCTAGTATAAGAATACTTAGTAGTTCGAGCTGTTCTTTGTAGTAATAGTACAACTTCTCTCTAAATATATACTTCTCTTCTTCCTTCACTACTGCAAACGCTTCTAGAGTTACTTTAATAGTATACTTTCTCTATTATTTAATAAATTTATAAGTTATAACTTTGTCTTTCTTTAGTAGGATATCTCTCTCTTTTACTACTACTAGCGAGCTTCATCTTCTCTTATATACAAGAGTATCTGATATTACTCTGAGCTCAGCGAGTTCTATATAAGCTAGGAACTGGTAAAGGATAGTTCTATATCGATTTGCTAACTTAGATAACGTGGCTTTGGGAGCTACGAAGTCCTAGTATACTGTCGCTAGCTCTTCTTATATCTTTCTCTCTACAACTTCCAGTGAACTTTCGTTATCCTACATTTCGACGAACTAAAGGAGTATAATATAGCGGATTTTTGTTGTAAACTTAGTAGTTCTATATAGAATTGATAGTAAAGTAATACGCACTTTTCTAAGTTAATAGAGTGTCTTCTTCTATTTTACTCCTAATAATTCCGAGTCTTCTTTGGTAAATAATTAGTCTGTAATATAGTAGACGAAACCGGAAGTCTCTTGACCCCGTTCTTTTACTCTCTCCTACTACTCTCCGAGTCTGTGCTATATCCCGGGCAAGATAAAAGTGTAGTTCTCTTCGTCTTCCTCGTCGAGGGACACAGTGCTCTAGATTATAGCTACTCTGCGTTTATTCGCTAGTAGGTCCAGAATATTCAAATCTATATAGCAAAAGTAGGTCCTGTCGCCGGGAATACTATACTTCGTGTAATATAAATAACTAACTAGTCTCTAAACTCGGTCAAGTTGCAAAGCTGTATATAATATGTAGTATACTGGGTCTTGGTATATTAGTTGCTGTGTTACCGAGAAAAACATATTCTAGAACTAGCTGATATTTTTACAGCTGTTGATTTCCTGCAAATAGTAGAAGTATATATTGAATTCATTATATATTTTACTTCTAAGTAGTAAAGTGAATTATTATCTAAATAGGTTATATATAACTGACTTTTCCGTTTACTATCGTAGTAAAATTGTCGTATTCTAAATATTCAAAATTTCTTCTTAGTCGAATTAGAAACTTCTTAGCGTATAGTTATATATGAACTTATATAACTTAAAGTTATCTGACAAGTAAGTAGGTCTGTTAGCGATATGAAACTATTAGAAAGTCTTTTCTTCTATTTTCAGTTTGCCGATCTCTAAGCGTTTTTCGTAAAGTGTACGAAGTCGTATTACTAGATCTACGTCCTTGAGTCGTTTAGTGTAGAGCTTTATATAGCTGGCTATTATACAGCTGTGGCGGTAGTACACTCTCTTATACGACACTATCTTGCTTAGAAGTTTTATACTAATTCCGGGTTTCATTAGACGTTTACTGACTACTATCGTTTACTAGCTGGAAAGTATATCTTTACTATAGCTGTATTTCTAGTCCCTGGGCGCCCTAGTACTGTCGTTATCTTCGTCGTCGGCTATAATCCCAGTAATATCTTCCAACTCCCCCCTTAGTTGTCTTAGCTCCTCTTTATCTATTTTATCCTCCTCGAAGTCGATAGTATATGTCGCAGAAATACTCAGCTTAGCCGAGTGTCTATATACGTGGCTTTCAATTTCCTTTACTAAGTAGGTTAAATCAACGTTACTGCTTTCGGCTACGAGTAAAACTCCGCCAGTTGTTCTGTTACTACTCGTTTCCTCTAGTACTTCTTCGTTTATATCTTCCCTCTTTTCTACGAAACTTTACTTGTTAATTCGCAAACCTAACTCTTTCAGCTTTAGTCGTGATATAACTGCTACTTCCTCGGAGCTACTTTTTCTAGCTATAGCTAAATTTCCTGTTAAAACTTCTTTTTTGTTAGAAACTCCTCGTCGTAAACAGCTTAGTCTGTTTACTACTACAATATTGATATATAAAATAACTTCGTCGAAATTCATAATATTAGCTAGTTATTTATATTCTGTAATAAAGTTAATACTATAACTAGAGTTCTCGATCTATTATTTTACTTTGTTGTTTGACTAGTTCTTTCTTGTTATATTAGACGTTTCTACTAAGTAGTTTCGATAAGTACTATTTTCTCGGATTACTATATGAACTTCGTTCTACTTTTCTACGAACTAGATTTCCGATATATAGAGCTAGTATATTCCGTTTCTTTCTATATATCTGAAGACTTCTTCGATAAACTCCCTAGATTTACTGTAGTAACTTATTATCTGTTTTAGTATTTGTATTTCAGCTTAATATCTGTCTAGTACTAGAATATTATCTAAGAATAACTTAACTTCTTCTACATTTATAAATCTCTAGCTACTTGTTAGTATAACTTCCTCCGCTGTTCCCGACATCTGCACATCTCTGCTCGAATTCTCTATTATACACGAGAGTATATGTGATTTTAACTAGTATTGAAAGGTGAGATCTGTATATATATATATATAATAACATTTCTTAGAAGTACTCTTCTTTGAATATTAAATAAACGAAAGTTTGTAAAAGTAAGTGGGTATATCTTTTTTTATATTCGCAAATAAACTACTATTCTCCTAGTAATATTATATGAAATAAACTATTTATTTAATTACTAGCTTATTTGTTTATTTGTTTTATTATTTACTCGCAAAGTAATATAAACAAAGGCACTATTCTACTAACAATAGCAATTCATTTATTATTGTTAGAAATCAAATAATAGAACTTTGAACTTACTTGTTATTGAAAAGATCGTTTACTATTACTATAAACCGAACAATAAAGCTAGAATAGTCGCTTTTCGAGACTATAAAATATAAATACTTCAGTTCTCTTTATTCTTCTCTCTTTTCTTTTCTTTTTCTTTTCTATTATAGTTACTTTTATAACTTCTATAAATATTTATATTATATTTACACTCTCTTTCTATTTTTCCTGCAGCTAACTACTTTGACATCTGCTGAATCTAGCTATATAACTCACACTCTTTTATATATCGCACTTATTCTTACTACTACTATATTTCATTATTATAGTACTCTGCGTTACAGTTTACGCTATTTCCCGAGCTGAGCTACTCGACCCCGCTCCCGGCACTGTCTATATACTTAACATATATTGCGACAAAACTAACTATAACTGCTAGTTGTCCGACTATGTAGTCGGGATGTTCTAGTACAGTTTGATTAAGAGTATTATTACGTAGACAGACATATGTGATTTCCGGATATACTTTTAGTCTAACTTGTAGTTCCGGGCCCCCTGCTAGTATTATAGCGCTGCTTTCTTTAGTCCCGACAACTTCGTCGTTACTATTCGTAGCGAACTTATAAATAGTAGCGACGTTATTTTTGGCGTGTTTCTTTTCGGTAGTTAAACTATCTTAGACTACTTTAGTTACTTGTAATAGATCTTGTCTTTCTTTTTTCGTAGTAGTGAGTATTATAACAGTCTCTACTATATAAGTATAATAGCTAGAACTGTCTTTAGACTTCGCTACTGTACTTTTACTTCCGCTACTACTCCTACTTCACTTGCTGCTGCCCCTGCCTCTACTGTTACTTCCTTTACTGCTGCTACTTCTGTTCCCGCAGTTGCTCTTACTCCTGCTCTCGTAGACTTCTCTGCTGCTGTAGCTGCTACTACTACTGATCTCTCCGGCTCTGCTGTTTCTTCGCCCGCTTTGCTGTTCTTCACTCTAGGTACTTCTTCTCTAGTTCCTGCTAGTCCTGCGGCCGCTCTGCCTGCTGCTCCTGTAGCAGTTCCAGTCGCTGCCGCTACTATTCGCTCTTATACCCCCTCCCCCGATCTCTTTACTACTGCTTCTAACTCGCTAGCTGCTCTGCCTACTACTTCTGCAGCTCGTACCTGCACCTGCACCCCCTCCCCCGAGCTCCCTGCTACTGCTCCTAGCTCGCTGGCCGCCGCCTAAATCGAGGACTTTCGCGTCGCCTCAGCTATTACTATTCATAGCACTCGCCGCGTCTCTCGTCGCTTTGCTACTACTACAGTTACAGCTACTGATACTGATGTCCTTACTTCTTCTACTGTCGATTAATAATACTAAGTATTATATAGTCTTATATTTACTTTCTTTACTTTTTACAAGATATAAATAAATGAGAAACGATCTACTTTTTACAAATGAAATTATATACGTTCTACTTGTAACTAAATATGATCTTCGTACTATATTTTACAACTATATCCTCTTTCTTTTTAAATTAAATTACTTTAACTTTATTCTATCTGGAAAAAATCGAAAGAAATAAAATATAGTATATATATATAATAGAAAGTTGGAAAATATAGTGTAAAATACTTCTGCGTACGAAAAGAAGAAGTTAAGTAGTCTACTAAACTAGATATATATGTGTTCTTCGATTTCTTTTACTAAATAAGTTAAATCAAGAGTATACGCGAACTCCTCTCTTTTTTGCTCTCGTTTATTTCTCGTTTAATCTATGACGACTGCGAACTTCTGCTTCTACGGGATTTACTTTCGCTAGCACTTCTACTTCTTTATATTATCTGCTTTTGTCTATTATCTATATATAATAAGTAGTTTTAGCTTCTCATCTTCGGGCCTTTCGTCGTCCTTACTTAAAGTATACTCAATTGTCTCCTGCTCGGGCTCGGCTACTTCTTACTCGGGTTTAAAGTACTCGGTATCAGACGTTGTATCGTTCTCGCTAATCCCGCCTATTTCTACGGACTTAAGTACCCCCCCCCTTCACTTGAAAACTTTGAGTCAGCAGTTTACAAAAGTCCTTTTAAATATAGTATTGTCTAATTCTTCGAGTATATACGTTCTTTTGTCCAGAAACGTTTTCGCAACTCTGAATAGTCCTAGTTACTTATACTTCAGTTTGACTTGCGATAATATATCTTTCTTCTACAGCGTATTATAAAGTAATACAATATCCTTTCTTTTAATACTTATAATATAAATCCGCTTAGTATAGTCAAATTGTTCTTTGCTCTAAGTATATATTCGTTTCTATATTGTAGTAGTTTCTTTAAGATCGGTATCTCTGAGCTGAATTTGCCTTATTTACAGTACTAGGAAGTCTGCTGTTAACTATATATTTTCCTAGTCGAAAGTATACTAAGTAAGGATCTTCGTCTCAATTAGCAGCGTAACTTCCGACTTATACTGAAAGTAAAATAGAGAAAAGTTTGTCGTTACTTTAATAGTCACTTGATCTACTAGTAATACTATTTCGAAGTTGTCTCTTTATAGACTTAGCTTTTTATCTGTCATTTTCACTAAAACATTAACGATAAATTTATACTTTCTTTCGATTATACTATTTGCCAGCAAGTTATAAGTAGAAACTACTACTCTTTTTATCAAGTATTTTTGAACTAAGTTTATAATTAGCTTTTTATTTTCGGGCTCTCTATCGACTACTATCTTTCCAAAAACTCTATATTTACAGACTACGTTTTACTAAAAGAAGTCGGCAACAGATTTCGAATCAAGCTTTGTAAGTACTCTTACTTCTAGCTACTTTGACAGATCGTCTTTTACTATTACTAAGTACTTTTTTCTTTAGTATATCGGTATATATATAATATCTAGTGCCACTTTTGCCTAAAACACATTTATTTAAGTCGGGTACAGTAGTTCCTCTAACTTAGTGTTATCTTGCAGCTGGCAGCAGTTATATGTAGATATGTACTTCTTCGTGTCACTGTAGTACGAATCCCAGAAGTATCTCTCAGCTACTTTCTAGTATATACTTTCCTGCTCTTTGTACTTATACTTATTATATAGACTTTGTAGAATCGACTGCCTTTCTACTTCTAAATTAACTACTCTCTTTATTGGCAGTTCTTTGTTCGTTCGTCGATAGAAGACACTTCTTTATACGAAGTAATTGAGAGTTTACGTCTTAAACTCTCTGAAGTCCGACTTATGAACTTACTCTAAGTACTTGAGTGTCGATAGAAATTCGGCAATTAGAAGAGAGTCCAGGGACTACTTTTCGCTTTACAACTAACTCTCTCTCTCTACACTCGCCAGCTATACTTCTATTAGCAGATATAGTACTACTTCCACCGACTTTATTCTTGCGTCGATAAAGTCGTCGATATCCTCTTCTCGCTCTTTCCTTTTTAGTTCCTCTCCTGTCGCCGGCTTTCGAGACAAGCTGTCGGCAGTAGTGTACTTCGTACTTAGTATATACTTTACTTCAAAGTCAAAAAGACGGATCTAAGCGAGCTACTTAGTAACTAGCGCGCTAAGTAGATCGGCAGCGGACTAGTTTAGCTAGGCTACGAGTACAGCTATATCTGTCTCTAGTATAAAATACACTCTATAAAGGAAGTTCTGTACTTTCTTCAGCGTTTTGAGGACTTCTCTATATTCCCGCTTCGTAGTGTTATAATTCTGTTCGGCTAAGTTCTAGATCTTACTGTCGTACTTAGTAGAGTAGCGTTTTTCGTTCTCATCTAACTATATAAAGACTATCTCCTACTTCTTTAAACTAGTATTAATACTAAGGATAATTAAGTCTGCGTTTTTGGAAATATCGAGTCGAGTAAGTGTTAATGTAGTTGTAAGATCTAGCTTTAGTTAGTCTATTACTGTATTGTATTCTTGTATCCAAATAAATACTGTCTTTTTCTTTAATAGCCGATAGAGCGGCTTTACTTTTGTTGTAAAAGATAAGATCTAGATCTAGTAGTATATATAAATGTCTAAAAAGGCTTATATTTCCGTCTGATCGTTATATGTAGGTTAGTCTAAGATTTTAATTACTTTTTCACTGTCTAGGGATCTTCTTTCTACTATATAAACGAACTTTACAAGTTTAAGTCCTACTACTCTAAACTAGGACTTTGGCTCTATCGTTACTCTAGTTCTCTCGATATCTGTAAGAATAAGATCAAGGTTTTTAACATATTCGAGTACGAATTGCCTGATTTTAGGAACTTCTTCTTCGTCGTTGTATTTAGAGTATAGCTCTAGAACTAAGATATTGTCGATGAATATCTTCGTTTTCGCTGGGATATAGTTTTTAAAGATTATCTATTTTATTTAAATAAACTATACAACAGAATTTGTAGCTCTTTGAACTAACGTAGTATGTCGTAATAGTCTTAGTAAAGTTATAAACGCTGTAATATCTCTGTTATTCAGGTGTAAAGTAAGTTAGTTATATCCGGAAAAGAAGTTAATCAATGAAGTAATCTAGCAGCTTGTAAAATTATCCGATATTTCGTCGATATTCGGCAGCAAATTTGCGTCTTTTATTATAATTATATTATACTTTATCGTAGTATTAACTATACGATAAACTCCGCTTTTCTTCTTGACTAGGAACTACTAGTTATAGTACAGTTTGTAGTAGTATTCTAGAGTCCTAGCTTTAATCTTTTCTTCAAGTATCTCTACTATTTAGCTCTATAAGTACTTTGGTACCGGGAATCCGGGCGACTACTATGTTTCATATAGTATTGTGCGAATCTCTTATAGTAGGCACACGTCCCCACTGACTTTTCTGTACTCCGAGAAATCGAAAGTAATTACTTTTTCGCGTTTGAATAATATTTCTACTATTAGATCTCTTTTTCTCAGCTACAGCTCTTCTTCTAAAATCATCTTTTCTAGCTTCTCCGGCAGTAACTTCTCTCTTCTCTGTATATCCGAAAATTTCGGCTCAAATTACTTGTTCCACGAGTTAGGTAGTTCTACTAGGCCCCTCTTCTGAATTTCCTCTATCTTCCTAGCTTTCCAATCTAGCGCACTTCTAAGTACCGAGTTATCTAATACACTTTCTTTTACTAGGACTACTTTGTCTACTTTTCTTTTATATATACCCCAAATATTAGTAATTGGAAATAAGGAATTAGTTTGAGTAAAGCTCGTCAAGTCTGTTCTCTGTGAAAATATAATATTTACTCCTACGTTCCCGACATTTGCTGAAAAGATACGTATAAACTTAGCATCTTTTTGCGCTATATTATTCTTTCGATTTCCTCTGCTAGGCAAGTTAAATCGAGTTATACCCTCTACTTACTTTGTTTCCCTAGTACTCCCTCCTACGCTGGAACTATTTACTAGCTCGGCTCTAGCTACTTGTTTTCCGGAAAGATATCAGCTTCAGTGCGAGAGTCTGACATTCCTGCTATATATACTGTTACTTACTTCGTCTAGGTATCATTGACTATTATTGCAAACTGTTACTTGTCCTGATACAAGAAAGATAGTAGACTTATAACAATAAACAGCTAACTAAATACTATATTGTACTAGGCTTTTAAGAGTATAAAGAAGTTCTTGACAACTTCAATACTACTAATCTGTACTATAACGTTTTCATATAGTTTATCGAATCTTTTATAATCTCTAAAGTGTCTTACTATCCCCAATCTCGGGCGCGGACGAATAAGTAAACTAGTAAGTTCAGCTATTTTACTTGTTATAATATTAGCTTCTATATTATAGTCGACTAGAACTAGGACTTCGACGTTTCCGATCCTGACTCTGATCTTCGGACTCCGTACTATATAGAGCTTTTCAACTTCTTCTATCAAAGCAGATAATATTTAGACAAAGTCGTTTATTGTTCTAAACTTTTATTCCTCGCTAGCTAGAAGTTCGACTTTTGTAAACAGTACTATATTCTTGAACAGGAGTTTCTGTAGTAGATCAGAGTATACGATTACTTCTCGCTTTATAATACTTTTTAACTTATTGTCGAGTATTTTGTCTAAAAGTTCTATAAGATCTGCGTCTTTTTTCAGGATATCTAGATATTTCTCGATTTTCTACGTTATTCTAAGACTTAGTTTCTTGAGTGTTTCTGTCTACACTTTGTCGATATCTATCTCTTCAATTATACTTTCTTCGTCGGCTATCTCTACTTTCTCACTTTGCAGTTTTCTCTACTCACTAGCTTTTAGCAACTTTAGAACAGCTATTTTGGCTTCCTTCTTCGTATACTCTTGTAATACTTTCTTAGAGTTCTACTACTTCTCCTCAGCTTTGTTTGTTTACTTACTCTGTACTCCTGCTACTATAACGAACTTATTACTATCGCTTTCTTTTATATCCGAGGACTCTAAGTCTATAACTGATATAGAAGAGACGTTTATACTCGGCGTTCTCGGTACTTCCTTCGGAGTAGCTGCTAGTCTCGCGTCTTATTTAGGTATGCCGGAGACTTACTTTGGGAGTTCTACTATAGCGTCTACTCTTCTCCAAGCTTGCTGTATAATATCTTGCTCTCGCTCGCCTTTCTACTAAAGAACGCTCGCTTTATTATCACTTTTCCTACTGTAGTAGAGTAGGCTGTCGGGTCTCTTATGAGTAAAGCTCTTTCTTTCGTCGCTTCTAAAATCATCACACTCTCTCCGGAAGTGCCTGCTTTCGAAGTAGTAGAAATAGTATATCAACTTTGACTTTGCTGCTATAGCTGTATTTACAGCTGTTATAAGTATCTGCTGCGGGTGCTAGTTTGCTTACCCCCCTCGCAGCAGTTCAGTTATATTGATTCTACTAGCTAGCTCTGCTAAGTAAGTAGTTGTTTGATTTCCTCTGCTGGGCGAGTTAAATCGAGTAGTACGCCCCTTTCCTACTATAGTTCCGCCTATTATATCCGCTTCTACTATAGCTTACACCGACAGTACTATTACTTTGAATATATCACTTAGGTTATCTATAACTTCTTTGGACAGCTTTACTTTTGGGGCAACTATAGACGCAGCTAGTATATTCTCCGGTCTTGGCAGAATACTCGTTTTACTTAGTCTGTCGACTAGCTCGCTAAGTTTATCTTATTTTACTTTGCTGTCAGCGAACTCGTATATACTTTTGTTACTCGTGTAGATTTCTGTTATTGTCTTTATTATTTTACTGAATTTCACTATTTCTAGTTTATTTATAGTAACTTTGTTTTTCCGAATTACTTTGTTTCGGATATTTTCCAGCAACTTATTTAGAAATTATATATTTCTTGTATATTCTTCTAACTCTTTCTTGTTTACTAATATTATTGAGATAGTTGTAAATTGTTTGATGAATTAACGAATATCGTTTTCATTTGTCTACTTTTTACTTTTCAGAGTTTCTAGGAACGACTGTGAATTTATCTACTGAAAGTTGTCTTAATCTTTGAATTCTTCTATTAGTATATTCTCTAGTATCTCCTACACCCTCTCTTTCTATTCTGCTATCGCTTTCATATACTACTTAATAGTAATATTACAGTATCTCGGTAGTCGCTTCAGTTTCTCTTCTTCTTTCAGATTTATATCTTTGTACTAATTTCTATATTATTCGAGGAATTCTGTAATATTCACTCTTTCAAAGTATAGAGTTTCTAGTATTCCTGGCGCTAGTATCGCTACTTAGTAGACTATGTTCGTTATTGTCCTTCTCGGTTCTTGTTCGCTTTCTGTATTCGGGGCAAGAGTACTTTCGGAGAACAGTCTGTCGTTTTCAGATAAAAGTATAAGATCGAAAGTAAATAAACTCATTAGTTGACTACTGATTCTTGAAGTTAGTAAAAGTGCTATAAGTAGTAATACTATATATAGCTCTTGTATTACTCTTATAGTAAAGTCTGATATTTCTTTGTTCTTCGTTACTCTTAGTTCTTCGTCGTTTCTGTTCTTCTTTTCCTGCTCCTCCTTTTTCTCTAGTTGTATTACTTGTCTTTTCTTCGTATTTATCTGCTCCCTTTGTCTTTTCGTCGCTATCGCTGTTTATGTTCTACTAGTATCTCTATTATAGCAGCTTAAAGTAAGATATATAATCTCCCTTTTTTTTACTCTCTGCCTGAGTCGCCCCGAGCTCCTTTCTATTATCGCTGTCTGTATTTCACGTCGCTCTCTGTATCTCTCGTCGTTGAATCTGCTATATAATCTAGAATTGTAACTAGATAATGTTCTTACTTCTATACTACTTCTACTTATCTCTCGACTGCGACTTACTGATTGCTATACTAGAATTCCCTGCGTCGATTACCAATATAACGGAGTAGAATGTATAGTTAAGTGTACAGTAAGTAATTAAGTGTGTCGAGCCTTAAGTAAGTAAAAATGTGTATATGTAAAGAAGTATGCTATTCTACAGTTGTTCGGCAAAGCGCACTTCATGTAGCCGGCCCCGGAAGAACTAAGCTCCGAAGAGTAGTTATCGTACACGTGACAGGTAGTAAGTCTGCCCCACCACAGTACTACTGCTGAAAAGAGACTTATAGTCGATATTATATATTTATACTAAATATACGAACGTTGTGAAATTACAGAAGTTAAATAGATCAAAAGTAATACTAATCTAGCTGACTCTATAACTAAAAACAAACTTTCAGGAGTTCTGAAACTCTTGATCGATACGAATAAAGTCCGACTAAACGTAGTCGAATAAGTAGAACGTAATAGATTAGATAGGACTAGTATTACAGATATAAGCGATAGAGACGATAGAACAAGTAAAGTAGTAATAGCAATATAAACTGAATCTAATTAGGCAATCTATATATAAGTAAGCGGAGACGAATAGAATTGAAGTTTTAGAATAGAATTAGAAGCTTTAGATAGATTTGTACGATAGTATGCCAACTTCTAGAGTTAGTCCAGTGTTGGGAGAATAATCACGTGAGCGCGCGTGCCTAGTTAACAAGCTAGTCCCGATTAGGTGTAGAGGGGTATATCTTCTTAGGGATCTACCCCTCCTCCCTAATCTTACTCTCCTAATACATCGTCGATTAACTACACTACAGCTTACTAGCACGTACTACGTAACACACGTAGTACCGTGCTCTGGGCAGTGGGTGGACCGACAATAACTTAGTTATATTTTGTTTCTTTTAGCTTGCGAATTGATCAAAATGTTCAATTAGCAGAGAACCCTTTTTTTATACTTACAAAACGCAGGTGACTACTAACTCCTAGTCTAAACTGACTTTTATAAAATATATCCGAGATTTTATAGAAGTTTCTTAAAGAAAGAGATAACAATCTATTGCTTCTTGATAAATATACTTTACTCCTAATCAAGTATAATTACTAAGATGTTTTTAAAGAGGACACGATAGTGTATATTAAAGAAGAGAACTCAAGTTAGTACACGATATTATAATAAAACAGATTAAGATAAAGACTAGACACAAGACACTAAACGACTACTAGTAGATAGGCTAGATACCACATTGATAGCGATAACTTAGGCTAATACTATTACTACCTAGGTATATTGCTAGAAATCACTACCTGAAAAGGCTACTGCCAGTGTTACTTAAGTGTGATAGTAATCATGGGTCTGCAAACCCATGGCTTTGCTCCGAAGCCACTGACAGCTATACTCAAGGATATACTATCTGAAACCACTAGTATTTCGACCAGTTACCTGAACCCCCCATAATCCCAATATTAAAACCAACATAGCCAGCATGGAAAGATGCGATGTGGTTATCGCCACGAGAGAATTTGAAATATATGTATGTCTAACATCTTCTGATTAGCAAGCACACACTCCATATTTTGACCAACGGAATGATCGCAAACGTACAGCCATGCTCCCAACAGTTACACTACAATCACCATCCAGGTCGCTTTCTTCGTTGTAGTACAGCGTCCCACTTATTAGGTCAAAATGTGAGCGAAGTTGTTTTACTGGTGGAGGTGAGAGAAGTAGTATCAAACATACAACAGAGCGCCGCCAGGAAGTCCAACTGTAGCACCACCTACATGGCCGTCGCCGATTCTCCGCAAAGCCTCAGCCCGGACCTGCACTTTGGCGTATACCCAAAGATTGACAATGGAGCCTGCTGCACCGCAACTGTTTCTGAAGTCACCACTTGCCTTCAGGGCACTCAACTCCGTGAGTGGGGGGTCAAGGTTAGAGATTTTGGCGAAAGTCTCCAATAACTCTTTGCCGTGCTCCTGGGACGTGATAAAGTCATGAAGGTCTGTAACAGTGCTCTCTGGGACAAGGCCATTGATAGCGGTGACATTACTGCGGACAATTGCAACGGTTGGGTCTTCTGTGGTAGCCATTGTGATTGCTATATGAGAAGGGTTCGAGAAAGTAGGATTGAAGTAATTGAACGAGTGGACGATGGCCGAATATTTCTGAATCTGAGGATATCTGGTGATAAACTCATTGCACCTAGGTATATAAGTAATGGTAGCAACTTTATATCCTCTCGTCATGAAGCTAGCCCCGCATCTGTATTATTTGCTTCTTTAATTAGAACCGACAATATGCTGCCGGAGGCTGCAGAACTTTCAATAATACTCACCATGGGTCAAAGCGAGTCCTGTGTCAGCTCTCCACAACATCGCCATCACGCCCAAAAGCCACATATCTAGCGAGTATATCAAGAAGCGGATCAATAGGCGTACGCCCAACCTCTTCGCACGCAGCTGAATATTACAGATCACGGATTATCGTGACTTGCACATGGACCAGTGAGTAGTATTCGCGGCGGAAACATTGAGGCTGAGACGGCTCTAATTCAAAAGGTGTCTTGAATCAATAACTCCAATACTTATGTTCCGCTGATTTCCACAACACCAAACGAAGCTAAAATGCTCACAACCAGCTAGTCTGGCCTAATTATGATGCACGCTATGCTCTGGACAGAGCTGAAGATGAACCACAAGCGCGGATAAAGAATGTAGAGCTCCAGTCAAGGCGCTCTCCAGAAACGGAACGATTCGGCCGGTAACCATTCTCGATACTCCATATAGTGCGACATATGGAAGAATGTGGAAACCTGGATTTCGTGTACCTCATTCGACCACATAACCTTGAAAGTGTGATGTCTGCCTTACCTTGCATGTGCGATAAGACTGGCCTAGAAGCCATTTTTGGCGCATTTATGTAAGCCATGGACCCTTGGTCACATACCGAAAAGTAAATTTATATTCACATCCAAACATGATATCAATGCCAACGAGAAGTGCGCATGGGCGAGGCGAAGAAAGGCGTTACGGCTAATAAAGAGGCAAAGAAAATAAAATTATCGAAAGGGAACTGGATGGTCATGCCACGTTGCACGCAGATATTTCCGACGGCCGAAGCCACGCCATCGTTGATGGATGTTAGCATGCACAATAGACCTTTTCGAATATCTTCACAATTTCTGTAAACATCTCTGTAAAAATCTCTCGTTACCTGCCTATGCAAAGGCGTCTACGAAGTAGTTCGCCTCATCACGAGTAGCTCGCTGTCGCCATTGGACCCGATTTTCGGCCATGCGTGATGAATTGAAGTATTGAACGATGGCGTAAACTGCATATCCAAATGTTTAGTGAAAAACACCGCTTAGACAACAAGGCGATAAACCTTTCGCGAACAGCGTCGCGATGGCATTCAAGTCGAGGGCAGAGACATGATGAGTAAATAGTGGTTGGCCCGGCAACCACCAATCGAGTGCAGACTAACAAGCCTGATATCTCAGCCTTAAAAATTCGCCTCGTCTTCAGCCTTCCTCCTCGATACTTCATCTCCTCAAGAAACCTCCTCCCACAGCTCCATCTCGAGCCATTCGCCCACCATCAACATCAACGTATATAATATGGCTGAAGACGGATCAGATGCCAAGTCGAATAAAAGGAGTCGGTCAGATGATGACGGTATGTATAGCTAGATAGATATATCTAAATCTTGTGCTAATCGGGCAGATTCCTCGGATGAAGACATGGGCCCGCAGCTCCCGTCTGCTGAGGCACCGAAGAAGAAGCGCCGCAAACTCCCATACGAAAAGCTCTATATCTCTGCCCTGCCTACATCAACAAAATATTCGAAGTCCCTTATGCATCGAGAGCAGATCGCTTTCGTTACCCTGACCCCACTTACAGATTTCTTGATCACAAGCTCTGTCGATGGTGTGGTTAAATTCTGGAAGAAGGGAGCCGAGAGTATTGAGTTTGTCAAGGAATTTAGAGCTCATGCGGGAGAAATCAAGAGTGTTTCTGTCAGCTCAGATGGTAGAAGCTTTGTGACTGCTGGGGCCGACAAAAGCATCAAAATCTTCGACGTGATGACTTTCGACCTCTTGTCAATGTTGACTCAGGAATTTACGCCGAAATGTGTCTGCTGGGTTCATAGACGGGGCGCATCCTTGCCCTTACTCGCTGTGTCGGACGAGGTCAATCATACTATTCGGATATACGATGGACGTGGGGAAAACCAAGAGCCTATACATACCATTTCAGGCCTCCATCGAAGCGTTGTATCTTTGATGGCATTTAATGACGCCTACAACTGCGTCATATCTTCTGATGAGAATAGTATGATTGAGTACTGGCGACCAGACGGGGATTATGAGAAACCTGACAACGTTTTTGAATTCAAAAGCTCCACCAACCTGTTCGAATTCAAGAAGGCAAAGTCAATTCCTACTTCTCTGACCATATCGCCATCTGGCACACACTTTGCGACATATTCCTTTCCGGATCGGAGGATACGAGTTTTTGATTTCCCCACTGGAAAACTCTATAGAACCTATGATGAGTCGCTGGAGACCATCGAAGTGATGCAACAGGCCGGTACCGCTCTCCAGAAACTTGAAGATGTGGAGTTTGGGAGGCGCCTTGCCACAGAACGAGAAATTGATAGTCCAGCATTGCGCAACAGAGCTACTGTTGCATTCGACGAGACTGGGCATTTCATTCTTTATGGGTCGATGTTGGGAATAAAGGTCATAAACACCTATACAAATAGAGTTGTCAAGGTTTACGGAAGTGATGAGAATTTCCGCGCCTTGGGCCTTGCGATGTACCAAGGACAGCCCCAGAAGAAAGGCATCACCACAGTAGCTATGGCGGCGTCGAACAATCCCCTTCTCCAAGAATCCGAAGTCCGGGATCCGATTCTTTTCGCTACTGGAGTTGGAAAGGTTCGATTTTACATGTTCACAAACGATGAGAATATATCAAAATCCGAGCGAGATATTCACAATGAAAAGCCAATCAACCCGAATGCGAAAAAGGCAGTGGAGAAGAAAACCGCACAAACAGGGACTGCTGCAATCGTCCATACTAATTATGGCGACATTCACATACGTCTCTTTCCTGACGCTGCCCCCAAGGCCGTAGAGAACTTCGTGACACATTCGAAGCAAGGCTATTATAACAACACCATCTTCCACCGCATCATCAGAAAATTTATGATCCAATGCGGCGATCCTTTAGGAGATGGGACTGGTGGAGAAAGCATCTGGGGCAAGGAATTCGAAGACGAGTTCAGCACTCTGAAACATGACAAGCCATACACGGTCAGCATGGCCAACGCCGGCCCCAACACCAACGGTAGCCAATTTTTTATTACGACCGAAAAGACTGTGAGTAATCCCACCTTTGAAATAGTTCTAGTACTGACTCCATAATAGCCTTGGCTTGACAATAAACACACTATTTTCGGAAGGGCAATCCAAGGATTAGACGTGATACACAAAATCGAGAACGCTCGAGTGTACAAAGAGAAACCCGAGGAGGACATCAAAATCCTCAACATAGAGATTATGTAATCCTGAATTAAAAACTATGTTGATAGCCTTCCCCATCTCGCACATCCTTCACTCCCCAAACATCTTCGCGTCTGGCTCATCGATAGCGCAACCAGAGGACTAAGCCTCTACTCAGAGAACTTTTCGGAATCACGTTCGACTCTCTCTGCTTCAATACCCCAAGTCGCATATTTCCTTTCCGATAGCATCACTGTTGCTCAAGCTTATCACTGCTATGCTAATGCAGTCCACCGAGGAATATTCGCTCGTTATTTCCCGGCGCTTTGATTACATTGGAAGGGTGCCACCCAAACATTTGCAAAAAGACAGCTACTCTTACCCCTCCTTACTATCATAATGCCTCGACCCAAGCGAGCTGGTGCCCCAGCCAAACGACCGACCTGGGTGGCAATCGACCAACATGTGCCAACTGTTAGAGATAAGGGGAGACATATGACTATAGCACGATCTGGGGCCGAAAGCACCGCGAGCTGCACTATGAGACCACATGGTTAGACCATGAGGATGCCATTTCGGAGCCTACCTCAACTCTTAAGGAATATGGACCCGAACTCCGTCAATTCCAGACAAGATATCCCTGACAACGACCTAACAAGGCCTAACTCCCCCCTTCAAGCTGGAAGAGGGTGGTAATTGCGACCCCTATTACATTGTTCGGAGAGCACTGTAAGCCACAGTGAATAGCATTTTCTATTTCCCCTCTTTGTGGCTACTTGGCAATGTTCTACATCAAAACAAACTCTTCCCTTTCCCAACCCCTTCGGCTTCGAAACAAAAACAACATAATAATATCACCATCTATGCTTTAACAATAGCCCTCCGCTTCTTCAACCACTCAACTTACGCACCCTAAGCTCAACTCATACACCTCTCTAGAGCCCTACCACGCCTCCCCAATACCTTTCTACACGCGTGCCAGTCACGTTTTTTCCGTTTCCTCTACTGATTACCATCATCACCAGAGGATACGCGTGAATCGGTCCACGAGGGAACAGAAGCTAGCGGATGAATGGGACACAGCTGGAATTGCTCAAATAAACGTCTGTATCGCCGTGGGAATGGTGCACACAGTGCCTCTGGCTCCATGGCAACCCCAACCAGTGTCCCGCTTAGATAACCACTTCTGGTCACATCGCTTACGCCTCAAGAATCTCCTAATGTGTATTGGTTATCACTAAGCTCGCTTCTGCCTAGGCTTTCAGGACCGTACCAAAGCAGCCGAGGAAACGGTTGTGAAACGCGAAGTCTACCTGAGCAATATCAAGATACAACAAGATGGGGGGAGGGTGGAGTGTGACTGCGAGGGATCTTAACCACTCCCTAGAGAGATGAGCTGTCATCGTTATAATAGACCTGGTTGATATTTCGAGATATCCTACTAGTTTGAGCAGTTCTTCAGGCTCATACCCAGCCTGATATTGGACTATCGTATCGATACCGAAGAAGAATATGATATTGCGCAAATCTTTCTATTCACCAGCGGACGCGTTCGGATTTTGACAAACATCGCACCGCTTGCGAGGATCTGCTACAACCAACAAATTATGTCAGATTATACGACCTAGCCACATTGGAATCGATAAGAAGATATTGCTACGCGCGCCAAGGAACCAGACGACGACACTGCTGAGTCGAGGCTCCGTACTTCGAAACAGTTCATGAATTTACAGCCTGGTGGGAAGTGGCTTATCGATGAGATGGTCTATAAATGGTTGCTACAAGCGAAGCCTTTTATTCCGCTGCCTTGATCCTTCTTCACCGAGGGACTTCTCGGAAACTCATCCATATACCCTGACGTCCGGAAAACTCTCTGCAAAATCTATGCTGCCCAACATAAGGTCGGGATGGTCAACACTGCTGGGGCTTGTCTATTCCCAATGACCATAGCTACTTGCGATCTCGAAGGGGGAAATATGCTGTGGACATCTTGGAGAGGATCAAGGGTGTGACAGAATTGGGCATGACTCTGGTATTTCTGCTTGAAAACGAACCATTTTCGTTCACAAGCTAATTGTTCTAGATGTACATTACTCTTATGGAGAGACCGTGATGGACTGCGAGGCCCCGGGGTGACCCTGGTAGCTGACGAATTCTTTGGCTGAGATGCCGATAACTAGCACCGCCTCACATTATCATAAAGGCACGGACGACTACTTAGCGAAGACCAAAGGAGGATCGGTAGCTCGGATTGATTAAATTATTCACCTGCCATGTTATGACGTCCTCAGCGCAGTGATTGGATTAGTCCTGGGCATGACTTAAAAAGGCTCAAAACTCGTCCGACTAAAACACATTCCGGAGAATCGGATAATTGTGGATTACCCCTTTTATTTGGTGGTCAAAAGAAAGGTGTCAAGGCCATTACACTTTTTCACCTGGTAGTCAGCAGTTGTCGTATATCATATACGACTAGAACAGCTGACTGTACGGCTTGAGACCGGTGCCTTTCTGAAGGAGATAAGCGTGATAGTAAGCACGGGTCTGCAAACCCATGACTTTGCTCCGAAGCCAGCATCTAGGACTCGGCCTAGGAGGTATTACCTATGGTCAAAGATCATGAAAAGGTTTCAAGCTGCAACGCGGAACGCGGCTGAGTGGGATGGTCACGTCTTCCCTTGGGGTATTCGAAAGCGGGTATCCCTAAGCTCACGCCACCTTATATAGAGCTGGTTTCATTTGGACTCGAGTAGCTAGAGGCTCGCGGTCGCGATGTAGACTAATAAGATTCTACACGTGCTGTGCGGTGTCTCTGGCAGGTGGGAGGAACGTGCAACTGGTTTTCCCACCGAAGTCAGAGGTTTATGTTGTGTGACAAGTCCTGGCGGTGCGTGTGCGCCCTTGCTATATACATATTCCTCCCATAGTTTAATGGGGATGGTTGTTGATGACAACCGGGAGGCTCTGAGTTTCTCGTTGTGTTGGAGGATTGCGTTCGTCTACTTTCTGGTTTGCAGACTGCGGTAGACGGTGTGGTTTAGATACAACAATTCAGCATTTTGCCTCTCAAATTTCGGTTCCCACTGCTTGCTCGTTGCGTGTGATATACATGAATTAACTCGTGGCTCTTGGCGAGCTATGATGGAGACAGCTTTTCCAATTCTGCCACCGAGTCTGCCACATCGATTACTATTCTAACGTCGTACTAGGAGTAAGCCTTCGAGTTCATATATTGATAAATATTGCTAGGTATACGTTCTATGCTCATAGTAGTTTCATATAAACTTTCATATCAGCCGTGTATCCGTAACATGCCACACAACCAAAAACCCATCTATTTACATCGCTGAATACTCACTCATTCAGAAATCTATAACTTAGCCTTGAGCGCCTTCTTCTGCTCCTCCAGCACTCTCTCCTTCAACACCCTCCTTAAAATCTTCCCACTGGCACTCTTCGGAACATCGTCAACAAAAACAACACCACCCCTTAGCTTCTTGTGACTCGCAACCTTCTTTTCGATCCATTGCATGATATCCCTCTCCTTCTCTTTAGTTCCCTCAATTCCTTTCCTCGGAACCACATAAGCCCTCGGAACCTCCGTGGCTTGCTCGGCGTTATACACGCCAATAACCGCTGCATCGTCGACATCGGGATGTCCTAACAGGAGGCCTTCCAGTTCTGCTGGAGGTACTTGAAAGCCTTTGTATTTGATGAGTTCCTTGACCCGGTCTGTGATAAAGAAGTTCCCAGCTTTATCTTGATGGCCCACATCGCCAGTTTTGAAATACCCATCAGCGGTAAGGGCATTAGCCGTGCCAGCGGGATTGTTAAGGTACCCCAGGAAAATGTTGGGACCCTTAATCCAGAGCTCGCCTGTTTGGCCGGCGGGAACTTCCGTTTCATCGGCAGACATGTATTTCGCGACCTGGTTGGGAAGGAGGTAGCCTACCGAGCCGATGGTCGCTTGCCAGTCTTGCCAGCGTTGAGTGTGTGTTGTCGGTGAGGTCTCGGACAAACCGTAGCCCTGCTTTATGGGGATCTTTAGCCGTTTCCAGACGGCTTCTACTAAGTCGCGGGTTAGGGGTGCAGCGCCCGAGTTCAGCATGCGGATGGATGAGAGGTCGTATTTGGACACTACTGGACTCTTGCCCAGGGCGAGGACCACGGGCGGGACCACATAGGCAAATGTTATGCGGTAGTTTTGAATGTGCGTGCAGAACCTCTCGAGGTCGAATTTGGGCATTACGACGAGGGTCCAGCCGGAGTATAGGGCTTGGTGGACGAGACATGTGAGGCCCTGAGTAACGGTTAGAGTTTGCAAAGCAATAAATGGCTGTGAAATAGAAAGGGGTACGTACGTAAATGTGGAAAAAGGGCAGGAAGGCTAGAATCCTATCCCCCTGATTATCCTTCCCTCCTTTCCAAGACAGATTTCCTCCTTCCCCCTGATATCCCATCAGCACGTTTGACACAATATTGGTGTGTGAAAGCATGACGCCTTTGGGGTGCCCTGTCGTGCCAGAACTGTATACCAGAAATGCGAGATCTTTCTTCGGATTCAACTTCACTTTCCTGAACCGTGACACGCCGGATATATTCCTGATACTCGAGAAGTGCTTGAATCGCCCCGTCACGTCCCTCTCGTCGCCCATGAGGATAATCCTATCATCAGGAATTCCAACTTTTTGGCAGGCTTCCCGCGCTGCACTTAAGAAGGGTTTCTGGGTAATTAAGGCCTTGGCCCCCGAGTCCTTCAACTGGAATGCCAGTTCCTCCGCTGTGTATCCTGGATTTGCTGGCGACAGCACTCCGCCGGCCCAGTGTGTGCCCCATGTTACGGCTGGGGTGTCGATGCAATTCGGGGTATAAAATGCTAACACATCGCCTTTCTCCCAGCCCCAATTTGCTTTGAGACCTTTTCCAAAGTCGAGGGCGACGCTGCGGACTTGGGCGTAGGTGTAGCTACGCTTGGTATCGGGGTCGATATAGATCACTAGACAACGGATTTAGTTTCGTGAATAATGCGACGAGGAACTAGGCCGCAGAAGGGCATTTCGCTAAATAATACCTCTATCATCAGGATATTGCCTTTCCTCCGGCTTCCTCTCGAACATAAAGGTCCAGAGATCGACATCCGGGATGGGTATGCTGGGGAATGTGGATTCTGTAGGCATCTTGCAAGGGCGGCGCAAGGCGGAGGTGGAGATGCAATCAAGCAGCAACCCCAAGAGCTAACTGAGAGATAGAGATAGAGATAGAGGTATAAGGACTTGGAGGAGGGAAACAGAAGAAAGGGTCCAAACGGCGAATATATTCCAGAGAAAACACTTATCTTATTAATGTTGGCCACCACTTATGGCCGGCAAGAACGTGGATAGAGGCGGGTCTAGGGTACGATCCGATAGCAAGGCGCGTCTCCACCTCCACATCGCCGAGGCCCGAGCTTGGCTGCAGGTTCAGGCCGAGGCGAGTGGAACCTGGAACCTGGAACTTCGGGTTTTTCGCCAGCGCGGCAAACCGGCACCACTATTTATATGTATAAGTAATCAAGTACAGTACTGTAAGTCTCGGAGTTCTTTATAACATTCGGATCGGACGGCGTTGCCAGAAAAAATGTAAGTCAGTACATACTTCTTTTCAGTAAATATATTTATTCTAGCAAAATATTTCATTTACTACTCTACTCCTCTAGCTAATTTAGGCATTGTCTGGCGTACTTTGGACATACCAGTTAATTACACCAGATAATTGACGAGCTTCAGTTTCAGGAAAGGTTATAGACTTGGCTTTATATGCTTCGACCACTCCCTTTAGCTTCTATTAATACCTTCCGCGCCAAAATCTTTACTTTTACATTGTAGTTTTAATTCCCCTTCAAGAGCTAGAAAACAAGAACAAGGGGAATGATCAGTTACCTAATCACGTGTTGATAAGGGGCGTTATCGCAAATCCTTATTTCATATCTTGAGTCCAACGTCAAGTTCGACCTCCCGCGTCGTTACGGCACTCTCAATACCGGTTCTCAACATCATGGCGAGCTTCCGAATCCCTGCACTGCGCCATATTACCTTATCTACAGCGCCATGTTTACGAGTGACGCAGCGCAGATGGGCTCGAGTGCATGATATCCGTTGTTTGGGAACCCAGCAGCCCGACAGGATCTTAGATAAATACAAGGAGAAATTAAATAGGAAGGCAAAGGAGTAAGGACAGCCCCAGTTATCTATTAGTTCTTATGCAGTGCGTCATACTAATGTATATAACGATTCAGGAAGGGGCTTCAAGATATCAATGAATTAAAGCGGGCTTACCAGGACAAAATTGACAAACTGAAGAAAGACGCCTCCATCGAAGTACCTATTCCAAATGTGCCCTCTCCATCCCCAGACCCAGCATCTGCGACAAGTTCTTCGCCGTTCCCACCACCTCCTCCGGCACCCCGGATACCCACCGAGAAAGCCCCAACCTCGACTCCTGCCATTAAAAATCTATCATCCTACCTAGACCTCGAAAAGACCCGAGCCCTGCCAGAGAAAGAATTAGAAGCAATATGGCGCTTGCGGCATGCCCACGACTCCCAATCTCTCTGTGCTGTCATCCCTCTCCCCGTATATAAGACCTTCGAAGCTACAGCGAAACAATACCCACATTTTGTTCTACCCCTTCCAAAAGAAGGGCACGGTGCCGAGATACACTTTTTGCAGTGGACATTCCCTGCCCCAAACACGGTCACAGTCCTATTCACTCATTTAGCGGAATATAAATTGAGGGGTGAATACAGCCAGCCACATACAACCATTACCCATCACTTAGAGTTGGCCGAGGATAAAGGGGTTGTGATGTTGTTGGGCCAGGTTACAGAGGGGAGAGGTGTGAGTGTTGATGAGGCAAAGTGGTTAGTGATGTGTTTGCAGAAGTTTTACGGCGCGAGTGGTGAGAAAGAGGAGAGGAGGAGACTATTAGAGATGTTTGGGAAAGGGGATGCTGCGTTTAATATTGAGGATTTGTTAGAAGAGGCGGAAAAGGCTGTCTAGATATTGTGTATAGAGCTAGGCTTACTCTGGGCACATATGTAACAATATAATGCAATAATGTTCTCCGCAGGCCAAGTGCCACGATCATGAAGTATCAAATCTACTTGCTGCACGAGTTCTGGTTTTTCCTAATATCACTGCTCTTCCATTTCTGCTTACATTTCTGTGGTGTGCTTCTTGCAAATGCATTAGTGTGATTATAAGTTTACCATATGGCCCTAATCTCTAGATTTTGGGCAGGTTAGGAGCTTCCTAATTCATGGACGCCATTGATCTGTCCGCTATACCAGTACTTGACCACTAAGTACCTATAGGAGACATCTCGCAAACACCAATCCTTCTTAGTTCTTGGTTATGTTGTTATTAATCCACCTCAATCATCACCGCCATGGCCACCGGCGGCATATCCATCCGCCCATGCTTGTCAATAGCCAACGCGTCTAGTTATTCCATAAACAACAATAATATCATTCTACTCACATTGGTAACAATATAACCGAACTCCCCTTTCGATTTAAGATCCGATGGCCAACTCATCTGCGCCCTTATCATCTGGGTGGGCACCAATAAACCAACCAAAAGTTTTCCCGGTATCATCCCCTTCCCTCCGGTCGCGTTCTGCACAATCGAGCCCCTTAGTTGGTTCCGCTGCTGCATCGTCTATCAAGTCGTGCTCCCATGGTTCCTCCATTGTGCACCCTACCGACACGTCCGTCGCTTTTTCGGACGACGCTTATGACAACCACATTAGTTCCTCCAGGGCCTCCTCCTTGGAACCCCTGAGTGAGTCCGGCGCTGAACCCCCTACTACGTCGGACATTGAGCCTTCTGTCGACCCTATCTCCCAATATGCCTCAGGTTCCTCCCCCTCGCCATCGCCACAATCTCTCTCTGAGATTGAGATATCAGATTGCTTCCCGGAAGCCCACATAATCCAGTTCTGTCTCTTTCTCGTCCACAACAAATGCATACGCGTTCAGCAACATATCCCTGAATTCAATGCCCTTCTCACCAAGCTAGGGTACGACGATCCCGAAATCCCACGGCAAGTCCGCGACAAGCTTAGAGTATTGGCGAGAGGACGAATTTTGCAGCTAGGTCAAAAGATGGAGGCAAGTGGGGCATTGAGAGTTACTAATCGGAGAAGGCTCAAGAGGAAGCGCGTCGGGGAGGACGGAGAAGAGAGCAATAAAGGAGGGGCTAAGAAGAAAGCTAGCGACGAGAGTGGAGAAGAAGGCAGCCCTATAGGGGTTAATAGGATGGATAGCGAGGAAGATGAAGAAGAAACGAATTATAGAAGGGCCACGCGGAAGTGTTGCAGGGTGGATGAGGCAGTGGGTGCTGAAACTGTCGAGTTTTCGAAGTGGACAGAGGACTGGGATCCTCGTGGGTGGGATGGAGACTTAAGATGCCCTTGGGGCTGGGAGGGGTTAGTCCAATATCATGGGCAGGAGAGGAGTGAAGATGAGGAAATAGGAGGGCAAGTTCGAAGAGAAGTCTTTGTTGTTGAGGAAGGGGAGGTGGAGGTCAATGTGTTAGATTAATTGAGAAATTGACTCCAGGAGATATGCCAATCGATAAGCTACTTGTGTAAGTTCGTAGCTTTGGAGTTTAGGTGTTGGATTATGAAAGCATCTTCCTTAGGAGATCGTGGTACGAGGTACCACGATTTATGATGCGTTTGTTAGTGAGAAACGAATACAAGATTAATACTCCTTCCCCTTTTTCTTTTGAAAAGATTTCTTCTGGTCGCCATTTCACCTCTCACAATCCTCCGATCCAGACCCTGGATAGAAAAGACTGTAGATTTAGGGAAAGCATCAATTACGAAGTCCATTCACCTAGGATATATTATCTCCGAGGGGCTGGAGATGCTCAGTCGAGTTTTAGTCACGTATGAGCCCGCGAGATGTCGAAATGTAGATTTATGGAAGCATAATTTCATGTTCTGTGCGATATGTCCGAACAATGCAAATGCCAATTGAACCTGTATCATTGTAGAATAGAGTTTGAATTCGTTAAGACACATGGCTATGCTAACAATTCCGACCCTGGAAGCGTTCCATCCGATTCCATACCATGAATTCGGGCTGCAATACACAAATATGGGCCTCTTTTGTTGACATAAAGAAGCAAAAGCAGGTCGAGGTTTCTGAAATGGATAAAGTTTGAAGGTACAGTAGAATCGGAGATAAGCTGGTCTTTTGCACATTTCTCGTTTCCTCTTCAGAGCAATGTCACACCAATACTGTCTCAAGCCTTAGCCAACATTAAGAAGCACCTACATATAACACGTTAGTCAACGATGGCAGGACAAGCTGGTATACATCCAACAACTCACGACTTTGGGCTCAGATGCTTTCTGTGAACAGGTGGCAGAGTTCGCTGATCTTAGCGCTCGATCCAGCTTGGTCGCCGGCATTTGGCATCTTGTCAATATCGACCCCCTTATTGTCAATGCCAACTTCCCTCTTGACTTTAGCTTCAGAAGGGTGAATGTGGAAGGCACATGGCCAAATCCCGGTCTTGCCTTCCACTAGTTCCAAACGCCCTCGATTAGCAAAACATTTGACGCACGTGGAACTAAACTTACAATCACGAACACGAGGATCCTGATGCGGGTTGAATTTCATGAGTGCCTCGAAAAAGTCATGAAAACCATCGACGTTGCTCTCGAGCCAGGTTGTGATATGGTAATCGTTGATGTAATCGGGAGCTCTCACTTTGGCAAGAAGACTCAAGGCACAAAACTTTCGAAGAATGCAGCCCGGCTTAGTCCTACCGTAGATGCACTGCACAAGATTGGCGTCCGGGAACCTGTTGATGCTACGGAAGCCATCCTGGATGCTGTCCATAACCTTATTACGGATTTCGATGTCCATTTCAACCTGCTCCCCGAAGACGTACAGCTGGCACAGATCTCGAAGCCTAACAGCCTGGGCAGTAACGCTGCTCGTTGCGCTAACGCATGGTACTGTATTCTTGTAAAGGTACTCGACGAACAAGATGAACACGCCGGGTGTCTCCGATGGAAAGTGAATTGGGTCATCCACCTTGCGGGTCGAGAACATCTTGCCCAGATTGCTTCCAGTGGCGCAGATCAGGTTCTTGTGGATAGTGAACATATGACGTCCTTTACCAACAGTTACGCTAACCATCTCGTAACCCATACTACTGCATAGAAGGTCAGAACTTGGTCATCTAGGGCGATGCTGCCATATTTCCGTGACTTGACTTACTCTCCCAGGAGCGGTGCATTATCCAGGTTCGCGGTAACCAGGGCGGTGCTAAGGGTGGTCTTCTTCTCCATGGTACCACTGGTATTGCCGTTTGGGTGGGTTGCTAGGTGGGGAAGGGGACGATTGTTCTGGTGGAAACATCAGTCAAAACAACTGACGAAATATTAGAGAACGATATACCCACCGAAGCCATCGCGCCTTTGTCTTGTCACAGTGGCAGGTGCAAGCTCCCAGAGCCTTGACTTGGAAATTTACAATGTGAGGAGGTAGTTGCAAGTTTAGAGTTGCGTTTTGTTCAGGAACGGTTACAAAGGCAGGTTAGAGTTGAAGTGGAGGGCTAGCGACGACGTGAAGTAAACATGCGTTCACCGAGCCGGCAACCCAATTCCACCGCAGCTAACCAGCTACGTACGTTATATAATTCCGTGAGACTCAAATCTGAGTCATAGCAAACCTGTTAACCTGTATTAACAGAAACTCCACGAGGTATATTCAGTTGGTACACTGAAGCGGGACCTAGATATCCAACTCCTCTTGTTTCCGTCAGGATCCTGGATCGTCCAGCCGCTCTGCTTGATTGAAAAGAGAAATTAGCGCGAGGTTTCTACCATACGTTGTAGGTTCAGAATCAAAGGTTGTCCACTATAATCTCTAAGGTGTTAACGCGAGAAATAGCTAACTTTGCTACTAGAAGGGAGGGCGAAGCTGCAACTTTTGGCTTTGGCGTTGCCCAGTTAAGCCACTTCCATCCTGCATCAAAGGTGTTGGAGCAAAAGGTAGTTGTTTGAATGCAAGCAAGTCATTCAAGGCTGACTTTCCTCAGCATAACGGGATAACCTCCGCCTGTCGATATTAGCTGTACGGCCACAGCCTCTGATCCAGTATGTCGATAGAAGAGCCTCTCGGAAAGTACGCAACCTCTATTTCCATTCTGAACGCAGAATGTGGCTAACACCAGGTGCGATAAAGGAATCTAGGGTGCTCGATCGTGAAAATTTACGTCGGCAGCACTAACACCGAGTTCATCGTCCATCAGAACATAATCTGCTCCGCAACCGAATACTTTACGAAAGCCTTTACAGGGGCGTTCAAGGAGCGTAATGGGACCATACACCTACCAGAAGAATGCCCCGAAGCATTTTCGCTCTTTGTCGATTGGCTATACAGACGAAGGATACTATTAATAGCGAAGCAAGCCCATCTCAATACTCTGGTTAAGCTCTACGTTTTCTCTGAGAAGATATGCTTGACTCACTTGTCGAATAAGGTTATGGATGGCATACGAATAATGTGTGGCAAGTATAAAGAGGCGCAAGTTACCACTGCGATGGTGGGTTATGTCTTCAAGAATACCTTTTTGGACTCACCTCTGCGAACCTGGGCATTGAGGGATTGGGTTAACCACTTGGACCCGACCCTCAACTCCGGAATTCCAGATGCTGCGACCACCAAAGACTTCGCCAAGCTCTGTACAGAAAATGAAGATTTCCTGGAGGCATACTTTTGCTACATGCGCACAGCAGCCAACGGGAAATTTCCTATCACTCGATCGTATGCGGCAAAGTGCATGTATCACCGACACCCCCTCAAGTCGATGTGTTATATCGGTAAAGCGGAATGGGTTGTCAAACCTGCTTGGGACTCAGAATAAGGATGTGTACGAATTGTGAACCCGCAACACACCGCGAGGTGGACGCCCATGTACTGGTATTCGCAGATTAAGGAATGAATCATAGCCTCGACTGGGCCCAGTGAAATATCGCCTAACCGACGTGATTCCAGAAAGCTTAACTGTGACAGTGATATTTAAAATGTTGTAGTTTGAGTTTAGAGGTTCGATCGAATGTTGCAATAGAAACGAGTCGTGACGATCAGGGGTCGAGTATGATCACATAAGCGAGGCTCTGAGGCCTATTTAAGTCTAGCCGCTTATTTCGTGTAACAACAGCATCTGGTCCAGCAAACACCACAGGAGACTTCAACCTGTCCTGCCTACTGGCCAGGCCCCACCGCAGGTATCTTGCCATGTATAATATCTTTGGTTTCGATATACTTTGACATTACTCCGCTTTTTGTGTTTGTGCAGTTCTGGTAGCGCGGCGTCCGTTTGTGTTGATTGACTTCTTTGGATCTCAAGCAAATAGTTTGGCCGTTGGGCTGTCGCTGTGGAGTTCTCTTCTACTTAATATCGTCGGTCGCGATTCGGCTTGTGTGAGCTCCTGAGCCAGAGTAACGGGACTGCTGTGAAGCTTACACCTACCCAGCTAGTTTCATAACTTTCATTGAAACCACAATAGTCAGACTCTAATCTCATCTTCGCCGGTTCCGTTTTAGTCTCTAGACGTGAGCAACGACCGCTTCAACCTAAGCCAAGGGTGAGCATGCCTGAGCCGTGCCTGAGCCGTGCCTGAGCTGAGCCTCAGCTGAGTCTGACCTGAGGAAGGACTTTGTGTTGTAGGCAGGGCGCACAGTCCTTTAAAAGCATCAATACGAGCCTGAAGGGATACGCGATGGCGTTTCTCGTCTGTGTCAACATTGTAGTGGTTACATATCTACGTAAGTTGGGAAAGGACCACAAGTAGTACGATTTATTAATAACGGGCTAAGGTTCTGGAAGGCGCTAATGCAGGCGCCTCCTATATGCCAAGTTCGCAGATACACTACTCGCACTGTACTTACGGAGTACCCCTCAAACCACTGTATACGCTAGCAGGGGAGAATTTCAGGGTGAGTATGTGATAGGAGAGATCACGTTATTACTCAGCTAAATCCGAGACATTCTTATACGTATTGTACGTAGTATATAATAATGGTCAACGAAGAAATACCCAATAGGAGTAGAGGAGTGAGGGGATGGATCGAAGATTGACACATTTCGATACTCTAGCTCGCAGTGAGTCTGTGGGGATTGGTCACTCGGGCTGTCCCTCAACTCTAAATCATGTCTACCGGAGGTCCCTTCTTATTGATTGTTATGTGTCAAACCTTGACGATCCTGTGTTGAATGGAGAGTGCGGTACACATGGCGCTGCGCTACGGCTCTTTCGAGAAAGTCTGTGGGATGGTAGTTTTGTAGGATCCATTAGGAAACGTGCTACTTTCTCCCCTGCTATGACAAGCTTATGCAATTTGTACCTGGCGCTCGCAACCCGCACGCGTAGTGGTTGTCCTAACAGGCCCTCTGGCGGATTTGCCTTGCGCTGCTCAGGACGATCACCGTCTATGGATGACATAGCTTTTCTACCACCTCCCACTTCTATCCAGCTACTTGACTTTTGCCCTTCACTTCCGGACAAAGAACACCCAAGCACGCTCAAGCTTCCCCTTCACAAGCATATCTAGCAAGTGGATATGGTCGAAACCCGTGGTCCCCAGGCTGCCGGGGCTGCCGGTTTATTCTTAGGGTTATCCTGGATATTCGTGTTATTGCGATGCTACTGCAGGGCTGCCATAGTACGCCGCTTTGGACCCGAGGATTATCTCTGCGTTATTTCACAGGTGGCTCTATCTATATTAGACTTGGGGAATAATGAAGCTGATGCAGGCCAGGTAATATTCACGGTATACTGCACATTGGTTCTGGTCGGTGTCCAATATGGCACTGGCAGGCATGCTGTCGATATTATACCGCCAACGGATATCCCTATTGGTCTTAAGGTACTACCCAAGTCAAGGCATCATTTTTAATACCTGCTAAAGTCCTTACAGTGGTGGTGGATCTGTGAGCAACTGTATTGCTTAACCTGTTTGACACTGAAGTTTAGCATTGGCCTCTTTCTTCTGCAAATTACAGTCCATAAAAGTCAAACCATCATCCTCTGGACTGTTATGATTGTATCAGGCCTTATGAGCATTTATTTTGCTCTCCTGTTCCTATTTCAATGTCGACCCGTTACCTACTTTTGGGGACAACACGCTGGTATGAATGGCAGCTGCATTGACCCCGCGATCATAAGCAGGACTGCATATGTCTACTCGGTTGTTAGCTGTTGGTCAGATTGGACCTTCTGTATCTTACCTGCATTCATGGTTTGGAACGTCCAGATGAATCCAAGGACCAAGGCATCAGTACTTCTCGTGTTTGCTCTTGGTGCCGTGTCAGTTAACTTCCCATTATACAATACATCCAACCCTTCCTCATTTATTCCCTTTTTATATCCTGTTTATTATACAAAACTAATTCCAGCAGGGCCTCGACTATGACGATTGTTCGTTTCCCCTATCTCAACACTTTACAAGACAAAGCCGACTTTCTTTATGCCACCACCAACGTGGGAATCTTGACCACCAGCGAAATGGGCGTTGGTATCGTTACGTCTGCAGCTGCCACCCTTCGTCCTCTCTTCCGCCGCTTCCTTGAGCGCTCGCAGCCCGGTTCATCGTCGGTAGAGCTATCTCGCCCATGGCAGTCAGGTCGCATGCGAGCGGGCTATGTCCGCAACCGAGATGGCGATCCTAGCCTTACGGACGAGGAATACATTGGCGTAACAACGGTGGCCAGAATCGAGAGTCATAGTATCGAGGGCAAAGAAGATACTTTGTCTAAACCCGGGATTAACAATGCAGCGGATACGAGCAGCACAAATGATTCAGGAAAATGGCACACTGGTAAGTTCCTAGATGCTTGTAGCGAAGAATATAGGCCTCATATTGGAACGGAATCAAGACCTAAGGTTTGAGTAGTGATGCAAGGATAAGGAAAATGATCAGCTCACAAGATACGGGTTTCTGTAATTTAGCTTCTTTTTGACGTCAGAGAACTTCAATTTTGCTTTGCTTACTGTTACGTAATAGAGATTTTTGCCCTTACGGTGATATAGACTTATCGCGTGTGATCATAATTTAAATAGACTTTCGCCGTGTCTTGCTGTCAACCAAAATCTCTCATACGAAAATGGCATCGTCAGTTGCGAGCTTTGTTTGTAGTTATCGAAGAGCCAGTCGTCGCTGATCTGTCCGACGGATGTGGACAGCGAGGTTATGGAGTCTGCCGATAGCTCCTTCCTTGGCCCATATTTCGAAACTGGATCCATCTGTAGCCCCACGAAGGTCTGCCTCGAAGTTACTAACATTTGAGCCACAGATAACAGCTGTGAGTAGTCCCCGGGATCTCAAGGGTCGAGTGAGAAACCACGCTGGATTCTGGTGGGACGTTGCGCTGTCAATACAAGAAAAATCAGTCCCAGGCAACAAACAGTGCCTGGTCCAGAGCTGAGAGCGGAGATGGATCGATTAAACAGAGAACTGGTAAGGTCGCGCGAGGAGTTGCAAGCGGCGGAAAATGCGAAAAAGGACGCGTTCGACTCCGAATTCAGCTAGCGGAACAGAACCATCAAGGAGCTGGAACACGAGAAAGAGCGGGATAAAATAATTATATCTTATCTCGAATCGGATCGTCTACTGTACATGGAACTATTACTACAAACACCGGAGGTGGACATAACGTCTTCGACTGACTCCTAAACACAACGAGCGGCGAGGACAGGCTTGTGATGGAAGAAACGGTGTCTGAATGGTGAGCTTGCGGGCATCTCGTGCTGAGACTGAGGCTGGATTATCTGGAGATTCCGACAGGGAGCTATCCCATATTGGAGTCGATTGGACAAGTCCACGAGCGACGGGAGGCACGGTATGAATGTGATCAGACCTTCCGTTTACGTATAGATAGCAAGACCGGAGAAAAGGAGAGATACAAGGTCCAGCTTCCGACTCATCATGGCGATCATTTGTGCCACGCCGCTTTCTAGACTAAATTCGCGTCCGCACGGTCAAGGCATGACAATCTCTTGGGCAATACTGTAGTGACCACGGAACCAGCCACCCTCACGGCACGGCCCGTTGCCGTTTCGCTGTCCAGTATCGGGCTATAGCTGCGGAATTCGTCAAATTATTCTATGAGAAACTGGGGAGAAGGGGAAGGATGGAGTACTGTAGTTTAAATGTCATGCCACGAGAGTGGATTGTGGTGAGCTAGCCCACTCACTAGTGCAACCCCAATGTACCTAGGCCTGTGCAGACTCATTTGGATCACTACCATCTACGGGGTAGACAACCGTGTTGGTTGAAGCACTCTCAGGCCTAATAAAGCATGACTGCCAACGCATTCTGTCTCCTCACCTTGAGGAGCTGTCATTCAATATCTAACATCCCTTACATGACCTACTCCACCCACTTGCAATAGTAGCAACAGTAGACGACGACAACTGCACTTCCCAAATCGCAACACAACCTAACCGACGCAATGGCCTGCTTTAGGGCTCTTCAGCGGTCGACGGTCATCTTTTTGAGCCTCGCCCGCCCTGTACGCCGTTATTGAGCTCAACATTTTTATCATCCTCACAACCTTCAAGACTCGCCGAAGTTTATATTTCTGGAGCTTCGTCGACGTAACAAATAGCATCGCACCCTATTCTATAAGTATTGTACTCAGAAACATTCTGTAGGTCAACTCGCCGGACCTATACTTCGTATATTACTCTCACAGCCGTAGGTTGGGTCTCAATGGTTACCGGGCAGTCTCCCGTTCTCTATTACCGTCTACATGTGGTTGTCCGCAGTCGGTTCTGTCTAAAGTTTATCCTCGGAATAATTATTATTAATGCCTTCATCTTGCACGCTCCCAAAATGTCACGCAATATAGCTCTCTAAAAAGTCCTACCCCGGAGTGGATCTCGGCCTAGAGAAAGATCGAGACAGTCCAAACCGGGGGCTTTTTCCTTCAGGAAATTATTATCTCCGGAATCTACATCATAAACATCTTTTCAATCTACCCTTTCCATGAATGCGGGCACGACAAAGCCACCCACCCGCAAGATGCGTCGCAATTTACTTTTGGTCAATATCATAGTTATCGTGCTAGATATTGTCATCGTTGTCACCGGGGTCCTTCAATTCTGGGGCTTGGCCACTTCATTCAGAGCCTTCGCCTGTAGTGTCAAACTCAACACCCACAACATCAGATGTTCTCGGACTACCAACACCTCCACCATCAGCCAATTTCCAACAACTATCCAACCCCATAACTCAAGCTCTACTTCTCTTGCTCCCAGTCGATATACATCTCAGCATTCCGATAAAAACTTCCATGGTCGCAACAACATCTTCCACGCTCGACCCTGCTTGATTTGACGGCCCAGCACCTCCAGCGCCAGATTATTTAGACTGGGCCCCTGGTGGGCGCCACGATTGGCGTATTAGTGATACATACTATACTTTTGTGTGTCGCGGACTGTCATGTTGAAGGTGATAGGAGTGGGCCGTAGAGCAACACGCTGAAGCTGTAGGATGTGAGACGCAAATCCATTGGGATGGCCTTTAGATCATTTTGAATATCATGGCCGATACAATGCGATCGCGCAGAAGCTCGACCAATTGAGCCTGAACTTCAGAAAAAGGCTGAGTGCCGTTCTATGGATCGATATCATCCCAGTCGATTCCGGAAAACTCTTTGTCGGTGTTTGTGATATTGATGGGTTTGGGGTACCACACAAAAGTGTCAAAGATGGTTTCACTCTCGTAGTTGACTATAGAGACGCGACCGAGGACCTGGCCGATATTGGACCGCATCATTTCGCAGTCGAGGGTAATTTTCTCCGTGAGGATGTTGCGGTGTGGGCCTACTGGCTGACTTTATTTGATGTTGTGTTCATCTTGGCCCTTCGTTGATTTTGATATTTAAATCAGATCGAATTTCTGAAATTTGGAAAGAATGCTCTGGTATTAGCTAGGACGATGTCAAGCAACTCGAGGCGTGGCGTGGCGCGGCTTCGTAACGTGTTGTTTGCAGGCATAATCAGGGCCAGCTGGTCCAGGGCCCATCCATTACAGGCATGACTCGGCATTTTGCGCCCAGCTTGGGAACGTGTGCTTCTGGATGGCGCTGCTGAAAGCCAACAAACGTAGTCGGGAGTAGGGTAGTGGACGGGAGTAATGCGCGACGTGAAGAGGATGTTTGTGGCGAATGAGGTGGCGTGCGGGCCTCACCTAGTGACGGGGAACAAGATGCGGTTTGAGAAGGTGATGGATCTCCTAAACTTTCTATTCCTGTGGGACAAGCAAGAACGGCCATGATGGGGGAACAAGACATATCGAGTTATCAAGAAGACCTTTGAGTTGCTGGAGCGTCAGCTTGGGTATAGGCGAGCAGACAAGTGGCTGGATGAATTCTTTCATGCGGTCCGGCTCACGCATTGAATGCTCCCATATCCTTCGAATGAAGCGCTGATCACGTCCACGAAGAGCAGTCAGAGCCAAGGACTTAGGCGGCGAACGATGTGGTTCTCAACGCTGTGGGTCAGTTCGACAACCAAAGGTGTCTGGTGCAACTTACAACATGCTGCCTAGTCCTGCCCTTGGAGAGTAAGTGGGTTGGTAGGGAGTACTTGATGGTAAACTGGATACTGATAATGATATCAGGAGGCTAGGCGAAGATGTGATAACTCTCTATGTCGGCACCAAGCGGAATAAATTCATCATCCACAAGCAGCTTATTTGTGAATCTTGCCACTTCTTTGAAGTAGCTTTCACAAGCAGTTTCAAAGAAAACCTAGAAGGCGTGATGTGTCTCCCGGAAAAACGTCCCGAAATTATATCTTTATTCGTCAGTTGGCTATACCCAGACAGAATTCCATATCATGAAACCGAGGAGCATCTACTAAATATGTACAACCTGCACTTCTTCGCCGAGGAGATCGGTGAGGAGCGGTTGATGGATGCAAGCATGGATGCAATCCAGGATGAATATCAAAATCTTGACATTCCCATAAGTTATGAAATGCTGGCAAAGGTTTATGATAACACAACCAAGTCGAGGCTAAGGCTTTTCGCTATTGACAAGTTTGTGCATTTCCAGGAGCTAGGGAACCTTCCTGTGGGAAGAGTTGACTCTCGGAAGGATCTCGCAGAGTTATGGGAAATAACTAAAGGGAACTTTGACTTATTCTACGATATTTTTACCGCTGATCCTCGCTTCCGGGATGAATGGTTCGAAGTAGACATGTGCAAGTATCATCAGCATGGTGGGGGTGGGTGCTACAGCAATGCAAGGAAGTGACTCGATAACAAGGGCGCATAGGACCTTCCTGCCAACTATTGTCGAAGTGCTGCTCTGTGTGAACTATCAGAGCAGAGAGCATTTTTATAGGGTGGCTAATAGATTAATATGTAATTATAGAATATGCTTTAGAAGCCATGCTAGCCATCCTATAAAGATGCATTTGCGAAGATTCCAGTAATTCAGCTTCACATTCATCCATTGTAGCTTGGGATATTTAGATGGCAGTTAATACAATTACCACCCGGAGCCTATTACACACTTTTGTATCCACCCCTTCTCTAAAATAGTCTAAAAATGATATATGTGCCAAAATTCGAGTTATCGCGTATCCCCCCCATATTGTAGAATATATCTTTCTTTCTTTCTATTAGGTCAGTTGATAATATTTTCTCGAATTCTCGCCGAGTCTTCTATGTTTAAACTAACAACCAGTCACGTATGAAGCATCTTTTGAGAACTGTTCCTTAGGGAAGCGAGATTGACTATAGTCGGGGGCAGAAAATGGCATCTACTATGAGATACGGAATACTTTATACCTAACTGACTAGAATAAGGCATTGTACCTATAGCCAGCACCTCATGACATATCTCACAATACCCAAAAACTCGCGCGTGAGAACCATATATGCGTGCATTTCATTTAACTCGCTACCTCTATCTACGCCCATCCCCCCATCCACCAAACCCATGCAACTTTATCCGATCGCTCCTCGGTCTCCCTATCACCACCGCTCATCGAACCCGTATATCATTCAAGCCCAGCCGGACCTAACCTAACCCCCAACCCCGAACAATTCATCTTTCCCCCCATTACTCGTCCCTATAACCTAATTTAGAATAAACAAGAAATCAAAAATCATCCAGCGGAACCATCTAACGCCGACGCCGACCTCTATCCATTCATTTGATGTCGTTCAAACCTATCCATCAATCCACGTCCACCGCCAACATCGAGGCGAAACCGAAAATGAGAAGGGGAGAGAAGACGTAATCCGATTGGAGAAGAGGAACACGATATGAGTCGCTAAATACCGAGCAAATACAGAGCAAGGTCGGAGAGGAATGAGGGGCACAAAAGGTCTAACGTGTGCACACCCGGTAATTTTCTCGTTGAGGTGAGTGAAGGCATCGCCTCGTTATAGAGGATATTATTTGCGGTGTGCCAAGGTGATAGCTGAACTGAGGCTAGATGAGTGGGATGGACCTCCGAGCTTAGACGAGTGATTCGGGGCTATACCGAGCCATCCATTTGAGCGAGGCCACCCCACACATGGGGAAGCATAAAAAGTCTATGTCTGATTTCGTAAAGGCGATAGCAACCACACAAAACGTGTAGTATCTGGATAAACGAACAACAACCCGCAATGATCCATCCCAAATAACCGCTCGCTCGGAATTCAAGCGCACAGTCCAAATCTACAAGAATTAATTGCTGTTATAAGACGAACCCCAAATCTTCTCCGTCAAGGAGAAGATGGGCCATGCATGACCGTATCCTCGGAATATGGAGTTTCGGTCGCAGCGGCAGTTGGTGAAACTGCTACTTTATGTTGAGCTATAACCTCGCGGGCATAAAATTCTACTAGCATGGTACCGTAGGCTTCTAGCTCTTCAACTGGGACAGATAGTCTGAAATCGTTCAGGAGGAGGAACTGGAGCTCAAGATGGTTCAATTCTGCGAGGGGAAGACCGCCAACCTGGATAGATCTGTAAGAATAATATTTTAAATAAGGAGAAGGAACATACCTTTGCGTATCTAGAATTTGTGTAGAAAACATCTGAAAAGAATTTGCTGGCACAGGTGACTCCGGAAATTACTAGCCGGTGGATGTTGAAACTGTCCACCACAAAGTAATGAGCGAGAGGGTATGTGGGCGAGGTTGGTTCGGGATGACTCGCGTGCGTGTATTGCGCTTTCTGTTGATCGCCCTCTGTTTCTGAGCCGCTTCTAGATGGAGCAGGACTGTCTGCTAAATCCGAACCTTCTGCTGAATAACTAGTCGAAGGCCGCGAATTATCCTGCTCTGCGGATTCCTGTGCAGCTTGCTGCGAGGGGGCATTGACCCTCTCCGTCATGCGGTCAAAATATACCAGCAAACTTAGGAAGACCTCATATGTTGTCGGACAATATTTGTGGATACGGCCCAAGTAAGCCAGAATTGAGATTTGGGGCACATTTTTCCCATGGAACGCCAAAACGCTGGATGATTGCCCGCTGATATTGACGGCAGCATCCCCCGAGGGCAGAGGCCGATGCAGACTATCATGCTGCAGATCATTCGTCTTGGTAATCTTCGTTAGAAGACCTGCCACCATCTCAATGATGTCTGTGATCGGCATCCCGCTTATCTCATATTTCAAATTCGGGTCGTCGGTAGCTCGCCGTATTCCCCCTTCCCCCCTTGACGAGAATTGCTCGAGCGCGAAACTCTGGATATGTGCAAGATCCCGGACTTTGATTGTACTTCCACTATATCCCCTCACGTCGTCGAAGGACCCGGCCGCTCTTGGCAGAGGTTGTGTGGATGGAGACTGGGAGGAGCCACTCTCCTGTCGCGAAGCCGGATTTGAAGACGGCGATTGCCCAGATGTGGTAGACGGGTGTTGGAAGTTCTCCTGGGTCGTAAATCTGTGCCTCGTGTATGAGCCGGGGTTCGAACTCGAACTTAGTGGAGGCGAGGGCGGTGGCTCTGTCGCGGCCTCGGATTGTCCCTCTACAATCTCTGCACCCGATTCATGCTGTATTGCCCGCGAAGGCGTACTCGGAGGAGGTGTACCCGCAATTCTCGCAGACGCTTGGGGTTGAGGTTGCGAGTGAGGGCTGGTAGTCCCCGCGCGTGTGGTTTGCCGGTACGGGGATTCAGCTGCTGAGCGCTGCTGGCCCGACCCGGCCCTCATATTCACACTGCGATGATAGTGTGAGCGCGAAGAATCGGAGCCAAAGTCGCTGCCAAAGTCGCTGATCACCGCGGCCATATCAGCCTACTGTTCGGGTGGACCGGAAAAGAGGCTGTGGTTACAATCAGCTTATGCTTCGCGAAGGTCTGGATGAGCGCCAAATGGCAACGGGACATGGAGTAGACCAGAAGACGCGATGGAGGTTGGAAAGCTAATCAGAATATCGGGGATGGCGTTTGCAGGTTGTGGGGGAAACAAGGCAGGGGCTTATCTGTGGATCGATTTGTCGGTGTCGAGGCTGGCCGCAAAAGCAGAGGAAATATGCAAAGGTATGTATGTAATGCCCGGATTCACTTGACTTGACTTTGACACATTGTAGGACGACAGCAAAAGCCCTACTTGGAGCGGATATATTCCCCATCCTCGGCCAGCACCACCATATCGCGTTGAGATAGCGAATCGACGGCCGAGTCGACGTTGGGCGCATTGCTTGGAACAGTGGCGGGACCCCCCACGAGGCTTATCCAGGAGCAGGGAACGGGGGGATATGGAGAGAGAAGCTTACTGGCAGCATTCCTAGAGTTACAAAAGAAACCAGGCCGGTGTCTGCGAGGCAGCTGGGCACGGGGAGCGAGACCTGGAATCTCGGCGGGGGAGGGCTCGATCTGGCGGGAAGGGTACCTGGCGGTGGTGTTGATGTCGGGAGTCTGGTGTCTGGTGTCTATGGAGCAGGCAACGTGCAAATGGCGATGGAAATTGACGTTCGCGGCCCAAGGCTAGTACGGAGTAGTTCAATCGCCGTCACCGCCTGGAAGCTGAGAGCAGCGAACGGAGCCACCAGCCCAGCCAAGGGATCCAGGTCGAGCAGCAACAATAATACCGCAGAGACACGACGGGCGCAGGATGACGCGAAGCACGAGTACTGCAGATCCCCGGCGTGAGAGGACGACGTCGTTATCTGAATGATATTGTTGTTGCGGTAAATGGTACCTTGGGGTTAAATGGTGCGTGGTAGGGTAAGTGGTAAATAGTCAATGATAAATGATAAATGGTAAATGGTAAATTGTAAATTCGTCAGCGCTCCGCCGCAGAGTCTCAGTGTCAGTCTCAGTATCTCTATCGGGGGATCAAACAATCAAACACGTCAGCACCAGAAGAATAAAACAACTCTGGAGTACGCTGTGAGTACTTCGTATGCGTAGAATGTGCGCACTACTCTGTACCAAAAACCTGGTGGCGGACGGGGATGATCCGGAATGTGCGATTGTGTGCTGTGAGCTGTGTCCGCCTCCGCGAGTAGGATTGAGGGAGACTCCCACGAGGCGCTGTTCTTCTGCTTGCTTGGCCTTCTCCAATAAATGTTAATGGCTCTCGTTACTCTTGTTCTTATGTTATGTGATGTTACCGATGTTATGTAGATACGTAGTACTTATTCTTCTTCTCGTTACAAAAAGTATTTCTCAGGGCAAGCCTTCTCGTATTATTATACTCGGTCCATCTAGTCCGGTCGCTCTGCCAGTGGTCGGGTTGAATGAATAATACGACATGTCCTCCTTCGTACCACCAGCGGGCATGCAACCAGCCAGCCAGACGACAATTCCCACGCCCCAGCATGTACTTCGTGCACTTTGTACCGAGGTAGTACTATGCGCAGTACCTCCTGCATACACAAATCCTCATCCCTCGGAATATCACACAATTCAACACTTCCTTTCGTCCTCACTCGCTGCCATCCTCACCGCCGCAGATCTGCTTTGTTGGGAAGGGGAAGGGAATGTTTCTTGACTGCTATTGCAACCCTGCAATCAGGCTTGACACACGCCCCATGCTCTTCCATTAATCCTTAATAGTTCCTCGTTTCTGATTGTACTGTACATTTTGCCTATTGCTGACGGACGCTGTAATTCGTATCTGGCAGATACAGATGGCGATTAGCCCCCTCCTTTGTCAAGACCACCATTCTGATAACGCCGCCGGAGCTTCCATCCCACTTGATCGCCTCCTGTAATGCGCCTTTGACGAAATCCACAGCCGCATCTTCCTCCATCCCTTCCTTCCAGTTGGCATCGCAGTATCCGTAGATATATGTCGACCCTGATCCTCCGATCGCATATGATTGCTTGTGTAACGACCCTCCCAAAGGTATCGAGTATACCTGTCCTCCGTGTCGCTCATCCCAACCGGCGATAATCAACCCAGCGCTACATTTAGTCAGTATCTATGTCGGGTATATACACTTGCAGTCCGTACCTCAGCCTGTCCTTATTCTCGTAGCACAGCTCCTGAAACATCGCGGCGGCTGTTTGGGTCGTTGGGTTTCGTCCATTCATGACAGCATACATTCCCAGCTGGTAGTGAACAATATCCGCAACCGCTTGTGTATCTGCGGCAGACCCTGATCGACAGCACCAGATCGTATCGTTTACTTGAGTGAGCTTGTCTGTAACTCTGTTTGCGATGTACGCTCCAGTTGTGGTTCTACTGTCCGCGCCTGTTGTGTTTATCCATCAGCCTGTGGTCTAGTTTCGAATATAAACGTCCGAGGAGACAAACCAAGTATAACACCGTCCTTGAAGTTGATCGCCATGCTGGTTTGGGGTCAGTGTGTAGACAAAACGCTACGACAGGGTCGATTCATACATTGAAGTCCCTAGACTGAGGATAGGTTAGCTAGGCCTACCAGATATGTTCGGAAGCTCTTACTTGACTTCACCCTTCTTTAGGCGGTCCATATCGACATGAATTCCATCTACCAGGAGCTCTTGTTAGCTGTCAAGTCGGGAATCGAGCACTGTATTGATGGAAACAGTACCTTCATTCAGCATTCCCGACGCGCCGAACTCCATATTGAGAATGTAGGTACTTTGGGGAAGAATGGTACGTTTTTGGAGGATATAGAAGCAGAAGTTCGGATTGACGATGAGAGGTTCGTTGTGAATGGGTCGTATGGGAGCTACAGGCAGCTCACGACGCGAAGCAATCCAGACTCGCGAGGCTGACACGTGACTATGATTAATAAGCAGCCTCCGTTCCCTTGTTGCGACCACATGATGTACCTAGGTACAGTCTGGAGGAAGCTTGATACATTAATTATTCACTTATATATCATTTCAGATGGTTGATAGCATGTAGAACTTTGCATGGCCCGAGAAATCCCCCGAGCTTTAGGAGGTGCGAGGTCATAGATTCCAATTTATCCTTTTCGTCTCTATTCACGCCATTCCAACTCTCAGACAAACCTCCTGATGCAGCATGCCCGGCCCCTCTAGCATGCTGTAACGATGCTATCAATCTAAGCAGGTGTTGCCTTATGAGCTTCTAACCAAGGAATACCTAGATAAATATAAAATCCTGTCCTTCCCAAGCCAAGGGCATAAACGCCATGGTACGAATCCGCCTTCGTTCTAGACTTCTCATACGATACACTGGACACCCAAAAAATATCTTACAGTTAGCCGCCCCTGGTCAATCTATCTCATGTTAGAATCATGTTCGGGCCCTCAGTGGAGAAACACGTACCCCTCCTTATCATCCAAAGTCAAAGGCGTAAAACTATCCTTCGTTACCTTCACTCCCTTGCTAGGAACCGGATCCTCAGCACACCCGCAATCATAAAAGTCCCCGATTTTTGAGCAGTCAAACGCCGGCTTCTTCAATCTTTTATTGACCACATTATGCACATGACAGGCCCAAGCAGCACCACTCGACCGCGATGTCACCTGGGGCGGGTACTTCGCTAATATCTTCTGGAAATGGCGCGCGCAGTCTCCGCAAGGATAGAGTCGAGCAAAGAGATGGATGTATGATTTAAGGGCTGCGCTATCGTCTTCGGTGGGTTTGTCGGGGAATTTCGCCATCATCGTGTGTAGGAGTTTCCATGACGCGTTTCCCAACTCTGCTCTGCAGGTTCCAATTAGCACGGTAACCCACACCAAGAGGGGATAGCCTACTTCAAAGTAGCATTCTCTAGCTTCTGTGCGGTCGCATCCCCTTTCAGTACTCTGTCATCTATGTTCACTGGTTGTTGGTGGGACCGCGTATAGTCAGGACTCATTCCATCTGATTGACTTCGAAATGAGAGCAAATATGTGATTGAGAAGAAGGCAAATACCCCCACGAGCATCAACACTGTCACATTTTGCCTTCGAGGCATGCCGAAAACAGCGGATGCAACGGCTCAGATACCTTGGTCCTGCTTACGGTAATGCGCCAGAGGCAATGGTCGGGATGCTGTTGATGACTGACTTCGGCGACTTTGTCCTTGAATCTTGGGTGAGAACTAAGAGAGCGTGCAATAACAAAGAAGTTGTGATTAAGTGAAAAAAGAGAATATCGATTTCATTGCTGCTGATACTGTCCTAGCATGATCTCCTGCTGGCTTGATCTTGATCTTGATCCTCCAGCTCCTCTGTGTTTCATTTGCAATTATTTGGATCCCCGGACGAGTCGAGGCACGGTGATCTGATTATGTCCCTGGTCTTCGAGCTAATCTGCAAATGGACTAGTGCTGCGGGACCCCAGGGGGTTGCCATACCCGAATACCTTCCCTGTCACCCCGCCGTCCCACTCCGACTTCGCACAGGCTAGAATAAATTATAAGACTCCTTCGTCAGCGATCGTAGTTCACGATTTCTCCTTCCCCACCATTTCCTCGTCATCTTCATCCTTAATACTATCGAACAGTGCTCCTCTTAAACCAATCTCATCATGGTATTCCCACCACCACCCGTCAACACCATTGACTGGAGTAACATCGGATTCAAGGTCCGGGAAGGTACCAAAACATTTATTGCCCCGCGATTGTGGCCCTCGGACGAATCGCTGACACCACTTCTTAGTTAATGGCCATATCGAATCTCATTACAGTGTCAAAACAGGACAATGGTCCGCCCCCAAATTCGTTACAGATCCTTATCTTCGTCTCCATGGCATGGCACCCGCACTCAACTACGGACAACAAGCATATGAGGGACTAAAAGCCTTCCGCTCTCCAAACAACGAAATCACAATCTTCCGTCCTAGCCGAAATGCTGCCCGAATGCAACACTCCGCATCCTTCATCTCAATTCCCCCAGTGCCAGAAGATATTTTCATGGAATCTGTGCATGCCGCGGTGTCATTGAATGCCGAATACGTACCACCCCACGAGACCGGCGCTGCCATGTACGTCCGCCCTTTGATCTTCGGCTCATGCGCACAATTGGGGTTGAATCCACCTGAGGAATATATGTTCTGCGTTTATGTCCTACCAGTGGGTGTTTACCATGGTGTACACCCTGTTAAGGCGCTCATTCTGGAAGAATTTGATCGCGCGGCGCCAGACGGAACTGGCAGTGCAAAAGTTGGAGGAAATTATGCTCCGGTGCTGAGATGGAGCGAGAGGGCCAGGGATGAGGGATATGGCATTACTCTGCATCTTGATAGTAAGACCAGGACTGAGATTGATGAGTTCTCAACAAGTGGGTTTATTGGAGTGAAGAAGGACGGTGATAATGTTACTCTGGTGGTCCCGGATAGCAACAGCGTGATCAAGAGTGTCACAAGTGACAGCTGTTTGGAGATCGGCAAGAGCAAAGGGTGGAAAGTCGAAGAAAAATCGGTAAGTCTTGACGATATACCAGTCCTGCCCTGTTGCCGTTACCGGCCATCCCCAACACCAGAACTAACTCCTTCGCAGATCAAGTACGAAGAACTTCCCTCATTTAGTGAAGTCCTCGCGGCCGGCACAGCTGCCGCTCTCGTCCCTATAAAATCGATTACTCGAAAGTCCCGCAGCGAAACCACAGAATATATCCCAGCCGATTCCGAGGAGCCCGGACCTATCTGCGTGCAGCTACTCCAAACACTGAAGGGCATTCAGCTAGGCAAGGTCGAGGATACTTTCGGCTGGAATAGCAAGGTTGAGGCTGTGGACCCTAAGAAATACGCTGCGTCAGAGCAGGCGAATGGTGTCGATGGCAAAGATATCGATCAATTGCCTTGAGCATGGCATAGATAGAAAAAATATAAAAAGTAATTAGCATCTCAAGTGAAGTTCCCGAATTCTTTTGTCGTTTGTCTTGGCTAAATAAGGGGAAAGATTAGGAGCAGTGGGCAAAGCGTTCCCCATGCAAACTCACAGCATATCTCACAGGATACGTAGTGATCCGCTCCAAGCTCCAACGTTAGCACCATGTCATATGTTGATACGAATAGGTTTACAGGGCTGTACTTCAAATCTTGTTAAAAACGGAGCTTCAATTGTATTGCTTAGATCGCTTGCCATAGAAACAGCGGACATGGCGTTCTTTGGAGTGTTGTTGGGCTTGGGGGGCTTGGGGCTGCGGGGCTCTGGCTCTAGAATGTTGGAGAGTTAGAGAGGGTCTTCCTGATCTCTAATGTTACATATTTTTGATGTGTAGGAGAGAGTCCATGGAGCAAGCGCAACGAGAGGCCAGAGTGTGAGTGCCGGTGCTTCTGTGAAGTTGTGAACGTACGAAGTACAGAGTAGGGAGTACACCTCTCTGGGGGGTGCGTATAGCCAGCTACGGGGTGAAACAAAACATGCGGCTCCTGTCCTTGCTCGTACCGCATTATATTATATCTCAGCACCTCCACACACACTGTTTGTTCGCCACTAGTATGATTATTGCCAGGAACCCGCATCACAACTGCTTATTTCTGCTATATTGGTTCTCGAATTAATATATCTTATGACAGAACCGTCACATCCCGCATCTCCAACAAACGACCAGGAAGTTTAAACGAAAATGGATCCACACTGGGACAACTGGAGCTTCTGCTGTGTTCTATGTGGTGCACCGATCGGATATCCAGACAATCAGTGGATGCAGGAGATGCGTGCTGGTTTAACATCTATTTACCTTCATAATGCGGCATCATTTCTGACTCCTCCAATATAGTCTACTCTGACGAGAAAACATGGCTGCATCCTGCACTCTCTGGTGTCGGGTTCTGGCGCGAAGAGAACAGATTTATCCCAGCCGATCCAGCCTCGCGCTATGATGATCCCGGGATTGCTGATACGAGTATGCCTCTAGTCGTTCAGATCGTAGCTTTCCATTGGGAGGAGCGCCCCGGACCTTATTGGGGCTTTGGCTTCCACGCCTCTTGCTGGAGTGTTCTATGCGCACTTTATCAACCTAAAAAAGTCGATATCCAGCCTCTCATCGACATTTGCCGTTCATTTCCCCACCAAGATAATCTCCCAAATTGGGGCCATGACTTCGGAGGACTTATGCGATATATCGCTGAGCCTTCTCATCTCTTTCCAGGGGACGAGCCCGTGTTTTGGGGCCGGAATGGTGTTGATCGAGGCTTCGACGAGTCTTTGTTTAATTTTGTCTGTTCTGCTGATCCCTTGGATCTTCCTGGTATCAAGCAAGTATTGCAGGGGACTTCCAATCAAGAAGAAGCCCCCAAGGGATCAGAAGCTAAGGTTGTCAATATCGCGCCTGACTCGCAAGACTGTTTTGCCCGCATTCCAATGGAGATTCTACAACTTATCACATTGTTGTTGCCATCCCGGGATGTACTGCAACTCAAGCTGTCCTCCCCAACTTTTGCTAGGCTACTTCTTCCCGGTTCTTTTTGGGCTTCCCGATTCCAGCCAGGGTTCGAATTCCACTGCGTGTTTGAGGCTCGCCAGCCTCTAGCACGGCAATTAGGCTGGAAAGAGTTGTACTTAGCCGTCCAAAATATTCAGTCAACTTCCAACTACCTTAACAGGCGCCGCGTTTGGGATATTGCCCTCCAACTAGCACAAATATGTGATGCTATAACACCAACTTCTATGGAGGGCAATGTGTCGCGATCATTTTATGAGCCTGAAGGAACGGAAGACGATGTTCCATGGGAATATGCTGGTGGCTGGGTGAACGAACGTTGGGAGCCGTTTGAACGTGGTTGCGTAGCTTTATGGACCCGTACCGCCGTGCTTCCAAGCAAGATAATTGGCATGCATGTGTCCTTCATCACATATGCCAACGCACAATATGTTTCCGGCATTCGCTTCCAACAACCTAATGGACAGGATATTTGCCTTGGCCGGATCTTCAAGAATGAAACTTCTTTCAATATTATGGCCCTTGCCCCGCATGAACATGGTAATTGCATCTCTGGATTCCATCTCGCCGTTGATTCCAAAGGGATACGAGCAATCTCCGTGCAGACAGAAGTTGGGCAGACTTCGCAATGGCTTGGCGACCCTTCTAAGACTCCTAAGATGAGGCTAATTGCACAAAGTTCTCACATCATAGCTCTGAAAGGCAGTTTTGATGTATGTTAAGCTCCCTATCCCCGCCGATAACCCATTTTAGCTTGATCTTGCTAAACTAAGAAACAGGCAATAAAGCTTGTATCACTTGGCATTTCGGAGGCATCAACGGACACAAATGGATGTGTGTCATTGGCGAGAAACCGATCAGTCCGAGACACTGTGCGATGGTATCCAGACATACCCGATGAAACTCTTTCAATCAATAATGCCGCCCAATTAGACCTTCCTCGCCGAACTCTTTTTGTTACGATGCTCTACGGTGGTTTGAGAGGAGTCCGCCTCCCACATCTTATCGGAATCACTGCGTGGACTTTTGGTACTCTTGGAATATACCGCATAGACTTCATATATGACACCCAGATTGATGGCCAGAAAACCCATACCGTCGGTGGACGCGGGCCATTTTCGCATTTTAGAAACGGCCGCGGAAGAAATTCTGATAGTTTTGCTAATAGCGAAATTTCTTTCCAAATCGATGGCCCGGGCGGCGAAATGATAACTGCTGTTGATTCTGCAGATTTGGACGGCGTCTATAGGGGAATTCGAGGTTTTCGTGTACGTCTCACCTAGTAGATGTAATTTCTCATATGATGATTGCTTTTCACTAACAACACTAGATTCAAACTAATTACGGGCGAATGGCAATGTTTTCTCCAGCTCTGGGGGTTGTGGGCGAATATTCTCTTGCAATTAGACCGTTGCCTGTCGCTGAACGAACAACCATAACAGGAATCTATGCTAGTTTTGTACGTAATACCTCTGATATTCTTGCCGATGAATGGAAACTAACACCGATGTGCTGTTATAGTCAAGCAGTAGCTGCCTAGTGAATTTAGGCTTGATTTCCGAGGCCATTTAAGTAAAACATTGAGGCAAGCTTCCATTTTGATTTTTATTGGCTCAATGTGCTATCACAAAGGGCTGAATTGGCCATTAAACGCTATGAAACAGTTGGCTAACACCTGGAAGGCTTCATCCCTCGTTTTCCTGTGCCGGTTTCTAATCCACCATCACCTGTTTCCCTCAAAACCGCTTACCTTTTCCGCTAACCTTCCCACTCCTCTTCTAGAGTACTACTTCGTACCCACCCATCTACAATAAACCGCATCCCAAGCTGTAACATTGCAAAAAGATATCTCTAACATATTCCTAAAAACGTTGACGTTCAATCAGCATTTAGTACATTGAGGATGGAAGGTTAGAAGTAGAGTGCTAGAAGAGATCGGTTGACCAGAAATTTGCTAACTCCTAACTCATGGCATTACTTGGTGTTACGACCAAAAAGCTGAACCATTTTGGGGCCGTGTTTCTTACCAACTGACCGGGTCTCTGTTACCTTGGCAAATGGCCCCTGTGCCTCCGCCCGGACCTTCTTCCGTGCGGTTACCAACTCCTCCTTTATGTAATTGCGATCCCAATCCCACGTTATTCAACCAATGTCATTGGAAGAAGCCTTCTATCCCTGTAATCTCGGCCAACTCGTCCTCTTCGATTGCAAGGTACGGAGGGTTTTAACCAATGGAATCGGCGGCAGTAGAACAACCCCGTGCTAAGCGAGCTCCAGGTTGCAGGGCAGTGGGCGACATTTCTATCTCGAAGGCGTAGAAATCAAACAAAAGGCATGAATATGGAGGATTGGAACATGGAAAAATAAGATTAATCGCTGCTTTTTAGTGAGTACAACTTCTTTACTTGCGGTATATATACGGCGGGCGATCCTCCACGCTGTTCCTTATTTGCAGTTCCACTCTGCTGTCCTTGTCCAATTACAAACGACCTTTCTATACATCTTGGGTACTCTCCCTTCCAACCCCCTGTACACGGCCTTCCCCCTTGGAAGGCGATGCCTTGTCGGTTGACCCCAAGACCATGGCCATGGGAGACGAGGCCTCGTGCTCCTGAAAAGGGCTTTTGGCACCTTGCTGAAGGATTCTACCACACCTTTGTGTATGTGACAGGCTATATGCTCGGAATTACGCTAATATACATAGAACTCAGATAAAATGCCCGGGTTGTATCGGGCCACCAGACCATGACGGATTCTACAAGGACCAAGGGGGCAAGTCCCCAGATGACTTTGGCGTGCCCATCTATCGACGACAGTGGGGCTGTAGGCGGAGTCCAGACATGGCGGGAGCTGTCCGAAGCTCGGTTGTCAGAAGTTTGTCGCACTTGCAATGGAGCAAGTTGAGCAACTTGGCCCAGAGAAAATTTGGGGGGTATTTGACTCCGTCTATAATGGTCTCCGTCGCCAGGAGCGTCGAGGACTCTGGTACCTCGCAGTCCAGAGCCGCTCAAGGCTGGAGGGGTAAGTACTAACTACCTTAAGTTCCAGCCGCTTGAGAGATTCAGTTAATCCTAACTCAATATAGGCAGGCAAACTTGGCAGCACCAGCCGGTCATGTGGGTGCCGATCCATCCCCTACTATATCGACGATAGATACCCGATATCCCCCACCAGTGGAGGTGGATCCCTCTGTTATGGCCCCCAGCCCTTCGAGAATGCAGAACGCAGAAGATGAGCCGGCTCGACAACCACCAAGTAGCCTGTCGTTAGGACCGGATATAAGCATGGCGAAGGGGACAAAAAAGGAAAAGAGGGCGGCAAGAAAAAGGGCGAGGAGGGCTAGAGAGGGAGACGGCCATGCGTCTGGCAGCGGCCCCCAGACTCCTCCTCATCAGGAAACAGGTGACATATTCCCAGGAACGGCGAGTTTCCTATCCGTCCAACTCCAACTTCAATCGACGATAAACGACCTTGAATCCCTCCTCAAGATAAGCAAGGCTTGGAAACAGGATATTGACCAAATCGTTGAACTTAAGAAGATGCTAGAGTCTAAATTTAGCTGCCCTCCTCGACAATGAGAACCACTCGTTCTATGCCTTGGATGTTAGTTTAGTTTCATAGATGGCGAGGTGTTGTTACGATGTGGATGAACTAGGTTTATGGATGTTGCAACAGTTGTGGCTATGATTCTTAGTTAAGTCGTTCCATAAAATCTCTGGAAAGGTTGCTATAAGCAATGTACAAATTCAGCAAAATATGCATTCATCGCTCCCTATCCTTTGCCCTTCAACTAATTTGCCATCTAAATATACTACACAAGGTATCAAACATTCCCCACCGCTCCACCCCTGGGCCTATAATCCTGAAAAAATACATCGATATCAAATGAGCCTGTGATCTGATGGCTAGCTTGATTAAATATGGCTAGTGGCAGCATAACGCAGCCTCTAACTCGAAGTGATCGGCATCCCTCCAGGGAGCTCGTCTATCCATCCATCGATGTTCTCATTGACGATTGCGGGCTTCGTGCACTTATTCCCCGCAGGTATTTGTTGCGACTTGAGTTGAGGACAGTTGATATTGCAGTTGGCATCCATGGCTTTCTGGAGAGCATCGCCCTTCCAACCAAAGACATAGTCGCCATGTAGCCCATATCCAGTCGGATCGCCATTGCTCCAGACAAAGGGCTGCGAGCCATCCGTCGGCCAGAGGGATTTGTCATTGAACTTTCTAGTGTCCCAGACGGTCTCGTAAAATAGCTGAGGGACCTGAGCGGGGTGAGTTGATGGACAAGGACCATTGCTCTCAAAGGTTCCGCTGCTTGGATAAGCAATATGGCTCTTGTGATCAGGACTGTCGAGGTTCGTTCCATCCCAACAAGTGGGAAAGCGAATGTTCGCCATGATTCCTGCAGGGCAGGGCTTTTTAGGCATATCCTTTGTCTCGCCAGTTCTCGTCCCGGGGGTTTGAAGGCAAGTGTACGTCAGTTGGCGGTACTTGGACGCACACGCCGCATTGCGGCAACTGGTATCTCCCACAAGCATGCGAAAACCTTTCTTGAAAGCTGTAACCTTTGCCTTCCCAGAGTTTGGTGGGCTATAGTAGACAGTTACGCCGCCATTCGCCTGTTCAAAAAGCTCGTTGCCTATCTGGGGAACGCGGTGGAAGCTTCCATTTTGTGCGCGGAAGTAGAGAACAGCCGTCCAGTAGTTAGAAAAGTCCTCGCTGAAGGTGCAACTGGTACAGGACGCGAGGGACGAGGGGTCGTTGTTTGGGTCCATAGAAATGTTAAAGGAGTTGCCTCCAACTACCTGATGGAGGTGAGGCGACTGTGCGACTCCTGGGTTGACTAAGGGGTCAAGACGCTCCGTCACAAGTTGTGAGCAAGCGAAGCGAAGCAACGCATCGGCGCTGGGCGCGACGAGGGCGAGAGCGATGAAGCTCCAATACATGTTTGGCTAGATGTTGGAAATTTCAATAGATGGGGAGTAAGAAGGACAACTAGATGAGAGCTAATCAAAAAAATTGAAACTCTGCGTCGTCTAGTTAAGATTTATGCGGGAGTTGGCCAAGCCTTCGTTTATATATTATTGTATTTCAGAGCAATTGCTACTATACAAGCTTTGTGGCTTGGTGTTCAAAGGAAACTGCCGAGTTTCGGGGCTTGATGGTTAATATAATAACCCCAGCTTACAGCCAATACTTTTGGTCAGCCGCCACAAACATGGTAGCTAGCGCGGAAGGATAGAACCTGTTGGGTGAAGCAAGGCGTACGCTATTTGCGGAAAATTGTGAATGAATCTCCCTCGCCATGAGAGTTCCAAGAAGATTAGGGTTTTGGCTGAATCAAAGGTTGGTGGTGTAGCAGTGATATGCCCGAGGTGTGGTAATGTTTGTCTGTTTGGTGATAATGATTGGGAGCTGTGTTGAACGACAAGTACACAATACAAGGCTACCGAGGTGTAGTGATGCATTCATAAGGTGGGGTTCGGGGCAGACTAGGTGTTGGCTTCGCATCAGTATGGCAGATAATCCAAAGATTAGGACGTGGAAGGTGATGCCTACGACACCCATAATCTATTTTAATAAAAATGGATGCACTGTGGAAGTATCCAAACAGGAGATTCGGTCAATTCCAGTGTTGGCTGCCAGGTTTGGTTGGAATCAGACGCCAATCAAGGCCACATAGGGAGGGATAAGCTTTTAATCTACCAATGTCCGTCATTGATATTATTGCCGGGCCATATATTGCTACTTCGACAGCTTTTAAGTTATTGGGAAGTATGTACTACCTCACTCAGATCGGCCTTGGGCGAAACCGCTGGATGATTCGGAAGCCGGCACATGCTCCGACCTCGCGGAATGTCTATTGGGAACCGGTAATTTCGGTGTTGCTATACTGTAGTGTTGCATAGCTATGATAGCTTGGTACTTGTAGGCACTGAATGGAGGGATTGTTTAATATTATTGTTGCAGAGGAGGTTGCGTACGACGTTACTACGTTACTAACCCGCATTGTTGCCCAGCCCCACGCCCCACTCTTAGTTCCTTCCCCACATTCTCGCGATCTTGGCATGAAGCGATCTCCCCCCTATTTACCCCTATTTACCCCTATCCACTCCCGAGTTCTTTTCAGTGGTTCGCTTACACCAAGGGAGGGCGATACCCGCTGAGCCTCGGAAATTTGTGGGTCTTGACATGTACTGCGCATCTAAGCCAAGTAAGTAAGATGATAATCGCCCTGTATGAAGTAAGCACCTAGCGTTTTAAGTAAGCAGGTTAATATAGACCACCAGGACCCGGACAAAACACAGAACACACCCATGTTCGATTCCTAGTTTTAGGTACCTCTCCCAATCACTGATCAACAGAGTCAGATTTCAACGACAACATGCCAGGCCAAGTAATCACCTGTGTGGCTGTCTATCCCAATAGTACCAATACCATCTAAAACAACATATCGCCCATGCGACGAGGATATGGGTATATGCCAAGGCCCGCTATCTCGTCAGGGTTGCTGAAATAGGGTTATAACTTCTACGCTTGGACCACACAGATAGGTGGGCCTATCCAAATCTGTGGAAAGAAATAATTCAACGACTTGGCGATCTGGATAATAATATATTTCCATACCTTGGAGTGTTACCCCAGTGGGGCTGAAGGAACGCCTCAAGGTAATCTAAAACCGTTACGATATGCTCTAGTAAGAGAAACTCCATGGATACTAGAGACCAGGGTATCGCTAATCTAGCCCAGAAGCAGCGAAAGAAACATTGATGATTTAACTGTAGATAGGATAATCGCTGTTCCATAAAGCAAGCTATAGCGTAGCAATTAGCCAGGTGGTCATGACAGGTCGCCAAACCCTTCACTTCCATCCGACTGCGCTGAGCAATATTCAGCAATATTGCACTACTCATGCTCTGAGGTATTACTAGACCGAGATTCTGCTGCTGTGGTAACTTCCTCGCCTATCATCCTGTCCTCCCCGGGATCCACGTCATCCTCATTCTCTGAGTCACCCGTAGAAACCTCATTGTCAATCTGGTACATCCTCCTGATAAACTCCTCTTGCAGCTTCCGCAGCCAGCTCAACAAGACAGCCCCATCCATGGGGCTATCAGCGGCTTGAGACAGAGTCTCTTTCAGACTCAGGACTAACTTCCTCCTCTTAGCAAGAGCTATAGCCATAGAACACTTTTTCTTGGCTGCGGCACGATCATCGAGTGTTTTCGTAACCTTTTCTGCGACTTCTAAAACTTGTGCCGGGAGATCCATCACACGGGCTAGTGCGAGCCCGTAGTGGTCTTCTCGTACAAAGTCACTCTTGACCTTGTAGAGCATGGTCATCGAATTCGGCTCAGCCATATCGACAGCGAGGTGCTGGTTGACTACCCCAGGGCGGTGATGCATAACTTGGGCTGCCGCAGATTAACTACCGCATATTATTGAAAGCTTACGACATACCGAGTTCACGAAAATGAGTTACAAACCATATTAAAGCTTTGCTTTCAACTAGGGCCTCTGCAATGCTCAGCGCAATTGCAAGACCGTCTCGTGTACTCGTTCCTCGACCGAGTTCATCAATTATAGCGAGACTGTGCTGATCAATGTTCCTGAAATAAAGTATTAACATGCAGCTTGAACGCGGATATTTTAACCAGGTAAGAAGTACCTGAGTATGAAGGCTGTTTCTCTCATCTCAGATGCAAAGGTTGACACATTCGCATCAATGCTGTCATCCATCGATACTCGTGCGAAAATCTGACGAATGATGGGAAATCGCGCGAACCGGGCGGGTACAAAACTGCCAATTTGAGCCATGACACACATGAGAGCAATAGACCGAATATATGTGCTCTTGCCGCTCATGTTGCACCCAGTTATTATCTGAAATCGAGACTGCTGTGTTGCATACACATCATTGGGGACAAACTTTCCCTTATGAACCTGAAGTAAGGATTAGTCTGTAGCTCCCAGCACATAGTAGTGTAAAATATAATATAACATCTCAGGTAGGTTAAAACACGGGAATTAATAACCAACCCTTTCTTTAATTGGATGACGACCAGATTCAATCATAAGACAATCTCCGATCTCGGGTTTGACGTATTCATTTACTATAGCCAAATGTCCAAATGCGGCAATCATGTCTAGCATAGCAATACTCTCGCAAACTTTGAAAAGACTTGGGATCTCGCCACGGATATCGTCTAATAGTTGCTGAATAGTTTTGTCGCTCGTTAAAACAACTTCTTGATGCGAGTCCGCAATCCTTTGGTTGAGCTTTACAAGTGCCAAGGTCTGGCATTCGATGAAAGATTTTTTTCGAAAACAATTGATCAAGATGTCTGGAAGAGTTCGGCCATCAAAGTCGCTTTCTCGGACTCGTAAATAGTAATACCGAGAAGTATCATACCGCGTCTCTGCTTGCATTTCGTGTTGTTCTATACAGAGCTCAGTACAAAGTCGCCATTTCATGGACCACACAACGCACGATTGATCTCGGTGACATGTTGATGGACGTCTTCGGTGGCTTCTTTGAAAGTTTGACGTGCTACATCGAGAAAACCACAGACACCAGCCTTAAAACCGTCAGCATCTTAGGTATTGAGTTTAAACCACTGCATTACCTTAACCGCATACGTTCTCTGATTTCGTAGATCTAGGGGCTTCTTTTGATATGTCACATCATCATTGACTACTTCTTTGATCAACTGGGTGGTGGGGTCAATATTCCCAGGCCGACAGTTCTCTCGAATAGTCACCAGAAGCTCTGATCGGGCGCCCCCCAAGACCTCGAAGAGCTTTGGAGCCGCTTCCACGAAATTCTTCAGCATCAGGATGTGGTTGATAGCTTGTTCTGAGTGGCGTATACTAGGATCCATAGGGATGGTAATTAGCTAAATATGTTAGCGAATCAATAACAAGAGTAGCTGAAATGTTCTTACCAAAGTCAATAGCTTCTCGATATCGTTGAAAGATTTTAAACCTGCGACGTGTAATCAGCAACCAAGCACCCACAAATACCGAGCAACTAACCTTGTCTCGTCTGATAGAACATATCGTCATGAGACAAGAGCTCCTCGGCCGCTTCATAACGCTGTGTTAGCACATCTGACTGCGTCGAAGGTTGAAGTATGCTGCTTCGGAGAAGTCGCGAGCCCATCGGTGTCAATGTCTCACTCATCAATCCAAGCAGGCAATGTTTTGATTTAGTATCATGGATGTTCTGAATAAGCTCCAAAGCTCGAATAGTGGATAAATCTATCATCATTGTGCCCTCCGAAGGTTGATACTTGATTCGAAGAGAGTGAAATGCAAAAGTTAGGGACATCTTCAGTTCAATGTATTTCAGAGCCTATACGGACACATAATAAGCATGGTTAAACGATTGAGTTAAGAACCTCAACTAACAGCAGAAAAACAACACGTTGCGAAATAATTACCGCCAATTGCGACCTTGAGGGCCTCCAGATCTTGACTGAATGCTAATTGCCGAATAAAGTCAAGACCCAAAGTTTCCGACCAGTACTTACGGTCTATAGCGACCATTTTGGCCCCGTAAATATTCTCCTCGACAATCTGGTACATCTTTGATTTGGGATTTGGAGGGGCAACAGTGGAAACAATTAGGATTTCAGTAGGCTCGAAAACTTGGAGCTTGTTCAGAGTTCTGGCATAGAACTGATTATCACAAATTTGGCTCAGGACTGCCTCGCCAGTGGAAATGTTCACAAATGAAAGTCCGACGGTAGGAGTAATGCCGCGGCCTTCACTGATGGCGCATATGATCTGTTGAGACTCGCCGCCTCCGAAGACTGAACCAGTACGAGAACTGCGACGGGTACCTGGGCGAGTAGTGCCTGGGCGAGTTGTACTTGATCTAGTAGTGGTACCATAGATGGACTGGGAAGCGGATGTACTGTATCCATTTTGATACGATATAGATGCGTAACTGGATGATGTTGATGGCCGAGAGGTCATGACTGATTGCCGGAAGAAACGGTTAATTTGTGAATATTAGCGGGTTATCAAGAGATCAATGCCAATGCCAACAGGAAACAGTATCGCGTGGTATATTTTTGCGGAAAGCAGTCGGCAGTCAGCATGAGTATTAAGATCCAGTTTGGAGGCTGTCATCAGGATGCTGTGGTTGAGGTTAAGCGAGATGTTGATATTGATAAGGAATGTGCACGGGCCGCAAGGCTGAAATAATTACGAAATTATTTTCTGCCTCGTTATAATTAAAACTGCAATTCTTCTCATAGCACCAAGGGCATCAATATCATGGCAACTGTACTCCCCCCACCAAGCAAGAGGCAGCGGACCGATGCCGCCGAGAGATCAAGACAGCAACAAGATATTGAGCAGGTTCCAAGCGATGCGGGGAGCCTGCGACTACAGTTCTTCGATGAGACGACAGGATTACCCATCGGTGACGGCCCAGTCTTGGTTCCAGTCGCAGATGCGACCCCCAAAAACTTGGAACTACTCCTGAACACATTACAAGGACATGTGAGAACATCCCAAGACGCCATTTATAGAGTGTATTAATAGCTTTTTAGGACTCCTCAGAATATATACCGTATCGCTTTACCCTCCCTGTACCCGACAAGAAGACGTCCGAGACGATTACCACCGCATTCCCGACGAACGTATACAAGACATTAATAACCCCAGGTCTGATCAGCACAGAAGAAGTTCAAAATATATCAGCAGCACCGCAGGCTGTATTCAGAGTACAAGCGGTCTCGAGGTGTGCGTCGTCAATACCGGGTCATGGAGAAGCAATCCTCGCAACTCAATTCTCACCGAGATCTTCAGCTCGAATGGTTTCAGGAAGTGGAGATTCGACGGCAAGAATCTGGGACTGCGATACAGGCACGCCGGTGCATACATTAACCGGAAGCCGAAGTTGGAGTAAGTAATCCCCTATACGCCTTGTGGAGCGCCGGGTTCTGACCCCCATCATTTAGTCCTTGCGGTCAGCTGGTCGCCAGATAATGAGACCATTGCAACTGGCAGTATGGACAATACTGTCAGGTTATTCAATTCGAAGTCGGGGGCTCCGTTAGGAGGCCCTATGAAGGGCCATTTGAAATGGGTGACTAGTCTGGCGTGGGAGCCATATCACGCCCAAAAGCCTGGAGAGCCCCGACTGGCCTCCGCCTCAAAAGATACTACGGTCAGGGTATGGTCTGTAAATCAACAAACGATTGAAATGGTGTTGAGTGGCCATAAAGGATCCGTCTCGTGTGTCAAATGGGGAGGTACGGGTTTGATATATACAGCCTCTCACGATAAGACTGTGAAGTCCTGGAACGCTAAGGATGGTACTCTTGCGCAAACCTTCAATGCCCATGCCCACTGGGTGAACCATCTTGCCCTATCTACCGACTTTGTTATTCGAACGGGTTTCCATGACCACACTGGTAAAATACCGGATTCCGACGAGGGTAAACTTGCCAAGGCCAAGGAAAGATTTTTAAAAGCCGCGACAATACAGGGTGAGGTTGTGGAGAAATTGGTTTCTGCTAGCGACGATTTTACGATGTTTTTATGGGATCCTTCGAAGGGAACCAAACCCATCGCAAGGATGCTGGGTCATCAAAAGCAGGTGAACCATGTCACGTTCTCCCCGGATGCATTGCTTATCGCAAGCTGTTCTTTTGATAATCATACAAAACTCTGGAATGCTCGAGATGGGAAGTTCATCAATACCTTAAGAGGACATGTTGCGCCCGTGTATCAATGTGCGTTTAGTCCAGACTCACGCCTCTTAGTAACCGGCAGCAAAGATTGTACTTTGAAAGGTGAGTTGTACCCTTAATATCAAGAATTCGCCATTTTACTAAACAAGTATATTATCAGTTTGGGATATGCAAACTCATAAATTGGCTGCAGGTGTGTTCACCGAGATTCCCCCTTACTAGGCGGTCTATAACCGCATTATCCTGTGGGGCTTGTTGCTAACTTGATGCTTACAAAGATTTGCCTGGTCACAAAGATGAGGTGTACGCCGTGGATTGGAGTCCAGATGGACAGAAGGTTGGAAGTGGCGGTAAGGACAAAGCTGTACGCATTTGGAGGCATTGATTTAATCGATATCCGGGCTTGACACGTGCAACTTTTATCCGAAATCACTTACTGTGTCAGCATGTATCTACAAGTATGCATGTATGCCTAAATAAACCCCTACTTATATTCCAAAAGTTTAGGTGGTCCCGCGGGGAAGAAAGGGTGACGGATTAGTGTCGTCCCATGGGTATCCTGTGTCATAATTCCCTATCCATAATCCAAATTTCCCAGTGGAACTCGCGAGGATAGGCTACTAAATAAAACGAGGTGATTTTCAACTCCAAATATAAAACCCCCATGTCTCTCGTGTACAATTTCAATTGGCATCTCTTATCAGCGCTTGTTACGCCTGTTGCGATGATACTACTCCATTTATAGTGCCGCCTATCATAGTCTCTATCCTTGAATTCTTTTTCGACTCTTAATAAGTGGCTTGCATTTCATGGAGGATATATCATTGTCTCATTATCAGCAATACACACTCTCCACCGAGTATGCTCATTACTCAATGCTTCTACCTCCACAATCCCCTTCCCCCTAAAGCTTGTAAACCAACTTCTGCCCACTCACTTTCCCATTCTGCATATCATTCAACCCCTTCAACACACCATCCAGCCCACCATCGCCGACCTTTGCAGGATGATTCTTCAACTTCCCCTCCTTCAGCAACTTCTCTGTCAATTCAAACCAATACTTCCCAAACTCAAAATCTTCCTTGCTCGCGGGGAAAGTTTGTCCAAATTTGAGAAATTCCTCACCGAAAACCGTATACATCAGCGTTGACGTATACTTAACCCCGTCATCTCTCGGCAGTTGATTCGTAAGAATGGTGCCAAAATGGCATACATTGCCATGAGAGGAGAGCGCTTCCGCGCAGACTTTGGCAGAGGAGTCGTTCCCAACAGTATCCCAAGCCCACCTCAACTTATCCCCGGTCAACTCTCTAATCTTAGATCCGCACGCGGGGTCATTATAATCAAAAACCTCATCCGCGCCCCGACTCTTAACTAGCTCATTATTCCGCGGTGAGCACGTAGTAATAACCTTGTAACCGGCCAGCTTCGCAAACTGGATACCCAGCGTCCCAGTCGCTGTGCTACCACCATAGATGAGAACCCACTCGTCATTCCCTTTTCCCTCGAATGGTAATTCCAAGCCCAATCCCTTGCCCTGCTGGAATAATCCTTGTCCGACTGTTATGCTTCCCAATCCGATGGTACTCGCGTCCTCGAAGGAAACAGAGTCGGGGATGCGCATAGCAACATCCCCCTTCACAGCTGCATACTCGGCGAATACCCCGTCATAGGGCTGGCTGGAATTGGAGCCGTGGGCACAGCCGAAGACCTTATCTCCCACTTTGAAGGACTTGGTGACTTCGGAGCCAATTGAAACAACGGTACCGGCATAATCGCAGCCTACGATGCTCCACGGATCGCCATGGAGGCCCCCTGCAATGTGCTTCCAATCTGTGGGGTTGAGGGCGACTGAGTGGACTTTGATTAGGAGGTATGTTGGGCGAAGTTCGGGGACGGGAATTGTTGTAACGGTGCCGGATTTGTTGGAGGAAGTCAAAGCTTTCATTTCTTTGGGGATAGTTGGGGAGGCCATTTTGTAATTCACTGTGGTGTTTGTGATGTTTCGTGGTATTTATTGGAAGTGCAGATAATGGTAGAGAGGTGGGGTTTGCAGATGGAGGGGTAAATCCTAGAGGGAAGCTACGAGGTTATATAGCAAAATGTTACCCAGTACAAGGGGCATACTTTTATATGGAGTAGTTTAGCCACTATTGGTATCATCCACTTAAAAGACATCTTGGCCATCTGTACGGGTGTACGGAGGTAATTCTCTAACACCATAGTATAAGCCCATTCCGAGTTCGTTCCAATCGAAGCTAACATCCGAGCGTCAGCACCCCACCTACCGATTAACTATAACCTCGGGAAGTAACCTAGGTTTATAATCCTATAAGGATCTGCGTGTTCAGTAATCAAAGCAAATGCAAAATATTCAATTCAAATACATATGGTTCGGACTGTAAACACCCACAGATAAATAAACTCAAGAGGTACTTGCGACCTCAATATACAAGTCTAGATGGATATATCTATCTTGCTAGATAGAGAGGCATTATAGCACTCGCAGATATCCCCTATATATCATAATTCGACAAACAAAATGCATCCCTCACTCTATCATAAAATGAAAAAAGATCATAAATCCGTAACAACACGAAAATGCCTTGAGAAATGCCACCCACCTCCCAAGCCCCACAAATCATTCTTACCCATCGCTCCCATTCCCCCATCATCCCCTATAATACTCCCTCTCACGTCCTCTCTCAACCAACCTCCCACTAACCCTCGGGCTATCATGCGTAATACTCCTACTTCTCCTTCGCTGTCCTTCGGGTGCCTCCACGTATCGGTACGTATCATATTCCTCTCTCACAGGCTCCCTTTCCCTCACCCTCTCAATATACACCTCTGACCCTCTATCACTATGGTGGCTATGCCTCTTGCGGCGCGTGTCCTCTTCAATCGTAATGTACTCGATCCTCGGAGGCGGGGAGGGTGCGTGTATTATTTTGGGCGGGGCGGGAGACGGAGAGCGGATAGATGGAGGACAAGGGGTGCGTGTCCTGGTGATTGTCTCTTCGACCACCCGTGAGCGGGAGTGCTTATGTCGGTGTGGTCGATTGGCGAAGGAAACATCGTCTTCCCAACGTGGGCGTGCTGGTAGAGGAGGAGTTAGTTATTCGTACTTGTATAGGGTGGGCATAGGGGTGAGGGAGAAGGGAAATGCCAAGATTTCTTACCATAAAAACACATTGTTGCTCGGCGCTGTATTCGAGAATAGTCGCGGTCGTTGCACACTCTCTACCTAATGTCGAATCCCCTCAATACTGGATCCGCAAGTATCTGTCTCTTTTGTCGTTCTCCCCTTATCCCACTCTTCTCTTTGGCGAGGACTTGATTCAAGGCAACCAAACGTTGCGCAATTCGGCCCTCCGACACTCAATCACAGTCAAGTCTCAATAGCGAATCTCCAAATCGCAAATCCCGTCGGTAAACTAAACGGACGGCCTTCCTGCGCAAAATATACCACAGAGAACTGATAGATGTATTTGCTATTCGAGCATAGAATAGACAAAGGTAAAAGAATTGCAAAGCACCCGAACTTGGACGTTGAGGAAGAAGGGGAAAAGACCTACCGAGCCAAGCAGGGCAATGCTGCATGTTGCATGTTGCACACGAAGCACCCATTGTTATTTTGGTGGCAGGAACTTCGTATGCGCAGGTGCCGCGGCTGGGGCTGGGGCTGTGGCGGGGGGTGTGGCAGGTGGGGTCGTCGGGTGACGTAGGTGGTCAGCTTGGAAAGTTGCTCTAGATTGATTCATTATTGACAAGGCAGTAGTGTGCTTGGGGCCAAGGAGTCCAAGAACTATCAGTTTAACGGTGTCTATACATTTATGAAGTACCAGTATAAATACCTACCTACCTATGTACTTAATATAGCAGCAGCGACACAATACACGATATAAACAGGTGTTTTCTTCAAGTCTTATCTATTCTTATTTCTCGTTTCCTTGATATAACTACATGTATGCAATCATTCATTCGTCAATTCCCATCTTAGCATCACGACGTTATGATGCCATGGTAGGGCCACGGATTGCTCCTGAAAATATTTCTTCCTTTTCCATCGCTCTCCATAATTTCGTCCATAAAAAACTCCTACAATATACAGCACAAAAGGTAAACTAGCATCTGAAGAACTTGCTCCAAACGCCTCAAAATTTTGCTCGATTTCGAGATCGATAGTGAGACATTCGTCCCGAATGACTGCTTAAGAGAGCTTGGCGAGCTTCGAAAGCACCGTCAAGACACCGGTAACACCTTGCGTAAGTGTATATCCAGCTTCGGTATTTCGACTGCTCAGGCTGACAGTCGTAACGTCTGCAACCGCCAACTGTTTCTGGAGGTCGTTGGCCCATCGGAAAATAACTTCATCATCGCGGCCATCACCAACGACCATGAGGAAGTCGGCAGGTGCCTTTTGGGATTGGTTTGGGGGGAGGTTCTTCAGGAGACTTGCGTATATTCTCTCGGCGGCTGTGGCTTTGGACCAGTCAATTGGTGCGACAACCACGGCATCTGTCTATCGTTGGTATGTATTTTCAGGTCAGGTGAAAGGGTTGGGGCAATACCTTCGCTTGGAATAGCCTTAACTCTCTGTTCCTCACACGCATCATTGATGTGACTCGCACAGTCCCCTGCAAGGCGACTCGCGCTCTCCTGATCATCGCAGTGCTTGTAATTGAAGATCAAACTGCAGTGGCGGCGTTCAACTGACGAACCAGGCGTACGCTCCTGATAGTAGTGCATAATCCCTTCCACAGACTCTTGCCAAGCATTCATCTCCTCAGCATTAGCCATGTCGATCCATGTAGTAGAGCCAGCCTCCTTGATGAAGCAACCATTCTCGGCAACGAGTCCAAGGTTAGGTATACGCTTGAAGAGACTGTCGAGCTCTTCAGGTTGGCGGCCGGACATAACGTAGACGATGTTGCGTTCATCATTAAGGAGGTCGCTCAGGACGTCGAGGGTGCGCTAAAGGCATTAGCATAAGCTCTACCTTGAAAGAAGTTTGACTTACCTGTGGGCTGGTGAGAATAATGTCGTAGGGAGATCCCCAAGATGCAAGGGTACCCTCATAATCCAGCATGAAAAGGCGACGCTCCGATTTCATATATGATTGACCCAATGCATTCACAGATAGCCGAGGAACAGAGGTTGTATCGCGACTATGCTGTTCATCATAGACTTTGTCAAGTTTCTCACGGAAGCCAGTAAACCAATGCTCTGCCGTAGAATGCATTACAGCTTTGTAGAGCTTTCTCCAGCGAGTTTCTTTCTCCTCGTCACTCATCTCCAAGGCCGTCTTGATGGCATCCGCACATTGCCGGTAGTCCCAAGGATTAACAGAGAGCTCATTCCCACCAAAGACTGATGCACTTCCAGTAAACTCACTCAGGATGAGTGAGCCATATCTGTTGTGCCCTTCGAACTTCCCATCTTGACAGAAAAGATATTCATGGCAAGTCAAGTTCATGCCTTCACGCTGGCTAGACACCATCAAGGCGTCGGCCACAGTGAGTAGCGCTAGATATTGCGCGTAGCTTATGTCTTGCTTGAGGTAAACAAGGGGCTGGTACGCCAGGTTGGCCCAAGAGGAATTGACTCTCGTAACAATGTCTGATACGGTGGCATCGAGTTCTGCCTGCTCAGTTGTAGATGTCGCAACTTGGATCATGACCACTCGATCTCGCCATTCAGGGTACTTGTTCAAGAAGAGTTCATAAGCCAAAAGCTTTGGTCGAACCCCACGAACATAGTCCAGCTTATCCCGCGCCACAATTAATTTCTTGCCACGGTAACGTTCGCGCATCGTGTTCAACCATTGGGCAACGTCGGGATCGGCGCGGTTCATGTTCAACGCAACTGGATCGATGCCAATAGCAAGATTAACGACATTCACAAAGCGATCCTCGAGCTGGACCCCATCATTGGTCGCCTCAACACACAGCAGCCGGCTGCAGGTTTGGAGGAAGTGGCGTGCATACTCGTGAATTTGGAATCCAATAAGATTGGCCCCCAACATGCCCTCAAGCAGCTGCTTTCGGACTGCGAGACATCGGAACACCTCCGAGGATGGGAATGCAACGTGCAAAAAGAAGCCGATCTTCGCGTCGGGGATCTTCTTGCGTATCATCTGTGGTACTAGGAGCAGATGGTAATCATGGATCCAAATAACATCTTCACGCTTCCAGTTCTTGGCGATTTTATCAGCGAATGCTTGGTTGATCTTAACGTAGTAGATCCAGGAGTGATCCTCATATGCTTTGCTTTTTGGATTGTCTGGAATCTGGTAGTGGAAAACAGGCCAAAGGATTTGCTTGCAGTAGTGCGTGTAATACCCGTCGAAATCGTCATCTTTACAAAAGACAGTCAAGGAATCGTGTTCGGTCGCCAAACGATCCTCAATATCCTGCTTCCGTTGCGTATCCTCCAGAGCGTCTGTTGGCATTCCTAGCGTACCGACCCAAATCTTCGAATCGAGCTTCCCATTTCGCACCGCGGCCTGCACCGCGTTTCGGAGGCCACCATTGCCCTGATCCGCCGGGACCACGGTCCATTCCGCGTGCGCAAAGACTCGATCATGGCTGTCACTTCGTGCAAGGTGTTGAGGCTGGCGGATACCCGCCCGCCCAAGAGCCGCCGCCTTCTCCTCCGCCTTATCGTGCTGCAATATACTTGCGGGAGGGGGTGTGGCCGCTCGTGATTTAGGTTGCATGAATGCCTTGCCAGTGCCCCATGCTGGTGAATGCGGATCGCTCGGAGCTATAATCGATCTTGGGTCATCTTGCTTGGGGAAATGGAGGCGTAATTCTGGATTATCCTTTGGAGCAAAGAACTCCTCATGATCGGTGGTTATGGGCGAGTGTGGAGGGGTCAAGTCCGGCTGCTTGAAGAGGCTGGGCCTGGTGTCGAGTTTTGGCCGCCTTGAAGGACTGCGTGGGCGAGGGCGCTCCGCGGGGTGAGTCGGAAGTTTGAAGTTAATGGTGTTGGGAAGGAAGCTATTTGGGTTTGTATCAGCAATCGTTCATTCTGTTCGCGCCCTCGGAGGTGCACAAAGAAACTCTACTAATAGAGAACTCACAGAGAAACGACGAAGAGCGTCATGATGAAAAGCTTGCAGAGGTCTCAAGACCAGCTCGCAGAGAAACCAGCAGAATAGAACTGAGCTTGCCAATGAAGAGGAATCGCGCAATCATGAGCAATGTCAAAATCGTTGTTTACGTTGCGAGGGAGCAGAGTGGCAGCAAGTGGCAAAGCCGTTGGATTCAGAGTTTCGCTCCGTAGTATAGCTGCCGTTTTCGACCGGTGTCAGTCGAGGGACCGAAGTTTGTATTGAGCGAGTGCGATCTGTGGCGGACTAGAGTTGTTTTATTTTTTCTTCTGTGAGGTTCTTGGACGTGACTCGAGTGGGGGAGGATATTATAATATATATATCAATCAACCGGGCACAACCAACGCCGAGACGGAGGAGGGGAGTTTGGATTGGCAAACTGGACGCCAATGCCAATGGAGGGGTATGTGTGTACGTGCGGACGTGTGCGGATTTCTTATGTTTGCGGTTGTTGCACAGATACTATTGTCTGCGGGCGGACGCACTGTAGTGTGTCGAAACCATTTCACTAATAATAATGTACGGGGCACGAATGACAGAGGACAAGACCAAAGGCGGGTTGAAATGGTATGAGGTAACACCTCGAGGTCAGCATTCAGAGTTCAGAATGGAGCTTTTTATTTTTCTGTCATACGTCAGGAACGCCTAGTTGGCATGGATAGAGCAACACTGCTTTGCTCGGTACACCATTTAATGCCCAGGAACAGGGTTCAAAGGAGCAGTGCAGATGCAAGTTTCGACGCCTTGGAAAAGCGACAAGGAACAAGCAAATGAGCCATTTAAACTCGGATAGAACCACGGGAAATTGATAGAAAGAGTCGAAGAACCCAAGCAATTGGCACTTAACAAATCGGGCTGTTCCGTCGTACAGGAATAGGAGATAAGAGATACTAAGGCCAATGACGACTTATCGCTATTGAGGAATGGATGACGCTTCAATTAGCCACGATTGACTATGATTGGCTCTGATCAGCTGTGATAGCTACAAGCCTACAACCAGCTATTGCTTGGAAGCTCCACGCTCCAACCATTTTATAGCCACGCACCAGGAACGGCTCAACCTTCCAACATACACTTCCTATAGTAGGGCCTATACGAACCTACGCTCTTTAACAATCAGGTCTAGACTCTAGACTTTCAGGTATATATCGTGCCGATCGGCAACACTTTTCAAACGGCCTACAATACCTACCGAGAAGCTTATGCTAAAATAGAGGCTCTCGATGTCGATTCCATGATGCTACTTTGCTAAATTCCCCGATGTATAGCCCAGCATGGAGACATACTCCGCACCCCCCGCCTTACCACACAACTAGGCCGTGACGCGGCCAACGATCAAGCAGTCGACAAGCCTTGCAATAGAACCATCCCCCGTTCGATCCGGGTCTAGAATAATAGACCTGGGAGTTGTTGCCACCTGAAGGTGACAAACCAGAACGCTCCCACTAGAGAACAATGCCCGCTGTCGCCAAATCTCACAGGTAAACGCTCCCCGTTCTGCACTGTTACTCACCAAGTCTCACATGCTACGGCCGCGCCACATTCCCCGGGGGCGATTGTTTGCTTGACCAGGCTTGGGGCCGTCGAGAGCTGCCATGCTTTCCGAAGGAGAAAACGATGGACGCGGGGAATGGGAATAGATATGGAATGCAGTGTAATGCGAACAGTAATAACAACCAATCTTGATGCCCAACACCAGCACATGCTAAAGAAACTGATATGGCCAGATGGAAAGACATCAGATGAGCTTAAGAGGCAAGAAGGGAGGGGCCGTAGGCTGGTCGGCTTCCTTCGGCGGGGTTGGCCGCCAAAGGGCTTGGTCTGCGTGCCGGAATCCCCGATTGCAGATTCAATCGATATTTTAGCAAAGAGAGTGTGATATATGCTTGCATTCTTACGGCCAAGCTATAGCAACGTCTTTCTCTCTGCCAGTGGCCATGCTATGGTATACTAGAGTACGAGCGCTCCCTGCTAAGTCCCTTTCAAATTCAGAACCCTGGTTTCTTCCGTTAGGTTCGGAAGTAATAAAGGCGGGGATTGCTTACCAGTGCTATTATTCTTCGCAGCAAAGTTGACTATACAGATAGCCATGAGTCCTATTTTATCAGCAAATCCCCAGCCATATTGATGTTCCACGGCTTCACGCACAAAAGTGAGTGCAGAGTAGATAGGTGAAAACCAACGATTCCCTGCATAAAATTATGTGGTGCGACAACATCAGCCCATTCTGTTAAGTGTTACAAATCGTTAGAAGCATAAATCGGTGGCACCATCCGAGGGGGGGGGGAAGTCCCGTTTGTCCTATCCCCAGGAGTCTTATTTTGGGCTCTAAGAAGTCCAACAGTACTTACCAGCTACTCTAGCAAGGCTGCCCCATGGATATTCCATTGGCCGCATCCCCTGGATCTTTGCGTACTAGGGGCGCTGGTGAGATTATTGCTTGTGCCTCATTGTCCTTAAAAATCGTTTGCAGTCCTCTAAATCTTCTTCGTTGGGTTCCTCGATAATGAGATGAATTTTCCTCTTTCGTCCAATGCTCCCGGCTTCAATACGCTGGCGGGACTCGGCCTCGTCCTCACTTTGACCCACTGGAACATCCCGGCCTCGCTCCGAAAGGAGGGATTGCTTCATGAAGCGGAAAAGCATGTCGAGATCACACTGTTCCTGTCTCAAGTACCGCAGAATCGCCTGCCCAGGGAGTTGGGCGAGTAATCTGCCACTCATCACTCTATTAGGTGACGACTGCTCGTTGTTTGAGCGGATAAGCTCGACAATTTGCAGTAACTTGCTGCCTGGCTTGTCGTTAGCAATCCTCGCGTCGACCAGAGCCTCGTCATAGTAAGGAATATCTTCTTCGGAATAAACACGCTTTCGATCAATCAGCTTCCGAATTTTCCCACGCAGGATCGCATATTGTGAAGCTGGTGAGGGATGATTGATAGCCAGAAGAAGTCCGCATCTATCGAGGAAAGCCGACTCGATAAACCCAATCATATTAGAAGTGCAAAGGAAAATAATATTTCGATATCCCTTTGTCCTGTCAAGACCAGTAAGGAGAGCATTGACGGCTCGAAGAGAATCATGGCACTCGCCCTGTCGCGTACTGGTGTCTCGCGACATGGCCAGACTCTCGACTTCATCGATCAAGACGCAGAGAAATTCATCCGGCTTTTCTTGGCACATCTGCGCTAACTTGGTAAAGACCTCTTCGATGACTTTCGCACTCTCGCTAAAGTACTTCGAGAGAAGGGTCGCGCTTTTTATCTGTACCAGGCTTGTCATATTGTACGTTTGGCTAAGGCGTATAGATATCTTCTGAGCTAGTGCTTCGCAGAGGCTAGTCTTACCGGTCCCAGGAGGCCCATGTAGCATAATAATTGGACTCATATCTGCGTCATCCGACCCCTGACTGGAGGGCTGAGAAAATCGCACTGCTATAGGTCAGAATTCTCATAATTTGTGGTATTCTATTAAAGTAGCGTACAGATATTGGTCACAATCCGTATAACTTCTCTCTTATGGTCCTCTTCAAAGACAAGTCTAGGGAGAGAGAGGAGTTAGTAGAGTAGGAAAGAGGCCAAGCAAGCCGTAAGGGTTATTTACTCATCCCAGCGGTCACTAAACCTAACATTCGGGAGACGCATGATTTCCGCTTGTGGGAGGATGGAGCCTTCTTCCGAAACCCTCTCCGCGGTGTTTAGTGTGTATAATTGAACGCGGATTGTGGTTCCCGGGGCCGAATAGCACACATGCCGTGTCTGCGTCCCGTTATATTCCACTACCTTGAGTTCTGCAAGGACACGTTTGCAGTATTCATAAAGGGTGTAGCCCAGAGCACTCGGAGCATCTATAGAAAATATTAGAATTTGAAAACAGTAAATTTCTGACCGCCGGAGGGGACGTTCATCCATCCAGGAGGTACTGACTATCACCATCCGCCAGGATATCCTTGGATAATTCAAAGGTAAAGCTAATGGAAGAAAGCCGTTTCTCCAGGTCCTCTTGTAAGTACAAAGAGCGTTGGTTGATCAAGGGAGCAGTATCTTGTGACGGAGGTATATCATGAAGGACCCCTTCGAGGAAGACGGGCCCTATGTCGGAGGAAGCATGGTTCCTTGGGACTATGGAGAAGTCGTCTTCGTCTATGATGTTATCGCAGTGGTCAATAACATCGTTTGACATTTGGTCGTCCTGGTCATTGGTCATGACGGCCTGTAGAAAGAGAAACGCGATAGCATCAAAGTACAGAATAGAAGGAACGAGGTACGAGTATGCACCGAGACTGTGCTGCGTGGAACTTCTGAATAGAGCTTGCAAGATTACGGTTCCGACAATAAACCGCGGGTAGAGATGTCAATTTGAGATGAAATGGATTCGTCCTCGGATAGTTCGTATAATCGCAGTCACTGCCAGTTCATCCGTAGATATAGATAGCTTACTTAACTTTGATAGGACATCTTATAGATACCAGGCTTCAAGGCGTCTGTCACCCTAAAGGCCTTAATTTGAAGATATTGTTGTCGTGCCTAGGAGAGTGATGCTTTTTTATTTTATTGGTTTTGGTTATAGTACCTAAGGCACCCCCGAAGTACGAACCAAGGCTGCCGCTTTTAGCGCCCGCTGACTGTACGTCATGGAGTGACATTGCGAAGCGCTTCCTTCTGATCGCCGCTGCATCCTGAACGCCTTCTCTACTTCGCGAACAGTGCCAACGGACCGTCAATAATATCGGGGACATGATGGAGGCAAATGTTGCCGTTTCCAAAGACTGTTCAGCTATTGATGTAACAGATCCGAAAAACATCCGGCAAGATATATCGGTTCAGCTTGTCTTGTCCCTTGCGCTAGGGGTATCCGCCTTCTTTGGCTTTTGTATCCTCCGGCCAAAATGGAAGACTCTATATGCCGCGCGCAAGAGGCAGTCGGATGCTGCCAAAGCTCTGCCGGACCTGCCAGATACATTCTTCGGATGGATGCCAGTGCTGTACAGGGTGACGGAAGAGCAAGTCCTGGCCTCCGCGGGCCTTGACGCGTATGTGGTGAGCATACGTCCTTTCGTCTCTCACTCGTCGAAATGGCACCGCTAACTGTGAATAGTTTTTGTCCTTCTTTCAGATGTCGATCAAACTATTTGGAATCATGTTTCTCCTCGCCTCCGCGATCCTAGCGCCTATCAATAAACACTTCGACTGGCTCCAAACCTTCCGAAACTCTACAGACCCTCGCCAACCCGCGTTGCTGATGGCACAGAGCCTATATATAGACAGCAGTTGGAGCAATAATGCAGATTTTATGGCGCTTGTCGATGGCGACGAATCGAAGCTTCCTGACACGAGTTACTTATGGGCTTATCTTGTCTTCACTTACTTCTTCACTGGCCTTGCTATTTACTTCATGGCTCGTCAAACACGTCGCATAATTGAAGTCAGGCAGGACTATTTGGGAAGTCAATCTACAATCACGGACCGCACTATAAAACTGTCTGGTATACCTCCGGAACTCAGGTCGGAAGACAAGATCAAAGACTTCTTGGAAAAGTTGGGGATTGGGGAGGTGGAGAGTGTCACAATATGCCGAGACTGGGGAAAGCTTGACGAGATGATGGATACACGAGCCTATATTCTACGAAAGCTCGAAGAAGTATGGACTGCGTATCTACCCCAAAGTACAGCCAGTGAGGTTAGGATTTCACAACGGTCCCATGAGGAACCCCAGGATGACGAGAGTGAGCCGAACCATCACGAGCAGGACAATCTCCTGGGTAATCATATAGGTGCAGTTGAGAAGCCGCGTCCAACTACCCGCATCTGGTACGGGTTGCTCAATCTCCAACACAAAAATGTTGACGCCATTGACTACTACGAAGAACAACTTCGAAAACTTGATGATAAAATCACTGCTGCGAGACATAAGGAATACAAACCAACCGCCCTTGCATTTGTTACTTTTGGCTCCACACCAGCCTGCCAAATGGCTATGCAGGCGGTATTAGATCCCGTGCCAATGCAACTATTGGTAAATCCAGCTCCCGCGCCAACTGATATCGTATGGCAAAACACATATGTGCCTCGATCAACCCGAATGCTTAGCTCCTGGACCATCACCATCTTCATCCTAGTCCTTACCATATTCTGGCTTATTCCAGTCGCCGCTTTGGCCGGTCTCTTGGATCTCTGCTCGATTCGCCGGGTGTGGCCGGGGCTGGCGAACCTATTGGAGAGCCATTATGTCCTGAATTCATTGGTACGAACAGGTTTGCCGACATTAGTGGTCTCGCTGCTGAACGTCGCCGTTCCGTTCTTATACGATTATCTAGCAAACAAGCAAGGGATGATCTCACAAGGTGATGTCGAGCTGTCCGTGATATCGAAGAATTTCCTCTTCATATTCTTTAATGTATTTCTGGTATTTACCGTATTTGGTACGGCTAGTTCATTCTGGCCCGTTTTGCAAGAGTCGTTGCGAGATACGACAAAGATAGCCTATCTACTGGCTGTTTCGGTGCAGTCCCTTAGTGGTTTCTATACCAACTTTATTCTCCTTCAAAGTATCGGCCTCCTCCCATTCAGACTCTTGGAATTCGGTAGCGTCGCGCTCTACCCTTTTACCCTGATGTGGGCTAAGACGCCGAGGGACTACGCCGAACTGGTCCAACCGCCGATTTTCAAATATGGCTTCTACCTCCCCTCTGCGATCCTGATCTACATCTTGTGCATGGTGTACAGTATTTTGCCGGCCGGATATATGGTACTCTTTTTCGGGCTGGTCTACTTTACCTTCGGTTATTATACCTACAAGTACCAGTTACTTTATGCGATGGATCACCCACAGCACTCTACGGGAGGGGCCTGGCCGATGATATGCTACCGTATTCTTGTTGGGTTAGGCGTTTTCCAACTCATGATGGCTGGATTGATTTCATTAAAGCGTGGATTCACGCCGGCTGCGCTCGTCGTGCCGCTGATACCGTTTACGATGTGGTATAGTGTCTACTTCGAGCGGACCTACGAACCATTGACAAAATTTATTTCCTTGCGAAGTATCCGACTCGAAACTCATTCAGATGTCAATATGGCTGATGCATATATCGGACTTGGCCGGCCTCCTGGGTATGAACGGAGAGAAAGCGCAACGCTCGACGAGGAAAGGGAGAGGGGATTAAGATACGTAAACCCAAACTTAGTTGCCCCGTAAGTCCTCCACCTAAGCAATTTCGCCTATAATCTAATTTTTTATCTAGGTTAGAAAAACCATGGATCAATAACGATTCCGATTCCAGCGGAGACGTGCCCAACCAAGACCGAGAAGCAAGTGCAGCAAGCTCCATAAGCCTTGGCGACACTCACATTTGGCGAGACAACGGAGATGCAAATGTTTGAAGTACATATGTATAACATGCTATATACCCCCTGCATGCAGGCGTTTCTGGAACTTAATTTGCATAGCGATGAGAAGGGATGGGGCGTGGCTTTCTATTGTTTTGCTACATATTCTTACCTTTGTAATACCGCCTATATCCATGGTCCAAAAAAACTATATTTTGATCAGACACTTGCTCTCGTTCATCTCTTCCTTGACTGTCAATCCACTTTATCCCATCCCCCGTATAATATGTTAATTACCCTTGGGAGATCTGGGATACACCTAGGGTTATGGAAGGCAGCCCATTAAGATTTATTGGCTGTCCAACTAGAAAACCTCCAAAACGAGGGCATGACGTTACCCAAGGACTGTTGAAGATTTAGAGCTACGGTGTTCAAAAGAGGTTGATACTCGACCGATTAAAGAACGAGCCAGAAGCCGGAGCATAGTCTTCCAATATGGAACCTCTGGCCACTGCTAAGAAAGACGGGCGTCGGCGTCGGCGTCTCGAGTCTCGAACTTAAACTCAACATCAACACCTAGAACTAGGTGTGTCTCTACTTAAACAAATTTATTGTTTGTGAGTATACACTACTCTTATCAATGCGAATCCAGTGGCTGCAAGCTGTTCATAGCTGTTCTTACGGAGGTCGACGGCTCGGGCCGTGAGATATCCAGGTATGCCGCGCTGGCCGGCGTTTACGAAGTAGCAGGCCCTGGGCACCCAGACATTGAATTCGCCTCAATGTTGGAAGAGGGAAGACGCATCTCGTATCCCCCTCTATAATTGCTATAATGCGACGGAGGTTCGTTTAACTTCCGGGGTGTTAAACTACCTAGGTACGTAAGCCAAGGTACGTATACCCATCAAGGTAACTTCTGAGGTCATGGTATTGTCATAATAGACAAATTCAAGCTCTAGGGCATATCAATTAACTAGCCCAAGCCTATCGCCTAGCTCCTAAAGCAAGGTACAAAAGGTTACGCATATTCCTAGTCTCAGTATCCCCAAATGCGCCTTGAGCTCACGACTATTTCCCATCATGGATACCTTGTACTGGGATACGTTTCTATCGAACCCGATCGACGATGACGAGGCGCACGTTCACGGAAACCCAGATGAGAACCTAGACACCTCAAGCAATGAATCATCAATCCCGTGCAGGAATTGCCGACATTTGGATAGGCTGTGCAAACGATGCCGACAAAAGCTCAAAAAAGCATCACTCGAGCTCGCCTGCTCTCCGTCAAACTTTGGGAAGTCCACCGCTGTCCCGCTTCGGAGCCTCGCCAGGATTACGGTGCCTATCAGACAAATGACACACTCTTACACAGCAACTTGCAAGGACTGGGCGGGGGGCCGTGATGGGATAACAGAGCCCTATTCGGAGTCCTCGGGAGGTCCAGATACGCCGGCGCATATAGAATTAAAAGACACGTTAGAGCCAGCACCAGAAGACGAGAACGAGAACGAGCACGAGAACGAGGAAAAAGAAGTGGCCGATGCTTTCCCAATTTACCTCCCTGTGCTTGACCCACCTACACCGCGGTACATGCCAGCCACCATCCTTCGGCCACAACAACAGCCTTGTCTTCATTTTGTATCTGGACAAGGACAATCTCGAGTAGTATTCAGAAGACCCTATACGCGGGGAACGGGGTCTGTCCTGGGGGTCTTTGCAACGCCCGAAGTCGGTGAGCCCGCCTGGCATCGGATCTGGAGCTGGTGGGCAGCGACAGAATGGGACCGCTGGACAGATACTTTCCGCTTCTGGAAGGCTAGGAACCAGTTAAATGACGTTGACTAGCACGAGAACAGAGATATGCCTACCTTACTTAAACATTTTATAAATGTTTAGTACTGTGCATTAAACCAACAGCAATTGCGTTCTCTACTTTCGGCTCATAACAGCACTGACCGTCACCGAAAGCACCTTCCTTAAAGGTACCTCCAAACCTCGCTCCGCTGGTCTACTGTCGCGACTCAGGAGGCAACAAACCTTCCTCCTACTGTTCTCATTACCAGTATAAACCCAAGCTGCAGGTCACTCGTGAGGCATAGGTACTCTAGGTAGGGAATTAACTAGTCTGAGGTAGAATTAATCCACTATGTGTATAGATCCGATTAACAATACCCTGCTTTGAAAACTCTACGATCATAGTCACATCGCAAGGACTCTCCGAGAAGAGCCATCTGCAAGACATTTGACAATTTGGCTTACCGTGAAGCAGGTTAAGCAGCCGCCATTTCAAGGCAGAACAGCTTTACCAAGTCGTTTCTAGCCATTGCTCATGGACAAATGCTAAGTGTGTGCCTTCCTTTTCCTTTCCCGAGTAACCTTTAAGGAAGTGGCGATTCCGGAGAGTACTTGTCCATATTTTCTCCAGATCTCTGAAGTCTGTCTTTTTTTTTCTTCTCCATTTCGTCAATTTAAACAATTTAACCCAACTTTTTGGCTATTCACTCATCTTTACTTAACCTTTTTTTATTTCTGCTATTATTTTATATAATGGCATCCTTATCCTCCTTCTTCCTCTCCCTCCTCAGGGCCGGCCTCGATGCCGGTGTCGACTGCGCGCTGGATTGCGCCAAACTGTGGTGGCGGACTGGCCACTTCAAGATCTGCTTGGGCCACTGGCTCAGGAGGATGTGAGTACCTCTGCAAATTATGCATAATGTCTGCTGTTTAATACGGACCCTCCTAAACCTTTGCACAGTCTATTCCCACTTCGTTTTCATTGCCTTTGACACTTCTTTACTGTTTTCGGGCTCTTGATAGTACATGCTGATGTCTGTATGAAAAATCTTGGGGGCAATGGCTGGTCGGGCAGCTGAGCTGCCCACTCCCATCCTTTTAGGTGTTATCCGGCGCAACGTCGTCCCGGCGAGACCTTCGTCAGTTTTCGAACTGACGTAAGGGAGAGGTGCGGGCCCTGAGGAGGCCCTCGATAAACTCAGTGCCGGTGTGCGTGCCGGTCCAGCTGCGGGAACCCCTTTTCCAAATCATTCGATTCTGGCCTCCGTGTGGGTTTCGTACCTTCGTCCTTGCCACTTAATACATGCCATGGAATATTTTCGCCAGACAACACCCCAATCGTTAGGCAAGCTGTTATCATCAGTTTACCACATAATACTTGAGAGTCTGTAACTACAAATCCATGTTATCAATGTACCTAACGACAGAATAGTTTTATGGGCATATGACAAGTTACAGTTGCTGAAGGCAGCACTATGAGGAAAAAGTAGGTGTTTCATCTTCCAAAAACTCTCCATACTACATTAGACAATACATTTGATACTAATACCGCAGGACATGTAGAATCTATTTGGTGGCGACTTTCCTGGCGACCGTCTCAACCTTCTTCACAAGGTGGGTTCCCAAAGTGGGAGTAAGAGCCACCCCGTCCTGACCAGAGGTGTGGCCGCCGCGTGGGCTGGGGACCTGCACCGCCCACCATTTCTAAGGCAATTCTAGACCAGAGTCTTCAAACAGAAAATGGGGTCTGTGAGCAAACACACACACGACTAGCTCCCCATTCACCCCTCTCCCTTCGGAGAGAATGCACTTCTACCACCATCAACTGAACACAACTCTCACTGAGTGATCACAGCGGAAATGAGCACACTTAGTCCTTTCCCTAACTTGAACAGCTCCGCTCGACAGTAGGAACCTCTTTCCAAATCATGGGCTCCTCCAACATCGACCCTCAGGAATTCAGATGATTTAGAGAATAATAGACGTGATAGAGACTCTTGTGAGAGAAGCATGTTAACATCGATTTCGGAAGACGACGAGATGACCATCATCTCTGGGGCATTTTGAGACTGCAAAGTCCTCATTACAGGCGGAGGCATTTGATGGCGCGTCTTTCTCCACCCAGGCTGTCGTTACATCCAAGACTAGTAGTCGCCATCTCAATGAGCACAATGTGTGGTATGGGTTCCAAGGGGAGGTAGTAATGAGGGATATGGATGGTTTCGGTTCTATAGGTGATATCTCCAAAGAGTCGTTCGACTAGGTTGCTCTCGCAGGAGCTGGAGCCTGCGATAAAATGCAGTAGAAGGTATCCATATCTTCCTGACTTAAGGCCGCTGGTGCAGATTTGATAGCGTATTGACCAAAATCGATTGTAGCATTCTTTGATGGGTGAGTCAGAATAAAGTGAAGGGCTGTACTTTTATGCACTTCCTGGCTACATTGTCACGACTAGAAGGTGGGAAATCAAAGCTAGTCGCATGCCTAAATCATGCTCAACCCCTCCAATCTCTGAAGTATTTTACTTTCTCGTTCAATAACTCTTGTCCTTTTAAAGTTTGGGCCCCTTTATTTTCTATAATATCATTAAGACTACGGGGCACCATTTTAAAATGTTGAGGCCTTGATTTCTGACTACAGGTATATTGATAATCCTAGCGGGGCACGTGAACTTTTATTTCAATATTTGTTGTTGTTAACTTGTTATATGAGATGGGTCAACTATTTTTAATATGTAAGGTGTATTCTAATACCACGTTCCCTTCTGAAATCTTTATAGGTAGAATTTACACTGTTCGAAAATTTATAGTGTCCCTCTACTGTTAGTCTATCAGCACCACCTGGGGTTCTATCGATGACCTACTGCATCGAGGGTTTGATTGTAGCGTCTTCTACAACGTTAAAAATTAACAGTACAGCTGTGTGGGGGTGGCGGTGAGTCACGTGTCTCGCTCGCAGGATAAAGGCTGTCGATGCTGTGAATACTGGAAACACTACTACGTTTCCTTACACCAACGATCATATAAAACCACGTATTGGCTCTGAAGATAGTTCTCTCGCATGCTTAGACATCACAAAATCACACACACCCAAAACAGTGCTAAAACATCACGTGCCCTTGGCTGCTCTTATCATGTTGGTGTTGACAATAGGCTGCGTCCATCCGTGATCGCTTACGTCGACCGAGTGCTCCCCCTTATTCACGCAGCCGAGTTTCTCGTACAGGCCACGCCCAGACGGTGAGGCGCGAACGTATAGCGTTCCATGAGCGATGTCGACTTCTTGTAGCCAGTGAGTTAGAAGAAGAGAGCCGACTCCGCGATGCTGGCAAGAGGGTGATGTTGCGAGAGCTTCCAGTTCTGTTTGACGTCAGTGCAATGTTTGTAGCCGACGATTCTGGAGGATGTAGGTGGGGAACGGAAAGGTTTTATGAGAACTGGACAGCGAACCCCACATATCGTTTTTAAAATACTTCATCTTGTCCTCCTTCATCAACTTCATCAACCCCGAGAACCATGCAATCTTCTCCGCGGGCGCATCCTCTGGGAATACTGGGTTCCATTCGTCTTCTTCGAAACTTTCCAGTTTTGGCCTCGCTCCTACGAGGAAGCCTGCAATATCTCCACCATGTGTGGTTTCATTCTTAGATGTAATGGCAACGAGGAATCGATAACAATCTGGTTGTGACAGGAAGTGTGCGTAACGGGAGAGGTACAGAGCGTGTATGTCGTCTGGTGGAAGTAGGTTCATGTTTAGGAGGGCTGATGTTGGCTTGTGAGCTGCGATATCAAGAGTTGCTATGGAGGGCAGGTCGGTCGGACTCGCCGCTCGGATTGTAAATCCCATGTTAACCGACAAATCAACACAATGTATGGTAATTCGTAATCAAAATGTTTGAGGATGGCCAAGAATATTTGGCATCTCGAATCAAAATTGCTTAATGGAGTGTTGATGGATGTAACTGCTATAAAGCAAAGACTGCAGCCTGAAAGAAATACGTAAGCTTGGTGTGGGGATGATCCACTCAACGAGAATCTGGAAAACCAACAAAACCCTTTGCCTCACGGCTGCATCTACTCAGATGATCCGCCGGTAGAGCGTCACGGGGAGCTTAGTCGCATTTTAACCTGGTTGAAAGCAAACCCTAGACAAGCTCCGAAGGGCTTCGAAATCAAAGAAGAAGCAATATCGCTTTCCAAATGAGAGTGTCGTACTACCACTTATACACTTATCTTTATCGTCCCTTTCTATGAATCTGTTGTTGTTAACCCAGGCTTCGACGTCTACAGTTCGGCCACGACCCCATCTTGTCCGAGAGGAAGATCCGAATGCCTCGCTGTGCACTGAGATGCCTTTAACTCCGCCGGGAACGCCTCCGGAGCCACCTCATACCGGCAATAGCTATACAGAGACCTATCTTTGTTCACAATTAGACACCAGGAGCTCCCCGACGGCCGACGCAGTTTGTTCTTGGGGTGGGCATTTGGAACTGCTTCAGACGGATTCTCTGGACGACGCGCACGCTGCACGAGGCTTCTGAGGCTATTAGCTTGTTCTCGAACCCTTCTTTTAGCAAATATTTGATCAAAATATGCTGTGCAGCACTCAGTTGCGACGCCATGGTCGCTGACACGAAAGCGCTGACTCTGGCGGGATTGGAAAAAGAGGAAGGGATCCTGATATATAAGTAATACATAACGCTCTCTACCTTTGTTCAGCTGCCACCTGATTGGTGTTCGCATAAAATGCAGCTTCAAATTTTAATTGGCCTCGCCGTTTTGCATTAACAACATTAAGGCCAGGCGCCTCGTACGTCATGCGGCCACCCTTTTTTATTTCCCCCTGTTCCGTAACCATGATTTCGAAATCCAACTTCCGGAAACCAATGTCTTGACATACATTACCGACGCGTACTGTGGCATGGATACTTGTACGTTACTTGTCCTCGTGTTGATGATGATGCTACAATTGATTGGTGACGGGTGCTTGAAGCGTGGCCTGGTTTTGGGCTACAAGACCCCGGAATTGGCCACGATTTGTTTGAAGGTTGGCGAGGTGGTATATCTAGTGGATGCCACATACTTTCCTTTCGTACGATGTTTCGATTTTGAAGCGATTGTTTTATGTGTTGCGTTGTTAAGTATTGAGTCGATTCGCATCATTCCCTCTGGGTTGAATTCCTTAGTTCATATATATGAAATATATACATTCGTATAGTTACGATAACTCTCAATCATCGAGATGAAACCCTATCACCTCCTCACAATCCTCGTCTATGCCAACTGGGCAGAAGCAGTATCAACCGTCATAGTCATAGTCGGAACCGTCACTATCACATCCAGCGGTGCAGCCCCTACCGCCAACAGCACGAGTTATACCAATAAGGCTGTGTTTGAGAAGGATATCCTAGCAGCGCATAATTTTTACCGTGCCGAACATAATGCTACTACTCTCAAATGGAATGACACGAGTGCAAAATACGCCTCAAAGTGGAGTGCGCGGTGCGAGTTCGAACATTCGGTAAGTGTAAATTTCGTGGCTGTGGATGGCATCGGGACGTTGGATCAAATCCCACGCCTTGAGACAAATTATATTTCTCATAAAACAATCTAACAAGAACGAATCAGCATGGTCCAACAGGCGAGAACTTAGTCGCAGGTGCCTCCAATGCTACCACCAGCGTCGATGTCTGGGGCTCCGAACGGAAATCCTATAACTGGGGTAAACCCGGCTTCAGTGAGGAAACAGGTCATTTCACACAGCTTGTGTGGACGAATACCACTAGTGTCGGTTGTGGGAGAACGAGTTGTCAGGGGAAAGGGGGAACGGATGGGTGGTATGTGGTATGTGAGTATTGGCCGCCAGGAAATGTCGTTGGTGATGGGAATAGATATTTTAAGGAAAATGTGGCCAAAATTATTAAGGGGAAGTTAGGTGACACGGTAGAGGGTGGAGTGGGAAGTAATGGGGCCGGATGGGACGAGAGGAGGAATATCTGGAGCGTATTGGTGGTGGCGGCGGGTGTGGGTATGGGTGTTGTGTTGTGAAGATGATGTAAAAAGATAACTGGCTTTATGTTATGAGTTTTGCGTTGAATGAGGGCAAAGGATGGATGGAACTGAAGAGATCCGTTGGGTTGACATTCGGAAGCGAAATTTAAAAGTAGGGGGCGCGAAGATTGAGCTTTGAAGAAGACGACAACAAACGGGAGAGCGCGTTGGACTCACCTTTCGGTGGGAGGCCTCGCTAGCGAAAGGATATATAATCTCGAGTTGGCACTTGACGGGGAAAACAACAAGTGGAAGGGGAGGTGATTTATGCCAAATAGGCCAGGCTTGATGAAGAAGAAGGAATTGCTACTTAGTTGTTGAGCGCGGGGCGGGGAGCAAGATTGGGAAGCAGGTGAGGGTATGGTGTTAGTTCGAGCCAATGGATTCAAGAATCAAATGGAGAACACGGAAAGTTGAGGTCAAGGAGTCAATAACAAAGGGATACAAGGGAGCCTAGGTTCACTATAAGACGTACCTTAGGTATCAATAATGTGGCTCTACATCGAGTATCCCTCCTATATATTCTCGGTTAGACTCGCTGTCAATCACTATGGGGAACGAGAGCTTCACCTGTCATTGCTATTCACCCATTGACGCAGCTGATCGCGCTTCTAAAACTCCCACCTCCAACCAAGTACTGCTCTAGAGACGCGTCAATGACCTTTGACTTAACAACGCGTAAAGAACTTATTGTTGGTCCCCTTCGTTTCGACACAAATATCCATGACCTGAGCCCCTGTTGTCTGAAATCTGAGCAGTTGGTATCTCCCTCTGCATATACGGCATACCAAGTACAGTCTCTTGCATTAGAGCATGCCCGCTCTGACATGCCTCCTGGAGGTAATTCCTCGCCCACATTTTTGATGGTGGTATCATGTTGACTAACTCCCCAAACTTCAATGGACCCCTCCACTTTAGGCAAGAATGCCAGCCCTGTTGCATTTGGAACACCCACGAAGGTATGCGATTCCGTAGTCTTCTTTTATACCTTACATTTTCGCTGATCCCTAGATCAGATCCAGAATATGATGACGTCGGTACCACTGAAGAACGCGGAAACCAAAGTCAAGGCTGCGGCAAAAAGCCACTCGCGACTATTCAATCACAGGTATAAATCAAGAATAAGCTGTGGTAACTTCCATTCTAACTGTCCTTAGCAATTCACTAGAATTCGTCACGATTCTTGTTGACGAGGGCGGCCAGCCACCATACAAACCACAAAAGTTTGTAATTCACAAGGCTTTTGCTTGTCACCATTCACCTGTCTTCAGATCCGCATTTAATAGCAACTGTATCGAAGGCGAGACTCAGGAATATCGATTGACTAACACCACCGTCGGTACCGTCGAATTATTATTCCAATGGCTATATTCACAGGATTTGAATCTCACTCAACTAGAAGAGCAAAAGGCGGAAATTCCCGAGTCAGGATCTTTAGTCTTGTTATGGCTGTTGGCTGACAAGCTCCTAATACGTCGCCTACAAAACTTGGTTATCCGCCAGATTGATGAGACCATTCAGCAGTTTGGATTGTTACCTTTACACGTGCTCCACACTGTGTGGCAAAACACTGCGGAAGGTTGCGCACTCCGTCGTTATTTAATCGATGCAATAAATTGTAGAATGGCTCATGTGGACTTTAAAGCATCCGCGGAAAGTTTCCCAAAAGACATGCTGGTCGAATTAGTTGTTGCTTTCAAAAAAAGGCTTCCTAATGGCGCTACATCAAACTGGACAGGAAATAATCTTTCTTCGTACTATGTTCCCGAGGACTGAGATCATGGTAAGGTGGCCAGTATCGGAAGCCGTTGAAGTGTCTCACTAAAAGTTCAACAGTAGGAATTCTGGAAGATGATATTGGCTTTCGCATTGCTATGAATGATGGCTACATGGTAGTAGGGAATGATGAATTGCAAAAGTTATGCGTGCGCAGTTACTACATAAGAGGTTACGAGCTTCTGATGGCTGCTTTTTAAAGACTGGCAAAAATGTTGAGCAAATGCAGAATCATCCTCTTAAAATCAGGACTATCAAAATATAAAATCTTGCACGTTTTAAGGCCGCATAAAACTGAGAAAATACCGCTTGGAAGATTTGAAAGTAACTACGCACTGGACGATTGACATACATTAATTTCGTTCTGCCTTCTAAAACCAGAGCGTTCCCGCTTCTTGAAACGCGCATATTGAGTATTTATCGGGGGCCTTTTTCTGGATTCTCCTCGCCATTCCATTCTGCATGATATTTGTGGACGATCGCTGTTTAGATAGCTTCCATCATTAAAGATACCTTTTCCTATCTTGCAGGGGAATAAGACATTCTTGTAGTAATGCACGGGCTCCGTCTTGCTTTGTCCATAGCGGGACTGTGGTGAAAGCTCGAAACTAATCCCGATACCCTAGAATCCTCTAGGAAGCTTACCCTATATATACAGGCATCTTGCTATTCCAGTACTCGCTCGGAAGGGGTGGTACACCTTCAATAAACTCATGGCTCTGCTGCCAGCAGAATGCACGGAATATCATAGAAAGCCAGGAATCTTCAAGCTCGGGAAGGAAACTCTCGCTCCACCCCGCGTAAGAATATGCAGTGAACCGAGAAGGTAGGTCGGGTAAGGCATCAAAATAACTTTCCATACTGGTCACAAGCCTCTCGTCAAGGTCTTCTGGATCGAGGCCATATAGCTCATGTGCTTTATGACGATCCGTCAAGGGCTTCAGCGGCATTACCGCTTGTGTTATATGCACCCATACAAGGAAGTTGTAGTCGAAGTTGACGCTGCGGAGAAAATTTGTCATTTCCTCGTAGCAGCGAAGAATTAAGGGTACAAATTTCTCGTCCTCTGTAATATACTTCGGAAAACTTTGACGCTCTGGCTCCCGCAAACTATTCAGTTGGGCATTAATATCTTGGACGTATGACAAGATGTCCAGTGATTGTTTAGTAGCAAGCTTTCCTCTCGTAGAGACCAAATCTTCTAGCCGCTTGCTAAAGACGAGAAAACCTTCAGAGGCAGTAACTCCTCTTGAATATAGATTCGGAGCCGGGATTCTTCGTAGCCTGGAGGTAGCCAGCATACCCGATAGCAAGGGGACAAGATCGTTGAGGCCCGGGATGAAGTCGTCGCCCGTTTTCATGGACTTCTTTATGTCACGTAAGACGTTCCTGACTCTTTTCGACGGGCGCACTTGCAAGTTGTAATATAGAAATGGAAGCGTCCGCTCAAGGCCCTCGTAAGAACCAATATCCAAGTCAAACTGGTTGTTGGGGAGTAGAGATGGATCAAGCGCAACAAGACCAAAACCTAGCTTATCTTAGGCCGAACTACATCACCTGGCATAAAATCCCAAGACTTTCGTACGAATTGGACAACGGGAACCGCAACATTTCGATTTCCACTCGGGCCACTTATGTGATGGGAGGGAAACCGCTCACTGATACTTTCCCCTTGTCTGTGGAGCCGAGCAAGAAGAGGGACCCAACATGCCAACTCATCACCGCTATAAAACCTTCGAGCAACTAGGCCATACGGCCAGCCCGCTAAAGTCATGCTTGTATCCAAGGATGAAGCAGTATTCACCAAAGGACAGTCATCTTCGGCGACAGCCGTCATTCTGGGGTTACTTTTCTCTGCAACCATGCGGGCCCTATACACGATTCTTGGAGTGACGAAAATGGTTTCGAATCGGAATTCCGCCCATCGCCATCGCAGCTTCGTCTTGCGCGCCCAAAGGCCCATCACCGAAGGCTGACATCTCCGGTACCCATCTGCGGTCGCTAAGTACTACTAGAGGAGCTAGCCGATCGTGGTGAAGAGGGCGACAAGAGATATGACCAGTGCAGCGAGCGCAACGGAGTCGGTCATGTTGTTGACACTCGATACAGGCTCCACCAGGCATTAATGGAACATCTACTCGGATACCGCTTGTTATCTTCAGTAATGATTTCTGAGAATTGAGGTCTAATAATTTCGTGCCATTTCAGCTATTCCGCAAGAACAGATTGTATTACTCGTATCTTGCGATAATTTGCCCACAGAGAGGCTGAGCAGTTGAGTAGAGCGTTGAACGCGTTCGTATCTACCAGGTACCTGGTACAGTACCTGTAGGTCTTCACCCCTGCAACAAACAACACGTGACTGGCTCCTTTCGCCTAATGGTTACAAAAAGAACAAAAAGAATACAAGCAAGAACAAAAAAACTTATATAAAAGATAAAATCGTCTAAAACAAAAAAGATTTAATCATATTCTAGGAGAGGGAAAAAGAAAACGAAGTTTAAAAAAATTGGTAGCTTCTCTTTGATTGAGCGTGTCATCCTTAGTGCAGGGGCCATGCTAATCTTCTCTGTATCGTTTCAATTGACCAAATGCCCGAAGGCAAAAGAAAATCTCTTAATTTAATTTATGACCTACGGTTATACTGGCGGAAAGTGGACCGTGCACGCAGTAAGCGAGGTAATGCACCCAATTACAGCTCGGGAGCTTTGATGGGGTTGCAGGGTTCCTCACAACCGATTTCTGTAGCAGCGTACGAAATTCGAAGTCCTAATAAGCACCCGGTATTCCATCAACTGGCAAAACCAAAGACTTATAGTGTGGTTTGAGCGCTTTTGAGAGGTACTGCATCACATGCATCATCTATGACTAAACTATAAGGTAGTATTTGAATATAAGTTATACCTACTCCGAACTAGAAAATTTACAAGCGGCTGTTAAACTGCCATGGGAACACTCCTACTTGGGATGTTTGGTTTACTCGCATATAATTCCCCCTTTCTCCTACGGAGCTCCCACGCGCGCGATAAATTCCAAATCTCGAAATTCCAAATATCCGGGCAGCGCGTCATGTTATATCGTTTCCTTTCCCCGCAACCAGATTTTCCCGTTCCCACTCCGAAAAGCTTGTTGTTGCAACCCTCCCAACTGTTTCGTTATAGCGTCACACACACGTTACTACGGCGCTGTACGGAATATAGCCTAATGGCCGATCCCTAGAGATCGTAACCCGACCTATCCTTACGCATACTCAACGGCTGGTGATCTGATTTGCCGAGTTCACCGGCCCCGAGTCCGGTGGAAGTCCGCCATTTGTTGCTGCGTCCTGTCGGTACATTTCATTTGTAGTCGGGATGGTGGTTGGGTGGATGTCATAGCGAGTGCCGTGAACCAGGATACAGGAGATTATAAGGTTGAAAAAAACATGTGGGTGTGATCTGACTTGCATTTGTCACTTTATAGAGAGAGCACTGGTTGGACGGTCGGGAACGAGCCATATCGTCGTTAATGGCCTTGTCTTACCGTGTGAGGGGTATAGGGATCACGATGGAGGGAAGGCCCGAGTTGGAGGTGACCATTCAGAAGAAAAGGAAGGAGGGGAGCCGTCACGGCCTGGGATATATACCTAATACCTAGGTAGGTATGTACATATATGTATGGGGCAAACGCAGGTACGATTTGGAATTTGACATCTTCGAGGAGCCTAATTAGCTGTTTTCCGTCCAAGGGGTTTCCTTGATTCTCCATAAGAGAAGCCATAAGGGACATAGTTGATCCATCTTTCTCACCTCATCTCTAAGACATCGAAGAAGAGACAAGCAACAAAATAATATCACAATGGCACGATTCTCCGTCTCCCTCCTCTTCTTCGCACTCTCGTGAGCCCTATCTCCCTGTCCACCTCCCCATTCCACCCTACCTCCAGCTCAGGCCGGGTTTTGGATTGGGAACAAACTGACCACGAACAGAATCATACCTGCCATAAACGCCCTCTCCACGGCCCCTCCCTTCTGGCTTCGCATCGTCGGTCAATCTCAAGACCCCAATGGCACTCCCCTCTACCTCACCTCGACGGGCTCCACAACTAGGGACAAGAATGCCGCTGCCGTCTGCTGGAACTCTCCCTACGGCGAGCTCTTCTGCGGAGATTTCAGCCATGCTATAGGGGTTCCCAGCAACACCGATGCCACTGTCCTGAAGGGCTGTGTGGCAGAAAGATGTTTGACTAAGCAGATTAATATTGACTCGAATACCTTGGCACTGGATTGGAGCCAGGCGAACTTCTGGTATAGTGCGAGTACCGGGAGTGCTTGGGCTACTTTGAGGGGGGCAAAGGCGCCCACCGAGGATGCGGTCCCGGCGACGATGTTGGCCACCTTTGGTTAGGGGTCGTGGGGAGGCTTGAGAAGGATATAAATGGAAGGGGCGTGCGAATAGGGACGGAGGAGTTAAAGGGGGAATGGAAAGGCAGCGCTCGTTTTACGAACACCGGCACATGATTTGAATAGCAAACACTTAGCGTTCTTGAAATGATAGGCTGGACGATGTCCGTTTGGACACAGGGGAGAGTTAGGATCGAGAATCATAAATTAGTCTTTGTATAATTCACATGATATGGAGGATAAATCTATTTCTATGATTTTATCATGAAAATCTGGGATATGTTAGTGAGAAATCGTAGGAAAAGTACTAAGCGATAGCTGACCTGGTTCAATGACGCTACATCCATGCTTGCAAGCCGCTTTTGTGCAATATTTCGAGACCGGACTGCGTGGCGGCCCTGCATCATGGGCGTTGAATAGCCGCTCGACGGAGTTGGAACAGTTGATGAAGGGGTGCTTTCCTTCGTAGGGACTTGGGAGGACTCGGAGGATGTAGGTAAACTACCAAGTGCCGCCTTTCGATCGCGTTTGGATTTCTTTATGCCCTTGACCTCCTCTTGATCCTCAGATGTTGATTTTCCCTTCTGCTTTCGCGCCTCTTTCTTCTCCTTCTTTCGTTGTTTGCGCTTCGAGTCCTCATCTGACGTATTATCAGGCTCCTCTTTCGCTTTCCGATCCTTCTTAGACTTCTTGGACAGTTTGGCCTCAACTAAAGGTTCCATAGCATCCTCCGCTTCGTTAGCTTGTAATTTCTCCTTCTTCTTCGACTTCTTCACCTTGACAGCCACAGCGTCGGAAACCTCTTCTTCGATAGCCTCCGCTTTCCGCTTCTTAGATTTCTTAGACTTCTTAATAGGCTCAGAACGTTCCTCTAGTTCAGACTCAGAGCTGGATCCACTCGTGTCCTCTGTCGATCCTTCAGCAAGCTTCCGTACCCGTTCGACTTCGCCATCAATTAGGTGCTGAATCTTGTCCCCAATCAGAAACCCTCCCTGAACGAATCTTATGCTCCCCCACTTCCGTTCAGTATATATTGCCCTCTTTAAATCTTCCCTAGACTTCTTTTCCTGCTCTAACTCGACTTCCTCCTTGCCATTAAGCCTCCCAAGAATACTTTTAAAGACATCCAACCCCGTGCATTCGCCATGGCCGACACCACTTCCAATTTTCGCTCCCAAGCCCAGGTTATCGTCTTTGATCATGACTCGAATATGGGATGCATTGGCCGCCGTGTGGAATTCGGCGTGAGCTGCATCTTTGGCTCCGAGGTACTGCCCTGGCTGCCAGCCTTGGGCAGTCATGATCTTGTGGCCGAAGCCTTCGGTGTCGTTCGTCCATGTTGTGTTATTTGGGTCGTGCGAGAGCTTTATGCGCCTTCAAAATTGTCAGTAATTGCCATGATTGACAAGTCAGAAATATACCTACTTTTTTGTCCCTGCGAGGCCCATATTTGCAGCGAAGGAGGGTGTTGGAGGTGGACTGGAGCGTTGTGATGGACGATTCGTTATCGTGAAATTGTGGTGGTTGCGATTGCAAAATTTTGGTGGAGCATCCCGCAAATCGCACTACGATATGATTGGGCCGACCACGAAGGACTCCCCTATCTCAAGTACAACTTACAACTGACAACTACCAACTAACAACTTACTTCATTATAAAATATCTCAACTTCATTACAAAGTACTTCTGTGACTCGGTGCGGCGAAAACACCAAAGCCTGCCGCCATGGCAGCTCGTCCACGTACAGCTCAACCAGTGGCTGTCAACAGCGAGTCTGAGGATGAAGCCCACGAAGTCAACAACAGCGTCATGAAAACTGCCGAAAATATTGTTATCATGGTATATACATTCCAGAGTGGCGTTTGAAATAAACCATTCGAAAAGTCCTCCATGGCTGATCACTTGGCATTGACATCAGAGCAAAAAGCGGCGTGAAGCCAGGCGTCTGACTATCGACGGCGAGCATCAGCAAAGCTGCAAAGAGCTCAAGGCCAAGATTGAAAATATATATGCGGCTAGGAAGAACAAGACGTCCGTCTCCCTTCTCTCTGCTCACATTGGTACTATTTCTCGTTCGCGCTGAACTTTCGTGCTCCTTATTCTCCGTCTAAACGCGTAACCCAACGCGTCATCCCCTCAAATCGCCCAAAAAGAATGCTTTTTCTACAAATTCTTAGGGGCACTTCCCTTGGGGTATTTGTTTGTTTAGTCGTGTCCACTGCTAATATATGGACAGGACCATGTCTCGCCAGATGCTACTGGAGAGGCTCGAAACTCTGAATAACAGACGGGAGAACCTGGAGAAACTCATCCTTACCAGCGTTAGCCATATTGAGCTCCAGACCAAGAACATAAGTAGCGAGATAGTGGCCATGCTACAAGGCCGTCTTGAGGAACTTGAGGAGCTTCCCTCTGGAGCAACTGTGACTGTTTGAAATGGTGAGCCGTCACCGAGGAATAATTTCGACCCATCTGACCTATCATAGATGACCTGATCAAAAGTTGGGACGAACTTGGTCACACGGAAATCTTTGCTATGCAGTATTTGCTACACACTTAAACACAGAACTAATCTTTAGGGCACTGGAAGAAATTGGCATGGAGTTATCCCATCAGTCCATCACAGTCTCATTAGCTATTAATATATCACATATAAAATCACAACTCAGATTCCAAGAGTTCCATGTGCAATCATGATCCTTATCCATTTCCTAGCCCGGAACCTTCCATTAACGCCCATGATGCCCTTCTCATTATAGCAATACATCAAAACCCCCTTTCGGGTCTATTCCATCCTGCCACCCTCCCCAACTCTCCAATCCAATCCCTCACCGTATCGACCAGAACCTTAATCATTCCTTGCCTCTTATTCTTCCCATCTCCAGATGGGCCCGCCATCCCCGGCGCCTCACTGCCCATCGTCGGCAAAACATTATCGCTTGCGGAGAGCGAAACAAATAGCGAGAAAGGAACAAGCCAGATGCACAGGCCAAAGTATGATGCGATCTCCGTGAATGTTGGCATAGAAACTATATCGAATCGAGAGCGTGGCGCGGTCATGGCAGGGTTGGAAAAGTGTTGGAACCAGAAGTAGTGGTTACATATTACAAGCACTGAGACCCCAGTTAGCCCTGATATTACTTCGCGAAGAAAAAGAGTTAAACCGTACCACAGGAAGCAATGAACAACGGGTCGCTAAGTTGCACGGTTGGAAAGCGGCGCATGTTTCCCAAATACACGATGTGGGAGACAATATTAAGGAGGGACAGCCCGAAAGGGAAGCCATCGACGACACATAAAAAGACTTGGATGCCGATAATGAAGAATATAAGGCGCGTGAGGAGCTTCTTCACAATAACGGTATGCTCTTCGACGAGCTCGGAGAGGTAGTAGAGTCCCGAGGCTGTGTCGGATTATCGGTCAATGTTTCGCTCTATACAACGTACAACTGGCCAGTTTGCGCGTCAGGGAGAGATAACATACCTATGGCAAGCGTCAGAAAGCAAAAGCCCAAGGCTATGCCTATGTACCCAACAAGCGGTAAGATCCACATTGTAGAAGAGAGTTAGACTATAAGATTCATATGGTCTTCTGCATAGTTTGAAAAAGGAGGGAGGACACCGATGTAATCGTGTCCAAATCAAGCCTGATAGGAAGGTGTTGCGCGGTGGAGAGCGGCAGAAAATCGTGGCCGGCGAAAAAGTTCGTGCGGCAGCATGATAGTTGCGATAACATATATTTGTGGAGTACGATTTGCGACCTTCCAGAAGCAAGCACCAAGCTGAGAATTCCGAGACATATCTACAAAGTAGTGTAAATCTACCTGCCCTGGCAGAAACTCCTTTGCGAAAATGTCTCGTCCAGAAGATATACTGTACGTCCCTTCCCCCACCCCGCACAACAGTAACTAACAAACCGGCGATATACAGTCCCCCAGATCTCCACTACAATGACACAGAAGCACGCAAATACACGACCTCCTCCCGTATTCAGAACATCCAGGCCTCCATGACCCACCGCGCTCTCGAACTCCTAAATCTCGACAAGTCCTCTATGATCCTAGACATCGGATGTGGCTCGGGTCTCTCAGGCGAGATCCTCTCCTCTATCGAGCCCTCAGAAGGAGGACCTCACATTTGGGTGGGAATGGACATATCCGCCTCCATGCTAGATATCGCACTACAGCGAGATGTGGAAGGAGATTTAATGCTCGCGGATATTGGACAGGGCGTCCCATTCCGAGCGGGAAGTTTCGATGCCGCTATCTCCATTAGTGCTATTCAATGGCTTTGCAATGCAGAGAGTAGTGACGTCTCGCCAATTGGAAGATTATCAAGATTTTTCAATGGTTTATATGCCAGTTTGAAGCGCGGTGGCAGAGCGGTGTGCCAGTTTTACCCGAAGAATGAGCAGCAGAGGACTATGATCAGCAGCGCTGCTATTAAGGCTGGGTTTGGCGCAGGTATCTTGGAAGATGATCCAGGGACTAAGAGCGGCAAGCTTTATTTAGTTTTGACAGTGGGTGGATCGGCAGAGGAGGGCAATGGTGGTGATATTACTGGTGTGGTGCGGGGACTGGAGGGAGTTGATGTGCTGGATGCGAGGAGGAAACATAAGGAGAAAGGAAGAGATATTAAGAAGGGGAGTAAGGCTTGGATCATGAACAAGAAGGAACAGATGGAGCGGAAAGGAAAGGTGGTAAAGCAGTCTTCTAAGTATACGGGAAGGAAGCGGAATATTGCCTTTTAGATGATTGGCAGAGGTGTTTGCATTGCATGGCGTTAGGTTATGATATGAATAACGATATCCGATCATTAGTTATTTGGCCGGCATTGCATTCGTAAAGTCGCCCTTTAGTCCCTAACTAGTAAATTGAATAAGTCTCGATGGGGTAATGGTTTCCAGGCACTGCATCAATACGAGCTCCGTTAGGCTTTAAGACGTGAAATCTTCTTAGCGGTAAATCATGATTAGAAAGACACAAATATGGAGGGTCTAAAGGCATTTGCTATGTATACTACACGGTACAATCATCTATCTACTTCCCCTTTATACAATTATGACTTTTTTATCCATGCAACTCCATTTTATCCAAAACAGCACGTGTAAATTCATGTGTGCTGCTGGTTCCTCCCAAATCACGAGTTCGGTAAGTGCTTTGGGAGTGTTAGCATAGAAAAGAGGATGGGATATTCGGTAAGACTTACCCCTCGGAAATCACGTCATAAACCGACTTGGAGATGCGGTTTGCATGCTCATCCAAACCAAGATGTCTCAGAAGCATAGACCCAGAAAGGAGCATAGCAGTTGGGTTTGCCTCGTCCTTGCCCTTGATATCAAGGCCGACGTGACGGCATCCAGGCTCGAAAACGGCCACATCGCGACCAATATTAGCACCGGGAACAATTCCCGGGCCACCCACGAGAGCAGCTCCAACGTTAGACAGAATTCCACCGTACAAGTTGGGCATGACCATGACGTCGAATTGTTGTGGCCGGGCTACACACTGCATGGATGCATTATCAACAATCATATCGTTGGCCTCCAGGCTAGGGTACTCCTTCGCAGCGGCGTTGAAAGTATTGCGGAAGAGACCATCTGCGAGCTTCATAATATTGGCTTTGTGGATGCAGGTAACCTTCTTGCGGTTATTTGCCAATGCGAAGGCGAAGGCGAACTTTGCAATCCTCTCCGACTTGGCGCGCGTAATGATTTTGAGAGACTCGACAACCCCCGGAACTGACTGATGCTCGAGTCCAGAATATTCGCCCTCGGTGTTCTCACGAATAATGCAGAGATCGACGTTATCGTGACGGGTCTTGTAGCCAGGGATGTTCTTAATGAGGACAATCGAGGCGTAGATGTCGAGCTCCTGTCGCAAAGCCACGTTGAAAGATTGGTGGCCAGAACGTTCAACAGGTGTGTGTAGAATGCCCTTCAATCCAATCTTATTCCTCTTCAGCGAGATGACTGCCTCCCGGAAGAGTTCCTCGGATTGTTTATTTCCAGACTCCAGGCCCGAAACGTCGATCTGTTCCCATTCGATTGGGACGTTATCTGCTTTGAAGACTGTCTTCACGGATTCCGCAACCTCGGCTCCAATACCATCGCCTGGGACCAAGGTGACGGTGTATTTCCCTCCATATTTCGTTGGCTTGAATATATCGCTCTGGATCGTTGCGAAGGCGCGGGTGGGGTTTTGGGCGGTTCGCAGAAGGCCCTTGATAAGCTGATTTTAGCTACAAACTGTGCCATTGACGGCTGAAGTGGTGACAAACATACCTGCGCCGACCGTACAGAGCTGCGCATTAACATCTTGAGAAATTAGGAGATATCTGGTGGGTTGATGAAGTTGTTGTGGCCGGAGAGGCTGGAAGACAAGGAACTGGGCAGCGTTACGAAACTGACGTTAGCCTTTTCCTAGTTAGGACTTGGCTCATAAATTCGGCATCATGTCCGGGCGAAAATCTTCCTTGCACCGGACAACAGGCGAGGGACAATAACAACAACACAAAACCGGCGACAACAAAATAATTGCCGCTTCCATGAGGTTGATCTTCAACTATTTTTTTTTTTATTAAAGTCGTATTATGCAATGACTTTAATTATACCTTTGCTTGCTTGCTTGCTTATACGAAGTACGATGTGGCTGGATTATTGCGGCTTCGAATGCAACATGGCCCGAGTGTGGCGGGAACGGCGCTCCCCAGAAGACCTAGCCGTCTCAAGTGAGAAGTGCAGGATGACGAGGCATTATGTCAATAGATATTAACATCGATTGTGTTGCTCCGTCGTTTGATACTGAGCAGTATGTAGCCGTGCTGTGGTTAGTCTGCAAAACTTCAGTTTCCGATTCAGGTGGATTCTACCTGTCCATCCTCTGGCGCCTTGATGGCTTTGCAGCATGCATTTCACAATCCGTTTTCCCATCTTCCCCGGGACTTGTCAGGGAGCTATTCGGCTGTGGCTTTGTTTTATAACGTGGTCGTATCTAGTCACCCTCAGAAGCTCCACGTGGGTGTGGATGCGGGACATGGGAAGCTCCCATACTTTTTGGCCCTTGTTCTAGCAAGGAGCTCTCCCACCTGTTCTGGGTACTTCAGCACTAAGAGACTTTGTTTCATACTAGACGTATGCCACTCACCAGCTCTTTACCTGCTATGATCAGCAGGACACCGAGGCCCATTATTTGCCTGGAGGAGACCTTCGTGAAGCTGCGGCGGCTTGATTCGCCGCCACCCAGTCGACACGGTTGGCTAGGCGGAGAGAGCTCCGGAGAACATAGGTATTTACCGTTATTCATTCGTTTCCAATGTGTTATGGATTGTTGTCTCTTTTCCGATCTGCAGTTGCCGCAACCGCTTTCGAGTCTCTGGCGCTCGCTTAGCTTTCCGTTTCGGGGTCTGAATAGAAAAGGGGTCTCAATAGAATGCGGTCAATGGTATCAAATGGCCACAACACGAGAAAGTCAAAGGTGGCGTGTTCTTTATTGACCCCAAAATCAATAGTCATGATTCTTTCAATTATCAGGGGAATTTGCCCCTTGGCGGATGCGAAACTGTAATATAGCTTAGCCTAGACTGAAGTCTAGCACCGATGAGCGGAGCTCTCCCCCCTAACAAGTGGCTTTGGGGCACAAAAGATATCTCCGTTCCAATGTGCTTTTGGCTATTTCCCTTCCATAAACGGTATATGGCGTTTCTGCTGGCTCAAAAACAAATTTCGACGGAATTCTTCCCCGCTTAACTAAACTCTCAAGTCTTTGATGAAAACCGATTCTAGGTACACGACTCTTTTCCAACATTCTAGAGTTGCCTATGGCTATTGAGGTTCTTGTTGGAATTCTGCTTCTGTGGAATTATGCTTGATTTCCCGCTCCTATTGAGGCTTTATCTTTGACGCGGTAGTAGGGGCTTGACCCAATATGGGTCTCAATAGTAAGCAATACCATTGACCCCCTATTCAAACTCTGTACTATTGAAAACAACGAAGACTCTCAATCTATATATTTCTTGTTCTTCTCCACTATCGTTCCTATTCTGTTTCCTCGTTACGCTCCAAATCAAACTACCTTCTCAGCGGAGACCATCGTTCAAACAAAAATACAAAAAGCATACACACACCTACAAGAACAACCCACAACCCATTCACCATGAAGTTCACCAACGCCATTGCCATCCTCTTCCTAACCGCGACTACTATCAACGCCCTCCCCAGCGCTGAGCCTTGCACCCACGTCGGCCAGGGCTGCTGGAAAGACAAGAGAGAAGCCGTCGCCGAGCCGGATCCATGTACCCACGTCGGCCAAGGATGCTGGAAGCACAAACTGAAGCGTCTGGCTGAAGCCGAGGCCGAGCCCTGCACTCACGTCGGCCAGGGCTGCTGGAAGGAGAAGCAGAAGCGTGTAGCTGAGGCCGAAGCCGAGGCTGATGCCGCTGCTGAGGCATGCACCCACGTCGGACAAGGCTGCTGGAAGAGAGAGGCTGACCCATGTACCCATGTTGGCCAAGGATGCTGGAAGCACAAGATGAAGCGTGTTGCTGAAGCATATGCTGAGCCCTGTACCCATGTTGGACAAGGCTGCTGGAAGGAGAAGCAGAAGCGTGTTGCTGAGGCTGAGGCCGAGGCTGATGCTGCTGCTGAGGCATGCACCCACGTTGGACAAGGCTGCTGGAAGAGAGAAGCTGACCCATGCACCCACGTCGGCCAAGGCTGCTGGAAGCATAAGATGAAGCGTGTTGCTGAGGCTTATGCTGAACCATGTACCCATGTTGGCCAGGGCTGCTGGAAGGAGAAGATGAAGCGTGTTGCAGAGGCTGAGGCCGAGGCCGAAGCTGCTGCTGAAGCTTGCACCCACGTCGGTCAGGGTTGCTGGAAGCAATAGATCACTTCTCCCAATTTCACCCTTTCGAGCTTGGTTCAACCTGGAGTTAGTTACGCACGGAATCTACGCTCTCGGATCTCTTCTACATTTCGAATTTCGCTTCTACACTCGACAACACCATCAACTATACCACGATCCTCGCTCGTGAGCTAGATCGTCTGTTGCCGAGCACACCAAATATAGGGACGGACTACTTCACTTCTACCCAAACCATTTCTTCGCTTCAAACCCTCTGGCCTGGACCCTTCCTGTTCAAACGGGAGAACCTCTCTTTAACAATCACAATTCGGGACCTCAGAAAGTCTCGAGTCTTTACCATAACATAATATGATGGCAGCCTAGCGCTCTGCCTGTTTTGCCCAGAATACATGGGCTATTTGGGAACTTTCCTTCACAAAAAGGAGGCTGGGATACTTTCCCTTTTTCGCTTGAATGGAGGGAGCTGGGAATACTTGACCCGGCTTTACTTTCTACTGTAATTAAGCTTTAGCAAAATAACATTCTTGCGCACACTTACTGCGTTCCACTTCTCTGGTGACCTTTGGTGAGAACTATGCAGTTTCTTTAATCGGAAATAATCTAACACCGCTTCTGCGTTGTAATTCTCCACCTTTGCCGTAAATAATCCGCAGATATAGTTCTAAAGCTATAACTTACTTGTTTAATTTATAATGTTTCGAAGACCTATTGTACCACTCTATAATACCTATTCTGAGAAGCAGTCTCCTAGTAAGTAGCCAAGCCACTACACTTGTTCCTTGGACATTTTCACTTAGTCCCCTCATCTTCCCCTGGCTTTATCCCACCCTCCCTTTACCCGCGGACTCCAAATTCCCTAAGACACACTCGGAGTTAAAGCATTGTTTAAGCGTCATGGTTTTCATGGCACGTCTTTTTTCAAAAACGCATTTTCTTAATTTCTTGAACGAGGCGAGAATATGTTCGCCGGCTACGACTGGTAATACAGCCTTCCGGGTATCACACTCGTCAATCCTAAGAAACAATATATTGCAATGCGGTCTACATGTGCTACAGTTTATACAGATGCCTCGATAATCGAGGCTAGTGTTTCTATACATGAATAAAGGGCTAGAATTTGACTGGCTTATATATTACTTTGCTAAGAGAATCGTCATGAGCAGCCTTAGGGCAGCTCTTGGCGCAATAAAATTCTCAAGAAGACGTGGTTCATATCGCAATTTGGTTCTGATGAGTCTAAGCCGGTTGCACAACGGATATTGCACTATTATACAAGGTGGTATCACACCTATGTCGATTACTCCTCCATTTGATCCCCTTCAGCAGGCTTATCATCCTCCTTGGTCTCCTCGTCATCATCACCCTCCAAGTGCTTCTTGGCTAACCTCTCAGCCTCCTCCAGTAGCTCCTTGGGTACCTCTTGATGCTTCCCCTTCGTTGGGCCATCCAACCTGCTAATCCACGTCATCTCCAACTCGAACTCCTTATCCTTGTTATCTGCGTGTGCGACATAGATGATCCTCGCAGCCTCCTTGACACCATCCTCGAGACTTAAGTTCCCAGCGGCAAGATCCAGTTTCTCCAGTTCAGCCTTGGCAGTTTGTCGGCCCTTGCCGGTCGCGGCACCATAGTAGCCCCAGTACATTCCGCTCGGCTCGATCATGTACAAGCCTGGTCCACCATATGTCTTGCCTTCAACCTTTCCACCTGCACCAATCGAAGGTCCCTCACCAACTTGACCGTCGACAGGTAACTCAAGCTCGGAGTCCCAGCCTCCTACAATGGCGGTGATGCCAAAGGGTCGTACGGAGGAGTAAAGAGTATATGCTTGGAGGTAACCGCCCATTCGGCTAGCGAGATCTTTGACTGTGATAGGGGTTTTGTAGACGGATCGCCAGCTTGCTGCTTCATCGCGGGCTCGGGATACGAAATGTCTGCCGTCAGGTACGAGGCCAGACGATACCTGTCATCAGATTAGCATACAGGTCCTACCACACCGCATGCAAATAAAATAAGTTGGGGTCAACATACCGCACCCATATGTCTATCGATCGTCGCAATACGCTTGTTCGCTCCAGGCTTTAGCAGTTTGCTGGAGATAACCTTCTCAACAGCAAGTACCACCCCGTCTTTACACCTGATTCCAATGGACGTCCCGCCGTTTTCCACTGCCTTGACCGCATATTCGACTTGGAAATTCCGGCCATCGGGCGAGAAGACTGAGTTCGTCAGATCATAACCCGTGCCTATCGACGTCTATTGTTGTGGATGTCAGCTATGAGGTTCTGGCTCTGGGATGGTTCTGTATGCGAGACGCTCTAAAATATTTGTGAACCTTACCATGATGTTATGCTCTAGATTGAAGGGGAGGTGTAGGTCTTTGAGTGATGAGCAGGATTGTGGGGAGGGACAAGGAAAGTGGAATTGGAGTTGGAGGTTCGCAGCTGTGTTGTTCGTACTTCTTACACGCCAGAGCGAGCTCAAGCTCCAGGCACCATGAAGCGCGCGTGTTGGTCTTAGCGTGGAGCTGTGTTGCAGCCTGAGGACCTGTTGTAATATGAGGCATGAAGATATGCAACATCACGTGTCGAGTTAAAAATCCAGGTCACATGATGTTATTTTTCTCCATAAAGATAACCAACCAACAACCTTCTCCGTACATCCCTTCGTCCTTCAATGACTCTCATTGTCTCGAATATCCAACCCCTAGGGAGGTCTCTGCGGTTTCCCTTATCGCTGTGCTCCAACGGCCCCTCGTAGTACCTTGAGTACGAAATAGAAAAGGGGAAATAGAAGTAGGTACATAATGATGCGATTATCAGGACATGGTCGTTTGAGTTGAATAAAACTCGTTTGCTACGGCCAGAGGACTCCAGCTAGGCCAAGGCGAGCAGATATTATATTGCGCAAAATCTTATAAGGGTGGATTCATCTCAGCTAGCTCTTGATAGCTTGATCGCTAAGTTAACTTTTGGCAGACACTACAAACATTCTGCTTTGAGTACAGTCACCACAGAAAACCACATAGCAGTAGACCCACATTAAAGTTGCCTTATATCTGCCGAAACTTTCTCCGTTCGAACATTCCAATAAAGTGCATATACACGGCGGGGGGCCATCTATTTCTCCGGTAAAGAGAGGCCCCCGCCTAAATATATACAATTAACCACGGCATCTAATTACTTTCATCTCCCGATGGAGAGAACTTAACTATTTAAGTATCGCCAGTTTACTACATTCTTGGAACTTGAAAGATAGGCTTAAAAGTTAATGAGGTTATAGCACCCTATCTAGGTCAATCCCTTCACCAGTCACCTCAGCTCACCTAGGCTATACATAAACTCCACCACCATGCTTCGATTAACTCATAGCATGGGCGCAGTCTTCGGGACCCTTACCGTCATGATGGCGGCCCTCACGCCTGTGTCGGCTGACTGCACTCGCGAGGGGCTCCTGGCAGCGGCCAACAGCTACATAGCAGCACAAACCTCCGGGAAACTCGATGGTCTAAATCTCGTCGCCGGTAACTTCACATACCAAGAGAACAATAAGGTGGCAGATATCAAACGTGGTGTGCTGAGCCAGGCATTAAAAATCGACCTCAACCGCTCCACGGCGGATACCACAGCCTGTGCCAGTTATACGATGATAATTTCATCTGGTGGCTCGAAGCCCTACGTACTCGCAACGCAAATCCGGCATAATGGCAATGATACAAGCTCTATTGCCATGATTGACACGATCGCTGCAACCACCGGCTCCTTGTTTTTTAACGCGGCACAGACCCTTAAATATATACAGGCGGAGGACTGGACTACGATCGCGGCGCAGCCAGAGAGCCGGGAAGTGCTCAAGAAGGCTGGGGACGCCTATCTCGACATGTGGACTGATAAGAATGCCGCTGACTCGATCCCATGGGGATCGCCGTGTGAGCGTGTTGAAGGCTCTATGTTGACCAAACCATGCAATGGGGCGCTCCCGAGAGGTGGTAGTGCCAAGCCGAACTCGATGCGGCGTTATGTTATTGACGAGACGATTGGTTCGGTGGATGTGCTCTGTGCCTTTGATTCCTTGGGGGATATGCCTGACAGCCATGAAATCCGGATGGTTGGGGGCAAGGTAAAATATGTGCATACGATAACGGTTTAGTAGGATAGTATAGTTGTGTAAAATGTTTTCCGCTCACTCCAAAGACTTAATGATCGTGGGTTGAACATCTAGACTGTGAGTCTGTATAAATCCATTTGTGTCCGTGATATGTTGGAGGTCGAACCTTCAAAAGCTACAGGCTAGCCCTCGTATCCATGATGTAATACTTCGAACGCAATAAATCGGATCGGATAGAGGCGCTTCTTAAACAGCGAAATGAATCTGATCAAGTATTATTTATATATCACCAGGAGCGAACTTATGCCTTTATACTAAGAGCACGAAAGGGAGGTTTGATAGTGGGGCAGGCCATGCCCAAAAGGGGGGCGGGGGCTTACTTCAATAAACCTGGGACAATCATTTTCTATTAATAGTAATTATATAAATATTTACTTTCCAAGTCCTTAACTTAAATGGTTTCTGTTTTGAATTCGAAATGCTCAACAAAATACACATTGCGATTCCAACCGATTTAATTAGCGGCTTGGAGCAGCAAGTCGTGTCGCCGAATCATTGGCGAAGGCCACGGCCAACATCCCATGCCACTCGTGTTTCAAAGCCAGTGATTTCATTTCTTCACCGCACATGAGACTCGAGTAGTGGGGAGGGCCACTCGGATTGCAGCGTTCCTCGCTGTGGTCGTATGGAGGGGTAGGGAAGCAGCCTGCTGGTCGGTCACTGTCAGTGGTCAGTCCGCACTCCGACCTGACCTTATTTAAACCTCTTTCGCCCTCCACCTTTGTCCTGTCTTGTCTTGTCCTGTCTTGTCTCCTTTCACAGCTTCCACACGCCCATATTGGCCCTTTGCAAGTATCGCCCGCTATACCGCGTGCACTTCTTAGCATCTCTTTGACTTGGAATATCCCATCTTGCCAGCTCCCAGGATCACCAGGCTTCCACGGCCACCGCCTTTCTCCAGGACCCAGGACCTCCAGGAACCTCCCGGTTTCTTTCTCGCAATACTTCCTGTACATCAAGTACATATCTACTCATAGCATAGTGAATATAAAGCAAAACAAGCAAACTACTTGCACCTGTTCCCAACCCCAAACTCTGCTCTGCCTCGCTCTTTCGAGCTCCCTCTTGCACGTCGCTCAATCACAGCCTGACTACAGTCTCCCCCTGCTCTCAGACTTCTTGTTCTCAGACAACAGACAACGAAATTTACTTAAAATAATAGACAGGCTGGCGCTTTGCAAGGCTACACTTGATCATCTCCAAGTACTTCGCAGCAAGGTATGCTGCATATCTGAGACCTGTGCAGCAAGCTAATACCTCCAGACCAACCCTCTGCCAACTGCTCTGGACTCGCCCACCATGGCGACGCATGAGGAACTCGCAGCTCTCTTTGCACGCAATTTGACCCTTCATAACAATCTCTATGTCGCCCCTGAAGAGAAACCCACCCCGGCTCCAGAACCGATTACATACTCCATTTCCCAGCATTACCACCACTCTACCCACCTCCCAACCCAACAACCATCCAGACCTGCATCCGAGCCTCCCCAGACCGACCAACTTACGGCGGAGATTATCCTTGCGCGGCACGGCGTAGATGTTTCCTCGCTCTTCCCGTCGCAGCTCGATCTCTTCAGGACTGCTGACCCCACACAACAAATGCGCCTTGTCGAGCTCTGGCGGATATGCCCACCCGACTATGGCGGACACGCATTATCACAAGATCTAGGAAACTGGCCCATGACCTCGTTCGAACATGAGGAAAGCATGGCTAAGCTTCGATACGAGCGCCAAATGATGGAGGAGCGAATGGCACGAGTTGGTGGAGACATGGGTAGTGATACCATGAGCGACTCCAGCACCACAGCACCATTGACGCCGATTCAAGGCGGGGATGGGCGATGGGCCGGAAGCCTGCAGCCTGCAGAGCCATACATGACCTCTGGGTACGAACAGCTTGCTCAGCGCGAGTACGAGCGGTCTCAGGGACCATCCAAAGATATCTATTCGCACTTCGGGACAGCGGTCGGCGGGCCCTCATACAGCCACTCTACCGATCCTGTCTACAAGAATGTAGGCGACAATGTGGGCGGCGACTGGGGGCAACTTCTCCAGCACCGGCAGATGGCAATGGAGAACCAATACGGTGCGTTCGAGCAGACTTTCCAGCACAACACGGGGGGAATTGCGGTTGCAATGAATGGACATCGCGAAGACGAGGAGATGTTGTAGATATCACTCATGAAGCATAGTTAGATAGCCAGGTAGATTGCATGGCGTAAAGGTGGTTGCATTTTGCTACATCGAGGCAGATGCCTGGGAAGTTGACTGTTCATTTGTTTGGATGCGATGGGGCTATGGGCTGTCTTCACAGCATGGACTTTTTCGTTGATCGGTGGATTTGATTGAGGAACTGCAAGGGCAAGGAGTTTTTAGGCATCCACTCTCTCTTCTTCGTCTCTTCTTCGTCTCTTCATCATGTCTCCTCAATATGTCTGCAACATTTCTGGTGTTGTTGGGGGATATGAAATCCTGTTCGTTTTCGCGTGAGGTACGTTTTCCACAAGCCGATCTACCTCCCTACCTTCCCCCTCGTCCCTAGCACCATCAACTGGACTTCAATCTCCCAGCTTGCGAGACCCAAGGTACGTCCTGAAACACCTCACGATTTTCCCCACCTCCATCCTTGCGAAAGACGAGGTACGTAACAATACAACCTCCACATCTTCCCCTTGATCCCTTCCCACAGCAATTCCGAAAGCATCGAGTGTCTCACTACTCACCTGAAAGCAAGCTCCTGGACCCGCGCACTGGCTTGATTTGACTCTGGACCCAGGAACCTATTACACACCCTCTTTTTAATTTCCTTTACTTCTAATAATCACAATAAATGAATGAAACTTAACCAATCTTTTACAACTCAATTAACGTGGTTTTGCTCTGACTGTCACCTGAAGTCGTTGGTCTCATCATCCCAACGATACCGCCATCTTCACATGAATTGATTCGCAGCCCTGCCGATCTTCCTCAGTCGCAACTCAATAAATGCGTTTATACCAATGCCTCCCAAAGACTTGCTGACACCCTGTTGATCCATACCGAGCTATCTACCTCATCTAAATGCTAGAATACTGTGATACAATCGCTTGGCCAAATGGCCTGAATGCAGCCCTAGTTGATCACCACAAATCAGAGCAACATTTTCGGGAAGTCGTGTCTATCTGGTTTATTGACTAATCTCCTACACAGCAGGAAGGGTAGAAGTTTGATGTTTCTACTCTCTAGCTGCCAAATTGCTCAGCTAGCTAAACCCAACTCCATAGAATTTCCCCCAGGTGCCAATCCTAACTTCTGTTTTGTTCTTCTAAATTCACACATACGCCTAGTGGTGTTGACTATCCCCTACACAAATCTCCGCCCATTTGAAATTAATTCAGGACTTCTCATGCTCATGTATCTGCAGTTTCTCTTAGTCTTGCATCTTAATCTACCCCTAGGTTATTGCCGGATGCTCGGTCTTCTTGTTTGATTTCAGCAGATACGTCTAGCAGGTTCTGAATCCCCTGTTCCGATTCCAACCGTTCCTTGTTTCGTTTCCCAAAGCTTTGGTACAGTTTCAGCTGTTCTTTCTGGAATTGGAACTGTAGCTCTCGTTCGCGCGTAAAGCTTCCTGCATGCATGTTCTTCCGGTACTCCCGGTTCTTTTCTTCTAGTTCCCTATGGTACTGCTGGGGTCTATCGTTCGAGTCCCGCTGATGGCTGAAAAGTTCTTGAATCTGCTTCTCGTGTTTGGCAACTCGTTCATCCAGCGGTGTAACATTCATTTCTTGTGCAAGGTCCTGGCCGGCTGGTATATCGTCTTCATAGCCACGAGAGCCACCAGAACGGACATTTACCAAACTCGGTTGGTGCTTCGAACGCGAGTTAGTTTTACGCAGGGCCCTTCCTAATCTTCGATAAGAGACTTACCCAGTCCCCATCCTGCCTTCTCTCGATCGCGCTCAGGCGCTCCTCAATTCGCTGCATACCGTCCAGAAGTTTGTTTGTTAGCTCCAACAAGCCCGTAGATGTTTCCCGGATAGCCCGAATTATAGGCAGATGTGGTGTTTCCTTTGCTTCTTCCGCATCCCTCTTCTCCCTCGCCTGCCATTGATTCAATGCAATATTAAACTCGTATTGTCTGTTTCCGAGAAAAATAGTTCCGACTCGTCCAGCTAAGTAGTCAGTGGCAGCTGTCCTGAGCTTCTGTAGAAGAGGAGCAAGCTCAACAGGGACCTATGGATATTAGCTGCGCTCTCCCCAAAAGGAAAACAAGACAATTACTGGATCACACGGTACGTCTCTGCCTGCACACTCAAAGCATTTCCTCAGGATGCTCCCCGGCTTCCTTATGCATAGCAGGTCCGGAAACTTCTCAAAATCCCCTGCGCAACGTAGACAAACGTGCATGCCGTTATCGTGGTCTGCCATTGCATCCTCGTCAATAGGTTGGCGACTCTTAATGTAATGACCAAGCAGTCGGGGTTTCCCTTTCCCGTTTCTCCTGTCATACAATGCCACATCTGCGGCAGACAATATGGCTCTGGAACTGGAACTGATTTGGGAAGAATTAGTTGATAAGACTACCTTGGATCGACGACGGAACAGAACATACGGGAGTGCTGATGATTGCTGGCCGTCCGTTTCTGCCAAGACTCCTTCGTACTCTGGTTGTTGATTTGCTCCTGGCGCCTGATCTCTACGCTTTGGGTCATGGTTTTCGCTCTCTAGTGACTGGCGTTCTTCGTCCATCCTCTTCCGCTTCCTCGTGTGATCCTTCATTGTAGACTTTGGCGGCATCTCTGCTGGTATAGCTGATACAAGCCCTATAGTCTTTTTCCTAGGAGCTTGGATCAGAAATTATTTTCAGTTGTAGGATGCTTGAAAGTGAGGATCACGACAAATTACCGAGAGCTTACTAGCCGATGAGGTAACTGGCAATTAGGCTCAGAGGAGTTGATAGGAACAAATTACCTTGCTTGCAACGATATCCTGTTACGAGTTTTGATGTAAATCGTTGGATATAGCTTGTTTTGGGAGGATTCCAAGGGTTGGAAGGATGGGCAGGACGGCTTCAAGTTGAGATCATTGAGAGCGCTAATATGCTAGCCCGGGGGTGAATATTGTTTTTTTTAGAGTAAGGATAAAGTGAGGGCGGTCACACGCAAAGGAAAATTCTAAATTTGTAAGTCTACCGACCAAGCTGTCCTAAAATTCACTGGACATTCATATCTTACCCCACCCAAGTTCGGCTTCACAGTGCAACAATGTTGATAATTTGGAGTGTATGAGCAATGGTATTACACCTCGAATTGTAATTTTATTTACAGTGGAGGCATATTCCCCTTCTGGCAGCCTATAGACAATGGCTCCATTCTCAAGCCTGATGTCGGGACTGTTGGAGACGTCGGGAAATGTTGTAGAGGAGGTGTTCAAAACATGCTTCGCGGATCATAGGTCTATTTCGTAGTGGCGGCGGTTCGGCGAAGCTGATGTAAAGTCCCAGCTGTAGCTAGTTAGTCGATTATCTTGAAAGCTTTCGTCGTTCCACTTACTGCGATGCTTAATTAGACACTTGCTCTTCTGGATCGTTTGCCACGCCCGGCAATCAGCTTGGATGTGCCATACTCCCTTGACGATTTAAGATTCATGCTAATTAACTCATCGGTCTGCTCCAACAGTCTCTCTATGGCAGCTACTTGTTGTTGGCAGGATTCACTAATTGCGTCGATTTGCTTCCGTTCCTCTTCTCTGCTTGCTGCTAATTCCTGCACTAAGTTGCGGAGCTCAGCTTCCTGTCTGTGGAACCGGGCAATCTGTTCATCAATTGAGGGCCCGTTCACGGGATCGTTTTGCTTGCTGATGAGGTTGGATAAATGCTCCATGAGCGTTTCAGCCGAATCTTGAGGCATGGTGCCGATTTGATATGGCCTGTACAGTTCATGTTAGAATTTGACCGTTGACTGTGGGTTGGTTAGAAGGTGAGAGCCGGGGGAAGTGAGAAAAATAAGATATTCATGAGTAAGGGAACTTGCCTGTGGGCACAGAGGGGTTTCCTTTGAGGAGACTTTGATGCTATGTACAAGGGGGGGTTGTTTCTAGACAGCTTTGTTGCCAGGAAGTTGGTTGTGGGAAGAGCTTGATTGCTGGAAGACCAGACAAAGAAGAGGTGAAAGAGACCGAACTTAAGAAAACCCGGTTTGTTTAGCGATATCTTAATTGGGACTTATAATGCCAACTTATACCGCTCAACATGACAACACTTAGATTTCATCCCTTTAAATAATTTGTCATCTCGTGCTAGAGGCAAAGAGTTGCTGCATCCTAGGCTATCTCTTCCCCTCTGAAACAGCCCGTTCTACCCCTTCCTTGATCAAGGAGTCTTGGGAAGATGGTTTTGCTCCTAAGGCTCTTTAACATTTGATTTGACAAGGAGGCTATGTCTAAGGTAAACACCCTTCGGTCATCAATCCAACTCATTGACGTTTTACTAACAGAGCTTTTGCCCTGCAACCCTCTACCTAGGTAATTTAAACTTGTGTTTCGGTCTTCCTTCTGAGATAATACATTTATGTGCAAAATCATTCTTCGGCACTTGGACACTGCGGTATTTTATACTCGTAATTCATGTTGATTTCATGTGGTGTTCTGTAAATGCTTGCGCTTAGCTTAAAATCGGTATGCTGGGAAGATCTAGGAAGTCTGATCAAAAGGAAATACGCCGGATTTATTGCCAACTGGAGAATAAAGGGTCATACTTCATTAATTGGGTGGGATGACGGAGAGATGGCGAGGAGACGGTGGAGCACTGAGATTCCCTCGGTACTTTTCTGGTCGCTCTGAAAGACACCCACGCCGATCCAGCTTCGAATAGTCTAATCAGCTTCCCTTGCTCCCGCTTCTTTCACCAGCAAGATTATCAGCAAGTTAATGGGGACTTCAACCACCATCAGCATGGGAGCTGAGGATAAGGGTCGGTGACCAGGAATTTCCTACCTGGATAATGACTTCATCACTTCGAGTGGGGATGGAAGATGAAGACTAACAACTGAGTGGTCAAAATATTCGGAAACTGGGAAATTGATAAATGGCAAACTCAATAAAGTCACCGATGACAGACGAAGGACCCTTTGTGCTTGTAGTTGAGGTATTATTATCGTTGCCCCGGCAACAGAGCTAGAAAAAGTAAAGCACCCAGGTACGAAAGGTGCAAAGGGTGGTTGCTATCCTGACTTCTGCAATCAATCCCCTTGGGTGGAGTTGGCCGGCAGTAGATAGCCAAGATACTGTCATCCTCCCATTTATATATCTATCTATTGCCATATATATATAGGTAGCTATGTCGTTCCCCATCTTGTGGCCAAATTTCGTTCCGGTAGTCTATTGAGCGAGGGGTACAAAAATGGTGACGCAATCTACTCGCTACCCCGCCACGTCGAGACCTGGAACCTAAAACACCGAAGAGTTTCTTAAATTCATGTTTTGAATTCTAGCAGGAAAGGCTGAAAGAGGTACTGAAAAGGGAAACCCTCTAATCTATGTCTTTGTTAGAAAGAGTTACCTCTTGTGAATCCATATCTCCAGACCGAGGGGGATCGCCCTCGGAGTTCATTCGAGATCGAACATTAAGTTTCAACCCTCTTCCAAGATCCTGGGTCTCCCCTTCAGTTGAGAAAAATGCTCCAGAGACGGTGGGCGCCTTCGAGGTATCCAGATCAAAGAGAATTTGTGAGTGGCTCTTTTTGCGTAAAATTATCCTCATGCCAGTGCTAATTTCCTCTGTATAGTACAGGTTGTCACTGCGGCCATCTACTGCCTGTTCTCGGCCGGTATAGTCTTCGGATATGCAGCCCTCAAGCCAATTCTCATTCGCGAGGGAGTATATCGGAATTACTGCACGGAAGAAGAATTGGAGAAGGGAATGCGGACATGTTTCGATCAAGAGATCCGTCTGAATTTGATGTTCACTGTGGCAGCTGTGGGGACCAATGTAGCAGCTCTCCCCATAGGCGCTATACTTGACATCCTAGGGCCTCGAGTCTGTGGTATAATTGGGAGCTTTCTGCTTGCCTCTGGAGCACTCTTATTTGCTTTTGCATGGCAATTGCCTTTCGATGGCTTTATCCCGGGATATCTCCTCCTTGCGCTTGGAGGTCCATTCGTCTTCATCTCCTCCTTCCAGCTCTCAAATACGTTTCCCAAGCACTCCGGGCTTATCCTTGCCTTGCTCACAGGTGCTTTTGACTCTTCAAGCGCCGTATTTCTTGTTTACCGCATGATCTACCAATGGAGCAATACTACTTTCTGGCCCAAGAAATTCTTCCTTGCGTACCTCGCTATTCCCGGTTTTATTCTGCTTGTTCAGATCTTCGTTATGCCAAAAGCATCCTATAAGACGGTCGGCGAGCTTGTCAAACAAGCCAAAGATGCTGAAGAAGCGATCTATGACGATCAACTAGATGAGCACACTGCTCTCCTCCGCGATGAACGACGAGAGAACCCGCAAAAACAAGTTATTACCGAGATAACCGACCTCCTAGGATCGACAAAGGGTGGTAGCCAACGAAAGAAGGAGAAGGACAAGAATTCTATATCCGGAGTCTGGGGAGTTATGCATGGCAAAACCATATCCCAACAAATTCTCTCCCCTTGGTTCATCCTCATAGCCCTCTTCACCATAATCCAAATGACCCGCATAAACTTCTTCGTCGCCACCATCCGCCCACAATACGAGTACCTCCTCTCATCTTACGAGAAAGCAGTGGAAATAAACACATTCTTCGACGTAGCCCTACCCATTGGCGGGCTCCTCTCCATCCCTTTCATCGGCTTAATCCTAGATCACACAAGTACTTTCTCCGTACTCTTAGTGCTAGTAACAACCGCTACTATAATTGGGGTTCTAGGCTGTCTGCCATATACTTGGGCAGCCTATACAAACGTGTGTCTCTTCGTCCTCTACCGGCCCTTCTATTACACAACCGTATCGGACTACTCCGCCAAAGTCTTCGGCTTCCGAAACTTCGGCACAGTGTACGGACTCATTATTTGCCTCGCGGGCTTGTTCAATTTCAGTCAGAGCGGCTTGGACGCATTGCTGCATAAAGTCTTCAAAGGCAGTCCGGTTCCTGTGAATATCATGCTTTTAGGGAGTGCGTTTGTAGTTGGGACGGCGTTGTGTGCTTTTGTGGGGTTGCAGGCGCGCCATATTGAGAGGATCGAGTTAGAAGATGAGGCAGAGGAGGCGCCCGAGGTTCCTATACCTGTGATGCAAAATGGCCGATAATGGTAAGATGTAAGACATTTGGGGTGTTGAGCGATTTGAGCGTGTTTATGAAATATAGGAGTTTCTGCTTTGAGGTGAGAGGTAGGGCCTTGTTATACCCTTTTTTCTCTCTCTCGGTTACATAGAGCGGGTGCTCTGCATAGGTGCTTTTAATTTTTTACGGGAATAGTCGATTTATAATGCCTCGATGAGAGATTCCACCGAGTAAATCAAAGAATATTTGTGTAGCTGCGTGGATTTATACTATCTTTGCTTTTGACTCGCCATCAAGTCGGCTGCACGCGCTGTTGAGGTTCGGAATTAGGTATGTGATATATTCGACTCATACTGTGTGCGTGCACTATGCTGGAAGATATTGGACGTCGTAACGAAGCTATCCTCCTATTTCCTTCCAAGCACGCCCCCTTAAGTCAGAGCATGAGAGTGATGCCTCTCAAGATACTTCAGAAGTTGTCCATAAGACTTTATCTCCAGTCATCGCCTTATCTCAATGCTTTTTATTGATGCTATTCCTTATCAGCTCTATAATCTCCAAATCCCATCCCTCAACGCACCCGATTTTGTTCAAGCCACTCATCCAGCCTCCCTTGCAACGGAAACGGTACTTCCGGCATGTCTCTCGCAGAAACTTCGTAAAATTTCTCTGTAGTTTTATTCTTGAGGGGATCTGAGTGCACTAGAAGCTCCACAGTGGGAGCATCGGCAAACGTAACAGCCGTGGGCTTCTCCAGGCATATTTTAATATCTGGGAAAAGATACGTGCCATCAGAATTTATAACTGCTGCACCGGTAGGGAGGATGAAGCATTCGTTAATACGATCGCCAAGATGTGTAGCTAGCGCTTCCAGGGTTTGGAAGGACGATTCCTCCATTGTCTGAAACGGTTAGCTCAGTAAGTTTTAAGGCATTATTGAAGAATAAATACCTTGATAACTACTTGTTCCAGCTTGTTGTACTCATCTGGCAAGTTATGCCATGGGTCTATCTCAACATTGGCGATAACAATTTGTTTTGCAAGGCGCTCATTGGAATTGACTCCAATGAGTGTTGGAATCCTGAGACCGTGAACCCCCAAAACCAGAGATATCGCCCCGGGACGATCCCGTTGTTGATCATAATACAAAGACTGCGTGAAACTGATTCCAGCACCAAGTAAAGATGCTTTGGGCAACAAAACTGTAATTTCCAATGCCGTCATAACATCGGACTTGAGAATCGGATCTTGACTCTCCTTATTCAGAGCGAATTGGGATAATTTTGGATCAACGGAGTGCGTTAGGAAGAACAGAATGGCATTCGTGAGAGATGCGAGAGAGGAAGCTTCCTCGACCGGTACTTCATTGGGTCTAGAAGCGTTTGATTTGGTGAATTCTTGACAGGCTTTTAGAATCGCTTTGCTTAAGGTCCCGTAATGGACGGTGCTTGTTGTGACGGCATCTTTAGTTGAGGCTGACTCGAAAGGCGCCCGGAGGAAAACATTGGTAGAAATTAAAACAGGTTGTTGTTTCCTTAGTCGTCCCCAGGCATCTTTACCCACTTCGAGGGAAGTTTGGAGGTTCTTTACGCGGATCACTGCTGGCGCTTGGCCAATTGCTTGGTGTACTTCCCATCTATGGACGAGTTGCGATTCAGTTTCATTGCTATTGTTATTAGCTCGCGGTAGACGGAGACGAAGATTGTAATTCATCTTGATAGGAGCGAGTGAATAGGTGTTTTGGTACCACAATGACGTGTGGGGGCAATAGTACAAAATAATTCTTCGCTTGGCATTTCAGATCACATGATGGGGCCCCTTAATGAACTAAATCAAAAAGGGAACGATTATCCTATAGATTATTTTAAGTTTGGGTTTGATAATAAGCCAACCTAATCCAGGCTATGTTCGAATAGCTATTTCGTAAGCAATTTGTCCCCAACTCCAAGAGCTGAGCATTCCCAGCTCTTCGCTCCACCCAGACCAGCCTTCCCCCCTACCTGCCCAAACACCACGCTAATATTCCAAAAACACCCCCAATCAGTAATTATTTCTTCGTATTCTTCGTGCAAACAGGGCAAATCCACGTGCCAACTGGCTCACTCTTAAGCCCAACACATGTCCAATGAAACCACTCATAAGGGCAGCTATCATTATCACAAGCCACCATGTCGCCATAGCTCACGCTTTGACACACACAGTATTTCTTGTCATCGGCGCCATCGTCCTCCTCAACATCGGCCATCTCTTCGTCCTCATCGGCATTTCTGCCTCTTGCTGGGGGTGTCCCAGTCTCTTCCTCCGCCGATGCAGATTCTGCTTCGCTAAGCTCACTATCATTCGTAGATGATGGAGAGTTCTTAGTGCCAACACGCTTCAGCCTGCTAAGGCTAGATTTCACAGGCTTTCCTTTGCGTGGCACCCCGCTCTGCCTACTGCCTTGGGGAGCGACCTTCTTAGTGGCCGCAGATTTTGATGACGCCCTGGGTCCTGCGCTCCCAGCTCTGCCTCCAGACGGCGTACCAGCTCGTGGTGTTCCAGGAGTGGCCGAAGAGTGGCGGGCAAGCCCACTAGGTGGAAGGCTTCCAAGACCTCCAGTTAGACGCTGCCGTTTGTTTGCAGCACCCTGCGAAGACTCTCGGGCTTGTCGGTTTAAGAGTATTGGAGCAGCGGGAGTAGCAGGGGCAGATGCCGTCGTAGGCCCAGTCAACTGGCGAGCTTGTACGTGTGCGGGCAACCGAACAGGATATTGGTTTGGATGTCGAGTATGTGCTGCGGAGGGGGCGTTGGCCGTGATCGGGTTAAGGGGCGTGGCGGCGACAGCAGGCTCGGGACGAGTAGCGGCGATGCGCTCTTGTTTTGTCTGAGGCCGTAGGAGTGAGGGGACATCTGGATCGTTCGGGAACTCCCCTTTATCCTGTAAAGCCTTGATATGGCCGTCAAGGTAGCGTGTGTGTTTATCGACAACCTGCTGCGTCTTCTGGGCCAGCGCAACCTTCTCTTCCTGCAGTATCTTGGCCTTGTCGTAATTCTCAAGAATAATCTTGCTGAGGGCCTCCTCGCGAGGGTTTGGGGTATGACTCCCATTAATGCGAATCCATTTCTGGATGGCGGTATCGTGTTTGTTGATGACGGTAAGGCACTCTTGCATCTGCCGGTCCTTCTCTGCTATCTCCTCCTGCATGAAAGCAATCTCTGCGGGCAGGTTTGCCACGCGGTTGGTCCACTCGTCGAGGACTGCGGCGGCATCTTGGTGCTCGATCTGGGGCATCTTCCTGCCCACGAAGTCGATGGAAAGGTCGTCTCTGGGCATGGTTGTTAATGGCGATGGGGTTCAGGCTGAGGCTCAGCGGGTTCAGAAGCAACAGCGCGCCACGCAGAGAGACAAAATCAGAGATAGGCGCTGCAATAGCTGGAACAACTGCAGCTGCAACGCGCGTAGGTAGATAGATGTATGTTGCAAAGTGGTATGCTCACCTCTAATGGTAAAATTCTTGACCTGGACTGCCCGCCCTTGCTCGATAAGGGAGGGATCGTGTGCGGAACGAGGAAGCAGGGCCCTGGTACGCGGGCACTGGGCACTTCTGGGGGTCAACGATCGGGAGATTGAAGATGTGGGTGGATGTGGATGTGGGCAGATTGTGGATGTGGATTTCGGTGCTTTGGCTCTTTGGGAGTGATGTTGCAAGGGGCTTCGCGCAACGCCGTAAATAAGACGCCAGTGGCGCGATATTGAATCTACGCCTTCGTAGTGTCTGTGCCCGTTCAGCCTCGTCACTGGTGTCAGCACTATGTATGATACTCGTACTCGGCGCCTCGGAGCGGACTTTTCTTCTGCCGTCGCCTTGTCGCATTTGTATTTGTACAACTGCATCTACAACAACTACCAAGGACGACTAATAACTCGAAGATACAACATACTGCCGCGCGCCCATCCGGCCCAATCCTCTTCATGCGACACTATTGTATGGCATGGGCTGACCATTCTGAACAAAGGATTAAGAGTATTTACCAATATTGAGGGCCGAACATGATATTGGCATAGCTCTGCACTTCACGGATAAAGGTAACTTAGTTGCCACCCATCGAAAAGACGACCTCCAGTGATCATAATACTAACAACTCCTTCCGTATACAGAAATTTCCCTTCGGTTTCAATCCTCGAACCTTTGTTAGCGGAAATTTTTAGATTCTATCTGCGGATAGTATTGGCTGCGGACGAGCTTTCGAATCCTCACTCACGCCCCTCCAACGCATACCACCGGCGTCGCAAACATCTCCAAGCGCTCGCTGTGATATATCTCCGTCGCACATTTAGTTGCGAGCGCCCGTCATCCATTAGCCCCGACATTCTTGCAAAATGGTCCTCTCAGAGAATGGCATCGTCCAGGAGTACTGGCACCCGCTCATGCAACAGGGAGACTCTCAAAATCTAGAATTATTGGGAAAAGTCAAGAGAGAAATCGAGCAGAATGGGATCACGCGACCTAAGGGGTACAATGTTTCCTGGCACTCGAATCCCGAGATCGAGAAGCACCATTTTGGGCATGCTCACCCGATGAAGCCGTGGCGACTAACTCTCGCCAAGGGCCTGATTATGGCTTATGGGATGCATGCCGCCATGGATACATATGTGTCGCGACAAGCAACAAGGGAAGAGTTGGAGGACTTTCACAGTGCCGAATACCTGGATTATCTCAAACTGGCCAAGGTGGCCATACCCGATGACGAGTCTACCAACCAGTTCAGTCTTGGTGGGTCCGACTGCCCTATTTTTGAAGGGCTGTTCAACTACTGCTCGATGTATGCCGGGGCTTCGATCGATGCAGCCCGCAAGCTTTGCAACAATGAGTCGGACATCGCAATCAACTGGTCGGGAGGTCTACATCACGCGAAGAAGGCCGAAGCTTCCGGATTTTGCTACGTAAACGATATTGTACTGGCAATTCTCCAGCTACTACGGAAACACCCCAGAGTCTTATATATCGATATTGATGTACATCATGGAGATGGCGTGGAAGAAGCCTTCTGGTCGACGGATCGGGTCATGACCCTTTCAATTCACAAATATGATGGTCTGAACTTTTTCCCAGGAACTGGCGATCTCGAACGGACGGGGCCAGATAGCGAAGAGAATCCCGGCGCACACCACGCCATCAACGTACCTCTAGCCGACGGTATAGACGACGAACAATATATTTGGCTATTTAAAACTATTGTGGGGATGACAGTTGAGCGGTTCCGACCGACCGCAATTGTTCTGCAATGCGGTGCAGATTCCCTGGCTGGGGACCGATTGGGTCGATTTAATGTGCAGGTCCAAGGTCACGGAGCTTGTGTCGCCTACTGCAAATCCTTAAATATTCCACTTCTTCTTGTTGGTGGTGGAGGCTATACTCCGCGCAATGTTGCACGAGCCTGGGCCCATGAAACCAGCATCGCCATAGGTTGTGATGCCACATTGGATCCCATAATTCCGGTGCATACTCCTTACCGATCACATTTTCGGCATGAAACTATCTTCCCAACGTTGGAGCAGATCGTCGGCGATCCACGCCCAAATCGAAATTCGGAGAAGAAGGTTAGGGATATAGTCGCATCGATCACCGAACAACTTCGCTTCGTCAACTGTGCCCCAAGCGTTCAGAGTAACGTTATCCCGCCTGACCTCACCGCATGGAAGGATGATGTGGAGGATAGGCTAAGGGAAGAGAGGGAAGAGTATGATAAAGAGCTGAGAAGGAGCAAGGAGCAAGGTCATGGGGTACCTATGGAATATTAAATGGTATTGGGATGGAATTGTTGATGCTTTATGTTTGAGCAAGGCGTCTGGTGGCGGTTCTATCAAAAAGATATGCTTGGGGCGTTAGGTAACATACGCAAAAGAGATATACCGTCGATTCAAACAATAAATGTGCATAAAGCACACAGTTCACAAGATTATCCTTAATTCAATCGCTATGATCATAGTCAAGACAGCAATTTATCTTCTACGCCATTTAATGCCAGTTCTAGGAGTCCAGTCTAGTTTAATGCCGCTCTAATAAAACGCTAAAAAATACGATGCCAAAATAGAAAAACTACGATAACTCCATTTTCGTAACTCAAACCTTACGGCTCAGAGCGATATCACCATTCGTGATTTCGTTGATGAAGGCTGGGTCTGGGTCAAAAAGCATGACATGGAAGTGCTCCACCGAACGGATGGATTTCAGAGATCCCCAATTCTTGAACCAAATCACCTATATAAACCTACGTTAGCATTCCATCAGGCCTCATTAGATGTATACAATCTAATCAAACAGCATAGGGTGAATATAAAAAGCAAAAAACAGTAGGAAAGAACTTACATTATCCGCACCCACCCTCCTCTCAAATTTCTCCTCCACAAACGCCCCAATCTCCCCCCTGGCCTTATCCGTCAGATCCCCCGTCGTAGGATCATCCTGCAGCCCAAACTTGGTCCATACAACCAAATGTACAATGCGTTCATCAATCCCATACGGCCAATCGTTCCACAAAATCTTGACATCAGTCTCCTTCTCAAACGGTTTCCCCTCCGCAGTAATAGGCTGTTCCCATTTTAATCGCTCGCCAAGGATGAAGTTCATGACGCTGCCGTGGGCCTTGCGGAGATAGTAGTTGTATGCCAGGTAGCGGCGAAGCTGAGAGGGGACGCGCTGGAAAACATCGAGGCGGTTTGCGACGATGATAGCCTGTACTTGGGGCCAAGTTAGGATCTCATAGCGGTGATCGGGGGTGGATACTATTTGCAGGTCTTTGGCGATGAGGTTTTCGAGAAACGGCGGACAGGTTGCGGTTCGTTCAGCAGGGGGAACGTTGATTTGCCAGTAGGGGAGGAAAGAGGCGTCGGCTTCGGAGGCAGCCGTGTGGGGGAGGTTAGGGGTCGTGCTACCCATAATTGCACTATGTTATAGGTGAGTTCGTGGGGGTGAAGAGGATTCGATATTAGGCTGTTTGATGGCGGTTTGTTGATCGATAGTTTATTATCGTTGATATGCAGGTACGCGCAGGGAGGGTGCTGTTGCCAAGGGATGGGAAACTCGTAGGGCACAACGTACTGGGGTTTATATAGGTACGAAGTACTGTACTGTACCATGGCAGGACAGAAATTCTATTGTGAATATAATGGCTGTTTATTTTCTGATTTCATGTCATTGTAATAGGTGGCAAATCCCCTGTCGGATCTCGGGGTTTCGTTGTTGAACTAGTGTGTGAGACCAAACGCTGACATCCCCAATTTGTGCTAAATATAAACCTCCTGGCCTTGAACAATGTTCTACTTGAAGTGCATGTCTACTACATAGTCACCCAAAACCTAGCGAGCTCATGGTATTACAAATGGTTATCTTTCCCTTCGCCGAATACTGTTAGCTAATGCTTTTGTTTAGACTTTTCCTTTTTCCTCCATTTCCGCGCTTCTTTTATGCATTGATTCTTGGCTTTGTACTATTTTCTTGTCTTTCAGACACACCCCGCAACACTAGTGGAGAAGGCTTATTATCCTAGCAACCTACTTCGTACACATCTACTATGTAGAAATGGTCAAGCCAGCCACCGGCCTTAAGAAAGTTCATAGTATTTATAAATCCAACTACAAGCCCAACTTATCCTGTCAAACCACCGGCCTACTTTACTATCTGCAAACTAACGCGACAGAAAGATGTCGAGGAGATATCGTGACATCGAAGCAATAGCCACCGCCCTCGGTTGCTTCTTTCACCGCCCGAATTGCCAGCAAACCTACGTGTCTACTATAAGGCCAAATAAGCAAAAGGCTATTACTCGGCACAAGGGCCGGCCACTTGGCGAAGTGGTCGACGATCAAATTGTGTGTGCGAGGTTGGAGAGAGTTACTGTCTTTATCTTAGAGAGATCTCGAAAAAGGCTCAGCCAGCAAAAGCATAAAACTCAGTTCGTCTGGTTTTAGCCAGTGGCGGGCGCCGAAAGGCGCTTCCTGGATTTTTGCACTTTTCATTTTCTGGTCTTTTTAGATTTTGTCGCGCTTTTATTTGTAGCTTTCTTTTTTCGTTTTAGTACCAGCGGAGTTCTGATAAAATACGATCAGAGCTAGCACCACATCAAGTCCCTGCGGAGGTAAGCTGCCTTGCCCCGCGTCAGTCCAAGGTGTAATTAGTAAGAAGCTGACATCGGCGACAATAATCGACGCATGTATTTCAACGGCGAGCGGAGGTGAATTACACCTAGGCAGCCTACCATACGTATCAACCCCGCCCCATATCCTAATACAAACACCGTAGCTTATACACAATAGTAGTAGTACCTTCTATGCAGTGAGTTGTAAAATCGGGTTCGTTATATTTCGCCTCGAATATTCTCAGTATAGACCGTGTCAGTCATTTTTAGCACTGACAACCGCGTGCTTAACGTCCCCCTTTGCCATTCACAATGACGACCAGCACAGCTCCTTCGAAGCCATGGGCCGACACCCCCCTTGTATTAATACCAACTCCAAACTTAGTTACAAAAAAGGTGACCTTCTACTATTCTGTTGTGATGAGCTGGTGAACTCAAATACTTCGGTGTAGCACGATTTGTTTACGAATGGTTCGAGTCACATGTGTATGCTGCACAACTCCACCTTCCGGGGCTATAATTCTATCTATCACCAGACACTATATATCGCGGAAGCCGATAAGGCTGACTTCATCGGTTATTGTTTGACGTGGCATAAATTCGTGAAGACGCATGCCGACAATGAAGACACGATTCTCTTCCCGAGGACTGAGGAGCTTTTGGATGACAAGACAATTTTCGAGGCGACGCACAAGGAGCATGGTATGTCAGAGCCTACTCGAGTATCTAGATCACGGTGAACGATGGAACAGATGAGCTAATAAGCAACTCCTGGTTACCCAGAGTTATTCTACCCGGGCTTGGCTAGTTTCCACGATTATCTAGTTAGCCTCAAGTCGCCAAGCAACTTCTCAGGGACGAAATTGCTGGAGATCATGGCTGCTTTCCAAGAGCCGTTTGAATCCCACATGTGATCCGAGATCTCTACCATCGCGAACCTAGCGAAGCACCCGCGAGCGCCTAAGGAAGGGAGTGCGGAGGAGAAGCTTACGGAGGCCGAATTTGACTCGCGTGAAGCTAACAATACCATCATGTCAGGCATCACGGACGTCTTCCCTTTCTTTCTGTTCAACTTCGATCGCGATTATGAGGATGGTCTCTGGATGAACTGGCCGCCGATCCCGGTTCCGGCCAGGTTTATAATGATGGGCATTGGAAGGGTTGCGCATCCGAGATGGTGGAAGTTTGCGAGTTATGATGCGGGAGGACAGAGAAAGGCCTTGATATGCTGCTTCGGATTTGTAGACGGAAGGGTACCTATGTACATGTACTCGTGCGGCCCAAAAGTCCTAAAATTAGATCTTGAATTACCCATTCTAGCAATGGCTTATACAGGCCAAGCCCACTATATATTCCTGAGCAGTTCGACAGCATGATACGAAGATCAAATCGTTGCCCATGCATAACACCAATCACGTTTCCAGTGTTTTGACCTGAACAGACGTTGATAACGAGGGGCAGAACAGAACAGCACAAATTAGGCGGTTTGATATAGTGTACCAAGTCATTGCTTCCTTGTTTACAATCCAGACAACGTCCAATTTACATGTCTCAATTTTATCTTTTCCCTCGAACCTCTATTGGATAATTGACACTGGAGCTACGATATCCTCTCTCAATTTCGACCACCGGCTTGTTTGCACACGCCCGTCTTTAAATACCCCTAGAAGATGTTTCTCAGGCTCGTCAAAAATCCCAATGTTCTCCAATGGATTCTTGTTCAAGATTAGCAGATCCGCCGCAAACCCTGACTTGATCTGCCCCAGGAAATCCGCCTGCCCGAGCAGACGTGCCGCTGTGACGGTTGCACTCTGTAAAATGACTACAGGCGAGAGAACATGTGCTCGCAGAGCGAATTCCTTAGTCTGCGCAACGACCATAGGGCCAAGGAGGTCTGTGCCGAAGCAAATATGGACGCCAGCATCCGAGGCGATTTTTAGCGATCGTTGTCCTGCTCCTAGGACTTCCTTAAGCTTGGCCTCCATGCTAGGATGCGACATGAAGCCCTCGAAATCTGGAGAAGCCGCCATGGCGTAAGTGGTGAGTGTGGGTGTCAAAAAAGCCCCTTTTTCAGCCATGTACTTTGCCACCTCTGCGTCCAAGAGATTGCCATGTTCAATGCCCATGACTCCATTATCTAGAGCATGGCGAATGGCAGCAGGAGTATAGGCATGAGCAGTGACATAGGTCCCGCTGTCCTTTGCAACAGTGGTGATGGCTTGAATCTCCTCGGCGCTGAATTGCACGCTGGTGATTTTTTCGGAAAGGCCAGTTATGCTGCCACCAGTCATGATCTTGATGAAGTCGGATCCAGTTCTAATCGCTTCTCTAGCGCCTTTGATACATTCGGGAATACCATCACAAACTCTGCCCAAATATTCAGGTCCCCCGCAACATTCACTGTGATCATGGGGACCGCGGGAATCAGCGCTGCCGCCGGTTTGTGTCAGCAGTCTACCTGCTATGAAAAGTCGAGGTCCGACAATGACACCTTCTTCGATTGCTTCCTTCAACGCAAGGGTCGCACCTCCACAGTCACGGACGGTGGTAAAGCCTCTTCGGATCATCTGGAGACATACGTAGGGCTGCCGCAGATATGAAATTTGTTCCGCGAGTCCTAGAGTGTCCCTAAGATCCTTCTCTCCCGGCACTGCTGCAATGTGAACATGGGCGTCAATAAGACCGGGGCATACGTATTTTCCCTCGAGATCTACGGTGATTTCGGAACCTTGGGGTGGTTCTTCCAGCTTGATGGCTCGCGTAGTTGTGACTGATTGAATGGTTCCCTCCGAAAGCCTAACTGTGGCACCCTCCAACACAGATCCGTCAATGGGATTGACTATATTTGCATTTCTCAAGATATAGGTGTTCTGAGGTGCTAATTTCCACGGGGGGACCAAGCCTGAAGATGTCATGTTTTGTTCTTCAGGCACGTGAAACCAGTGCGGTGATTGTGAGTACTCGTATGTTCTTCTCTATCTGAGAATTCAGTTGCATCCCAAGAGTGAGGGCTAGAGGACATTGGTTCGACTACCTATATACATCGTTATTTTTGATTCTCGGTACGCAAGTAAGCGACAGATCGACAACACCAGAGTGAATTCTAAGCACTAAAAGAGATTATTGATAGTTCCCGACCCCATACATAGGTACAGTGTGACCGTTATCAAGTATAAGGCAGAAGAATTTCTTGTAGTGGGCTACCAATTTGATTTCTTGATAGTTGTTAGTCTCCACTCGTTATGAGTTGCCTCTTTCAGCCAAGGAAATTATCTTGGAGGATGAAAGCCCTGGTCTTTACGAGTTAAGCGACATCTCGCATTTGGCCGAGGCCAGAGCGTCGGGGAATAACGCACCAATTGAATTCACTTCGTCCTGGGCTCCCTCTTCGGGAAAATATATTATCGTGAGCGGACCCGCTTCGGCTTCTTATCAAAAGATGGAGTAAAATAAGCAGCAATTCAAATCCCATCTCCCATCGTTCTGGACTTCCAGTCCCAACCTCTCGTAGAGGTCTCGTTGTAGGTTTCCCGAAATTGTCTCACGCACCGGATACCATCGCGAAGTCATGCGGAGATGTGAGATAGGTCTAGTAGGAAATGAAAAATATGTGTATATAAAGTCCAAACATGTTGCGGTGCTGGAAGGAAGACTTGATCCTCTATAAGGCAAGGGTATAATAGCCTACCAAAACCTTTTGCACTCTATACTTTCCTCCTGTCTTTAAATCAAAGCAAGTTTCCACGGCACAGAGCGATCAAAGCAAGAATAAGAATGGGTGCCGCTAAGAACACTTTCAGGCGCAGCCGGCCAATCAACCAGAACATCATCGTCGGCTTGTATAAATAACTTCTGATATTTAACAAACACCAAGCTAACTCCGCGCTACAGGATCCTTTTCTACCTCCCTGGTATCTACACTACTCTGACCGGTTTAGGAGCGGGCGGAGGAAAGCCTTCCTCTAGCGTTGTGGCCAACCAAACAAATGCCATTCTTTACGGAATGTTCACGCTGTTTGCCTGTCTGGGTGGCACCATTGTTAACCTTATACGACCTCGTCTCTCCCTGATGGTGGGCAGTCTTGGTTACCCGCTTTACGTCGGAGGTCTCTGGTATTTCGATGTCACCGGTCATTCCTGGTTTCCTCTCTTCGGCGGTGCTGTTTTGGGAGTTCTTGCTGGTATCCTCATGACTTGTGCCGGTATGATTGCAACGTCTTATGCAGAAGAGAGGGAGAAGGGTTTGGTGGGTTCCCCCAAGCTTCGGCAGCCAATTTTTCCTGTACTAAATTACATTAAGTTCCTCGCCATGCAATGGATGATTCGAGCAGTGGGAGCCAGCACTGGCGCACCATCTCATTCGCAGTCAATATCGATCAGACCAAAGCTGGTGGAGTCTCGGGGGCTGTTTATATTGTGTTTATTATCATCCAGTGCAGCTCCCTCCTTCTCTCTGCGTTTTTGATCATTGATCCGAAGGACGTCGTTCGCGATGACGGCACTCATCTAGAATGACTGGTTCACCTGTCATTGCAAGGAGATCTTTCACCCCTTTTCCTGCAGTGGGATAGTATTGCTTAAACTGTCAACAAGAGCGTTAGCAATCGCTATGTTTAGTCAGCTGTCCGAAATAGAGCATATTGCTAATTCCCATGCATCCTTGTGCTTGAAGGGTTTGAATTCCACAACTTGATTGCTTATCAGCGACAGTCCTAGAGTTTGCAGAAAGAAACATACTTTCATGTCCTGCAGCTATGAGTCTCTCCACAACAAGTTTTAGAGCTCTCTGCACCGGTGGATGAGGCATGACCACTTCATCCCAATACATCACACCGATCGTGGCTTTCTTCGGAATCGGAACAGGATCCCACTTCTTCGCCATCACGGCTGGGTCATACAACCATGGCTCAAAGGCATTCCACACCTTGAGGATCAACTCAATATCCCGGAGGCTTCGTCCTACTGGGCCTATGCTTGATAATATAGCAGTTTGCCCGGTGAAACCCAACGTATTTCCTAAGTAGCTGAATCGGCGGGATGTCGGACGCACCCCATACAGCCCATTGAAAGATGCAGGGGCTCGAATTGAGCCTCCAATATCTGTCGCAATGCCAATGGGGGCACCATGGCATCCGTTAAGTGAGCCTTCACCACCAGACGAGCCACCGCAGGAGAGGTCTATGTTGAAGGGATTCAGGGTACGTCCATACAGATTGGACGTAGTTTCTATGGCCTATAGAAAATGTCTATGACTTATCTCTGTCAGCCTTGTGTTTCAAGGTTAAAATTACTCACCATTCCAGTCTGAGGCATAGTGGTTTTAGCATAGACCACTGCACCAGCTTGTCGAAGTGTTTGCACGGCTATGGCATCCTTTTCTGAAACCGTGTCGGCCAAGGCCACAAAACCAATGGTGATTTTCATGCCTTTAACTTGGGTAAGATCCTATTAAAATCTGTTCAGTTTTCCCTCACAATAGCACAAACACGGCATTAACAAATACCTTGAAACTAATGGGCAATCCGTGCAACGGTCCAACCACCTCTCCTGTCGAAGCCAAATGTTCATCCAACTCCTTTGCGCGTTGCATAGCTCCTACAAAATCAATATCCATCAAGCAGTTTAATAACTGATGCGCAACAGCAGCACGTTTGCAGAATGCCACCGTCACTTCAAGTGCAGACCATTCTTTCGAATGAACCTTCTCCAAATGTGCTACACAGTCCTGGACATCCGTAATTTCCAATTCTTTGTCAGATAGTAAACTGCAACTTTTGAAAACGGGAAGCACATTTTTCGGTTTTGATGACAAACCCGATTCTTCTAGCAGCCATTCTTTAGGTATTTTGGCCTTGAGAGCGGCTTGGACGGTCTGAGAGCATGTTAGTTTCAGTCATTGTGAAAGCTCTGGAGAAAGAGCCGACCGCTGCGGTATTCTCCCAGGAAGTGACCATCGTGAACAAGAAGTTAAGCAGATTCTTGCGTAAACAAGGTCTTCATGCCACTCACAAGATACAGCCTATCGCTAATGTATTTATGCGACTTGTGCGGATGATGCCTACTCCACTTGGAGATAAGCAGGCCTTGTAATTAAGACATTGAGACAGGTGATTCGCATCTACCCATCCACCCTCCAGATTGTGGAGAAAACCCCGCGTTAAATCGTGCATTTTTGGGCCAAGTGATTTCCTCTCGTTGTAGACTTCCACTTCGATAGCTACGGGCGAGGATTGAGAGGTTCCGGATGTCAAGAGCGGGGTTGTCGCAGCCGGGCGTATCTTGGCACCTGACTAGGGAGGTTTCCACCGACACTGCTACATCTACCTCACTCAGCCCTAACTTTAAGCTTGGACTGCCTTCAGAAAATGATAGTCCGGGGAGACGTTCTTTCGTTGTGGACTCCCTTTATGAGTCTTGAATTGCATCATAGATAAGAATCTCTGATTGGTATTGTACCGCTTGTCTACAGACCTTTTTGATTCCAGCCTTGCAACTACATTAAAAGTACTATAGTCGTTGTGGACTCCCTCTTTAGATTTCCCCTGTAACTAGGGCAAGTACTTATACAAGATGTATATTACTTTAGCTCAACAAAAGAAACATATCTTCACGATTCCAACTTCTCACCGTTCTCAGCAATCAGCCTTCTCTTTCTTTCAACGTCGCGAAACACAAAGTGTTGATCATGTCAAAATCCAAAACCATCCTCGAAAAGGAGCAGGATTACGTCTCCTCTGCCGTGGCCGAGGCGCACGCAGCCTATCTTTCCAACAACCCTATCTCAGCCAAAGCTCATGGCGATGCGGCGGACTACATGCCCAGAGGAAACACGCGCACGGTTCTCTATGCTCAGCCATTTCCTTTATCTATCAAATCAGGCTCAGGGAACAAGTTGACCTCCGCCGATGGACATATCTATGTCGATTTCTTAGGCGAGTACAGCGCCGGCTTATTTGGGCACTCGAATCCGCGTATCGAGGAGGCCTTAAGCAAAACCATGAAATGCGGCTGGAATTTCGGCGGAGAGACTCTCCATGAGAAGGAGTTGGCACGCAAAGTTACAACTCGCTTTTCAAAGGGGGGCATGGACTTGGTACGATTCACAAACTCTGGAACAGAGGCCAACATGATGGCAATTGGTGCAGCTGTTGCCTGGACGGCACGAAAGAAAATTCTTGTCTTTAGTAACGGATAGGGTGCAGCATGGGGTCCCATTACCCACGCCCCAGATGGGCTGGGGCGCCCCCATGGGTGGGGCGTCGAGTTTCCTGCCCCATGGGGCATGGGGCTGGGGCGTACGAAAAGTATACCCCAATCATGGGGCCCCATGGGTTTAATTATACACTATCATAATTATAATACACTGTCATAATTTTAATATATACATAACTTTATATAGAATTAAAGTCAGGTTAGTAGACAGGTTAGTAGAGTACAATTTCAACAGAATCACTTTATATATATAAGTAGTATAATATTATATTATTATATATTATACTACTATTTTTGAGGACTAAATATAAGTTTGGGAATCCTTTTTCGAGAGGTTTGTCGAGTCGTAGTATTGGAAAGAGAGTCTGCTTTACGTTTAGCAGAGTATGACTCTATTGGAGTAGGTGTAGTCGACTGTCTCTGACGCGGAAGTGGTATTGCAAAGTCGATATCTGAACCTATAGTAGGGATACTCGCACTTTCCTTTTCTCCTACTAGCTGATTAGAAGATGGAGTAGGAGAACTTGGAGGAGGCGAGCTCTCAAGGTCATATACCTGCCGGCTTTGACGGCGGCTAGTACTCGACTCTGCTTCCAAGGCAGCAATATATCGTTCCCGCCGTATCCTACGAGGGGTTTCTTGATGTAAAGATTGCGAAGCGCCAGCAATCTTTTTCGGGCTAATACGACGACTTATTGCATAATTAGCAGCGTAAGCTTCGACTTCGGCCTCATCTTCGTCGCTAATATAACTTGTCGTTAACCTTTCCTTGAACTCCTCCTCACGGCGACTTATTTCTTGATCTTGCTCCTCGAGAGTAAGCTCGTCTACCATAGTCGTTCCAATATCATCATTAGCTGGCAGTTCATCATATGAGCGTCCAAGCATAATTGCTCGGATCGTGAGTGGAGCTAGCCTTGCTCGACGTGGATCGCAGACATCCTTTGCAACATTAAATACGCGCTCAACACTAACAGCTGCAGCTGGAGTGGCCAAAATATCTCGTGCAAAAGCAGCTAATGCGGGTAGCTCGGCCTCTTGGTCCTTCCACCACTCTAGATCGGTCCTACTATCACTTGGCAGTTTTGGAGCTAGAATCAAAAAAAGGTTAGTAGAAGGTTAGTAGAAGATTAGTAGAGCGGAGCACTTACATTCCCGAAGGTACCTCTCCAATTCTGACTCGTCATTATCAGTATTTGTACCTAGCCAATTCCTGCCCCAAGTCGAGCTAAGAATCAAGTGTAAGTCGTGACGAGCACGGGCCGGCTTCTGACGTTTATGTACAGAGTCCCCCTTTTTCTGATATTTCTTAGTATATATAGAGGTTAGCTGCGAGGTATATTCGTATTCCCAGTCAGTACCAAACTCAGTAGAAGAAAGCCCACTATCTGTTTGAAACGATGATGTTTTAAATCCAGGTGTTAATATCATTGCAAAGGCGTAAAGCGATCCAAGGTCTTTGTATGTTTCAGTGTAATACTTTCGGAGCTTTTCCTGTGCAGCGCCTAGCCCTACTAGTAACTCCTGTATCCACTTTATCTGTGGTCCATGCCTTCGCCCAACCTTGACTTCGAGCTGTGCAGTCATTTGTTCGATATGTGTAAACGCTATATCATAGAACGTATATACTGCGCCAATTGAAATCCCTTTCGACTGTCCGATCTGGTCTGTTAAAAGTACAAATGGTTTTGTAAGATCAATAAGATACTCGACCTGCTTCCACTCATGTTCAGTAAGACGAAACATAGATGGTGTACCCCGGCGTGTATACTCGTCAATCGACAAGCGTAATTTCGTTGCGCGGATTAACATTAAACATGTCGAATTCCACCGAGTCTTAACATCTTGAATAAGCCGAAGAGGTGGTTTATTATTCCTTGCAAGCGATCGCTGTATATTATCGAATGTAATCCGGCGTTGTGGACTTGAATTGATATATATGCTTAGTTTTCGAACCTGGTAAATTTAGTTAAAGGTTAGTAGAGGGTTAGTAGACATAGTACATACCTTTGCCAGAGTAAACGGCAGCCCCTGGGACCCTTGTTCGGACTGAAACTCCTCCTCATCTATAGTATGCCAATTCTGTTTGAGCTCGTCGTTGGTCGGGTTTACCCGGATACCCCCAAGGATCGCCTGCAGGACTAATTGAAAGATATGAGAAAGACAAGGAACACTAACAATCTGCTGCGGGAACATAGAGCGGCCAGCTACTGTAAGCTTCGAAGTTCTAGCTTTGGTAAGAAGCTCGTTCATCTCAGCAACAAGTGTTTTGTTATTACTTGCATTATCTGCAGTAATAGTTCGTACTAACTCCCGTATCCCAAACTGCTCTAGTACATTGAATAGAACTTCTGCAAGATCAAGCCCGGAATGTGTAGAAGTCAATGGTTCGAACCCTATAAGCTCCGTGATAAAATTCCAAGACGAATCGATATAGTGAACGTTAACTGCCATAAAGGCAATATTAGTTGGACTAGTCCAGCAATCTAGTGTAATTGCAACCGATGCATTTGGTACTCGATTCTTCAATGCAGCTGGACCTAGTTGGTGTACTTTATCCATAATCCGCCGCTGAATCGTAGACGCAGATACCATAGCTTCCCCTGGACATAGATGCTGAACTAGTTCGCGAAACTTTTCATTTTCGACTGTACGAAAAGAGAGGTGGAGTGAGAGGATAAATCGAACAACGAATCCAGTCGAGGTCATATCATCGTAACGAGGTGTGGAAACAGCCTATTGAATAAGTTAGTAGAGTCTACTAACCCTCTTACTATATGTAACATACCACTTGTCTATGTGATTCATATATAGTCGACTGACGATATATTGTACCATTATTGCGAGTAAGAGCCTTCTTGCACTTGTCTGACCGGGTGTGTGCAATCAATGCCTTCGTCCCTGTTGATATACTCTTCGAATTCGGATGTGATAAAACCTCTTGACAAGAGAGACATACTACCGCAGGCTTCCCATCTCGAATATGTGCGCCCTGGGCATAGTTTGACCAGCTTGTTGAAGTCCGCGATCCTTCCCACTTAAGTGAAGCTGGGCGAGGTAGTGCATTATTAGCAGCGTACCAGGAAGTCCCGGACCACCATAACTCGAACTCGTGCTTCTGGGCTACTGACCATTGGTAGAACTGCTGATACTTTCCAATACGTTGTAATACGGATTCTTGATTGATATCCGATGTATTATAGACTCTGGGGGGGGATGACTGGAAGGCAGACGACGATAATACAAGCTCATCCATAAACTGGGAATCACTGCCGAAATTGGGTTCTTGGGAAGCGTTCATTGTATTAGTAACAAAGAGTAGACTTGTAATTGTCGGGGAGATATAAGTTTCGATTTTGGAATCAAGAGTTAGAACTTAGAAAAGATAATAATAGGGACTTCGAATCTTAATATGTACTGATATCTATTACGTACTACATACAGTAGTACAGACTAGCTAAGCTTACTAAAATAAAAAAGGTTAAAACTATTCTTTAAGTAGAATTAGTTACATAAATATATTATACTACTTTATACTTTATTCACAATATACAACTATATAAGACTTAGTAAGAGTTATTTGTATCTGCTCTACTTAATTATCTAAACCAGTACTGCTAGGAGTTCTGAAGAAATATCCACCGAGAAACTATCGCTATTAACAATAGTAGAAGGGTGAAAAAACAGCTGTGCCGCAGTTACTTTAAACCGCTCTGGAACAAATGCAAGTAGGAAAGCATTTGCACAGATTTGTGCATCCTTGGATCCAACAAACCCACAAGCTATATCATCAGTTCCATTCCACCAACGCGCAGGGCCAGGCAATTCAACCCATTCTTTTCTGTTCCATGACTGCATACTGCTCCACATTGCAATCTCGGATGGCTCAAAGTAATCTGTGGGGGCAAGTTGAACAAATGGTTGGTGCCTTGCAAGGGTTAGTAGACGTCTACTAACCTTATATAGAAAAACTTACCGAGCAGTAGTTGCTTTGTAAGACGCCGCATTAATCTCATAATAGCCACGTCGAGAGAGTCGGTGTAATTTTTCACGAAGACTGGCATAGGTGCTAATCCAGTGGCTTTTCCAGAGATCGTATCCAAATAACATAGCCTTCTATTCAAATATTAGTTATATTCGGTAAAATATTAGTCAAGAATAAACTTACTAGCCGGAGTTGGTCCTGAATTTTACTATTTGCAAGAACAGGAATGACCTCGTTATTGGCCAAATCATCTGCCCTTGTGAGCTCCTCATCCTCATCCTCGATATCGTCCCAATTCTCAGCCAGTAGATCTTTCTGCGCCTGAACCACTGAATCATAATCGACTTTATCTCTAATCCGGCCAGCCATAACATCAGCTTCCGCACGTGTAATAAGTGCTTGCTGCTGTGTCTGATCCGAGTTCTTATATCCATCAGTGCGCTTTAACTTTCTAACTGCATAGCTTTTTGCTGCCCTATCACGTTCCCGGGCCTTTTCGCGCTGCCATTTTCCCGGGTCTGCCTTCAGCATTTGCTGACGGGCACGCACCTTGACGGTGTTATGGTTCGTAGACAGGCCGCCTGGCGGGGTCGAGGGCATAGGTGGAGGAGGCTAGTAGACAGGTTAGTAGACAGGTTAGTAGGCACCAGAGCTACTTACTGCAGAGCGTGATTGGTCATTTAGACCAGCTGCCGTTGCAGAGCGCTTTGGAGGCATTTTATTGGTAGAAGCCCAAGTTGCAAGGTGCAGGGTCTAAGGTAGAGTGTTGTGGGGCGGAGGTGTAAGGTTTAAAAGTTCGAAAGCTGGAGAGGTTGAAGAAATTAAGCTAAGCGCGTTTGGGCGGTGAGCCGATTAAGCGAGCTCAGGCAGCCAGTCAGCATAAAGTAAATTTCTCCCACCTTTTACAACCTTACCTTCTATTTATCGGTCAACTAACCTAACTAAGCTGGTAAGCCCCTATAGCCCCTACCTACTATTATTTTAGGTATAGAATACTAACTTCACTTGCCTAGCTACTTTGTCGCGTCGCGTCGCGTCTGAAAATAAAAACAAAGCTCACTTTCAAGTTTTCGCCTAGCCTGCTGCTATACCTTCTGCTATGGTAAGTCTACTAACCCTCTACTAACCTTATTATATGCTAAATTGTAATAGTCTGACTTTGAGTCTGATTTCGGTGCTGACCAGGTCGGGGAGGAAAATGGCGATGATGACCTTGGACCAGATGCTGGATTCGTCCCTGGACAAGGACCTTTGGCTAGTGCCCTGGCAGGGAAGAAAAAGGGAGTCCGTAAAGGAGCAAAAAAAGCACCGCGAAAAGCTCCTACCAAAGCACCCCGCCGCCCCAAGCCTGCTCGTGGAAAGAAGCCAGTAAAGGGCAAGAAGAAGAAAACTGAAAACCTGCGAACGCCAATCTATAAGGCCCACCCTACCAAGGATAAAAATCCCAATGCACAACTCCGCCGTGTAAGGCCTGGAAGTAAGTCTACTAACCTTCTACTAACCTTGTACAATTTGCTGATATTTATAGCTCTTGCACTTCGTGAAATTCGCTACTACCAGAAATCCGAACTAATGCTTCTCCCCAAAGCACCATTTGTTCGTCTAGTCCGTGAAATCACACGCGGTGATCTGCAACATCATTTCATAAGATTCCAAGCTAGTGCTCTAGAAGCTATTCAATCGGCAGCTGAAGCTTTTCTTACCAAGGAATTCGAAAGTAAGTACATCTTAGCTGTCTACTAACCCTCTACTAACTTTACTAGTGGCAAACCTCCTGGCGATTCATGGAAAGCGTGTAACAATTATGCAGAAAGATATGAAACTCCTGCGTCAGTTGCGGATGCTTATGACAGGATCTGAGGTGCCAGGTATTTAGCATGGGCTGTAATTGTTTTTACTTGACTTTTTACGGCGTTATGGACAGAGCAATATACCCATCTGGCAGTTGCAGTAGTCATAGTAGTTAAGGGCTATGAATCAATGAATCAATGAATCAATGAATTAATAATTTAATTAATAATTTAATAATAATTTAATAATTTAATAATTTAATTTATAACTCTATTGATTTAATTATTAATAATATTATTTATATCTTACTCTATTCTTTATATTGAAAATATATATAAAGAGTTTATAGATTTCTTTTTCTAGAATAAATCGCTATTTATTATTATATAAGAGATCACATGATAACTCACATGCCCCATGGGCACCCGTTGCCCCATAAGCCACCCCCATGGGGCGCCCATAGGCTGGGTCGTAAAAGTACGCCCCACCCCATGGGTGGGTTGAAATCTCAAAACCCACCCCATGGGGCCCCATGCTGCACCCTAGTAACGGATATCATGGCGGCACCCTTATCTTCACTATGGGCATTTGCAAGTGGTCGCACTCAAAGACATCAACCGCGCCTCCCCTGAACATGAACTTACCGCATGATTTCGTCGTGGCACCTTTCAACAATCTTAAGGAGACGAAGGCTATCGTGGAACGATTGCCGAAAGACAGTCTTGCAGCCATTATGATTGAGCCTGTCCAAGGATCGTCGGGATGTCGTCCTGCACTTCCAGAATTCCTGATATACCTGCGGGAAACGACTGAAAGGCTAGGCGCCTTGTTCATCGTCGATGAAGTCATGACTTCTCGTCTTGGACCATCTGGTTATATGGAGACACTAGGCTTGAAGGCAGATCTAATGTCGCTCGGCAAATGGATTGGTGGCGGGATGAGCATTGGGGCTTTTGGTGGGCGAAGAGATATCATGGAGATGTTTGATCCTGCGCGGAGCACGAAGGGATTAATGCACGCAGGAACATTCAACAACAACGTGTTCTCTATGTCAGCGGGTGTCGTGGCTTTAGACATCTACAACGAGCAGAAAGTGATGGAGTTTAATGCCAGGGGTGATCGCATGAAATTTGGGATCACTAGAGTGCTCTTTGAGACAGGACTCTATTCTCAAGAGCATGCCGAATATCTGAAGGATATTCGCGAGATAGACAGCTTCGAGGAAGACGTACGGTTGTACACAGGCAATGATGAGAATGTCCATCTGCCGAAGGTACTCATTTCCAGTCGTGGTACGATGTTGAACCTGCGCTTCACCGGCCCTGACGCAGGCTCATGGCACAATATCTATTACCATTTTATGCTACGGAAGGGAATCTATCTGGCAAGCCGAGGATACACTCCGATGAATCTGGAAATAAGCGATGAGGATGTTGACATGTTTGTGAGCTCGGTTAAGGAGTTTTTAACGATTCATCTCAATGAGCTGAAGAGTAAGGGGTGATCGTTGTGTATAATTTTAGCTTTATTTTACTGTCTCATTATCGCAGAAGATTACCACAAGCTTAACTAATGCTGAGGACGTGTTTGGTTTTCTAATGTGTCACTGCACCTAACTATAATTACCCTCTACAGATTATTGCAGGGCAGTATTTCGACAAAGCACTAATGGCACGGTCTAGACACAGATATTATCAATCCATAGGGAAAGGTGGTATTTCAAGATGTACTATATCAGGAGGGATCTCAATCTATGCGTCGAATGGAGCTCTATGATTAGCCGAAAGTCCTCGGTTAAGAGATCTTGGCTGCATGACCAAAAACCTGATTTATAGCAGCTACAGGGAAAGTCCCTAAAGCCCCATAATACACGTGTTTGTAACACGAGGTTGTGTCTACTTCTTTCGATATCGACGCAGCATTTTCTCCATTAAAATAGTAAGACGAAGCTATCCAGACAACAATAGTTGCAAGCGTTCTTTTATCACATGGTATTCCTCTTTTCTTGTTCATATAGAGTCAATTCGTATCCTTATCTTGAACTTACTGTCTTCGCAGAAGGTACCAGTAGTAGTGGGGTTTACTATCTGAGCCTATGACATATATTAACATTCTGGATAAACTTTCTTCGATAGGTACTTTCTTCAGCAATGATGAAATCCAGGAGACCTAAAACCAACTGCCAGAGAACGTTCACCGCTTGCTGGACATGTCGTCGAAGAAATGTCCGATGCGACAACGCGGTGCCACATTGCGCACAGTGTCAACGGATGCGCATCCCTTGTGAAGGCTATCACATTCGTCTTGTCTGGGTCAATACCACAACTGGGGCTTATGTTCCTCAGCAACGACGAGCTTATCCATGTGAATTGACGTGGAAGGGATATCCAAACTGGACATTGAAAGAAGTTGGGCATCTGATTGATCATTGTGAGCTCAGACAATGTCGCTGCACGCTACATCAAGCTCTCAACCCGTTTTCTACCTTTCCGCAAAGCGACGACGTGACCGAAGTTGATGCTGATGATGAGATGAGAATATCGGAGCTTGCTTCAGAGAAACACTCGGACAACGAGCAGGCTCTTGACGTCTGTAGTCCCACAGCCTGTGAAACCGACATACGCGATCAGAGTACTGTCATGAGCATTGTCCGGAGCGATGCTTCCCATCTTTTTGGCAATACTGCTCTGTCCCATGGGGAAAATAGGACACCCATTAACAACAAAGACATGGACTTCCCTCCTCGCCAGAATAGAGTGAATTTTTCAATGTCTATTATTCAATCTCCATCTCAGTCTCTCACACCGAGTGGACTTCAAGAAGAGAATTTTCTATTTTTCCACTACGTTTCTTATGTTTCGGTACAAATGACGCCGATTGACGACGAGCGCAACCCGTGGAGGTCAACATACCCTTCTATTGCGGTGCAGGGTGCAAAAACAAGCAGCACCGACGCTTTATATCACGCAATTCTAGCGCAATCCGCATACAATATAGCAAACCTAAAGGGGCCTGGACGAGGCAATGGCGAGAAAGCAAGTGCCATGCGGTACTCTGGAAAAGCCATTCAGGAACTCAGGCGGAGCCTGGAATTACCAAAAAAAGATTATTGCAGCGTTCTGGCGGCGCTTCTTACTATCATGCTAGCCGAGCATGTGTTTCACCGCAATTCTCAGGGCTGGCAAAATCATATTCGAGGTGCCATCGGGTTCGTGAGCCAGTATCTAACTCAACAACCGTGGATGTTATCACATGATGCCTGGATTATCACCCAGAACTTCGTGCTGTCTACCGTCATCTCCCAGACGGCCTGTAGCTGCACTACATCCTCATTAGATCACATCGATGAAATGTATGGCATGCTTGACGATGTGATCGCACGACCTAGTTTCGGCTATACAATAGGTGGGACTACACGTCTGATCAGGATGATTTATCAGACTCGGCGAATTGAGGTCCAGTTAGCCATCACTGGATACAAACGGGGCATTCAGGAAATGAACGAGGACGTGCTCGTGCAGGTTGAGGATATTATCCGTCAGCTTGAGACGCCTTTTGATGACGAAGTGGAAATGTACATGGAACAACATGAGCCCAACGACCTCAAGGTCTTGCCCCGGACTCGGCAGCTGGTTAAGCTTCATTTGCATCTCTTCAATGGCGCTGCTATGATCTATCTACTCTGCATGGTTCTGCAATACCCCCCCTCTACTGTTGCTAGTTACGTTTCAGAGGTTCTCATCAATACCATGGCCTTTGTCGACATGGACAGTAATAATGTATCTGTGTGGCCGGTCTTTATCGCAATGGTGGAGGCATACACGTCTGAGTCACTGGAGTTATCAAATCGATACCTAGCGTCCAGCGATGTAGTTGCTGGGAATCGGAAAGATATCGGGCGTGTAGTCCGTCAAGTTTGGGCGGATCGTGAGGAATTAGCGACAAGACGACAGTGCGATCTGGGTGAGGTATCCGTCAATTGGCGGGATGTTATGAAAAGACTAGACCTAGATATCCTGCTCTTATAAATGATCCATTCCTACGAAGTACCTAGGAGGTTCTTCCAATGCCATCTCGCCTCTTGACATCTGGCACTACCCACCTCGAACTTCGCTGGCAAACAATCACCGAATATTGTAAGCTTTGATTATATATATAATTAAGCGGCTTACCCGTAAAGGTCTGGCTGCCTTTTGAGTCAATGCCACGATTCGTGTGTGTGTGTTGGGAGATGCCAAATAATTATCTACTGTAGCTTTACTGGAAATGAAAAGATTCAAAAGTTGGTGGCAATCGGTAGAACCACGCATTAGCTATGGCCTAAAATGGATGACGATGAACCTTTCTGGAATACCTATTGAGCTGACGTTGAGTAGGCTAGAAGCACCGAATATCCGGATTGCCTTTTGCGTTACGACCCAGGGCGAACGTCACAGAGTTGCGGACATTAATGTGCTACCTACGGTTCCACCTGTCAATGTAATAAAATTAGAATATCCGTAGGTGGTGCTGCACAGTGCGCTGTGAAATGCTGATGATGCCTCGCAGAGTGGTACCTCCACATGCCATATATCGCTGTGTAGTCAATTAATTTAATAGTTATATAGATCTGTGCAAAGTACACTGTCATACAGACTAGATCGCCTTGATATTAATAATTCCAGCTTGCCCTGCATGTGTAGGCTGTAGGCGGTAGCTGCTCCGCCACTCCGCGTGCAAAGGATCCCGCCTTGGCCAGGCCAGCGCCAACCTGGCATCAACCGAGTCAATAGAAGATCTAGAACGTAGCACAAGCCATCTGCAATCTCCGTCCATCGAGTTCACAATTTTCCAGCGAGTCCACCGAGGAGGCACAGGGGCCGCGCAAGCCGGTGATTCGCCGTCTTATGATATCTGTTATCCAGTTGCGGCCTTGTCCGCACTAATCTCGGCAATGGCTTCAAAGCTCAACGGCGCATCAGCGACTAGCCGCACGATCGATGCACGAAACATATCCCACTGTTATTGCTGTTATTGCTATTATTGTTCATCCATTGGCCACGCCGTCACCAGAAAGGGGAAACGCGCACACGATGGCAGCTTTTGATTATTTACCAGGCTCGGCCTACTCTAGCTTCAATGCGCTGCCATACGTGGGACCCGACAAAACCTTCCTTGAAGGGGCAAATTACAACTTATCCGCCGTTTGAATCCTCAAGGATTGGTGTTAACCAGAAGCTTGTCACGTAATAATGCTAGTAGGTTGCAGTTTTATATATGGAACCGTAGTACCCACCCCATCTATCCGTTGAGTTTGTTTCGTGATGTTTGCGTGTTCTGTTGTTGTCAGTCTCTACCTCTGCACCACTGTCGTTCATTTCCCATTCCAGTCACTCATTTACCTTGAGGATTTGATCATCATATCAGTTGCAAGTCCAGCACTGATTTGCAGTTGAACTCACTCCCTTCCGGCGCAATTGAATTGTACTTTAACCTTTACACTGCCACCGCTCCTTCTCCGATTGAAGTCGCACTCAATCGTTTTGCCAAACAAACGAAACATTACACACTTTCAACAAGCACCACACACCAAACGGAAAGTTCCAGGGCGGCCATCTCTCGTTGCGCCTATTGATATCATCTCTCCCTATCGCAATCAGAGCAGACGTATATCGGTGGATGGGATCAATTTGAACCTTCGATCTACAGCGGCCTGCCTTGCCTTCGTCCTTCACGTCCAACGTCACCTTTCGCAATGGCTCGTCCTCCCCGGTCACAGCGCCCACGGGTCAACAAGCCCTCCCCACTCCAACAAGTCCATCACACAAGACCGGTATCTCAAGCCCAACCGGAGATGGGATTGGTGCGTGACCCGATGTTCTGGAAACGCTTCTCAGCTGCGGTACATATTGCGGAAGAAGGTGGTGAATCTGGAAATAGTTCTCCGACTAGTAGTCTTGGTGCGAAGCACGAGTATGTCTCCTTCACCCTTACTATTGGAGTAAAGATACGTAAATGTTGTATGATATGGCTGACAGGAGAGGTAGATATGACTGGCTGTCTCAACAGCGGAGAGACAAGAGGAATTGCCGGATCCTATGTGTGAGCATCACTACTGCGGTCGCCTTCGTAATCGCTGGGGGGATTTTTGCCGGCTGGTATTTCCTCAGCCATAAGAAGAAGGCAGAAGGTTCTTGAGAGGGCCCACGAGCTTATTTACGGATTTATGATGCATGAGAATGAGAATAGCATGATGGGGTGGCTGGCGCTGCGCGGGACCACTGGATCGATCGACCGTCCCTTCAAACTTCGGACTCCCCCGATCCTCTCTATATGATGGAATAGATTATTGTCAGAATACATGATGAAGTAAAATAGAGTGGGATAGATGGAGACCCACACATCTGTATGAGAGGAGGGGGGGCATGCCGATGATCAGGACGAAGAATGCATCGCTGCACTTATGTACTGTACTGGCGTTATGGACATGATGCGTACAAGTAGTACACTCAATAAAACCCACCAACCAACATTGGACCCATTTGTACCTCCTACCAGCGTCCCGAAGTTTATCCCTTTCAAATTGGAGCTCCATTTCTATAATCACCCCTATATTACTAGAGATGGTGTCCCGATTCTGATTGCAGCATACTTGATTCTTAGGATGGATTTGTTGATCCCTTGATCTCCATTCCCTATATCCTAGTTGTCTCACATCGTTCTAGGCAGTGCTAGGCACTTCAAACGCAGTACCATCCATATTCAATATTAGCCTCTACGGAATAGTCTCTATGCGGAATCGAAAGTTCAACCAGAATCGCACAACTCTACAGTTCCCATCCTGCCATGGAGACAGAAATAAATGCAGTTCGCCCATCGCTCGCTTATCACCTTGTCTAGCTGCCTCTCCAGTCCCTACCTTCGAAATCGACATACAACCACAATCCATCCAGCCATCCACCAAACATACCGCTAACCACCAAACTGACAACCAACCAAGCGACGAACATTTCGTGATAATCAATCCAGTCCCTCCAATTGGTGCGCCCATTCGCTTCATACACCAGTTTCCAGTATCTTCATTTGCCCACATGTTGACACATGTCCAAGCCACTCGTACGTACGTACGAACGGGCTCTCCACGCCGGAAGTTTCCCAAAACAGAACATTCCGAGCGCTGTGCGAAATGCAACAAAACATTCTTGCATTCTCGGCGCCATACACATTCTTTACTCCTTCGGACGATGCGTACTAGTTAGGCTGCTTTGATAAAGTGTTCCTTTTCTTCGGAACTCCTTGTTTGGGACCCCCCGATGTCGTGGATTGGTGGGCGGGAAGCGCACAGGGGGCAGCCTTTTAGCAACAGGGCTAATCTGTCGATCTTCGGCATGTTCTGTCGCCACCATTGGGATGTTGCCAGTTACCTAAGTAGGTACTCCCGGCCTTTTGGGTGGTACAGAGTCGTTTTTTTTTGGTTTTGGATGCCGATTTCTTCGGGACTGGCCCGATGCATTAGATCCAAGGAAACTCACAAATCGCAAATATCTAGGTATGTATCCTTACGCGGGAGGAACCACTTACCTCGGTCCCAGATCGACGTGTTGGATCATGCTTCAAATTGGAGATCAAGACCTATATTTATGGTTATCCAACCTTACGGTTCAATTTAATTCAATGACGACGACTAATAATATATTTCGCAGGGCATGCATCAAGGGAAGTTGTATTTTGGTTTGCGGATACTTAGTATAGACGCATCAGACCTTAGACTTACGCACGTATGTCTGTTCTAATATATCCAAATGTGTTAAACAAGGATTGGCCAGTGACTGGTAATGAGCAAGTAAGACTGGTTCAAAATAGGTCATAAGGAAGCATCAACCGAATGTAGCCCATCAAGCCTAGAGCGCCTAACGGTAACTATAATTCAATTCATTTTAAAAGATAAGAAAACCCGAGCATTATTTATTGGGATAAATAATCTGGATGGGTCACACTGAGGCAGGCCATTCCATCGTCCTGGTCGAGTGTTACACCACTCACAATTAAATAGAAATTTAGCATGAATAGAAGTCGACTCGCCCTCTCTATTTCGGCTTCGGGCTAAATCACAAACGGTGCGAAATATTTATAGGTAGAACTGCGAAATATTCGAGCCCCATCCGACAAGTTGTACCCTGCCCATCAAATACAAGAAAGTGCCATGTTTCACAGTGGCTGCAGCCTTTCTACAAGGCTGAGCTTGGCTGAAGTCTAGACATAAGAAAACGCTCTCAGGCCCACATATGCAAAACATAAATTTTCAAAAATGGGATATGAAATAAATATGGGGACACGATGCCCGTACCTTATTACTCAGATCTACCGCTATTATTGCCAAGCAAAGAATCTCAGTTGAGAGCACTGGAGATTGCCCGCCTGAGGACGACGAAACACGTCCATCGCAAGCTCGCTGAAAGACTCAGGACTTCCTGACAAGGGAGAACGAGAGAGATAGACATATCGATAGATCCAATTTCGGCTAGCAACCTGGGCAGGTCATCAGCCTCAGCGCGCCACGTAATTATTTCGGAAATTTGACGATGGCGATCGTTTGGTCGGCGTGCAACAAAACCTCGAGACGCTCAAGGAAACTATCACAGTCCTGTACGGAGTAACAGTCACATACAAACTTTTGATGCGGATTTTGACATTGAGCTCCAGGTCCAGTTGGCATGATAAATATTATATACTTCGTATGATGACCCGTACGAAGTACTTACAGTTGCTCTCCTGTCGGGGTTTGTAGATCTTCGAATTTCGTGAGCTTGGATCCACCCGGCTTCTTTGTTTGCTCCGGGAGGTTACATGCAATTCCCAAGGTATTTGAAGTCCCTAGGTAGAAAATTATCCCCCACGTGTTGGGGTTCTGGGATTCCGATGGTACGTAGCACGTACTCGGGCACTAGGTACTGCACTGTGTAGGAGCACTCGGGGTTTGAAAACTCGAACAGCCGGGCAGGTCATGTTCATCATGGCTTGATCGGTTGGGCTGGTGTTGGAGAAAAACGGACTCGCCCGGTTTTTATATTGGACAGGTTGTCGCTTGAAGCGTCCAATGTGATCAAGACCGTCGACGGCACAAGCCCATGTACAGCACCGATTCGGAAGCATGACGGTCTATTGAGTCCGATGTTGTATTGTGTATTGCCTTGCCAAGCTGGCTGGTATGCTCTGGTCCAAAAATAGGGGGCCAGACAAAGAAAAATCATTGGGGCTTCAGCCACAAGCGCAATCGAGCGGACTCTTGCTTCGTATTTGAGTGGGTATGAACGAACTGATAGCGGTCGCATAAGGCGTCCTGGGCCTTCAAGCACCTGTAGCCAATCTTGGGCACCAATTCTGGAAAAAAACGGAAAATCTGGAGATCCCCAACAGTTCTTCGGACAAGACGATGGCGATATTGAACATATTTTCCATTTGCCACTCTGCACTGGGGTACTGTAACGGCCATAAACCGACAGAAACCTGCCTGCCTGCCTGCGCCACGGGAGTATGCTCGTACTATGGGCCCCTGGGCGCCTGGAATGCTGGAAGGCCGCATGAGTGGACACAGCGACGAAGGGTTCCTCGGAGCCAAGTACGAAGTAGTATCGTTTGAGTTGGCGGTGTAATCGTGGACACTTCCTAGGACCTAAGGGACTCTGGAATAGACAGCGGGTGCTGTTTGTCGCCGCCACGCGCAAGGATCCCAAGACATTTTTCGGTTGCCCCCCCAGCCTCAGCAAGACAACATAATTTCCAGCAGCACACAAGAATTCTGATACTTGATACATAACCTACCTCCATTGCTCCGATTGAGATCCCGCAGCTTCACATTAATATTTGCCCTCTGTGACCGATTCGCCCGTGAAGTACTCCTTCTATCTCTAGGTGAGCAAGTCCCCAGCGCTGCCCCGTTATTACGTCAACCATAGCTCAATGGCACTAAATATAACAAGCTCTCCCCGCTGGCCCCTGAACCTTCCTCGACATTCTCCCTCCCTATCCTCAACACAATCGCCCTCCCAAAAGCCTCAACTCGATTCGAGAGATTGATATAATATAATTATAATGGCGTCCCTAAAGAGCGCATTGCCTGCACACCTGAAGCCTTCTACGCTGGGAGGAAACGGAAATGGGAATAAGGCTGCTGCCGACGCTGAGTTCGCCAAAAAGCACCATGGAAAGACTCAATCACACATGGTGAGTGGATTTTCTTTGCTGGAATACATGTGCGGGATTTCTAGAAAGGGTGTTCAAGCTCAGCTTCTAGTGACTGCTGGGAAGTTGAATGCTGGATGGCCGTGAATCATCGGCAGATTCGCTCACCGTCAGTACTGAATCTTGCGAAACCGCTCCCAGCGGTTGCTTGAAACTATCAAACCCATGGAATGGACACGCGAAGTCGAATGCCATTCACTGCGACCATGGGAGAGCCAGTGTTGCCTTGGTGCTTATATATGCCCAAGCTCTGCATGCACCGTGGGAAAAGGGGCAAGGACGACTTGCACATCCACAAGCCGGCTCTTCCTACAACTTTCAAATTCAGCCCTCTCCTACGGCCCGACCCAGATCAACATCCTGCGCTGAGAGAGCCCCCTGAGCATGTACCTACCATAGTTACTATGGATTCCAACCTACCGTCCCCGCTTCCTCAGCCAACCCCCGAGAAGCACGAAGCTACAGATGTTACGATTTCTCCAAATCTATCATTCAAGGATTCGACAGTGCTAATGCCCTTTGACTACCAGGCGTTCGAGAACACATCCACCTCTGTTGCTGCCAGCCAGATGCGAAATGCCCTAAACAACCTCGCCGATACTGTCAGTGATACTGAGCAGAAGAAGGTACATTTGCAACCCCACTCCTTGCCCAGACACTGGTCCTGACTGTTCCTAGCTATTTGAGACGGAAATGGACAACTTCTTTGCCCTTTTCCGACGCTATCTGAATGACAAGGCGAAGGGGAACACACTGTAAGATATACAAATCTGTAGGGGTAGAATATCTAGCTAACTTTCCAGTAGCGATTGGGACCGCATTGCGCCACCAGCTGAGAACCAGGTTGTTGATTATAATGAGCTTGCGAACTCCGAATCTGTTGGTTTCCTGAACAAGCTTGCCGTTCTCAAGCTCAACGGTGGTCTCGGAACCTCCATGGGCTGTGTCGGACCAAAATCAGTTATCGAAGTCCGTGATGGCATGTCGTTCCTTGACCTTTCCGTTCGACAGATCGAGTACCTCAACCGCACATATGATGTCAATGTTCCATTCGTTCTCATGAACTCGTTCAACACCGACGATGATACTCAGAATATTATCAAGAAATACGAGGGACACAATATTGACATCATAACCTTCAACCAATCCCGGTACCCCAGAATTTTGAAAGATTCACTCCTTCCAGTACCTAAATCATTCGATTCTCCCATCACCGATTGGTATCCTCCCGGACACGGAGATGTGTTCGAATCGCTTTACAACTCCGGTATTCTAGACAAGCTCATTGAGCGGGGCATCGAGATTCTCTTCCTTTCCAATGTCGACAACCTGGGTGCTGTGGTTGATCTCCGTATCCTCCAGCACATGGTTGAGACAAAGTCGGAATATATTATGGAACTTACCGACAAGACCAAGGCCGATGTCAAGGGTGGCACCATCATTGATTATGAGGGCTCTGTCCGTCTCCTCGAAATTGCCCAGGTTCCTAAAGAGCATACCAATGAGTTCAAGTCTATCAAGAAGTTCAAGTACTTCAACACCAACAACATCTGGATGAACCTGAAGGCAGTGAAGCGCGTTGTTGAAAACAACGAGCTAGAGATGGAGATCATTCCTAACAACAAGACCATTCCTGCGGACAAGAAGGGCGAGTCAGATATCTCCATTGTCCAACTTGAGACCGCAGTTGGTGCCGCTATCCGCCACTTCCGCAACGCCCACGGAGTCAATGTTCCTAGAAGACGCTTCTTGCCTGTCAAGACTTGCTCTGATTTGATGTTGGTGAAATCAGACCTCTACTCGCTAAAGCATGGTCAACTCCAAATCGACCCAAGCCGATTTGGCCCTGCTCCCCTTATCAAACTTGGCAACGACTTTAAGAAGGTTTCAGACTTCCAAAAGCGCATTGGCAGCATCCCCAAGATCATTGAACTTGACCATTTGACCATTACTGGTGCAGTCAATCTCGGAAGGGGCGTTACGCTGAAGGGCACTGTCATCATTGTAGCCACAGAAGGAAGCACAATTGACATTCCTCCCGGATCCATCCTGGAAAATGTCGTGGTTCAAGGCTCTTTAAGACTGTTGGAGCATTAGGTAGATTCTTTTATGGGGAGCGAAGGAAGGTTTGGGTTTGCTTTTGTTGGTTGCATACAGCCCTGGTGGGCTATGTCGTGCTTTTCAACACGCCGGTCGATGTCGAGAAATAGAGCTCTTATGACCCCCAAGCATGTATTAAGCTTTTAATGATACGGTGCTTTAGAACAACATAGCTTTGTTGCACTGCATCCCTGTGTAATGCTCATAGCCACAGTAATCCCGGTGCTAGTGCATGATACCTATTACTTATTCACAGCCTTACGGGCACTCTACGTCCTATTCTATTATTCCCTAGAGCTAATGGTTATTTTATAATTGTAGCCCAGCAGATAAAGTTCTTTGTATAGCCCCAAAAATCTATAGTAATCTCAAGGATTACCTACTTATTCTCCCCTATCACGTCATGCATCATGCATAATCCAAGCTCCCTCATCATCAACACGCTCAAGCACGGACCATTGCGTGCACTTAACAAGAAACCCACCAGGCGTTATCGGACTCCGATAAGGACTTCCCTCAGGTCTAGATTCGGCCTACCTCTTGACAACTGCATTGTCGCGTGTCCAGCCTTTGCTCTCACTCTCTCTCACCATATTGTCTGCACAATCTCTTTGTATGTTTGAAGATCACCATAACAGTCCTATTGCTAATTTGTAGGCTTTAGGGTAGGCAGAACCAAGCAAGGGCTGCGTGAACGCCACTAGCGGACCGACGCGGTTGATCAGGTACCTCCTACCATCTACCACGGACATAGGGAGTTGAAGATCGGAACAACTGATGAATATTTAAGTGGGGGCTGAGCAGGTGGCAGACAGTCTGTATGAGATTCCGCAGCTGGTAGATATATTTGGCCAACTCTTGTGTCTTTTGGTAGCTCGATTCGCATGCTGATGATCCTTTGTTGTAGCTATCGCCACAGCTCAAGGTAGTCTCGAACAACACAGCCATACCGTTTCAAAGGCTTTTATACATAGGAGAGCTAGTTTGCGAACAGACGAATTCCAAAGTTTCCAAAACGCATTCTGTAGGGCTTCAATACACCCCCGAACAAGGCTATAGCCTCGAGGCTTGTACCGCCTCTGGAAGGCGGGACAGACGAACTTGACGATATTTGGGCCCGCGCCAGTGCTTGATATAACTTTGGGAATATTGTGCAAGGGATATTACAGTCAACACGGATTCGTGCAGCTACTTGAGCACGACGTGGAAGCTCATACAAGTTTCTGTGCTTTTGCAGCCTTGATCAAATATGGAGAATCAAGACTCGACTTTAGCAGCCGGAGCTTCTACTCCCCAGGTGGAACGAAGAGAAGAGCGGCCTTTGCCACCGATTCCGCCATCCGAGCAAGAAGTGAATTCGAGGGCGGAGCAAAACGATGCTACCTTGTTTCAAGGCCAGGCTGCCAGTTCTCCAGAAGAGCGAAGTGATGCTGAGCATCAATATGAGGCTTGGAGAGATGCCGATCTTGAAAGCAACAATGAGGATAGCCATACTCAAAATCAACCTAAATCAACCATTACATCTCCTGCAGCCACTGGGCCCGGGGATTCTGAGTCACGCAGGTCGGACAGTTCTGGATCTCAACGTGAAGCAGCTGGTGAAGTAGCTGGTGGAGAAATTGAGTCGCCAATAATTACGCCCTCAGGCAACGTCACGTTCAGACCTGGCCCTTCTACACCCAGTGGTGACCTGCCTATATCCACACCACCGATTCCATTTGATCGGAGTGGCGGACCATCTTCATCTGAAAGACCACTTCCACTTCCCCCAACGTCGTCGGATCCGAGTCCACGTGGGGGACTGGACGGTGCAGAAAGGGAAAGTGTTATGCCCAGATGGCAACCAGATGCTGAGGTCACTATCTGCCCTATTTGTGGGACACAATTCAGTATGATTCCCAACTTACCATTCCTCCTCGTATGGTTATTGACACTTTGACACTAGGTTTCTTTATTCGTAAACACCATTGCAGGTACGTGAATATTCCCGAGTTGTGCAAACTTATGATGTCGTTTAGTAAGCCTTATTAACTCCTTGTAGAAAATGCGGTAGAGTTGTCTGTAATTCTTGTTCTCCCCATCGCATCACCATTCCGCACCCATACATAGTTCGACCACCAACCGAAGACGCACCTCCAACACCTCTAACCAGGGATTCTGCACGTTCTTCTATTTCCGCTGAATTTAGGGGTATTGGTGGAGGAGAACGTGTGAGACTCTGTAATCCTTGCGTCCCAGATCCAAACGTTGCTCCTCCACAGTCCAATTTCAGCAACTCGCCAGCCTCCTCCTCCCAGCCAAGCGGACATAGCCGCTCATCAAGTGCTATGTCGCCTTTCCATGGTCAATATCAACACCCGGGGGGCAGTCAAAGTAACCCTATATTGGTACAACGTCTTCGAAACGCGCCTCGAAGACCACGAGAATCTTCAATACTTGGTCAAAATAATTCCTCCCATTCGCAAAATCTTCAATCTCGAGGCTCATCTTACAATACTAGAGAAGGTCATAGATTCGTTGATCCGCTAGAAAGTCGATCTCGGAGTAGCACGGTATACTCTCCCTTTCCCGTCCAAAGGTCGTACCAATACTAATACAATTAGGTGGGCGGAAATGCACGTGATATATATTATGTGGTGAGTTGTGCTTCACTCAGATATTCCCGCAAAAACGCGGCCTAACAGTTATATCCAGGTCAACAATTTGAGCGATCGACCTTCCGGTGCCCACAGACACCCGTCTATGACCGCGAGAAACGATATTGACCTCTCCCGTTCGCAAGTACCACCAACACTACGCCCACCCCAACAACCACGACGACAAATACTAGAGGAGGATGAATGTTGGGTCTGCCATACCGAACTTCCATCTCGCTTGCTTCCAGACTTCGAAACTTTACGCTCTCAACACGTAGAGGCATGTATCGCTTCTGTAATGCATGGTTCTCCCCCTCCACCACCAGCCCAAAGCGATCCAAATCGATCATCATCCTCTGTCAATACCATATCTTCCAGCCCCGAGCCCCGCTCTGCAGCACAGTCGCGTCGAACTGGCGTCTTCCCCTACTTAGGAACAGAAAAGGACTGCGTTGATGATGCGGAATGTACGATTTGCCTGGAGGAATTTGAAGTCGGCGTGGAGATGGGAAGACTAGAGTGCTTTTGCCGGTTTCACTTGAAGTGTATTAGGGAGTGGTTTGTATCCCATCCTGGGGAATGTCCTGTGCATCAACATGGTGGCGGTTACTGATCGATCCCTTGACGGGAACATTTTGCGAGCGTCATGTAGCGTATTAACTTCTAGCACCTAGCTAAGTTATCTTAATTAAAATGAGCATTGCTGTATTTGTTTCTGTTGCTCTCGATGGAAATGCCTTAGGGACTGTTTTGCATCTGAACTCAGGCGAGTACCTCCCGTTTGGCACCCATAGCAACGTCTCGAGTTGCCTATTATCTTCCATTGTCTTTGGCCCTCCTAACTGCATTTTATAACGCCTAGTAAAGCGAAAATTCGAAATGGATGCATTGGATAGTTCATACCTCCGTAATCGAGTCACATATATGACGTGCTATTTGAGATAACTATAAGAAACTCCCGCTTCGTTCGCTCGGCTACCCTACCGAGTTTTGAAGTGAGGCTATTGATAGACGAGAGCATCGAATTCGTTTAGCGACAGGGTGCCAAAAAGAAATGTCGACAAAAGCAGGCTGTATAAAAAATAACAAATAAAATTACATAAGCCAAGAATGGCAAAAGAGTTCATTGCCCACAGCCAATTAATCTCTGCCGTTTCGATGTTGTCGCTAGACCTAGTTATATTTCTCTTCGATATGAGGTGTCGTGTGACACTTGTGGGGAGTGTCTTAAAGAGCTAGGTTGTCGTTATGGCATTTTTGTTTATTTGAATATATACAGTAGCGACAAGCAGCGAGGTTATGCCGGCCGGATAGAGCGGTGAGGCGAGCCCCTATAGAGGGATAGTGAGCGGTGAGATGGGCAGATTGTCACTTCAGTAGATATCGATTGGAGATTGGCTCTGATCTAGCAAACAAAAGATAGATATCTGGTTAGCTTTAGAGCTTTGATTATTACGATGCAAGAGTGTGTTTACCTGGCTTCTCAAAGTGAAGACTTGAGTAATTCTGAATTTCTGATAGTCTAATATCCGGGAAAGGTGATAGGGAGCTCTAAGAGACCGTTTTGCAATCGAATCTCCCATCTAGATAGTTTTCAGTCCCAATAATCATGTTCAAGGAGTATGTCCTAAAAGATATGAGGTGGCCCCTGACCGTTTAATTTATAGAAATAAGTCGGGACCGTAAAGGCCCTGCGCTATCGAGAGTAAATAATGATCAAGCCCTCTCTGTGATTAAGAGCTTTCGTTTCCGATCTATCGGCAACGGCTCCGGTTCGGTTTAGAGAGAGCCAGAATTTACAGGGGATATGCAAAACTAGATCGAAATTCCTTAGGAGAGCTGGCCTCAGCTGAGGCACCGTGTTATTCTGGCCGCTTAAAACCTCTCATGCAGACTCCCCCGGTAATACTAGCTACAAGTTGGGTCTCTAAACTGAGCCATTAATAGTAATTTGTTGCACGTATTGCTTAATTAGCCAGCACAGGGTGCCTCATTCTCCCTAAATGGATCATCTTTCTTCCTCTGGCACCTTTTTTTCATTCTTCGCCTACCAAATGGCGGCTCGACAACACAGTCACCATGGTTCCCCATACCCTTACTGTTTACCCATCCCTATTTCGACACCGAGGCTTCATGCTCGGAGACAGCATGGGAGTGGGAAAGAACATGATAGCGATTCTAGTAATGTCGTTAGTTAAAGACGATCCAGGATTTTCTCTAGTTGTAGCTCCGATGGTGCTATATGCGCAGTGGCTTAATGAAATTGAACGAACTTGGCAAGAGGTTAGTCTATTAACAAAACCATAATTACGTATTACCCATCTGGTATCCGAATAGTAACCACTCTGTCGCCAACCATATTTGTTGGTCAATATAACAGACTAATTATTTAGTGGCTTGTCAATATATCAAACTCTGTCAATATATATGCCTTGTCAATAAAGAGATGCCCAATCTGCCAGTTTCGTAAGACGGGATGAAGGTCAAAATGTTGAATGAGGGGATAGCTGGTTTCATGGATCTAATTCCCTTACATAATTACAAAAGCAAGAGTCCGGTCCCAGGCTTCTGAGATTCTGGATATAGGGCACGTTAGGCTGAGAAAAGTTAGAACCAACTGAATGCAGATTAAAGAGGCGATTGCAATATGTACGGGGTGAGATCGTGCAGATAGGACTATCGATCTCTTCCCGTTATTATACAATATCTACGCTCTCCCGGGCCAAAATGCAATACCTGTAACTGGGGCTGGATTAAGTTTCATTAACTATGTATATGGACTCCTAGGTCTATATTAGGTCTATTAGAAACTCAAAACGCGCAGCTATCACTTTTAAAATTAAGAGGCTATAGAAAACTTACACTTAAACCGATAATAAGATAAGGACTTCGGAACGTGTTATTTGAAGCCTCTAGTAATAAAACAAAAACACGCAAGTTATTTCCCTCCGCCAGTTCCCGACGAATTAGAGACAAGAGTACACAGTCTGCCCGAATCTATCAAAGCCAACTCAACAATAAACAAGCGCATCTCAAAAGAAACTCCGATGACATTCACCACTCGGATTTAAACTTGCCCTTCGCTCCTTGCCAGCTGAAGGGCTTCTTACTTGCACCAAGTCCGTAACTGCCTAACATTACCAATCCAAGTTGCGACCGCAAAGCCCAGAATGACAAACATTATTCTTAGGGCGTGGGATATTCTCTTGCATGCTACAAGTAGAAATGTTAGCAAGCAGAAACAGAAGCTGTTAACTCAGGGAGGGGGTTTGACCCGAAGAAATATCCTCCAAGCATGAAGATCAGGCGTAAAAAGACCACAGCCACACAGAGTTCCACTCTGGCCCGGTCGTCGTTGTTGTACTTTGTAGGAACTTCCCTCTCACATTCTTGAATTATTGTCTCAAGCTGTTGGATATTATCAGAGGCTGGACGCTCAAATGATAGATAGGGAAAGAGCGCGCACGGGTTTCATTTTCTCTTCCTTGACTTCGGTTTCTTTTTTGGCTTCTTCGGCTTGAGTCCGCGCCTCTACAATATCAGAAGCCAGAACGAAAGCCAGATAGTGGCCACAGCCCCAGTCTCGCATAGGATTCTCATATGCCTCGTTCTTCCAGTCATGGTTGTTGAGCTCAACACCAACCCAGGAGACATCCGTGAGCCATTTCGCCTCACCCTGCTTTACTCCTCGGAATATAAGAAGCCTTTTGAGATAGTCCTTCACCTTATCATCATCATCCCAGGAGGGAAAGCTCTTTTGGATCATCTCTAAAGATTTTTCATGGTTGGGCTCTTCGTTTCCAACCTTAAGTCCGTTCCGAGTACGCTCAATCTGAGCAGCCAGGGCATAAGCCAGCCTCTGCTCACAACCGCAGCCCTCCAAATGGTTCCTTAAGTCTAGATATGGCCAATGGTGGAGGTCATCACCGATCAAGAAGACCTTATCAACCCATTTGGTGTCTTTGTCCATTATTCCTCGGAATTTGAGTACCTTCTTAAGGGAAGCCTTGACACTGGAGTTGGAGTCATTAGGACTCGGGAATCGGTACCCATCAGACTCGCCCGTCTCTGGATCTTCGTTGCAGCTGAAGTAAACAGAGTTAGGTGTATCGCTTAGCTCGAAAAGGGGGCGACGACCATCACCATTCCGTCACAATACCCGGACGGCGGGACCTTCCTCACCTGAACTAGCTAACTCCGTAACATAGACTAATAATTATACAGTGCGGTAGATTCGCTGCGGAAGAGGGAATTTAGGGCTCATGTCTGTCTCAGAACCAAGATTTGATAAAGTTATAAAGATATGCTCAGCGCTTTTCATCAATTATATCACTAAAGATCATCTAGATACGGTTTCAATATCCAGCACAACACAACGCTACCACCCTCCCACCTCGGCCCTCGTTTTTCGTTCTTCCTCCTCCCCTGGTACCCACTGTAAAAGGACAATCTCCTAGGCACGACCGACAACCCACTACTGCTGTCCTTATCTCGGCTCAGAAGCTTATAAATAGAAAGAGTTATAGATATTTGACTTCCCCCCCCCCTTTCCAACCTTCGTTCCAAATAAACACCTCTATTGATTAAACCCGTGTGCAAGAAAGGTATCTGAACGAGAAAAATAAATGATATCGCCGCAATGGCACTCAAAAAAGGTGCACAGTGCTCAGATAACACCTCGCTCGAAAAGGCTCGGAAACTCCTTCAAAATCCAAGGCACTCCCAGGATGTTATTACCCAAATGTTCACCTGCGGTTTACACTGGTGTTGGAGTAATATCCCTGCTGTTTCTTCCCCCATCTCTCTCCTTCTTGCTCAACAAGCTCCTCCTGAACCCGCTCTTGGGGCTATCTGCTCCTACAGATCCGTTCTCGGTAGCTGCGGCAGAGAGGACGAAATTACTCTTCAACACCACAAAGCCACTTCCAGCCTTGACCTGCTTCTCCTGCCCGGAACCAGATTCATCGACGAAGAAAAGATTCTCGCCCAGATCATCGTCGCTGCCGAATGTGTTGTGGCCTTTGACTTGGATCTGGAACTGCGTGTCTGCTGAACAGGCGCACTTGAAGTTCTCTTTCTTCTCATTGAACGCTACGGTGCCGGATGCAGATTTGATGTGATCGGTTTTGTGAAGTGTCTTGGGTTTCGGGGTGATTTGCTTGACGTAGACCATGACGTTCGACGAGGGGGGGTACCCGGAGGCCGAGATAATTGTGAAGTGGGCGGTGCCCGTTGGGGCACTGCCCGGAGTACCGTACGCGGTGCTATGTATAGAAGATGCCCCAAAACTTTTCTTCCGGCTATGCCCGTTGTCTCCAGCTGAAGTTCCTGGTGGTGTAGTAGGCGCGGTAGTCTCGATCAGAGGCGGCGCAATTGCAGGAGCACGCTTCATGCCACCGACGCTTCCACCAGCTACGAATGCAGCGTCTTCCGCTTCCATTAGTGTAGCAGGGGCGGTTCCGTTCGTTTCCTCTTCGTCCTTCTTCTTGCTCTTGAAGCCATGCAGGAGGAATGATGCACCTTTACTAACGTTGTGCGCTGCAAAACCGACACCCTTGATTGGCGCGCCAGCGACGCCCGTAACTATCTTGCCAGGAGTTGCGAAAGTGCCTGAGAAAGTGGACGATCCTTGACGAGAGCGGGTAACGTAGTCCGGCCGGAATAGTAATCGTAATTTTACATTTCCAGATTTGCCATCTAAGGCCAGATCATATTCGTGCGCCTTGAACGGGTCTAGTAACTCGAGGTTGATGTCCGCGGAGCCCAAGAAATCCGCCTTGTCGCCAAAGTCCCAATCGTAAACGTTGCAGACGAATTTGGCAGCTGTTCGCGAGGGAACATCTACCTCGAAGAACTCATTCCAGGCTGGATGAAGGGTTTTCTTCTGCACCTTGGTCTTGAAGACGTCTTTACCATTGAGCTCAAACTTGCAATATGGATCGCTGTACCCATTTCGATCCGCAGACGGGAGATCTGACGCATGAAGAACATCAACTCGCAGTTTGCCCATGTTGTTGATACTCTCGCTAGGGTCAAGTTGCATTTTGACTGGGATATACTTCAAGCTAACTTTGACACTGCTGGTCCTTCCTTCCTCATCTTTCATCTTGAGAATTGTGGGATTGTTCTTGGAATGGTTAGAATTCTTCGAAACATATAGGGGAGGCAATACTTACCAAGCACTGCTTGAGGGTGTCCAGGGTATTCCCAGTCAGTTTAGCAATGGTATGGTGGTCATCTGCGCCACCCCCATGCTTCGCACCTTTGTCGCGGAGACGAAGGGTGATTTTGGAAAAGTCTAGTTCGCGCACAAAACAATCACCGATATCGTCAAGCGTGGCTGTTCTCGATCGAATTGTCGACGAGACATAAGATGGGAAGGCCATGTCATCCATCACAACCTCCACACGAACGTCGTCGCGACTAAGATCAACATCGAGAATCTTAAAGATAATAAGGCCAGACTCGTACTTGACAAGTTCTTCTGGTGTGAGTCGTATTTTCGGCAATTTCTCCGTCTCTGTTGTCTCGTCTTGCTCCATTTCGCCCTCAGCTAGTGCCTTCGCCAGTGAGCTATCAGATGCAGCAGGGCCGGCCGACCCATTTACCATCGACTGCTTGCTTCCTGCGGTTCTGGTCGAATCTATGGAGATACGCCCTGCCTCAGATGACATCTTTTTGGCTGCCGCTTCCTCATCTTCCGGGTCTGCTATATTGAGAAGGGGATAGAACGCTGCGGTGTAGTTGAGGGTGCCCTTTGGTGAGCCCTTCCCGTGTATACGCAAAGCGGCTGCATGGCGGGTTTTCTCGTCATGGACTAGATACTCGCCATTTTCGGCCTGCTGAACGTACTCGGATGCCAAGACCTGGATACTTCCCAGTGACCGATCATCACCCATTGTCTCTTGATCCATGACTTCTAGAGTAAGTCTTTCCCTAGTGCTGTGCACGGGCACATAGATCACTTCGTCCCAATCAGGATTGAGATTGTTCTGGAATGTGACTGTGCGGCCCTTCTCTATGCCAGACAGGAGCACTCGTACGTAGGGATCAGATTTGCCCAACGTTTCGAGATTTCTGAGGTCCTTGGCGTTAATAAAATGGAATCTCATCACACCAATTGGGGTGACATAGCCACCCGTCCCAGCACCGACACCGGATAGAGCGACAGGCTTCCACTGCAGTGTCAACTTTGCGCGTCCTGTCTTCGCACCAGCAAGGTTGTACCATTCCTGTCCTTTCTCCATCAAGCCCAGCATATCGTCCAGCTTGATCTGATAGGTACCCAAAATAGGGTCAGTGCCGAGATCTCGGTCATCCTTGATCACGAGACCCAGCTTGGCATTCTTGCGGTCAGTGATTAGCAGCTCCTTGTGGCCATTGTCCCAGATGGGGTTGTTCGTTCGTTTCAACTTCCTGGTTACGTGGACTTCCTTATTATTGAGTAGAAGTACAGCATAGGGGTTAAGCTGCCCGATAAAACTCTTGCTGCCGTCAAGATCTTTAACCTGCTCAACGGTGAAGCGTGCAATTCCCGTATTGGACTCTGGTGGGGGCCCCTTCTTCCCGTCCCCATTGGCCTCTCCTTCAAGCACAGGGAAGAATCGTACATCTGCAGTCAAGAGCCCTCGTGCTTTGCCGTCGTTGGCCACCAACTCAAGCTGCTCGTTCTCGTGATCTGTCACGTCTTGAACCCTCTCTAGTGGGAAGCGAGCAGTTCCGAGCTTCTTGTGCTTGCGATAATCATTGAAGTCAATAATATCCATGGTGAGAACATCGTTGAACGACGTGACCAAGAGGTACTTGGTCTCGTTCCATTTTGGATTTGTGGTTTGCTTGATAACCTTGGTCTGTGCTAATGTCGCTCCATCGTTGAAGGACAAGGCAGTAAACGGGTCAGGGGATCCAGAAAACTTGTCCGGGTTCTTCAGGTCCTGGGCTCCGTATAGAGTAACAGCCAGGACACCAATCGCTTGGTCAACTGGGGATCCGGAGAGCATCTTGGCCACTTCAATTGGAAAGACGTTCGGCGCATACATGATAGGCCCAATGTTGGCATGGATCTGTTCCAGAATGAATGTTTCCAAACCAGGGATGAAATTGATGTCAAACCCAAGCGTATCGCCACCTAGGGGCTTGCAAACGTAATCGATAGTCGGACGCTCCAAAAAGCAGACTTCGACCCTTTCGACATGGGGAAAAGGGATCTGGAGCTTTATCTTGACCCGCATGAGGCCAGAAAATGCCATGTCCTCCACGATGACATCCAGCCCTTTGCTCACCACACCTTTGCCAATTCTGACCTCCAGCACAACTTTAGGGTTGATTTGGCTCTTGACCTGACGAGACGTCATATCGGAGTGATCGCCAGGAGTGAAGCTGAACTTCCAGTCCATAAGAACGATATCGGCCTCGGCTTTTGGGTAGGTCTTGACATGTTCTAAGCGGGGTGGCTTGGATCCGAGGGTAAATGTTTTCATGCGGAGGCTATCGAGGAAAGCAGGTGTGGATACACTGAGGACCTGATCAACCGCATTTATGATGGTTTCCGCCAAGACGGGCTGATATATGGGCCAGAATTTAAGCATGAAGCTGTTCATCCACTCCAAACTCTCGGTATCCGTTTCGAGCCTGCGTTTGGACATCTCTCGGTTTATATCGTCTCGAAAATTCCGCCTTACTCGACGGAGCGACGTTCGATAATATGTGCCGCAAACCGCCATAATGAAAAAGACCCAAGCAAGGCCGCCGCCTAGCGTCGCTATAAACCACGAGGAGAGGCAGGCAAATACGATTACCGCCGTGTTGTGATACCAATCTGCCAGAAGCCGTATTAGAAGGATTGGGAGATATCATTTGGAAAATAGCTCACCTCCAAAGAGTTTGTCACTGAGCTTCCCCTCTAGCCAGTCCTGGTAGTCTGCCATATTCCCCTCGTCAAGCTCACTTGAGGAATCGGTACTGAACCTTGGCGGCCAGCCGGTTCGCTCAACCCATCTATCATAGTCGTCTACCCCAATATGTCCGTTTGCCAATGGTTTGCCATGGCTGTCTTTAATCGGGGCGACAGGGGGGAGCGCACCAGCAGTCGTGGGCGAAGGGAGATCGTAGGCGCCGGGTTGTCCATCGTCGATATCTGTTGGGATTGCGACTGCTTTGGACTTGTGTTCGTGATGGAAGCCTTCTGGTATACGCTGAGAAAAAAAAAGAGTTATTAGTGGAAAAGCTTCGTAGAGCATCAATGGATAGTCAACTTACGGCCCTGGCCTGGGCAGCCTTTTCTTCTGGGCTCGCATTAGGGTCGAAAGTGAATGCCTCTATTCCGGCCTTGTTGCTCTCGGTGACAATTTTCTTTTCCGCATCCTCAGCGGTCACCGAGGTGTTCGGGTCTGCAGCAGCTTCCACCACACCCTGAGCCTTTAGCTCTGCGGCCGAGGACTCCAGCGACATCCCGGGAGCGGGCAGCTGTGGTTTTGCAGAGTCAATTGAGGATATTCGACATGCAGGCCGAAGACGACGTCTCTATAGTATATCGATACGTCAATTCGCACAGGATGGTTCGAGGAAGGGGAGAGGGCGCGGCACCGAAGAATGGACGATGTTGGGAGGGGGTTGGTCCGGGGAGCTTGGCTGGTGGAAGCGAAGTAGCTCTGCTGCTACTAGTAGTACGTGGTGGGACGAGGAGATTGGAATTGGGCTGGGAGATGCCGATGGAAGAGTGGCGGGCGAGGTGAGTAGCAGAAGACTAGTAGTTCGTAGCTCCTCAAGTAGTAGGGGTGCAGCACGACGCAAGTCGCAGACGCAGACGCAGACGCAGACGCAGACAGTCTCGAGAGAGACTATTTAGCTGGTGGCTTTTTCGAGATTCCAAGTTTCCAAGGTTGTGGCCAGTGGAGATGTGGAGACGTCGATCGTGGGCAGATGCCGCAGCAGGAAAGGAAAACGGGAGATGTGAGAGGTGCGATCACTGCGATGGGAACCAGAACCTGGTCCAGCTGTGATGTGCAGTTCGGGTTGTCTGTGCACCCAGTGGGCGTGGGTTGCCTGGTACTCGTAGGGGAACTGGCGCTGAGATCGTGGGTTTCCTGGTGGTTGGGACACTTGGGGAGCTGGGCGACTGCTGGGTTTTGCTGGAACGTGCTGGGTTTGGGTTCTGGGGTTCTGGGTTTGTTGCTGGGCGCTGGCTGAAATGCTGGCCGGCGATGACGATTTGCGCTGCTGCTTGCGCTGCGTTGCGTTGCGGTGCGGTTGGAGCTAGGACAGCTATTGGAGCTATTATTGCCATTGCCTGGGTACCTGGTACAAGGAACGTCGTAGTTCCGGACCTTCAAGCCGAAGTTAGCAGGGATGGGGCGAGAAAGATGGAAAGATGGGAAGATGGGAAGATGGCGGATTATTAGCAATTTATTATTTATTAGCACAGAAGGATACAGTACTTCGTAGGTAAGGTACAGATAGCAAGGCGGTCTCTTGTTGGATTGGACGCTTGCGGAAGAAGACGCGGGGAAGAGAGAGAGAGAGAGGCATGGCAAGGTGGTATGGTTGTAGCAGAGGGAGGAGGATGTGGAGGATGTTCATTGTTGAGTATACTGTTTTATTGCATCTATTGCATCTATTGCGAATCTGCGAAGGGCTATGCATAACCCACCACCGAGCCGCCCATTTCGTGCAAGTACAGATTACAACCACTCAATTAATTATTAACGGTACTTAGAGATACATTAAAGAAGCAAGGAAGAGACCAGGGACTTGTCAGACGCCAGCACTTCCCCAACTTATTATAAAGAGCAGTAGGGTAATGCCCGCTTGCGCGAAGTATGGACCAAGACACTGAACAACACCAGTGTCCTCAGTACATAACTCGAATAACAAACTAATGAAAAGACAACATGATAGCCATTCCGGATAAATCAAACGCCCTTGCTCCGTACGAAGTACGAAGTACACAGGAAACACTACACCACTGTCGCATGCGCATGCCACGCACAGAGAGTATGTACATGATACAACACTGTAAACACTGTAAACACTGCCCAAGCAAGACATCTCATCGTGGTTGATTGGTACAGCACATACAGAACCCGCGTAGTGGCTTTCGTGCTCTCGCTCGCCCGCATGCGTGTTGTTTGCTTTTGTCTCTTCAAGAGAGACATGGCTCCAGCAGCTTAGGATCGCAGCCGCCAATACAGGATAGATCAGCCCTCCTATGAACAGCACTGCGTGCTTGTATATAAAAGGGCAGATCAACGCAGGACAAACTCTCCAATTGCTACGCAGGCCCCGCCCTGAAGCCCAAGGGCTTATCTCACGTGCAATGTTGGAGATAAGAGCAGAGGGACGGACTGGACCCCTGAGTTGGGCGTTGGAGGTGTTGGGAGTTCGCAGTTCGCAGTTCGCCGTTGGTAGTTGGCACTACTCTCCGACAGCGAGACGAGACAGGACAGGACATTACGGGACCATCTTTCCCCTGAAACACCCTCCGTGGGGCAATGCCTCCAAGGGCCCCTGCAGGCCAGGACAACATTGAACAATCACAGGCCAAATCAATCGTAGGTCACGCACTGCAATCAAAAGCTTTCTTGCGCGTTCTTTACCCCGTATTTTGATGTTGTTTGTGTCGGCTGTCAAAGACGGGCAGTATTGGGATACAGTTGCGGTGAACCAGCTGCGACTCGAGGGTCGAGAGTGGAGGAAGACGGCTTTCACCACCCCAGTTTACCCCAGCTCACCAACCGTTGCACCCCATTTGACAGTTCGTTCTCATTTACATTTACGTATACACTCATATTCACACTCACTTTGCTCGCAGGCTCGAGGCGGTGCCGATCCTGGGTTGAACACCACGCAGACATGGAAGAGCCCACGAGCGCTGGCAAGGAGAAGACCAAGCATCGGTTTATGGGCAAGCTGTTCAAAGAAAAGAAGACCACAAACACCAACCATGATATCGACACCTTCCTCCATGGCCCCTCAGACGAGTTACACATGATGCCGGCGCCGGCTGGTCCTACAAACCCACATCCACATCCACATCCACATCCATCTCCACAGCCGCCTTCTCTGTCACGAATTGATACCTCCAGTGCCCGTCGCTGGCCTACAGCCGCCGAGATAAACAACTCACGGATAAATCGAGGAAGATCGGCCAGTCCACCGCGAAGCAGGAAGGGTCTGGCGGTCCGCTTTACAAATGAACAACCAGAGGTAATCGGGGAGGGTGGTGACGAGGCCACAACACCAGTCTCTGATATCGGCGTGAGAAAGCGAGCACATTCGCACCCGCCGGGACGCCAACCGCCCCAAGCCCAAGCCCAAGCTCCGTCATATCGGCTGGACACAACCCCTCCTGCAAATGCCCCAGGCCATTCCCAAGAGTATCAAAGTCTGGATCCTTTCCGAGACGCGACGCCGCTTCGACGTACTGCTACAGGTATCCAACCGACCTCAGCACGAGGCCCTTCCACAGAACGTCTAAGTCGTGGTCTAGCGGAAACCCAAGAACATGGATATGGCTCGACGAATAACGGGAGTGCAAAGGATGACTTTGATCCAACGTCATTTGCAGCTAGAATAAGAGCTGAAATGCGATCAGGTGAAGGCAAAGCTTTAGTCCAGGCCGCCTTGACAGCTCCAGATTTCAATGATCTGAGACCCGGCTCATCTGGAGAGCCGGAATCTGAGATCACCCCGCAATTGAAGGAGCTACGATTGAACACCATGCGGAATAGCTACATATCCACCTCGCCTGTCACGAGTATCCCAACACAGCGTCTTCCTGGGCGGTCAGTGAGCCCAGCAGGATCACAGTTATCGATTCCTATGACAGAAAGTCCTCTTCCATTATCTCGCACCTCAACTCTGCAGGCGGCGGCGACTGCTGTGGTCGACGATGCCTTGCATGACTTTTCGAGTCGAGTTGCACATTTCTTTACCTTGTTCCGCTTATCAGTAGAGTCTGTCAAGCCGATTCCTAGGTGTTCATTGGAAGAGCTTGTCAGGGCGGCTCTCTGGTGGTTCTTGAAAGGTAGATCGAATCTAGAGGCTACAGTACGAGACCGGCCAACAAGCCCGCAAGCTCAGAAGCTCAGACAGTTCGTCCTTCAACAAGCCTATACAGATCTTGCAAAGTCTCTATGGCTTATAGAAATTGTTACCACACAACGCCCAGAGGTCGTAGATCCCTTTGCGCAGGGTGCTCCCGATCCACATCTCGCCAGCATTCTGGAGTCACGTCAGGCCATCATATCCAGCCTAAGAAAAGTTACCATGTCAATGAAGCGTAATAATTTCCTACCGCCAGTGCCTAACGATGCACCATTACCGCAGGGTTTGGATAATTCGATCTGGGTCCCAGAAGAAGGCGACAAGTCCTTGGTGGCAAACCAGCGACCCAGTCTGGCGATCACTTTGGCGGAAACTTTTCCCCTAGGAGACTCAAGTAGAACTTTCTTTTTTGGAAGATGCTTCGCCCAAGGAGTTCTGGAGGAAGAGGCTGCATCCCAGCGCTTTCAATGCCCAGTGTTGGTCTCTCTTGTGCGGGGACAAAAGGAAAAGGAGATATCGGCGCTTATCGTTAGTCAAGACGGGTCGCTGAAAATATGCATCCAGGCAGATAGAACTCGTGGCACAACATGGGGCGATGTGGCATGGCAAGCAAAATCCAGCACTATCAAAGTAGATCTGCCACGCGGGTTCTCACTTCGCCTTCACTGCTCTGAGCAGGACTTCGGGATGATATGGGGATCGTATGACCGCCAGGCGAAAATCCATGACTATCTTAACCCGCGTCGAGAGGAAGAGCTCATTTTCGAATCCGTCATTAGGAATTTCAAGTACATTGACCAGAGTCCAGAGTCTAGGTTTCCGAAGGATCCTCTGTACGACTGCTACTTGAGGATCTTTGAGATGGTCAAATTAGAGAAAGGGGCTGCTGCCGCTCGCACAATCCATCGTGGTTTTCGGGTCGCTCTGAATACTAACCCTAGAACCAAAAACTTGGACGGTATCAACCAAAAACTACCGCCGAATCGTGCGATCCAATTTGGATTCCTTCGCGGAGACGATGGACAGCCAGCGATAATGCTTAAGATCGCCCATGGAGGGTCGAACTGTAGAATGATCATGGCCTTCGACGATGTGAATCAACGGTCTCGTCTCCACCAGCTTCTTACGGGAAGCGCGCTGGGAGATACAGAGGGTTTTGTCGCTGAAGGACCGATGAAAGCCTTTTCTATCGCCGGCTATTCTCCAAACAGCCAGGATTTGAGCTGTCTCAAAACCCTCGACTGGCAGGGCTTCCGGGTTATCAACGAAGACGAGGGAGACCTCCAAACTGACAAGGCGGTCCTCTCTAACCACTTGCGCGTCGCGCTCGATTTCACCACAGGAAGTCTAACAGATCGCATCAACGTTGAACCAGGAGAATTGAAGCTTCGACTGGACGTCAAGAGTGCGAAGGAGCTGAAAATTCTACGACAGCCACAAGAAGATATGACTGTAGCGGTCATCGAGTCACAGGTGTCCCAGGAACTTCCACGCGAGCTTTCTGCGCTCCTAGATACGATTGCCCAGTCCCAATCAGCCCGAACTTATCTTTTCCCCGGTCTTCAGGAGCTGCACTTGTTCCAGGCAGCCTTAACCGGCTTCAATGTGCTCTACGATGGAATGGCATCGTCGTTCAATATATCGCGCCGTCGGATGGTCGTCCCTATCTACAAGAAGTGGGACGCGGCATCTACTCGGGTACAAGTGGTGCAGCGGGATAAGGTCGTGCAGCTTGTTGCCTTCTTCGAAAATTTCAGTCACGGCGATTGCATGAACTTCGCATTGAAGTCGACGGATGTTTTCGAATGCTCTGGCCGCAGTGGAAAGTATTCTTTGCGGATCGTAGATGCTAAGTTCGCATTGCCTAAACCGCCCCAACAAGACGACGCAGTTGGTCATCAATTTGTCTGCTTGGACATGCCCGAGTACCCTGGCGAGCACGACGATATAACGATTGTTTTTGATACCGAATCTGGTATGTCTCGATCTCTTACCTATATACATACCCCGAAGCTGTATAATGAACGGTATTGTACTAACTCACCTACAGAACTTGACAAGCTCACAAAAGCATTGCCGGCACCTGTGAAAATCGCATCACGGATGGCATCGATCAAGAGGTAACTGAATAATTTGGGGCGGGCAAGGATGGTCCAGCCAGAGGAAATTTTGTTCATAGCAAAAGTAGTGCATAGGAGGAGCATTTTCAGCGGAGTTGTTTATGTAGCATAGTATTTGCGGGACGATATCCCCGGCGTTGAAAGCCAACATACCTGTACAGTACAATACAATACAAAGCAGATCTTAAGTCATTGCGATACTCTCTCTTCCATCTTCCTTACCTATAACAGAAATAGAAAGCTACCGGCCAATCATTATTCCCCATCTTGTCGACCATCGGGAAGGATTCAGCGGCTTTTCCCTCGTAACGTGATGATCATCAATGCTATCCAGCCCCAAACAAACTCACGCGTCATAGGCCAGGATTTGCCCATACCAAGCAACTATAAATAGGACATTGGTTCTCGCCCAATCATGCATCAACCCCTTCGTGTTCAGTGTCCACGCCCTTCCGAATGTGTGTCTTGTGTGTTGGCGGCCAAGGGACGAGGAACTCCAGTTAGAAGTTGGACTAACGGGTAGAGAGCGAGAGAGATACAGTACATTCATGAGGTACTGCGTGCTAACGGCCAAACCTCCAGAGTCTAATGATGTACGAAGCACAAGTAACCGCGTTAAAAGAGAAACCCCCCAGAACGGGCCTTACTTTACCTATCCAACTACCGCCCTCCGATACGTAGCATTTCGTACTAGAATACTACTAAAATACTACTAAGTTCCTCTAAATAGTCCTAATACGAGGATTGCCCTGTCGAAACCCCGTCCTAGATCTCCGTCCTACTGTCCTAGTCCCAAACCGAGGTACTAACACCTTAGGGAGATCCCTGCTCCCTAATTGGTGCCTTGATTTCCAACGGCTTCGTACATTCGTACTTGAATTCCGGAATCTCATCTCGCCCAGACTCACCCTGCGATACAACAAATCGTTCAGGATCTGCAGCTGTAATCCTTCCGCGCCCGTGAACCACCCACCGTCTTGCTGCAATTTCACAGAGGCGTAGCCGCAGAATAGTCCAATTCGATCGGTGCCAGGCGGTTTTTTTGTTTGGCCGATAAAACTACAGAGACACGAGCGTCAGTCGTTTCATATTTCCAACATCCACGATCACCGAACTCTCTTCCCACCACGAAGATCACAACGACCCCCAGCTACACCGTCATGGCAGTTTGAACCCAGCACTTCATCTTCCCGTTAGGTTGTATGCGGAGCCGCGATCGCCCCTCTTCGATGTCACGGCGCTTGTGACGCTAATGCCATGGAAAAGTCGAAACACGACCCTCAGACCATCCAGGAACACCACGATGACTATGTTGGGAGCGCCGGCCAGCACAGCACGATTATGATGTCTGCGGAATTGGGAGCAGTGGAAACATGGCGGGGAGGATGCTGCGATGGAAGCAGGGACGAGGACGAGCGACATTCGATCAGGGCCTGGTCCCGCGGTCGCTCGTTGTCGACATTTCGGAATCGGGGCCAAACGGCTGGTGTACCGGCTTCTTGCACTACACGGCGGCAGACTCGCTCTCTCTCAGCGTTGGCATACCTCTTGACCATAGTTGTTGCCAGTCTCTGGATTGTGCCGGCCGGTGCAGTCTTCATCGACTTCCAAAATTGTCTCTCGGATTCGGTCCAGCACGATGAACCGATACAACTGCAGTTCGTTCCGATGTTTATGGATGCTGTTTTCAACACCACAGCCCCAAGCCATAATCTACAAGTGAGGGTATGGGGGAACGTCACCGGATCGGGCCCTACGACTAAAGTCCTTCTGCCGCCGCCAGAGGATCCATATTGGGGGAGCAATGATTCCAACCGTGGGGGAAAGATTATAAATATCCCGGATCCCACACTGGCGAGCCCGAAACTCACAACGCTGTTCAGCAAGGTCAATGTCCTTACTTACGAGCCGTGGAGTGACTCCGTCGATTTCTGCGGCCAGCTGGAGAACGGGTCATGTCCCCTTGGGCCCAACTGGAGAGCCGACCCGTAAGACTAGCCTCTCTTTTCTTCTCCCTAATGAACCATTATAAGGATGTGTACTGACAACGTTTTCCTATATATAGGGAGAGGCCAGACGGATTAGCGTCATTCGGCTTCTCGAATAACTTCTACTCGTCATATGCGTTTACCTCCTTCAGTACAACCCTCATGATCAAATATGGCGATCCGGATGCTACGCCTGTTGGTTGCGTTTCAGGGACCATCACACCGGATATTGGGAGCGGCCTCACTAGAGTTACTACGTTTATCCCCATGATCATTCTCATTATCGTTGGGGTTGCAACGGCGTTTGCGGGGATATTTAGCCCTTGGGGATCGACTGATATACTTCGGTGGACCACAAATTATGGACGAGATGAGGACCTGCTCCGACTAGTAACGCCTGGGTTCGGGGATTGCTTGCAATACATCCAGTTTGTGGCTCTAACTGGAGGCCTAACGCTCAATTATCCCGGGTTCTATCAACCCATCGTCAGCAAGGTTGCATGGTCTGCCCTTATGTTCAACCAGAGTTTTGTCAGCCAGGGGAATGGAACTGCCAGTCTAGTTGATGGCATATATGTCACACATGGCAGCTATGGTCTCGACAGGCTTCGACAATATGTGGGCATGAGCGAGGTGCATGACGTTTGGGCTGGGATGACCGTGTGGCTACTAGTGATCCTTGGAGTTGTTTTGATCGTCATTCAAGTTGGATTCCTATTTCGTTGGGTGTATCGGCATATCAACAACACTCAGGAAGAGGATTTGAGAGCAAAGAATTTCCCTTTCTCCGTGGGAAATGTCATCCGGATGGTCTTCAACTACTTCCTCCTGCCAATTGTTGCACTATCCATGTTTCAGTTAGTGGAAGCAGGGAATCAGTCGCCTAACTTCGTTGTGGGATTGGCAGTAACAATGCTGGTAGTGATATTTGGATTCGCTATCTGGCTTCTCTACTTTATCGTATCGACAAGACCTAGGTCGTATCTTTTCGACGACCTACCGACGGTGCTTCTTTACGGCTCCTTGTACAACACCTATTCCGACAATACTGCTTCCTTCGCTCTTATCCCCGTACTACTAACAATCGTTCGAGGGATCGCGATTGGAGTCGTACAACCCTCTGGGATAGCACAGCTCGTTCTTCTCGCGATCTGCGAGATTATTTTCACGCTGACCCTCCACGCCTTCCGGCCGTTCCACTCGCCGACATCGATGAATGCATTCCATACCTTCTTCTCCGGAGTCCGACTGGCTACTGTTCTTCTGATGGTAGCTTTTACCCCGTCGCTTGGAGTCACTGATGGGCCGAAGGGTTGGATCGGATATACTATCCTTATGATGCATGCCATTGTAATGATATTAGGATTTCTTCTCAATGCTATACAGACCATCGTGGAGGTTGCGGCTCGGATGTTAGGCGCAGGCGGAGACGACGCTGGTGCAACCAGAGGTGGCCTGTCTAAAGTGTTCGGCATGCGGCAACTGTCTAGACGCTTGCCTCGGCGTGATGGGGCCTCAAGGCAAAGCCAACTATCCAACGCCGCTATGTTGGATGCTGAGAATGATCGAAAGGCGTATATGATGGATGGCGGAAGGCTTAGGAGCCAGTCGGCTGGTAGCACTGGTGTACTCCTCAACAGACAGAGCACTGCCATGGAATCTAGTGGCGTTGATCCATTTGGAGCGATACCTCCACACCAGCTTCCTAGTGGTTCATACACCCCGACTACCCCAGGCGAGGCCAGTACGTTCTCATTCTTACCTTCAGCAGCTGCTCCATCTGGCCACACTCGGAATCGAAACTCGGACGGATTAGGCAGCCCAGAGCAGGCAGAACCGTGGTACTATCGGCCCCCCAGATTGAGACGGCCAACTGTAACTGGCTATTCCCCAGCTGCAAGAAGCAGAGCATCATGGGCAAGCGGGGACTGGCCAAATAAAGCCGGAAGTCAACGAGACTCCGGTGGTGCGGATCTAGCCGATGAAGGCCCATCCATATCTGGGCGCAATACACCGCTTCCCCAACAACCATTAGATGGCAGTCCCGAGCCCAAACGCTCAAAGGCAGATTATAGTACGCGTGAGGTGGACTTCTATTATGGCGTCCGGGGGCCAGCGCTCAATGCCAATGTTCCTGGTCGAAGGATAAAAACGGGCCCGGCAGACCCTACTGGCCCTGCAGCTTCAGCGGCCGGGTGGTTTAAGAGCTTATTTGGGGGCAAAACCAAGGAGCAGGGCAAGGGATTTGAGGTCGTGCGTAGTGCGAGAATGCCTCCAGGCATGAAGCGACCTGGGGAAGAATCGCCGCCTGAAGGTGTACCCGTTGCGACTGGAGGGGTACGCAACGGGCCTATCGACTCAGACGATGAATCTGTTCGCCCACGAGCTGCAGGCGGTGACGGATCGATTCCTAATGTAGAATCCGCAGCTGAAGGCGATAATTTAGTCAGCCCCTTGGGGTCAGACGATGACGATTCCCACGATGACCATGATGATGATTTTGAGATGTCCAGAATATCAGACGTTCCCCCAATGCTACCGGGCATCGAACTTCCGGAGGGAGGCATTGAGTTGCCTAGCAGGTTTCCTTCAAAGGCCACGTCAAGAGGTAGTACGAGACGGCAAAAGCCTTTAGGCCCCGACTTTGTTTCCCGTGTTCCATCCAACAAACCTTCAGTCCCACGGAAAAGTTCCAGAAGGCAATCTCAAAGCGTGGACCTCACCGTACCAGGCAACCATCTCATGCCGCAAGGACAACACCAGCACCAAACCTCCCTCGACGCGTCCAACCTGCCCTTCGATCGCTCCAACTCCAATGCCCGTCAATCCACCATCTCCTCCAATTCAAATTCCACCATGATAACGTCAGAAAACGGCCCCGATGGGCATTCCCGAACCCATTCCTCGGCGCTGGGCAAATTTTCTGCGGATATCCAAGGTGATCGGCCGACAAGTATGGGGTTTGTGAATCAGCATAATATTCGGACTATTAATCAGTCTGAAAACCCAGATTTTCTGGGTACGACGGCTGAGGTTGTTGACGGCAGAAATAGTGGGGCTTCGAGTTTAGAGGGCTCGAGAACTTAGTATATCCCGCCCCCCTGCTGGGCGACCTACATATATAAACGAATTTCCTTTTCTTTCTCGTTGTGTTTTGAAGCAAGCAAGCAAGCAAGCAAAAGGGGTTACATACGCCGGCGGCGGCGTTTAAGAAATATAATCCGCGTTTTGGGATTTCAGTTTTTTGAGCGCGAGAAAGTTTGTATGTATCTATGTATGTAAGTATTGCAGGCGGACTGGAGTATCTGGGCGTGGGGTAGGGCGGCGGTTTATAGTCACAGTCCTGTCGGAAAACGCATACATAAGCTACATTGGCAACATTTGGTTAGTTGGGAAGGCGGAGGAAAAGGGAGCATCATAATTGTGTAATTAATCGAGTTAATGTTCAAATACATAAGTAATACTTTACTTGCATGTATGAAATTGGGTTGCAATATATTGACCGAGTACAAAGTAGAGAGAAGTGGAAAGGAAACGTCCTCGGTTTCCTTGGTGTGCACATCAAACCACTATTTTCCACCTCTCAAGCTCTCGTAAGCTCTACACAGTTTGCGGTGACTTGGGTGGCCGTGATATTCGTTGGACCATTGGCGTGGTGAGCGACAGGCTGGTGAAAAGCTGGCCTTGAATGGTCGACTACATGGCGATTGACCTTGTCATCGTCCTCTTAAGAGTTAGCGACAAGGCGAGGAGATACGCAGGTGGTTACGAATCATATGATACTGTTGTCTATAAGACTACTATCTGCCATGTGTGAAAAGTAGGCTTGCCTTCAATTGTTGGGCCGATGTCAGGACTGCTATAATCTGCTGCGGAATCGATGCCAATAGACTCAAGTAAAATAGTGGTTGGAATCGAATAGGCAAGCACCAAATACCACTGAAGGAAATATATTATGCCCACTTTGAGTGCTTGCTGATGCTGAGCGCCCAGAGTCAATAGAAATACCACCTTGAGAAGCATGGGCGTCGGCCTGTCTATCTATACGTCACAACTCCGGTTTCGCCCTTTCCTAGGTGCTCTTTGACTGCAAGCTTGGTGGGAATTCGTCAACATCAACAAACCCATCGTTGTTCTTGTCGCGGGTTAGGTTTGCGGTTGCTAAGACGCTCTTTTGCTTATACCTAGGACACATCGCCGGCCGGCAACAAATCACGGTCGCGCCCTGAAATTGATGGATTGCCATTAGTATAGCCATCTCATACTTCCTTGCTATCCTGATATGGCCACAGCTTTTTCACGCTCAATCTATCGTCATCATTTTCTGCCTCTTCGTAACAAACAGTCCTTAACCTCGTCAATTCAGACTGTATGTCGTCATAACGCTCTGGACTGATTGTGCCCTCAGGAGGTAAGCGATAGTTCGCCTTGAACAATTCTAGAATGCCGGCAACGAACTCCCTGCATTCAACCTCTTGCTCAAAAGTGTCGTAGTCCTCTTGACTGAAGCTCATCAGGCAGAGGCCAGCATCAGGACCTAGCTTCTCCCAGTGGGAGACAATGGCCATTAGTGCTTTTTTGAAGAACCATACATTATGGCTCCTCCATACATAATTCACGATATGTACTGGCTGCACGCGCATCTTTTCGGACAGCTCTAAAGCCTTCCAGTGTCTTGAATTATTCTTGTTTGTAGTTGCAAGATACATCTTGTGTAGATACTCACTCTTAAACATATTGTCGGCAAAGTCTTTCTCGTCTGGTGGAAAGGGTTTCGAGGTTATCAGGGTGCGCAGACCATTCGTTAAGGTCAAGCGAGACTGGCTCTCTATGCAGAAATAACTTTGGAATACCTGAGACATAGAAGAGAGGAGTAGCTGCCACCGATTACCAATCGATGACACTTGTTATCTTCATGGTGGCGGGATCGATGAATATGTTTTGGAGATGGAGATCAGGGTGCCATAATGTTGACGCATTCAGATCTTCGGGAACAGAGGGCGAGATCATAGCTAATGCGAGCTTCTCATATCGGTCCAGTAGTTCGAGCATATCTCGGGGGTCCTCAAGCCCTCGAGGAACGCGAGCGTAGTTCATGCGTTGACATCCATGTTCCTCCACGTATGTCTTTTCATATCTGCCTCTCTCTTTTACGAACTCGAGAGCATTAAGATCTGGTCATGGTCAGCAATAAGCCATGGTGGTAGATGCCCGGACTCCTTACAAGGTCCGCACTCTGGTCTTGGTTGGGTTTGATTGGCTTTCCAAAGGCCACGCTCCACTAACGGACCAAAACAATACCCTTCGAGAACGGCAAGGGGTATGGCTGAGTCGGGGGGGTCCCCTGTTTTCAAGTCGGTACCTTGGGGATAATCTTTCTTGAAGTAAATGTAGCCATGGCTGCTGAACTTTAACTGTGCGACGCTGCGTTCTAGCTCAACGACCTGCTCTATAATATCGATTCGAGGCTTCATAGGCAGTTTTTCCAAGTCCGGCCAGAGATTCCAAAGCGGTTCGCCTAAAGCAAGCTCCTCTAGGATGTACTCCGCTCCTACGGGGTTTTCTGCATTAGAAGACCATGCTAGTATCCGAGGTACAGGAAATTTCAATGCTTCGCGCAACTAGCATATATTAGTAGGAAACCGAGGACTAAGATAGGCATGTTGCCTGTAAGATGACTGAACTTACGAAGGTGCGCGTAGCTACTTCGGATGCTGTGGTATAGAATGCCGGCCCAGCACAAGGATTCGGCAGCTTCGCAAATATCACCGACCCATTGTCCATCTTAAGCAGGAACGCTTTGCTGTTCAGGCCCTCTTTACATTTAAGAACTTCGACACCTAATTGCCATTGTAAGCTGAGATCACGCGAGGTATTGGTATTTCACAGGTAGCTTCCTTACAGGCCCGGGCACCATTGTCGTGAGCAACTTTGATGGCAGCTTCTACAAGCTCGCTGAGGTTAAACTTGAGATATCTTACAGCAATATTGTGTGCTTCATTGTATCTTAAAGGTTAGCGACACTTATGGCCAAGTTCCATATGTTGACAATGGACATACACCCAACGATACGGAGTGTGCCTGTATAGATCCGCCTCCAAGATGTCCTTGACTAAGTCCATGTTAGTAAGCTACGAATCAAGTTAAATCTCATTACATACTTGTGCCATCTTCGGCGACAGCGCGCAGAGCCATAGTGGTCATCATCGCGCGTTGGTGAGGCTGTCTCTGGCAGGTCCTTTGGATTTGGTAACCTCCTGAAAACCGGACTTGAGGTCTTAGGGATGTTGTCGTGGACGTGATCCTTGGAGAGTGACGCAACGCCCAACCAGTTGTTCGTGGAAGGTACATAGGAGCGTATAACCATATATCCACATTCCTGTATTCGAGGTTGTTGATGGCATGGCATGGACCCTTTTGTGCCCGAGCGGCTCCCTAGGTACCTTGTATCTCCCCTTTCGCATCCCCAGATACTGTGGGCACACTAATGTAAAATTTAGAGCTATAATAAGTAAATAAACGATTCCAGTATAAAATATAAAAGTTATCAGTGCTAAAATAAGCTAACCTTGATTTATTTATATTCTATATAATCTGCCGGGCTACTTAATCAAAAGACCCTTAACTCGTATCCAGACGGGTCTTAACCCAAATAAGAAAAAAAGGGGCCAAAAAGGAGCCAACCCATTAAGAACGCAATAGGCAAATTGCCTTCTTCCTGATCGATAAGTCAGTGCGACGCGAAAGCAGGAACTGGATGAAAATCGCATATAAGTTTAGTATTGGTTTGGCCTAACTTCGCCATTTTCTGCAGTGTGCTCGCAGGTGAACAGGGTGCCGTTGACTTCTTGCGTAACTAGAGAGGCCTTCTCAGTGCACGCCGAATCAGCGCCTCGGCTGAAAGCCAAAATGCAACATGCAGATCAATCACACCTTTTATACTTATCCACGTAGATGCTGACTTTCCTATTACTAAATTTATGAGCAATGCACGTAGTCGATAAGACGCTCGCTTCTCCGTGTATAAAGAGGACGCCATGAGCCGCAATGCTGCAGTGTCCACTCTTCTCCAATATCATACTTGCTGAGAAGATTTAGAACGTTCCCTATTGCCAGACATCACTACGAACAACATCCATATTCCTAAGTCATGCTTTGGGGCAACGAACGTGAGCGTGAATATGTGCGTGACCGACGGGGTGGAAGTGGGAGTAGTCGTCGTAGAAGTGTATGATCCTCTTCAGCAATACGCTTTATCTCTTACTTATATTTCAAGTAGGCGTCCCCAAGCCCTGCACTTGAAAGAGATAAGTATAGTCCTAGTCCTCCACCAAGGAGCGAGCCTCCACCGATGGGCGGGCAGCCTTTACCGGACTATGAAAAAGACGATACACACGAACGTAACCATAGAGGCGACTCCGAACACTCCAGCTCGGTTACGAATCAAGAAGAGCCCAAGTATTCCGAATCTCGTGAACGTGAACACGTCGGATTCGCTCCTGGAACAAAGGAGCCTCCTCAAATCCCTCATGAGTATGATGATAGGGATATTGAACGTGGCCCTGACCCGGGCCGACGTATTTCTCCAGAGGAGCGGGCTTTTTCCACCGCCCTTTCCCGATCTCTCTATTCGCGAGAAATATATGGCGAATTCGACTACCCATCTGGGGCCCTCCGCTATTTAAGTGCAATTGGGATTAAGCCAAGCTCGGGAAGAACCAAAGTAGGAAAGGTGAATTTGGCAGTGATGATGAGGATGTACTTGAGCACCATCAGACGAGATCTTATAATTTTTGCCAGCAGGTGTGAGGATAGACGTGACGCGTCACTCGAGCGTATGGATCACGACAGCATGATGGAGGCGGGAAAGTTATTAGAAACTTACTGTAAGTTATCGCAGAGAAATCTTGCTTTGTAGCTTAGGTAGCTCACGTACTTTGTAGGCGGCGCCATCGAGAACTATAAAAAAATGTGTGAGTACCAGTTCGAGGGTGAAAACGACCCTTTTATCCTGGATTCTCAACACGGCCTCAACTTCCAAGCCATGGTCGATGCCGAGTTGATACACAACAGCTCCATTTCCACCTTCCAACCCCGCCGGAATCGACCCTACGACGGTTCCCGCGGTGCCAAAAACAAACGAGAAGTCATTTATACCTTCTTCATGGCGCTTTTAGGGGGTTCAGCACTTCTGGCTCCTATGGTCCTGATGACTCTTAAAAAGAGCCTTCACCTAACTGTCATTACCGTCTGTGTTTCTGTCGTTATTGTTTCCGGGGCATTGGCGCTGTTTAGTCGTAAATCCGCGTTTGAGATTTTGGGATTGACTGCTGCCTATGCGGCTGTCCTTGTGGTGTTTGTGGGTGCAAGCTCTTGAAGATAAGAATATATCTTGAGGTGACCAAGAAAGTCGTATCTCAATCTATTACTGACTCAAGTCCCCTCATCTTCCCACCAATTTCCTCACTCCGAGGTGCAATTCGATACTTCCTTGATTCCTTCCAATGCCTTCGTAGCATTAGTTGGTAATGTGAGAGGGTTCCCAACTTTTGGTACGGCGCGTCCCTCCACGGCCATATGTAGCGACTGTGGCAATGGCGGTGGCGATCTTAATAGTTGATACTAGCCGTGGAAGGGATCTAGTGAGGTTGCTGCTAGGCTCGAGGCGGAAGCCAAAATGCGCTACTCGAGTGGTGACGATCTCAAAAAGAAGGATATGGGATGTTCAAATGTGCGAGAAGGTCGAAGAGAGCGAGGTCGAAAACGGATGCAGGGCCGAAAATGGATGGCCAAGTCGAAGATTCGGAAATGTAGAAAAGAATAGAACTTGCGCTACGAAGTACTACGTAGTCCTTAATCCTTTGGTGGCCTTGTTGACAGTGTGAGGATGGCCTGAGATGGGCGTGGAGAAGCGAAAGGTACAGTGCAGGAATCAGGACGTAAGCTCTTACACATACACATACGTAACTCTAAAGGCAGCAAGCAAGCTGCGACGGTTCTAACCGATAGGCACCCCAACAGCACTGCAGAATTGCAGACTCAAAGGGGAAGACACGAAGCCCCTCCTAAATGAAAACGATATTGGAGTTTGCTTGATTTCCTTGGCTGGCTATAGATTGAGGCATGCGAGGTGATCGCCAAGGGCTGGGGGAGGGAGGAGGGGAAGGGTGTGGAGGTGGAGGTGGGACAGGATTAATTAAGTAATTGATTAAATTAATCAAGGGCCTTTTGGGGGCCTTTTGGGGGCTTCTTGGGGGTTTGGATTAAGAGGTTGTTTTGTTTTGTCGTATTGGGGAGTTGGATGTAGTTGGATAACTAGTTGCCATGGCTTGTATGTCTCTTTGTGCTAATACTCGAGTAATTGTGTAGGTACGTAATTGTTGTGCATGTGTACGAAGTATTACTCTTGCTTATGAATGACGGAAAGTATAATAACAACAATACTAATCATCCCCAGCACCAGCATAAGCCTCAGCATACGGAGGCAAGGCTCTACTCGGCCTCCAGCGTCCCTTTGTTCCGATCTGTCGCTCGGTCTCAACAGAATGACGAAGGCCGTGTGCAGCCAAGCAACACCCCACCTAAGTTCCAGCCCACCACTGCCGGCGCCGGCGCTGCTGCTGCTGTATGTACTCGTGCTGTACAGCCCATTTATTCATCAACAACACCACCAACCACAGCAGAACTGCCAGTGTCACCGTCAGCCGCCTTTTCGCGTGCGTCATTTGGCCTCGTTCGTCCCCCCACGGTCCTCTCGTTTTCATCTGCCTGCGTGGTCTGAACTGGATATTAACATTCCGTGCGTTCTCTCTAGCTGTACAACTGTACGGAGTATTGCCAGTAAAATACAGATACCTACCCTGGTATTTGAAGGGTGCAGATGCTATCTGCTGGGCGAGCGAACCTCGAAAAAAACCAACATTTGGACAGTAGAACCAGAGCGTGCTGCAAATATGGTTAGCTTGGTGCATTCCCATCGACGGGCTTCCGCTGCAAGTAAGTCGGTTCGAGTTATTCTGTGCATTATTTTTTATTTTCCTGCTCGGCATCGCAGTCAAATTATCTATCTTGCAGTGCCATAGATGGGGTGGGAAATTTGCTAGAGAGTTCAAGATTGCTAACGAGACTGCGGAATACTAGGCAACCGGTCCTCAATCGACGATAGAAGCTCCCCCGGTACCCCAGACGATGACACCACGGTCGTGGAGCCAGATCAGGGCAATGGTGAGAATTGCTGGCAACGAATAGTTGTAACTACATGGGAAGGAGGAGCAGATGGCTGATTCTGAGGTGCAGTTCTTTCACATATCATTTCGCAGTTGCGGCCTGGTGCGGATCTGAGTCGAGTGGTGCTGCCGACCTTTATACTGGAGCCCAAAAGTATGTTGGAGCGGATTACAAAGTGCGTGGACGCTTACCCTTATGGGATATGGGCTTGGGAGAACTGAAATACTGACCGTGTTATAGCTTCATGGCACATCCTGAGACGTTACTACCTATGCCCGAGATCGATGACCCCGTACAGAGGTTTGTGTCTGTTGTCAAATTCTACTTGAGTGGATGGCACATCAGACCGGCGTATGTCCTTGCTCTCTCGCCTGCTCCTAGGTCTATGCTAATAAAAGTGTAGCGGCGTGAAGAAACCCCTCAACCCCATTTTAGGAGAGCGGTATACCTGCTACTGGGAGTTCCCAGATAATACCAAAGGCTACTACATCTCTGAACAAACATCACACCACCCTCCGAAATCTAGCTACTTCTACATGGCTCCCGAACACCACATACGGATCGATGGGACTCTGAAACCACGGAGTAAATTCCTGGGCAATTCAGCGGCGAGCTTGATGGAGGGAATTGCAATACTGCGATTTCTGAATAGGGGAGGCCCAAAAGGGGAGAGTTACATCATTTCTCAACCTAACATGTATGCTCGGGGCATTTTGTTTGGGAAAATGAAATACGAGCTCGGTGATCATAGTTTTGTGCGGTGTCCCGAGCTAGGTCTGTCTGCAGATGTGGAATTCAAGACTAAGGGGTATTTTGGTGGGACCTATAATGCTATTGGCGGAACTATCAAGAACGATAAGACTGGGGAAATTCTCTATGAGCTTTCAGGGATGTGGACAGGGGAGATGTTTATTAAGGATATGAGAGTATGTATTTGTATTAGAAGTCGGACTCCGTCGAGATATGCTAATTTTGTGTTCTAGACGGGGAAGAAAGAGTTGCTGTTCGATGCTACACATGCGAGACATACACCGCCCATGGTGCGTCCACTCGAGGAACAAGATGATCGCGAATCGCAGAAATTATGGCGCAAGACTGCTGAAGCAGTTAAGCAACGCAACCATGAGCTAGCCACGGATGAGAAGACCAAGATCGAGGACATGCAAAGAGACGAGGCTGCTAGAAGAGCAGAAGAGGGCGTGGAATGGACTCCAAAGCTTTTCAGACCAGTTAGAGGAGGTCCAGGCGGCCCAGATGAAGGCGAGGAAGATCTAGATTGGATCTTGAACGCTAATATGTGAGTCCACAAACTGTGAATATCGCCAAAGTGCCATGCTGACTAGGATTTGTAGTGATGGCGACACGCCCGAAAAACAAACCCAGCAGATTCTGGCAGTTGCCCCTATTCTACGCGACCAAAACTACAACGAGAAGAACCCGATACCTCAACACCATCCCACTTCGCAAGCGCCCACAACATCCCAAATTACAGAGCCAACACCGGATCTTTCATCCAACGGGGACAGCAATTTAATAGACTTCGGCCAAAACGACGCTGCTCCGAAAGCACCTGTCGGTGCCTTCACCAGCCAACCCGACAAGAAAATCAAAGATGTCCTTCAGGCTACGAGCACAATATCAGCGCCGGAGACACCTCTGATCCATTTCCAAGACGAGATGAAAAGAGATCTCCCAGCTGTTGACCAAAGTGCCTTGGTCAGGAAAGACACTGATACGCATAGTATAGATGAGTTCGTCGATGCTGAGGGATAGGCTAGTAAAAGGGGCTATGGTTGAAGGGTAGATACGATAAAAAACAAAATGGCAGCGACTAGATGGGGCGGAGTGGATGGCGTTGATACCTTTTATTATGAGTGTGATGGCATCGCGGCCGGTATTCATATGATACAGGGCAGATACACCAATACCACTGGCACTATTTCGAGCGACGATGATTATGGTTTTAACAGCATTTTGTAGAGCTGCAAAAGAACTGAAGATATATTTTTCAGTGTCTATACTGCATGAACTTTTTGAGATAGATATCGTACATAACTATACATTTAATCCATTAAAGAAAAGAGGACCCTGAACGCCAGATTTTGCTACTGCACGTCAAAGCAAAACCTCCCTCTCGTCAAATGCGACACATTCCCAGAGCTTTCCTTCCCTCTCGCCACGTTAACACACCCATTCCATCATCCCCCCTTCCAAGTATACCCTAATACCTCCTCCGCGTGGGCTCGGGGCTCGGACTTCTACTCATACTCCTCTCATCCCTCCCTCTCATCTTCAACCACTTCTTCGTGCTAAGTTCCAACTCCCTGTCCAGCTCTGGACTTGGATTCTTCCTATGGATAAAATTGCAGAACCCGCCTCTAACACATCCCTCCCCACTGTTCAATCTGCAGCAGGCCTCCCGGAAATCCGTCACGGGCGAGAGCTCGCAGTAAATAGGGCGCGCGGCGTACCAGCGGGAATTCAGGGCGTCGCAGGCTTTCTGGGCGCTGTCTTCATACTTGAAGCGTGCGTAGACGTTTCCGATTAGATCTATTTCCCCAGCACATTTCGTTAGCAAAACCGCGCATATATAAGTTAAGGAATAGATGGGGGTGGGTGTGACATACGGTCATTATTATTATCGCAAACCACCACCTCCTCAATCTCCCCAAACTTGCACATCTCGCACCAGAAATCCTCGTAAAATGCATCAAAGTGGTTCTGCAGCTGGCTCGCGTTCATCTTGTTCTTGGGATCGTATGCTGGGTTTTGGTACAGGTTAGGCAGGAGGATGGTCTGTGAGTAGGACGGCTTGACATGTTTGCGAGAGCAGCGGTCGCCGTGTCTACATGCGCCGATTTTGTAGTAGAAGGAGCAGTTTACTTTGTCGGCTTCGGTGCCGAAGATGCTGGCGAGGTAGTTCGCCATTGTTGCGTAGTGTAGGAAGAGTAGGTGGCGGGAGAGAGGGGTGTCTTTGGAAGTAGTGTTGAGGCCTAAGGTTGGAGGTAGATTCGCTGCGCGTAGATATAAATTATCTGCGGCTCTTGGACTATTGCGCGCTTTGGGGATTGTACGCTCGAGCGGGTTTCGTGGGTTATTTCTGTGCTGTCGACGTTTAAGTTTTCGAAAGCCTCGACACGAAGCTCGCGATATTTGGAGAAGGCTCGGAGTCTGGAAGCGGGATAGCGTGGTTTACTAATGCAACAATATGGGTACCGAGAATTGTTCCAGAATGCCACGGAAGTGGAACTTCATTGACGACAAGAATATAGTGAACGTTTGCTGATTGTGTATAAAGGTACAGAAAGATATTACTCACCCTAAATTTTGTAACTCGATGGTTTTTTGAATACTTGCTCTACTGCCAATTATCTGTCCTGACTGCAGCCTCCTCAAGCATCACGCCTTGGTGGCAAAAATTAGGGGGTAAGGTGGTCTCGAGTAGCACTTGAAGTAAACTTGCTTTCATGATATCGATATCTCATCGTTAAACTACTTTCTTCTGCTAGTAGCGGATGCAAGGCATATCATGAGCGCAATCAAATCATCGGGAATAAGGGCACAACTCAACACATAAGAGTGGCCTGCGCAATATTGTATAACATGAACCTCTCGTGAATCAAATCATAAAAGCTCTCTACTCTCTCTACACTCTCTACTGCTGTTCGTCTATAAAGTTTCGACGTACATAATAAATAAGCAAAGTAGTACTGGATGTTGAACCTTCTTTTAAATCTTGCATGTTTTGAAACCGTTGCTGGGTGGTGCCAATATGCCATAAAGTAGTTCCCCAGAACTCTCCAGCAGCTTCCTCAAAAAGCCCTCAGGGGCAGAGCGTCGAAGGTCACATGTTTTGTGTCTAGCGTGCTACCGACGTTGTACTTAAATATCAAAATAAGCAAAAACCTCATAAAGTGACAGGTGACCAATAGGCGTGTTGGCGGGCTGGGAACTTGTTCCTCTGCTATAACAACAGTTAAGTCCTGGGATGACCCTGGATGACCTGCCAGAGATAACCAAAGTCTAAAAAACTGGAGTTTCTCGGTATCCCTTCGGGATATTTCTTTTGCTATTTTTTTCTTCAATATAATCTTTTATATATTTTTTTAAGTTTCGCGCTCGCTTTTGTTATGCTCGAACAAGCGACGGCATGCAAGCGATTGTTGGCAAGCAAGCGATGGCAAGGCTCGTAGGTGCCTACTACCTACCTAGGTAGATATCTACCTAGTGAGTTAACAAATCACTGTTGTCGACAACCTAGCTCTTTAAGTACCCCCCCCCCCTCCGATCAAACGCCTATCTGGTTCGAGGAGTAAGAGACTAACTCGAACGCCAACACCGGCCCCTAGCGACAGAGATTACGCGGCTTATGGGTACTGAACTGCTTTGCCATTTTGATGTTTGGTTTCTTGTTGGCTTTTAAAGCACTCTTTTAGAATAGAGCCAAAAAGAATTGGAGTCAAAGCTGAATCCTTTTTTTACCTTTCACATATCTAATTCCTCGCTTTTTGAAGATTTTGTAGAGCAAATAATGTTGGCATGGACAGCACTTGAAGGATTCCTCTGGCATTCTTAGCTTAGTCTATGCAACCTACCCCGACGAATGCGCGTCCAGTTTGCTAAGTCATCCTCAAACGCGCGTAAAGTGACATGTACAATATTATTGCCATTTGCTACCGCTACACGCTACTCGCTAATCATAATAACAAAAAGCTACAACTCTCTCAGCTTAAAGAAAAGTTCAAGATAAGAGGAGAAGAGAAATTGAAGGAAAAAATATAATTACTATATTGTAAGGAATAGCTAAAGAGTTCAGCCCGGTGTCGAGTGCCTATATCTCTTGCCGATTTTGTCGTTTGTCGCTTTGCCCTAATCGATCCTCTCCAGAAGAAAATTCGACCAGAACCACTTCGCTAAGTGGCCGCCCTTGTCTTCCTTACGAGAGATTTGGCTGACGGGCTGGTGGCAGAAAGTCACCGCAGAGGAGGAGGATAATAATAACGTCCTGCGGGGTAGGTGTTTCTAGGAGAAGAGCAGAGAATCATGAATTGGGATATGTCGGTTTAGATCAGCATGTAATGTTTAGTATTGCATCCTAAATGAAATGGGCAGATTGATACTTGGCAATATATGCATGATTACTTTCTGTAATGTCTAAGAAAGTCCTGGTGAGTGTCGGATGCAAAATGGCTCGAAGATAACGCAATATTAGAACTAGTGATATATTGCTCTCATGTTGATATATCCAGTTATCTACTTTACGAATTTATCCTCATCTGCCAAAACTTTAAAGCCCTGCAAAAGATCGGCCTTCAGGTCTTCCCAACCTTCGATGCCAACACTGATCCGTAACAAGCGGGTATCAACATATGGATCTGTCATAGTCCTCCACTCAATCAAACTTTCCACGCCACCTAAGCTCGTAGCATGGTGAAACAAGTCCAGTTTACTGGGTAGCCTCCGTGCGAATCCCTCCTCTTTCAAGGTAATGGAGAACACCGGGCCGAAACCATTCGGCATTTGCTTCAGGAGCCAGCCATCCTGGATATCCGCCTCTTGCAAACTGGCATGCTCAATCTGCTCCAACACATTTCGAATAATCTTGGCCTCATCCGGGCTAGGAGCATCTGCCCCAGCTTGGTTCTCCGGATGCAGTGCAGCATTCAACCACCTAACCAACTTCGTCGCACTATCTGCCTGCCGTTCGACCCTGACCTCCAGCGTCCTCACACTTCTAATTCCCAGCCATCCCTCCATTGAACCCATAACATTCCCCACAAATAATCGCTCCTTCACCAACCCCTCATACCAACCGTCTTTCGCCCTTGCCGGATTAACAGCCAAGATGCCACAAAGCATATCAGAGTGCCCACCAATATACTTCGTCCCGCTATGCATCACAATATCCGCGCCCCATAGGAATGGGTCTTGCAGCGGTGGAGGTCCGAACGTAGCATCGACTGTTAGATAGGCACCCCTCCGATGGGCTTTCTCCGCAAACGCCTTTAGATTGTAGGCTGTACCAATGGGATTGAGCGGTGTTTCCACATGCACGATATCACCAGACTGCAGCTCCTCTTCTGCGCAGTCAAGGGCAAGCTTCTTAATTCCTGTTAGTTTCTGATGGATTTCAATGACGCCATGACAACCGTGATATCCTTCTCCGATAGAGATACGCTTGGGATTGAGGAATATGAGTAAGGCGTGGAAAGCGCTGAGACCTGAGGCGTAGGTCACGGCTGGCCCTTTTAGGATCTCCGAGAGGATGGCTTCAAAGCGCGTGGTATTTGGAGCTGTGTGCCTGGAGTAGATATGTCCTTCATACGGGGCTTTTGGCTGTTCACGTGGAAAGGGTACTGATCAGCTGACTTCATCTCCATTGCAAAAGTGGAAGGGAATAGGACATACATCATGTTGACTCCATGTCGTTAGTTTTTCTGGATCTCTGTTATAGCGGAAAGTGGTGGAGACGTGGAGAGGCGGCGCAACGTCTTGCCCTTTATTGAGGAAGTCGTCGGCATGGACGGTCTTCGAAGATAGCGAGAGGTTTCCAAGGCCGTGATCGGAGCCGGCACTCTGGGCGTTTTCACTGGCATTTGGGTCAGTTACTGGAGTTTCCATTTTCGTATTTGGCTTCAAGATGGCAAGGTAATTATGGTTGAAATAGCGTCAATTGAAAGACTTCGATGTTTGGATCTGAAAACCGGAGTTGATTAATATATGATGTCGCCATCCTACCCGAACCCCACTACTTCTAGTGCGCGGCTTCGGGCGGGCTGTCGGGCGTTCGGGCGCCCCCCCTTACTTAGTAGAAATGCCTCGCTTACCTGCCCAGGTGGGTATGCTTTTATGTTTCAAACCCACTCACTATGGGACCGTGTTGGCAAGGTTGCGTTATAGATGCACACAAGATTTCATTGCTGGTACTTTATCCATTGCTATTTATAAATCCCAAACATATATGTATAATAATTAACAGCAATATCGGCTAAGCTATAGATAGAAGCAAGGCAACGACCTACAAATATCTTTTGTTTTAAGTAATGGAAGTAGAGTTCTCTAAAGCATCGCTAGCAAATGCGAATGCCACTGGGTATCTCGAAAATGCAACAAAGCCAGACGCCAGAGATAGAATTAAGGTCAGAATATGATAAACATATAACGTCCCCACCGTATCAAACCATGAAAGAAGATTTACTGTTGAGTAAGTTCTCAAACGTGTACTCAACCTCGCACGTATTCCGCTCCTCACTATTTATCCACCTTTCTACCACGGTTTGAATTCTGCTTGTGATTCCAGACACATCCGACGGCAGCGGCTCGAGACCGGCAGACTCTATCCCATGAGCAACGTATTTGTCTGCTGTTGCCATACTAGTTGTGAGTTTTCGAAATTCGTTTATATCACTTGAAAGTGTCAAGATCAATGACTGCGTGTTCGCATCATCGGGTATTCTCTCTAGCGGAAGCTTCATTGATTTCGCCCGTGTCAGTTCTAAGGCGCCGCCGTGAGCAACCATAAGCTTTTGTTGTTTCATTAGGTATGCCCGCGGATCGCTATGCAGGAGGGAAGTCTTGATGGGCTTGTTTGACTGGAGGTTGTTTTGCGACGCCAGATGGTCAGCTCCCAGTGTTGCTATGGCTGCATTATATCGATTCTTGTGTGGGGAAGATCGAATCCTACGATCTGCCTCTTCTATCTCACATGCAGCCTTCCGGGCTGCACGAAGCTCTTGACGACGGTGACGGCTAGCATGCTCCTTCCTCTGTTCAAATTCCATAGACCACTCAAGTTCGGGATTTGGTTCCCTTTGCGGCCCCGTCTGCCAGATATCACCCTGTGTCTGGGGTGATTCCGACGCAACCGCCAGTGTGGCCTGGTGCAACTCGCCTATTGATGAGAAGTTATTAGTAGCTCTCCGTGGAAGCACGAAAGGCTTGTTCAAAACACCAGTTGCCTTATGGCTTTGGCGCTGTGTGAGTGGTGGTGAAATGAGATGGTTTCCAGCTACTTTTCTTGCGCTGATGAAATCACTTGGTCGCTGATTTTGTGCAGACTCATTTTCCTGATTCATAAATCGCAAACCCCTACCATAACCAACCATCGGCGACCTGATATTGGGTTGCAGTTCACCACTTCGTGATCCGTCGGAGACACGGCGCTGACGGGAGGGGCTGGCATCAACAGAGTCCACAAGGAGACTGGAATCCTGGTTGCTGTGTCTCCTCCTACGCAAAGACTGATTTGGAAGGGATGGGCTGCCTTCTATTGAAAACCTGGGGCCTCGGATGATTTCATCGGCATACTGGCGCTGTGGCGGAGTATCGAACCCGGGAGGCTCCAGGAGAAAAGGCTCTGATGGAATGAGGTTAGACAGCTGAAGCTGCACGGGATTTGATATCGGATCGTCTTGCTGGACCGGACTGAAAGAGCTTGGGCGCATCGTCACTGGGGGACGCTGGTTGTTACGTTGGATTGGGGCGGTCATCTTAGCAATGACCCAAGGATTCAGAGGATGACCTGATTCCGTTTGTTGACTTTCGTTGCATGCTGGACCCGGAGTGCGAAACATATTACTATGGAAGGATTTTCTGCGTTCTTCGATATCTTCAGATAAGATATTCGACATATCAAATCCCCACTTGCGGGGGGTTGTTCCAACCTCGTCGTTGATGCCTTCGACGTTCAACGTAGCAGATTGCAATTCATTGACAGAGCCATTGATTACAGAAGATACTAAGGCTTGCGGAGTGACCAGATTGTTCGAAGGTGACGCGGGAAGAGGCTCATCACTTGGAGCAGTGGAAAGTTGGAGAGCCGTCAAGGACATGGCAGGCTTTCGGGTATAAAGCAACTCTGGGTTGTCGAGCTTTTGGGATAGGGCTGGCTTTCGTGTAGCCGAGGGTATGACTTTTAGGTCACCATAAAGTTGCTTAAATACACTCTCAATGGACCCTAACACAAGGCTTTCATTTGCGAACAGCACATCGTCTTTAGCTGGCTCCACATTCGGATCATAGCTAGCCACGGGGCACTTGATACCCAAGAGAATGAAAGGATTTTTGAGCTCCGACGTATCTGCAAACGCTCCTCTGATATAGGATTTATATATAGCGACAATTCTTCTCATAGTCCCCTTTTCATGTGAGATTGGCCGACCGTCTATCGAGAGAAATTGACCTTGTCCAATTTTCGCGGGTTCAGCATCGGGCTTGGGTAGAAATATATCGACTTGAAATTTATCATTAGGCGCTGAGCCTTTATTGGGACGGCTCGCAACATTCGGCGTGTGAGCACCTTCCTCAGCTTGGGTCTCGGGAAAAGTCAGGGACTCCTGCATGCATTGCAGGGAAGCAACTCTGCCTATGACCTGCGACACAGCTTCTCTGACACCATCATTGGGACGTAATGCAAACGACCAGCCACTTTTACTCTCATTGACAACTTTGAGACTGAACCTGGTGGAAGATCGAGCAAGTGCATAGGCTTGCACAAGCTCCCTGACCTTCGTGAGAGTTTTAGAAGCAGATTTCAGGGCAGTCTGTTTCCTAACGGGAAGTTTAGCCATAAAATTGGCAACGCAGACAGTGGTACCAATAGGGTGCGAAGTGCGGGACTGGCGATCGATTCTTCCTGGAGCTTTCAAGACCACAATAGTTGCAACTGGTTCTCCATCCGTCCTTGTAGTTAAAGACACTTCTCCCAATTGAACTGCACTTGCAAGAGCTTCACCACGAAAACCAAGACTAGTCCCTCCAATAGATTTTAGCTCCGCAAACGATCTTAATTTGCTGGTATGGCCACGTTTTCCTAGAGCGCTAAGATCCTCGTGCGGAATACCGTGTCCATTATCACGAACTTGAATTTTGTCAATGGTATTTTGAGATATGAGAATATCAATAGATGTAGCTTTTGCGTCGAGAGCATTATCAATGAGCTCTTTCACAAGGGAAGTTGGGGTAGTCAGGCACTGAGCGGATCCGAGCAGATTGACAGTATTCTGGGGAAGTGCGGCGATGGTCATTTTAAGAAACGAGGCAAATCCACACCCTCCAATAGAGGCTTGTAACGATGCAACTCATCAGAGCGTTAATTGCTAGAAGATATAGGGTTGTGGTTCGAGCTTGAGATGAAATTGAAGTTGACGTTGGAAATGTTCAGCCTCGAACCGAGGACGAGGCTAGCCTCGCCCGAGTATTGATCAAGAAACACCTCTGATTAGCTGCCGCCCGCTTGAGTCACGCATCCACAGAATCTAATGTTTTTAGGACACAAATCGCGGCTGTTTTCGATCGTCACCACAATACTCAGAAACCCCAATTGTCGAGCAAGACGCCAGAACGACGTCCAAAATTATTTTCCGGGCGCTCTGGGTGCGCAGGTCGCCGTTTAGTAGAACGTTTATCTACCGTCGTGCCACGATGGCTACCAACTCTGGCTCGTCCAATCCCAGTAAGGAAATACGTGACATGACGGTTTACTTGACGTTTGCATCTGACAGGCGACTGCAATAGTTGGCGTAGAAACCGGTCCTGTGTCTGGAAACCCACCTCCGATCTCGAACGAAACAAAAGCCGCCATCCAAGATGCCGCAAAAGCAAGCGCTATTGGTTCCCATGTCCCAGGAGAATCCGGCGGTAGCAACGTTACCGTTGCGAATGCGAGCGATAGCGGAAAGAAGGTAAAGAGCGAGAAAGAGTGTACGTATGGTCTTGATATGTTGGGGCTCGTGTGGGACTATGGCCGCTATCAATCCGATTGTTGACTTACTTTATAATAGTAGAGAGAGAGCGCAAGAAGGCTGAAAAACAAGCAAAATTCGACCAGAAGAAGGCGAAGGCCACCAGCACAGCATCTACCACTGCCGCAATCAGCAAGAGCAAAGAAAAGAAGGCCAAGGCTGAGAAGAAGGCCGAGGAAGATGCCCTACCACCTTACAAGGAGGATACACCTGTTGGCGAAAAGAAGATAATCAAGTCCTTCGAAGATCCCCAATACAAAGCCTACAATCCAACTGCTGTTGAGTCCGCATGGTACTCCTGGTGGGAGAAGGAGGGGTTCTTTAAGCCCGAATTTACCGCAGATGGAAAGGTTAAGCCCGAGGGTTCTTTCGTCATTGTAGAGCCCCCGCCAAATGTTACTGGAAATCTACACATGGGCCATGCTTTGGGTAATGCACTACAAGATGTGATGATCCGCTGGAACCGAATGCAAGGCAAAACTACTCTGTGGCTTCCTGGTTGCGATCATGCTGGCATCTCGACACAAAGCGTTGTTGAAAACATGCTGTGGCGCCGAGAACAGAAGACTCGCCATGATTTGGGGAGAACGGAATTCGTGAAGACTGTTTGGGATTGGAAGAATGAATACCATACAAACATCAATGCTGTACTGCGGAGAATGGGCGGTTCCTTTGATTGGACTCGCGAGGCGTTCACAATGGACGATAATTTTGCTGCCGCTGTTACAGAAACCTTCGTTACTCTGCACGACCAAGGCATTATCTACAGGGCGAATCGGCTTGTCAATTGGTGCACAAAACTCAACACCGCTCTCTCGAATCTTGAAGTTTTTAACAAAGAATTGACTGGTCGCACCTTGTTAGATGTGCCTGGGTACGCGAAGAAAGTGGAATTTGGAATCATTGTTCACTTCAAATACAAACTTGAAGGGTCCGACGAGACTATCGAAGTTGCTACTACTCGAATAGAGACAATGCTCGGAGATACAGGTATTGCCGTGCACCCGGATGACGAGCGATACAAGCATTTGGTTGGAAAGAATGCGGTACATCCCTTTATCGAGGGCCGCCTCATGCCAATTGTAGCCGACGACTATGTTGAGAAGGACTTCGGTACAGGTGCGGTGAAGATCACACCGGCTCATGACCCTAACGATTTTGCGCTTGGCCAAAGGCATAAGCTGGAATTTATCAACATCTTGACTGATGATGGAAACATGAACGAAAACGCTGGCCCCTATGTGGGACAGAAGCGATTCGATGTCCGCTATACTATCCAAGACGATCTCAAGAAAGCAGGCTTGTATGTTGACAAGAAAGACAACCCGATGACTGTTCCTCTATGCCTCAAGTCAAATGACGTAATTGAACCGATCATGAAGCCGCAATGGTGGATGAGCATGAAAGACATGGCCGCCGATGCTCTGAAAGTTGTGACCTCCGGAGAGATCAAAATTCTACCAGAATCCGCAGAGAAGAGTTATATTAGATGGATGTCCAATGTCAATGACTGGTGTCTTTCTAGACAGTTATGGTGGGGTCATCAAGCACCGATGTACTTCGCTCAGATCTATGGCGAGGAGCATGACGAGGCGGATGGCAAGCTATGGTTTGCAGGAAGGACACAGGAGGAAGCCGAAATCAAGGCACGAAAGGCCCTGCCTGGAAAGAATTTCACTCTAAAGAGAGATGAGGATGTGTTGGACACATGGTTTTCATCTGGTCTCTGGCCTTTTGCAACAATGGGCTGGCCGAATAAGACTCACGACCTCGAGCATTTATTCCCAACCTCCGTCTTAGAGACTGGCTGGGATATTCTGTTTTTCTGGATCGCACGCATGGTCATGTTCAGTCTGAAGCTTACAGGAAAGGTGCCCTTTACCGAGGTGTACTGCCATTCTTTGGTTCGCGATTCGGAGGGTCGAAAGATGTCAAAGTCTTTAGGTAACGTTATTGACCCCCGGGATGTTATTGAGGGCATCGCTTTACAGGATCTACATAACAAGCTCCTGCTCGGAAATATGAATCCTACCGAGGTTGAGAAGGCAACGAAATTCCAGAGAAGTTCGTTCCCCGACGGCATCCCTCAATGTGGTACCGACGCTTTGCGGTTTGCATTGGTATCCTATACTACTGGTGGCGGCGACATCGCTTTCGACGTCAGGGTTATTTTCGGATACCGTAAATTCTGCAACAAAATCTACCAAGCAACGAAGTACATGCTAGGCAGGTTACCAGCAGATTATGTTCCACCAAAGGAGGCCAAACCTACCGGCAACGAGTCTCTCGCCGAACGATGGATTCTCCACAAGTTGACGATTGCTGCACGGGATATCAATCAAGCACTGGGAGACCGAGAGTTCATGCGCTCCACCTCGATCGTTTACCAGTATTGGTATAGCCACCTGTGCGATGTCTACATCGAAAACTCCAAGGCAATTCTGCAAGATGGCACTCCAGAAGAGCAAAAGTCCGCTCTCGATACCTTGTACACGGCTATAGAGGGCGCTCTGACAATGATCCACCCATACATGCCTTTCCTTACAGAAGAGCTCTGGCAACGACTACCTCGACGACTAGAAGACAAAACCCCCTCGATTGTCCTTGCGAGATACCCCACATATCAGACAGCGATGGATGATCCTGCGTCGGAGGCAGCCTACGAGCTCGTTCTCAGCATCTCCAAGGGCATCCGCTCGCTGATGGCAGAATACTCCCTCAAAGATGAAGGCAAAGGTTCGTATAAACCCCTGATCATTTAACAAAACATTTAAGCTAACCACTCCACAGTATTCATCCTACCCACCGATGCAACCTCCCACACCACCGCAACCGCCCAATACCAATCCATAAAATCCCTCTCAGGCAAAGGCGTATCCTCCATCACCATCCTCCCCACCTCCACCGAACGGCCCTCAGGCTGCGTAGTCTTCTCCGTCTCCTCAGCCGCAGCAGTCTTCCTACACGTCAAAGGCCGCGTCGACATCGATGCCGAGATCTCCAAAGCCACGAAGAAACTCGAGAAGGCGAAACAGGGCATTGAGAAGCAGAAGAAGATATTGGGTGACGAGGGCTATAAGAGCAAGGTTAGCGAGGAGCTGCAGGGTGTTGAGGAGAGGAAGTTGAAGGATTTGGAGGTTGAGGCTAAGGCGTTTGAGGAGACTATTGGGCAGTTTGAGGGGTTGAGGCTGGAGTAGATGGATTTTAAGAATGCGATGTTGGGGTACAGGGCATAAGTGAAGGTTGTGCGTACCTCTTGATGATTGCAAATTGTAGACACCATAGATTTTGTTGCGGAATTATGGCACAATTCAATCATGTCAGTCTCTGATTGGTATAAATCCAGTACCAAAATTCGAGAGACAAGATGATATATTAGGTACTCAAGCTGTAGCTGCCAGGCCCCGCTGTTGTATGCAAAACTACTCACCCTGTGATTCGTAATATCCGATGCTAGGATATAAATGTATAGCATATATTTTACTAATTTGTTTATTCTTTCTTCCTAATATATGATCCTCTAGTCATCGATTTAAAGGAGCATTCGGGCCTTTAGTCTGGTCTCTGACCAACAACTTCATTTTCCCTTGCCCGATAGTATGTCCTTGGCTAAGGATGTCAACCTCCTCCTTCTCTTTCTCCGCCTCCACACCCCCCTCGCGCGCCAAGCCTTTGTCCCACGACCTTGCATCAATGCCCAGGATGCCGCCGACGTTGTTCCTATCACCTGGGACAGAGAACTCACGATATGCATAGCGCCACTCGTTTAGGAAATTTCGGATGGCTTTGCCTACTTTGTCCTTGCCATTTTTGCTGTGGTGACCAGTGCCGGTGATGGCGTACACGGGTCTTGTCTCCTTTTGGTTTTCGAGGAGGACGCGTTCGAGATACTCGACGGCTTCTTCTGGGTGTAGGCCGTGGAGGTCAACATACAGCTCCGTGCTTGATGAACTATTCTTGTTCCGCTCTTCGTAGAGCTCCCGTGCGGCTTCGCGATGGGCTTTCCGCATGAGGTCATTTTCACTCTGGCCCCGGAGACTCAGGGCCTTTGCAGCACGAGCATCGTTGCGGTTCCATGCTTGGGCGGCACTATCGCAAGTCAGCATTTGGACATAGCCTTTGAGGCGCAACCATATTTACCTTTGTAGGAACTTGTTCCTAAGGCCACCATGCTTGATTGCATCTTGTCTGGCCTTGAGGTACGCTTTATTGGCTTTCTCGCCGGTTTCTAACCAGGGAACGTGTTGAGGGGCTGGTATCGCCTGGGCAGCAGCACTGTTTTCTCCGTTACGAATGCCGGTAGAACTACCATTTCTGCCCATCCTCTTCAAGTCCTGTCGCATCAGGCCCGGGCCGGGAGAAGGTGACATCTTAACGACTTCGGCCAGGGAGCTGGGGTGGTTACTCTCCTTGTGGCCATGGCCATGACCACCTCGTTTGCCATGATGTTTCTTGCCACCTTTACCAGCGACTGCGCTCAAAGAAGGGAAGGCATCTGTATCATCCAGTGCAGGAGCTGCTGGCTCCCGTGCTTGATGTCGGCTACTAGGTCGCGATCGTTGGCTTGATCCATCACTGGTGTAGTCTTGCATGCCTTTGAATCCAGGTGGAGTGAAGCTCGCGCCTTGATAATTACCAAAGGCGCTCGAGGAGTTAAAGGAGTTTGGCCACTGGTCCTGCATACCCTGCAAAGCGGGGAATGCGTTATAGTCTGAAAATTGAAAGCCTGGCTGACCATTTTGGAGCGGAGGTGTGCTACTTCCATCCAGGGTGAGACGGCTCATAAAATGCGAAGGATCATGAGAGAATATACAGGTATCACCAGCAAGGCAGTTGCCCATGACCCAGTATCTAGATTGATGAGTATAGGGTCGTAAACGAACTGAAAATAAAGATGTTGTCACTTACTTGCATATATGATTGCTCAGATCATGACTAAATCTGCAATCTGCCCTTAAACATTGCCCTGTAGAAAGCCAAAATCGGCAGACGACACCGCTTCGCTGCTGGCCGGCTGGTGTGACAGGACGAGGCATTTCTGCAGCCATAGACTTCCCGATCAAGATCGCATTCTTAGATTCGGTGGATTGAGCCGCGGCTGTAGAAGTATCCGCAGCCTGGCATTCTATGAATGCATTTATAGTGGCACTTAAATCATATCCGTGGAGAGCAAGAGCGGCCTCGATTTCCTCGTCGGATTTTGCAGGACCTAGTATTGATCGGAGCATATCATACGGGCTCATGTCTGACTGTTGTGGCTGGATGTATTCGGCTGCCGCAGCATTAAGACCGCTGTGACCACCTGCAGATGAAGGAGAGTTGCTTCCACCATCATCATTTACTAGCCAATCTACATTATCGCTCCCGTAGTCACCATATATATCTTGGGTGGGGCTCGTGTCTCTCGGGAATTCGTACGCATTCAGATTGGGGCTGTGAGGAATGGCGGGGCTGGTAAAAGCCAGTCTTGGGGAGGGACGGGGCGATGTAAAGGGGGAAGCCGTGCTTGACTTGGTTCTGCTGATGCTGAAAGCGTGTGGTTGCGGGACAAATCCCGGGGGAGCCAGCGGACTCACGCCCAGACGCGGAGAGGAGGATATCGATATCGGTGTACCGGAACTTCCTCGAGGAATCTGCCATGGAGCGGGAGATGCGCGGCGTAAGATCGTGTGTCGCAGAGGCGGGGGCGAACTCGGATTTGTGGTTGCCTCGCGGTATCTGTGGAGGACATCCAACACAACGTTTTCGAGCGCAGTCCCAACCAGAGTTGTCTCTTTCTTCAGCAGCTCCTCCAGCTTGTCCGTTCTATCTTCGTCGTCCAGAGTGGCATCCTGGAGGAGGGGGAGGCAGGTCTCGTAGGTATCGTCGGACACCATCTTGGGGTGCTGGGTGGGGGGTTTGTTGGGTATGGCGTAGAAGCGCGGGGAGGCTTGAAGTGTATTAAGCAGACGTATTAGGTTTCCGAGTTCGAGGTCGAGTATGGCGGGTTATCAAATAAATAGGGAATCGGGGTTCGAGGCAGCGAAAGGCAGATAGGGTTGTAATTAATATACGATGCGGGATGTCCGAACAAGGCGGGCGCTGAAAGCATAAGCAGCACAGCACCGCGCAAGCTGACGATGCGATGCCGTGATCTGCGGTGTGCTCTGCGTAAGACGACAATGAAGGCGCCAGGCTCTTACATTGTCGACGGTGGTTCAGGAAGTATCATGGCGGGAGCAAGTCAGAGGGAAAGGGAATGGCCCGTGATGGTGAGGGAGACGGTGATGGCGATGGGAGGTTGTGATGGTGAGTGGTTGTGGTGCTGTAGCGCGAGCGCAAGCGCGGGCTTGCGGGTGAGTGAGGCCGTTGGTTGCTGGTTTCGGGTTTGGGGTCTTGGGGTCTTGCTTGGGTGCTGGGCTCTTGGATTCTTGGACTCTTGGACTCTTGGACGCCGGGCTCTTGGTCCCGAGTGAGGCTGGAGCTGGGGTTGCAATACGCTAATAAGACAAAAGAGCAGATTGGCTATGATACTCGAGTACTGGTCCTTGGCTATATGGAGCATGGATTCAGACAAAGCGATGGAGAGAGTCACCGAACAAAGGATGTCTACCTACTACCTAACTACGTACCTACAGTGTGGTAGTGTTGAGATGTATGCGTGACCGGATCCGTGTAGATTGAATGAGTGTCCCTCTCAACGATCCGGTATCACATGGATATGGATATGGATATGGATATGGATATGGATGCCCGCTTTCAGATAATTGAGGACTATTGATTACTACCTTGGATACCTGCGTAAGGGAGGTAGTATATGCTGCACCTTCAACCAGATCCTTTCTAGCTGGATGTATACTCCGTGTAAGCATACGTACTTGTACCTATTAAAGCAAAGCACCGGTGGTTTGAAGCTGGTGGAGAGATACTTCGTGCCCAGCTCCCAAGGTGTGTGTATAGGGTGGACCAGGTGTATAACTTAAACAAGCTAGATGGCTTACCTAATCCATGTACTCCTTCGTACGTCGCACTCGTACACATCCTATACGAGCATCGGACTCGCATATTTCGTACTTCCGCCGACCGCGGCCACGAATCCTCGACGTCACACGAAGTACCTAGGTACATGTACATTGTACTAGAGGGTCTTTTAACTCACCTAAGGTATATATAATATGTGCCTGGCCTAGCCAAAAGTCTAATAAATCTATATCTACATCCATATGCACTTTTGGTACTTTTGGCTTTCTGAAGACAGTACCCCCAAGAGCCCGCGACAAATCTCAAGGATATCTCCCGGAGTAAGCAAATCAACGACGTGTGTACTCACTCCGCCACGGTTCGTCAGCAAGCCAGCTCGAGTTTCAAACGAAACGTCCACTCCCTCTGACACGGGCACAGGCAGAGACACCTCAACAGTATCTTTATCTGTATCGATATCCCCTCTTCCACTAAAGATTTTTCCTTCATAACCTCTTCAATGAGTCTCAACCGGTAGCCCCACGTCTCTTCTACTTCTACCGCCACCAAACACCAACACCTCAAGCCCACCCGCCCCTCAACACGCGGCCTCCTCGAAATAAAAACCCAGCACCTACCCAACATGCCAGCGGACTACAGCTCAACAGCAAGAGCACTCGCCCTCCCTATATCCCCAATTCCCTCTCCCTCTCCCGAATCAGAGAACACGCGTCCGGCCTGGACCCGACGAATATCGACCTCCACCCGACGCTCGCCCTACTCCCAACCAAGCCGAGTCCACATCTCCCTACAATCACAAATCATCGACAATGGCTATAAAATCCAGCGCCGGCTCCTCAAGATCTTCCAATCCCTATCACTCCTTCAGCAAATTCTCACCGTCCTCGTCAGCCTCACTTGCTTTGTCCTCTCAATCCTCTTCCTCGTATATAATGAGCGAATCTTCCACGCCTTCGCGCCCGTTGCGGTGAAATGGAAGGCTATGACGGGAGGCTGGATGATCCTCTGGGCCTTGACATTCATAGCTGCTTTCCCGCCTCTAATCGGGTACAGCTCAGCCGTGACGATCTCGGGGTTCGTGTACGGCTTCCCAGCAGGATGGTACATCGTATCGACAGCGACCGTGGCCGGGTCACTAGCCTCATTCATATCCTCGCGGACGATATTCTCCTCGTACGTCCATCGGCTTGTAGGTCAGGATAAGCGTTTTGAGGCCCTCGCTCTAACGCTCAAACACGACGGCATTAAAATCCTCGTCATGATCCGGCTCTGTCCTCTGCCATACAGTCTCAGCAACGCAGCCATGTCTACATTCCCCACCGTTCACCCCTTATCCTTTGCCCTCGCAACCGCACTGTCCACTCCCAAACTCCTCATCCACGTCTTCATCGGCAGCCGGCTCGCGATTATTGCCGAGAACGGTGGTACCATGGGCGCCGGTACGAAAGCCATAAACTACATTTCCATCATCTTCGGTGCTATCATGGGCGCCGCTGTCGGATATATAATATATAATCGAACGATAGCGAGGGCGAAGGAACTGGAGATCGAAGAAATGGAGGCTGGGAGACGAGAGAGTTCTGCATCGGCTGGTGGGGAAAGAGGCTATAATGATGCGGATGAGTCGGATGCTGCGGCCCTGATGGATGGGGACGATATTTCGCTATGGGATAATGAGGATGGATGTGAGAATCGGGGTGCCGGGTATAGGGATGAGTTTACTGATGATGATGAAGATGTTTTTGCCAGCGGGGACCAAGATGAGCCTGCGAAGAAAGGTAGAGGGAAACATTTAGATGCATTGTAGAGTTTGTTAGATTTGGATTTGGGCTGGGTTTATGTAACTTTTGAGTAGATGATGGAGCATACTTGGATGGATGGTCGGCGTTTGGGGGGATAGATACAGAGCCTCGTGGTTGTTACAAATTAAAGCGAAGGCGCATCGCGGAGATATCTTTGAATATAACAAGAATGCTTGATCTCGCCGAAGCTAGGTTAAAATATCTTAAGAGTAAGGAGCAAATATTGTTACTAAATCTTTTCATTCTGGTATAAACAAATCAGATAATTAAGTGAATAAACAGTAATATAGAAGGTCTTCGAGGGCCTTCACTCAAAACGCCAACGCTAATCATTAAATCGCTAAATCGCCAAAAAGTAAACAAGTTGATTGGCACTATCGGATAAGCATCACAAACCCTTATACTGCTGCATGAAACGAATAGCGTCGTCCATAGGATACCCAATAAAAACAGGGCCGGTGAATATCATTTGTGGAGTATTTCCACCAGCATTGCCCATTTGGGGCACATTGGGAGGTTGAATAAAAGCGGGCTGTCTTTGGACAGCAGGTGGTGGGGACGGCATCCGAGCCTCCTCCTCCTGGGGCTTCTGTCCAGCCCCAAATGGGCATTTGCCCACCGGCCGCTCTTCGTAAGTGTGGATTTCAGGCTGTTCTGATTCCGCCTTGATACCCTGGCCGTGTCCGAATGGACATTTCCCCACTGGCTTGGGGATATGCTCCCCAGAGACAGGAGCTGGGGGTGGAGAGGCCGCACTCTGGTCTTCAGCAGGCGGGTCAAAAATCGGCACAGATATTCCCCATGGTCGACTGGGTGATTCGCCTACTCGGATCTCCTTCAGCGGCCTATCAAACCGGCTCTCTCGATCATCCTCATCAGGTTGTGGCTCTGGCTCCTCTTCCTGCCCTAAGCCGTCAGCACTGACAGCATTTGCCCAATTCTCTACCATCTCTGTCGATGTCCGTTCGAACTGCAAGTCTCCATCCTCAGTCTTCGACGGCAGCATGGGCTGATGCGTTTCCCCGAGGCCTTGTATCATGCTTGCCATATTTCCGTACTTCGCATCCAGCTTCCTGATATCTTCCTCATTTCTCTGATACCGTTTCACACATATTTCATGGCTGCGAGGGATTTCGTGCTTGTGAGACTGGAAATATCGAGCCACTTCTTCGGGAGAGTGTTGGTCGAGATAACGGATAGGGCATTTCGCAGCTGAGCCCGTTGCTGATGGCGGAGGTGAATTCATTGTCTCGGCGTACATCGCGGCGCAGATGGGATCCGCCGATTTGTGCGGGGTAGGGTCTTTACAGTTGGGAGGTGTTGGCAACTGAGCGGAGTCCATCGTACTAGACGCCTTGACGGTATCTATGGGACGTGGAGCAAAGGGACACTCCAAGGAGCTCTTCTTGCCGGGCACTGTAAAATCTTGCTCAAGTACTGTTGAAAGAGAGGTTCGGCGGGCAGACAACCTCATATTACTACTCGCCCCGGATATACTTGTAAATCCGGTCGACTTCCCTCCTAGTCCGGTAAGCCGCTGGGCAGCCTTTCTTCCGTCACGTATAGCCACTGCTGTTTGCTGCTTCGAATTTACTCGTTTTCGGAGGGGGAGGGGTACGAAGCTCGCTCGATCAGAGCTAGCTACTTGATCGGGAGGAAGTTGTAGCTTTGCCAGGATACTTGATATCTCCGGATCTGAAGGGGCATACTTGTCGGCTAGAGTTTGATACTACGAAGAGCTTCGTTAGCTTGGGACATGGGGTAGAGCGGAGGTCTTGGTAATTACCTCTGAATGAGCATACTGCAATTTGTATTGCAGAATAGTGTTTCGGTCGCTGAGGAGCTGTACCTCGTCCGCAAGGGCATTAAAATTAGTTATTAAAGTCTTGACAGAGTCGTCATAGTCGAAATCATTAAGTGACATATTGTGCGTTTGAGAAGAGGGGAAGGCCCCGGGATACTGCTGAGTTGGACCAGTGAAGGTTTGGTGCAGAAAGTACAAACCACCAAGAAGTAATCGGTAAGTACCAAGGTACCAAGCCTACTGTAGCGCCTCATGACAAATCACACATCACGTGCCAACCCCCTGGTGTGGTCCGGTCCCGGAGGAGGCCGTCTCTTGGTCAATCCCATTGCAATGCGGCTTCTATTGAGTTACTACTTTGTACTGGAGAAAAGCTTACGGTGATTTCTTTAGAAAAGACAGACTCTTTTCCTAGGTTTAATTTTGATCTTGCGCTTAGATCAGATTGTGAAAGTGCTATTTATAGATACCTACACAGTACAGTAGGCATGCTACTACCGGTAGTAGGTGAACTACGTAGTAGAGCCCAGGGTCCTCCGGTATAGATGCTAAAGAACATAACGAGCTGCTTGTGGAAAAAGGGTGTGTTGGTAAAGTAGCCTTCCGATCGCTCTTAAAGCCTTCTTTTCAATTGAAACATTTTCGAGTCATCAAAAGCCCTCTTTGCATTACTTCATACCGGCCCGACTCAGGTATGTTGATGAAACAATCGACCTTGTCGAGAAGCACTCCGGATAAGCTTTTGTTTCGGCGCGGCGCCTATTCGAGACTTTGAATCCGAACAAACTGTAGCTGGAAGCATTGGAGGAGCATTGGATACGTGAAGGTCAATGCAAGCTGTATTTTGTCATGCTCCGGGCTTTATTATCTCCTTACGTCGTACGGTCGTACGGTATTACAGTCCGACGACCTTTATTAACTAGCTGAATCGCCGAGGAAGAAGTTACCAGCATCCGTCGCTGACTGCGCATTAAGGCTGGCAGGGTTCTAGCGGTATTCTGGAAACTCCATTATTGTGGCGCAACAGATCGATACGAGGGACAGAAAGCAACAGGGAGCCTGCGGACGGTTTCTCCGTTGTTTGGACGTTCTATTCCAACCAACATCACCAACAAGGCATCTACCGTCGGAGGAGAACCTCCAAATCCACCTGAGCCTTTTACACTCTATACAGAATCCATTTGGCTTGCATTATAAAGGCATTGGTCCTAGCGCGTTCCCCCACACCATCAGATGTTGACGAAGGCGCTTACCTATGCTTGACGAAAATGTCCACCAAAACAATTTCAACGGGTCTAGAGAAGGCAAAAGATTCTACCGCGGGCGCCATAGAAGCGAAGTGTCCGGCCATTGACATACTTCCTGATGAAATCATTGAGCAGTGAGTCCTGTGGTTGCCGGGGATATGGTGTACCGCAGTGCTAATATACCTTTTTCAGAATCCTACTTGTCGCGAGCCCCAATGTCTTTGCATCGCTGATCATATTGAATCGGAAATGGCGGATGGTATCGCAGCAGGCGCCCCTCTACGCTCACCATCTCTCGCGATGCCCCTCCTACTCAGCAGCCCACCATGCGGTAGGAGGCACAGTCAATGAAGATAGTCTGCCCCGACTTCGACGACTCTTCGCTGAAGAGATCAAACGAAATATATTTGACGCATACCTACGACCACGCGAAACAATTATAAGCCTAGTCTCAACCTCTAGCAGCTCCTCATCAGCGCCTGGAGGTGAAGCCTTTCACTTCAGTCTCTCCCCGAGAGGGCACTATGTGTTGGCATATAGCTCCTCCCGAATTCACGTCATAGATGTCACAGGGCCGGAGGTTATTGTTAAACGGGAGCTTAAGATATTGCGAAGGCCGGCTTCCACAACGATAACAGACGATGGCTCGCTGCTAGCGGTGTTGTCAACCGACCTCCAGGTCGATCTTTATGACCTAACGGGCGGTCACCCAAAACATACGCACGCTGTTGCGTTAGATCACACTCCCCGAACAATCGCATTGTCGCCTACAGGCGCTGTCTTAGCCGCTGCGTACGACTCGGGGGTGGAGGTTTCAGCATTGGATGCAGACGCTACAAGCACAGGACGAAGGGCAGTTAAATGCTATGCGGCAGACTCGCTATCTTTTTCTAGAGATGGGACTCAACTTCTTGGGACCACTATGCAATCACGAAATTCAAGTACGGTCATTCTTTCAGCGCCATATTATAATGCAGAAGCCACCTTACCGGAAGAGAGCGTCAGTGCTCTATGGACCACTTCAATTCTTTTCCCAAACGGCAGCCGGGACTGCAGCCATGCTGTCTTGCTTCCAAGCGCTTCCGATGGGGAAGCAAGCTGGGCGTTTACATACGACCGAGTTTTCGAAACCTTTCGTGCAGTCCGAATCGACGACCTCAGAAATGGAACCACATATTTCACTGGCCCGATCGCTGATTCCAGATCTATTTCGATGCTCCTTCCAAGCACTTTACCTACGGCACACCAATCTGGCAATCTGGTTGCTGCGGGTTTCCAAGGATCCATATGGCTCTATGGAGTTCCTGAGGACCTTGATGCGCTACCATCTGTTCCTGCTAGCGTGAATAGCAATGCAGACAGTGGCGTTAGTACTCCGTCAATTCAGCTAGGTCGGCGAAATAGTGCGCCTTCCCTGCGATCCGTCCATAGGGGTAGAGAGAGTTTTAGCAGGATCCCACAATGGCAACTTTTGTGCGATCGCTTTCGGAACACGTTCGTTGAAGGCCAAAAAATTGGTAGTCTTGATCGAGTAAGCGCAATGAGCTGGGTTAATGATACCCCGGCTTCATTTCGCGGCGAGAGACTTGTGGCAGTTGCTCCAGGGGTCGGGGAGGGATCTTCTATCGGCGAATATGGTGGTATGAGTCCTGTGGATGGTGGCCGCATATCGATACTAGATTTTGATTATGCCATAAGTGATGGTCAAAAGACTTCGATTACTATTGAAGTAGGGATGGAAGAACCACAGGTTTTGGAAGAGGAACACAGGGATCTAGATGCAGAAGTAGCCATTGTCAGACGGAGGACAGTTGCACAGCGTCGAGGGAATCGAAATCATGTGTCCCGCTCGTCAGCGACGACCAGCCGTGGAGCACGCCCTGAACCACCTCCTGTGCCGGTAATAGGAGATGACCTAGGCGATCCATATGCAGCTCCAAATTTGGCTGCAAAAAGACTGAGCAACCGGATTAGTAGCACTGAACAATCGGAAACAGCCTCTATTGATGAGCAAGAGGCGTTTGATGCGCCATATTCTCACACGAGTCCTCGCTCTGGTACCACCCTCCGCCGTGCTGCCACTGCTGCTGCCGTCAATCGGCGATTACATCCTCCTACAGTCAGGGAGCACATCGTGTTCCGCCGCGCCGATGGACGCGAGGAACATCCCCATGAGAGTGACGCAGATAACTGGGTGCCGCCACCTCCGCCATACACGAAGGATGAGGTTCCACCATTGCCCGAGCATATACAGAGATCGATCATTGCGGAAGCTACTGCGTCGACCTCCAAGCAAGCAAATATCCCGCCACAATCAACCCCAGAATCTCCTACCTTGAATTCGGGCGGTTTATATCGATCTCGTACTGTTGCCTCCTCGAGTACTGGTCGATCTCGCCGGGAATCATACCCCTTTCAATGGAGTACAAGTGACTCTACGACAATGGATATGAATCGTGGCTCACTAGAGGTGGAACCCCCCAGACCTGCATCAAGTCCCGTGTCTCCTGAAGGGTTCAATGACCTCTACGATGTCTCGCCTCCTAGCACACCACCTCCGCCAGCTCCGCAGAACTCAGAGCTGAACCAAATTCCAAGACGGCCAGTAGGCGCCCCAGCGAACACCTCTCCCGCTGCACGTACTCCGCCAAGACCAGGTATGGTCGCTGCACTAGAACGGCCTGTTTCTCCTATGCTAGAACCGGCACAACCAATTAACGTCGAGGTGGATCCCAGGCTACAGAGCTGGAATATCACCCCGGAATCTGAGGTCATTCGATCACCAAATGTAGCAGCTGTAACTCCCATTACAGCCATGCCAGTGGATAAAGATGTGCCACCTAGGCCCACACAAGATCATCACTTAACCGAACTACCACCTTCAGCTCCGGCTCGAAATCAACGGGAGTTTCTCGAATCGCAGCCAACCGCTCAAGCCCAGTTTTCTCGAAACTTGCATGGGAACACCGAATATGCGCCAGCTCCTTTGTCGACACGTGCCGAGACTACCCCCATCGTGCGATCTGAAGCTATAGAGGACAACCCTTTTATCTGGAGGCGAAGTGATACAGCACCAGTACCATCAAGTCGACCAGGAAATGAATCGAGCTTTGGGGGGTTGGCAATGCCCAGCGCTGATCAATTAGCTCGTTTGAATAGTCGCTCGGGACGGCCTCCTGGACACGTCCTTACGGATCCATCACGACGCCTATCAGGGAGCTCCCCTAACCAGCAACCCCCAGTCCGTGGCAATCACAGACAAACCACATTCTGGGAATCTGCACGGCATGCCCCTACACACTTTCCAACAGATCTACCCCTCCGCAACTCTCCACCTAGAGCCGCGGCGGCTGCTCATAACTCTTATAACCAACGGAACACCATTGGTGCTTCTCCCTCATATTACTCGTATTCTACATCCTCCAACCGGCGTAGTGTCGGAAACCCAAATCTCCAGCTAGCGCCTCTATCGGGAAACAACTTACGTCCACCAATGCAGCGATTAGAAACCATCCACAGCGCTACTTCCACCGAACTATCCCCATATCACACACAAAGGTCAATCAACGTAGGAGTTGGGAGGCAACCAAGCCGAGCAGAGCGCAGCGCGGCGAAGAATATCCAGGATGCTAAGAAGAGGGGTTGGAGGGCAAGTATGTATAAAGAGAAGAAGGAAAAGAAACAAAAGGACAAACATGGGGATACGATGAGTAGTGCCGGTTGGACGGATGTTTCCAGGGAATCGGGAAATGAAAGGTATGAAAGCGGCAGGAAGGAAAGGAAAACTAAGTGTACGGTTATGTGATTTTCCTTTCAATGATACCCTCGTTTGATGTAATTGCTCTTTTTGGATTCAGCGTTCGGGTTGGGGATTAGGATTTTGGAGGCGGATGCATCTATTATGCCGGCTTGGGGAAATATTGGATATAGTTGGACCTTACCACATGCTGATCATTATATATTATGAACCAAAACAACACATGAGTGGAATTAAAGGTCGATGTTTCCCCTAGTTCCCTACCAACGTTATTCATGATGTTAGTTGTCAACCTATAAGTCTATAGAGGGGAGGGTGTGTTACATAAGCACCGGTCCATCCCGCCGACCACGGACCAAGGCTTTCGGGTACAAGAATGTCGTGTTACCCATCCAACATTTCATGGCCTCATCCTCAAGGCGATGATGCGATTGAGGCAAAAGCAGCAGATCAGACATGCAATGCAGATCGTCAGTCGGACCTATATTTGACACGCATGGCCTTATCTTGCAGATCTCTCTCATTCATGTCTTGGATTTCGACACCTGTTGATTTTTGTTTCGTTGCGTCTTGAAATTTGCGGAAGGCTGAGGCAATGAGTCCATCACTTCAATGTCATGATTTCGGGTTTAAGTCAGCTGGGTTCCAACGCCAACAAGCCACAAGTGTGCATCCTTGCTATTAGGCATGATTTAACCTCGCACAAGACACGCTTGGATGATTGATTGTCAATCACCTCATTTTGCGGGGTGAGGGGAACAATGACCCCACCATGGGCAAGATCATAAATACGGCAGTGGATGGCCCCACATCCTCAGTCTTCTATATCTACTCTCTACTCTTATTACCATTCTCATTCTCGCCATTATACTTGTCCCTCACTTAATCTTTTGACGATCAGAAAATCCCCCCTCAATTCATCGTCTAAGCATAGGAATCTCCCCTCAATCAATCCTTTGAACATAAGAATCCCCCCTCCATCAGTCTTTTGAGCATAAGAGTTCAGATAAGACTATGTCTCACGCCGCTTACAAGAAGATCGCTCTGGCTGGTGTACGTACTCCATACCATTGAAGTAATAAGCTCCCCTAATGCTTTATATAGGCTACCGGCACCCTTGGCTCGGTCATCCTTAAAGAGCTCCACGAGTCTGGACTCTTCGAAGTCACCGTCCTCGTCCGCGAGTCCAGTGTTCAAAATTTCCCCGAGGGAGTCAAAGTCGCCAAAGTCAACTTCGAGTCCCTTGACTCCCTAGCAGAAGCTCTTGCCGGACAAGAAGCTCTTGTTTCCGCCTTAGCCACCCTCGCAATCTCAGTACAAAAGCTCCTTATAGACGCGGCAGTCAAAGCTGGTGTGAAGCGAATCATACCATCGGAGTTTGGCGTCGACCTAATAAACCCCAAAGCTCGCGCATTACCAGTCTACGCCGGCAAGGTCGAGATCCAGAATTACCTCGGAGACCTAGCAGCGAAGACTATTATAAGTTACACATTAATCTTCAACGGACCTTTCCTGGACTCGGGGTTAGCTCGGGGGTTGTTCTTCAATTTCAAAGAGAGAAAGGCACAGTTATTTGATGGGGGCGATCAGCCCATCAGCGTAAGCCGGCTAGCTACCGTAGGCAAGGCAGTGAGGCGGGTTCTCACCCACCCTCGCGAGACAGCCGATCGAGCTGTCCGGGTCAAGGACATCGACGTCTCACAGAAGCAACTATTGGAACTAGCACAAAAGTTGACACCGGGGGAGAAGTGGGATGTGCAGCTCGTCGATACAGCTGAGCTTGAGAGGGAGGCTCTCCAGCAGATCAAGGAAAATAACATTGGGCCTCTGACGATGTACAATCTTGTACGCAGAGCTATTTTTTCACCGGAGTTTGGTAACAAATTTGAGAATGTGCATAATGAGGTTTTAGGGATTCGGGAAATCACAACGCAGGATCTAGAAGAGATTGTACATAGCGCCTTTGTTTCGAAGTAGTTTGGGACTTGTTATGATAATAAATGTAATAGCGTTTTACCTTCTAGATATGATTGGCGATTCTCCTGTTACCTGCGCTATGTCAAAAGCAGAATAGTAAACTGGCATTTTGCGCCGGCTTGTAGCGGAAGAGGTGTAAAGCTGTTGCTACTCTACTAGCTAGTAACGTAGTATCATCCCTAGACTCAGGGGCACTGTTTGATGCCTAGGGGAAGCTACACGGGTGCTCACTTAGAGGCACCTGTGAGTGTTGGGGGCTGCTCAAGAGATCATTGGTGTTCGGAAACTTGGGTGTCACAGGAGTACCAGATAAGCCCTGTAATTTATCGAGTTTATGCGGTATATACGTACGTAACGTAGCAGAGGCAGTTGGCAGATTCCCCTTTGATTCATAATCGTATATGCTATTGGAGAAACTCTCATGAAGCATTTTATATTGCACAAAACGGATACTGGAATCTGTAAGGCAACAACCCGTCCTCTTCAGGCCCATCCCGATCACTGCACTTCCAGGCGCCGGCCGGAAACGTCGCCTTTTAGCGATCCAACCACCAAAACTCCACGACCAAGACCACGACCACAACTTAAATGAGCATTTGATGCTCAGTACCAAACTCAGGCCCCTTTTCTGTTATTTCCCTACGGAGTTTCTGTTAAGCCTCACGTCTCGAGCGCAAACTCAAACCCGACGCACGGAGAACAGTGAGAATGATTCCAACGATGTGCATCACCAGAAACAGCCCCCGCGTCCAGAAATATCTCTACACCCGGAAGGATTTTAAGTTGGGGCTGTGTTTCCCAGCTGCCTCAAAACCTGGACGCCCAATAATGACGCGATTGAGATCGAGGTACGTACCAGTAATAAGGGTGTCTAATGTTCCAAGTTGCGTTCAGGTGCAAAGAGGCGGCGGCACAGGTGGCGTTTCCAGAACCTCCCTATGGAGGCAGAGACAACGGCCGCATACTCAAGCAACCCAATATTATCAAGTGTATTTGCACGCCGCTGGATCAGGCGGTAGCTACTTCTTCGCATGATTATTGGCCGGCTTGACCACAACTTGGGCCGGCCGCCAGCTCTCAACTAGTCATTATGGGTAGTGCTGGCTGATGTTCGCGCGGCCGTACATTGGAATCTGACGACATGACCGATCTCACACTGTTTAATCTCGTTCCTGCAGCGCCCCTAGCGCCACCCTTGTCTACGAAGTACTGAGTGTTAGGCAATATGATCCTGGTGAAACGGAGAGTTGTGGGCTGGTGGGCTGGTGGGCTGGCTCCTTCAGCAGCACATCGGATTTTCAAGTTTGGGCCCCCCCCTCTCACCCCTCCATGGCTTTTGAGCAGAAGCTCAAAGCCCTTTCTGCAGCGGAGTAACCCTATTTCGACCACACTAAGTTATCCCTAGAATCCTTCATGTGTCAGTCGCGATCAAAAGGAGTAGTCCCCGCTGTTCCCAGGCACGGCCGGATCATCGGCCGACGATACGACTGGCCATTACATTTGGATCACCCGTAGAAGTTCGGACGGGTAGTGCTGACAACAAGGCCAAGTGCAACTCTGCAAGGAGGAGCGCATCAAGGTGGGGAGCCTATGGTTGAAGTTTCATCTCTAATGGCAACCTTCACTAAGAGGGTCCATCTCGGCACCTTGTGAGTAGCATAGTCCGGAGGTAGAGAGTCTCACTTGAAGGTATAATAAGTCACATTGTACCCCCCTTCTAAGAACTCTGTATACGGTTCACCACACTCTTTTGGATTATACTTTACGGTCTTTTTAACTTAGTGGATATGGCTATCACTTCCGCTTTTCTTATCCTTCTTTCTCTTTCGTCACTGTCTTTAGGTGTGCCAGTGGCATTTGATGATGGCCAATATCACCCAGAATATGACAATAGCATTGGCAATGGAAATCAAATTGTCCAACCAACAGCCGTGGCGGAAGTGACTTCAGCCGCGGCGGAAGTGACTTCGACGAGGTCGAGGGCTTCGAGGACGTCGACGAGTTCCGTCCCTACAGCCACTGCAACAGCCTCGACTGGAGGTGGTGGGTTTACCGGATCTGGGGGGCCCGCCGCCTATACGCTCTTCAGGGGAGATGGGACACAAGCTTCGGGGTGGCCAACTATCAGTCAGTGGCTCAGCTTTGAACAAATGTAAGGATCCCTCTCAAACAATGATAACAATTCTAACAAGGGTTAGGTTCGCAAACAACAAACCAATAATGGCAGCTTCTTGTGCTCCGGCCGCAGAAAACAATAGTGAAGAAGAAATTACAGCCATCAAACAGGCCATCCTTTCAGAATCCGCATCTACCGGCGTGGACCCACGCTTCATCCTCGCAACCATAATGGAGGAATCCACCGGTTGTGTGCGTGTCAGGACAACCACTTCCCCCGACGGCATCATCAACCCTGGCCTGATGCAAGACCACGAGGGTACTGCCAGCTGTTTTGGAAAAGCTGCACCTTGCCCTCCGGAGACAATCAGTCTAATGATCGCCGAAGGCACTACGGGAACTAACGGCGGCGCTGGCCTCAAAGGGACGTTGGCACAGGCTGTGGGCATGGGGGCCAAAGATGCTACTGCTGTTTATGTGGCGGCTAGGATATACAACTCTGGGTCATATCCTGGGGGGGACTTAGCTGCTAGTGCGGCTACCGCTTGCTATGCGTCAGATATTGCTAATCTACTGGTGGGCTTTGCTGGTGCAACGAGTCCGTGTAAGACGGGAGCTGCTGGGACTCTCTAGAAAGCTCTAGTAGTTGATCTACTGCATTGGAATAATTGGAGCTTTGAGGTGTGGATTCGGAAAGTGTATTACTTACACATTGTTTTATTAGGGATTGACTGGATGATACCAAATGGGGCAGGGTGGGATTGGGATTCTTTTCATATATTAACTTATTCCTTAAAACTTCTATTTTCGGGAAGCTCTGGGTAGCTCTGGGTATCTTTATACACCGCCAATATAACTTCAATGTTTTTAAAATGTATTTTTTAGAAAAGTGAAATCACAAGCATAAAACTAGCTGATATACTTCTCGAAACGGCCTTTATACTTTATCGATTGTTATGCTATTAAAATGATGTCGATATATGCCACAATATGGATTAACCGCCATTTTATACAACCGTTGAGTGCGGAGTACAGCAGTTCAACAATGGACCTCGTCGACCAATCATGTGGGGCTCCCGGGCCGCACCGCATCCGCTAACGATACTTGGTATGGCAGCGTTTGACCGACGTTTGAGTGCATTTGAGTCCATTGATGATGACACGAGAACTCCGTTGGCTTGATATCTAGCAGCTACGACAATTCCTATAAATCTCATACCGCTCCATCCATTCCCAGAACTTCAATTTCTAATCTCTTTGCATTCGGACACACATCGTTCTAGCAAACAGCTTTACCCGTCGAGCAACATCGTGCCCTCTCGTTACTTCACGACATCAACGAGGACCACTATCTTCACGCAAACATGGGTCACGGCGACATGGACCACGGCGATAGCCAAATGTGCAATATGAACGTTGGTGCTCCCTTTTAAACCCCTTTCCCCCACCGATACCACTGCTCTCCTCCCAAACGCCGACCAGAAACTAACATACAACCCTCGCAGATGCTCTTCACCTGGAACACCCAAAACCTCTGTATAATTTTCCGCTGGTGGCACATCCAAACAACTCCGGGCCTGATATTCTCCCTCCTCGGAGTTGTCGCCCTCACCGCAGCATACGAAGCCCTCCGTCAAGCGAGTCGAAGATATGAGCGTTTCGCGAACAGGGAGACGCTCGAGGTTCCCAGTAAGCTCACTCATGCCCTATATAGTTCCTCTTATTTTCCTCTCCTTGTTTGCGACAGATTCGCAAATGCGATTTTCGTTTTGAGCATATGGAAATGAGGAAATACACAAGCTGAGAACTTGACGCTCAGCCGATGGAGAAACTGTTACTGAGAGAACGCCATTTCTGTGGTCAGGACGGAACCAGGTCGAAGTCACCAAGAGGGCGCATGTCATCAAAGCACTGATTTATGCTTTTCAAACCTTTTACGCGTTTATGCTTATGTAAGTCTTCCTCCTTTTCCTCCGCAATTCCATGTGAGAAGCTGGATATGATATTATTGGGCGTTTGAGGAGTTCGTTCTGACGATTTCGGTGTTGAAGGTTGCTATTCATGACGTATAATGGCTGGGTAATGCTTTCTGTGGGTGTTGGGGCTTTTGTCGGATATGTTTTGTTTGGCAATGATACGAGCTCGACGAAGGATGGGGCCTGTCATTGATCCTCATTCTTAAACCAAAGGATCTCAGAGATTTGGGGGATTTTCTGCCCACCCATTTGATTCTCGAAGAGGGTGATGTTTCGTAGGTACTTCGTATGCATCCAACATATCATTTACCTTCGTATGCATACCACCACACAACATCACGTAAGCTAAAGAGGTCACCATCAAATGCAACCACCCAAGCTTGAAGCTACCCCTTCATCAATATGTTTCTGTGTAACACTATAACACAGCATTATAATGCCAGGACCAGGATGCTAACCCTTCAAATTTCGGGTATTTGCCAGCTGTGTTGGTAACACCGCTCGCCACCACTTACCATACCAACCGTTAAGACGACTTAGGCTAAATAGCTATCTTCTCTCCACAAGGTAAATTGAGTTTTCGTTGCACATCGCAATACTGAGACATGTCGAATCATTGGTCGCATCTAGGCTTGTGCGGAAGTTTGTATGACGTCGGTAGGTAGGGTGGTTTTTGAAGAAGTTGGGGAATGGAAATGTTTGTTTGCCTGTTGGTTGTGGAGAGTTCGGTATCGTCCTTCCAGAAATGGTTTACCTCGGCAGCGCGAAAGAAACCAAGTGGACATCCTTGCCATATATCATTATAGAGGCTATATTTGTTCGTATTCCTCGTTTTCAAAATATATGGAATCAGGCATTGGGGTTTATGTTTCTTCCCGCTGATATATCGAGAGTATATGTTCACTCCCCCCTAAACGAGTAACAAGCCGACCCGAGGAGTAAGAGGTGATATATATAGTACAAGAAAAGCACAGTGGAAAATCAAGTAGGTCTATAGTATATGGTAACTTTTATAGAATTCCTTTCCATTAGGCTTCCTGTATAGAGCGGTTTAGGGCGGGGGTGGTAATACGCTAGGGCGATTAAGCAATCAGAGCGTGATATCCAATGTATTATCATTATATATGATCTAAATCTTCGAACCCGAGCCTGAGGACTTCTTACGGCTATCAGATATTGCTGTCTTTAGATCCGATTCAGTAAGGTCTGGGCCACCAGGAACCTTCGGACCTAGCTTGCCCATCCTCTCCAAATTACCAATCATTCTTTCATCCCCTATATGGGCATCGTGCTACAATCTCATTAGAACTGTGATCTCTACCGTATTATTTGATCTGGAAGTGCATACCTCAAACTCTGGATCCTCGTCATAAGCAACTCGCGCGGCATCAACCAGCATCCTCGCCGTCATCCCCCAGACTTTATACCTCATCATCCCCGCCTCCTCTTCCTCATCCAATTGTTCTGCAATAGCCGCCTGTCCACCCTCTCTAATCTTCGGTTTCGAAACATTCTGATCATTAATCGGCACATGAAAATTATGCATCCGCCACTTCCCCTCGTGCCAGTCGGTCCAAGCGCCATTATACCAGTCCGATCTCTTGCCCGGTATATTCTGCCCTAGTGCAACTTCATCTTCCGCCCTTAAGAAGTTATGGAAGGGGGCAGAGAACACTGCTGCAACTTCTTTGGGGTCGAGGCGGGGAATCATGGTTTCTTCCACGCTGGAAGCTTGGCTGCCACTGCTATCGTTGGAATGGAGAAATGCGACACAAGGGCGGACTGCGAGTGCGGTTTTGGCGAGACTGAATGGGATCTCGCAAAGATGCTCTATCCTAAAAGGAGGAGGTACTTTCGAGTCATCAAGGGGAAGCCCGATTTCTTCCCATGCTTCTCGACGAGCAATTTCCCAAGGTGTTTCTTCAAGTGTATCTGCCTTTCCTCCTGGAAATGCCGCATGTCCTATTCATTCCAATCAATACATATAGGCTCTGGAAGAAGGGCGACGGAAGTGGAGATATACCAGAATAATTCCTCAGCGTCGTAGCTCTCATCGTAATAACCACCCTTAAATCACCCCGCCGATCCGCAAAGAGCAATATCAAAACTGCAGCTCGCCTGCTCAACGGCAAACGATCCCATACCGCAAAAGGCGGCGGTTTATACGCCCTTAAACGGGCAATGGCTGCCTGGCATATTGCATCAGCACTTGTGTGCTATATATTTGCTGTACCTGAGTACCTTCACATACTAACCACCGAGGTTGGAGAAAGCGGTGCCATGCTGCTTGCATCGAAGTACTGGGACCGGTCCTCTTGGATGTTTGAATCAGGCTGGGTTATCTCATTCTCGAAGGTGTTAGGCTCGTTGTCTAAGTCAATTGAAATCTGGCTGTCTGGCTGGTGAAGCTCCATTGTTGATGTATACAAGTTATCCTCGGCAGACATTATTTATTCCCTTAGTAAGTCCGAGGGTACAGGAAGGCCGATGCCGTAATGCGGGGGAACAGGGGAACAAGCCAGGGGCACGGTGGACCAGGGCCCTTAATTCGGATTCTCGGAATCCATCTCTCTTCATCCAAATTCATCCAAACCCTTCAAATCGATCTTCTCCCGCTCTGCATATCCTCCCACGAATCGCAGACCAAACTTACAGCCGCAAAATGGTGTCAGGTCCAGGTAATGTTTAGTAAACACAGCCAAAGAGAGATCGCCACCGCAGACTCCACATCTTGCGATTGCGCAATTCCACCAAAACTTATGCCTTTGCTATGACTGTTTCGAAACCACGATAACAGGGTTTAAGATTGTGGTACAAAGAGGAAGATTTGCGCTTTGAGCTTTTGCTATAACTGCTTTTACTTTGAGAAACTAACTCATCAATATCCAACGCATCTCAAGCTAAAGACCAGCACCGCTTTCCACATATCCAGTGTACTGTAGACATACGAAGTACTCCCGTGCAAGAAACACTCTAGTATAATAAGCACCAAATGGCAACCTCAACACCCCACCAAGAGAACCTCACATCCTCTAATGCATCATATGCCTCAACTTTCACCCAAGGGCATCTCGCTCTTCCCCCAGCAAAGAAATATGCCGTCTGTAAGTTATTATCCATCTTTACCATTTCCACTGCCCCTTTCCTCCGTTTACCTATTTTAATTAACACCGTCACTTAGTAACCTGCATGGACGCACGTATCGACCCGGCCGCCGCCTTCGGCATTTCGTTGGGCGACGCCCACGTAATCCGCAACGCCGGTGCCAGCGCCCGCGACGCCCTGCGCTCCCTCATCATCTCCCAGCAACTCCTCGGCACGCAGGAAATATTGCTTGTTAAGCATACCGGGTGTGGAATGTTGACATTTAAGGATGAGGATGCTGTGGGGCTTGTGAAGAAGAATTTGGGAGAGGGAGGTATTAAGGCTGTCCAACAGGGGTTTAGGGAGGAGTTTTTGACGTTTCCCGACTTGGAAAATGCGGTTAGGAGCGATGTTGAGTGGTTGAACCAGAATAAGGGGATTCCGGACGGGTTGGTGGTTAGCGGGTGGGTTTATGAGGTTGAGACCGGGAAGGTGAGGAGAGTCATTTGAGGTGAGATAGAGATTGAAGAACAGGTTGGGTTTGTATAGGTAGGGAGAGAATGATTTGGAGAGGGTCATGAGCATCTTGGGGGTGTTTTCTTTTAGCCTTATGAGCTTACGGTCAAATTTTATATCTAGTACCATTTCCACTCCTATTCAATACAATACCAATATATCATGGGAAACGTTTGCCTGTTACCATTTCTCACAAGCTCCCAGTTCTATCAAAAACTTCCTACCCAAGCATTATAATTCGCACACCCGCTCGGCAGATTCGTATTTGCCTCAATCGCCGCTCCTTTCCCAGAATTAACTGTCACCCCATCCCTAACAATACTAAAAACCGGCGCTCCTGTATTTCCGTTAAATGGCGTACTCCAATGATTAATTCCTTGCTTCCCATCAAAGCTAACCAGCGGCCCCGAGCCAATTTGGACCGTAACCTTTGCATCAGCCTTCAAGAGTGCGCTGAAGAATACCCCATCCTGTAATACAGCATCGGGGGGTAGTGCTTGTTGTCCCTGGTTAGGATTATTGGCGGTAACACCACAAGTCGAGCCTGCAGATGCAGGGGCGAGGCGGTACCAGAATTGCATTTGGTCGCGGTCGATGGCGGGAGGGCTATTTTTGAATTTCCCGATGTAGTAGGGGAGGAAGTCGCGCCAGCTATCATGGGGCATGTTGTTCACGTATTGGCCTGAGCCAGCGGCGATTTCACTGGGGTCATGGAGGGGGCCGATGTAGGTTGCTTCGGCGTAATCATTCCATGTCACGATTCTGGGAATGATATTAACATTTGTGGGATGTAGAGAAAGGGGAAAGGGAAGGAGAACGGATACGTACTGTACGAATTGCGGATTCACATCAAGAGTTTGCGCCCAGCTATCAGCCCATAGGTCATCACCTCTCCACAACCAGTTTGGCCCAAATCCAGTGGCGCTGTGAAAGAACCACGGCGATACACCCATCATATAGCTCTTTTGGCCAAGGGCACCTTGCCACGCTTTATCAACATCAGCCGTCTTATTATGCGCTCCCTCGGGCCACATATCGAAGTTAAAGGCCCCATCAATTTTATCCGACACCCCAGTTATTCCCCCAGGACCAAGACTAGTCCAGTCAGGCACGAAGTACACGCCTCCCGTCCCAGAGCGGATCGGACCACCTTGTGCCCAATCATTCACATTGCCGGTACCCTCGAAAGTAGAAACGAAGGGCAAGTTATTGAACTTAAAGTACGCCGGGCTCGTTTTATACTTATTCACAAAGGAAACCACAGAATTGGGAAAATCGCCAGTGGCGGGCCATGCCCCTGATGGGCCGCCCAGGTAATCGAAAGCGAAGAAGAGCTTGAATGTGCTCCCTGCAGCTTCAGCTGCGGAAAATGCGTTGGCGACCTGACCAGGCGTGTTGGTGTCTCCGAGGCCGATATTCAAGACGAAGGCATCGATGCCTGCAGCTTGGGCGAGAGAGATGTCGGTCCCCCAGGTGGTAACTGAGTGGGCTGCGGTATTGCCTACTACGATATGGGCGAAGACGGATTTCTGGGCGGAGACAGCATAGGGAAGCACGGCGAGACCAGCGGAAAATAATGCTACGAGACGCATGATGTGGATGATGAGAGAGGCGTAGAGCCTCAGAGACTAATATATCTAGAACAAGGAGTGGATAGGTAGAGACGAGCAAGCACACACTTGCTGTACTCCTCACTTGATGAAAAGAGAGGCAAAATGAAACGAAAGTATAAACCGCTGGAAATACAATCAGTAATCCTTGGCCCTAATGTGATGCCGTAGCCGGGTTTAAGAAAAGCGCTTTACTGCAATGGACTCCCATCACAACGCTCACATGTTGTCAGCACCAGTTATACACTTGCTGACATGGCTGCCCCCTTGAATCCTAAATGTTTCGATGCGGTGGGTCGATGTTCGGACATAGATCGGTTAATAAATTAATGATGACGGAGGGATGCAGGACGAAACCTGGGACGCGGAAAGCGAATCCCTCAGCCCCTGAAGCGCTAGGCGATCCAACCACAAGGCTTCATTTTCATCCAAACTTCCCCAAACCTGCACCATCCTGTCTCGGCGTTTGATTGTGGTGGGCCTTAGTACCTAAGGTCTAGCTAAATGCGTATGTAGTTAGTTGTTTTGTTAAACAATCCTGTCTCGATATTTTAGAGACCTATCATATAAATTAATATGACAGCCTTATTACCGCCGCTTGAAGAGCGGCGCTATAGGTACGCTTCACACAATATCTCGCATGGATATCATCAGAATCGAGCACGTTGAGAATCTTCAATTCTTCAATTCTTTATTGCCTTGCTGATATTCCAAACTTCACGACTCACAATTGTAGCCTGAAAGTAGCAACCTCAAATGGTCGCAAGGTAATATCAATCTTCCCCTCCGCAAATTTGATTTCTTCCTCATCATCCTCCAAGACATTTGTCTTCCAAACTCTCTTCACATCCAATGTCGTCTGAATAGTGCCTCGGCTCTTACCACCCAAACTATCATAAATGCGTAAGATAACACTCTTGCCCTTCCTCTTCGGAAGTTCTCCCCGTGACACATCCTCGTCGTCCTCGCCTCTCTTGACTGTGTCAAGAATAAGGGACGAGTCGCCTATTAGCTTGATGGGGTTACTGAAGGCGCTTGCATCGAGCGTTTCTGGTGATTGGACGAGCTTTAATGGGTTGTTGAAGTTAAATGCGGTCCGCACCGTTGTAGAGCCAAGGTCTCCCTGATGAGGGAGGATTGCCCAGCGCATGTGGTGGCGGCCCATATCAGCATGCGCATCTGGTGCCTTGGGGGCTCGCAGTAGTGAGAGGCGCATGAGGTTACCGCAAGTAGCAAACCCGTACTTGCTGTCATTCAGAATCGATACGCCGTAACCATGTTCAGAAAGATCCGCAAATTTGTGGCAGCAGACTTCGAATTTAGCCATATCCCAACTGCAACTTGTTAGTGCTATACTATTAATGAACTAGGAAGAACTTACGAGGTGTTGTAATGTGTTGGTCTTCGAATGATACCGAACTGAGTCTCGTATGAAGCCTCCGTATTTCTGATATCAACAGGGAACTCGACCTTAAGGAACTTCATGCTTTCTTGCCACTCAACCTCGCTGTGCATCTCAACATACGATTGCTGACCCTTGAAAGCAGCTGATAAGCTAATATATGTCTTCACCCAGCTCTTGTCGCTGATCTTCGTCTCGGTCATAACGCTCACTTGGTGAGCGTCACTCTTAGCGATTTTTGTGGCGCTGGAAGAAAGTTCTTTTCTAGAGTCAAGATGATATACTTCGACATCCCAAGCTTGCCAATACAGAGGCTTATCATCAAAGACAACAAGCTGGTTAGCTTTGCCTCCTTTGGCAATGACCTCTCTTTCGGCCTTTCGATCGTAGAGGGAAGAAATAATTCCGTTCTCGACTTGTACTCGCAATTGGTCATTTTGAAGGACAAAAACTCCACTTCTAACCTCTTCAACTGTGACCTCGGGGGTCTCAGCAACTTTAAAGGTTTTGACGCTCAGCAGATTCCCTTCACCGCAAGCAACTCCAGCTTGATGGTCTCCAATTGGGACGATTTCCCTGCGGTGCCAAGGCAGAGTGTTTAATGCAACAAGGGTCCCCTTGACTCCGGGGCCACTGACATCGTGAACACCTAAAACGTTTTGTAACTCTTTTAAGATTCTCTCGCCTGTCTTAAACACCTCGGCATAGAGCTATCTCCTTGTTAGCATTCTCCTACAGAAATGGAATTCGTTTCCAGCATCTGGATCTTACCTCATCGTTATCATCATAACACATCTCAATAGAGCTCCCAGGAAGGCAGTCATGGAATTGGCACAGAAGCACTGCCTCCCACATGTCATCGATATCCTTCTTTGGATACTTATATCCCGATTTGATGCTTGCAAGGGTAGCTAACAGCTCAATGTCACGGAGCATGATCTCCGATTTCCTATTATTGCGCTTACTGTTTGCTTGGGTTGTATACGTGCCTCGGTGCAACTCAAAGTAGAGTTCGCCATACCAAGTAACAAAGTCGGTACCGGTCGAAGCCTTTTGTTGGAGCTTATCGAAGAAGTCTTCGACGGAATCGCCCATATGTACCCTAGGCAACAAGCCAACTGTGTCGGCCATTCCACGGCAACGTCTAAGCTTCTCTAAGTGTTCCCAAGTTGGACCACCACCTCCATCACCTTTGCCAAAGGCAAGTAACGAAATTGGATCCTGGTCCATCGATTTGTGCTGAGTAACTGACCTCCTCACATCGCCAAAATTCGCCTCCGCAGTATATGTCTCGGACGGTGCCATATGGCAAACGACTTGGCTTCCATCAAGAGATACCCAATTGAAGGTTGTGTGGGGAAATTTGTTGATGTTATTCCAACTCAATTTCTGAGTGAAGAATCGCGACATGCCTGCCAGCTGGCACAGTTGCGGCAATTGTGCCGAATAACCAAAAGTGTCAGGAAGCCAGAAAGTCCGGCATCGTTCCCCGAAATTGCTTTCAAAGAATCTTTGGCCGTATAAAAATTGCCGGACGAGTGATTCGCCACTTGGCAAATTGGTATCATGCTCTACCCAGCTACCTCCAATTGGCTGAAATGTGCCTTTTTTAATCTTCTCTTTAACCCGATCGAAGACGTATGGATAATCTTGTTTGAGCCATTTGTACTGTTGCGCCTGAGAGGCGGTAAACCGATGCTCGGGATACTGCTCTAACAAATTGCATTGACTCGACCATGATCTGGCGACTTTCCTCTTTGTCTCCGCCCAAGGCCAGAGCCAGCAGGTATCAATGTGGCAATTTCCAATAGCATAAACAAGAGGCTCATTTCCGCTTTTGTAAACTTTGGCGGAGCTCGCATGCTTGCCCAAATACTCTTGGGCTATTTTACGGCCCTGGATAATTGAATCTTGGTTGCCCAAATCAAAAGCATCTATAATCTGATTGGCGACCTTCAAGGCCTTATGCTGCTCCCATGAATCGGTGGGAAACTCCCTCGCGGCATCACCAATTTCCCAAATATCAATATAGAGATGGCGAGCTTCGACATTGACAGCGACGATCTCAGCTTTGCCCAATTGGAAATATTTATTTGGGTCTGGTGGTTGGATCGAATCTCCGCCTGGGGCATTTCCAAACATGCCGTTGCATGCCATCTCGACATATATAATATGTTCTTTGCCATCTCTGAACTTCTCAGGCAATATCCACTCTACTCGCTCTCCTCCGCCAGTTAATCCCTGGAGTGGGTTGCCGTCCTCGCTCCACACCATCCCCTCGTTATTTGCATCCCAATGGAGCTCGAGGTGGTCCTTCTTGCACAGGTCGGACGGGACGGTGATTTGGGCTTTGAACCAATGGGTCGACCATGATGGCCCGAACCAGTCGCCCACGGAAGTAGGTTTGAACTCGTGTCTTGTAGCTTCTTTGAATGTTGGACGGGAGAGGTCGGGCGCATCCCAGACCGACAGCTGTATATGGGGATGCCCTGAGACGACTCCTTCGGTCAGCATACTGTGCTATGAAGTCAGTACTGGCCCAAAAAAATCTGCGAGTTTGGGAGGCCACTCACGCTCGTAAGTTCTTCGATTCATATTGTCCTCCGCCGTAAAACGAGGCAATCCGGTCCTTATAGATCTTTGGGATCCATTGTCCAACAGGGTGGTCGGACAGCTTAGGATATGAGCTCTTAAGCTTCGGAACTTCAAATGTTTCTCCCCCCATAATTGTATTCGATTCAGTATTCGATCGTGTAAGGTGGAGAAAATAGAATGCTGGTTGAAGACAGAAGAAGTGCCACTGTTGTTTGTTTTGTTGTTATGGGGTGTTGATGTCAGTTACTCCGCACTGTCTCAGACAGGGATCCGAGCAATGCGCGAAGTATCATATGTAATAATAAGCTCCAGTGGTGGAGATGGCGGGGGAAACGGCGCTTGGCGGGGTTCCACGGACGCCAACTTTTAACTCTCGAAGCTCATAACTTGCGGGTGCTACCTTAGGGCATCCGAGTTAGAAGGGATTAATTGAAATTGGGGGAATAACAGGAAAGGTAATCCTCTGTTCTTCGCTGACATCAAACCTATATGGGCAATTGCAGGAAACAGGCTGACCACTGAACCCGGAGGAGAAGGATGGAGGTCCGAGGCTGTAACCAGCCAAGGCTCACCACTATAGGCGTTGTTTCTCTCAGCTCCGAGTGCTTCGTACAACTGTAGCACAGTGTATCCAAGTTATTAATTTGCGGAACCTATGTGCAGAGCTTTGGGAGACAGATAAGCATTTGATCGATCCACCATGCATTTGATTATCAGTGTTACCTATGGGAATTGTCAGATATTAATCACGAGACTCATGACTTCATAGTTGAGTGTTTTCTTTACAGTACGTTGTATTTCTGCAGCTCATCAGAGACTCAAAATCAAGCGGTTGGAAAAAGGGCTCCTCGCACACCAACCCCCACCCCCATACACTCTTAAAACACTTATTCACGCTGAATATGCCGCTCCCTTCATTCTCCTTATAATGCTATTGAATACGCTACGATGTTAATCAACCAATTCGCAATTCCCTTATTCAAAGCCACTCCGCAACATTACCATCTACAACTAGTTAGCGTCAGTCCTACAAGTTACTCAACGAAGAGAAAATACCAGGATTCTGATCCGTAATTCCTAGCACTACAATCTTCTTCTTCAAACACTCCCTCTTCTTCTCATCCGAGGACTTAACATGAAGGCTTTTCTTTGCAGTCGCAACCGCCTCGGAGATCTGCTCGCTAAATCCGGACACCATTGGCAGCGGGGTATCTGGCCCATTTGGAGTCCTTTGTCTATTCGGGATGACATTTTTCTTCCGCACGGGCGAGTCGCGTGTACTCCTGCTTTTCGATATGCTTTTGACGGCATCTGAGAGCTTCCTGTTGAACTTTCCTGGTGTAGAGTGACTTTTAATTGCTTCATCTTCAGAAGAAGAGTGTTCCTGAATAGCAGCAAAGGGAAAAGGGGTTTTGAGTGGGTGTCTGCCACTGCCGAATGACCGTTTTGCCTGGTGTGGCAAGGATGGTCGTGGGGAAGTCATATCATTTGGAGAATCGTCTCTTCCTTGAGACAAACTCACATTGCGTGTAAAAGCAACTTTGGAATGGTTGCTATTGCTGGGGGAAGTGAATGTTGGTGTGCTGAAGTTTTTGCTTTGATTTGGTGAGGATATTTCTTCCATCCCTCGTGAAAAGCTCTCGCGCATGTTGGTGAGCATGGAGCTTCGCTTTGGTGACTGCAGGTCGGTTGAAAGCTGTCTTGTTCGAATGGTTAGAGGTCGATCTCCCCCCAGGTCTAGCTCCGACTCAGTGAACCCGCGACTTCGCCTTGGATCATTACGTATGGTGTTCTCATGCTTCTTTTGTTCCTCTTCTAGCATCTCTTGAAGAGTACTTAGCTCTCCTTCGCCCGCTGGTCTATTGTTTTCGGCTGGCGACCGAGGTTTTCGACTCCTAAACATATCGCCTACTCTATCCCTATATCGAATAGATCTAGTGGGCGAAGGGGCGCTTTGCTTGTCTTGTACTGTGCTTGAAGAACTAAAGTGATGTCCAGCAGTATTTGATTGGAACCATGGAACAGATCCTGACCTTTGACTACTCAGTCGATTGGCGTTATTGTGCTCAAAGCCTGATGACTGGCTGTACGCACTCGAGCTATCGTCAGACATGTGCGAAACCGGTGGATGATATTCCTTCAAAAGCTTCATTTCACATTTTGGGTCGGTCCACTGGAATACATATCGTGGCGACCCTAGCTCGAATGGCGATGGTTGAGTTGAGTTAGGCGGCCAGGAATGGATCCGCCCAAGGGCTCCTGCGGCCGGGTATGATGGAATATCGTCGATTAATTCATAAGATTCGCTGGAGACCGGGGACGCAGGAGAATAGAGACTCATCTGGAGAGCGGCATGCTCCTGCCGTGGATCCATACGTTTTCGAATTTCACCGCCGTGATCAGATCCATTTTGAATAGGAGAAACCTCATCTTTGCCAGTACGTATGGTGAGAATGGAAGCTAGACCTGGCCTTGAAGAGCGGATCGAGGTCTCCATCATATATTCTACTGGTATAAAGTGGTTTTGCGCTCTAGTTTGCGCTCACAAGTCCAAGGTTTGTGAGAGAAGAAACTAGATCTATCTAACCAAGGCAAAAATATAAAACAAGGAATCAAGATGATACTCGCCATGCGTAATATGACCCGTGACCTGATGATTTAGGACAAAGAAATAATAGGAATGATCTATTCGGCGCAATGGCAGCCTTTTTGTCACCATTCCAGAAATGGTGGCGCATCTTGGTATCTTACAACAAAGAAAGGGCAATCCTAAATTCGCCAAAAGCAGAAATAACCAAGATGCTTATTATGTAAATAGTCAATTGACAAGAAAATCAATTATAGAGGCAGGCGTGTTCTTTATTTAGACCACTCACCAGTAGAGGTCATGTTCCAGGGCTAACCACGATAGCCGCTTTTTGTAACACCGCCGATTTAAGAATTCCTTTTCCGTCGCGGGCAAAAGAAGCCAAGCCATCGCTGCTAAAAAATACATCTAGTTGAGATGAAGTGAGACAATAGTACAGTATCTTCTGCAGTTCTGTGATTTCTGGATGAGGTTGTGTTCCGTAGTCGACGCTGGTGGAAAAGGGGTTTGGTGCACATCGGCGATATGGTACCGCTTAATATCAAGCCACCCCCGTTGCCTGTAGGGGTATTTTAGAGGGGCCGTTTTGCTGCTAGCGATTTACTCCGCATGACACTTTGTTGCGAGCGAAGTCGGCAAAATAGATTTGTAAGTTAAGACGGAGGGGCAAGGTGGGGCAACCGATCATACCTCACAGCACATCTTCGGCTTCATCAACGGCAGATAAATATATACCTAGATATGCTTTCAAGTCCACTAAACCTGCCAAAATGGTATGCAATTCCTCCCAAGGCTCGAAAAGAGTTGCGCTGAAGCATCATGGCCTAGGCTCGAGGAGAACTCGCATCTCCTCAAACCCCCGATCAATAACTATTGCGTCTACAACAAAGATGTGACTGTTATGGTAATTATCAACAACTCAAAAAAACGATCTACACTAGCTCATGCGTTGGATAGATAGTAGGCGGACCTAACGCCCGCACAGACTACCACATCAACGAAACGGCCGAATGGTTCTTCCAATACAAAGGCGCCATGATACTAAAAGTCGTCGATGAAGGGCAATTCCGCGATATCGTAATCGGCGAAGGCGAGATGTTTCTTCTTCCTCCCAATACGCCGCATAACCCCGTACGTTTCGCGGATACCGTTGGGATTGTGCTAGAGCAGCCGCGGCCAGAAGGGTCGCTGGATAGACTGAGGTGGTATTGTACCAACTGCAAGAACGTGGTGGACGAGGCCGCGTTTCATTGCACAGATTTGGGAACACAGATTAAGGAGGCAGTTAATAAGTTCAAGGATAGCGAGGAGAGGAGGGCGTGTAAACACTGTGGGGTGATGGCGGAGTCTGCGCCGAAGCCGGGAGAAATACAAGACCCGAATTTGAAATAGGATGATGAACAGTATATTGTGACAGCGTATTCTAGGAAATGGTTATCTCGACTCTGGAGTTAAGTTCGGGAATCCAAATGTACAATGTTTACGGTGTTTCTACTTATGTCTCCTGGAACTCATATGTGCTGGTAGACTCCTCAACGGCCACTTCGATCTTAGCCGCCTCGATTTCTTTCCCATTAACCTTCAATCCGGCCCTCATAACGTCACCTGGAACAACTGGCCCAACACCTTTCGGGGTGCCTGTAATAACAATGTCTCCCTTCTCCAGTGTCATAACCTTCGATATATCGCTCAGCATCCTCGGGATTTGGAACAGCATCAATTCTGTTGAGTCCGATTGCTGGATCACATTGTTGACCGAGAGGTAGATCTCGACATTATGCGGGTCGGGGATTGCAGATTTCGGAATTATCTCGCTGATTGGGAGGAAGGTGTCGAAACCCTTTGCAATATCCCATGGCAGCCCCTTCTTTTTCGCTTCGTTCTGGGCATTGCGCGCGGTCATGTCGATACTAAGGGCATAACCTTGCAGGAAGTTAGCAGCCATATTATGGTATGCAGGAGAATCTCGAACTGTCTATAGCATCCAAGGCTCCCTGTTCATCTGAAGCTTCAAGGTTCTTGACCTGCTTCCCAATAATCAAGGCTAGCTCGACCTCATAGTGCAGGTCCACCCCCCTAGGTCTAATCACTGGTCCTTCTCCCGGGGCGAGGATCGAAGAAGGGGGCTTCAAGAAGAAGAATGGCTGTTTCGGTCTCTGGTTGTTCAATTCCTTTACATGGTCTCTGTGGCCGCTCTGGTCAGCATGGACTACTTCAGTAGGGTGGGGTTGAAAGACTTACGCATAGTTCCTCCCAATGCAAACAACCTTAGACGCTTTCTTTAATGAAGCCATTGAAGCAATTCCACGACGAAATATGAGAGACATGGTGACACTGAGCGGTGGAGGGGGAGGGAGAAGATATAACAGTCTTGGAAGCTATATATTACCCGTCTGTTTGTGCCATGTAAGCCAAGTGGACGGTGGGGGCAGCATCGGAGACAAAAGAAGATCCGAACCGTGAATACGGGGGCCGTCATCGCAAGCCGTCATCGCAAGCCGTCATCGCAAGCCGAAAAATACGCCAGATACTCCGTAGGTACCTGCTGTACTTCGCGCGGATCGGGGGTTTGCAGAATAGTTGCGGCACCGCCCTAAGTTTACTACGTAATTAAAATATCCCACCTGATATCTTCTTGTTGCGATAAAGTGGACTTTTTTTTTCGCGTCCAGATGGCTCTATTCAGTTATTATCTCAATACTATCTTTGGAGGAAGTGCTATCTCCTAGTTGGGATGTCACCTCACAGTACTCCGTAGTGGATACGGAGTATACGGGTACGGGGTACAGCCTAAGGCCAAACGCATACTCCGTAGGCCGACCACCTTATTACTCTCCAAGAGTTCTCACTTCTTTTATCTTCTTTTACGAGTACCTAATACCCTACTTACGGATCTCAAAAGCTGTAAGCATGTCACAAGCCTGTTACAAGCGTCTCACCGTGGCAAGCGTCTTCCGAACATCTTACGGAGTATAACCATTTTAATTATATAAGCATTTCGAAAACAGTTTATAGCTTTATATTAAAGAAACCTCTCTTATGAAAAAGTGTTATAGGATAATAGTATTAATAAAACGTATTATAATAAAAGCATAACCTTATAATAAGAATATCCTATCCGTAAATTATCTTGGGGCGATAATCGCTCCTAGAAAATTGACACGTATTCATACTACAGCCATTCTCCAAAACCCCAATCTGATCATAAGGTACAATTTTGCTAATAAAGCCTACTACCTTGAACACAGTTATCTCTTTCAACCAATTATTCAGATGGCGATGACGTTGAGTAGGGAACCCGTTATAGCCCCCCTATTAACCTTAATTCATCCCAGACCCGATTTTGGGTCCCTATCAAATTCGAGCCGTACTAAACGACGACCGAGCCTTAAGAATTCGTAGTCAAATACGCATGATGCTGCTTTATAATAACCATCGACATATGCTTTTATATAGTTTCAAGGTCAAAAAGAATAACAACACAAATATTAGGTGTTAACGTCTAGCGCTTGTCACGAACATGGTACCATTCATACAAGACGAGGTGCAACCATCTTGGTAGTAAGGCCGTGCCAGGGAATGAAAATATATCGTTAGGTGCGGTATCATTTATGCAAGATTACCTAGGTAGGTAACATCGGCACGGCACTATCGAGGGTTACGACAGCTAGTACACTTAATGGGTAGAGCAAGATTCGTGCAGGTCCGAAATCACGTCAGGGGAGGACCCATACTTCGTACCAAGGCTGCATCACCGCAAGGAACAGATAATTTCACGCGGCCAGGCAAGGCAGAAGCATCTCGGTAGTAGAGCTGCTTGATAGAAGAGGTTTGTTATTACAAGTGCGCCTGTTGCCTGTCGTGGAATACATACAACAGCGATACTAATGTAAAGCAGATAGTATCGCAGGATAAAGAGGCTGTACTGGTACTCAGCATATCCTGTCGCAGCATAAGTTGGGTCACAGCAGAAGTGAAAATGCCGCGCGGAGAGGGTTGTAGCAGTATCAGCTCGACCACTTTCTTAGCATGATATGAATCTTGCTATTAGGGAAAGATGATACCATTGCACAGCTTGATCTTTAACGAGGTACAGACCATGTGACAGGGCTTGCTCATTCATACAAGGAACGTAGAAAACGACTCACGATCGATTGCCATGGATTGCAGTGTGCCAGTCTGATTGCTGGCTCTACTCGGCACGTTGTCTAGCCTATGGTAAGTGCGCCACGATCAAGCATTTCCGGTCTGTTCATGACCGCTTGCTTCCTGGCTTTTTGAATGATGGCTGGGATATCTGAGACGAAGGAGCTGATTTTAAAAGGTCTTGGTAGTCGACTATATCCGATTGACTCTCTTCCTTGTCCGGCCGAGACAAAAGTTCGAGGTCTGATTGCTGTGACTGATCGTAATCGGATACGGGATCAGGCAGTTGATCAACGGCTGAGCGGAGCCTCTCGAAGTGTATCGGACTATAGGAATCATAAAGGTTCCTCGTGAATATGTAACTCGCCCACCTATCCTTACCAGCATTACTCCTGATGTCAAACTGGCTAATAGAGTAACGATAGATGGAGGTTTGGTCTCCATCGATGACGGGGTAGTAACCGTAGATCCTCACAGCCACGTGGTTATGCGAGATGGAAAATGCGAGGATCTTTCGATTGAGTTCGTGTTGTCGGGATACCTTCCGGTATAGATCGACTACTTGCTTAACAGCAACACCAGAGCTATGAGCATTTTGTCGATCTGCGATGTTAAGGCCTTCGTTCCCACATTTGACTTCTACCGTAAGATACGGAAAATACATCCAGGCTGTAGCTAGGAAAAGCGTGCGTTTCCATCTTTTGATAAAAGGTTCTAGCTTCCGAAGTTGACCCTTTGTAAATATGGTTGCTTTGCACCCAGCGGAGTAATCGGGTTGAGGGGTGGGTCCTAGTACGATAGGCACACAGCCAAACCACCTCTGGTTGACGTGATCTACCATGAATTCCAAATAGTCGTCGCCGTAGGCACATAGGACTTCCACTGAGGGAACCAGGAGCGACGAAATATCTCGTATGACCTTCGCCTCGTTTTCGTTACGAAGCCTCTCGCAAGTTTTTTCGAGTCGATCATCTCGAAATAAAGAATCAGGCGGAAGAGATTGTTCGGCCTCCAGGAGAGATTTGCAGAGAGCTCGACAATCATCAGTGATCCCAGGTCCGCCCTCCAAGTAGATACCCCGTTTTGCAAGGGTCACCTCATACAACCGGCTTCTAACGGCGGGATTCTTGCCTTCTTTCCCAGATCCATCGGTCATCTCTGATTCCATTCTAGGCGAAGATGATGATGTCTTCGTCCTGAGCGATGAATTCACTGTGCTTTCTTGTTCAAAATACTCCTTGGGCCAAGGCTTGCCTTCTATCCAACGTGTAACTAGATCGGCGTTTAGACCGGCTATGTTCTCGTAGATGGTATTTTCAATGTGAGATACTGGAGAAGACGTCTGCAGTTGCTTCTGAGGAGGAGTGACAGATGAGAGAGAAGCCTCGTCTTCTTGCGATCGTTTTCGCTTTCGACTCTCAGGCTACAGAAATTTGACTTGAGTTAGCTTTCATAGCATAGCAGGAGTGGTACATGCCTCTTTGCTAGGAGAATTGTTGGTTGTGGGAAGTGGGTGCTTTGGTGCGGTATTCACTCCTTTGAATATAGTTCGTTCTTGGAGCAATTGTAGGCGTTTGCTTTTGCGTAAAGAAAGTTGCGGTGGCTCTTTTTTAATACCTTGTGGCCGCGCTTCTATCAGCGATCAGTCAAAGAACACAACTGGTGTGAGTGGCTTACTTACTCTCGTATTTTGGCACTGAGCGTTGCCGCTCAACCTTTGGGATCTTTTGACGCGGGGCCATATCGACTGGAAGAAGGAAGTGTAAAAAGTCGGGTGTTTCAAATGGTAGAAGGTGGGCGGAAGGATTACTTTGTAGAGAATGTGGTGGTGGTTAGAACGCTATGTACTGTACGAAGTACCCAGCATGAACAAAGAGTAGGTAGGTACCTAGGTACCTTAGGTAGTCTTTGTTCAGTATCGGAGCCAAAAGAAGATCCGAGCCGTGAATACGCGGGCCGTCATCAGAAGCCGAAAAATGCGCGAGAGGCAAGATGCGCTACCGGATGAGTTCTGACGTCTCACGAGACGCGTCGAAATTTGATACAGTACTCCAAAGGCCGCAACCGCATTCACAAGATTAACAGACCGTGTCCACAAAGCCCTCCACATCCGTGTAGATAGCACCGATCCCGCAGGACGGTTTCCCCACAAGTACATTCTCTTACTAGATACCAATCCAAGCTGAGATGGAGGCCCTTCAAATGGCCCAAATTCTCGCTGATCTCTCCACTCTCCAAAGCACTGTTTGTATACCCTCACCCTTGCTCTCCGTTTGCATTGCTCTCCCTTCCTCTTCCTCCTGTTCCTCCGCGTCCTCCATCTCCCTACTATCGAGCCCCCGTCCTTATGCCCCTCACTATCAGGAACCCGCTGCCGCCCAAAACCTCCTCGACGCAAACAAGAACCTCACCCCACACATCCTCCGCCGCAAGTCCCGCGCCTCAGTTTTGCCCGAGCCCCCGAAATTCGATAAGCTAGGCAGGAGAATCATTAGAGGCCCTAGTCGCAGTGGTAATGTGACGCCAATTGGGGGCAATGCGGGTGGTAGGCCGGCGCTTTTGAGCAGGATGAGTTCAGGCTTCTCAGTAGGAAGTAGCGGCACTGCAACTCCCACAACCGGAGCGTCCGAGGAGGTGAGAACAGCTTGTCCAATGCTTCTTTTCTTGGGGTCTACGTGCTGGCGGGGTTCAAAGAAAGCAAGGCTAATTAACGATGCAAAATAGAAGGACGAGGACATGGCCCGCGCTCAGAAGTTGTTGGAGCTTTATGAGATGCGCGGCAAGTTCCAAGAAATGGGTGATACAGGACTTGCACGAGCAAAGGAGAGAGTCGATAAGGTCGTTGATCAGTACGCGAAGAAGGACTTGGAGGAGCGCGAAGCGTTCGTGAGGGGCAGGAAGTCAGGCTTCTAAGCTTGATTTTTACTTCATGCGCTGATATGGTAGCGTAATGACCTATGGATCGACACCGGGCATATTGCTGGAATGTTTAATGGGCAACAATGGGCTAGGACATTATCGGGAACTGGGGGCTGGTGTGCTTGGGACATGGCGCATATCACTGGGGCATTTCTTGGCGTATAAAATGGCTATACCCTCTGGACTCATGGGCTCTCGGTTGGGACAGCGTTGTACAGTATTAATGGGCAAGGTCATGGAATTGCAAGCGGTATTTTAACCCCTTTTTTTGGATCAAGTGACCTTGACGAAACTAATGATGAATGCACATCAATTGTTCCCAATTTGATTTCATCTAACGCTCCACCGCAACCACTACAGGATCTCTTCACAACATCGGCTTAATCACCGGCTAACCTTCCTCTGCGTGTATTGAAATTTTATTTGGCGCCGCGACGGGTTTCACCGGATACCGAATTGAGACAGGGAGCCGACTCTCGAATAGCCTGAGACTACTACAGTGCTACCCAACAGCCCTGATCACAGGAGGGTCAACATCAACACCATCCGCGATGAGTATCAGTGCCAGAGAAGTTGGCCCAGAAAGCCTCCTCCCCACAATCAAGTTCAACATCGGTTTTCTCAGTACGATCTTCCGCACTTTACGCACTGCACGCTGGCTCTTGCCCGCTACTTTTTCTCTTGTCTTTGAGTTCGGAGCAGGTGTCGGTGGTGGTGGTAGAACCCCCGTCACGTCAGTTGGCATTACAGTATGTGTGGAAGGTATGGTAGATGGACTCGTTAATCCGTTAGTGCCTGGTAGGGCTACTGGAGACTTTGGGGTAGTAGGTGATCCATCAGTGCTAAACCTCTTCGCGAGCGATGCTGGAGCAGAAAGCAAACCATCACGGGTTGGCACATCCGGTGCAAACTGAACCCTTGGAGCATCAGGCACGTCCTCTAGCTGACTGGTGCAGTTGCTCCAGGCCGGCCCAGTTCCAGCGACCAGGGAAACAGGTGCAGAGCCATTTGAAGTACGCTCATCTGTGCAACAATCGGCCACTGCACCATGCCCCATAACCATGCCATTGATCTCAGGTTCAATATGTAAATTTTCAATGTTTCTATCCCCAGGATACACTCCTGGATTCCGTGGAGAAGCCACAACCAGAATGGAGTCTTCAATTATGGGTGATAAATGGCACGGGCTTGTAGAATATGTGCCATACCAGGGGCTGTATGGGCTCGACCGGGGCCTTGAGGCCATGGATATCTGAACTCCACCGCTTTCTAAGTTATATTTTAGAATGAAGAACTTAATGCGGGAAAGATTTGATATGCTTACTCTCAATGTCCTGGCTACTACCGGCATTGTATGATAGCATATCCCCCAGAGCCGGTTCTTTACTACCAATTGAGAGCCCGGTGTTGATTGTACCAAAAGAGGGACCGCCGTATTGAAGTACTCACGGTGGCCGTTTACCAGTTGAGACATTGCCAGGGCCGTGGGAGCGAAAGGAGATTTTCAAAGCTGACTACCACTGAGTCCCCTAGGCTTACTTTTGAGTGACGGCCAAAGAAAATAATTGCAGAGTCAACCCGTTTTCATCACCAAACCTGCCCCTCTTGGGTTCTAGCAAGCCCTTCCACGTCTGTAGCACGCTCCCCGCCCGAGAAACGAGTGCCGAGCACTAAATTCGATATCGTTTCGTCGTCATTTCTTGCGAGGAATCGCGGAGTTTCTGCGAAACCGGGTGATAGTTACAGCATAGGTAGGTAGCCTAGCTTTAGTGACGGAACTCGAGAGAATGCGGAGGCACAGCGTAAAATTCTGGTGCGGACAGTTGTTCTTTATGCAGCAATCCTCGGCTGGTAAAGTTTTCCTTCCGATTCGAATTGAGAAAAGAGGCATTATACATGTGTATGGAAGTGGTTGGCTGAAGGTTCAATTTCTCGGTAGAGAAGTTCTTCAAGTTGATGGCAAGCAAGGCCGCTTGATGAGTGATTTTTAAACAATGCATAGTTTAGAGAACGACTTAGTAGAAACTGAGGGATTTAGATATTAACTAAGCGGAGACGAAATAGAAAGAAAAGCACTAAATACGCACTTGCTATACTCCTTGGATCGAGGCTGCCAGAGATTTGTATAGCTCTTGCCATTTAAACTACGATGGCCCAGAGCTATGTCAGCCAATCAACACCTTTTACAATTCCCGAGGAGCAGAAAATTCAGCTTTAGGTTATTATAGATTCGACAGCAGGATGACACGATACTCGATGCTCACTTTCTAACCCACTTTCTAACCCCCTGTGAAGCGAATCATTAAACAAAGGAGGCGTTCTGTCGAGTCAGCACAAGGGTTTGCAGTCTCGCTTGCTGATTCAGCATCGTGACGAAATGTTTTGGCTGGGGTTCGCGAGTCCTGTACATGAATTTAAACCCGATCTACAACTTCATACTGCCAACTACCACGGTACCGCCCCGAAGGTGCGCAACGCCAGTAACAATGGCGACCTCCGTGGACGCGAAGCTGTTGAAATCGACGAAGTTCCCTCCTGAATTCAGCCAGAAGGTTGACATGCAGAAGGTGAACGCGGAGGTTATGAAGAAGTAAGCAGAGCTCTATTTCTGGAGACCAAAGGGAGAGACTGACCACCGTTGCGCTTATAGATGGATTGCCGGCAAGATATCAGAGATCCTTGGCAGCGAAGACGACGTCGTTATTGAGCTGTGCTTTAATCTCATCGATACCCGCTTTGTATGTTGTTTTCCACATCGTTTGATGCCGCTCCAAGCTGACATGTAGCTTAGCCCGACATCAAGAAGATGCAGATCCAGCTCACAGGTTTTCTCGAGAAAGACACTGCGAGCTTCTGCAAGGACCTTTGGAAGCTGTGTCTGAGTGCCCAGACCAATCCGCAAGGAGTCCCTAAGGAGTTGCTCGAGGCGAAGAAACTAGAGCTTATTCAAGAAAAGGTAGTCTTATATCTATCTATCTATTAAAAGAACAGTCTCCTGACATTTACATAGATTGAAGCAGAAAAAGCTGCCGAAGAAGCCCGTCGCCGCCGAGAAGAAGAGCAAACCCGAGAACGGGAGGTCAATGCAATCCGGAATCGCGAGCGCGGTGAACGCGGCCGGGGTGGTGGAAGGGGAGATAGCTGGCGCGGCGGTCGAGGTGGTAGAGGAGATGATAGAAACAGGGCTTTCGACCGCCGGGGACCACGTTACTCTGTATCACCTCCAAGACGCAGACATGACTCTAGAGATCGTGCATTCCGAAGATCCCCACTTAGAGAGGCCGATACCTATGTTCCTCGTGGACGTGGACCGAGACGAGATGACAGGAGAGATGATAGACGAAGATTGTCGGTGTCCAGATCGCCATCACCCAGACGTTCGGTATCCGTGTCTCGGTCTCGCTCTCCACCACGACGCCGTTACCGCTCATCCTCAAGATCCCAATCACCTCCTCGCAGGCGCAGGTCTAGGTCTAGATCCCCCGATAGACAAAATTATAGAGGGCGCGGCGGAAGAGGAAGAGGAAGGAGCCCTGACCGTGGACATCGCCGTAGAAGATCACTCACTCCTGAAGATGCTTCTCTCTCACGCTCCCCGCGGCCACGAAAGAGACGACGCTCCGTGTCCGAGTCGAGCAGTCGGTCGCCCCCACCTAGAAGATCCCGTCATCGGCGGAATACCAGCTCTGTATCAAAGTACAGATCACGATCCAGGTCCAGATCCAGGTCCATTTCTAGGGATAGATTGAGGTCCAAATCAATGTCAAGATCAAGGTCTAGATCTAGGTCTATCACTCCATCGAGATCAATTTCCGCCTCACGATCCCCCAGCCGCACTCCTGTTCGTAGAGTTTCCCGCAGTGTTTCTCCCGATAGGATTCGGGCGAGGGCATCGCGAACACCTGATGATGTCCAGACACGTGCTCGTGGAGGTCGTGAACGTGATGAACGACGGCTAACTCGAAGCTACAGCCGAAGCGTCACGCCCCCCAGACGTCGCCGCCGTAGTTCAACTAGGAGTGCGAGCGGGGACCAACGAGATCGGAAACGTCGTCGGTCCTTGGAGAGATATGAACCCTCTAGCAAGAGGCGACGGAATACTTCTTCGGTCGCGTCACCAGCTGATACAAGAAAGCGGAGAGCTGATACTGAAGGTACAAGCGACAGGGACTCCCCACCACGAGACGTTCGAGAAGCCAAGCATGATGGACCTACTGCGCCCGACGAGGTTGGTAGCGTTCACAACACTTGAGGCAAACCCCTTTCAAGATGGCACGTGTGGCATGAGTTCATCGCAGGTCATGGTTTCAATGAAGCTGACATATCCGACGGAATACCCAGATGAAAGATCCGCAGCGACAAGCCAACGAACTTAGGGAGATGTTGCACAGAGGAAAGATCAAGAAGATGAGGACTTCGAGTATTGATTCCACGAGCGCTCAAGCTAACGCGTATTGAAGACATCGACATCGCGATCCCACTTCTTCCACCAGTCTGGAAATTGCCTGACGACTTAGAAATGGCAGGTCATATTATAGCATAGCATAGAATAGATAACTTCCTCTAAGCTTTTCTCATGCAATTGCAACTTCCCTCCAGATAAACCTTTTGCCATTTAGCGGGACACTCCCAAGGACTGCCTGTGGGAGGTCCACCTTCGAATATAAACCCAGGATTGAAGACATGAAATGCTGACCTCAGAATAATTTATTCGGGGTAGGAAGGGTTCGGATACAATTAACTCAGCGTTGTACTACAACGCCGCACTTTTGATGTTCCTTCATAGAAATATAAGGTAAAGGAAACTGAAGTTGCCCCTTCTCCAGATCGACTCTCCATCACAAACATTCACGATATCGCTTACGATAACGGCTGGTCCGTGCGTACACTTCAACTCGTCGCGTCTCCCCAACTTTCTCTCTCTCTACTCCTGTCGGCTCTCTATTTGCCCTCCAATTTATACCCGTCCGGTCATATTATCCCTCCTGACGATGGCCGAGAACACAGCTCCATCCACTGGACCGCCAGCGTCCGGTGGTGATGTGCCCGGCCAACCCTTCTATGAACGAACACGGCAGCATCTCAAAGAACTACTAAACAAGAAACGTCTACTCGAGCGAACTCTCCAGGTGACAGAAGATACCATATACAAGAACGAAACGGAATACCTTGAGGAGACACCGGCTGGGAATATTATTCTGGGATTTGAGAGCTATACGAAGGGAGTCGGAAACGCTGCGCCTGGGGGCGGGAGGAGGAGGGCACAAGTTGTGGATGCCAATCGGGTGTTCAGTAAGAGTAGTTTGACCTATGGGCTGAATAACAACGTGGTACGTTCCATTACATATCTGGTTTTACTCTATCAATTTGAGAGGATCAATGGTTCGAGGAGTTGGAGATAAGAGCTCTAGCATATGACAATATAGATCGATGCTTACATCTGGGGGCAATAGGACTCGCCCAGCAACACGGCACAATCTACACCAATGGCGGCTACGGCTCCCACACCACTTTCTACAAGTTTTGCCAGAGGCGATGGAGGCTCGAATCATCCTACACCTACGAGTGCGACCTCCGCATCGAAATCCGTGGCAGGGAAGAAGAACAAGAAGAATGGAGATGATAGTGATGGGGAGACGAGGGATGTGAAGAAAATCAAGACAAATTTCGGCGCCGTGCGGAAATAGAAATGGACTGAGTATGTGCATGGAGTAGCTATTTAATAATTGGGCTGGGAACTTGGCTTGGGCTGGCGCAAATCCATGGCGTTGGGGTTGGTTTAGCTGGTATTTGGGAACTTACATTTAGTTTATTTATGTCCATAGCAGGTGCATGATCATTAAGGGATGGCCTCGAAACAAGGGCGATTTATAGATACAGCGTTGATATTTTTGCATCTAATATGATTCTTGGAGATCTGGGCGAACTATTTTGATCTATATGGGAATAAAGCGCTATTTCCCTAGAACTCATGGCACCTCTTCGTCACTATCACCTCCAAACCCAAAGCTAAATCCTGCACCCGCAGCCTCCCCCTCGTTGCCAATTGCCAAATCCCATGTTCTCTTCTTCCCATCAGCCCTTCTTTTTAGCTCATCGACTGCTTGTTCAAGTAGTTCGGGATGCTGATTGCGCATGCGGTCAACGAATAGTCCATAAGGATCAGTAACTCCCTTCACGAATCCGGAAACCTGGTCAGGCTTATCTCTCAGGAACGACAATACATCTGATAGATGGCTCCGAGGCACGAAATTTTGAGTGATGGCAATGCTGGGTTCGAGATTGACAACCAGATGCCACCATCCGCTGGGGACGTGAAGGACTTCCCCTTCGCCACAGACTCCTTCGACGCAGCCGGGTGTCCTCCTAGCTTCTGCATGGAAACCCAAAAGCCACTCTGCGATGCTAAGAGGGCTCGTCACTTCGCTTTGATCCTCTGACACATAGACGCCAGGAGGTGGAGGACTTGACGCCTTGGACGGGAACATAATCCAGTATTTTGAACCTCGTAGAACTGCATTCCAGGCACTTGTAGCGTTTGGATCTTTGTGGTAGGTTGATCCGCTTCGAGCGGGACCAACGATGAGCCATTTATCGTCCGGTCGTTGGTCTCCCAAAACGGCGAACAGGTCGTCTCCAAAGCATTCAGGGATCCAATATGATGGGGATTCTTCATTTTGGCCAACCTTGAGATTCATCTTCTCTACGAAGCTTCTGTCGAATAGGTAGAGGGGACTTTCATCACTGCTGTTACGCATGTAATGTGCATATGTATTGAATGTCCAATCGACTGCTTCTGCTCTGAATTTCACGTCCCCATATTGTTCGATCAGAGACTCAGTATCCCAAGACCTGAATACTGGCCATTTCCGGACTTGTTCTGTGAGGATGAATGGTTTGTCGCTCCACTTCTCCGAGAATTCTATAGGGGAAAGGTCTTTAAGACGTGCTATGGCATTCTCCCTAGGTACGTTCGAACAATAAGGTGCAAGTGATGTGTGGGTGCACAAAAAGGGCCGAAATAGAACATCAGAGAATACGTTGTCACAGCGGATGTGCGAGACATGTTCACTACTTAGGCCAAGAAATGTAGAGCGCCATGTGCCACGCCATACAAATGAGCCGGACTTTGACTGATTGGACCTTGCACGAAGGGTCAGCATAGTTATAACCAATGAGACATTGCCGCCCGATGTTATGGATTAACAAAGTGCTGTGCGATAGGCTTATGTAACCACCTGTTCTTGTCTGGTAGGAAGTTGCTCAAATGGGTTCCTAGTGGACATCCCATGTGATTTCACTGATTCCAGGTCTTCCAAATGGTTCATATGCCTCTAACCGAACATAAGAAAGTTCACCTACTCAATAAACAACGCCTTCCAGATATCATCAGACCGACAAAAGGCATATAAAAATTTGCATGTAGATCCAAGCAAGCGCAACTGCTGGGCATCAAGGTATTCCAGGAAAATTGCTGATATTTCATCGGGGAATAGCTGGAAAGGGCCCGTCACACTTTTGGCATTGCTTGCTGCGGTGTATTGGTTGCCAGACGGTTTAATGCCCAACGGATGGCAAGGAACTGAAAATGACAGTCCTGGGGAGTCATCCAAGGAGTCAGCCAGGCAGTCACTTCCGCCACTAGGCACAACTACCGGGGCAGGATCTGTCGTATAACCGGGGCCGGTTGGGATAATGACTGAAGAACCCATTTTCTTTTCGGCCCTGAGCTGAGATATTTGAAGACAATAAAACGATGCTTCGTGACTGCAGCTGTGACTGCAGCTGTGACTGACGTTTTCAGAAGGATCTTCAGGTTCCGGCTATGAGCACTTTGCTCTTTACAAGCAAGCGGCAAGACAAGGCAAGGCGCAGGCTTAACTGCGAGCCAAGCACTTCCAAGAGGTACCGTGAGCCCAGAAATTGCAATAGCCTATGCCCAAGCCAGTTAGAAACAGCAGCCTGGGAGAGGGGAGGAAAAGCGTACTGCACTAAACAAAGTAAAAGTCGAGGAATTTTCTCGAAGTTGATACTACTACGCACCTCGTACCCACTGATGTGCCCTGGCGGTGCCACTGGTGCTCGCTGGTGGCTCGCTTAAGTAATCCGGTGGCCACACTGCACCACTATCACCGCGAAGTTAGATCATCTGGGACGACGCTAAAAAGATTTTGAAAGTTATATCCCTTTGCCTCATCGCTTCTCTTCACAATCAAACAACTCCAAACACACACCAATACTACATTGCACATCTACACTAGAACCAGCACAACTCTCGACATCGGGAGTTTGGTATCTAGTTTTCAACAGCACAAATCGTATCAGCCGTCGCCGCAGACTCTTCACGAGAATTCTGCGCACCGCCTCAACCCCACCTTCACCCTCTACTCTCCCGATATCTAGATCTCAGGCACGCGCTTGGATCTAGACTTTTAATCACCTCAAACCGCAATCATGGCTTCCACTGATAAGGGTCTCGAAGAGATCCCAGAAGGTGAGTAAATCGGGCTCCTCCAGGGGCTCACCGCTACGTTTTGCGACGATTGATGGAAGCTAATACAATATCATCCGTTAGGTCAAATCGAGTCCAACTATGACGAGACCGTCGATTCTTTCGACACCATGAACTTGAAGCCAGAGCTTCTCCGAGGTATGATGAATTTTCTGAAGTTTGCGCCTTGCGCCGCGGCTAACAACAGCATGCAGGTGTTTACGCCTATGGTTTCGAGCGTCCATCCGCCATTCAGGCTCGTGCTATTATGCCAGTCATCAAGGGTCAGTTATCATTGCACTGAGCGTCAATGACTTCAGCTAATTATTTTAAAGGCCATGATGTTATTGCTCAAGCCCAGTCCGGTACCGGAAAAACCGCCACTTTCTCCATTTCCGTTCTCCAGAAGCTCGACCCCAACATCAAGCAATGCCAGGCATTAATCCTCGCACCCACCCGTGAATTGGCTCAGCAAATTCAGAAGGTCGTTGTTGCTATTGGCGACTTCATGAACATCGAGTGCCACGCATGCATTGGTGGCACGAGCGTTCGTGATGACATGAAGGCTCTTCAGGACGGTCCTCAAATCGTTGTCGGTACCCCTGGCCGTGTCCAGGACATGATCCAGCGCCGCTTCTTGAAGACCGACTCCATGAAGATGTTCGTTCTCGATGAGGCTGATGAAATGCTTTCCGTAAGTGCTTGGGATTACCTGTTTATTATATCTAAAAATCCACTAACAATTCATACAGCGCGGTTTCACTGAGCAAATCTACGATATCTTCCAACTTCTACCCCAGTCCACCCAGGTTGTCCTTCTCTCTGCTACCATGCCCCAGGATGTGCTTGAGGTCACTACCAAATTCATGCGCGATCCCGTCCGTATCTTGGTCAAGAAGGCTGAGCTTACTCTCGAAGGTATCAAGCAATTCTACATCGCCGTCGAGAAGGAGGACTGGAAGTTGGATACTCTTTCCGATCTTTACGAGACGGTCACGATTACCCAAGCTGTCATCTTCTGCAATACTCGCCGAAAGGTTGACTGGCTCACTGATAAGCTCACCGCTCGTGACTTCACTGTCTCAGCCATGCACGGTGATATGGACCAGGGCCAGCGTGATCTGATTATGAAGGAGTTCCGATCCGGCTCTTCTCGTGTTCTGATCGCCACCGATCTGTTGGCTCGTGGTATCGATGTCCAGCAAGTCTCATTGGTCATCAACTACGATCTCCCCGCCAACCGTGAGAACTACATCCATCGCATCGGTCGTGGTGGTCGTTTTGGACGGAAGGGTGTTGCTATCAACTTCGTTACTGCCGAGGATGTCCGTATGATGAGAGAGATTGAGCAGTTCTACAGCACTCAAATCGAGGAGATGCCAATGAACGTTGCCGATCTCATCTAAACACCGTCTCCCTGAAGACATTTGGTATATCACAGTTTCGGCATATTGGGTGTACACTAAAAGCATCGTTTGCCGGAACCCCTGAAAGGGGAAGTGATAGTGAGCGCTACTGATTCGTTCGGGGCGTGAGGAAAGGAATAATGGGTGGCCAAAAGTTGCTGCACCTGGGTTTGCAGTTCGTGGTTCCGTGCAAAAATTAAGGCACGGCCAACATTAGATGGTTGGGTGATGCCTTTTGTTATCTCGTTTGTCTCTGTATTTAGGGATTGATTATTGGTCATTGAGCTCTCGCTCTTGCAAGTTCCTGATCTTTCGTCACGACTGTATGAAGGAAGAGAAAATGATGATTGGCGTTATCCTTTTCCGCATGCATCGAATCGAGATAAATACAGAAATTTCAAAACAAAGGGCCACTGCTCGCACTGCCAAACCGGGCAGGTACATCCTTAAGTTGTGATATCCATGCGACTGCCTTGAAGCCAAGCGAGCCCTGAACTACCCCTTAAGATACTCCCGTAGGTTAGTAGGTTTCTCCGCCTCTCAATTCCAACTCCAGTCTGTAGAGCCCGACGGATTGAAAGTCATCTTCGTCTACCCATCCTCAGGTCGTACCACTACCACAGGAGGCGGCATTCCCAATGGCTTCCTCCAAGCTTCCTCTCCAAGAATACTCGACCTTGAGCGCGGCGGCGGCGAACGGTGTCGACCAGTTGTGGAAGGTTCAGCTTCGAAAAGAGCACAGGGCTATTCAAGAGAAGCTGGATGCGCTCCAGACGACTAGAGAAGAGATCAAGGATCAGCAAGAAAACTTCACGCGGCTGAGATCCGAATTCGAGACCGAGCTTCACGGCCTCAAGCAAGAGATACAAAAACGAGATGATGCTCGAGAGGAGGAACTTGCTGCATTGAGGGTCCAGATAGATGAATTGCAACGAATGATCATCCCGGAAGGTGAGTATATACGCAACCTAAGGCGACACTTGAATTAACCATAATAGATAAAATCAAGGCCTTATTAGCACAGCAGGAACGAAAGAGATTCGAGAAGCGTTTGAGTCATTCAGGAGACCCATCTTCCGATGACTCTGGTGTCACAATCACAGATAGTTTCAACAATACTGTTACTTTACCTCAAACTAAAGAAACAAACCAAGTATTACCTTCGAAAGAATCACAAAACATCCAGATGCCAGCTTCAACAAAGCGACCATCAAATAAGGTTACGAAGCGCCCAGTCACACGCAGCGTCAAAAAGAAGCCCGTTAAGCCAGCTGCTAAACCTGCAGCACAACCTACATCAATGGCGGATGCTGTCAAGTTCCAACAACTTTCCCAAGGCGCAAATAACATAGGCCTATACTACGCTAATACAGACAAGTTACATACATCGCTCTCAATCGCTAATGATAGGCTTGATATTGATTATGTCAACGCGTTTATCCAGGGCCTTGCCTCTGAGGCAGATAAGGGTATTTTGATCAGCGAATTGCAGCAACTCCATCGGTCCAGGTCCACAGCTGACGGAAAGATTGAAATCTTGTGCCAATGGAATGACGTTGAGGATGCATTGCGAGCCTCCTCCTTGCTACCCGTGAAGGATCCTGGGAAGACGAATACGGTGCAAAAGAGAAAGCGGGGCTAAGAAGAAGTGCAAAGTTACTGGGAACTCAAGCGCCTTCCTAGCCCACTGAAGAGAGCTATTAGCAAACTTAACGAGGGTGGAAGTTCTCAGCATGAGGCCTTACGAGGAGATAAGTCAAGTGGTGTCGCTGGCAATATTATTTGCTATCTTGTGGCTAGGCTATCATTAACGTACTCGTTCTATATTTTATACATCTTTGCATATATTAGCAAGGCTTGGAGAGACAGCTAGCTCTTATTCCCTATGTCGCTATACCTAGGAGGCATGTATATAGCTATGCAGTCCACCAGCAACACCTATCCATAAAATGATGGCAATCAACCAGAACTTCCCAAACCTATCTTTGCCAACAGTAGGCTGTACATCAAAGATGAAATTGATATACAGAAGCCTAGAGAACCGAGTTCAGCTGCTCATCAAAAAAATGTTTTGAGGTACTATTGGACTAAGGACCCGAGCTAAGTAGGCATTATCCTTCTTGCTGCTTTCAAGAAATACTATTACACCCAGCTTCAAAGGGTTGATGTTATCGAGGTTTGCTCCCGCAGTTGAATGATAACGAACGAGTGTTTATTCCTAGTATATCACAGGTATGTGATTAGAACAGATTGCACGTCGAATTAAGTGAAAGCAGAACCCAGTGGTGTGTAAACCAACCCGGTATTGCAGAGCAAGGACTTCAGAGCGATATCAGAGAAAACCGAAACAATAGAAAACTCTTCAATCGAAACTTCGTTAAGCGGCTAGTCTTGCTGATGTGAATAATCATTATTTCCCCGAACACCAGGTGTAGCAGTATGCATGGTTCTGCAAATCGTCAACCCCAACTGTGGCAACGGAGGGTCTACCTCTAGCCAAATCCGATACCAGAACGCCCTAGATTATAAACTCTTACATGAAAACGGCCACCTAAATCTATTAGGCACCATCCTCCGGTAACTCAGCAATAACGCCCTCAACGATCTTAGTCAATTCGTCCACATCCGGCCGCTCTGCGGGCTCCACTTGTAAACACTTCCTGACCACTTCTCTAATGCCTTCGTTAATTTCACTGTCCTCACTCTGCCCTGTCTGGTTTGTAGCCTTCTTCTTCCCTCCTGCACCCTCGTCTGGGAACCTCCAGTCACCGCCAAGAACACAAAGACTTAAGCTTCCTCCGGTCTCATCACTACGCATTTCAAAGGGCGACTTTCCAACTAAACATGCATATAGTGTGCAGCCTAATGACCATATATCAACCTTCGTATCGACGACACTGCCGGTCTTGACATCGAATAGCTCGGGAGCACGATACGGCATGGTCGAGTGTTCTGCGGCTTGGTCTTGTACTGCCAGCGCCTGAGATCTCGAGGTAATTGGAGTTGGTGATGGGGCTAGAGAGCCTAGGTCCATAAGAATCGGTTGTTCTCCGTCATCATCAATCATGATATTGCCTGCCAATGTTAGCCTACCTATGTTGAAACATGCTGGTGGAAACCGGCTTACCTGGCTTAATATCTCTATGCGCATATGCGCGAATCTCGCCCGGCGCAACTCCCTCTTGTGCCATCGAAACATCAGCCGGCATCAAAGGCTCTTGCTGTTCGCTATCCGGGTCTGTCTCTCTGCCTGCTTGTCTTCCCCTCTGTTCCTCCACCTCCTCTGCTGCTTCTTGATCAGCCGCCGCAGCCTGCCCTCTAACACGTTTCGCACGCTGTTGGCTATCAACACCTCCGGGAGCTCCTCCGACTTTGTAGTTGTGCATGGCCTTCAAAGCTTTACAGACGCCCAAGAACAGCACCATCAGCCTCCGCTCCGGGAACCGCGTACCATTGACTAGATTCGCATTGATGATATCTTGTAGATTCCCTCTTCGGTAGTATGGTAGGAGAATGTATACGGTCTTCGCTCCGGGGTCCGATCGGTCGGCAGATACGCAGTAGTCTACGCTGTGTATGATGTTGGGATGTGGTGTGAATAGCGCATACGCTTCGACTTCTTTCATGGCCTGCGCAACCGACTCCTGGCCGAACGGACATCGAATCTTCTTGAGGGCGTAGAGTGCTTCATTGCTGGTGTCTTGTACTAAGTATACGTATGAGAACCCGCCCTGTAAGTGCAATGTTAACAGCTATTTACATTTCCAGGGAAAGTTCCGCGCACCTCTCCTAGCAATCGCAGGATTTTGAAGCTTCGGTTGTTGATCTTTAGCTGCGGAGAGCCAGGGAAGCAGCTCATGCAATTAGTGAGCGTGTACACGAGATCGACGAAGTATTGAGTCATGGTGGATGTGGTTGTAGAGATGTGTCTTTCTTTACTGCCAGAACAGAGCGTCCTAAACTGCGGTACGCGGCACGCCAAGTAGCAAAGCAAGGTCCAGTGAGGCCGATGGCAATTGCAACTAACGTCCAAAAAAAGAGGTAAATATCTCGTTTCTCGATGGGCAAGATGTCATAGACCGTAAGCTATTATTTAACAGTTTTTCTTAACTTTGTTTTGATAATGGCAGCAATTGTCCGATCTGACTTGACCTGTGTTTTGTTTGGTCAACTGTGGCTGTTCCTCCGACTGCGCCTCAGCTGAGCTCCAAAATGTCGTGTAATGTACAAGTACGAAGTGCAATTGGAGTTCTACGCACGTCTGTATTCGCTATACTTGGTGGTAAACTATTAACAGCGAGCAGATTGAGCAGCTTGAACACAATATCTTCTTCTTTATCCATATATACCATCCTACCAGGAACCTCATGTAGGTACAATTTACGCATTCAGCGTCTTTGCCACATGCCTGTAGCCGTTGACAAGCGTGATTGCAGGGGTTAGCTGGCTCAATCCCGATATAAATACGCGGGGTGATTCCCATGGCATGGAACCTGGAGCCTGGAGGACTTACGAAACACTTGTTGATCTTCCTCGAGAGCTTTCCCTGATTCCTTGAAAAGCCTCAATCTCAGCACTGCTAGGAGACCATCGAATATATTTGCCCCCCAACCTTCTCTAGCAAAAGCAAACATGACAGTCGGTGCAAAGAAGTTTACTCCAGAGGTGTTGCTCTCTGCCCCGCGTCGCTCTGCGGCAACGCCTAATGCAGCTGGGACTTTGGCCTTGTTCTCCGTATCAACATACTCTTTTCACTCACATTCGAAAACCAGCGAAATTCGAGTACTGGACATCAAGACGGGCCAGTCAGAGCTGTTAACCAATGATTTAGCGGCGAGTGAACCAACATGGCTTGGAGATCACAACCTAGTGTTGTGGCTGAAAGGGGGAGAGAAAGGCACAACAGAACTCGTCGTGGCCGATGCTGAGCACTTAGACAATAAGTAGGTAACAAATCTTCATTGGAGGAATAAGCATTAAGTGTAGCAGGCCGGAAGTATTTATGACCGTTAACGGCCCGGTCTCCAATATGAAAGTCGCGCGAATTGACGCCGATAACATAGCCCTCGCAGTGACCGGGCTGGCTACCCCGTCTGGGGACTTATACAACCCAAAAACAGCAGAGAAGCCTATATCAACCGCCAAGATCTATTCGAAGTTATTCGTGAGGCAGTGGGACAGCTATGTGACGGAGAACAAAAGCTCAATCTTCTACACAGTTTTATCGAGGTTGCAGGGTGTGTCTAAAATGACCGTGGCACCACTGAAGAATGCATTGGCAGATCTCTCAGTACCCCTCGAAACCCCAGTCCCTCCATTTGGAGGTGCAGGAGATTTTGATATCAGCAAGAATGGCATTGTTTTTGTCGCCAAAGATCCAACCCTGGACCCTGCGAATTATACCAAGACCGACCTATATTATATCCCTCTCAGGACGTTTACCGAACGTCAAGCACCTACGCCTCAAATCGTGAAGACTGGGAACCTGAGAGGTTACAGTAGTTCGCCGGTATTCTCCCCGGACGCTAAATCGGTGGCCTTTGCGAGGATGAAGAGTGACCAGTATGAGAGTGACAAACCAAGACTCCTCCTTGTCCCTGATATCACGGACCTCTCAAATGTTCAAGAGTTCTATGAAACAGAAGACGGTGAAGGCAAGTGGGATTTGAGACCGGAATCCATCATATGGAGTCGAAATGGCGAGGAGCTTTATGTGACAGCGGAAGAAAATGGACGTGGGAAGCTATTCAAGCTACCTGCATCCCCTCGCCACGCAACACATTTACCCACGGCTATCATCGAAAATGGGACCGTTACTGACGTTAAAGCTTTACCCAACAATCGTATTTTTATCAGCAGCACGTCGTTAGTTGATAACAGCATATACTCCATTTACATTCCGGACGATCCTTCAGGACGATTAACAGTGTCGTCAAACGCGAAGGGTGGGAAGACTTTTGGCTTATCCCAAGACCAAGTTCACGAATTTTGGTATCAAGGTGCAGGGGACTACAGCGTGCATGCTTGGGTTGTCAAGCCGTCGTTCTTTAAAAAGGGTCAGAAGTATCCCTTAGCATATCTTATACATGGAGGAGTGAGTCCATGAACCCAGATCCAATCTGTTTGGATTTGCTAATAAGAAATAGCCACAAGGAGCTTGGAATGAAGGCTGGTCGACTCGCTGGAACCCTGCCGTGTTCGCAGAGCAGGGCTATGTCGTGGTAGCGCCTAATCCAACAGGGAGCACAGGATATGGAATGGCGCTCCAGAACGGAATCAAGAATGAATGGGGCGGCAGGCCGTACGAAGATCTTGTTAAGGGATTCGAGTACATCGAGAAAAACATGGACTACGTCGATACCACCCGATCCGTCGCCCTTGGTGCAAGCTACGGCGGTTTCATGGTCAATTGGATCCAAGGTCATCCGTTAGGACGCAAATTCAAGGCATTAGTAACCCACGATGGCGTCTTTAGTACCCTCAATCAGTACTCCTCCGAGGAATTATTCTTCCCGCACCACGACTTCGGGGGGACCTTATGGGAGAACCGCGAGAACTACGAGAAGTGGGACCCAGCCCGACATTTGGAGAATTGGGCAACACCTCATTTGATTATTCACAATGAGTTGGATTACCGGCTCCCGATCGCCGAGGGCTTAGCACCATTTAACGTGTTGCAAACAAAGGGAATTCCGAGTAAATTTCTGACATTCCCTGATGAAAATCATGTAAGTGGTTCTGATCGATGCTAAATTATTTACTGCTAATGTATGTGCAGTGGGTGTTGAAACCTGAAAACTCACTTGTCTGGCACAAAGTGGTATTGGATTGGATCAATAAGTATAGCGGGGTTACATCGGACTAGCAGGAATGGTAGCAGTTTTAGGGATGAGACTCCAGAAGGTCAAGTTTTGGAAGTCTCTCGTTATCTAATTGTGGTAGAAATATCGAGCCTGCCTTTTCCCCGTCACCTACTTGCTCAGAAAGCATTTGCTCCCAGTGGATCGATGGTAAGTGTGCCCGCCGTTTTATTGATCTATCATCACGTCCCTGGAGCTCATTGTACCCTTATACAACTTAAAACAACATTGAGCTTGTGTTATCAATGTCATTGCCCGGTATCTGTTTACATCGCAAAGCCATACCCATGGGACCAGCACATTCTTCTCATCATCTACCGTCCTATATTTAGCGATACGAGTACTAATCTAAGTAGGAGGGGCTTAGTATAGAACTAGCTAATAATTAAGCAAGATCCTATTAGTTCTAGACGGTAACTTTAAGCAAAACAGGAGAAGTATAAAAAGGCAAGGAATATGTTAAAGGCGGTGCTTGAGCCGGTTATTTCACTGCAGAACGAAGTTATCTGCTTGGTGAATGCTTTGCAAAAACGCGGGACCTGTGGAGCTCTCTCGTATCCTCAAGCGAGCAGGAAGAGACCTTATTTTTATCCTACTAGTTGCTAATGCTGTCTTGCGGTTGTTCGTTGACAATGACGAGTCAATACTTAGTGGAAATTTGGGTGGATGTTATGGATTGACACACTGGTGTAACTTGACAGACCTCGGAAATCCGAAAACCCTTGACACTTGACAAGGAGACTACTAATGAAAGTCCCAGGGGCCTGGAGAGCCCACTACTAACATTCCCAAACCCACTATCATTAAAGAGCCGTGTAACGTTTAAGGTGCATATGATTATCGAAATGCGCCAACCCTCTTCCACCAGGTGCCAGGATTTACCATTACATGCCTGCCTACTAATGATTTTGTCGCATTGTAGATGTGGTAGAGCTTTAGTAGAAAGGTTCATTCCCTATTTTTGTTTGCCTATTATCATTCCCTTTTTGTTTTTACTTGTGGCTATTTACTAGTAGTCACTCCAACCACAGCCCCTCCCTTTGCTACATTAAGCTTATAATCAAACTGGATGTGGTGGGGACCCTGTAACTGTCACTGACCGCCTGGACTGGTCTATGATATTCATGAAAATACGAACTATCTTAAATCGACATTTGGTCTGTACTAACAACCTGCTTCCCGAGGGCCAAACCTCCCTTACATGGTGGGTTCCGACTTATAAGAAATAGCTGCTACAGAGGTCAAAAGACAAGAAGATGGTGGTATTTGGAATTGTAAAACATCTTGTAATTGCGATCGATACCTTTCTATCAGTTCGCTTACACCTATCCAGATATTATACTTAACGGATGATACTGTCGCACATTTACTTCCTCCCCTTCTTCCTCCACTCCTTTTCCCTCTCATAAGCCTTTTGTTCCTTCCCCTCCTCACCCTGAATCTCCGCCACTAGCCTCTTATACTTCTTCTCATATGCCTCATCTCGTTCTCTCTTCTCTCTTAGACTCTCTCTCGCCACCACCGCAGCATCCTTCCTCAACTCTCTGATGGCACCCTTCTTCTCTCTCTTGTATTCCTTTCTGAGTTTGGCAGCGTCAACACGCTCACGGTCAACGTCGTAATGCTTGTCTGGGTTGAATGATTCTTCAAACTTGGGGATTGCGGTCTTGATGGCAAGTGGGCGGTGGTGGTGGAGTTCTAGAGGACGGCGCGCGACTTGGGCGCTTTTGAGGAGGAGGGTGAATTTTTGGGTGAGTTTTGTGACACGTTTCTGGGCGGCTGTTAGTATATAGTTTGGGATAGGGAAGGGCGAGTATAAGACATACCTGGGTATTGGAAGAGAGCCTGGACTGGCAACTCTTGGTCCCTAGATGTTGGAGGATCTTTAAGACAGGTTCAAAGATTTCTAGGAATGAAGATTTGCCAGTCCATGTATCGGCAGCGACTTCGGCGAGGCTCAAGTTTGTGTCTAGCAATGCTGCTTTTAGAGACGCTTCATCCTCCTCTGATAGTTCTTGAGCGACGCCGTCGTATAGAGAAAGCTGTCTTGGAGATCCAGTTGAGTTTTGTATCCGAACGGGAGTCTTCGGCTCATGATATGGGAAGCTTCCAGGCGGCTTGGAGAGCTTTGTGGGGGCTAATGCGCAGAGAGCATTCTCGATGAAAGTCACTACCTCCGGTACGTAGCGTTTTGATAGTCTTTGGTACTGTAAGCACAACGTGCACATGTACGCCCCGGTTGCGTAGTCTGATAGTGACCGAGGCACCTTTAACCCAAGATATCGGCCCATGCTCAGAATGGCTGGAGTAACCACCTGATGGAAGTGATCCGATGTTGGGAAGATACTCCCAATCGCTGTGAGTATCACCAAATCTCCTGCGGTTGGGGACAAAGACCGCGATTGGTGTAAGTCTTCAAGATAACCACGGAATGAGTTGGCGATTGCTACGGTATAAGTCTTTGACAAGGAGTGTATATGACGAATAAGGGTTTCCAGGACTGAGAATGGTGGTCGGTTTGGTTGATTGGGGAGGTAGAAGATGTGGTCGATCAAGGAGAGGGCAAAGCGGCCCAGCTTTTCCTTATTCTCAGCCTTCAATTTAGGATGGTAAAGCGCTCTGATTCGCTGGACAACCGTTGGGAGATCCAATAGTGCAATGCCTTTAGTAATTTCGAGAAGTTGTTTGTGAGATTCAGGACAGTCGAATGTGTAAGCCAAGTCTCCATTAACACCGTTTTTGACAGGTAGGTCCGTCTCGTCAATGGGGGCATTTGCGCCTGTGAGAAATTCGGGCCGTTTGCTCTCCTCTTCCGTTAATAAACCTTTGAGGAAATCCGTATCCTCCTCTTCTTCTGCTTCATCGGCCTCGTCACTCGATGCCTCCTCGTCTGAAAGCTCTAGTTCGGATCCACTCGCCACTAAGTCATCGTCGATGAGGAAATCATCCTCATCTTCAACACCTAACTCAGCCATGGTGGGACGGGCGTTAATACCAGATCCAAGGCCAAACTCATCCTCGTCGTATTCCTCTACTTCCATATCACCGACATCCTCTTCATCGCCGCTTTCAGGAGCACCCTCCATGCGGCGTTGTCGTTTCGCTTCCAACTCTTGCAGTTTCCTTGATTCTTCTTCGATAATCTCATCCTCAGTCTTCGTTCGTTGTGTTGGTTTTGCCCGTTTGTCCAGAACCATTTGCTTCAGCCGCAAATCATACTCCTTATCAAACTTGGTCTTGTCAGCCCCGCTCAGGAGAGCCGCGCGGTCTGGATTCATTCCTGGTACTATTTCTGCAGGAGCAGGCGGGGCTCTGGGTGCAATGCCTCGAAGTAATGCATGGATATTCGGCAACTCTTTATCTAACTCCTCTCGGAGATCCTCATCCTCATCCTTGGCATTCTGTCGTTCATATTTATGGAACTTGGATTTTGCGATCACCTCCTGCATGACCTCATTTTTCGACTTTTTTCGCTCCGGCAGCTGTTGTTCATCCTCATCTGCGCCCTCCTCCCCTTCGCCAGCAGCGGATGAACGGCGGCGTTTTCGCGCTTGCCCTTCTTCATCAGAAGGGTGGTCCCCAGCATCCGATAACTCCAAGTCCCCTTCGTCGAAGTCGTCCACGATAGCAGGACCGTCCAGCGAAAGAGATTTGCCCATATGTGTAAGCTCGCCTTGGGCATCGTCGTCCTCCAAATCGAATGCTGAGCTGTATTTGTGATGCCGTTGCTTTTCGAATGTGAATCGTTCTAGCATCTTTTCCTCGGGGGCCATTGAAGGGTCATTTTCTCCAAAACGTTTATCCACAATGCCGCCCACTTTCCTCCGGCGTATCATATCGAGCTCGTACGCTTTGGCAAGCTGTGGATATTCAATTAGTATGAAAAGTAGATAGTGATGGTGGGGGTAATACCCTCTCCTCGGTCAGACCTTTGGCAAGACCTGGTCTCCTCACAAGGCCTATTTCTTTGGGCTTGCTGGTTGTAACTTCGAATTTCTGCGGCTTTCCAGAGAGCTTAAACTCGAACGGATTAAATTGCTCTCGAATACCCTCGAGGGCCGCCTTCTTGTGCACCCTCTTTTCTTTATTGACGCCATTTTGCGCATTTTGCTTTCTCTGTTTCTTCGATTGCTGTGGTCCAACGAGTCCCTGCTCCCGTAGGGAGGCTTTTAACCTCTTGAGCTGCGAAGGAGGCATCGTATTTAATTGTCTTTCGCACCGATTAAGCTTCGAACTTTTCGAACACTTTTTTATCAAGATCACCGCTTATCGGGCCACCTTCCCTAAAGTGGCGGAACCCTTGGCAGAATTAGGCGGTGAGTCGAGTCTCCATCACCAGCCGAAAGTAAACCCAGAGAGACCTGCCCTCCATCTACGAAGGTATCAGCTATGCTAAGTTGCGGATGTAATTCGACATAATGGCGGCGCTATCGCCCGCCATGCAAGACCGCTTGTTCTTCCTCGGACTTGGTCTGGGGACATGCGCGGTCATCAGTCTTATGCGCCGCGTTCTTGTCCACTATCGAGATGCAGCTATCTTACCACAGTCCGAAAACAAACCCCAGTATATCACCCAGGAAGTGGAAGACTCATTGAAGCTCAGTACCTTGGATAAGCTTCTCGATAGCCCCAATTACTGTATCCAGGAAACCGCCTCGATTATTATCTGCGAGCGTGCGCTGCATGACGAGTCCTCGATCGATGCTATTCTTTATTTCATTACACGCCCGGACTATGACACGAGAGAGAAGGCAGTCAAGACCTTGACATATATGATGAATAGCTGTAAGTTACCCCCTTCCCCTCAACGACAGCACTCAACTAAACCAAATACCTAGCAACCATCCGCCTAATCAATAAGCCTGCCACGTATGCTGCCCTCGTGAAGTCACTCGAATACAGCCTCACGGATTATGAGCACAATCCGTATGACCTGGAATGGGATAACTGGCATTTGCGCGATACCGTGGAACAGGAATGCCTAATGCTCCTTGTTCCGTTAGTGGACAAGTTCGGGGTGGATAGTCTTGTAAAAACCCGTTTTGTGGAACGCTGGTTGGCTAAAGAACCATGGGGAAGGGATGAAAGAGAACGCCAGATTAATTTCCTCGAATCTCTGCGCACGCGGAATCGACTCAACGAGCTTACACTGCCCCTGATTAGGGACTTGGCTGGGCGGAGGCAGCTATGCAAGGCGAAGCTTTTACCGCAGGACTTTGAATGGGAGATACCCGGTCCCAGGGATGTCAGGATGATCAACGGCGAAGGAACTGCCGGGGAGGATTTTGATGCAATGTTTGTCGAAGGCCGACGGCGAAGGGACCAGAGTACGGAGGAGGAGCACATCAGGAGACGGCATCGGGAAGCCATGGTGTTGAATGATGGCACACGACCACTGGGGCGAGACGACATCATCCAACGCGAAACGGTAGATTGACGATACTATACGAAGAACAGCGTGTAGTGGTTGGGGCTGGCTCCGCCATAGACGGACACTGGAGCGAGATGTGGTATTCGGGGATTTGATATTGGCGCTGGTTTTATGATTGCAATAATTGCGATCTTTAACACAGCCTATGAGCCCGATGAACACCCGGTCCAAACACCTCACGGGCCAACCAGGCATTAACGGTCTTGTTGGAGAGGAGGCATACGAAGTATTGCAAAGACATGGAATCCTGTCTCTTATACACATCTAGATGTGTATAAGAGCCCCCCCCTGGCCCTGGAAAGGACGCATACGGGAGTATCTACAGTACTCGAGTGCCGTGTTACGTGTTACGTGTGTTACGTGTTACACTCACACCACACGTGCACGTGACCACGCACTATGGCGATGGAGTAATTACAGAGTGTTCGTTCTCCCTACAGACTGTTCTCCCTCCGCCCTCACTCCACTCAGCCTTGCAATCCCTCGGCGTACGTACATGTACGTCCTGCGGTGGGGCAACTCCGGCGCGAGTTGGACCACTAATGTGCCGGGCAATTAGCATGACCAACCACATCGTGCAATTCCGCATCGTGCATACGCGCTGTTTAGTGTTGTTCAAGGGAGCCTGTCCAGGGCCTCATTGAGCCTCTTTACTCCGTACGAGTAGAGCCTCTTCCGAAACCGCTTCACAAAAAAAAGTCTTCAGCCTTGTATCTAAACCGATGTGCGTACGCTACACGCTGCACGTGCCGAGAAGTACCTTAGATATGGCATGTGAAGCCTTCACATTTGCAAATTGAACGGGCCTAGACTCAAAGGCCTACCAGCCTGTTTAGTAATTGCACTCCGGATGTTCAAACGCTGGCATCGCGAATGGTTCTCCGCTACCGGTAGTTCGCCCTCTCTCCCTCGTTCCGATTAGACGTGTATTTGTCAACCCCACGAGCTAGAAATGGCTCCCGCTATGGGAGAATAGTTCTGATTGGCCTGAAATGGTTCGATTATCTTCTATAGATACGCCGTCCGGCCCACCTGCGCTGCGTCGCGGCGCATTCCGAACTTACGCCGTGGTTGCCGAATGCTACGTGCACTCCTCGGACATCGTTATTTCTCCAGCTTGCCCAGGCCCAGTAATAATAATAATAATAACCTAGGTAATGTTACAGCTTTTGTTTTTGCCCGTCTAAAGCTTTCCCTTCGTCGTCCGCCACCCGCCACCTCATCGACTCATACTATTCCTGCCACTCTTTCGCCTAATATATCCACATCGAAGCTGAAGTCACAGCTTCTGCTCTACGTTCAGTCGATATCCCTCTGTTCCGGTCTAATCAGATACGACTATCTACAGCATCACCGATTTCACCATGTCTGCTAGCAGCGCAGCACGCGTTTTGAGCCGGGCGTCGCTCAGGTCGACCCCTTCAACCTCGGCCTTCAGAACCTCCACCCGCAATACCGCATTCACCCTCCCGCGCCAAACATTCCGCCAGCAATCAAGACGCGGATACGCCTCGGAACCCACCAAGTCGTCCTCGTCAGGCCTCTACATCGGCCTGGGTGCCCTCGCCGTCGCAGGTGGCGGCTATTACTTGTACTCGCAAGGATCTCTGTTCAAGGGATCGGCAGGCCAGTCGAGTGGTGTCTTCACCCCGAAGAAGGAGGATTACCAGAAGGTGTACAACGAGATTGCCGGCCGGTTGGATGAGAAGGATGACTATGATGATGGCAGTTTCGGGCCAGTTCTGGTGAGATTGGCATGGCATGCCAGCGGTACCTTCGACAAGGAGACAGGAACCGGTGGTAGCAATGGTGCTACGATGAGATTTGCTCCCGAAGGAGACCATGGTGCAAACGCTGGGCTAGTCGCCGCACGAGACTTCCTTGCGCCAGTTAAGGGTGCGTTTAAACTCTCTAAACTAGTAGAATATGAGACTGACATACTCTTCTAGCCAAGTTCCCATGGATTACCTACTCTGATCTTTGGATCCTCGGTGGCGTCTGCGCAATTCAAGAGATGCAAGGCCCAACCATGCCCTATCGTCCTGGCCGCCAGGATAAGGATATGTCTGCATGTACACCAGATGGACGTCTCCCAGATGCCTCCAAGGGCAGCAAGCACTTGCGCGACATCTTTTACCGTATGGGCTTCAACGACCAAGAGATCGTTGCCCTTTCCGGAGGCCACGCGCTGGGTCGTTGCCACTCAGACCGCAGCGGTTTCGAAGGGCCATGGACTTTCTCACCAACTGTCATGACCAATGATTTCTACAGGCTACTCTTGGAGGAGAAGTGGCAATGGAAGAAGTGGAATGGTCCCAAGCAGGTATGTTTCGAAGCTCCAGGATACTGGACGCAGTAATTGACAATTTCAACAGTACGAAGACAAGACCACCAAATCCCTGATGATGCTTCCCACCGACATGGCTCTCGTAACCGACAAGGCCTTCAAGCCATGGGTTGAGAAGTATGCTAAGGATGAAGAGCTCTTCTTCAAGGATTTCTCAGCTGTCGTCACCAAGCTCTTCGAACTCGGCGTTCCTTTCACCGAGAGTGCCGAGGAGGGCCGAATGATCTTCAAGCCAACCAACGCTTAAATAACCAAAGAACGAAGATACCCACCATAGATGCTATATGGCCTTTGATATAAAGGTTGGACGACTAAAGAGAGACTTCGATAGGTAACTTAACTTTTAAGTTCGTCGAGGGGGAAGAGAGGGTGGGTTTTTGGGTCGTGGCTCGCGTTTCCTTAGCTATTGTGGTTTTGGTTGCACTGTGCTGCCTACACCAAGGGCATAAACTCCATTCCCGCCTATTTGTTAGTTAGATGTAAGATAACTAGAAATCGAATTGCGCGTAATACCAGTCACAGATTGTTAAAGAGATTAAACTGTTTTATTACTACTTATATAATCCCAACTATCAAATTCTCAAGACGGCTTATAATAAACAAGTCGATTAGTTTTTATATCTTCTAAGTATGACTATTTCTCAAGACTGTAATCATCGAGCCTCGAAAGCTCGACTAGTATGCTTTGTCAAAACATATAGGTAAATAAATATATTAATAACCTCCAAGTAACATGGGTGGCGATCGCCGAACCGAAGTTGTAACACAGGCCCACCTCCTCGTACTGTACGTACAAAGTACGCTCCGGTTTATATTTAATCATTCTGCGCGATGCACTTGATGAGGAACTCTACGAGATATGTCGACCTGTATTAGGTCACAATAACTCCCTTATGTGAGGGCAGATCCTCAATGTCTGCCGGCCCGTGGAAACTGCTTCGCTTCGTTGTCCGCATCGTCCTCCGCGCCATACTACTCTGGTTCCTGCTTGCGTTGTTATGGGCGTTCCTCCCATCCCCTTCAAGAGAGCCCGACGGCAACAATGACAGCGATTACTCAACAGCGGTGTTACGCGCAGGCAAGGTTCTGACTAGAGTATATGAGTACGTCTCCAAGCGCCGAAATTCTTGAGAGGGGAAGCAAGAGCTAATATATCCTGCCCTTATAGCTCCAAGGAATGGCATATCAAATCAAACAATCGGCAGGCTTTCGCTCTCGACTATAAACTAGACATACGCGATCTCACTCTCTCGATTTCTGGCTCTGATAAATCTCTGCCGATACTCAATGAAACTCCAGGCCAAGATTCTACATTGGATATCACCGAAGATATCCATGTCGTTGCACGAATCGGAGATGATGGCGGTGCCAACCTTCCCTGGTTCAAGTTTGCGGATGCCATACTGCTCACCTGGTGGCTAGAAAAAGAGGATTTGAATATCACATTGACGGCATACTGGCGCAGGGAGGGAGAGGATGGTAGTCTTCGCAGAATGGAATTGCGGGTCCCACGCATGCCCGAGCCTCTGCTGTCATTCAAGATACAGGGCAACGATCGGGGGACAATCACAGCTATCACGCCCGCAAAGCCGGCTTCTTCATCACCCTCTATGACTTATCCTATCCGGGTTGCGATAATTAACGCTATTGCACCAACTGCAGTGTTTGTCAACGATGTCTTTGGCAGTGCCATTGGGATGGCGTCCAAGTCGGTGTTCAATGCACTCGCTGTCATATTTATAGTTGGCATGTATGGATTCATGCTCCTGGCTATAGTATTCTCTTTATGGAGGTGCTTGGGAGGCCCATCGTTCGAGACCACTGTGGGAAGGATGCAAGACCGTCTTGAGAGACATAATGAGAATGAAAGATATCGAGTTCTACGGATACATGTTATTACGGGATGGTTGGATTGGCTAAACCATAGCGAAAGGGTACAGATGGCACTCGATATTTGTAGACATGGATGGCACCCAGAAAGAGAACGAGCTAGAAGGGCTGATGAGGAGACTGATGTGGAAAGGGGCAATAAGGCAGCATCGCTGCCTGAGAAGGGGGGTTAGACGTGATTATATCTGGGTTTGTATGTTCATATCAAGAAATTTGAAATCTAGTCGATGTAGGGGATTTTAACGAAGCTTGAAAACACACGTTCAAGAGGTTACATGAGGAATCAAGTGATTGGATGTCCCTAGACCTGTAGGACCGGGAGAATATCGGAGCATTCCCCCCACATTCCCCACAACGGCACCAACGGTCTCGAATCGGACTACTATCGTACATATATATATGATCCCATCACAACTTTCTTTGAATGACGACTACTTCCGAACAATATCATTTTGAAAGCTTTGTTATTTCTCAGGAACAGGAGCACGAGTCTTTAACACTCTAACACCATCAATCCCACCCGCCCATCAAACGGCAAACCTTACTCCCAAAGCCAGAAAGAAAGCATACGAACATAAAATGGCCCTCCCCCGTGACTCTGGAGTTCCTACCCAAAGCTTCCATCCAGATGGCACGCCATCACATCCCACAGTACTATTCCAAAATTCTTCACCCCCACCTCTCTTTCCCCAGCCCTATTCCCTCTCAGGTAGACTTCTAACGGGAGACAATATGAAGCACCAAAGCAGTGGTGGTGACGCTACCGCTACCGTCCCACTAAGCCAGAATAATATGGACGACCCTAACCACCAAGCCCTATACGAGAAGGGCTATGAGATGCGGAAGAAGGTTGTGGGAGAGGATTATGTTGCTGCTGCTCTGGAAAAAGGGTCTACGGACTTTTTGAGGCCGTTGCAGCAGTTTGCTACCGTATGTCTTAGCCCAAAGAGTCTATATTTCTTATGTTTCTATACCTAGTTGCAAGCAGCGTTGGAAAATAAGAAGGAGCGCTAATGGTGACGTCATGTAGGAATCGGCTTGGGGCACATTGTGGACTCGTCCAGGATTAGAGCACAAGACGAGGAGTCTGCTAAATTTGGTTATGCTGACTGCGTTGGGGAAGTGGATTGAGTTGGGCACGCATGTTCGGGGTGCGGTGAGGAATGGTGTGAGTGAGGTGGAGATTCGGGAGGCCTTGTTGCAGGCTAGGTTAGTGTTTTTCTTTTGCCTCGCCCTTTTTATTAAGGAAGTTGTTTTCCTTTGGGCTTGGAATTGTGACAAGAGAAACATATGGGCTAACAAGGGCGCAATTAGTGCATATTGTGGGCTTCCTGCTGGTATGGAGGCTTTTCGTGTTGCGGATCGAGTTTTGAATGAGATGCAAGAGAGAGGAGAAATTACGCGTGGATGATTGTCACTATACGCTCATAGTTTACTTAATTATTCAGTGTGTTTTGAACGTTTTCTTGAGAGTTCTGTTTGGGGAGTTATGAAGGTAGATAGCAAGTAGCTATGCTAACAATAGCCTCATCATTTTGGCGAAATACCCATGGTTCAATTCACATTTCGTGTAGTATGATTGATTATATTCCCTTGGGACATCCTCGAAAGCTCAAATCCCCAAGTTCCCATACAGTACGAGGCGCGCAGAAGTGGTGGCTCAGATCAAAAGAGAGCTCCCTTATTTGGGTAATTAATTCATCTGAGGAAGCTGATGAAACAGACTTGTGTCATTCCATTTTCCGGTTTTGGGGTAATAAGGCCCTCAATAGCACGTTCAAAGTCATCTCTGCGGGGTTATTATGCCTCTACCATGACGGCAAATATTGAGTCATTAGTTTTGGCACTATAGGATTTTGGGAATATTTAAAATAGGTTAGGGGTGAGAATGGGTAACACAAAGGCCCGTCACACTTGTGACTTCCAGGAACACTTTGCCCGTCCCTGTATAGAGGCACGGTCCGCACCTGGGAACAGGCCACCTGTATCTAACCGTTATTTTCCACGTTTTTCCTAGAAGGGCGAGTACAAATGGTACGAAAAGTAGGGATGTGAAGAATATCCCCTCGCCCCACCAAATTCGTTGCAAAATAGATGAATACAAATTATGTCCATTATTATATTTACTACAGCACTTAATACTTTTATATTATCCCCATTATTCACAAAACCGTTCCCGTTGTCAAATCTGCCATCCAGGGCCATATTACATCATTTAATCAAGTGGACGATGTTGTCTCGCGTTCAGAATTGGCTTCGAGAGAATAACCCAGATACCTGCCCAGTAGGGGTCTGGCATTGAGTACCGTAGCCGTTGGGCATCGGCGGAACACTTGGGTAGCAGTTCAGACTGAGTTGAATATCCCCAAATGTTTGGACAGTCACCCTGAAAATAAGTATACATATTTTAGCGCTATATAAAAATGATAACAAGTTGTATTGTGCGGGTGGAATGGCTTACAAGTCGGGGCAAGAATCGTACGTCTCTCCAACCGTCAGGGCACCCCCCGTCCATTTGAACACGGTCGTCTCGTCCGAGCATGTTGCTGCATCTTTGGAAGTGATATCGCCCGTGCGCGAGCAGCTTACTCTGCCTAGGTTTCTGTCGTCCGAGATGGTGAAGAAGACGGCGGCAGGATGCTCTGTGTTCCCTTCGGCGGGGGTGAAGGTTGTGAAACCGTTGACTGTGAAGGTTGATGGGTTTTTACAGTTATTTCGGGGAGTGATGGTTGGGAGGGCAGATGATATGGCAGAGAGGGCCAAGACGAAAAGGCCAGTGCTGTGCATGGTGATTGATGGCTCTGGGGGTTGAGATTGGAAATTGTCTTCGGTCTTGAAGTTAAGTTGTGTTTGGGGGTTGAGGAAGAAATTGGATTTGGAATATTAGGAGGAGGATGAAATGGGCAAAGCTTATGAAATATATAACCGTTGTAGAAATATTTATCTTTAAAAGGAACAGTGTCACATGCCTAATTTGGACCATAGCAGTAGAGCAACGTTTCTATAGGTAATCATTAAAATTTGTGCGTGTTGTAAATACATCGCATATCTGCGGCTTGAGGCACACATGTGGCGAAGATCCATCTCCAACTACTTGATGACAGCTGGGTACCGGGCTATCCGGCTTATACGCTTATACATAATGTTCCTGCAGGAGGAAGGCCCGAAAGTCGGGGTCCTAGAGGGTTCGATACGATGACGAACATTGCAGCACGTACAGAGAAATAGGGGGGCTTTTCGCAGCTCACCGACTTGAAGTCAAGGCTATTAGTTGAAATTTACTGACGATAAGGTAGGCCACAACTTATCTCGTGACGATAAACTAACGGTAGGCGGCATTCTGCAGATACGAAGTGATACCTCAATATGCTGCCGATTGTCTTCCAGGATGGCAAAGGATAGTGGAATTCAGGACAAAAATAGAAAGGTGTTGAAATACGCTGACTCAGTTCAAAGTGCTTGTTCAGGACCAGTCGAGGGAAACATCTTAATTTGCCATGAGCTGGTGCTAAAGTCCAAGCTCAAGGGTCAGCATCGCGACTGGGCTGTGTAAGGGCCAGATATATGTAGTGTTACAGTGACGTCGTCTCAACAAGAACTTCCTTGTTTGCTGACATGCATTTATATCAAAAAAACCAACCGGGAATTCAGGGGGTGGTCGCCCTTGGCAAACAGAGCACGAAACATGGTTTGTGAGCTGATTCAACAAGGAGATAGTGGCAAAGAACAGTGCGTTAATAAAATATACGAGTTCTCAAGTATGGATAGCACGCTTAGCACGGCGTACTCCGCCTGGTTAGAAAGGGAGCTGAACTCAAGGGGGGTTTTTTTCTTGGCTTAGCCACTAAGGTGCATGTCTCCTGCAGAAAAGGCTCCGGGCGAATCAACGCCACGTTTTCTACTAACGTCGAGGTAGGAATATATGCTCCAGCTTTAGATATATGTTGATGGTTAGGCGCTCAGTAGCCGCAGCTCTCTGCTACGCTACTCGCACCCGCGTTTTGGTCGGCAGTGACTTGGTAGTCTACTGCCTAACCGGGTTAATATGACAAAGTATGGTGCTGTTTAGGAAAGGCTGAAAATCGAGTGGATTACGGAGGGGGGAAAATATAAACTCGCCTATTCATGCGCTAGTATACTTATGGTCTAGATCGGTCACGTGACCACACAATCGCTTAGCGAAAATCCTCGAATTCAACCACGAACTTTTTGGAGAGTCCTGAAGTTCACGACAAATTCGACCAACGACAACCGCCATCCGCAAAACATATCAGCAATGGCAGCAGAACGCAAGGAGCGCTCCGGCCTGGCCGTCGGCCTCAACAAAGGACACGTATGAAACCACTCAACTGCCCGTCTCACCTCTTGGAGGATCTTCGTTTTTGAAGATGGACTCAACGGGCTAACGTATTTTTCAATGGATGTAGAAAACCGAGGCAAGAATCAGCAAGCCAAGAGTCAGCAGAACCAAGGGCCATTTGAGCAAGCGGACTGCTTTCGTCAGGGAGATTGTCAAGGAGGTCTCAGGGTATGTTTTACACCTTTCGGAAGATGATAACATGAATGCTAACGTAATATTGGATAGTCTTGCACCATATGAGCGTCGTGTTATCGAACTCCTCCGCAACAGCAAGGACAAGCGTGCCCGTAAGCTCGCGAAGAAGAGGGTATGTTACTCAATGCTCCTCGACAAACGTTCAAAATACTGATATATACTGATTAGCTCGGTACATTCGGACGTGCCAAGGCGAAGGTTGAGGAGCTCCAGGGCGTTATTGCTGAGTCGAGAAGAGCGGGCCATTAAGCTCTCGATATCCATTTCGGTACCTCGGGTCGCTGGGTGCATGGAGTTGTGCGAAGGAAAAGGAATGCTTCTTCGCCCTAGCTTAACAGGTTACTTCCACCTCAAGATGATACCTCGCAAAATCAGCGTGTAAATTACGAGGCAATGAACAACTTCAACCCAAATTTTGATATGAGTTATATGTGATTGCGCCGATGATTGTGCTTAGCATTCTGCTGCACTTCTACAAGCCTCAGTTGTGACCATAAAAAACTCCTCGCTATGCCCCTCTCCCTCACCAGGTCAAAGATTCATAATATCATGCCACATCACAAAATTTCAGCTCATTTCTTCCCAAGCCCCTTAAACCACTTAGGCATTCCCTTTGGAATTAGACTTCCACTTCCACTTCCTGTCTCCTTGCCCTTGTCGACTGTTGATGGTCCACTATACTCTTTGGAAACCGCAACCTGTGGCACGGGTATCTCTTTTGCGTTTTGCGCAAATTGTGGTTTCAAGATAGGCCCTTTCTTCGCACTATTACTGACACCATCTTCCCATACAAAGTTGACTAGCATCCGCTCGTTAAATCCCAAATCTTTGGCTAGCTTCTTCTTCTCGTCCCTTGGAACTGTTTGAGGTCCTTTGTTCGTCCAAACAAGCTTAAACGGTTGGGCCTCGGCTACAATCACACTTGTGACATATCTATAAAGATCTGCACCCGATTCTTGTGATTTAAAGGGAGACACGATGGTGGACTGATCCGGGAAGCGGATTTTGATGGAAACGGTTTTCGCAGCAGCTAGTCTTTCAGCCTTTTCCCTTTCCAAACGCTCAGTTTCGGCATCTGATAATAATCGCTTGTTATGGGAGTTGTTCTGCAGCCGGGCTTGGTGGAGTTTGGCGTGGACAATTGTAGGTTCGTAATCTTCTTCGACATATGGATTGAGTGCCGCCTTAGGTGTATCTGAAGATGGCGCGGAGTAGACGGAAATGGGGCGTTGGTTGGGGCCGAGAATTTCTTCCTCTTTCGGCGATGCTACAACAGTCGAGTCTCGGGGCGCCAGTTCAGCAAGTTCTTGATATGGCGAAGGAGCTTGGGGTGTGTCTTGCAAGGTTTCCACGCCGGCCATGCCAAGATCGCCGTTAGGTACGGATTCCGTAGAATGAATTTTGGCAATAGAATCCGTAGTAGTCTCTAGTACTTGGGCGGGTTGGCTGTTTGGAGCCTGCTCAGCTACCGCCGCCTCCTTGAAATATTGCTCGATTTCAGCCATGGCTTGCTCAAGAGGTTGCATCGTCTTCTTGAAACCAAGTCTAATAAGGCCACTTCCACTATTCAACCCCAGCTGTGCGAGTGTCTTCTGGAGATCACCAAAGGTGGACAACTCGCGACCCATAACATTCACGGTTGGCATTTCATAGCAAATGCGCCCAGCCCCAGTACTGCCATTCCCAACACTTGCTACCCCTCTCCCAGTAAAATTTAAATTCTTTCCTTCGGAGGATTCAAACTTCCGCAGTATAAGCCATAGTGTTGTATCACTTGGGAACTTGTCTGTCAGCCTGCCGCCAGGGACAGCCGATGCTAAGGCTCCCGGTAATTGCAATGCCACTGACACAACAGAAGGGGACCGAGAGGCAACGACAAGTTCGAGTTTCGCCCCGGAGGTGAGCCCGGTTTGTCGGAAGGTTCTCGAGAGGTCTACAGGCTTGTTGTTATGTCTAGACAAGGTTAGGCATGGTCCTTGAATTCAGGATTTTGGTACTTACTTTATACCATAGTTCTTTGATCTGATGCCAAAGTGCTTACAAGCCTCATCTAGCACATCTGCCATGTAGCTCCCCGGTGTGACTTTGACTGTTTGCCGCCTAAATGATGTATCGATGACAACAACGTGGGATGCCATGTTGTTAATATGTTGAAACAAGTGCCGTATAAATCGCGAGACTGAGCCTTCCTAATATAAGAAAGAAGAAAGCCTAATAGTACAGAAAGTCTGGACGGAGGCGGTTGGTTTGCGTTCTATGGGGTTCGAGGGATCTTTGTAAGAAGTAGTATTGTGGCGGGGTTGTAGGATGGGTTGGTGTATCGCCGCAGCTTGAGGGAAATGGTGGAAGCAGGGTGCCCGATGCAACAAGCTGATGTTTCAGGCAGCTGAAAACCGCGATAGGATTCAAGATACTGCAGTGAGGAGGAGTCTGCTGCATAAACTTATATCATGGAGTACGTACTTCGATCGTCGTCGTAGGTAATCAAATGATGCGGTGCCTGCGGATTGAATCTCGAGGTGGTCCAAGCTCCCTCCGTCTGGACGCGACAGCCCGTGTCTACCTGCATGCTGGATGAAGTACGGGACAGACTGCTTGACGACAACACCAACTAACTACCTCTCTTTTCCAACACCGCCATCTGAGGAGCTCTACGAATAATCGAAAGTCTGCAGAGCCCTCCCTCAGTGCCATAATCTTCTCTTACAAACACTCTCCACAACCAGCCTCATTAAAATGGTAAGCATCCCCCAGTCAAACCGCCAGCAAACCAATAGCTAACCCATCACCAATACAGAGCTCCCCATTCTCAATAAGTATGCTCCTACATCCCTTCCCTCTCTCAAATTCGTTCTAACCTCATCCCCAAGATGGCGGGGCCTGCGTCGCAATGGTGGGCAAAGACTGCGTAGCCATAGCCTGCGATCTCCGTCTCGGTCTCCAATCCCTCACCGTCTCCAACAACTTCCCCAAGATCTTCTCCTACGGCGACGTCTATCTCGGCCTAACCGGTCTGGCAACCGACGTATCCACAGTCAGCGATCTCTTCCGCTACAAAGTCAACATGTACCGCCTACGCGAAGAGCGGAACATCTCTCCCTCCACGATGGCGAACTTGGTCAGCAGCAGTCTGTACGAGAAGAGATTCGGGCCATATTTCGTCAGTCCAGTGGTTGCAGGTATTGATCAGAAGACGGGAAAGCCATTTATTTGCGGGTTTGATAGTATTGGGTGTATCGATTTTGCGAAGGACTTTATTGTCGCGGGGACGGCCAGTGACCAGCTCTTTGGTACTTGTGAGGGCCTTTGGGAGCCGGATCTGGTATGTTTTTCTGCGTGTTTGACAAGCTAGTTATATGCGAGGAATATCGGTGTTCGTCAGATTTAAGAGCTAACGAGGGATTGCCTTAGGAACCCGAGGATCTCTTCGAGACCATTTCGCAAGCGTTGCTGAATGCGGTGGACAGAGATGCGTTATCGGGTTGGGGTGCGCATGTTTACGTTATCGAGAAGGACAAGGTCACAAAGCGGTTATTGAAGGGCCGACAAGACTAAGGGGTGGGGTGTGCAGTTGGTGATGGTTCGAGGCAGGGCTTAGGAGAAAGCCTGTCCTGTGTAGTATTAAATCTAGCTTACGGGCTTGGTAGAGATAAATGGATATGGCCTGGGTCTCATATGGAAATTCATAGACTGTGTGACATGAGGATGACGACAAGGCTGCATATGGTGAAGTATACAAAACTAAAATCTGCAATAGCTTGATTGTTAAATTGTAATTTCTATATCTACTGTCTACTATGGTACAGCTCTCGTTTTCGGCCATTACTCCTCCTTCGGCCTTGGCTCGATCAGAGTACTCTTTTGGATAAAGAGCTGCCTCTCTACAAACTTGAGGACTTCATCAATGAGACTATATCTGATATTAGCATTGTCCAGAGTAATAATCTCAGGATAGAACTTACATGACAGGTGCGCTGATCAACAAGACCGCATACCACTCATTCCAGTTCAACGGCAAAATCGAGAACAGAGTTTGCAGGACCGGAGTGTACAGCAGGGCAAAATGCAGAGCCATTGACAGGGTAATGGCGTAGACCAACATCATGTTCTTCCATAGCGGAAGGGTAAGAAGCGATTCGCTGGATGAGAGCGCGTTCATGGCATTGAGCATCTCGATGACAACAAGAATTGACAGTGAGACAGTTGAAGCCGACTTTGCCATATCGTTGGTGAACATTTCGCAGCCAATCTCAGGGAATTGTGTTGAACAACGGTGGAAGTGGGAGAGTTGCCAGAATGTGATTTGAGGACCCTCGGCGTTGAACATAAACCACCAAGCATATCCAGCGACGGTCGCCAAACCAACATAAATGCCAATTACCATATACCGGAAGAAGAGCCAGCCACCGATGAGCGGCTCATCGCGCTTTCGTGGTTGTCTTCTCATGATATCATTGTCAGGAGGGTTGAACGAAAGCGCGGTGGCAGGAAGACCATCGGTGACGAGGTTGACCCAGAGTAGTTGGACCGGAATTAGGGCTTCTGGCATTCCCATAGCGGCAGTCAAAAAGATAGACACGACTTCGCCAATATTTGATGAGATCAAATATCTAATAAATTGCTGAGTGTTGTTATAGATGGAGCGACCCTCTTCAATTGCGACCTCAATCGTGGCAAAGTTGTTGTCAACGAGCACCATGTCGGAAGCCAATTTCGAGACGTCAGTGCCGGATCCCATCGCTACTCCAATATCGGCTTTCTTCAACGCAGGGGCGTCGTTGACACCATCTCCAGTCATAGCCACGACTTCTCCGTGTGATTGAAGAAGATCGACTAGCTTCGACTTGTGGTTTGGCTCGACTCGGGAGAAGAGAGAGGCGTTCTTGGCAGCATTCAATTGCTCGCTATCACTAAGCTGGTCGAACTCTCGGCCAGTGTAACTCTTTCCTGTCAGATCTTCGTAAGGGCCAAAAACACCGATTTGACGGCAGATGGTCTCAGCAGTATTTTGGTTATCGCCCGTAATAACAATAACTCGAATGCCAGCTTCCTTACATTTTCGAATAGATCCCGCAACTTCTGGGCGTGGAGGATCCTCCATGCCTACCAATCCAAGGAATGTCATGTTTTGCTCAAGCTTTAAGTAGTCAGACGTGGACTTTGCTTTCCTCAAAAGAGGGTTGGATGCAACATCGTCGATGCTAGCCAGAGCAATTACACGAAGGCCGCGATTACCATAGTCCACGACTTCCTTCAGCAGAATTTCAGAGAGCTTCTTTGCCATTGGCACCTTCTTCCCGTTCGCGCCTACCAAGGTATGGGAGCATCGATCGATGATGGTTTCAGGAGCTCCCTTCACAAGTAATCTTTGCCGTTTTTCGTCCCCTACCAGAACAGACATACTTTTCCTATCTCTAGAGAATTCATAGGTTGCGAGGTGGGGGTTTTTGGTCTCATACCAAGAGCTGATAGCGTGAAGAGCATCCTGGTTGGTAGTGCCATGCCTGAGTCGGTTTTCTGCTTCATCGTTGGTGCCGATCTTTTCCACGAGAACGCGGAGGGCGCCCTCCGTGGGCTCACCCACGTTTGAGTAGAGCCCGGTTTTGGAGTCAAAGGCCAGCTGTGCTTCGTTGCACAATGCTGAAACCTCTGTGATTTGGAAAATGGTACTCGACTTTTTGGCCACATCTATGACCTCCTTGCCGTCGGCCGTTATCTTGCCATAGGGTGAAAACGTCGTGCCCTCAACATTTAACTCCTCTAGGCCATTGCCAGCTTCGTTAAGGTACACAACCTTATTGACGCTCATTTGATTGGTCGTCAATGTTCCCGTCTTGTCTGAGCAGATCACACTGCAACTTCCAAGGGTCTCTACGGAAGGCAAGCTTCTCACAACTGCGTTCTTTGCAGCCATCTTGCGCGTACCAAGTGCGAGACATGTAGTGATGACAACTGCCAACCCTTCTGGAATTGCCGCTACACCGAGTGACACCGCAATCTTGAGGTAGTAGATAGCTCCCTTTGCCCAGCCTCCATGGGATTTGTCATTGAAATGGGGGATGTTGATAAGCCAAACCGCAATGCAAATCAGCGAAATAACTTTCGCCAAAGTGTCTCCAAAATCGTTGAGTTTTTGCTTTAGAGGGGTAGGTTCCGAGATCTGCGCGACGATGCTTTCGTGGATGTCGCCAATAGCGGTATTTGATCCAGTCAGGACAACGATGGCTGTAGCATGTCCCGTAACCACTGTTGTTCCAGAAAAAAGCATATTGGTTTGGTCCTGCTTTACAGCCTTCAAATCATCCACAGCGTCGATTTCTTTGCCAACGCTCTCGCTCTCTCCGGTAAGAATAGCTTGATCCACTGAAAAACTGTTGCTCTGGATAGCCACGAGTCTGCAATCTGCCGGTATTCTGTCCCCCACGGCAATCGAGATTATGTCTCCAGGAACCAATTCCTCTGCTTTAACCCTTGTGAGGTGGCCATTTCGAAGGACTTTGGCCTCATTTGCTGAGTATTCCTGTAATGCGGCAATAGCCTTCTCGGCGCTGCTCTCTTGGGATACACCGACGACGGCATTTAGAATTAAAATTGTGAGGATCTGCGAACTGTCAGCAAACAACTTGAGGCTCAAAAGTGGGCATACTTACAACTGCAGGATCTACAAAGGCAGACCATCCACCATCTTCCTCAAATAATGCCAAAACGAAGGATATCGCCGCAGATCCGAGGAGGATTAAAACGAGCTGGTCTTTGAATTGCTCGAGAATAAGCTCCCAGACAGGAGTTGGGGGTTCTTCTGCGATTGCTGTGGAAATGTTAGGCACTGTGCCAGAAGGCGCGGCGCAAAGTGATTATTTAGCTTACCATTGCGACCATGTGTATCCCTTGATTGCTTTACTTGCGCCTCCGTCAGCCCCTGCTGTTCAGACACTGAAAAGCGCTTCAGCACTTCGGAGGTTGTCTTGGTGTACGCGAGCTCCATCTTGACCTGCAGTGTTGTTGATGCTCTAGTCGAGAAAAAGTGCGTCCCCAAGCCGATAGCTAGTTACTTTGTACAAACCATCCAAATAATAAGACAGTAAATGAAGGTGGCAAGAAAAGTTGACAGGTGTAAAGAATGGAGGGGAAAGGAAAAATGGAAACCGCAAGACGTTTCGGTTGTAGTTGACGTTGCTTGCTAAGTCAACTCAAAAGTCTACAAGTGTCCTCTATTGTAAGCTTGCGGATCGGATTTGACAAGTCCGCCGCTATCCCCGCTATTGCCACACCCAAGCGAACGGCCCAGAGAGAAATATGATGACAACTCGTTATCGTCCACGCTAATACCACTAATTCACACTGTCAAAATCACGTTATAATTCTCGTGGTGATGGTGTTCTCCATCCTGTGGTCTTGAAAATTTGTGGGTGAACCAAAATATGGGTATTAATTTGAATACGTAGCGTGGTACGTACCGTAAGTACAGTACCTCATTAGGTTATCCTGTAGCCGGATACCAAGGTACAGTACATGAAGATCCCTATTGCTTATCTGTTCGAGTAACATTATCCTTTCTCCAGATCAGCCCGAGAGGGTGCGACCAACCAAGAGTTCTCACATCAGCCAAAAGCCAAAAGCCAAAAGATAAAAGATAACAATTCTCCGAGACACATCAAGCACATGGCGCCCCGGAGGGGATATCAACAATCTATTAAGCGTGTGCCAAGGACTCCGTTCCTGCGGAATTTTGCGGGACAGTTGTACTGTACATTTGAGAGTGCACTGTGGTCATTTTGGCCTGCAGCGATCATGCAAATTCCCATGCTCAAATTACTATAGAGCAATCTATTCATGTGCTGCATTTCTGCGAAACAAGGCAATACAGTAATACTCCGTACTTTCGAGAGATGCAGCACTGCTTTGTTTTCTCTCGACCTCCACTATGACCTCTAGTGGAACCAAGGCTTTAGAGCGGGATGGACAGACCATAAGACGACGACATTTGGCGTGCCATTATATTATTTATTATCGAGTCCAATCTTGAACCCAACCAATCCGCCGGAGCGTTTAACGCCTCATCTCGATGATCACATGATCCATTGTTACCTTGATGGCCTAAGAACAGTGAGTCTCTCTCTACTTCATTCCTAACTATAGGCACCTTAGGTATAGGCAGGCAGGTGGTGCGTAGGTACTCGAGTACGCGTACACTCATTGGGTGCTCTGTGTTTGATGTGGCATCATCATCCCATGAAGCGCTGAAGATGCGGGTCGGATCAGACTTCAACGCGCCCACCCGGTCTCATGGATGATGGGACTGGTGTTGGGCAATTGACTTGTACGTAGGACCGTTTGCACAGCGTTATTGGCGGGCGCTTCTGTCAGCTGCTGCCGCCATGTTATTTATGTATCTTGTGAGCCCCGTCTCAAGAACCCTGGCAACCACCACTGAAGCTGTGCAGAATAAGATGACATTTGGCGAGAAGGGGTGCTGGTGACGAAGTGGTATTGGCACAAGGACGCTGGGCCGTGACCACAGCTGCTAGTGGACCTCATAATAATCAGAGACGTATTACCTGTGGCTCGTGATTTCATATTAACTCTGTAGGTAATTATAGGAATAATCCAATACGAAAGTCTTTAAGCGCCCCAGTCCTCATAGTATCATCATAGGTGGTAGTCCGTATACTCCGTAAGGCGCCAAAGGCCTCCCCTCCCTTGTTTACCTCGATGGATCCGCCCCGCCAACGCCAACGCCAACAACAGATCGTCAGTGTTTGTTGTTGGTTGTAATGCACGTGACTGTGAAGGTGTATTCCGGGAGCATGACATGTCAGAGGGAAACCAAACAGTGCCGGAGTGGCCGCGTACGAGGCCGCAAACGCCGGATCGTACCCAACGGCGGGCTCTTTGTTGTTGTTGATGTTGATGCTGTTGTCATCTTTGCCTCTGCCTCTAGCCTTCTCGGTGAGGCGTCTTGGACTCAAGCTGCGGCCTGAACTCAACCCGGTGGTTAAGCGAGCGACGCTAATAATCTTCCTCCCCCAGAAACACACGAGCGACTCAGCACGACAACAACCCACGACACATCCATTGCTTTGCTCCCCCTCTAAACACAACACCATCCACGATCTATCTACCTTTGCCTTTCCTCCCATCATCCCAATCTCTACATTATACAACCGGAAGAATGACCACCGAAGTAAGTCCTCGCGCTGCTCTGAATCCCCTCTTCCATAATCACCTTTCACCCTGACTTGGCTTCCCCTCCACGACCCACCCACCATCCCTTATCTACCGCGTCTCTATCACCATTCTGGCCAGAAGCCATCCCATAGAACACTTTTGCTGACTTCATATCCTCTCTATAGCGTGAAAGGTTTGACCAACCCATAGTCTCGCGTTTCGCGCGCACTCCCAGTGGCTGTACTAACCAGCGCATAGCAAGACCTTCCTCGCGAGGCTCTGCGAGCAGGCTGAGCGTTACGATGAGATGGTTACATACATGAAGGAGGTTGCCAAGGTACGTGATGCACTACAAGTCACTTGCCATGATACATGCGGCCGTGAAGATTCACCACTAACGCCGTGGGAATGCAGCTGGGCGGCGAACTTACCGTTGATGAGCGAAACCTCCTGTCCGTCGCATACAAGAACGTGGTCGGAACCCGACGTGCTTCCTGGCGCATCATCTCGTCGATTGAACAGAAGGAGGAGTCTAAGGGTACCGATAAGCACGTGTCAACCATCCGAGACTACCGTCAAAAGATCGAGACCGAGCTTGAGAAAGTCTGCCAAGATGTCCTCGATGTCCTGGACGAGTCATTGATCCCAAAGGCGGAATCTGGGGAGTCCAAGGTTTTCTACCACAAGATGTATGTCTTATCGGCGATGGCTTGTTCGCCATGCGTCCCCGGACCACTCGCGCCTTTGCTAACATGAGTGTCAAATCCAGGAAGGGCGACTACCATCGTTATCTGGCCGAGTTTGCTTCCGGTGAGAAGCGCAAGGTTGCTGCTACTGCTGCCCATGAGGCCTACAAGGTATGCGCTGCTGCGCGCTGAGTATTGAACAACACCCCGCTAATGATTTTGCCATAGAATGCTACCGACGTTGCCCAAACCGAGCTTACCCCAACCCACCCCATCCGCCTTGGCCTGGCCCTCAACTTCTCTGTCTTCTACTATGAGATCTTGAACTCACCAGACCGTGCCTGCCACCTCGCCAAGCAGGCCTTTGATGATGCCATTGCCGAGCTCGATTCTCTGTCCGAGGAGTCATACCGTGACAGCACCCTCATTATGCAACTTCTCCGCGACAACTTGACGCTTTGGACATCATCGGATAGCGGTGAGCCTGAAGCCGCGCAAGCTGAGGCACCGAAGGAGGCTGAGAAGGCACCCGAGGCTGAGGCCAAGCCAGAGGCGGAAGCTGAGCTCAAGACCGAGGCCGCTCCCGCACCTGCTGCACCTGCTCCGGAATCTTAGATCTCTCACTCTCGAATCTCGTCACGTTTTCATATGCTTCGGCTGGGATACCTGGCTTGCTGGCGGAGTGATTGCAGCATGGGTATGGGATGGGAGTTGATATGAAAAGCAGAATGGGCGTGCCTTTGCGAAGTCTTGTTGATTTGCGAATACACCATCCTGCGAACCTTGATGATCATGTTTTCCTTTCTGGTTGTGTTTCCCCCTGCGGTCCTTTTTACATGATGGACGTGTTCTGCCGATGGAGCTTCCACTAGGCTTTCTGAAGCAGGCGTGTTCAATATCGGAATGCATTTCTCACACAGAGTGTCGAAGGTTCATTGGCTTCTCAGGGAGATGATTTGTCAAGGGTTTCCTCGAATCTCTCTATTCGCAATGTTCTTTAGTCCTCTCTGGTGGTCGGCTTTCTGAAATAGATATCCCTCGGATTTCTTACATCCCACTGCGTTGTCATAGCGAATAACCTCTCAGACTCTTTGTATGCTACTCTTGAGTACGTAGTTAGGGTTGATGAATTCACTACACTAAACAAATGTTGTACTTTTGCTGTTGCAGTAAGAGTAATCGCTGAGTGCTTGACTAATTGTGGATAGCTTCCAAAGAGGGGTATGAACCTGATTCACCTCAAGCCAACGCCAGCCTCCAAAACCCCTCCGTGGTGATTCACTTTTGCATCCTTAGTACATGTGGAGTGCATATATGATATAACATTCTTGCTACTTTACGGATATGATGGCTGTCCATAAATGGCGTCGAGCTAGGGCGTGTCTAATGCCCTGAGCGGGATCACCTTCGCTCTTGAGTCGATGATGGGCCTTATCCAGGGACTCCAGGAGGAATCGCGCCTAGATGGAGGTCGCCTATCTAGAAGACAGGCCGCCGCCTGCTTCGCTGCGTATCCTTTGTCACGCATATCTTGTTGCCTTTTCAAGAAGTCATGATCCAAACTCATCCTTTCCGGCTGCCTCCACCCCCACCTCTTCCACCACCATCCAGCAACCTCCTAGCTCTCTCAAGCCTCTCCATTCTCCCCCTTAATCCCCCAAACTCATCGCTACCACTGGCAAGCTCCATACTACTTCCATCACGCACATCACCATCCTCAGCCTCTCCGCCGTTTCCCCTCCTCTTGCTCCTATCCTCCTCGCTCTGACTATACATCTCGGTCCTTACATCAGCCTCCTTGGACTTTTTAGCCCTCTTGATGAATCCACTCCCATTGCCCATCTCTTCATTTGAAGAATGACTGTTAAAGCTTCTAGGCCGGAGTAATCTCCTCCAAAACGAGGGTCGCTGTATTTGGGGGGCGTAGGTTGGTGATGCCGGGGTATGGGCAGAGACTTCGTTGCGCCATACTTCGATGCATGTTTGATGTTTGGATCGTTGGGGAGGTGGCATCTCTGACTTTTGTTCCAATTTGTGGATTAAATGTAGTATATTTGATTTGGAGGGAGTTGTTTATGGCCGTGGTTATGGCGAAGACAACGGGGCTAAAAGCATCATGGTTTTCGCATTGACGTGCGGGATGTCCGAATTTCCAAGAGATAAATGCTGAAGGAGGGAAGGATATTACTTTTATATGGTGAGGATTTGGAAGTCCAGAGGTTGTGCAGTCGTAAATGGCAGATGTGCAGACGGTGGCAACGTGATTGGATCATCCGATCAACCACATGCGTCGTGTCTCGGAGGATACAAATGCGGGCACCAAACCTGTGCAATCGGATCTTGCCCCCCGATGTTCCACTTGTAATGGTATTGTGGGACGAAATAAATGGTTGTTACTGGGCCGGCAAATAAAGGTAGATGGGAATGATAATGGTGAGGGGAATTGAAGTTGAGTGTGGTAGTAATGTATCACGTGGCAATAATGGTGACAATTGAATTGTGAGTAGAGGTCAAACTCTAAACTCCGTATGCGCATGAATTTGTTTTATTTATATCACTCTGCTGATGTATAAATCGATTCTATAAGGTTTAGATGTGGAATTACTTTCAGTATTGCAGGTTAGTTTGGATATGTGATGCTTTGATACTTCTTGTGGGGTCTTACATCCGACATATTTGATATTCGGAAGTCACATAAAAGACTTACGGAGTCAATTTAAAAGAAAGGGCAGGCATTTTGGGTATCACATAGCTACAATAAAGTTAGTCATTCTTCATTTATTCATAGAATACAATTTCTCTCTGCTAACTATACTCCTTCCCTTCACATAGACCCAGGTCAAATCTCCTCACCTCACCTCAACCCCCGCTCTTTGGCCATTTCATCGTGTTTCCTCCCTCTGTGCGAAAGCATTTATAATAAGAATAAATCTAATAGCATAAAATATTATATACATCGTAAGGTATATCCTATTCCACATACTTTAACAAATATGACAGGAATTCCAAATGCGTTGATTAAACTTCGAACAAGCATTCCGGGGCTTGGTGTAATCCCATGCAGTTGTACGTAAATTGCGGTCATAGGTCTAGAGAATACAGCAAATGTGCCCTCCCTAAGGCATGGAATTAATTTTGTTCCCTAGAAGTTGGGAATGGCAGCCCAGCTTTGGTTTTCACTAGCCCCATTTAGCAAGGTTGAATTAGGTATCCAAAACAAGAAACTGTAACTTGTATAGACGATATAAGGCAAATCACATGGTCACATGACTGTCACCTTTCCTCTATCCTATGTGCCATACATAAATCAAAATAAGCGATTTTTGTTTTAAGGAAGACAAAAGGCGGCCACTTTGCTAGGTGGTTCAGGTCAAATTATCTTCTGGAGAGGATCGATAGGGACAAAACGACAAAAGACAACAAGAGATGTAGGCATTCGACACCGGGCCGAACTTTTTTGCTTCCCTAGCATAGGGAACTTAATAATATACTATATACTTTTTCCTCCCTTTCTCGGCTTCATCCAACTGTTGTTTCTATTTTTCCCCGCTCGCGTACGGTGGGCTCGCTTGCCCTGGCGGTATACGTAACATACATCTGCCAAATACCACCTAGTATCTCCCAGGCGAAGGACCAAATATATACCTTAGCCAAAGAGACAAGCGGGACGGAATCAGAGTCTAAACACACCAAGATCAAACCTACCAATAGAAAACTAAGTCTCGACCGCGCCAGTTAGTCAATATTAAATTTGGAATTGGATTCTGAGGGCGTAAAGAAGCCTAATTTATTTTTTGCGGAGGAGAAGGAACAGGTGTATACCCTACATATATCTCCCAGATACACTAAAAGTAAAATAAGCAAAGCGCTAGGAAAGGTAAGTGAGAAATCGAAATGGCCTATCCTGTTCGCAATCAAGCCACGATAGCGCTGGAAGACACCTGGGCACCCCGGCTTGCTCCTTGGTTATACCACACTAAGAGCGTCAACAAGGGACGTAGGTATACGACTAGCCATATTAAGAGAGGCGGCTGAGGGTACAATACACTAGGACTTCTTTAGTATAATAGATCAAATATAAGTCAGGAATGACAGAATGTATGTAAATGACAGCGCTCTATAGAGAATGCAATAGTCGAGGCACTAGTACTTGAGATGATGACTGCAAAGCTAAACATCCCTAATTCGTCAACTAATACTTCCTTGGTCGCCACCGTCTTGAGCGTATGTTGATTTTGTGGATTGTTTTGTGTGGTTGAATACGCAATCCAGGCGGGTCGACTTTGGTGTTTCACTCCTCGAGCCAACAATACCTCATCAAGAGACTAAAGCAATTTAAAACTAGCTCGAGAGAGTGCACGAGATGTCTATCTTCTTGATGTAATGTTAGAACGCGTTGCAACTTTGCCATCAAATAGGATATCGACGGTTTCGAAGAAGCTCATAATCCCTAGCATTGCGGAAGTCAACCTCCAATCTTGATAGCTATCATCGTAGGAATTGCTCAATTGATACATTGCTATGACAGACTCCTAGAATATTTATACTTGAAATGGATTTGTGTAGAAATGTGGATAGACTGGATGTTTTTGATTATCGATCAATGCTGTTCCAACGTCCACTGCTGAGGAGCTCCTCGCAGCATCTTAAGAGTATCCATATCCCGAAGGCTCCTGATTGCCTAACATGAGATAGAGGGAAATTTGAAACGTTTTGTAAAGGAATGCTAGCGACTAGGAGCGAGCACCGATACCCTGGCGTTGCTACCCAACTGCACCGTGACTGAAGATGCCTTTCTTCGTACTCCCCTCAATAATTGATATGGGCACCGTTTGCCAATCTAACAAGTTCTTAAATTGGACACTCCTTCTATGATTAATTTTTAAAAACACGTTGTTGCGATTGCTAATTACATTCATCAGGTTGGCCCTCACGCAGACGACAAAAACCGCTCCGCTTCCTATTCACAAGATCTCCCATCACGGCAGAAGTGGCCATTCAATAACGACACACGCCAAATACCATGAATTTGTCTACTCGGACCGAACATGCGACCAACAATATTACACTTGTAAGACTGTGGATTGTACCCAGATCGATGTTGAATCTCAAAACGTGAATTGAAATTTCTGCCACGGGTGCAAATGAAAGTGGGTATAGAATGGGACATAGGATAATGGCGGAGGTATGCAAAGGCTTCAGAAATGGTCATATTGAGATCATGCTCCATTGGAGCGTTCATTCTCTTCCTATTATATGTGATACTGGGTATCGTTCATCAGCAGCCATGTGAAAAGAAAAAGAAAGAGAAATTCGGTCAGCGGATGTCCGACATCTTGTTAGCGAACGTCTGTGTTCAGCGCTATTCCATGGCGAGTTAGCGCCAATCACACGGGCTGCTCTACCTAGTTTGGATTGAGGCTCAATCTCTATCAGCAAAGGCGATCTTAACCACATCTAAGGATTCACTCCTCGCATTCAAACAGACCCTTCCTGACACTAGTCCGACTCGACAAAGCTTCCATCAGCGACACTGAAAGCTGCACATTTCCTAACATTTGCGCGCGTGAGAGTTACCGAATATCACATAGCCGACGCGTGGAGCACCCAGCCACATTGATCACGACCATGAGCGACTTCAATTACGGCGGAACGGATGAAGAGTCAGCAGAGATCAAGAAGCTCAATGCTGAAGTTGTAAGCTCTCCGTATGTCTGTTGCGATCACATCCTTGCTAACATTAGTCGCATAGCTCGAGAATACCGATAACTTCGAGAACTGGGAAAAGCTCGTTCGCGCTGCAGAAACCCTCGAAGGTGGCTTGAACCGCAACTCAAGCCCGCAAGCAATCGCAACAACGCGTGATGCATACGACCGTTTCCTTGCGAAGTTTCCGTTGTTGTTCGGATACTGGAAGAAATATGCGGACCTCGAGTTCTCGATCGCTGGCACAGAGGCCGCTGAAATGGTAAGGCTGCCGGTTGTTGAAGGCAGGGCATGGCTAATATGCGTCAGGTCTTTGAACGCGGAGTTGCTAGTATCGCAACTTCAGTAGATATATGGACAGATTACTGTTCCTTCAAAGTCGAAACGAGTCATGATCCAGATGTGATCAGAGAGTAAGTATACTGGATACTTTCCTACCCTTTAACACAGAGCCATGCGACGGAAGCAACACCATTGCCGTTCGTCCTCTACTTGGAGTTTCATGGGGCTGCAGACGGTGAGAACTGCCAAGAGAGTCGCTCCCTGTTTGATATTCTTCTCACCCGAGTGATCAGGATCTTTCCTTCTGCTATTACACGTTCGCTTTTATGTCGTATCACTCCAAGTCTACACATGTTGGCCGCGGATGGAATTTGAGGAATACTAGTTCAAGCACAATGCCCTTCCCGTATTTGCACTCCTTACCACCTCCGCACTCCGTCTACCCCCCCGTTAATGCTCAACTAACATACCCCGATAGGCTCTTCGAGCGCGGTGCTTCTTCCGTTGGCTTGGACTTCCTGGCACATCCGTTCTGGGATAAATACCTGGAGTTTGAGGATCGGTTGGAAGCGCAAGATAAGATTTTTGCCATATTGAGTCGCGTTATCAAGATTCCCATGCACCAATATGCGCGTTATTTCGAGCGGTTCCGTCAGCTCGCACATGCCCGCCCCTTACAAGAGCTCGTATCCCCGGAAACTCTCGCTGGTTTCCGTGCCGAGGTTGAGGCCGAGGGCTCAGTGACTGGACCAAAGGGCGAATTGGAGATCGAGCGAGAGATGCGCACAAAGATAGATAATTTCCATTTGGAGACGTTTACACGAACTCAAACGGAAACGACGAAACGATGGGCTTATGAATCAGAAATCAAGCGCCCTTACTTCCATGTTACCGAGCTCGATCACCAACAACTAGCCAACTGGAGGAAATATCTGGATTTTGAGGAGTCAGAAGGTGACTATACCAGAACTGTTTTTCTCTATGAGAGATGCTTGGTTACCTGTGCTTTCTATGACGAATTCTGGTTTCGGTATGCTCGCTGGATGTCCGCGCAGGAGGGCAAGCAAGAAGAAGTTCGAAATATCTATCAACGGGCATGCACTGTTTTTGTCCCGATCGGTCGGCCTGGGATTCGGTTACATTATGCTTACTTCGAGGAGATGTCGGATCGTGTCGATGTCGCGCGAGATATTCACCAAGCAATCCTGGACCGCATGCCAGGTCACGTTGAGACAATTGTATCTTGGGCAAACCTTGAACGGCGTCAAAATGGCCTCGAAGCTGCCATCCAGGTCTACAAAAACCAAATTGACACTCCCGTGGTTGACCTCTTTTCAAAGGCCGCTTTCGTGGTGGAATGGGCTGTCTTATTGTGGAAGGTTCAAGGGTCCGTCGACGAGGCTCGCCAAGTTTTCCAAAAGAATCAGCAATGGTACCTTCAAAGTCGCCATTTCTGGGTCAAATATCTTGAATTTGAACTTTGTCAACCAACCAGTTTAGCCACCGAGGCAGAACATTATGCGAGGATCAAACAGATCTATGATGATATGATTCATAAAAGCCGCATGACTTTAGCTACCAAAAGGGATATAAGCAATTATTATTTGCTGTACCTCCAACAAAGAGGCACAAAGGAGGCCATGAAGGAATTCTTGCAAATTGACAGGGAGCTAAATGGGTAAGTTCGCGTCCAATCTAGGCGGCATATAGGCTAACTTGTACACAGCCCCGCGTCTGTTCAGCCTGCAGATCTCAAGGCAGATGGCACGAAGGGTTTGGAGAATGGGCACGCAGCTGGTGAAGTGGATGAGGCTACACTCCGGAACGGCGAGGTTCATTATACTACCTACTTCCAACAGTTTGGCGAGCTGCCAGCCAACGCTCAAGGGCTCGCCCCCTTCCATTAAGGTGTCTGCAAGTGCTGAACAAGCCAGCTCTCTATATCCCATTTCTACAACCTTTTTATAGCTATCAAGTGGCTGGATAGCATTGCATGTAACATAGATTTGCTGCTTTCGAGGGGATATGTAAGACTACTTTAGCTAGCTTCGGACAATAACATATTGCCTTTGGATGGACAGACTGCCGCGCTTCCTTGCATCTCAGTTAATGGCATAAGTATATCTGCAAATTTTGCACCAGAAATTTGTTTTGCTGTTCAATTTCGTTGCTTGCTGCCCAAATAGACAAAATATTCCTAAACGCTCTGATATCAGCATGTCCTATTCCTCGACTCAATAACTCTCGTAGCTCGCAGCATCTCGTGGTTAAGTGGCCAGCGTTCGAGCAAAAGCCGGCGCATATCCACATACAGATCAACAACATCACAAGCAAGACAAGAATATTTACTCCCTGGATACTCCATACACCCAGCAGCTTCTCGAAGACTATCGGAATAACGCACTGATACTGATTCAGACGCGCCAGCCTAGAATAGGATATATCCTGTCTAACGCCCAAAATTATATGCGGCCAAGGCTTTATGTCGTGGCATTTGAGGTACATAGGATCGTTAAAACTACTTCCCTCGAGCCCACCAATCGACTGGACGGGATGGTTTCCCGCAGCAGTTCATGAAGCATGAAGCTGGAGCAGTGTCCAGCGGGTCGGTTCCGCGTTTTATGTCAATTCGTCTAGTTAGTACGGGCCTGTATGGGACTGTACGTAGTACTAGAGCTGTGGTAGCTGTGAGTTTGGAGGATGAGAGTCTGATGGAGCTGGTTGGCGTACCTTGGTACCGTGGGCTGTGTTGGCGGCCCTTATTGGCCCCAGCTCGGGGTGGTTGAGCGGAATTGCTGGGGCCCCGCATTCACAACGCTTTGGGTCCGAGAATCCTCCATCCTTTCGCTTCTTTCGCACGTGCTCTTTTGATACGCATTCATCGACTTTGCAACTACCAAGCTACTGGGCAAATCTTAGGTGAACCTTACCATTACTTAGCATCATAGGTGATAGGCCTAGGATACCAACATCACGCATGTATGTACCTAAGGACTTGGTAATCTCTTCATATTCCGGCTAGAATTAGGGCCTACGATGTTTACGGCACAGCGCCAGCGCCTTGCTCGACGAGTACTTGTGGAAGACGATTCAGTTGTCCTTGGCCAGTGTAGCATTAGTCTTGGCCTGCATGTTCAATCTGCGCCATGTAGATCTGCCTGGTTTTGTAGCAACATACGACGTACCTAGGTACTTCCAGAGGCATTGTGCGTAGTACTCGAGTCTCAATGTCCCCATCTGCGGCTGCGTTGCTCCATGTATGAATTGCTTCAGTCGATGGTGCCGTTCTGGGCGGCGTGCCATAGTTCTCCATAGCTGCCGCGCCAGACATTAGCCTTTGAACAGTTGGTTCCAAGTTCAACCACCTGGTCCGTGGCGCTCAAGCCGATGCCATCTTAATGTTTCAGACGAAAAGCGACAGCGCCGTCCACCAACTACTAGTTCCTCCGCATTTGGTGTGTCCGTATGCACATCATGTACGTAGTACAGCCGTAAAAATAGCAACTGCCATCAGGTACCAGGTACTGTACCAAGTACAGTTGCTGCTAATGCGCTGGGATAGCCCCCTATATTTGGGCTACAATTGTACGTAGTATGTAGTACACCCCCCGACTTCGCCTCACCTGATGCAGCTTAAGGTTGGCTCTGTCGCGTTTTGAGTATATTACTCGTAATCAGCCACAACTTTAATCTCATCGCTAATCGAAGGGGCTGAGGCAGGAGAGCAACACGAAACATGTTTCCCACAAAAGCCAAGTAAATAAAGCCGCTCTGCGCCCATAATTACGTAGTACTAGAAGAGGGTTTGTTTGCCAAGTCGCTCCTTTTCATACTCTACCTCGCCCTACGTATCCTGGCCCCAGGGTTCAATTAATCTTATTTTAGCAGCCTCTACGCTCTTCCCCTAGACAATGGGGGTATCGTTTTGTTGATTTTTAAAGAGCAAGAACTTGACAAGTCGGCAGTTTGACTGCGGATGTTTTAAAATGCCTTTTCGTAGAGCGAAGAACGCATGTATTGCATTAGAAGTCTTGAATTTAATGATATGAAAGCCCACTTGCTCGCTGCGAGTGGCGGTATCGAGGGAGTAAGCATAAGCATGCCTGCATTACTTACGTAGTGTGGCATAGCAGGATGGATGGAATGCCTGCCCAAAGAATATTATCTCAGCGTATGATCCTCTAACTACTAGGTACGCAGTACGTAGGATCATCAAGCGCTCTCGATATGGTTGGCTCAACTACAACTGTACGACTGTAGAATCTATTAGCGACCCCATCAGAACGTTATTTGGACCGGAAAACAACTCCAGCGTTACCACTTCGGAGTTTACAGGTTCAACATTCAAATCAAAGAGGTACATATTGTTTATTAGTATGCTTGCTCTGGAGGAGAAACAACTCAGGAGACATATTCCATTAGGGATCATAGCTCCTAACAGTAGTTGTTTAATAGCCAAGAGTTGTACATTCCGTCTGATATTCCTTCGCTATCCCGGCTTTGACAAAGACCATAGCTAAGAGCTCGTACCATCACTTTGACGCTTGGATGTTGATCCTGGCCCACGGTCCCATGTGCTTACAAGGTGGATATCATCAAAGTCACTAATGGATATCCTGGGGTTAACCGGGAAGCAGTTCAATTTCTATGGTCAACCAACCCCGGAGCCAAGTTTCAAAACTAGGGACACGCAAGGCTGGCGAACCCAAACAAAAGATATTGGGACTTGTTATATCCTTTTGGGGCGCAGAGCTCGTAGCTCATGGCGGTATTTTTAAGTAGGCGCAGTCACACCATGGAAATTAATCCTCCAAATGTTTCCCGGGAAACAACTCCTACAAGCTCTCAGGTTCTACTCTTGGTGGATCACTTTTTTTATAAAAGCATAGCTATCTTCTCTTGGAAAATTATCATTCGGACTCTCAGGCTGCATCTCAACAACCCAACCACAATAAAAAACGGCGCATCCATATCCAAAAACACTTTCAAGTTGCCTTTCTCTCCATTTTCAATTATCCAATCATGAAATTTTCAAACACACTGGGGCTGCTTGGCCTTGGGGCTGTCGTTGTGGCGCTCCCCGCTGACATTACGGAACGAGCTGATCAACCGTGCTATCCACAAACTATGGACAAGGGCAAGGTAAGTTCCCTCTTCTACTCCCCACTATTCATGGTGCCAACACTTTTCTCAAGGCCTATCGTGAATGCCCTAAGAAATTCGCGGTCGACAAAGACGGACATTGCGCCGAGGCACTCCAAAATATGGAAACCGCTGTTAGAGGCTGCCTTGGTTACTGTGAAAAGAAAATCACCGCCTCCTATGGTCCTGAAGTACCGTTCAATCAGGGCGTATGCCAAAGTGACACCACTTGTTCGATTTCAGCGGGACAGTCAGTGACCGTCACCAACAGCTATTCACTCACGGGAGGTGTGACCGTTGGCACCAAAAGAGACGAATCTTCGCTTTTTGAAAGACAGGCGGCAGCTGCTGGATTGCCGTCTCTCTCAGCTGCTGTTAATCTTGGTGCTAGCTACAGCTGGAGCGAAGCTGTCGCCTACACAGTGGCCAGCACAATGACAAAGAATCTCGATAAGGATACATGCGGATACTGGACTTTTATACCTTATATCATGCAGTAAGCCATCCCATTTTATGTCCTTTATTCATTCTATCAGAGCTTTAAATTGACATGATCGTAGGACCTGCGGAGTCATGACGTCTTCCAAGCAGCTCAGCAGTGGCGCCAATCCCATAAATCCCGCAAGGTGCGAAATGAAAAATTTCAAGGATACCAAAGATTACTGCGTCAGTTTTCCTTTCAAAGACAAAAAAGGCTTCGCCGATGGCGAGATCGTTTTTGTCTACGTCGACTGCGAAACCCAGAAACCCAAGACGACTGGCCAAGACAACGCCTACAACTGGCCTGGTGTTCGGCCAATGACTCAAAAAGAAAAAGAGGCTGACGCCCTGGAAAAAGTGAAACTAGCAACTCTAGCAATGATGATCGGCAAGGGCAAGGGGAACTAACTTTGCTGTGCGAGTATCTGCTTCTAGACCGCACCGATTGGGGAGAAAATAACTCGAATTGGTCGGCTTTTTTTCTTCCCCTCTGTTTGCAATTTTCCTGTATATATCTGTTATTCTCGCCGCCTGGTGTTGATTTTTGGTTCCGGGCATCGTCCTCCGGGTTGTTTATACCCCCCCAGGCCATTGCATTGCATGGCCCACGCTGTTTTAGAAGAAAACCATGTGGTTTGGTGGTGGATATGGACTCTGATTTTATTTATATCCTTGGCTCTACTGTATAATATAGATACAAATACCACATACAACGATATACCACAACACCAATCATCCCATCCTATCTAGTACATACCTTGCCTAGGTACCTAGCCCTCTATCACTGGATCCTCATTACCCGTATGTGTTTTGCTCCATCCAGGAATAACTGTATATGGAAAGAGGGGGTTACATTGGCTAACCAGTCTCCGGGCAGGATCTGAACCCTGAAGCCTCGCGGAGTACATCATCCCTGGTTCCTGCAGCCGCTCCGAGGAGGTTTGCGCATTTAACCAAAATATACATCAATCATCCAACCATCCTTGTACCTACGTTATCTCCGAAATGCTACATATAAATCCAATCCAGACCTAATACATACCCAGCTTGTATCTAGGTAGGAAAAGTAAAATACAACCTGCTTCTGTTGTTTTCCGTATAAGCGAAATCGAGGAGATTGGTATCGAAGGGGTTTAACTCGTTTTATCTTACTGCTAGATTTTTATTAGGGGTGTTGTATAGATTGGCTGGACATTTACATTTTACCGTGGATAACGTTAACAGAAGAGTCCGCTACTTAATTGGCCTTTTAGGTAGGTAAATGGGTTTAAGTTGAGTTGGGTAGTGACTTGAGAATCAGCTAATGAGTTTAGCAAGGCCACGACTTAACTCGACTCACTTCACACTGTTCGTGGGGTGTTTGTACTCTTTAGGACGTTGTAAGTAGAGATATAAACTAGAACTGTCTCTTCCCTTTATAATGATACCGCGGGTAGAGACCTATATATGTGTAGTCACCTACTACCATAAGCAACATTCGTAGAAATGTCGGTGAATCCGCCAGAACACCTATATATACAATTGGAACCAAGCACGTTTGGCAATTATGATAGCGACGCAATAAAAGATTCAATATATCATCTCAATCCATTCATTCATACCCTACGCTACCTAAGCATTTCCGCTCCTACCTAATCCCAGCACATAAAATCATCCCATCGCATTCCATCCGAACCAATCTTACACGTTCACATTGCCTTATTGGCATTAATAAATCTAACATCGAGCACAGCAACCTTCATGCAATGTTCGATGCTAAATAAACATACACATCACACCACATCACACCACATCTTTAGCATTTCACTAAAATTTCACCACTGATCCTTCATATTTCCATTTTCCATTTGCCTAGCATACGTTCGACGGAGGCGGGTAAAGGAAACCTCAGTGATATCTGAAAACAAAAACTATTTGGGGTATAACCTCCTCTGCATGTGTCGGGAAAACACCTGCCTGCCCGACCGCGGGCTCGCTGCAACGAAAAATGCGGGTGATAATATACATGTATGGTGGAAATGAGCATCTGAAAAAGGGGGCATTAAGTATTACAGTATTCGAAAATGTTGTGACAAGCAAGGCTATGGCGCCGGGCCAGAGCCGCTCATCTATGCGTAGGGGCATTGCTGAAGTTGAGAATGCTCAACCTGCGTAGTTGCGTGTTCGTTTCGTTTCGTTATTTATTTCCACATTAAATCCGCTCAGTCGAAGAATGACTGATCTTCAACAAGTCCTAGATATCTTAGATTAGCTTGAGTCCCTCCCCCCCCCTTGGGCGGGCTTGTGCACTTACGTCCGTCTGACCTGCTATTATTTGGCTTTCGCTGGCCAAGAACGTTCCCCATTCCAAACATGCTACTCTCTCTTCTCTTCTTGTTTCCTTGTCCAGGCTGCGACTGGTATTGTCTGTGCGCATCTGATCCGCCGCCGAATTGGTCATATGCAGGACCACCCAGGGTGGGCGTAGATCTGCCATACTCTGGCCCTGCCATGGTCGGAAAATTCCCTATAGCAGATGGATTAAGAGGTGTAAATCCAGTATCATATGCCGGGGGTTGCTGTTGCTGGGCTCTATGCTGCATCGATGCCGCCGGGGGTTGAGCAACGGGGAATGATTGTTGGCTGTAGGAGGGGGTTGGTAGCTCCTGAAACTTTTGTCGGCGTGGAGATCGGATATCCTCAGGGGTTAAAGGAGGAGCTGTCACGGTAACCTCAACGGGAGAACCCCCGTGCTCATTAGGATCTTCGCCAAAGATCCCTTCGTATTGTTGAAGGAATAGGGCAAAGACCGGCGCAGCTATGTTGAGCGTGGGAGAGAAAACAATACCGACATTACGGACAGTCATCTTGTTCGTATCGGAGTGGTTGATGATGTTAATGAGGAAACCAGAGAGATACCGCAGGAGCATATTATTCGCTCGGGGAAGTCGGTAGACTAGACCATTTAAAGCGCTGATCTTCTCATTAACGTCATATAGCTCAGTGACAGCCAAGAATTCCAAATGGAGTTCCCTTGTTAGGATTGTGGTTGGCAACTCTCGGAGGTATAATTTGAGGAGTGAAGCAACAGCATGGATATCGTAGTACTGGTCGTCCGTGACGAGATTTACATCTCCCTCAGTGTTGAAGCGCTCGCGAAGCTGCTTGATAACGACGTTTGATCCGCTCAATCTGAAAATGCCCTCCTCGCCCGCTGCATTGTTAGCATCGAGGTATTCAATACATCGATAGACCACAGCTGGTAATTCAACATTGACATCGACTGGGTGATTGTATCTAACAGCTTCCCCAAGCGGTGCTCCGAAAACAGCCCTGATAGGTCCATGCTGCTCAAAGGCCATCTGTGACAAGTTCGTCTGCGAATCATTTCCGCCTACATCTTGGGATTCGCTTGACACTCGAGGTTTGGATCCAAATCCGAAAAAGCTGCGCTTCTTTTGTTTAATCCTCTCGTCCGAGTTGGCTGGGGCTAATAAATTCTGCTTGTTTCCCCATGATCCAACATCCTGAATGACATGCGCATTCTTCGGAGCAGATATACTCTTTGGCAGCTGAGGATGCGGCTGAGACTGAGGGTATGACTGAGACGATGGTTCTCGGTTGCGGCCATGAGTCGGTGGCGACGGTGTCTCGGAATTCTTATTCCTTACACCATGTGGTATGCTACCCTGCTTCGTATTTTCGTAGCTTATCCCACGGAGATTCTCTTCTGTAAGTTCGGGAAGAGTTTGACTTCTTTCAGAGCCATACATCTTTTTCTTCGCCTTCAATCCATTTACGTGACCTGATCCTGATCCCCCAGAATTAGAGCGGCCATGCGCACGATGTGGAGGCTCTTCATCCTCCGAGTCTTTGAAATCCACGTATCGGAGCAAAGCTTCAACCCATTGATCACGTTCAATATCGCTCTCGGCGCATAGAACATGTCTCACGAGGCTAGAAGAGTCCTTACGTTTCGGTTCTAGGATGAGGAAGGCATGTCGATACTGATTTTCTGGGTCATCATCTCCTCGTGATGGAGATTGATCGGTTTGCTGCTGTTGCTTTCCGATCTGAGCATTCTGGAGCTTGATCGTGCCAAGGTGAGGCCCACCCGGAGATTCATAGTATTTGAAAACAGGGCCGTCCAAGACAAAGAATCGAGCCTTCCACCCGCCAAAATTCTTGCCTCTCTTGGTCAAATATCCGTTTTTCAAGGGTCTGCCACCTGGACCGGTTTTAACAGGACTTTCGTTTCCTGGCTCAGGTGAGGCATCTTCCATATGGGATGATAGTGCGTTTGTTGATAAATATCTGCAAATTTCAAGAGCGGATGCGGTATCCATATGGGTGTCCAATATTTCATCCAGATACTTGTCGAGCGCCGCGCGCCTTGCATCAATTTTAGCAGGAGCATGCCCACTGAATAATGACTTTTCGGGTGGCGTGGCTGTGAATGTTGGGTATTGTTTAAGCACTTGATCCAAACGGAAAAGCGAAGAGGAATCCTTTTCTACTCTCCAAAGCTCTTGACGGTCTGATCTGCTGAAAATTGCTAGTGTGAAAACCGGATCCTCTTCAATGTTCTTCGGGAACATCATGCTTGCTCTTGAGGGCTTTAGACGAGAAGAGGCAACCTTCACATCTATAGACGGAAGCGCATTTGGTGGAAGTAATAAACCAGGATATTCTTCTGTAACCAATCCCCGATAGATTGAGTCTGAAGGGCTCTGATGAATTGGTGAGTTTTCTTCTTTGGCGCTGTCACTCGAGGCATCTCCAGGTTTCTTGGAAATAATTAGAGGTTTTGGTGAAACTAGCTGTAAAGGTTTGCCCTTAGGTAAGCCTGGTGACGCTATTGACATTGGTGTATTTGGCGGTAAAGGAATAGGTTGTCGGGGAGCCCTTGGCGATAGAGGAACCGCCCCTGGAAATCCAGCCATGCCACGGGGAGACATGGGTGGAGAGTTGAAGGAAGAGTGGCCAGATGATTGTCGCAAATGGGGACTCATTCCTCGGTCTGTTGGCCGCGGGCTCGACGGAAGACCAGGGCTCATTAAAGGAGGTGATAACACCCCCGTACCCGAAGTGTCGTTCAATATACCAGCCAAAGACCCAGCATTAGATCCATGAGGAGAAAGTAGCGAATATTCGGGGGGAGATATTGGGACGGTTGGTCGAGGGCTTAGCGGCATTGGATCCGGAGCGGATGAAATTTCACCTTCTTTCGGAGTTGTAGGCTTCGATTTCGGTGTACCCTTCGCACTTCCCTTACCGCTTCTTTTAGACAGACTCCGTAATTCGACTTCCTTCATCGCGGCAATTTCACGCCGCCTATCATCCTCCTCTCTGGTTTTCCGCCGTCCTCGTTCGGGAAATACGGGTATCTCGTCAACTTGCAGTATATCATCATAGTCGGAATCAGTATCTTCTACAGTACCGGATGCCTGGCGGAGGTGGGAGCTTGGATTGGCGTCCTTGCCTAGATTCAAAGGTGCGGGTGGGGCTTTTCGTGGAGGCGGAGGAAAGGCTGATAGTCCACCATCGGGATTCGGAGATGGTCCAATGACCGCTAGGGTAGGAGTTTGGCTGGACATAGGTACCTTTGGACGGGGGATATTTGGCGGAGGCCCCTTTGGGGGATCCGAAGGTAAGCTCCTGGATGGAGGAAGAGAAACATTGTACGGGACTTCTCGTATAATATCAGTTGCCTTGTCTTTTCTCTGCTGCTGGCCGGCTTCAAATCCACCGACTGGGGTATCAGGATTATATTGTTGGAAAGCATGTTGGGTTGGCGATGGCATTCTATGTTCGGCTTCAACTAGGGCAGTTAATGCAGGGGTCTGCGTCTCGGGCTGGAGTAGGTTCGCGGGAGGGGTGATGGGATATGGGGCCAAGGCAATGTCAATCGGCGAGGGTGGATGGTTTTCTTCCTCCTGTACTGGATCTCGTAGCCCGGCAGATACCAGCGCTCCAACATTTTCGGATTTGGATCCCTGTAACGTCGTTCCTTCTGATGCAGAGGATCCCGCGTCAGAGGCACCCATACCCTTAGTCGAATCGACCGGCGAAGGATTTGCGATCTGGGCGAGGCTTTCCTTCAACTTCTTGCGGTACCGTTCCTTGTCCTTCAGCGCTCGTTCTAGATCCTTGTTCAACCCCAAAATCATAGCCCGTTGCTTGTCTACCAAACGCCATAGCTGTGAATTTTGTGCCGCCTGAGATTGCTTTTCTTTGAGAAGATGCTGTATTACCGTTTCCGGGGATCCTGCTGCCTGTATAAGATTGGCAATGTCGGGAGCGCCGCCAGATTTCAGATCCTGTGAGGATTTGTGTGAGTGTGTGCCGCCTGATAATGACGATACGGCAGAGCCTATGGAGGAGGTTCGTGGAGGTGCCCGCGCCATGTCGACACGGTGCTGTGGAGCGGTGGTAGCCATAGGTAGACGCGTGTTCGAATTCGAATTCGAATTCGACGAGGCTCCCGAGGACTTGGAGATTAGGATTGGGTCAGACACACTTCGTGAGGCACCATTCGTGTCGTTGACAGGACGGCCGTAGCTAGAGATTAAATCAGCATACTATCTAAGGCAACATCGAGGATTACGCCTACCGTGAAGGCTTCTCGTCTGCCACGGACTCTCGCTCTGTGGATGATCCTTCAGTCTCAGACCGGTAGAAACTCTGCTCAGAGGCCAGTAGGTCGTCCAGACGCTCCTTTGGCGATCGAGGTCCTTCGTGAAGGTTGTATGGTGGAGTGCCCGGGGAGGACAAAGTACGATCGACACCAGACCTGACAAAGGTAGTTCTAGTTGGCGTAACACTGGCTGGCGGCGATGTAGCAGTCGTACTCGTTTGTAGGGGACTAGGAATAGCCTTGCGCTGAAACCTAGAAGACAAGGACGACGTGAGTTACTACGTCTAGATACACGCCGTTGCCGCGTACAATGTGAGACTCGAACGTACCTCTTTCCGGTCTCTGAAGCTGACGGCTGATTGTTTGGCGAGTACTGCGAGTGACCTTGGGCCTGGCTGTCAGAGGGACCATCGCGCTGCTGCGGAAGCTGTGACATGGCCTACGAGCTCTGACACCGTCGACTGAAATCTGCTCTGCGCTGCAGATGGGGGGGAGGGCAGCGGGGGGGCGGCAGAAGGCAGGCAACGGTACCAATTGGCTGTCATGCGCGGCGCTGGGCAGAAGCTCATTCACGGTGACCTTTGGGAAAAGGTTGTGGCGCCTGATGGGTTGAAATTGGGGTTGCGAGTTTCGAAAAGCCTGGCTGATCCTGCTTGATGTCGCACGTTTGCGGAGGTCGTTCAGGCGAGTGTGGTGAAGAGTCTCGAACGCAGGCCGGACCGTGTCGACACAATCGGAGGACACGACAGGAAGAGAGAGCCAGGCGAGGAATGGGAGAGAGCGCGAAAGAGGGCGTGCGCAACGTGGCGCGCCAGTCGTAGGGGTAAAGGGTATATGGGATTTATGGGGTCTATGGGGTCTATGGGCTTATGAGAGTTAAGGACAGGGAGAGAAGAAGTATGGAGTAGTATGGAGGGTGAAGAGAGGGTTGTCCTCCGCATACTAACACATAGCGCTAGTTGAGTATTGTGTGTCGAGGTGTACGTGGTACTTGGTACTTGGTACTTGGCTGCACAGATAATGTTTGTAACTCTTTACGGGAAGTACTTGGTAGCCACAGGAACAGGATAGGTAATAATATCAGTGTGCTTGTAGTTTTACGGAGCACAGCAACAGTGTGAATACGTGGTACGTAGCAGACGACGGGTTATTCGAGGCAACTAGGAGAGTCAGGAGGGTCGCTAGGAAATTACTTGTGTTGTGTTTATGAGGTTAATCCTTCGTACTTCGTACAGAGCCATAACATAAGTACGGACAAGGCTCGTTCAAGAACTGGAGAAGAAGGCGACGTCCTTTTAGGTGTGCCATGAAGCGGCCAATACAAGCCTACAGCAAAGAGCCCTGAGGATTTCAGAACGCCAGCTTGCTCCGGTCCACCAGCAAGCCCCGTATATCTGTACGAAGCCCCGAGCAAGCACACCGGCAGTGGACATGGCGGGCCTAGCACCGTCCTGAGTCCACAGGCCCCCCCTTTTCCCTTTTGGCCCCCCCCCCTCCCAGCCCTCCCTTATATACCTAGAGATCTCACTGCTACTTCGTACTGGTCGTCCACGTAGCCACCGGCACAGTCCTCCCAGTCCTCCCACCTACCTGCACGGGATATTGTCCGAGGCGCAACCAGCGAACTCGTCCGAAGCATGGAAATTTGTCACCGGTTGCTTGCATGCAGCTGTCTGCTACTGCATGGGGCCGTTCTGCAGGTACGCGGACGTTGACGGGAGTACTTCGTTGTAGTCACTCTGATGAAGGCCCAAACCCACGCCCAAACCCCCGCCCCCCCCCCCAAAAACGACTGGATGGCTCTTTAGCCCATGGCTAAACTGCAAATCCACTTCAACATATCAAGCAGTTTGCCCTCCGTGGTGGTACTGTATACAACTTCCAAGTCTTCCTAAGACTCAACCGTTCAAATATAGAAAATCTCCATGAGGTATCCATGAAAGCAGCTAGCCATAACCGACTTATATACTTTTCACTGTGTATATGACCTCCCTTCCGGACCAGGATTCTCCCCGCATATGCACTCAGTCAGCGCTTCAGGTATCCGAATCTGCTATATCCTGCATATGCTTTGTCCAAAGAATGGGGTAACAGGGAGGGGACGGGACTCGCGGTAGTATTTCAGAAGAATCGAGGGGTGCATTGGGATGAAACTTAGAAACATGTTCCCCATCGCTTGGGTTGTTAAATACGCCGGGTCGTGGTTAACCGACCGTCTCGGAATTCGGTTTTTTCTTCATGAGCGGCGATCATCAGCTGAGGATCTGGAAAACGAGCAGCCGAGCAAAGCATTTTCATGCGACATAGCACATCCGTCTATCCTTATAAGTTATATGTTTGTTTTCAGTTGCCAGGGTTGGGTATTCGATTTCCCAGCCAGCGAGAAGATACGATGTGTGTGCCTTGCATCTACAGGAACGCAGAGTTGATGCCGACTTGTTCGTAATCTCAGCGCTAATAGAAACGAACCGCAGCACGGACAGTACTTCGTCCGGAGGTACTCCAGTCTCCAAGCCTCCAACCACATCAATTGGAAGCTAAACTGTTTTCCGAAACTGTCCAAGCTGTCTTGTGTTGAGGAACTTGCTTGAGGTATTTAGTAGATGATTAGATTCAGCCCGAGTTGATCGTATCTGCGAATCATAATAATAGACTTGACGAATACTACTCGAATGGCTGGGCTCGTACTCACGACCACGCGCCTGATGATACCACTGCTACACAGTAATAAGATATCAGGAGGTGAGAGTAGTCCTATTTTGGACCCGCCAATTCCTGGCGGCCACATCACCAAATCTGACAGTTCGGGGGCATCTGGCTCTTGAGGGCGAACCACAGAGTGCAGCACTACAAGCGCTACAGTGGGCTAGCGGAGAAGAGCGGTGTGAGCGGTGATACCCTAATAACAGAGCTGTACTTCGTGCTCCGTATACTTGATGTGATTTAAGGGTCCTTCGCCGGAGCCCTTAGAATCCCTGGATGCCGAGCCAGCAATCGAGGAGTATTGTTGAAACAAGAAGGTCGTCAGTGCCAGGCCTGCGACGTCTGGGCATCAACGATACAATTTGGGATAAATCGTTCATCCAGAAGGTTGACTTCTTGAGGTTCTTCGACCTGACTTCGGATATCTCCCACCTCCCACACTCTCCTGTTCAACCACATCGCGAATAGTAATGGTCAGCATCCCTTCGTGCACGTTGTCGAGTTGGCGCCCGCCTAGGGGAGCACTGTGGATCCTTATCGAGGACCCCTGATTCCCCGTGCCCTTTCGCCTTCTGGACGACTAGTGCCTGATAAGATCGTCTCAAACGGTATGATGTCAGTCACTAGAGTGTGATCTACGAATTTCATAACGCGGATGGGACGAAAGTGGATGGAGTTGAGATGATTGAACGTGTGACAGATTCAGGGGGTCCATCGGTCACGTGTTGCTTGAAATTCAAGAACCTAGGTAAACAGCAGCCAATCAGCGCGTTGTCCTCATCCCCCCTTTTTCAACCTGTTCCAAGCTTTATTACCTCGTACACTCTGTTTTGAGTTTCTCGTCTTGTGGATGTCACCAACTCCCTGCGTTGCAGTCGTAACAGCGTATGATTCGTACCTTCATCTTTTCCACTTGTCGGTCCTTTGACGCGATGATCCAAGTTTTTCGGCGAAATGCTGGCCGTGTGCGGCTTCCCTTACCAATCACAGCGTCAGACTCACCCCTCCATCATAAGTTTCTGCAGCCATGTCGTGGTTTTCCCAAGCCTTAGTGCTCTAGGCCTGGTGTTGGTGTGTGAGCACATTACGAATCTGTTGCTTTGTCCTAGGCATAGACGGATTTAGGAGCCTGAATACTCAGCTACTCTCAAGCCTCCACACCCGGAAATCCCGTGCCAAACGGGAACATGTCAGCATTCCTCTCTCGTGAGCCTCGATGGCTTCCGCTCTGCCGATTTGACACACTTGCACCTACTCCAAATAAACGACAGGAAGAAGCTTGTGGATGGGAAGCTAGGCCGGGTCTTTCTGGCAGCTACTCCCATTGCCCAATATCCAAACTCTCATTTACCTCTCCTGCCCTATCAACGGGGCCGCGTATGGCATTGCAATTAAGTTTGCTCATCTCAATTAAACAATCACATTCCAGAAGCTAAGCACATGCAAGAAACTCCCCAAGTCAAAACCATACATAGAAACTAGGTTCTTCAGCGCAGCCACCCGTCTCCGGTGCAAACGCATGCACTCTGCAGCCCTAGCGGAGCCGCATAAGTGCTGCCCGTTATTTCCCGCCTGCAATTCGTAACTGCGCCTTTCCATTGTGCATGAAGGCCTTGTTCTCCTTCGAAGAAGGCTATCAGCGTCTGCGGAGAAAGCTTGGTCTTGGGCCCTGGGCGGTAGCCTTAAAGAATCAAGGCTTTGGAACTCACTAGTCAAAGGTACTATTTCCCGCTATAGCTATATAGCGAAGCATGTTACACGGAGACGGCTTTTATTCATAATCTTTTTGTTGCAGCTAAATTATCTCCGCAAGGCCCGCTGACTAGTATTAAAATATCATAAATACGAAAATTGCCGACATCGACCGTGGTGCTACCACGGAGCCACTCCAGTTGAGCAGTAGAAAGGGGCAACGAATTGTTTATTATCCGCCGGATACGTATCGCCTCAAAGAGTACATAATTTTGCGATGAGGAGGGAGCATTGCTTCTGTATTCATACTTGCATCGTGGTAAATATTAGTCTATATATGCGGCATGGGAACCTTTGGGAATGGATAGGGGGTGAATTAATAGTACTATATAAATTACCTAGCGAATGTATGTTCCCCGGAAATGCTAGCGAGATATTGTTTGACAAAGACTTATGTTGTAATTTTAATCACCGTGGACATGAGCCCCTGGTAGTAGCCACAGTTACCAGGTGTTCCTACATTCACATACGTAATTCTATGTATGAATTGCCTACTAGGCGCTCTATCATTCTTCGGCCATCTCCTGATGGCTTCATTTAGCCTCTTGACGACATCAACCACTACCTAGGGAGTTCATCCTGGAGCTGAAGAGCTATAATATAAAATTATCAGAGTATGCCCCAATACTCCTTCCCTAGGTGCCCCATTAATTGCCAGGAAACAGAACCCTTTTCTCTGCAAATAGATCAGGGCATGACGGCAAGTAAAACGTGCGGGATCTGAGCTCCTTATTAGATGTTTTGTAGTACCCGGCCGATGTTGGTTCCGCGATACAGAATCTCATAAGCATATCTGAGCCCGTTATCATCGTAAACGGATGCGGGTTATACCCAAAATAGCGGGCCATCTCCTCTGGCTTGATACAGGGGGAAGGTACCAAGCAAGCTGGCGTCCGTGAACAAAGGACACCAGACGAAAGAACAACAGGGAATGGCAGAAGCAGTAATATATTTAAAAGGAATTTAAAAAAAACAAAGTGTCTTTACTAGAGTATTGAAGGGGTCACTAGAAAAAAAGTTCAAAAGAAATACATCACTTACGAAGTTGACTTACCCATCGGGGTTCACCTAGGGCGCACCCCAAGTTACTAACCCACCTACCTATTAAATGGGCATCTCTTAAGTTTTATTATATGCCACTGGTACTCAAGGGTAAACGTACAGAAAGCTTTATTCTCTGTTGACATACTGTCCTGCGTGTTCTCGTTGGGAAGGCGCTCCTCAGCAAAGCAAACTGCCCACCTTGTGGTGCTACCGAACGTAGAACCGATCTAGGTATGGACCTTGGGCAGACTATACCCGAAAGAAAATAGAGCTATCAAAGTATCGTGTCTGGAGGTAGCGAATGGGTTGGAACGCTGAGCTTCAGTTGGCTGAACGAACCAAACTGAGAAAGCTGGTCTAGCTAGACAGACAGTAAAGAAGGTACACGAATCTGAATTGTGCTGCAAGAAATTTGCTGTTCCACTTGCTGCTTCATAGCTCCATGACTCTATATTGTTATGTTGGATGTTATGTTAACGGCCTCGAGTGAATCTGCGAGAATATATTGGAGGGGCTGCGGAATAGGATTCGTCTGGTGTAGGCTATCTTCCTATGCAAGAACATAGAGCCTACTAGAGATGACGGTAAGTTAGAGACGATGCGTTTATTAATAAATCTGAGATAGCAGACGAGAAGGGAAGCACTGCGGATATTACTAGTTTGGGTGGAGAGCTGCGGGTTTGGTTCTATAATCGTCCATCATAGCTCCTGAATATGGTCTCAGGTTGCTATCCACGTCACTTAGAAACTCCCATGTCAAGGTTAGCGGCTAGAAAGCTCATTCCAAGTCAACTTCTGGCCATTCTGCGACTTCACTGCTCTATACGTGTCTTGTATCTAAGCTTTGCTTATTGCATGTGGTGTATGGTGTCTGGTTGTCCACCACGCTTGCTATTGACCAATGCTGATTATTTCTCAAAGTTTATTCTAACGTAGTATCCCATCGTCTTTGAAGGCCTTGTGGCGCTCTTGAGTTCAATTATAAATGTATTCGCTCTAATAACATATTGTTGTTCGGGTGTTGATAGCTAGGGCGAGGAAGCCGTTGTTATGTTGCGGCGAGTAGCGCGATAGTAATATAACCTTCTCAAAAGCTAAAATTTAGCCGTTGATCAAAGATATGAGGACACGAGGGTAGATATTGACAAGCTGCGGGGGTGTACTAAGATAGACATATGGAAGGCAATCAAGGAGATAGCGCGTAGATCAAGGGGATACAAGCCACGTTTAAATAGACGAGGCCACATAGTAGCTAAGGCACCTTACATAGAGTCGAACTCCTTCAACTCGCATTAGATAAAAGTGAATACCGTATGGCCGTGCTACACCGCGATCTCGCCTACTCTGCCCACGCGAAAAAGCCCTCGCTTCCAAAACAAGGAGCTATTCAAAGCAAAATAAATCGTATAAAAAATGAACAAAAAAAGAAAGCTCAACAAGAGTATTTAAGGAAGCCGTCGGCCTCCGAGAGTCATGATATCTGCACTGTCGAATGCTCTCGCAAACTTGTTATCAGCGTTAGGCATGTACTCTGGAAACGGACGTTGTGGCTCATTCTTAATTGTTACACCGAAAGTTATGGGTAGAACTTGATGTCAAGTGAGCCACAGGAGCTCACAAGGGCTATGTTGTGAGGGCACAAACGCTTATTGTGCAATATATTGGTATTGTGAGGACGCGGCGGTGGGCGGTGGGCAAAAAAGGCGATAAAGTGAATTTAAGCGTTGGGCCAGGGGAGGGCTGGTGGACCTGGGTTGGTCAACGAGCTTAGAGGCGAGGTCAGGCTCACTCAACTCTTCATGTGTGGTAAGGTAGGTATGCTTCCATACATTCCTATTCAAGCTACAACTTGACTCCAGCCACTTTCGTAAACTCTATCTTGTTGACACATGTTCCAACGCCTTCCAGTTCAACTTCTACAACATCACCATCCTTCAACCAGAGCTGCGGTTTCCTTCCCATGCCTACACCTTCCGGCGTGCCCGTGAAAATCAAATCTCCAGGCAGAAGAGTGGTTCCCCGACTCAAGAACGCAATAGTTTTCGCAACACTAAAGATCATACCATCGGTATTACTGTCCTGCATCGTCCTCCCGTTGACCTTCGTGGAGATGCGCAGAGTTTGCGGATCACGGAGCACTTGTGTGCTTACGATTCCTGGGCCATAGGGGGCCCACCCATCGAAGCCCTTTCCAAGGCTCCATTGCCCACCACCACCCTGGAGCTGCCAGTCCCGATGGGAGACGTCGTTACCGACAGCATAGCCCAAGACGTGGTCTAGGGCTTTGGATTCTGGCACGTCGGAGCAGGCTTTACCGATTATGGCGACGAGCTCACATTCATAATCTAAACCCGTGCCTTCTTGGGCAATAGGATGAATAGGAATTGGGTCTGTCGGGCCGCTGAGAGAGGTGATGGGTTTGTACTATACGGATGTAAGGCCCCTGATACGGGTTCGAGGAAACCGACTCACAAATAGAACAGGGTTTTTGGGAAGTGGCATATTTGACTGAATACAGTCAGCATATATCTCTTATCTAGATATCTTGGAATTAAACTTACTTCTCTTGCATGCTTCTCATAATTGAGACCTAGGCATCTCACCGTTTTCACGTCGTCTAATGCTAAGGGCGATAGCAACTTCCGGATGTCGGCTATCTGATTGGTAACACGGTGCTTCCCGAATATCTCGCCTTGTATAATTCTGGCTTGTTTTGCTTTTGAAATGTCCGTTATCCCCTTTGGTAGGATTGCATCCCCATAATAAGTCTTGCCATCTTTGGCTAAGAATCTAACCAAACGCTGTGAAGGTTTAGTGGGCAGCGGGGTGTAAGCGGTCTTGCACTTACAGAAAAGAGTGACATTATGCTCAAACACTTATAGCTCCAACTCTTAGTTTATATTTCCAAGTCTTAGTAGTTATTATACTTTTGACTAGGAAAAGGGGTAGCTTTCAGGACGACGGACGTTCAGTTTGCCTCGGCTGCAGTGGGGCTCACACTGCCCCTGTGCCTCTCGGAATACTTTCCGTCCCAAGTCTTCCCGAACCGAAACTTTATTGTCAACGTCAACAATAGTGACCAAAGCTTGCGTATGCGATTGAAAGATCCCTCCAACGATATCATTTGCGATGAGGTACTCCGGGTTGCAGAGAGACGTACTGGCCCTCTACCGCAAATGCCTGAGGGAGAGCAGGAAGAAACCGGCGGTGAGTACCAAGAAAATTAACGCATTATCGGGTTAATTCTGACCATATATAGAGTACCCGGGCACACTTCGAGGCTTTCGCAAGGTAAGCCAGAGGATTGTGCTTTTATTTATTCATTTTACATTTTCGTGGAAAAATGGGCTAACTCTAAGCCACTAGGAAGGAATTCCAAAAACACCTTCATTTCGACAAGAAGGACTTTTCTGCGATCGAATACCTCTTACGCAAAGGGCAAAGGCAGCTTGAGATGTATTCCTCCCCGGGCATCAAAGATATCCATTAAAAGCGAGGAATTAGTAGGATCCGGGCACACATTGTGACTGTTGTGATAGCGCTCGTGCGGCTAGTTACTCAAGCTGGAAGACACGGATCTGAGGCTGGGTAGAATCTACATACATTTTAAGGGGACGAATCGGGGATCGACATTGCCAACAACCCACCGACCTCGAATACTAGCTCGATAATTCTCCGACCGTGACTAGGGCTAGGCCACGGCGTTTACCCCTTCCTTTAAACTCTTTACATATGTGGTTCCCCAGTTTTAGCCGCACCCACAATGCAGGCCCGTCGATTGTAGGAGAAATGGGGCTAAACGCTAACGGAATACTTGCTTGATCTGAGCAGAGCCGGGAAAAAATGTTTTCAAACTTTGGTCGCAGTTATAGATATAGATTCGAAAGAAGGGAGGGCACAATTGGCATTTGGAATCTATCTAATAACGGTGGCATTGCGGACACGCTTGTTGGACAACGGCAAAAGAGCATTAACTTGGTAAACCTAGTGCAATTCTAGAATACTCGGGATAGGTAGCGTGTATTGATAGTGTAAAATCATCTAGATGTACATAACTAGCTGAGAGTTGACGCAGCTGACAGATATGGGACTTGCCGATATGTCCACTTTTGGAATTTATAGTAAGCTTTTGAGCGTGATTTACATATTTGGTTGATGGTGATGCGGGTTTTGCATCCTGTTACATGTCGGCATGGCGTATGGACTCCTTTGAGAGAGACTCTTTTTACGAAGCGGACAACGGTAATGAGAGATTACATGCAATAATAACAGAGGTGTCCCGCCACTGGTGTCTAGAGGGGTAAGCTCTCCAGGGATAGAAAGCTACATACAGTGTGGGAAGCTAAGCTCAAAGGGGAAGACAGTGAATACTGGCTTCTGAGAGTTCTTGGCATCCGTACTGTACGGTATATGTACATATGCTGATAACGCTTTATATACAAATGGATATTTGAGATGCCTTACAAATTTACAACATTTAAGGTTGAATGGCCGTACTCGACACGCGTTAGAGGGCAATTAAAGGCAAACAGCAACTACCATTATAAAGCAACTGAAAATGATATGGTATCTAAAGTGGTGTAAAGAGTACCTACATCGAAGGAAGCAAAGGGTACCTCGATGCAAAACCTTCATCACGTTGGCTTGGTCGCAGATATTGTGAGTGGTTTCATGACGTACCTCGATGATGCAAACGTCGAATTCAATAAGGACGGTTTCATAGTTATCCATCTCAACACCATACAAGAAGTAGCAGATGCTAGTCGAGGACGCTATTCGATTCCTACTAGACGGGCGTTTCCGATCCATCATAGTATATATATTGATAGTAACTATACATTTGACAAACGTGGACAAAAAATTACAACAGCTTCTCAGTTCGACCCTCGGTACTGTAATCGGCAAAACCAAATTTGAAATGGGGTAATTTTTCTTTATGAATCCTACCTAGGTAATATACAAACAAGGGATTTCTAGCGCATTAGTAGTAGTTGCGGATCCTGATTTGAATTGATGGCCCGGGTCCTCGATGACCTGTAGTAGTGATTTCGTCGTCTCCCTTTGACGTATAAATTGGTAGCAAATTAGGACACTAGATTGGATATTATATTTGCGGTCGACTTGGTGAATATGCCTATCGTAGCTACAGGATAACGCTGCAAGAAAATATTATACTACTCATCTCTGGCTTGGGAATCTTTAGCATGGAATGGACTCGTCGCATACCGTATCAAAACGATCATAAGCGTGCGGACACTTGTCACGAGTATGACCGCATAACCGTGGAGCGTTGGCATCTATGCCTTGCGTTACAAGATAGAAGAACACGCTTATAGCAGAGGGCTAGCGCTTGGCAACGTTAATAGCGTCGAAGAGACCCGTTGCGGGGGTTTGGAAAGGTTAAAAGCAACTTGACTCGACTAAGTGATCCTTGTCTTGGTCTGGCAAATGTGGCTTTTTCGGGGACAGGAAGACGCAGGTACGAGGAATTGCTGAAGAACAGGTATTTTGCTAGTGCCAAGGCTTTAAATAAGGCACCCTCGATTCACCTATAGAGTACATGATCATTGGCTTTTATCTATGCTGTCCAAGTTCCCATTGTATCTTACAAACCGAACGCCATCGGAAATATGGATTTTCTACCGTCCACGGCCACTCTTCTTGCTCCTCTTGCCTGTCCCATTCTGCGCCGTAGTCTTGACCTTCTCCAGGACTTCAAAGTCGCCGGTGCTGGAGCTGCTGGATGGAGGTGTATCTTCCCGCTCTCCTTCAGATAGAAGCTCGTCGTCATTGGGGGATTCATGGATATAACGGCCAGCAACTCGGTGATAGGCCCAGATAGGGATACGCCAAAGGGCGGTGTCCTTCAGGGTTGGTTGGGAAAGCTCATTGGGCTGGGCCAAGTTAGTCAAGTGTGCTACAAGAGGGAATAAAGGGAGAACGTACGTCTAGTAAGAATTCATGGGTCTCGCCATCCTCATCAACCTGCTCAAGATAAACATTACCAACCGAGTCGACGACCAGAATCTTCCCATTCTCGGCGACAACTCGCTTCCTAGGCCCAGTAGCACCGACGGGGGGAGTTGCTGCAGGTGATGCTTTGGCAGCTCTGATACCCTTCGGCTTCTTCTCGGATTTATCCTTTCTGGTATCCTTCTCCTGCATTCTGCGTTGGCGTCTGTTCATGGGCTGCATCATCGGATCCGACTCTTCGGCACCAGTTGCTGCAGGAGTTGAGGTTCCGGAGCCTCCATCCACACCTGGAATGCCCAAATTGTCGCCCCAAGCAGCATGCCTGGCAAACTTAATATATCTCCCGACGAACTCTTGCTGTCTCTTCCAGCTCATGTACAGCGCAAGCCAATGCCCTCCACCACCCACGAAGACAAACAAGCCGGCCAGCACCGCACCAAGACCAGGTCTGAATCGCGCATAGTAGTAGCCAGTGCCTTTCCAAGTCGGGAATCCATTGTGTAAGAAGTGGTCGTAGCGCTCCCTGCCAGGTCCTCGCAGGATGTTGGTCACTATACCCAAGCGCGCGAATCGATCGCTGGCAGCTTTGGTCGCAGCCTTGATCTCGGCTTTGGACGGGCCCTTGGAGACATGCACACCTGGCTTGCTGCTCTTTGACTTCTTGCCGGTGGATTTGTCTGCAATAAACTTTTGCTTGACCTTGTCGGGATGCAGAAGACGGGATTTCTTGCGGTAGGCCTTGTTGATGTCGTCTTGGTTGGCGGAAGGGGTGATGCTTAGTACGTCGTAGAAAGTGACACCCGGGCCTTCGGAGGCTTCAACCTCGTCGCGCAGACGGAAGATCTCTTGGTCTATGGTTCAATTGATAGTTAGCATGGAAACCGGGCAGAGTTGACGCGCAGTAGATCGGGCAGCAACGATCAAGTAGCGCATGATCTGTCAAGACCGCTCTGCTCACCTTCTTTGCTCCATGCTGCCACAGCGGTAATAGAGCAGGCCAGAAGGCCGGCAGTAAGGAAGGACAACTTCATCGTTGGCGGTATGGTTTGAAGACCAGAGAAAGGTCCGCGCCGCTGCTGATGTGTCTTCTTAGAAGAAGGGGACCTTTTTTTTTGGTTTGAGATAATAAGGCGTGGGTGGAAGATGCAAGGATTACCGTGTCGCAGCTCTGGCTAAAGTGACTTTCACGTCGGTCCTCACTGGCAGGACTTAGCGAATGGATTCACCCTTCGTAGTTATGATACATGTACACATAGGTTATGGCTATAGAGCCTCCGAGGGCACGTCGTACGGAGCATAGCCTTTGCTTCCTCCGCAACCAATATGCTATTTTGGGGGTAATTGGGAGGATAGCACAAATAATGGTGCTGTTGTTCTGCTTTACTGGTACTGCTCCGTACTTTTTTTTCTTTACTCTGCTTTCTGTTGCGTGGCAACTCCTACAGGATCCAGTCTCAAGACACTTGGCCTGCAGCAGCTTTGGCTTTGCTGTTCCCACTGCGCTGCGCTGTGTTGTGCTCACCGGCAATCGCTTCCCGTGACCGGCATATCTGGCACGCACACCGTCCCTCTTCTTCTTCTCTTGTTCCCTTATTCCCTTTTCCCCTTTCCTCCTCCTCCTCCTCCTCTCTTCTCTACACTTTCTTCTCATCCCCATCCTCCCCGTCTGGTATCCCCATCCCCATTCCAGAGGGGACGCTTGAACTGGAGCTGGAACAGCGCTGCGGCGCCCCGTGTGGACCGCCTATTTATAATTCAGGCATCGCTGTCGCCCTTGGCTGGGACTAGGGTCCGCGGATCAGCAGCGGCGGTGCTCGAGTGCAGAGCAGCCGGTGGAGCTGCCAGATTAGAGATTAACTAAATTCCCCCTGAAAGCCCCGAAGCATCAATCACCATTATTACCACCATTACCATTGCCACTCCCACCATCACCGCCTCAATTACGAAGTATTAGTTTACTCCTACGTCTTAACTGCTCAGCATTCCTTAACCACACGGACACACCACCACGCGTTCCCTCCGCGGGCTTTCAGCTTCAATACGAGGTCAGTTGCCAGGGGACATTTTTTGCTGCCTACAGGGATGACGAGTGTGCTGACGATTTTTGAACAGATCTTGAAATTCAAAAACTACAAAGACAAAGAAAGGCCTGGGTATTCTAAATACAATTCCCTCCCTTACTTGCCGAACTCATCTCACCTCCCGCACTCCACAATCTCCACCGTGTCAATTCTAAACAACCCCCAATCTACAATCTCAGCACAGCACAATGTCCCGGATACAAATCCCAGTCGACATCCTCACGTCACGGCTTAACCTCTCGGATAAGTTTGCCAGCGTGAGGGCCCAGTCTATTAAATCCCGATTCGCCAACCTCAAGCCGATCTCTGAGTTTCTCGATCTAAAGAGGCTCTCGAAACCTGCAAACTTCGGCGAAGTCCAGTCGCGGGTTAACTACAACCTGGGACACTTCTCTAGCAACTATGCCGTCATCGTTATCATGTTGAGTATCTATAGCTTGCTCACCAACTTCCTCCTCCTATTCGTCATCATCCTCGTTGTTGGCGGCATGTGGGGGATTGGAAAGCTCGACGGCAGTGATCTGGATATTGGCTTCCTCCGTGCAACCTCGTCACAACTCTACACTGGTCTGCTCGTTGTTGCCGTTCCTCTTGGCATTTTTGCATCACCAATTTCAACTATCCTCTGGCTCATCGGCGCAAGCGGAGTCAGCATTTTAGGACACGCCTCGTTCATGGACAAACCGATCGATGAGGCTTTTTCTGGGGAGGCGGTCTAGGTGGTCGGCCGCGATCTCCCAAAGTTGTGCCCTCATGGGGAAGACCACCAGGGGCGAAGGGGAGCAGGAGGCGAAAACAGTGGGAGCGAGAGCGAGCGTTGTGGGAGGACGAGAATCGAGTGGAGGAGCTTGATAGTGATGATACGGATACACAAGGCGTTGGGTTGAGTTTTGGGAAAAAACGATTTGCTAGCGATCCACTTGAATTTACTGGAATAGACTTGGCCATGGAATCTAGGGCCAGAAGGGGTTATGCTTTTGATGACGGAGAGTCCTCCTCAGAGGACTCTGAAGAATCTGAAAATGAAGGGACCAATGCATTGCAGATAGCTCTCCGGGACAAGGAGGAAGCGCTTGTACAATCTGCGCTTCGTCGGATTCGCCGCGCCCAGGAAAAAGGAAAACGGGAGGTGAAACTTAATCAAGATGAGTTGGATGCTTTGGAGAAGAGACGCAAGCGGATGCAAGCCTCGAATACCAAAGCAAAGAAAGAAAGCCGTTCGAGTGGTGGGAGTGGAACTGAAAAGAAACGGCGGAGTGACCGCAGTTTGATAACCGTACCACTTACTGGAGAACCCAGTGGTCGGAAGAGGGCCAAATCTAGGCTGGAAGAACCTCCAAATCCACCTGGCTTAATTGAGGGACCCGACGGTCTCACATATGCCCCGGTAGGCTACTACCCGGTACAAGCAGCGACCCGAAACTCTCCTTCCCGTCCTCGGTCCGCATCTTCTCAACAGCTCCAGGGCACAGGGCGCCCATCATCATCATATCAAACAGGACAAATACCCCGCCACTTTTCTGATGGTATGCGTCCGACCTCATCCTCAAGTACTAGCTCCCGCCGCCCCTTACCGGACGATGAAGACTGGATTCCGGGCAGCTCCCGACGAAGCTCGGTTTCCTCTCAATCCTTCCCGGTCGACCCTTTCGAATATCAAACCTCTGAGCAGCCACCACCTATACCCCAGCAATACATGCAACAAGGGCGTCGCATCGTTTCTGGTCCTCCTGAAGTCTCCTACTCCTCCCTTCGACGCAGTCCACCCTTCGGAACCAGCTATCCTGCTGCAGCCAGGTCTTCAGGTTCCGATCCTGCTCTGCGGTTGAGAGATACCTACCGTGATGATCTTGCCGCAGCTACTTCGGAGGATGATGATGACAGCGATGACTTGGGAAATGGAGTGCAGGTTTTTGTGGAGGAGCGGGGCCCCGAAAGGGAGAGGACTGTCAGTAGAAAGCCAGTGAGCAGTGGAAAGAAAAAAGGGAAGAGATAATAGACCTAAAGCCCCTGCTTTCTTCATTTGCATCAATAGCAACGTATATAGACTTAGCTTATTATTCCCTTTTAATGAATTGCTTTGCGTTAACGTATCGAGTTTGGTTCTAATTGTAAACTCCAATTGAAACATAACACCCGCCCATGATGCCTCCCTTTAAATCTGACACTTATTTGGTTGCAAATCCTGATAGATCTCAAGTTTATCAAAAGGCGACGACAACTCTGTTGAAACAGTAAATGATGAGCATGCCATATCGTATCGTATCATATATCATCCGAACATACATGTCTTTCGTTAACAACGAGGGCCGTTTTCCATCCAATATGCCAACGAAAGAAGCGAATGATCAATATAGCCACCCAGTAGGGAATCCTAATATCTGGTATCCATCCCATCCAAAAAAAAACTCCAAGAACCATAGAATCATCTTGATTGATAAATTTTTCCACCTCACATAAACATCTTGGCCATTTTAACGGCACTTCCAATGCCACCCATGGCATTCATAGCCCCACCAATGCCGCCCATAGCACCAAGCGGGCCCTCTGCTTGCATGCTACTTCTCTCCCACTCCCTCCCACCACCTCCCATCCCACCACCACTACCACCACCCGCCACGCCAAACATCTTCTGAAGGCCGGCCGGCATCCTCAATCCGAATTTGGCCAGCAAACCCGTCAAAGCTCCGCCTGTAATCAAAGGCATTATAACGAGCATGAAGACTTTGACGGGGTGTCGCTTCATGTAGTAGATGAGATCGCGGAGGAGATGACGCAGTTTTGAGTAGATGCGCTTTAGGTAGCCGCCTCGGGGGCTGCGTTTGTAGTATGAAGAAGAGCGATTGCCGCCTCCGAAGGGTGCTATTGCAAGTATTAATACCTATATAACTACAGGGACAACTCGATAAGAGCAGTGAGCGATAGGCTTACCAAAGAAAGAGGACCTGCTCGAGTTCCTCTTTGGGTCACCACCACCAAAGATCGACCGCGAGGAGCTATGCTTATGACTATCCCCGCCGCCGAGGCTAAAGAATGAGGAGGTTGATTTGTTGTGTTTGTGGTGATCGCTGCCTCCAAAGATAGATCGGGAGGAGCTATGGTGCCTATCGTGTTTAGAGTCGCCGCCGAAGATTGAGGGCGAGGAGTGACGGTGCTTGCTGCTGTGGTGGTGGTGTTTGCTATCGCGTGAGTGCGAACGCTTGTGGGAGTGGGAGGAGCTCCCATCAAACCAGCCCATGATGAAGGTTGGGAAGGGGAAGCTATAGATGGCAAGTACTTGATTGCGTTCTTATTAACTGTTTATTGAGGCTGAGGTATAAGTTTGGGAGGGACGATTGAGGCTGGCTGCGACGGGGCTCGTGAGGAATTGATCTCAATGCAGTGAGATAGCTTGCGCTTCTCTCAGTGGAAGATGGTGCACACAGTGCAGCAAGATATGAGAGGTCGAGGAGGTACCGAGTAGCTTCTCCTTTAGCTTCACCGCCGTTTATTAGAGGGGCTGGGAAGGATTAGGGATTAGGGGTTTATGTGCCTGAGGCAGCATCGGGTGAGGAAAAGGGGAACGTATACACGTGATCTTTGTTCGGAGGGGCTGGCCGGGGTAACCTCGGGACGGAAGCGTGGCCCATTGCAGCCACAGTGGCGGTGCGAAACCTGGATACTATGACGCACACCGCACCTCGTTGAGACATCAAGACAACTTGAACGTGGGAGTTGGGAGTTGGCCAGATTCCCACGAGTCTAAAGGCACAAGGTGTATCTTCCTGTTTAAACATACCCTTAACTTCTTCATCTCCACTCTCATCTCTGTCTATCTATATCCCGAAGAAAACATTGTTCTGCGACCATGGCCGGAGATACTGCCATAGATTATTGTAAGCTGTTCGGCCTTGTCCCTTTCCAAGCAAGATATTAACAGATGTCTCAAAGATGCGGCCCTAGGAATCACCTCGGCAGCAACCCAACAGCAAATCCGCGATGCCTACAAGAAGTAAGAAATAGAAAATACGATCCCATTATCCCCTCATCATCTGCTCTCAGCTGCTCACTATCACCCTACAGAGCAGCCCTGAAAACGCACCCAGACCGCGTCCCCGCCGACTCCCCCGAACGCGCCACGCGAACCCGCAAATTCCAACTTATAAATGAAGCCTACTATGTCCTCAGTGATCCCGGCCGCCGCAGAGAATACGACCAAGCCCGCAAACCCTATGGCTTCGACTTCGGTACCGGCGCCTCAACCGCATCCACAGCCTATGATTCCGACGAAGCTGAAGACATCCCAGACCCTGGCCCCAACGCATCTACATCCGGTGGTTTCCCATGGTCTAGCTTCGGATTCGGCAAGAATAGAGAAGAGGGGCAGAAATTTGAGAATGAGCAGTTTGGTGATGTGTTTGAGGAGATGTTGAGGGAGGAGGGTATGGCGGAAGATGGAGGAAGGCCCACTGGGTTGTTTTGGAGTGTTTTGGGCGGACTGAGTGGTGGTACTATGGGCTTTATTGTGGCTAATTTCCCAGGCATGTTGGCTGGTGCTGTGGCTGGGAATAGGTTAGGGGCCATTAGGGATGCGAAAGGGAAGAGTGTATACGAGGTGTTCCAGCAACTTGACCAGGGAGCAAAGATGCAGTTGCTCAGCCGGCTTGCAGCAAAGGTCTTCAGTCATGCTGTTAGCGGATAACTAAAGCCATGGCTCTGGACAGGGCGTTGGTGCTAGGTTGGCGTTGAGGACTGATTTTGATAACGTAACAAGATTTCTAGTTAGAAGGACAGGTAGGTAGTGGTTTATGCGTTAGATAGATATCCATAGCAAATTTGAGCTAGCATTATGCTGCTAACCCCCCCCCCCCCCCCTGGAGCAATCAGCTAAAAGGGTATATTATGGTACGCTTCCCTCTATATAAACACGGCTTACGATTTGACTAATCCCTGTTCTATAGTTCCCTTAACTCAACCACACGCGGCCATATTAGAGAGCGCTCCCTAGGCTTAATCGATTACGATGCTCTGTTTATAAGTGGTCTCAATATACCATAACACCCCTAGTTAGCTTTCATACTACCACTTATGTTGCCTACTAAACTAGAGTCGCGGTTGATATCGAGCTCGATTACGCGTTGCTTGAATTCCATGCCATAGCAATATTGCTCAAGCTATAACGGCAGTTGGCGAAGGCAAGTACTTTCCTTGCCAAATACTGTCACAGAGGCTGATTATGTACACAGGCTGTAGAGAGTTTAAGCGCGTATGCTGGGAGCCATGTCATTCGAGTGTGGAGTGGCCGTCGCCAACTCGCAACAGCCCCACAATAGGCGAAATATAAAACAAAAAATGTCTTAAAATCAGTCACAAAGGCCAGGTGGAGGAAAAAATTCAAAAACATTATCGTATACTCGGGAAGCAAAAGAGTTCGACCCGGTGTCGAATGCCTACATCTCTTGCCGCGTTTTGTTGTCTTTTGTCGTTTTTTGGGCCTATCGATCCTCTCCAGAAGACAATTCGACCTGAGCCACTTAGCCAAGTAGCCGCCTGTTGTCTTCCTTAATACCAAAATCGCTTATTTTGATTTATATGGCGTAGGTAGAAATGGGGCAGGGAGGTAGGCATGTGACTGCCCTTATTACACTGCCCTCGCTGCATATGTGTCAATTACCTGAATACCGCCTTAGGTCTGGCCAAGGCCAGCCATTCCCTTCGTTTGTAGTTCAAACATACATCTAATTCCGGGACTCTCTATAGATTATCCCCAAATATAGATAATTTCAACTACCCTTCTTTCCCACCCCTTAGAAGTGCCGATACATGGCAAGATTTCAATTTCCCGAAGGCGGCAGCACTGATTAAAGCTTTCCTTGCGATAAGTATGTAGGCCAGCTGTTACCCCGTACTACTCTATCTACGACGAAGGGATATCTTGTTTGGCACAATTGCCTTTAACTCTTCCAAAGGATTACACTTCAACATCACCCCACCATGATCAAGACACTTAGTTATAAGTTAACAATTGACCACGTCAAGTCTAAGTGGCTTTCAGAACTTATGCCACTTCTTTCATATACATAGCCAGAACACGTCTACTATGCACTGCTTGCTATTACTCTTGAAATACTCTATACTTCAACCTGCTTCCTCTCTATCCACTCCACCTTAGAAATGTGATGTGCAGGAAATGGAGGAGAGTGTCTCTCTACCACCCTCCTTGTTTTCACCCTTTGAAGCTGCAATGCACAATAAACGTCTATTTCGTTGCCTTCCGACTAGCTTCCACCCTAGCAGTGCGATATGCGACAATGTTTCTTATTAAAGGTGCGAAGTGCGACAAACTTCTCCTCGTAGAGTGCGACTTGCGACAAAAGAAGGCTTCCTCAAAAGTACGATATGCGACAATACTTCTCGTTAAAGTTGCGAAGTGCGACAAATCCCACTTTTTCTAAGTGCGATGTGCTACAAATCTCTCCTCTTCAAGAGTTCGATATGCAATAGAAATTATCTGGCAAGGTGCGAGCCACCCCTTATATACTCGTTCAAACTACAACGTGTGCCTATACAAGCCCTCTCCGCATTACTTAGAGACATCAAATCATGAATAGCACACCCCTATGCAACCAACAAGAAACCCTCATGTATCATTTTAATCATTTATCTATCCAGGTTATCTACCAAATGACATTCATCAAATATATTTCTCTTGCTGCCCTGTCCCATTTTCCCATTCCTTGCAAAATTCTAAACACCTGCCATTTTCAAGTTCCAGCCTGAAATTCGTAAAATCAACCCTAGGAAATTGGATTGCCCGTGCTCGTAAGAAAACTCCACCAACATGTTATTTCATTTCCAAACAACCTCTAGAGGTAAAAGAGATGAAGCCATTCAATTTGGCTTCAAAGCCACCCATCCACTAAGCCCGAGTTCCTCACCATCACCAGCCAGCAAATCAGTGGGTCTTCTAGGCGGCAAACCAGGTTTTTCACTTTCATCGTCATCCTCCAATCCCCTCGTTGGAGCGGCTTTAGGTCTTCTAGGTTGTGAGGGAGGCGGAGGAGGAGTACTGTTATCTTTCCTGGTCGAAGCCGCGGTAGTTGCTCGTCTTGGGGGCGGAGGAAAGCCTGTATTAACACCCGCTGTGGGCCGCGGTGGTTGTGGCGGAGGCTGTGATGAGCGGGGAATTATTGGGGAGGCGTTGGGGGATGGCGTGGAGGTGAGATGGACAGGTTTACGAGCTACTGGTGGTGGTGCCTTTTTTGAGGATGAGTTAGTTGTAGAGGTTGATCGGCGGCGGTCAGTATTGGAAGGAGAATGGCTTTTTATAGAAGACTGTGAGAGGTTACGAGTTAAAGCTTGTATTGATTGCGTTGCCGGATTGAAAGGAGGTGGGAGAATTCGTGTTCCGTTTGTAGAAGGACGAGGATTTGGTGGAGGTGGTGCAAATGTCGTATTAATCTTATTTTGAGAGGCTTGTGCTCGAGGGACAGTTACCCAGTCCGGTTCATCAGTGGGAGTAAAAGGATTTGAAGGCCGATTAGGATTCGGTACAAAGCCTGGCTGTGGTGGGCTGATAGTAGATCTTGCAGGCTGTCCATTATCCAGCCACCACTTTCGTCGGTCCGAGCTTGCGGGTGGTAAACCCGGCTCTATTGGGTCGTAATCAATAAGATCATCATCGCTACTATCATCGCTGCCACTATTCAGACCTGGGTTTCCTAGCCCAATGCGTCGCCTCTCATATATCTCCCGGCTGAGAGATTCGCGGAGATCTTCGTCAATTATGCTTACAGTGCATTGGAACGTAGCATATACTGGCCGATGATCTGAAAATCGAAGAGGTGCCGTATTGTAGTTTATCTGGCGGAGATTGGTGCCTTTGCGGAGGATACGGTCAGTCCAAGCCGGTATACGAGCCTTCTCCGAGGAGTCGAAGTTATCAGTTCCGAGATCGTATTTATAGGTCGGAGAGAATGTAATCCTCGATTCCGAGTAGTACGGGAAAGTGAGGCCGGCTACCATTTGCAGGTTAAGTTGATCATTTTCATACAATGTCTCCAGGTCTCCCATCTTGATGAGATCAATCACTTTCTCTCGCCCGAGACCGATCCGATAATTAAAATCGCCCATCCAGATGACGGTATCGTGATTATCAATACCTCGATTTCTCTGGAATCTTAGACCATGATGTATGGTAGCATAATCGCGATTTCTTTCCTCGTAATTCGAGAATCCTGCAGCTAGATGGGCCGTCACAAAACTGATATGCGTGTTGGCGTAATCCATCCTAATAGCAACAGCGCCCTTGTTTCCGGCCATCCCAGACATTCCAGTTTTCTTGACACTCCCCTCAACATTTTTTATCTTCCGTAGGACTGAGGCTTTGACGAAGATGCACAGTGCAGCGCCAACAAGTTGTCCACTCCGCAAAAGCACATAGTGGTCACTGCCAGCTGATCGAGCATGCTTGTTCAATGTCTTCTTAACGGCTCTTTCCCAAGCTTGCTTCCGTGTGGGATCGCTGTTCATGATTTGTTGCGGACTAAGCTCAACAATCTCTTGAAATCCAACAGCTACGATTTCTGGTTGTTGCTGGGATGGTCCAACATCAGGACATAGCCAAGATGATAAATCTTGATCAATTCCCGTAGTCTGACCATTCAAGTTGAAAGACCCACACCATCTACATAAATAGTTAGTATTTGATAGCTGCCATATGAAGTAACGTACATGTTGATCGTCTCCGAAGACTGGTACTCCGCGCTCCGCTTTGCGAGCTCAGCCATCACATAGTCATTGATAGGATCGAACAGATGAACAGGGGCCTGTCCAACCAGCCTCCCTAGGAGCATATCAATCGTATTCTGACGCGCTTTATCCGTAAAATTGTTAATGTATAGTCGGGTTGCGCTCTTTCGCGCATCTGCGATAGCTCCAGCCAAGGACATTTTCCCGTGCCTTGTGAAAGAAGACTTAAGTGCGCCCGTTCCAGCGTAAATCCTTGACAAGGCGTCACCGTTATCCGCCCACAGGGTCGAATGGCGCATCCAAAAGTCGGAGGCTGCTGATACTCCTCGGTGACTAAGAAAAGACTCGACGGCCATCTGAGAGATGATTGTTTGGATCAGATTGGTCCTATCCAGACAATCAAGGCAGTTCGTTCGGAAGACGCCCTCCTGTTGTAATAGGACAACAGTTCTTCGATGGGCCTTTCCAAGGGAGTCATCTGCAGGGTCTTCGATATCTTCTGACAAGTAATAGGCGAACCCATCGGCTGAGTGCTCAATGAGTCTACGAATCATCATAGCTGCCTCGTACCCATTTGGCCCTTTCGTTTCCGCATGGAAATCGTACTCCGTCTCTCTCAGAAGCTCGCGACCTTGCCCACCTTCCTCCCCGGGCTGATTAAGGGGACAGTGTCTTGTTGCATATCTATAGAGGTTGGTTAACTCCGCCTCGCCTGGTTTGGTCTCACTAAGGAGGTTTATAATGTGCACCGCACCATAGGCTTGCTCCAACTCTCCAAAGTGCTTATCAAAGGCAGGTTGAGTCCCTTCAGCCGATCGCGTGATGGTGATCTTTTGCTGGCCGGGGATCAAACCGGCTGCTTGTTCCCAGAAGACTGGAACGGAGCCTCTGATCTGCGCGTAGGAGAAACAGACACTTGCAGGCCTTTCATTTGTGGTAGGATCAGATGGTTCAGCAGATGGGCTCCAATATATAGTCTCGGATTCCACGGAATTTGCTACGTTCCCATCATCATCTATCCCTCTACTATTGAATCTTGTTCCAGCTCTGCGACATGACAATCGTGATATTAGAGTAAGGGTCGATGGGAGACCGGTTCGTGTGGTTCGTAAAGGCGCAGAAGAAGAAGGTATGGTGATTGTGAGAACAAAGCCTCGTATAGCAGAGGTAAGTATCCTCGAGTTGTCCAACGCCCGCCTTTCATGTTCAACAAGTCTAGATCTGAACTTGACCAGTGGGCTGATCATGTAGGAGTTCCAGAGGAAAGACTCGTCAAGATTATCTATATCGAAGGCGGACGTTTCTCCGGATCTATATGACTGTTTTAGCAAACGATTATGTGCAGATAGGTCCTCCCATACCGATCCTGTAATCTATTTGTGAGATCAAAATCCGTGCTATAGTAAAAGCTCCCATTGCCAAGCATCTTCTTCAGCTCGGTACATGGATGCTCCAGCAATGACTCTCGGTGGTTGAGATTCTGGCCATAGTCCTGGTTCTCTGTCGAATATGGATCGAGACCGTCGCTGAATACATGATCGTAGTCGGAGCTATTCAAGCAGTAGAATTCTACGCCCTGGATCCTCTCAACTGTCTCCCCCGGTCTGACAACAGCAACCTTGTGACAATTTGTGACCACGGAGATGAAGATATCGTTGTTGATGGTTATTAACCCGAGGGTGCCGTGGACTGGCAACGGACTTAAGGTTCGAAAGTCGCTGAGATTTGCTGAAGCGAGGTCTAAAAATTCCACCATGCACCGTGAAGGACCGGTGCTATCTGTAGAGCTTCGGCGTGGTAGAGACTGGAAAGAGGTGTGCGAGTCATTTGTTACGGGGTCATGACCCGGAGGATTGTTTCGGAATATGAGGGCGTTGGAGGGTGTCACCAGGGCAATCGACCGCTGGGGATATTCGCAGAGCAGAACGCGGATAGACATGCTTAGCTGTTGAGGAAAGAGCTATATCAAACTGAAGATCCGGGGGCATTTTGGAATTTCGATTGCTGGTATCATTGCATTGGTTGTTTGTGCTCCACGAAATGTTGGCTTGTGGTTGTAGAGCTGATACAACTGTCATGGCAGAATCCTCGACATCTCACCGCCCGGCTTCTTTACTTCCGTCCTTCCAGAAGCCCCGCGACAGTTCTCCGACAAACGTCAGAGCTACCCCACCATCAACACTCATTAAGACTCATTTTGAACTTCTTGCGACAATACATTCGAGGTACAAACAATATGTATTTTTACCCTTCAAGTCACGCAGGATTCTTGCTAATTAATTCATAAGATGTCCTTAATTTTCCAGTATTATATAGATATAATCGAACGCTGATCTGCTTTGCCTACCTAGCGAAACATCTGGACCTATAGCAATTGAAAAGCACTTTACCACTATATCTACCCTTCTGATTTATTTTAACCCCCTAGAACTTTACCTTGTTTCCACTTTAACATAGTATCTATGACGTTATTCATTTTCTAATTCGTCCTTGTGCACCTGGAGATGGGAATAAGTGTCGTACTTGGCTCGCAATGGGTAATATTTCTCTGTTATGCAGCTCCCAGGATGGGCACTGAAATATACAGGGCGATGAGGGAAAAGGTAAATTTATAATATCCTATGCCCTGAGAATTTGCTAGTGTGTCGTGCTCAGGGCGGGAACAACACAGGGTAAGTATCTCAGATGCCTAGGCTATAGGAACGACTCTTGCTCACCAAAGCTAGACATACTATTGTCCCATCTGACCAAACCATACGCATAACCCGAGGGTGAATTCCTGTTAATATTTTTCCTTCTTGATAGTATGCTCCCTTGGATGCTTTCTAGTATGACTGCCGTGAGTCTTGAGAGAACTCTGTTCAGATAGTGCTCATTAGTACTAGATGTCTTACCCAGCGGGCTTCTCAACCCGGAAACCAAGAATCTAATCTGATTCGGCTACATTATACATATCCAAAGACTTCTGAAAGAGCGTGCGGATCTTGAGAACAAAGGCCTTCAGAACGCAAGGGGGAGACTTTACTTTACATTGGACACAAGGCTCAGCAAGTTTCGATGCCTCCCAAAGTATGCCACTACTTGAGGATTTAATAACATGTGCAGCGTCGTTCTTGATCTCCACCAGAAGTTAGACGGACTCGAAGAGGCTTTACTTAGCGGGAGCAAAATAGGGGCCACTGAGGAGGGTATTGGGCCATGCTATATATAGATAGGTCATATTTCACTCATAATTCCCTTTTTATTTAGCACCTAGCTCTTGAGACATACTCTTACTCTTATGTTTTGTAGGTAGTAACAATAGTAATTCATGGGACGGTTTGAAAATGTCGAGGAGCGGCATAACATTTGCGATGGTTTTTCGGGAAGAACTTTTTGCGGATACAGTGAGGAAAATTGCGTAAGTGTCCTATCTAGATAGACATTTTGTATTTGCCCTGTATCATGCCGCCGAATAACGTCGATTTTGGGGCTTTTATAGGAAACCACAGTCTGACACCCTCTAGTGCGGGCTTCAAGAACCGATTTTAGGAACACTTGGTCTATGACCCCGAAGAAGAAATAGCTAGGTTCCAGGTAAGCAGAAGTCTTAATATCCCCTAGCAAATGTCTCCAATTCCCCGCAGAAGTACCGTAAAATATTGGCTCCGCTCGTCATCGATCAGCTCCCACTGCTCCTAGTTGCACAGCAGCAGAAGTCCTCACTACTCGTAGAAGGTCAGTCAGCCTCGGAGAAAATTCCTGGTTAAGGAGATCTATTCTTCTTTCCACATACTCCTTAATTATTTGTCAAAATGCAATGCTAACCTCGAGACCTTGGTGTGTAGGCGCCAATGCGATCATGGCCCGTATACCCAAATCGTATCCCACGATAACCTTTTCGTGATGGAGAAATTACATCTAGCTCGATGTAGATGCTGGAAACATACCTATACGTGTAAGAACATTTCCAAAGCATCTTCAGCCTTTCAGTCCGATTGGTATTTCACGGACCAGTTCATAACTCTTCGAGCATGCTTTATATTTCATTTCCCGGTTTTTATCATTGGTTTTGCGGGTTCAACGCACAGCGGTATCGTATTCCTAGTCTTGTAACGCCATAACCGCCTGGCCTCTCCCTACATGGAAGGTATAGGGTCAAGCAACACTCACTAACTGTTGGAAAATCTAGCCTTCCTAGAGATTGGGGTGGTTGTTAAATACTGGTTTAGGACACAAAGGGAAATGGTCGAATATTTCCCCTCAGACCTGCAAGTGGAGAATATCGTACGTTTTACTTTGCCCTTAATTTCTTGTTTATTTAGCCGCCAGCTCCTAAATGCTCCTACTCCCACGATTTGTGGGAACATGCTATAGTAATTCCCCAGATAGGATGTTGAGTGTCTCTATTAAGTGCATTAGTGTTGGTAGTGACATATGCTTTCGATAAGCTATTTGCACGTTGGCGGTAACCCCGCATAAGTCCAAAAGAGAGGACATGGTTATGAGATAATGACGTTTCCTCTGATTGTTCTTACCGTTTTTCATTGCGCGTATTGAGCCTGCGCAATTGTGCCATTTAATAAAAAGGGGGGTACATAAAACAATAGATCTCCTCACAATCTTTCAATCTGCTCATTTTCCTATTTCTCTCCTCCTGTTGTGAGCTGTTGTAGCGTTTAGAAAATTATTTTCTTCATTCAAATTATCAGCTTGGACAGTATTTGCAAGGAATTCCTATTTTGACTGTAGGAAATTTACATACCGAGTGACTCTGGCGAAACATGGAGAATGGCGTTGTCTGCCTCGCGACGTGAGGGTTCTCTTACCCTGGCGCCCGCGCCCTCTGCGGGTCATTTCGGGGTCCTCGTTAAAAGTTGACGATTTCTGGTGAGGCGGTGAGTAGTAGCTGAGCAAATTCGAGCCGAAGCTGATGGCTTTCTCTGGTTATTAATAATAATATTAGGTACCTACCTACTTCGTACCTAGGTCGGTAGGTAGGTAGGTAGGTAGATAGGTAGGCAGATACGAAGGGCAGTACCTCTATTGCCAGGCACGTGCCTGTGGGCTTTCGAACACTTGGGTCATTTGGCTGACTTAAGTGCCTATATCACGACCACCTCAGGTCTTTTGGCTGCTATAGTACAGTAGTTCGATCTTATCTTATCATCATCCCTTCCATGATCTATTGACCTACGACTGTTATTCTCTCTGGAAGTTGAGGATTTTCCAGGCTTATCTTGGGAGTAAATCCTGTTGTTATACGTAGTATATTTTATTTGGCAGAGCCATCAAAGCCTAGAACATACATATTTGACATGTCAAGTCAATATAAAATGTACCGTACTTCCTTACAAGGCTATGATTATCAGGGTCTTGTAAACCCCTGTGTCATTCCTTAGGAAGCTCCTACTGCAATGATGTACTTGATTAGCGAAGTAGGGGCCATTTTCAGAACAAAACCTATACGGAGTAATAACACCCGTGGTTCCCAACTCAGCTGAAAGTCGTGCTAATCCGATCCACACCTTCCAACCACCTCCAACCAGAGCTCTTGAGAGAGGAATTGCTGATCGTCTGCCTTGAGCAATGCTACTAAATAACCCCGCGGAGTTACTTTAGATGTACCGAATATGTTAACGCAAGGAATGGCTTGGGAAGAATGTTGATGATGCAATGGCGGAGTAGTGAGACACGACTTGTGAGATTTGTGGTAGCAGATATGGCCCTTGGATGATGGATCTGAGGCTCAGGTATCACAGGCAAGCCACGGCCTGAATCGAGAATCGAGACGGGGGGGGGGGGGGCACTGCGGGGCCAAAAAAGCAATTGACACTGACGGCCGTGGCAGCAGTTGAGGACGTCGTCGTACCGTCCCAGATAGATCAATCGAGCGTATAAGTGCTTCACAGGCGTCACTTTGGTGGTTTCATGGTGGTGGAAACTTCGAGCACGCACCACAGGTACGACGCCGTGTGTCTCCTTTGTAAGTACAAATTCGAAGTCGGTCGCCCGAAACAAAACAAAACAAGACAGGATAAGCCCATTAATTACGCAGTACTGCTGCTGCTCCACCGCTTTGCTGCAGCTGCAGTTGCACGTGTAGGCTACAGGTTAATGCCTCCGTCCGGGAAACGCGGCACCGCAGCGTCTTCAGCCTCTGATGTTCCTGATTCTCCAGAGCACGGAATAATCGAGTCGGGTACGACCGTACGTACGCGTACTCTCCAGCGGCTGGAAGAGGCAACTCGGCTGTCTATCACCGCAATAGCTATGAGCCTGCGATTCTGCGATTTTGAGACTGTGAGACTTTGGGACTTGGAGACTTGGAGACTTGGAGTTGGAGACTCTGAGAGGTAGCGAAAGGGAGAGGGAGAGGGAGACGCTCGGCAAATGGTGGTTTTCTGCTGCTGCGGCGGTTGCTGCTGCCTCCGTTGTCTCTGCTGGCGAGACATCGAGACATCGAGACATCGAGACCGAGCAGAACGAAGCATCTCCAGATTCTCCACGGTCTCAGCGATGATTCGCAGCCTGTGCCCGGAGATACCAGGTGAGAACGCTTGCTGTTCCTTGTCTCCGGCCCCCAGATTGCCAGACATCTCCAGCCTTAATACATGGGTTCCGGGCTGCTGGGCTCTGGCTCTTGTGTCTCCTTCGCGTGTGGCTGCGCGAGTCTGCCTGTGTCCACGACTCTAACTGGCGTCGTTTGTTTCAGCTGCATGCTGCCAAGCACAGCACTTCGTACAGTGCGAGAGGACTTTGCAAGTTGTGCTCCGTCCTGGGCTCCTTGTCCCTCGCAAGAAGTTGCCCATATTATAATTATGTCGAGTTGGTTTGGTTTTGTGGTGTTCTGTTTGGCTGCGAGTTCTCTTTTTCTCTGATTATTGTGGTCCCTCTGCTGTCTCCTTCCCGTTCCCGGGCGTGGCTCCCATCCGCTATCGCATCCGTTCCCGCCGCCCTTCCCTGCGAGGAAAGCGTCCCTGGAATTCTCGTCTGTTGTTTACTGTGTACGAAGTATTCCTGGCAAAGAAACATGATTTTTATGATTGTCGGGCCCGCAGGATGTGACTATCCGGCTTGGCAGCGAGGGCCAGAACTGGCAATCACTGCATCGATTTGCGGCCAGACTCAGGACGATCCAGCAATGCCAGCACCCCATTATTCCTGCGCCGGACGGCGGTCTAGAAGCCCGCCCCGATTCACAAGTCTTCTGCAGCCTTCCTTCTTGCTTCTGGTCTTCGTGTCTGTATCCGCATTATGGGCCCCCCCTTCCCCCGTCGCGGCCACCAAGAGCCAATAATCAGCGCCCTCCACTGCTCTACGCCCACTGCTGCTGTATGCCCAATCTCCAATCTCCAGTCTGCTCTCTATCACAATCAAGTACAGTACGGGCTGTGCTTTGAACTTTGGACGTAGCCCTCCAATGCTCCAGGTCCTTCGTTCTTCAAGATCCCAAAACCCAGGACTTGGACCAGGACATGCCCCAAGCCCCAAGAAGCCCCAGCACCCAATACCAAGCCGTCATCTGGATCTCTTGAGTCTTGAGTCGTCCGGACTCTCCACAGGCACTCCTGGACTACGTACGACTCTGTAGTAGTCTGTACATAGCCATTTCCTGCACACTCCTGCTGGAAACACTCTTCTCCCTTTGGTGTGCAACAGTGTTTTCTCGTCTCCCCAACACATCGGTCCACCTTCACTCCAATCCAATCTCCTTGCCCGCCGTTGCTGTGGGTAGCGCGGGGCACGAAATATAGAGACGGGGAGAGAGAGAGAGAGAGAGAGAGAGAGAGAGAGAGAGAGAGAGCTATTGCGAGATTGGAGGGCTCACCCTGTTGCGAGATCTCCACCCCATCCGCGGTCTCGACTGTACGGAGTACGTGTACGTAGTATACAACTTATCTACATTCTTCGGAATTTGCATTTGACCACGGCCATCACCACCACAACCACCACAACCACCACAACCACCACAACCACCACAACCACCACAACCACCGCAACCCCACCAGAACCCATACCGCAAGGCCCTAACAAGCTTCCTTCCTTCATCTTCTCACAGTCGACGCAGCCTTCCAAGCCTTCCGGCCAGAAGCCCGCGATCGATGTGCTACCGGCCCGTACCACGCTGGATTGCTAGTGGTCTAGATCCATCCATGATTCTGAAGTCGTAATGCACCCGTTGCCTCCAAGTCAGCATTCGATGCTCACCACGTCCATCTCACTCCTCCCAGTATCAGTACGTATACGCAGACTGCGCCGGCGGGAACCACCAAACCAGTATCGTATCAGCTATCCTCTTCCCATCATCCGCTATAGCTACCCATACCTCTCAAGGTGGACCCCTCACCACTTATCCCACGAAACTGGTTCAACAGCAAACAGATCGGCAACGGATGCGGACATATACCGCTGACTCGATCTCATCGTTGCTCTGAATTAGTACCCGGGTCCCCGAAAGTTTCCCAAAATCACTACTCGATTGCCTTCATGAGATCTCCTTCCCAAACATCCCTTCCAAGAACGTACGGTAGAGGGTCGATTGTGGGAATAGGAGAGTTAGCAATATCATCTTGTACTCAACATCTATTAGCATCTGAGGGCTGCTACATTTCAACTGCACGAACGCTTCGCCGACCATCAGCGTTCATCTGGAGCACCGCACTGGCCCCTCCAATTCTGTATGCCTCTCAGGTGACGACACATCCGCCCTGTGATGCATGATATGCACAATATTACCACCGCTCTCGAAGCAAGACCGAATGGTCCTCGGACATTCAGACGACTCCGGCAACGGGTGAAGCATCGGATTGAGAGAGATACGAAGAGCGAACCTTCTCGGTGTTCGGGAGATGAGGAGATGGGGGAGAACGACGAGTCCCCGGCAGAGGCTTTAAACGACAGGGCTACGCTCTGCTTACCTGACTTTGCTAGAGATTCAATATTGCATGGAGGAGATGAGCGCTTCAAGCCCGCACTGCGCCAATACTACCCATCATCTGAGAGCAATGCCGCCGAAGGCCTTGTCAACCTTAAATCAAGGCTCAAGAATGCCTCAACACATGACTTTTGGGGAATATTGGTGAAGGGTATGTGCGATATCATTGGCTCGCAATGCGCATTTGTGAGCAAGCGGATGTTGGTAGATGACCCGGACACCGGCATTGAGATGCCCCCGTTGGGTGAACCTGGTTCTTGTCTCATGGCAATTGCATTCTATGTTGACAACGGCGCCGGGGTGAAAGAATTATATCGGGATTATCAATACCACGCCTACGGTAGCCCTTGTGCCCATATGAGGCACGACAAGGTTTTTCTAATTCCCGAGCGGATGACCGAGTTCCTGCCAAACAACCCGATTGTGATGCCATGGAAACAATCCGAGGCATTCATTGGTGTCCCGCTCTTTAGTGAAGGGAAGTGTTTTGCTCATTTTGGTTTGATTTGGTCATTAGAGGGTGCTGTGAAGAAGAAGTTGAGTTGGGGATATATAGAGATGTTTATGCACTCTCTAGAAGATATGATCTTGCAACGGATTCTCGAGGACCGCGGACTTGAGAAAGAGCCACGAAGAGATCCTACGCCCGCCAACGACACACCGGTATCCGGGTTCACTCCGCCCTTGTCACTACAACCATATGCCCGAAGTCTTTCTCACGAGTTAAGGACACCAATGCAGGGTGTTGTGGGTATGTTGGATATCATGTATGCGACGGTGCTGGACGCTATATCCGCTCAACAGAGTGAGAAGGAACGTGAACCCTTCAAGCACCTTAAAAGTCACATCGAGAAAGTTCAAGGTAAGTCTCATTTTCTGCACCATCACGGCTCACTAACAACTCTGTAGATAGCTCTAGACGCGCCGTGGAGGCCGCGGACAATGTAGTACATGCATATGATCTCAACATGCGGATGCCAGAAATGCCGATGACCCCTGATTTTAATGACTCGCCCAATTATATGTTAGCGTCAGTGGCTTCAACGTCTCATACTCCAAACCCAGAGTATGGAAAGCTACCATCGCCAGTAAGCACAAAGCGCGGGCGGCCTGACGAAATCGACTCTTCCGGGCTTCCCCTAAAGCGGATGTTCACGGTGATAAAGACGGAGGTCCTTGGTGAATATTTTCCTAATAGTGCCGCCACCTCTTGCGAAGTCTGCGGAACAGTGACGACGACGGTGCCGAAGTCCGAAAGGCCCTCGGGCAGAGCTTCACCGGATGTAGACGCGCACGGAATGGCGGGTTCTCCCCGGATATCATCCACATTGAGTGCAAACCATCGACGCATCATCACTAGGGAATTCATGCGAACGTTGCTAAACGACGCTTTGCAGAACGATCATCCTACCGGCCAGGTTCACACTGAGGCCGAGACCGGTGAGACGATCGATGTTAGGACTATCAACTCCAAGGGGGAGGTGCAAGAGAAAACAATATTATTGACGGTCGAGCTCGGATTTCCTGAAGTTATTATCACCGAAGACGTCCATTTACGATTCGCTTTACAGAAGGTCATCGGAAATGCCATTAAGTTTACTGATACTGGCAGCATTAGAATCACGCTCAAGATGAGCAAGAATTTGCAGGTTGTTGAGATCTGGGTTGTGGACACAGGATGTGGGATCTCTGAACAGTCGAAACTACAACTTTTCAAACCACATTTCCAGGAGGATGCTTCTATCAGCCGGGCTCGAGATGGCCTCGGCCTCAGCCTATTCAACGCCAAGGCACGTGTTCGGAAGAACCTGGGAGGCGATGTCACTCTGGAAAGATCTGCTACAGATGGACCTTTCAAGGGCTCCGAATTCCTCATACGGCTTCCCATATCAACTTTAGTCCCAGCCAATATAGACGTTCCTCTGGTTGGGGCTCCCCTTCATGGAGCCTTCCACTTCGGTCCACCTACGCCCAACTTGGAATCCAGCACGCCTGGGGGCCCTTCCATTTATGGTATTCTAGACGTTAGACCAGGACCAGCACCTCGACGATCTTCAGCCATTCCGTCTCACAGACGTCCAGTGTTCAATCCAAACCTTGCCAAAGAATACCCCCTGAACATCCTAATTGCCGAAGACAATGCCATAAATCGAAACGTCGCCGAAGGGTCATTAAAAAAGCTCGGTTATACCACCTCCGACATAACCCTCGCCCACGACGGCGCCGAAGCAGTGCAGCACTTCAGGGAGTCATTGTCAAGACCTTCTGAACAAAAGTTTAATGTCATTTTGATGGATATTTGGATGCCGAATATGGACGGCTTTGAGGCATCTATTCAAATTTCGGACTTGGCGAGACAGTCGGGAGAGACAACGAAGATTATTGCTGTTACGGCTGATATTACCGGGGATTGTATGGAGAAGGCGGAGAAGGTTGGTATGAAAGGGTTCCTCGCAAAGCCCTACAAGGTTATGGATATTGAAAGATTGATTGTGGAGCATTTCGACAAAGTTGTTATGTGTGACGGCTGTTGTTAAGAGACTGCTATATCGGTCGCTGCGATGGGACAGGCTCTTTTTTTTGGTGGCGTTCTTAGGCGCATCAGCGGATTCTGGACGAAGGAGTTTTGAGATGGGGGTTTGCAAATTGGTACAGGACTGAGAGACTGGGCTTACAAAATACCTGTTCTGAGACGCTGGAGCGCTGGCTGGGGTAAGGCGTTTAACGAGAAATGGAAATGGGCTGGGACGGTGTTCTGTTCGTACGCAAAACCCCAAGGGGATTGTTTTACATATATTTACATGGTGGGAGTTTTGTGTTGGTGTATGACACTAATAGGAGTTAATAATATGAAAAAGGCGAACTTCATAGGATTAAGATTGAGATTGATATTGATTGAGTGATGACTGATTCAGCTTTATTAAAGTACCTAGGTACCTGTAGGCAAGGTAAGGTATGTGGTTAGCGTTAGTAGGGTGTGATTCGGTATCGTGCTAGCGGGGGTTGAGGTAGTCTGTGGGGTACAGGGCTAGCGTTGGGACCTGACCGTGGCTCCGGCCACAACGACATCACCAGACACTTCCTTCCCTCTTGATTTACATCACCACTTCATACTCCGTACCAAACGATCAAACTACAAGACCCAACCCGCGAACATGTAACACCGCCATACAAATGCTTCGCCTTCACGCCAGCTTCGTCACACTCACGATCCTCTTCTCCCTCGGTCTCAGTACCGTTCTCCATCCTTCCCAGAGACCCCTCTCCTTCACCCATCCACCCGACCCTCTAAACACCACCATCCACCTTCCTCTCTTCGCAGACCTCGAATTCCTTTCCCGCCTCGTTGACATATCCTACTGCGTCGGTACATCTGGAATCTACCATCCTTTCAAATGCCTTTCTCGCTGCGACCAATTCCCCACCTTCGAGCTAATCGATACGTTTAATACCGGACCTCTGCTAAGTGACAGTTGTGGGTATGTTGCTATCTCTCACGGTGGGGAACAGGGGATGGGAAACAGAAACGGAAAAGAATGGAAGAGTGGAGATGGGGGTAATGGGAGGATAGTGGTAGCGTTTCGTGGGACGTACAGCCTTGCGAATACGATTGCAGATTTGAGTTCTGTGCCGCAGGAGTATATTCCCTATCCGGGGGAGCCAGGAGGTGATGACGAGCAGCGGCAAAGTGCTCCGGATTCAGAACTCCCCACCGAGACTTCTTCGACCGGGAAGGAGAAAAAATGCAACAACTGCACAGTCCACACTGGATTTTGGACCTCTTGGGAAAACACACGACCTTATGTCATTCCCCGCCTTAAAAATCTACGTGCGTCATACCCAGATTATCGACTCGATCTTGTGGGCCATTCATTGGGTGGCGCGGTCGCTGCTCTTGCGGGGTTGGAAGTCGAGGCTTTAGGATGGCAGCCGGTGGTTACGACGTTTGGGGAGCCGAGGGTTGGGAATGTGGGGTTGAGGGATTATGTTGATGATGTTTTTGGTCTCCTTGGCGAGCAGGGAAAGGAGGGGACGGGGAATCTTGGAGGGAAATATAGACGTGTAACGCATGTCAACGATCCCGTTCCCCTGCTGCCACTATCTGAATGGGGATATCGTCCTCATGCGGGAGAAATATATATCTCGAAGCTGCAGCTACAGCCTGAACTTGACGATGTGAGGTTTTGTGTTGGAGATGAGGACACAGAATGTATTGCAGGGGCGGAGGTTGATGCCGTGAGAGATGCCGAGCGGTTGCGACTCATGGTGAGGGATGTTGAGGGTATAAAAGCTGAGGACGCAGTTTCCGATATGCGGTGGCACTTCCCCGCGAGGTATAAGATGTGGGAGCTATTCTTCTCGCACAGGGACTACTTCTGGCGATTGGGACTTTGTGTTCCTGGCGGTGATCCGTTGGATTGGGGAAGAGGCCCGTATGGGGAGCGGAAGGGAGAATTGTGAGAATATATGTATGTATGGGTATCATGGCAAAGGAGCCGGCGTATTAGAGTTGTGTTGTTCGACCTTGGGCATTTTGGAGCTGGGAGTTGGTAGTACGAGTATTGTTAGTGTTGGGTTGGGATGAAAATATGGCAGTATGAAATATGGCCTACGAAAGAGGATGGAATAACGAAGTAAAGTATTATATGTTAACTTATTCTTAAACAATAGTAATTAATACGAGTAACTATTCGTAACTAGGTACCTTCTACGCACTTCCTATCCTCCCATAAACGATACTGAAAATGGGTGAACTCGGGATTAAATCTAACTTTGATGATAAATAACTTAGCATATTCTGGCCGTGGTCTAGCACAGCGGTTATCATGAAGTTCCAACACCGGTTATTAAGAAAGGTTGTTGCTATCCGCTAAGAATATATTGGGTTTCGGGAGTCACACGGGCTCCCGCTAAGCCAAAAGTGACACAGCCGCCATTGTGTCTCAGTCTCGGTGGAAAGAAGTTCCACGAAACCTTATTTAAACATAATCTATGCTGAGATTCAGATTTTTGGCCCATGCCTTATCCAACGCCCCATAACTCCAAAGGATACCGCTTTCTAGGTACCCAATACTCCACAGGTGCCCCCACCGACGAACGCCCGCAAGATTTTAACCAACACCAGCGCAGGTCACATATGTCACCGGTCCTCCTCAGGCATATCACCGCATATTTCCTTCAAAGAGCGTTAGTCTTATTTATTCAAAGCGTGTTTTCAGAAGCCATTGCAATTTACCTCTCTCCTCTTTGCGAAGTCGCTATAAAACTGAAGCCATAACTCGTTTGACCGACAAGTGTACTCGTCATCGCACTCTAACTTTTCCTCCTTCCACTCGCGCCAAGGTTTCTTACGAACCGGCCAATCTGAAAAGTGCAGATACTTCGCCTTTTTTAAACCCTTATCGGGGTTCCATTGCTCTTTGTCATTCCCCAGATAGTTAGCGGTTTCCACGCCCCTAAATGCCTGTGTCAGGAGATTATAAGGGCGGTGCGGGATGATCAAGGCGGTGTCTTTGTATATGTTGTTAACGATCTCCCTATCATATTGGCCCTTACCGGCTGAATTGATAGCTTGAGTTATGCGTTCAAATTCCGCTGTTGAAGGCTTGACTAGCATAAGTTGGGAACTGAGAGCACTGGCACGATTGCTCTGGTCAAGCCAATATGCTCGAGGCATGGCGACCGGACATGGAGGGAGGAGGAAAAGCTCGTCCATGGTTTGCAAGATGGTCGCGTCGGAGTCGAGGGATAGAACTCGATCATATTGCGTCTGATTGAATGCCAAGAGCTTCGTGTAGCTCTTGACCCATGTGTCTGTTCAACGGTTTAGCATGATCAAGTCAATTAGGCCTGTATGAGCTTACCGTCGGATGGATTATCACGGCGCTGAACTTGAATAGGATTCAATATGGCACCGTACAGAACTCTCGCCTTTTCCAACAATTCACCGTCTTTGGAATCCTCCCCAGGGCGGAAACTTGACGGATACATCAACAATCGGTCTGCCTTTGCCCCCAGTCAGTGGAGAGCCTCGAATATCATGACAGAGTTACAGAGGTACAACATAGTCGATATGGTCACTTACATTTTCACAAGGAATTCGCTCAAATCATTGATCTAAAGGTCCGCCGGGCGAAAAAGGACGGATACTCCAGATTAGGTGGCTTCTTAATTGCCGTTATGATATAATCTACATTGACGATGTGAAAATGGCCACTCCAAAGTTCCATTCCAGGAAATGTCAAGCCAGGACATGGAGCTACAATCGGTCGGTGAACGCATATTGACATCCGCAACGTACTGGAATCCCTTTTTCGTCTTTTTGATACCTATATGCAGCTTCCCAGCTTGGTTGACCTCAACGGGCCTAAGCACCCAGTCAAGCGGAACTGCCCCACACAGGCTCGGTGCTTGTCGCTATAGTGGAGAAGCATGCCGATAATAGGTCTGTGACAAGCGGTCTTGTCAACACACAGAGTAATTTCTACAACATCTCCCATAGAACAATAAGAGTAAAACTACGGTTCATTATATGATGTCTGAGGGCATGACGATATAGGAACAAGCGATTTTGGGTAAGGCTTTGGTTTTGGCGGTTTAGTGTGTTCAAAGCCTAGAAACTTGACTTCCTTTCCCCCTAATATTGAGTCCCATTCATTGAAGTATATTCGCGACGGACTCTTTGGCGGAGTGTGGATACGCTCGAATTGATATTCCGCTTTTGAGGATGGCGGCGGCAGGTAGCAGCCAAATAAAGTGGTTCGTTCTTGATTAGTAGTGAACTAGAAACATTCAAGTTAGCGATATAACTGGAGCATAGACTATCATTTTCCAACACTTAATCCAAGGGAGTCTAGACCAGTATGCCTAAATCCGTAGCGCCTACAAATCTCGGTCACATATTCGCCTTGGTCAATAGGCATATATATCCAAACCATTGACCAGCCAAAAAAGGAATCGACCCCCTTATAAAATGTGAGGTCCATATTGGGACCCAGCGCATGTATAGTAGCTGTGATCACTCCATTTGTAGCCACAGAGTATCCGCTTGTGCGTGCAGCGTTGCATTCGAAAAAGGACATCCGAAGGCCACTGGGTTCTTTCTGCGGGCGTTGGAGACTCGCGAGGTCAATAATTGTGGCAGTAGGTGCGGGAATTGGCCAGGAAATGCGGGCAGAAGGAGTGGCATTTTGCTCTTTATTGTTAAAGATATCTCTAAGTTTTAAACCCTGGCCTGATATTAGCTTTTACAGAAAATGCAATAGCCTTCCTTGAACTTACGTCAGTTCTTATCCCGACCTTTGAAAAGCCGCAAGGCTCGGAGAGCTTTCTCCACCATAGTCCTGGCGTGCTGAGGTCTGATCTGGACAATGCATTACTGGGCGAAGATAATTGCAGCTGCCTGATGCCCAGGTGGTCCTCTCCAATGTAAACGTTCAGAGTAGTGCCTATGGTTTGAGCGTGGAGCAGAAGCCTTTCTCCAGCCTTGACTTCTGACGGGGAAGAACTTCGAAGACTTCCAATATAGCGGATGTCGTCGATCATAACATAGCGAACGTACACATTATGAGAAAGGTCAACAATAGAATTGGTTGTACTATCCTGATCCGCTAGTTCTTGAGCGGTGATAACTGCACATTCCCGTACAAGAAATCCAGCTATTATTTGGCATAGTTCATCAGGAAGCCCTTTTGCCCAGGAAGCCTTAAGCCTCTCCGCTAGAATCCGTAGCGTGCGGTCCCATCGTCGATATTCTTCATTGGTAGGTGGTCGAAAGCTATATTTCGTGGTGGCAAGGAACTTTGACGATATTGTATAGAGTCTAAAATCGTGACACTTGCTATGATAACAAGGACTCTGACGACCCCGAAACCTGCAAGTATTGCGGCAACACATATGGAATTTGATTCCGAAGATATCGTCATCGTAGAAGGTAGTATTTCGGAAGAATAGAAACTCAGACGATACACGTTGGTCATCAACACCTGAAACATGTAAGTAGGCGTCAAAAGGTGATGTCAGATAGCGCACCTGCAACAACTACTTCGCCCTCCTCCAACTCAAATTGGCATAGTCTGCAGCGGGCTTGCGGAATACAATAATATGGAGCGTCGTCGTCTTCCATATCGAGCAGATTAAAATAATATGTAAAGTACCAGCGCGGACATGAGCGAACAATACGTAAGGATGATGCTGTGGGAACCCAGATCCGCGACATTAAGAATGGGAACTGAGACTACAGATATAAGGCAATATTTGATACATTCCTTGCAGCCACCTTTATAGCCTCAGGCTGCAACTATCAGCAAAGCTACCTTATCGGCCGGACTGAACCCCGGTCCGCCTTGCAGTAGATTACAAAGGTTAGAGAGCAATAAACAACTGTGTGGTTCAGCCCACTTCACGACCAGATGGTCATACAGCTATCAGTGCACAAATCATATCCCATACTTCGACCCAGCAAGCAATTCAGAATTAAATGGCCGGGTATCGCCATTATATAAATATGTCAATGGAGGCCAAGCACTACTCGAGTAGCGGAATTGGATCAACGATTCGATACCCCTGTGTCTGAGTTGATAGGAGAACAATATCGAAATTAGTGACTAGTCTAGCGTTCAAGGACTAGAAGGAATAATCATGGTTTTGTATATACTTAGCTATAACAGACTAAATAGTGGCCAAAATAATATTTAGCGGGATGCTGGACCAACTCCTTCTTTCCTTACCTAACATTGGAAACCAACACTCTGCCATTAAAAGTTGGCGATTCCCAACTTTCCCTAATAGTTTTCATTTTCGCTTTATAGGCTCAAACTCTCCTAGCAAGGCACCGAGAACGTACATAGCTATACAAGCCAAACGGATATTTTGCCCTGTTAGCCGCGGCCCGAGACACTGGCTCTTAGATATTCGATCCGAATGATCAAATATATGAAGCAAAGCCTCCTGTAAAGATGTGCCAGCTACGCAAGAATTGGCTGTTAGTAAGACTACATGCCAGACCTAAGAGAACTAGAAGAATGACAAATGGATCTGTGAAGATCAAAGGGAAAGCCCCATGGTGACGCTCGGATAGGAAGAAATTCTTCGCAGTATATGCTTTCGAAATTCCATAACGTATAACCGCCTGCGAAATAAACTCAATAGCTGACAGAGCTGTTTTTAGATATTAAATTAGAAATCAATCACTTGAGACCACCCGCTCACCAGTTCCACAGAGTGCCAACTTCTGCAGATCACCCCATACCTCCGCCGCGAAAGACTCCATGTTCGTTGGAAACTTGGAGTTCGTGTGGATGCCTACATTATTATCTAGTACCGTTTTGGTACTCGAAGAGTTTGGTATAAACTTAAATAGGCATGCAACCTAGAGAATGGTGATATGGGTAGAAGCAGGCTAGAAGAAAGACCCCGACTCATTTTTGCTGAGATAAAGGAGCTGGTGTACATATTCTCGATTTCAAAAACACATATCTCTCATCACCACTAACCGCAACACCGCACGTAAAACTTGCAATGACGAGGATTCCCGAACCTCTCATCTTCCAACTATTCACTTACTACAAATCCACCAGCCCTAATACATCGCACATTTTGCCACAACCACCCACCTAGTAATTCCCACTACTTGGAAGCCGTACCAACACCCACAAACAACCCACACACAATTACTAACAATTTCCTATACATCGACAACGACAGGGAAACTATACCCGATTACCAATACTCAAGGACAGGATCCCCTCTCTACATGACTCAATCGGCGTGTTCAGGATGCCATGCCGTTTGTGAGGTCATTTCAGACTTTACGAGGTAGAAGCTGGTTTGAGGAGCAGGGGTTCTAGGTACAACCTGGTTAGGGTTTGAGGTTGCGATGTGCAACAAAACGAGAAGTCTGAGAACAATAAAATTCAGTGTTTCAAACTAGGCAGCGATTTTTATGCCACGGAGAGAAAAGTTAACGATCTTGACACTCTGCATAATCACGAAAAAATATGTACTATTATATGAGTTGAATAGGTAGTAGTAGCCACTTATCTCGGCCTATTTCGCTAAACTACAGCAAAAGGGGGGTGGGCCCGGCCTTGCAAAATCTCATGTCTGCAAGCCGTGCAACATTTCGGAAAATAATTCATGAATCGTGATGGCCGCGCCAGAATTATTGAAAGCAAGCCAAAGCCATATAACGCCTGCCGGCACACGCCCAAATCTGTTATTCTCAACAGTCTGGCTGTAAATAAAGGCCAACGCGCTCGCCAAAGATATCATCAACACAAAATCAAGAATGAAAACACGACCAGCGTACACTCTTATAAATTATCCCTCGGGGATCCAAAACCGTGTCGCTCGAAGCACATTGCTTCTGTCATTCCCACCAAACTCCGTTGACGCCATCATAAGGCAGCACTGCAAAGCAAGGTGCCGGGTGATCGGGACCACTAAGAACAAAGAAAAGCCTATCGGCTAATCCATGTAAAAGTCTCCTTTGAGGATGCGCTCTTGGAAGGCGTCTGGCTGCTTTCTAGCCGGCTTTGGAGGGGTGCGAACAGGGGCAGGAATGGCCGACGGAGGGGTTGCCATGTCGCCTACACTCTTCTGGCGGTCATGAGACGATATCTGCTTTGCAGCAGCAGGGGGAGAGGTAGAGAAGTTGGGACGGTGGGATTGCGAGACGGAGCTCTCAGCTCGAGATCTAAGTTGCTCGGACCAGTTGAAGCCTCCACCTTCACCTGCACGAGCAGAAACGGAATAGTCAGATGGTGTTCTTGTTTTTGATTGCATGCTTGCCTGTGCTTGATTCTGGGGTTTGGGAGGAGGAATCGAACCTCCAGCCCCAGATCCCGGCCCCGACGGCGAGCGTCGGGGCGCAGAGGGGATTGTGGGAAGAGAAGAGGGTGCTCTACCATTTGTACCCGGACTGCCGTTTGGTTGTGCTCGCCTCATAGCTTGCGCACCGAATGACATTCGTCGGGGGAATGGGGTTGTAGGAGCACTTCTGGCGGGGCCCTCCTCATCATCAATAGCACTCTCATCGATGGACTCGGAACCCGCGGTCGAGACGCTGCCTCGCCGTGCGCCAAAGGGGAAGGGCGAGGCTTGTGTAGGCGAGGTTCCGGATAATCCGAGGGTGGTGATGGACATGCGGCGACGTTGGTCTTGTGCAGCAACGGTACCGGTGCTGATGGGATTGGGGAATGGCGCCGTTGGGCCGCCCGCAACACTGTTGGATCGGCCAAAGAGCGAGGTGAATGTCTGCGACGTGATCGAGCCACGGCGATTGCGGGGAGGGCCCTCGGTGGGGGAGTTGCTCCCGTTGTTGTTCGCCATGTGAGATATTCTGTCGGTGGGTGGTATGAGTATGAGTATGAGGTGGCGGGTGGTGGGTGGTGGGAGCAGCGGGCTGCAAGCGGAGTTTGCGGTTGTTTTGGGGGAACTTCTGTCAATGGTCTCTATCCTCGCGGCCTTCGACTCTTAAAGTTCGGGAAGAGGACTCGATAGCCTGATCTTTATGTCGTGATGTTTGCTGCTTCGTAATATTGCCCGAGTCTGCGGGGCGAGGAGATGGGGTGATACGGTCGTTGCGGGTAGATCGGGTCCCGATCACACGTCGTCTTCACAAGCCTGGCGCTGCGAAAGGTATCGAGGTAGAGGTAAATAGCGTGCGAAATCGGAGGGGTTGGTGTTGATCTGCGGCGGGTATTGAGCAATTGGAGGTGGCAGAGTGCGAAGAAAGGGGGGAGAATGTGGAATGGGGAATGTAGAGTGTGGAGTGTAGACTGGGAGAATGGATGGGAGGATATGGAATATGAAGGTCGATACGTTTATGTAGGTGGGAGAGAGGGGAAGGCGGGCCATTGGAGGACGCGAGGGCGTGAATACGTAGCACCAGAGGAATAAGGTTTGGATGTCTTGCGTACCTGAGGCCGCAACGCTAATATGGGTTTTTGGGGGGGGGGGTTGATTGACTCTCACAGCTTGGTCCAGGGAGACAAGAGGCAAGAGACAAGAGACAAGGCATTTGGGGACTTTCCTGGGTTGCTCTTGGGGGGTTGTCTTTGGGTTGCCCTTCCTTTTTTGGTGACCCAGAACAATAAAGAATATGGATGGCCAGTTCCTATTGGGCGTGTATCATGGACCATACTCCGTACGTTGTACTGCCGTTCCATGCTGCGTCATGGCCGCGGCCGGGCTCCTGACTCTCCTTGGCGAGGAGCGACGAGTTGTGTACGTAGTTGTAGCGAGTCCAGTGGGTGCGTGGCATCCGGGATTCGAGGGAGCGAAGAGGAGGCGCGGAAGGCGGAAGGCGGAGGACGGACGGCGGAGTGTGGGGTAGTAGCGAGCCAGTCAGGAGCCACAGGCGGGGTATTAGGGGCCATTTGGGGCCATTCGGGCGCTCCAGGGGGGTCAGTGCGGTGCAGATGGTTTCCCCCCCGCCCCGGCCAATCTACAAGTGCAAGCTCGAAGTCGATTCCCTATCCAGACAAAGCCACATCGAGCAACTCATCGACAATCTCCCACGGTACTACTACTACTACGTACTACGAATCGTAATTATATCCATATCCCCAGTATCTCCCATATCCCAAACACCCTCAAAAGGGAGCGAACCCTGCAGAAGACCACAACACCACCGTCATCACGCCATGTCATACATATCATATCATACCTTACCTGGTATGCTGCTTTAGGGTACTCGAGCAGCCCATTGTGATGTGCCGAGGTGTGAGAGAACAAATGAAACTGGCATCATATACTGCGGAATATCATACTCCACCCCCCTTGCTGGTTCGATTTTCGACGCGGGCTCCCGTCAGCAGCCAGCAACCAGCACAGCAAAAGCAAAAACCGTCGTTGGGCAACAGACAATGCAACGCCTGTCTAGACCAGAACTTGGTGGCGCCGTGTGGAGGATATTGGTAAGCCGGTACAGCGCTACACCACCACTACGAGCGACGAGTGCTTTGCTTATTGTCGACGTGCAATCCCGCAAGTTCCGCCATAAGTAGTAGGTTGGCCCATCGTCAGCATGATAGGCCATCATAGGCCGTTGATTAAACTGGTGCCACCGGCAAAATCCCCACCACGTATCCACGCAGTACACACGCAGGACGGAGGTGTTGAAGTGGCGTAGGAGCTACTCTGGACTACTCCGGACTACTATCGACTAATATCGACTAATATCGAACTACTCTGCTAGTGCTCGCCTAGCGGCCTGCAGCTCGACTGCACATGCATCTCATCTGCAATAATCTGCAATCTGCATCCTCAACCCCGCATTATTATTATTCGAAATAGTCAGCGCAAGTTCTGCTGCATGCCAAACCGAACAGTGTGGAGCATTGAGAAGGATTAGGGTTCACAAGGAGTCAAGGACGCCGCGCGCCTCTCCTATTTTCAGCAATTTACAGAGTAGATCTTGGGATCTTGAGTTTCAACTCCCTGGATCTCGAGCTCTGGCACCTTTGAAGCCCCTGGTTGGGCGAGCTCCAGAATGGGTCGCCACCTTTAACAAGCCTTTGAACGGACCAACCATTCGGCTTTTCCCCAGACGACCATGGACAGGCAAGCTCGTGCCAAGGTATTATCGCTGCTTGGCAATCGTCGCGTCCTTTCGAAGATCTCACCATACATTCAGCAGAGATTAGCATTATGGCTATTTATCTCTAACAGTCCCCTCGCTATTCCCAGGGAAGCTATTACTTCTCCAAGGAGCAGACTGGCGCTGACAAGCTGCCACCCCCGCTATTGCTTTGCAAAGCGCCATTGACGGAGTTAGGGGCAGAGGTTGAACTCTAATGATGGTACCAAAGGCCTTGGCTTGCGGAACCAAAGTTTCAGTCCCTTTCAAGAGATGTGCTGCGTAGCGCATCCAATCATTAGCCTCTCTTCGCCTTGTCTATCTTACCAAGTCCTGGGCTTGGGGAAACGCCTCTTTGTACGAAAGTCAGATAGCCGACCCTTATTGACTCATGGCGTCAGATGAATGCCATCTGAAAGAAGCCAATAGGTAATTCTGATCTCTCTTGGTTACCCGGGCCTATGGCACATCACGATTCAGGGTGGCTTCAGAGGATGATATAATATCGAGAGCCCACATTACGTGGTTGATAGGCCATCAATCCTCTTCCGCAAGATGGCGATGTCATCGGGTGTAGTCTTACAGCATCCACCAACGACAATCGCCTTCCACATCCCTCGCTCTCTCGTTCTCTTTACGATACTGAAGACTGCTTCCTCCCAAGGAACCTATTACCTATATTAGCAAAGATCCAAACTTTCCTTTGCTGTCCCCGCGGAAATTGAAACCCTACCTCACTCTCAACAGCAGCTTCAACCTTCTCCCATTCTTTTGTCGTCGTATTATACACCTCTCCCATTGTTCCATCCGGATAGACTACCAATGCTGGCCACTTCTCATTCTCGTTCCTAATGACCCCCTTCACGGCGTCTTCCATATCCAAAATCAACTTCTCGATTTTATCAACTCTGGTGCAATTAATCCCAATTCCCATTGGCACCGCCAGTTGTCTTTGCAGTTCACCATCATCATTATTGTCCTCATCCTCTCTTTCCATCCCCAACATCGCCTCCACGACCTGCCTCACATCACTCCCATCAGGAAGAGTAAATTCCTCTCCAGGAAAGACACAGCTAATCCAAAAGGGCTTCCTTTCGGATCCGTCTGCAACACAACTCATAGATTCTCTCACGGCCAAAATCTCCTTCCTCACAGGAAGCGTCTCGAAAGCCACCATATCAACATCATTCCAGCAGTCAATTTTATCCCCTTTCTCCCCAGAACTATCACTCTCGCTATCCTCCGCTCCCCGTAGAAACGGACAAAATGCACCCAAACGCTGTAAATGCCAGTCCCGCAACGCCCCTACACTCTGATGCGAACTATCATAGACACCACTGTACTCAGTACTAGGTATCATACACGCACCATACGGACCCAAGCTAAGTGCGACTTTTCCTTTCCCCTTTATATATGCCCTTCCTTCCAATCCCCCCGCACACTCAAAAGCATCCCTCGCCACCCCCACAGCGCCCCGCATCAACCTCCTAGCATCATCCTCCCCAATTCCCCGCTCAACCTCCTCGCTGCATGTATCCCTCTGCGACTTCGCGAATCCTTCAAAACTCGCCTGGTATGTTGCGCTGAGTAGGATTTCTGCGCCTGCACGCGCATAGCGCGAATGTGCGTCCCGAAGGATGTTCCTGTCGGCGGGAGATATAAGGAGGTTGGAGGACCAGAGCGGTGTGGAGGATGTGTAGTGGAGGTTGTAGTGGGAAGATAGGAGAGTCCCGAGAGCGCCGTCTAGGAGGTGGATTTGCATTGGTTGTGGTGGCATGTTTGAGGAGTTGATTCGTGAGGGTGCAGTAGTAAAATGCGAAATCATTTCAGGCCGAACACTAAATGGTTTAAAAATAGACCCATATTTTTAACACTAGCACTAGTTTAGCTAGCTGCATTTGTATCCCGGTTCAAACCCTCTGCACTGCTCAAGAGCTAAACGATTTAGAGTTATACCCTTAATTAGTAACAAATCTAGTAAGAATAGAGGCTAAAAGATAGGCAAACCTCCTATTAGCTATATATATTCTTTATACTTAGTAGTTTAACCTAGCCCTCAATCTTACTAGAATAAATTTCAAGTTAAGAGACATAAATACCTCGTAAAGACTAAAATAGTTATAGAGGTAGCACTAAACTATAGAGAATGTACGCTTATCATAAGACAACTAATTAATTTGTCCCTTAAACTTTCTCCTAAAATAAGCCTACTCCAAAGGATCTTATTTTATTGATCCAAAGTCCAATTTTCATACTCATATGTCCATGCTAGCCGCAGACACTGGTTCTTCTCAGAAAGTGGCAGTTTCCTCTAGACTCCCAGGATATGGTCTTCTAAAATAAAAGCACAACTAATTGCATTCTTACTGCACCTTGTGTCCCAGCGCCTGGGTACGTAAGAAGCTTTGATACTAGTTCAGCATCAACCACTAGTCGCAAGTTGCAACCGTCTCCGTCCAGGATTGTCTTAGTAATGAAACATTTCTAGGGACAAGAACTGCTGACAATGCCCATTTGCTCAGGTCTCAAACTTGAAGATCAACTGCTGCAACGAGATTCAATTTGTACCATACTGTTGATATAGAGGTTCAACTCTAGCTGTGAACTAAACAGAACATCGACGCAACTAAGCTTCTACTCAGCCTCCGCTGACATCTTTGGCAGCTCATTAAAGCCAGCTGTCAAGAACAACCCCTCGAGGACCACGTCCTTTGAGCCTTGAGCTCCTCTACATCCCAATTTGCCCAGGCACAGCGTCCCTTCAGGAACGCAGCTTCAGGGCTAGCCATCCAGAGGAGGAAGTGAGCCGGAAGTTGAACTAGAAGCATTAAACCCAGTTAGCATCTCATGGAATACCTCAGAGTATATAGCTTATTGTAATTAGCATTTAAAAGTGTTGGGTGTTTTTACCCTTATCCATTGGCAGATTTTCAGCCGTAGCACCTGACCTATTAAAGGTATTCGTCTCAATCACACCGGGATGGATCGTCGCGATAAAAATATTAGGGTTCTCTGCTGCTAGGAACTCGTAGACCTTGGCCTGCGCAAGCTTTGACGAGACGTAGGATGAAAGTCCGGTTAGGTACGAGACCGGCAAGAGCGAAGTGTCCGAGATCACACCAAGGATAGCGGCTTGGGATGGATCAGCCGTTGGCAGGAATGCTCTGGCCGCTAGAAAGGTCCCATGGACATTGGTCTATAAAAGAGGGGGGTTAATACACGGTTTCTCATAGAGTAGGAGAACTCCTTCGACGGATCATGAAGAGCAGGAATGATAGTATCATGAAGAGTAGGAATGATAATATCATAATACGCACCTCAAAGCCTTTCCACCACTCCACTTCTTCCGATGAGGAAACCGTCGATGGGGTAGGACAGTAGCCCGAAGACAGCACGAGTACATGCCACTTACCCACTGCGGCAGCAGCGCTCTGCAATGTATCCGCTTTGGTCAGATCCCCGATATGCACTGAGCATGACGCTTTGCCGGCCGACAAAATGGACGCCGCCGTCTCCTGGAGCGTGGCATCGGTACGGCCGAAGAGTGCTACATGAGCAGCCCCAGCAGTCGCAAAAGCCAAGGCCGTTTCTCGTCCAATACCGCTTCCCTTCAAGGCCCGTCTTGTTAGCAATCGGTCGTGACTGTGAACTCGATCTCTAGCTGATACTATATATTATTCGGGATACGCTCTCTTGTTAATATGTGCTGGCTCTGACTTTAGCTCAACCCTAACCTCACAGCGGAAGGCGACAAAGCGAAAAGACAAAAGTGGGAACGGGGAGAGGTGCCAAGGGAAAAGAGGCGAGATGATTTGGAAGTTGGAATTTACATACTCCTCCGACGATGATGACCGTCTTGCCAGCCACGCTCAACTCCGGACGCAACGGCGAAATACTCTCATAAGTATCGTTGTGCCATATAGCAGTAGGGCAGGGGAACGGTGGCTGCATCTTATAGGATTTGGTGTTGTGTCTGATTTTCGAAATTGTGGGAAAGATGGACAATGAGGTTGTTCAGAGAAAAGAGTCAAACGTCGGCCTGGAGTTTATAAGTCTTGCTTCTTGGTTCTGGATGTCCAAACGATTAAAGAGAAACCGTTGAAATTGTTTCGTTTCGGCGATGGCGAAAACTAGGAGTTTCAGTGTACGCCACATATAGCAAAAATGGCTGACTTTCACAGGTATATAACACGAACTTCTCGTCCACCTCTATTACTATAATTAATCAACTCTTTCTACTTGTTTTCAGTGCCTCCAAAACACTGACAGAAATCCCTGGCGGGCAGGGGTATATATGTCCGAATAACATATCACGGGAAACGTGTAGGTCCAATGCTCTAGGCTGGCTATTGTAATGCCGCTGCTATTGCAACATTAATTGCTGCTATTCTCGTAAAGTGCGGTATTATAGGCTCACTCATAAGCTCAGTTGCAGGCCCAATTGCAAGTAGGCTCACTTGCAATTTGCAAGGCTCAGTTCCCCAGTTCAGTTAGGTGGCTTAGTAGTAAGCACAATTGCAGGATCAATGCAGGCAAGCCCAATTGCTTACTGTTATTGTGTGTTAGTGTTAGAATATGGGAGTTCCCGGATGTGGAAGCTCAGGCCTCCTGCTAAGCCACTGAATAATCATGATTTAATGCAAAGATCAAAATACATGATCCTCCTGTTTCAATTAGTCTGAGCACCTGGTTTGCTACTAATTAGTACTAGTATCAGATGAATAGGTCAGTTAGGCAAGACTTGGAAATCACGGATAACGGTATATTCTATTCATTTGGCACATTTGACTTATTATATTATTTGCCTATTATAGGAGGCTTGTCACCCTATATTATTAGGCTCCGTAATCAATACAATCACTTCATTCCATGACCTATTCTGGCCAATCAACTGCCTGTATTACATATACCAATTTGGGTCCCAATTATCAACAGCTAGCTAGTATAACTGCCTACAGGTGTGAGGGTGATTGATTTAGCGCCGTTGGACTATGAGTCCAGGTTATCTCGGACGTGTTAAACGCACTGCAGTGGTGTTTCCCAAGCATCTTGACCCTTTGTTGACTGTGTTAGAGTTACATATGCAATAAGCGTTCTATTGTGTTGCTGGGTTACTCGTATTTGACAACCAATAATAGTTAACACGGGTGTCAAACACCCTCCGACAGAACGGCCTATAAGTATAGTATTAATTCAGACACATGCATAACACAGAATAATTAAGTATATACGGTAGATTAGAAGAAACTATGCCTTTGGCTTACATGATCCCCTTCTTATAAGGAGTTGAGTTGATTATGCTAGATCAACATCACCTCTCGCTAATAAAGACACTGGGTTTTAAAATTGGCCAAAATTGAGGATATAATATTCTGCCTAAACTTGCATCAAGCTTAAAGGACGAAGGCACGGAACGATCACTAAGCACTTGATTGCGTTTCCGGTTGTATAATTGGTTGCATTTCTCAACATTGTTGTCAGCAGTGGCTCCAAAAACACCTACCGTGGACTCAGTATCAGTAGTAGGGTGTCAAATAACCATCATCACTGCCCATCGGGGCTATATTACAACCTTTGAGGAAGGGACTGTTCTTTCTACGTATGAATTGGGATTTATCGAGAGTGACTTTGTCACTTTCGCAGTTCCCAACACTCATTCGGCATTTTCAGCACTTTTGCCTCATCGATGCTGGTCGAAGATGAGTTTTCAACCGCTCCGTCCGCGACGCAGATTCTACAACGCCTGCCTTGGGTTCTGGCTTTCAACATCGGGAACCTCCTAGTTTTTGGCCTTGCCAACAAGCGTGCTCCTCACTCGGTGATCGAAAACCGTATCAACAAGTTCTATTTTGCCCATGTGAGGTGATGTGATTTGGAGAACGGAAGAGGCGGCATTTTTGGCTGCTTTTGGCAGAGAAGGACAAAGTGCTAAGTCCTACCTGCTCATTTGGGAGGAGGGTGTGTACAAGTTTAGTGAATCCTTGACGAACTAGGCCGAGACTGCGATGGGGGAGATCTTCAAGCCCTAAGGGTAAAGTGCTCGAAATGCGTACCTCTCATGCCGTGAAGAAGCTTTTGGAGGTTTGGTTTTGATTTACATGCTGTGAAGGGCAAAGCGTCTCCAAAGATGAGCAAACGGCCATGTAATAATTTACAACTTTACAGTATTTGTGCCTAAAACTAAGTCCTAAACACGCTCCAGGGTTGAAATACTTCGATGCCCCTTGACTCAAACCTGTCAAGCTTTCGAATCGAATTGCACTTTCGTTGCCATCTTCTCCGTCCCGCCAAATTCTCCATGCCACGTTGTTCAGTATCATGTAGCGTAGTTTCTTGCATATTGCAGCAACCTGGTGCTCAAAGCCGTCCTCTGCTGGCTGGCCGTGTACATTAGTGAATGATGGGGTATTCAAGAACAACTGTTCCAGGGCTGTCAATTTCTGAACCCACTGGAAAAAGCCTAGTTGATCTCTTGGTGTGGAGATCTGATATTGATAGCAAGAGCCTGAACACCTCGTATTTTCACAAGCTGGAAGTCGTCCGTTTGAGAAGTTACCATGCTCATCTTCGATTTAGATGATGTATGAGCGCCTTCCAATTTTGACACAACATCATTCAAGTCATATTCAGTTGACCATTCTGTCCTGAATTGCCGTATATATCCCGGTTCGAGTGCATCCACCCACCGTTTAACTCTTTTGGTGACATCATGAACGCCAAAAGTGCTCAGATTAGGGCATTGATTGGGTGTGAACAGACTCCATGCAATGTTGTCTTCTTCTTGAAAGTATATTGCAACATCATGGCCTTGGTTAGAGATATACGCGTCCTCCAAGCTTTCGAGGTCGACCAAGCTAGCAAGATAGCTCCCTGGCTGCCACACGATGAGGCTGAGGCCAAACACTAACTTCTGCAATCGGAGAGGTCTGCCACCTGCAGCTACGTATTCATCGCATAATGCCTTTGAGAACAATAGATACTCCATGTTCTTGGCTACTGTCCCTTCGAAGTTGAGCCGTTCCACAGTATCAGCGCTGATTGACAGGCCTAGTGTTCTCAAAGTTGGTGACTTGAGCAAAACTTCTACGAGATCCTTCCTGACACGGTTGAGATCACCGTAGATTCCGTAGACTTCGAGTTCAGCCAGGTTGGAGAAGAGCGAGAGATCCTGCGTGGCAAACAATGCTTGCCTTTCATGAAACCCATCATTAAAGTCAAAATTGTCTATCAGCCCTAGCTTTTCCTCGATATGCTCTTCGTTGTGAATGATCAACGATCGAATATTTGGACATTTTTGGTGTAGAGTTGATATGGTAGTTGTGTACAGTGTCACGTCTTCCCAGCTATATTCTCCAAAACGTTAGTAACAGCACGCACTATATTTGTTGACACAAACACGTACGAGAAATAAGTCAATCCCGGCATGCTCGCCAGAAGGGCCTGTACACCCTTATTGTAAAGTTCGCTCAACTCACCCTCTGTATAACCAGTATCCTTGCGTGAGTGCCGCGGAATGGCCAGATCAAATGTTTTGGTATACTTCAGCGAACTGTTGTCCAGAAGCATCTGGAGGTTTTCAACCAAAAACTGGGCGTTAGTTGCTCGGATCCACACTTCTGTGTACAAGAAAGGAGTGAATGAAGAATTGCAACTCTTGCTCGTGCAACAGTTCTCGGTTTAACACAATTCTACCAACGCAAGAAAGCAGCTCGGGGGTGCTAGCAAACTGTTTAGTAGGAGAAGGCATCACAGGACAGACTCTAGCAGCGAAGATGAATGCGGACGCAAAGGTGTGTGTGCAGATGTCGTTGAAGTTTCCCTCCTCTTGATGGACGTCGTCATGCAGCGTCGGTGAATTTAGCGAAGGGGGCAATGTATCAGTAACGATTCATTGGCTGCCTTATAGACTGGGTAAAATACCCAAGTCCAGGGGAGGATCTGGCCCTGATTTCTGCCATCTTGGCACTGCAAATCGCGTCAAACCTTGCCGACTGTTGAACGAAATGCATTAACCTTGCTCACACAACATGCCCTTTGAGTCATGGGGCACATTTTCCCACCTAAAAAGCATATTAAAAATACCTCTTCTTCAGTTGTGACTCAGCGGCCGTATGATATAGTTGAATCGAGAGAAATATTTTGGGAAGTATTTCCGTGAAGTGAGCCAGGCAGTCTACCCACCCGCCGAAAATCTGGTTGCGGTGAAGCACCATGAAAGGCCGTGATACTTTCTGACCTTACACGTCGTCGTCACATTTATAGTAATAAATATTTACTATTAATAATTTAAGGAGCAATTAATCTACCCTATTAATATAATAATAGCATTCTTTTTATGTAAGTTATCTTTATAACTACTTAAAATATATTTAATAACACGGTTTATGAAACAATTCTAGTGGAAAAAATAAACTGTTACTAATAAACAGATAGTTTACAGTAGTACAATCGTTATGAACTTGTTCAAGCATGGGTAGCTAAATGTCTTTACACCAGAGTTTTTAAGTTCTTAGCAAAAAGGTCCTCTAGGGGGTAGATCCTATACGCCTGCCTTCATTAGTGGATGGACTTTTCGTGTAGGAATCGACGCATAGGTCAAGCGTAATGAACAGTAAGATGTCTCTAATTCGTTGACCATGCTCCCTCCAATAGTTGGGAACATATCCCACGTCATTCTCCAACAACTGGGAAAATTGCCCTTGCTGTTCTCCAGGAATCAGGAACACAGCCCTTGCCCTCTCCAACAATTGGGAAAATAGCTAGCCAGCGCCGGTTCTAACAATTAGAAAAGCAAGAGAATATTTTCTGCATGCAGTAAGCATCCCCGAAAATATATTCACTCGCTCGATCCGTTGCTATTCCTAGAAATACCCCTGCTCAATGGTTTGGTGTTGGTGGTGGTAGACCTGCAGACCGTTCGCATATTGCGGGTTCGGCTTTTTAGTAACCCCAGCTGTTGGAAACCGGGCCACTTTCTGCAGTCATGCGGTCATATCACATCTGCGCTATTAGGGGCGAGATTGGAGATATTACGAAGCCCATGCCTAAACAAATCTGCAATAACAAGTGAAAGAATTCTAGATTTCTCCATCAGTGGAAGGTGATTTGATCTCGAGCTTATTTCTAGAACTGACCAATGGGAATCTTTTTTTTCTCTAGTGAACCAAACTATCGGGTCCCGATTCCTTCATGCAACAAACACTTCCTTCGGCGCGGGATCCACTCAGCAGGAACGTACCAATGACTATTATTCAGACCACGGGGAGCAGAGCGGCGATGCGAAACAACAGCAGTTCTACGAATCACTTGCCTTTCTATTAAGCTGCTTTTGTGCCCGAAACGAAAGAGTCTTGTTGGATCCGCAGGTTCCGAAGATGGAGAAGTGATTAAGGGATTGGATCCCGGTAAATTAATAGGGGAAGTAGCCCCTAACTATATACAGGGGCAGACCTAGCCGAGCTTCAAAATATGAGGCCCCCCCCCCCTTTTCTTTTTAGGGTTGTCCTACTTCGTAAGCGAGAACTAATGCAACGCCAGAACGGAGGGCGATGAACAGCTACACTAATTTACAGCGCCATAGCCCCTAAATTTAGCATTAAGATCACTATCGAGACAAAGGTAATCAACACGCGGAGCAAAGTAGCAACCTAGTTGACTAGCTCTTCTTCCGCCATGCACAACCAGACCTGTACTCGCCAACCATCTACATCGATCTCGAAGGCGTAGACCTTTGTCGCGAGGGCTCCCTTTCCATCGTCACCCTTCTAATCGATGCGGGAATCCCGGCTAGATGGGTCTATCTCATTGATGTGCATATTATGGGTGCACAGGCGTTCAATACTTTAGGCGTCAAACAGAAGACGCTAAAGGATACCCTTCAGGACGAGAAGATCCCAAAGGTCTTCTTCGACGTTCGCAACGATTCAGATGCCTTATTTGCACATTTCGGCGTGGCATTGCGGAGAGTGGAGGATGTCCAGCTTATGGAGAGTGCCACGAGGAAAACTACGGCATCGAGGAAGTTCTTGAGCGGCTTGGCCAAATGTGTTGAGAAGAATGCGCCAAACATGTTGCTCAGTGGTAGCAACCTAGCGAGTTGGAAGCAGGTGAAAGAGAAAGGAGAGAGATTGTTCAAAGCTGAACATGGCGGCTCGTATGAGGTTTTCAACCAGCGCCCGATCCCCGAGGATATTATTTCTTACTGTGTTTGTGATGTTCAGTACCTCCCTGAGTTGTGGGATAGGTTTTGGAAAATGCAGACCTATCGGTGGCGGGACCTAGTCAACGAAGTCCATAAAGCGCGTCTGGCCATTGACCTTGTTGCTATTAGATCATGCTATAAACGAGCACAGGCCCCAAGTATTATATGAATTATAGTTTTTATGCGGTGAATTGTTTACTTTTATATACTTTTGTCTTTCTAGTATTCTAAGGTAGTATGATTCAGATGCCGATTTTAGGAATTAAAGTGTTTTGAAGATTAGTAAAGGAAACGATTACAGTAGTCAAGAGTCATGTATTGTAATAAAATGGCCATGGGACTCTTTAAGAGGTTGCTTGAGTTGGTTTACAATAGTCAATAGTGTGCTTAAGAAAGTGTCAATGTTGGATATAACAGTTGGGAGATAAAGGCTTTGACCAATAGTTCGTTCGTTCAATGGCTAGTATACGACATATATAGACAATTAAGGCACCGATTGATAGCCAGTTACCTTGTCTGCTCGTGCCATACACTGGCCGAGCACTTTCCAGAACTTGTCCATATCCATACTCCTTGGGACTATTGAACCTTGTCCGGTCGATGGCACAATCACTGTCCTCCCAATTTGCTCGCCTTCTAGAACAACGTCGATGTTCCACTTTTCTTGGCCATTATCCAAGATATCAATATTGAGCGTAGAGTCAGCATGACTGAACAGCAAAGCCGCAACAGCGAGCGCATCATGCAGTGGCGGGCCAGTTTTAATTTCGGTGTCATTTGCGTAAGAACTTCCATAAAACATGATAAGCTCGTGGAACATCATTCGTAGGCGTGTTGCACCGTGCTCTCCGTTTAGTAACTTCTGTCGTACTTCGGCCACGGCGCATGCTTGATGCGTCAGATCCAGCGGGATAAGAACAGTCTTGGGACGGAGCATCGGATTCTGGAATACACCCCGTGCAGACTCTGGGTCGCACCAGATGTTAAACTCAGCATATGGAGTGACGCCACCTTGAGGAAGGGTTGTGCCGCCATTCTCAACGGCACTGGGACCTAGTGACACTTGGGCGAAGTTATTTCCGATGGCCCCTCCCATGACACTGAGTCCTTTAATATGCGTTGCTACCTCAGGGTACGTGGCGAATAGAAGTGCAACATTTGTTAATGGCCCAATGGCTACAAGCCACGCTGTTTTCTCCTGGGTTGCCATCAGTACCTTCCGCATCTCTTCGATCGCATTATATCGTCCGAAGACAGAGCGTGCTGACTTAGGCAGTAGCTCTGTACCTTCTAATCCACTGGCACCTAGGAAGGCAAATTATATTCAGTATTAATACTTTAATCACCTAGCCAACATGCTACACATACCATGGAAAGCTTCTGCTGTGGCGGACGGTCGGCAGAACGGCTGTGAAGCACCGGGGATGACAGGAATATTCGATTTCCCAATGGCCTCTAACACATTCAAAGCATTGTAGGTTGTGTTTACCAATGAGCTATTTCCGTGCACGGTGCTGACGCCCAGAAGCTCCATAGATGGATGATAAGCAGCGAGGAGTATGGCAAAGGCATCCTGGTATACTCGATGAGGATAATGGTTTCCACGGGGAGATATTAACTCACGTCATGACCTGTTGGTCTATCAGCATCAACCATGCAGAGTTAAATTGAAATCATTTTCATACCTGGATCACAATCTATCCACAGCGGGATCTTGTCAGATGAAGGTGTCATATTTCCCATATTTACAATAGCCTGAATGTATACTTGTGGTTTTCGACAGGATTCAGTAGCAATATATATAGCGGTGATAATTTCATTTGATGGTGCGCGGCTTTTTATGTGCTGGTGATGAAATACTTTTCCCTCCCATTCATGTACATTTTTAGACGCAACTGCAATGCCTGACCGCCGTTCCATTCAGGGTTATCGCCAAACTGTGTAGTGGGAACTCTACCGAATGAAAAGATTCTCGGACTGATCGCCGAATTACCGCGATAAAGTTGGGTCAGGGTTTCTCCATCAATCGCAGGGATTCTTGGTCTAATGATCCTGATGTGATCCACTAAATGAAGCTATTGTCGGGCTGATCGCCGAATTGCCGCGATAAAGTTGGGTCAGAGTTTTCTCCATCAGATGCAAGGATTCTCAAGGATTCTTGGTCTAACGATCGTGATTTGATCCTGATCCACCTTTCGAACCCTACCAAATGAAAAGATGCTCGGGCTGATGGCCGAATTGCCGCGATAGAACTGGTCTAACGACCTTGATATCGAGGACAAGACGTTGGCAGGGGCTACGGGTTCTCGCATCCAACCTAGTACTCCGTACCCCTCCCGCAGCAGGATATTCCGAACCACCAACGACCGACTGTTAAGGGGTCGTGGAGGTTAGGGCCTGTGTGGCGTTTCTTGCCGCGTGTAGAGCGGCTGGACCCGCGTCTGGAACACTTTGGTCTAGACTAGGCTCGTACTGTATTTTAATACAGTAGTCGGCATGTCACGTAAAATACTCGTCCTTCGTGCCCTTGGACGATCGGGGACGTGGTGGAGCCTCTGATATCCCGATACGGAACCCGCAGCATCGTTGCCAGAGGCTTTCTTTTTGTCGTCCACGACGAGCTAAGATACACAGGATGCCTTGGTCATTGGAAACAACTCCCCCGCATCGTTTTCTCCTTTCCCGCACTTTGAATTGGCACCTGGTCATCACCCCGCGAGTGTTCGAACAGGCGGGGAGGAATACATCGGTTGGCGCACATTGCGTGTGCGTTTGAATTTGTATATAAGGATCGTCGTGCTCGTCCAAACGCCGTCCTTTCCCAAGTTATTAGTATCTTATCCTTCTTTGTTTCGTCACCTGAAAATCATCTCATCTCTGTGCCTTGTATCTTGAAGAGGCCATTTGTCTCAAGTCCCCTCCGTCATGGACTCGGAAAAAGATGCTCCGGTGCCCGCCCATCAGGAGGAAGTCGAGGTGCAAGTCGCCGTCCAAGTGAACAAAGAGGATCATGAGATGTCCAAATGGCAGGTCATTAGGCGCTACCCACAGCCTTTTTTCTGGTCTGTCTACGCCATTTGGACTATCCTCCTTGTGAGTTTCGATAATCAAGCGTCGGGGATCGTCTTTGGGATCCCCCAATTTCGAAAGGACTTCGGCTACTATTACGACGGGAACTACGTCCTGGACGCAAAGTGGCAGTCTGCCTTTAGTGGTGCACCCTTGGCATCGTGAGTATACATGGCTTCTTATCTCTCATTTATTGGAATCCCCTGGTGTGTTACACTCTTTGTTGGGCAGGGCCTAATTGCTACGGGTATAGGAATCTCGTAAGCTCCCTTATTGCTGGTCAAGTCTCGGACAAAATTGGCCGACGATACACTATTGTGATTGCCCTGATCATCTCATTTGCTGCGGTCACCTTAGAGGTGGTCGCCGATACGAACGAACTGTTCTTCGGAGGCAAGTTATTAAATGGTTTTGCAACCGGCACTCTGGCATCTGTCTGCATAACTTACATTGGAGAGGTGAGCGCATACCTACCGATCAAATCGCTACGTAAAAAGAACTGACAAGTTGAACTCAACATAGATCAGCCCGCTCGCTTTACGCGGTTTGCTGACATGCATGAGCGCGCTCTCTTACACCCTTGGTCCTCTTATCGTGGCGTTTATTATCAATACCACGGGAACGTACACGAATCATTGGGCATACCGATCCCTCTTCTGTGCGCAATACGGCTTTTCTGTCGTCTCTTTCATCCTTGTCTGGTTTATGCCCGAGTCACCCTGGTGGTTAGCATCTAGAGACCGCGATGATAAGGCTCTCAAGAGTTTACAACGTCTTGGCTATCGTGGGGGGGAAGATAGCAGGCGTCTCTCTCTTATCAAGCTCACATTGGAGGAGATTCGCCGAGAAACAGAGAGTGTGAGTTATTTTGAGTGCTTCAGGAACTCGAACCTGCGTCGCACCATCATCTCCATTGCACCACTCTCGATTCAGTCTCTAGCTGGAGTGGTTTTCGTGGCGTCATATACGATCTACTACATTCAACTTGGGGGTTTCAGTGATTCCATGTCCTTCAAACTTCAGATCACCCAACAGGTTTGTTCCACGATTGGGAATATCATGTCATGGTTCGTGATCGACTCGGTAGGACGACGTAACCTGACACTCTGGGGTTCGATCAGCCTCATGGTTATTCTCATGGTGTGTGGTGGCTGTGCAGCTGTGGGGAGTGTCGGTACTACCAAGGCCGCGGTTGCCTTGCTTCTTTTATACTGCTGGCTTGTGAGTTGGCATAATTCGGATCCCTATAGGTGTCCCATGCTGACAAGCTCTATAACTAGTATAATCTTACGATCGGTGCTACTGCCTTCACCATACTGTGTGAAGTTCCCACGTCGCGTCTACGTGTGAAGACTATTGCAATTGGGATATCCCTTCAAAACTGCCTAAACCTTATGTGGTCATTTGTTATGCCCTACTTATTCAACCCAGACAAGGCTAATCTTGGGTAAGCTGTGAATTGATGCATAGCGGTGTCGTTTAAATATTAATGGTATTATAGTGCGAAGGTTACATTCATATTTGGCGGTCTCTCTGTCTTCTGTGTCATCTATCTCTGGGTGTATCAGCCTGAGACTTCCCACCGATCATACGAGGAACTCGACGAGATGTTCATGGATAAAATTCCAGCTAGGAAGTTCAAGGGATATATGACCCACGTAGAGATGAGAGGTGAAATAGGGAAAGAAGTGGGTTCGTAAGTGTAGAACCGGAAAGGGATGTGGGCAAAGTGGCGATTCCGATGCCTTGAACATGTTAGCACTTTTCTACATCTATGAAGTACTAGTAGATGAAACGGCTATACACAATACGTATCGTGCAGTTTTAGGTGCTCTTTTTTTTTTTAGATGAGATGACATCGTGGTTGAAAGAAAAGCTCACCAATTGGATGAGTGTTGTGGAAAGATCATCCTATTGCTTGGGCTCCTCTTATGCAATGTGAACATGGCCAACGATGATGCTAGGAGGCTTGCCCCTTCGGAAGTTTGAATTATTGATATATAAAGCGGTACTTTCCGCGTCGCTGGCGGGAATACCGCTTCGCCTCCTACCTGACTTATTTCCGATTGTACTCTTACCTTACACGTCACATGACATAGAATAGTTTTGCGCTGACCGAAATCGGGGTATTCGCTTCCCATAGGATACTTCCGCGTTGCACGAGTGCGTCAAACTGCCGAAATGCTCTCTGTTCCAAGCCTGCTGTCTCCATCTTTGAGTCAAACGTCAACGGAGATACGGTGGCGTGACTTGGGAGAATTAGTCGGTAAGAAGTCGATAGTAATCAAAGCTAAAGGAAGTCCCTCCGTATAGTGCAATTTGTCGTATAGAATTATTTAATAAAATATTATTTAAATATTATCTAAATATTATCTTAAAAGGATATTATAGCTCTCTAGTTATATAAGTATTAACCAAAGTATTTTTACTAGCTCGACTACTTATTAGGATTTACTAGGATATAGTAAAGTTAAAATTGAGAGAGCTAGTAAGCTATTATACTTATTTATATATAAAGCTCGTATAGTCTATAACTAGTCCTTGTTTAATCCTTGTTAGGGGCTACTCTAGCTGCTGTGACCGGTTATACCAACTACGTTTTGTGCCTAGCGTAGGTTTCGGTTGTAGAAACTTTTAGCTAGCTAGGTCAGCTCTTCGAAGCCCTTCTTTTATCAAGCAAGCTTGATAACGCAAAGGTACTGCCAGAGTCAGTATAACGGCCCCCTACTATTAGACCAGAATATCAGCTGGGCACATATGCTGTTTTACTAGTAAAATACATACTAGTACGATGCCCTTCCCTTTTTCGTGCCTTCCTTCTATTGGGCTGACAACAGTCAAATATAGTCATATCCAAATACGCCTCTGTGATGCACTGGGGTTCAACCTTCCTGCTAGTAACAGCCATTCAAATCTATACAGCCCTATGCCAGCATGGAGAAGCCCTCCGGCGAACTCCGAAGTATTAGGCCAGCAGCAATTTATGACCGCAAACGTGCGAGCACTGCCTGCTCAGTCTGCCGTGCTCGAAAAACGAAATGTGACAGTGAACGGCCAGTATGTGGCTTCTGCAGAGCCTCGGGAGGCAATTGTCGCTACCCTGAACCAGATGCCTCGAAACTGGATCAAGGGAGCCTAGAAATTTTGACACGAATTAACCAACTTGAGCAGACTCTTAAATCGCATATCAGTCAGGCGCTTAACTCCAAGCCGAACACTTCTATCAGAGGCGCATTTCTACCCATCAGCCAGCTACAGGACAGGAGCTCAGGGTATCACAGTACCAGCCCTTCTATGCTGCCGACTCTTCTGGAATCCAGCGGGGCTTCCGAACATGTGCAATATCACCATCAAATTGGCCAACTTGACCCAGTGTCTCAACCCTTCAAGATCGGCAGCACCACTCTACCCATGGATGTGCCACCGTCGACGGAGATCCTCTCCCATGCATCCGACATGTCACTTGAGGCAGTATTGAAATGGCCTATCTTCTTAGGACTACTTCCGCATCTCGCTACAGAACTACATACCCCTACTACTGAAGTCCTCGCAAAGGACGGCCCCATCGCGACAGTGACTGAGCAAGATATCGACATGGCACTGCAAAACCTAAGACCAGGGACTCTTGATCACCTGGTGGATAATTTTCTCGCCAACAATAACATCAAGAACCCGGTGTTGGATAGTGACACTCTTCGCACCTATGTCCAAGAGTTCAATATGTCTAGGCCTCAATGGGATGGAAAAACTTGCTTAATCGTACGGTTCCTTAATTGCACACTGAGAACGGCCCTAACATCATCTGCAGTTGCTCGTCTGTGCTATTAGTGTAATATCCAACTCCCTGGAGCAAGAACTTGAACCAGGCGTTTCAAAATCTGATGAGCGGCTAAAAATGGCAGAGGCTTACTTCCAAGCATCTCAGCGCCGGATCGGCATGTTGCACCACGAGAACTCAATCCTTGCTGGACAGTGTACTTTCTTGACGGGCGTCTATCTTTGTTCAACGAATCAGATTATCTCGGGTTGGAAAGCCTTTGTTCACGCATCAAACCAATGCCTTGCCTTGCTTCGGTCAAATGGCCGGCTGCAGCCGAAAGAAAGTCTTTTCGGCAAGAGGGATGAGCAGATGGATTCGCATGCAAATATCGGGTCTCAAGACGTTGCGTCACAGAGATATGTGGAGGAAAGTCTCTACTGGGGTTGCCTCAAAAGTGAAATGTGAGCATCTCAGTCCGGTTAGAGCTTTGTGGTGCCCGCTTACATATTGGACGACTAGAGAGGTTCGTTTCGAGCTCTGCCTTCCGGGTTCAGGACTAGACAGATTTGACTATCCAATTGTGTACCCTTCGCCTCCTGTCAACTACCACCAGGGCGGAGCTACGACTGAGGACTCTGCATATTCGACAATGACACCTTTCGTCTGCAGTGGCCATAAAGACCATCACAGTATTGAGATTGGCTGGCTGTATTATTTAGCAGAAATTGCGACCAAAAGGATTCGATCCAACGTATGGGCTGAAAGCTATACCATACCGGCAGTCCATACAAGCTGGGCCCTTCAGCTAGATAAACGCGTAACAGAGTTTGAATGGCAGATCCAGGAATGGTACAAAGCCTTGCCCGAGCAAGTCAAGTTTCCAATCGACCCATTAATTCCCACACGGAGTATCACCAGATATATCCTGCGGCATCACATGTTTGACATTCAGGAGGATGTACGCTTTCCCGCTATTCAAGCCCTCTTGGGCTCCTCATTTTCGAGTCAGGATCTTAAACAGCTCTCCCCGGTATTAACCAAGCTCTCCCGCGAGTTCCTCTCAACTGCCGTGAATCGCATCCGAGCCTGTAGCGAATGCTTCTACCACCGCCACCATGGTCAGTGGTTTGGCATTCGAGGCCTTGGCCGAAATGCACTACAGATATTAGGCATGGCCTGTAAGTGCCGTCAGGATGTGGGAGATGACGATGGGGTAGAGTTGGAGAAACAGTTCCTTCCCCCAGGCTGGAATGACGCCATTCACTTAGCTCTGACCTATTTTGAGTACTGGTCCAACGAATGCGCTGATGCACGGAGGATGGGAAAGGTTATCACTGAACTTTTACGTGTATATCAGACTTTAGCACATTATTAGGGTAAAGTAAACTATAATATTATAACTTAGGGCAGTGTAATACTCAATATTATAACCCCAAAAGGCCCTGATCGGTCGAATTTGGAATGTGGTACTCTTTCCAAGATATATGAAAAATCTTGTATCTATGGGTATCCTCAGTGAGAAAAGAATTCACGGGGATTCACAGGGACAATCTCTATTTTTCTGCCTCTGCGTTAGTCTTTTGAATGCTTGCCTGCTCCTGTACGAACGGCCGGGTTGTGATCAATGTTCGGAATGTCGTCAATTATAGTAGAAGGGTTGTCACTTCAACCTCGATCAGCACGCCACGATTAGAAGGAGAGGAACTAAGGGGTAGAGATCGGCTTGAACACCCAATACTATTATTATGCTATTACTTTAGATACTGACTGTGGCGGTATTTATCTTTCTCTCTGCCTCTATTAGTACTCAAAAGGTTTCTTGAAAGTCGAATGCATGTTGAGCAAGTGAGATTCGGAACTAGCTAGGAGCAATTGGAATTACTTTCATACACTTAACATTACTTTTACAGTTCTTAATTGCCAGTTTCCATTACCGATTTTGATGGACCGGTTTGGTTATTCCCCCGTTGCCAAGCGCAAACCCCCCTGCAGGCAAAAGCATCTCCCGTTAGCCTCCCAAGGAACATGCATTAGGTAGGATGATTAAAACCCATCAGTGTTAGTCATATTACTCCCCATGGTATCCATGAGGTTCCCAAAAAACACATCATCACCAAAATACCCCGCATAATCCCCCACTCCAAGTGTCATTCCTAAAGCTTGCTCAAAACCATCTCCCATCGTATAGCCGAGATCCATGCCAAGAGCAGGATCGATGTTCCCCGATGCGATTGGATAGTTGTTTTGCACGGAGGATACCTGGTTCATTGACTCGTAGTTTGCAAATTGTTGTGACTGCTGCCATTCGCTCGGGGTACCGGAATATTGACCTCCGTTTTCAGATCTAGATTGGCCCCTCGAATCGCCTGTTGCAACTTCGCTGAGCAGTTGAAGGGGCGTGTTCGCAGGAGTGAAAGGTCTTTGCCCATTCTGCGGTTTCACGTCTTGCCGATTGCCCTTTGAATTAGGATCATTTGGGGTGTCCGAGGACCATTCGGTTAAAAGGGTCGATGTAGGGACTGCGTCACCAGGTTGTGCTGTTTTGCCCTCACGTTGACGATGAAACCAAGTCTTCAGCATAATAAGCACCATCAGGAATTTGGCAGCAGGCCGCGACTTCTCTTCCGCAGCGGCTGCTTTGAAAATCTCGAGGAGCATATCCAAATATTGTTCGACCTTCATATTGTCTTTATTGATAACGTTTCCCAATTCCGAATTAGGAGTCGCCGCTGCAAAGTACATTTTTATAAGGACAACCACGGCGTATGCCACGCGGATAAAGTTGAAGATGGGTAGGCATCGGACTGTCTCGGTATCGAATTTGAAGAAGTTTTCGAGTATCCCATCGATGGACGTTAAACAGGTTGAGAGAGCGTTTATGTGAGCGCTGGTTAGCATATCTGGTTCTCGCTCGCCGACTCCACGTAAATTCTCCTCCGTGAATGGTGGCTTGAACTCCTCAACATTGTGGTCCACGTGCATGGCGACTTCATGCATATACAAATTGACCACGTGCTCGGTGAGTTTCAAATCAACTAATGCCATTTAGTAAATGTAATACGATGGGATAATGGAATACCTACCCGAGTGACACTCCGCAGGTATCTGGCTGCTCCATTTGTCTAGATCCCTCTCAAAGCCCTTCAAAGCGTACTGGACCTTCGAGTCTGCAATGCTCACATTCGCCATTGGGTCATCCATTGAGAATTGAGTACCCACCTCCTCGGCCATATGTTGACTGCGCACCCATTGACACAATACCTTGTCAGAAGGAGCTGCATCCGGGGATGTCTCCAGGAATTCAATACAATCAGCCATAAAAGAAGTCCAACGGATCAGATTTGGCCGACGCAGCCCCATTGACGCGTTGCAACACAAAAAATAACAAGCCAGCCATGCTCTTCGTGCCTCGGGACTCTCGGAATCTGGATATGGAGTTCGTCGCCAGGGGTGATCTTTCCACAACCCATGATATTTGGCCTTTTGCGGCTTGCTCTTTTTGCCCATGCCAATATCAATGGCCATAACAGCCGCAATGTGAATGAGTTGATAGAACTTGAGCTCTTCAAAATGCTCAGGAGGCCAGTACCATAGAGTACTAACATGCAGAGCCTGTATCAATTCCAGGGTCTTCTCTCCGTTCACTATGATACGCTCAGCATATATGCTCATTACCTCCTTCGTCAAAGTCCTCTGTAATTCAGGATAGTTCATTCCAGAACTAGCGCTAAGTATAGCTAGAAAGAGGGTGGGCTTTGATTTCCGGACCTCGGCAGCAGTTGTATCAGCAGGGAATACCACAGCTGGTAAATGGGGAGCCATTTTTTCGACGTATGAGTTGAAGATTTTGGTTGCCATGTCCGCGGTCAATAGCCCTCTATCCACAACATCTGCGTATTCGTGCGTCAACGCCTGTTTCTGCGGCGCCGTCCCCGACATAGCCTCATTGGGCCCACAGAGGTGCTGGCCCGTTCCACTCTCTGAGAGCCTTTTGGGTATATTCCCAGTCGACATAGTGATGCCCGAGTATTCATCACGACTATCGGCGTGCTTCCTCTTCTGTCCTGCCACGACCATTGGCGGAGCCGACATTCGCTTCGAGTCGAATTCCTCCTTGGGATATCCAGCATATTCGGTTGAATTCAGGCGGACCTCGGAACGATTTACAAACGGGGTGTTATATACCCCATTCGTTACCTGCTGGTACGGATTTTGGCCGACCTGAACATCCGGCCCGTCTTGAGCAACCCCATGCTGGCCGCCGGGAGCCACAGATACAGAAGCCGACTTGGTTGCTTGCAAACTCGCAGTCAACGCATCAATCTTCTTCTCCAATTCTGCTACGCGGCTGTCCGTCTTCTTCTGGCGCTTCCGACTTGGGACCGTCACCACGCAATTGCGACCTGCTTTGGCACATCTCTTGCAGGGGCCGTCGGGGATGTTCATATCGGATTCGCAGCGGACCTTCAACCCTCGACAAGCCTCGCACGCCCTCGGTCTTTTGGAATCGAGCTGGCTGCCATCGAGGGCGGGGTTTCCACCGTCGTTGTCGGACATCGACATCGACATGGCGCGGCCGGCGGATTGAGGGGTCTGGGGGAGGTAGTGCGCGGCATCTTGCAAAGGCGGATACTGCTGCTGCTGATGTTGCTGCTGGAGCTGCTGCTGGAGCTGGAGCTGCTGTTGGTGGTGCTGGGGGAGACTGGGCGATTGCGATTGCGATTGCGATTGTGAATGCGAATGTGAATGTGAATGCGAAAGTGAGTGTGTCGGGGGGGGGTTCGCGGCAATGGGTGAGATGACGCTGGTGGTGGCGCTGGACAGACGCTGAGCAAAGGCGCCTGGAGGAGGAGCGGCGTCTCTCAGGCGCGGATCGATCTGCGACGACGACATCGACATGATGGATGATTACCTCCGTACCGATGGATGAGCAGCTTGCCAGTGCAGTGCAGTGCTGAGCTGAGCTGTGCTGAGCGTGTTCCGTGCTCTCTCTGCGCCCTGGGGGCTTGCTGCTGGTGCCGGGACGCCGACTTGCCGTTGATGAGGCGGAGAGTCGGTGGAAAAAGTTGCGATGGCGAGGACACCGGCGAGGGCGCAGGACGAGTGAGTACCTCAGCTGCAGGAGTATCAGAGGGAGCTTATTAGATAAAACAAGCTGCCAGGCAGTAACCAGGTAACCAGGCGCGGTGCAAGTACAAAGTAATCCTCTGATGAGCAGCTGGTGGCACTTTATTAGCACTTTTAGCACCTATGAAAAGTGCCTTTGGAGTGCAGGTATGTTGCTACGCTAGCGTTGCTTAGTCACGCTCTGTGTTGAGCCTCACCACCAGGCTGGCGAACGTCGGTGGGATGCGCTTCATGCTGACGATCAGTTGTGGAACTTATGGTACGGGTACGGCAAGCTTGTTTATTTTGATTCCTGAATTGCTCATAACTTCAACGCTATTTCGTAAACAGCTAGATTCCACAGCTACTCATTCACCCACTGTCCGGATTTTGGGCTCCCTCCTCATGTCTCGTGCTCCTCTCCCATATACATCAGCAAACGACACATATGACCGGCTCCTGCCTATATGTTGGCGACATCAGGATTGCTCAGGTTGCCTAGGTCAGGGCCCATGCAGCTGGTGCCCAGTAGTGAGATCCCCCAGCTCCAGCGGTTGTAATGCCACCTGGTTACTGATCACATTATCATATCTCAAGTCTTCAACTTGTGTCCCAAATCTATCCCCAGTGCATATCCTAGCACCGGTAAACAACGCTGGTGCCTGTCCCCACTGGGCAGAAAGGTGGGAGCTCAGGGCCCGCCCCCTTGGATGCCATGTCTCGACGATCACCTTCCTCACCTGTATCATCTCCGTATTGGCAACATTTGCAGCCATCGGACTTGCTGTAGTGGGATTCAAAGTAGGACGCAAGGCCCAAATCAGATGGCGGGCTAGGAAAGAGGACTGGTGGAAAGTGTGGAAATACTATCGTCATGGATGGTGGAAAGGTTGGAGGCTCAGGCTAGTCGACATCAATGATGACGGGTCCGCAAGCAGGCCACTGCTGGATGGCAGACCGTGAGAATTGGGAGGGTTCTCCCGTATCCATCGCCTACCAATTTTGATAAGGCCTCGGATTCGTTCTTGTGGCTTGCCCAAACCTATGATTCTTGGTTGGGGTATCCCGCGGGATCTCGGTGGACCTTTGGTGATTGGTAGGGGTGTCTATACAGGTCTGAAGCAACATAGCCCATTGGATAAATGGGCATGAGCAAAAGCCTACGCCACGATTGTGGGTTATCCAGAGCTCACAGGTGGGATGATTGCAACCTCATCACACTCTTTTATGACCACGTCACTCGCAGAATCATCGGTGACATCAACATATTCGAGATTAATCGTGAGCAGGCAGCTATCTAAAATCTTAGGCTTTATACCGCTGTATTTAACCTCAAGCACTTCGAATAATTTCGAAACCGGTAGAGGAGCCGGCAGGTTCTCGGAGTCCCTAGCTGTGTAAGAGCTAGCGGACGCGAAATAGAGGATGGTGAAGTGGCCAGCCGGCGGCTTGGAGGCAGTCGACATGGCGGCTGTGGTCGATGAGTGCTTGAATGCGATGTTAGTTGAAGAAATAATTGAGTTATACATCGTGAAGAGGGAGTGTGCATCAAATGTCAGAGATCTTGGTGTAGTCCACATTCAAGACTGCAAAAACAGCCTTGATTCAGGTAATACATGCTATAATTGTTCATCACAATGTGCTGGAACGTAAGAAAATTGTCGACATAGTTGACATACCTAGAGAAGCTGGAAGTAGCATATGTGGCGGGTTGTACTGTCGTGGCAGCAGTATGGTTGGGGCACTGAATATTTGATAAATAACGAGAAAACCTGAAAGTGGAGAGACTGAAAAGATGGCGGTTCGTTAAATCCGTGCACGGATGGCCGATGTCACGCTTTTCAAAAAAGTCGCGTCTCCCGGAAATTTCTCATACATCGATCGTCCGCTTGCGAAGTAGGTCATGATCCTCCATTCCCACCCAACTCCAACTGTCCCGGTACAAGGCTATGTTGCGTACTTTTAGTCCGCGAAAGCAGGCTATTCGACCATTTGTTTGTTGGCAATGTCTCGCACATATTCATCAAGCTTCAGGGGGCAGTCGAAACGCACGACGGCCCGTCAGGTCGGGCTCGGGGCCATCATTACCACGAACTCGCCGAATCTGGGGGGACATTTCACATCGGCCTCTTGAAGATGCTATTGCTGTATGCTCGTTATATTCCGTATATTCCTTATATGGCAGATCTAACTAAAATGTGTAGCGTCCAGCAGCCGTTGTACCCACCGCCGCCGACATCTTTTCCAAACTACGACTACCCGAAGGGTCAGACACGAGGGATCGCTTAAAGCAATGGGAGATCGATCACCTACCTAGCTTTGCTCCTGTAATACATGAAAACGATAGCCCAACAACTGAAGTTATATCAAACACTGTAGCGCGGCCGCCTTCAAACAACGAAGTAGAGGTTGCTGATGAAGATGGCGGAGATGCTATACCTCGCTTCGATGAAGATGATCTCGTTGATATTGGCACAGGTCGAATGTTTCTACTTCCCGGAGATCTTGTAGAACTTTCGTAAGGCTCATAACAGATATGTGATGTGCAAAGCGCTAAATGTCACCAGGTTTACGAGCACTCGCCAGCCAGAACTTGCCATTTTTATCCGGGACGTCGGGCAGCATGGTCAATTCTATACTATGACAGGCCGATGGGCAAGCCTTCGAAGCAGCGTAACGAAATTCTTTGTCCCGGGCTTTGTGCAACCCAACGCAATTGATGAAATACTCCCTTACCTGCCGGACCCCTCGGCCGTTTCCGCAGATATGGTGGACAGACTACACCCGTTCAGTGACGCGCTTCCTAGAAACATTGGAAAGGGTCTTCTTCGTAAGATGCAAGATTTTTGGGAAGAAGCAGACAGGGCCTATCTCAAAATGGCTCCGCAGCTGGAAAATGTTCATAAGCGCATCGCCGATGAGCTTCGGCCCCGCCATGCGAGCCTTGAGGCTATTGCGGATATGTTATATGGACCAGCGTTATTGAAGGATGATCATGGTAATTTCGCCAAGCCTATCCTTTATGCGATACATCGGCGCCTTATGCTCAGTGACGTCGGGATTCGAGTTCCTCCGAAGGGGACCTTACGTGCAGGAGGCGAATATGAGATTCTTCCGCATATTGAAGTAAAGGAGGTTAATAGGGTTGTTGATCACGTCCGCATGTACATCGCGGGGAAGGCTGAGAGCGCGCCGTCTATCACTTTGGGCCCCCTCCGTGGATTTGTTGTCAAATGTCGACGTCTAATTGATAGTGGCCGAGAGAACCGGCAACTCACCCCTTTTGGAACTATCGGGCCCTCATCAAAGTTAGAAGCTACCAGCCATTATCGAACAGGTTCAAAGCAAGCTCCATTTACCGAGATGGATAACCTATTTATTCGATTTATCGAATCTTGGAGCGCTTTGAAAAGTTTCTCCAATACATCACAGCTCCATAGCATAGCCTCTGCAATTCTGCGGGCGGTTGGCCGTTATGAAGGGATGGCATTGGACCAGGATACGGGATGGACTCTTTTGCAGGAAATAGGCGCCATTCCACCGTGGGGAACTCGAGCCCCCTACGAGCTTAGAATACCCCACTTTGGGCGAAGGCTTCGACCCAACTTTGATAGCAATGCTCAGAAAGACTTCACCGAGGATAGGCTGGCTTATATGCGCAAGGACTGGGGCGATCTTCCTGTGTTCTGTATTGACGATGTCGGTGCTCACGAAATTGACGACGGTATCTCGATAGAAGCGACTGGCGTAGATGGTGAGTACTGGGTACATGTTCATGTTGCTGATCCAGCATCACATATACACCCGGAAAGTGGAGTTCGATACTATGCCGAGGACCAAATGCAGACGTTCTATCTGCCAGACCATGTTCAATTTATGATTGAGCCAGAGTTCGTTGCATCGAAGCTCAGTCTTGCTCCTGGACGGCCCTGTTTGACAATTAGCGCCAAGATAAGTTCGAGTGGGGATATTCTTGATCAAAAAATATCACCAGGCACCATCCACAACGTCGTATACATCACTCCAGCCGTTCTTGACGAAGTCACCTCTGGAACCTCGGGGCAGCGCACAAATTACGAAGCTACTTATTCGGTCGGTTCAAGTCCTTCAGCAACTATTCCATCCAGGCCACTCACCCAAAAAGATGAACTCTCCACTGCTCATAAGGAGACGCTTAAAATACTACATAGACTTGGATTTGCCCGTTCCAAAATTTTGCAGGCCAGAGGTGGTACGTTTATTGGGAACCAAAATCAAGAAATCTCGGTTGATTTCAACGGAGCCCCTTGGACACCTTCTCCCGCCACCTTCAGTCTTTGCCATTATGGCGACCCTACAATTAAGGTCACAAAGCCCGCTCCAGTCGACCTGCAGCGCTCTAGCCCCGTGCCATATCTAATGTTGCTGGCTGGCGAAGTTGCTGCAAGGTGGTGTTATATGCGAGGCATTCCAAGCATTTACCGCATCACCCCGCGTAACCCAGCCAAGGAGAGTCCTACAGACTTTTTTAGCAATGTGGTCCTCCCATCACGAGATGAAGGAGGAAATATACCGATTGAGGTTGCGTCCGAATATTTCAACCTGATTGGGCCGGCCCAACCATCCACGATTCCTGGGCCGCATGTAGCAATCGGGGCAGAGATGATATCAAGATGCACAAGCCCTCTGCGCAGATTCACCGATTTGCTCGTGCACTGGCAGATAGAAGCCGCATTGCGAGAAGAGCATCGACTAGGTCACTCCCTCATTGGCAACACAAAGGACAACTTTCTCCCCTTTACGAAAGAAAAGCTTGATGCGTTATTGCCTCGCATCGACACCAGAGAAAGGAATCTAAAGATGATTGAAAATGACGCACGGAAAGCCTGGTTTGCGCAATTTCTTGTCCGTGCTTGGCATTTTAAGGAGGCAGAGATTCCATCACCACTTACTGTTGCCGTAAGAAAGATCAGTGAATCCAAGACATTTGCCTTTGGATTTATTGATGAATTCTTGGCACCTGTCAGGTTCGACATGCCAAATTGGCCCGATGCTATCCAACCAGGTGATCTTCTCGAAGCGGAGATTGAAAACATCAATACCGCATCAGGTCAAGTAGCTGTCAAAATCCTGCGCCGCAAAGGTGTCTTGGAAAGTGACAAGGAGGCGTAGTCGTTGAGTATAAAACTCTCCACAGAACGCAACCCTATAGTCGAAACCCTTTCAAGCAACAGGCGCGGAAGCGCAAATCAAATCCGGTTGCTCCGCGACGGGATCTGCGCGTGGTGCGCAGACTCGGAAGCGGTACGGTCATGTAAAATATTGTACCAAAAGCCCATTCATCCTCCCGTCCTGATTTAGAGGAGGGATGAACGTGGCCGTGTCTTACTATATGTATAAATAGTGTCACCAAACCCACTTGGAATGCTGAATGGCAGCTGTACTGTACATTATTAGAAAGAAAACTTTGAGGGCATAGTTTGCTCAATTTTCCAGGCCATATAGAGCGTTTGGACTGTGTAATTATTACTACAAAATGAAATCACTTTTCAGATTTATGAAGGCATAGCCTTTCAATCCCTACTCCTTCGTTATTGCTTCTTTCCTTAACATTCCTCGCTATTGTCTCTCCTCTCATACATCTCGCCTGACAACAAGTGTTCTATCGGCCCCATTTACCTCTAGGAATGTGCCTAGAAATGCACAACAACACATATTTGAATTTCACTCTGCAACAATCAGCAATGTAAACAAGACATTCTTATTTTAACCCTCTATTCCTTCACTGATCCTCTCTCTCTATCAACTACTTCCACATTCACCCTCAATCTCTCTCTACCATCATATCCCCATCTCAAAAATCTATCATCCCCAAAAAAATCAATCAACACTCAAACATGCTGTTCAAACTTCTCACAACCAGCTCCCTCCTCCTCGCCGTCTCCGCCCAAATACCAAGCGGCATCCCAGGCATCCCCGGCAGCCCCTCCCTTGACGGAGTTCCCCAGTCTATCCCCACCATCTCCGATGTTATTCCCTCCGGCGCCATGCCCTCCAACACCATCCCCCCTTCCCTCTCGTCTAACCTACCAACCACACATGGCAGCGACACCTCCACCGTAAAGGCATCTTCGGCCAGCGAGAGCATGAGTTCCCACATGACGACGCCCGCTGTACCGGAAACTACTGGTACAGGTAACAATGGGACCCAGACTACGCCGGAGAATAAAACCACAAAGACTAGCGGCGGTGGCCATGGTAGTGGTGGTGGTGGTGGTGGTGGACAGGTTACTGGCACAGTGAAGACGGCGCACCCTAGTGGGACGGGCGCGGCGCAGACTGGGGAGGGCAGTTTTGCTAGAGGTTCAGTCTCTGTAAGTTTGCTTCTCTCCTTTCCACCATCGAGAATTGCTAGGTTGAATGAGTTTCTGTGTGATAATATGGTATTGAAACTGGCGATGGCGAGATGCTAATACAAGTACGTGAATATAGACCACTATGGCTTCTCTGCTCCTCGCCGGAGCACTAAGCTTCTTCGTCTTTGCTTAAAGGGCGGCTTAGTGCACAGGCAAGTACCCAGGGCTCTTACATGGCATTATCTATATTGTCAAGAGAGAGCTCTATTGGGGGCTTTTCGGTTAGGTAGCTTCGGCGTTGATTAATGTTTCTTTTCTCCTCCAATGTCAGATTATGCGTGGAGATGGTGTTCCTATAGGATTGGATGGCGAACTCTTTGTGCTGGGCTTAGGTTTTCAGAGGGTTTAGAGATATATGGTAAGGGGAGCAAGGGGCGAGCCCTTTACTTCTCATTTAAACATGTCCATGAAGGACTGTTTGTAGGATTGCAAGTTGGAAACCGTTAGTCACTACAATAATTAAAATCACAAGAGTATTCCAGATCCTTCTTACGTGGCCTCTGAACATTTGGCACCTTTCTTTCTTTCCGCCCAAACAAATATTCTGCAATATATTGTACACGGAATTATCAAAATGATATGATATCTATTCTTACTTATAGGGTTCCGCTAGTTAAACAAACTCCATATTATGGTTTTAATTGTGCCATTTCCTCCCCTACAACTTTTAAATCATTCGCTGTTAACAATATCATAGGAAGTTTCACATCTTGTAGTGATATCGTCTTCCCTCCGAACCTCTATGCAAACCACATCACGTGTGTTACATTTCGGTTCTGGCATAGCGGAACGGGCCGCAACCATTGGCGGGCCCGTTAGGAAAGCAACATCGCCGCCAATTTTGTTGGGGCAGTCGCATGCGTTGGTGGCTTTATTAGAGCTCATACTGGTCATCATATGGCGCCACTTGTAACCCGCTTTTATGACATGTAACTTTTCTTGAACAGCAACCCTAGCTTGGTCTTTCCTAAACGCGCCTTGGCCATAAAACCTGTGTGGACATGGTCTATTGGCTATAACCTGAATCAAGCATCAAACAGTCATATGCGATCATCGGCTTGCGCCGGCTAATAGGGCGATTTGTCGACATAGTTCACAACTAGCGGCCGGGAGTAGTTGTATCAGAGATATTCGAATCGCTTTTTGGCTGTGGAGATAACACTTGTGAGGCCAATAGAGTTTTCTACTGGAATCCCAAAACCGGAGATGCTTTGGCTTTGTAAATTTCCAGGCTATTGTCTCCTTGCAGGCCTGCTCTATAGCTTAATATCCAGGACGGAAATCTTGCCATGGGCTAAGTCATTGCCGTCGTTCCTATGCTCAAAGATATAACAGGAGGACGCCTCACGAGCGGGATCCAGGGGGATAGGCGCAGACTCTAATTCATAGAACCTATAGAAAATAGCAACGCTTGATGATATCGAAACAACTGAGACTTAAACATGCCTATTAATGCTTTTGTTAACCCCAAGACAGGTAGTACGAATTATAAATTAGAATGCCGCAAGCTCAATAAGGCCGCATCACAGGTTCATCAGCGGCCCTTCAGGACAGACCGCCCTATTACCTCCACTGTGTAACAGACTCATAATCCGCTTAGATATCATGGGTGGTCCGCTGACCAAAATTTCAAATCACAAATCAAGCGAACAGCGAAAAGTAGGCAACAACGAGGATCGAGGAGGACTTCATCGCTATTTTCACGCATCGGTATTCTGCTTCTTTATTTTGCTTATTGGCGTTGCCGAATATGATCAAGAAAATCTGGCGTGAGAATTTGACTCAAAGCTGACTGAAATGGAAAGCCGCAGATGCGGATAGCCTTTGCAGGGTTTCGTCGTACGACTCAAGGTTTTCATCGCGGGGAAATCGAATTTTCTATCACTTTTTTCCCCGAGCGACCAGCGTTGATCAGCGCTTAGTAAAAAAAAACTATTTGCTGCTAGATGATATAGGAGACGAAGGTGAGGCGATTCAATGGAGGTGAGACAGGTAGGATTTGAGGTATTTGTTAGGTAGTCCTTGACCATTCCGCTACTTAGTGAGGAACTTGTTCGGCTCTGTAGCCGTAACTCTTCCGCAATATATACAGTTTCCTAGGCAGCGCATCGTATCAAGGCAACTTGCTTCTTGAAAAAGCAATGAACCTTGTTCTAGAATCGCTTCTTCGTCACGCCACGCTTCTGGGGCCCGACCCGAAGGCGCCGCCTGTCTATCACAGAAGAAATTCAAAAGCACGTACGGAGAATCGCTACCATCACATTTTAAGCCCAGTCATTACCTAGCTCTTGACCCCAGGGGGACACCAAATTCTTTTTGGTACTTCCTGCGCTCGGGAAAACCCCAGGATGCTGGGTCTCAGTTGGGGGCCTATCAATTAGAGATATTGGCTAGATTAACTCTGGTTGTGTAATACGAGGTTCTTGACGACCATGAGGACAACTTGACGGGCACACCCACAGCTGGTGGAGGTTTCATCCGCCGGACAATGCAACGCAATGCAGCACACCCACAGAAACGGACATCTTTGCCCCGGAAATTCATGTTGCATCGGCAACACCATACCCTTGATCTTGCTTGTTCAAGTAAAGATATCCCTCGGCGTGTAATCCCTCAGATCTCAACCGCGGGGAGCCGTGACTGGCGCGGTAATATGGTCCACGTACCGCAACTTCGCAAGTATTCAGAAATTCCAGTGGCCTTTCGAACTTGAAATGGGCTTCTAAGGATGGTCCTGATACCGATTGAAAAATAGACTTCGAGCTGGGTTTCAGCGGGCGGTTGGTGGAATAAATCTGTAGAAGGCGAAGGCTGAGGCAAATTGCTCGGCCTTATAATCAGAGACGCAACAAGCCGCGTTGGGAGAATAGAGACCAGGACGACGAATCCAAAGCAGGCCTCGCTCCTTTACCCGGCGTGTAGCGCAGACAGCAGCACTATACCGAGGGCTTTCGTGACCGGGTGATAGGAATGGCTGTGGGATGAGCCCAAAGGAGAGAACGAGCTTACCAACGTGGTCGCAGAGGCTGAATGTGTGTGGCAACTAATAAAAGGAAGCAATCAAGACGTGAATAGGCGCCGCAACCCAGGATCTGAAACGATCCGTGAAGAAGGTGAATGGGGCTAAACTCATTATTGCCGCGAGCTTCAGCGTCATGAACCGTGGCTGCAACTGTACCTGTAGACCTGTAGGTGTTGCTGTGGCTGTGGCTGTACTGTACTGTATTTGTACTTGTACTTGGACCTATGCTGTGTACTTGCTTGGTGCTTTCGAGTAGCCAGATGCCGATGCCGAGAATCTGCATAGCCTCGGCCACGAACTTGCGGGTGTTTGGCTTCTACTCAATGTTTCGTGTTCGCCCATGCAGGTCGATATACCTGCCTACTGCACATACGAGGTACGTACCATAGTCCCGAGATAGCGAGCCCCAACAAAGATAGGAGAGGCCATATATTGGATGTAATATCCCAAGCCACTTAAATCCCCAGCCAGGGGCTGAAGATCTTCGTGATGCGTGATGTGTGCCACGTGACACAGCAGTGGACCCCGCCAGCCCGGAGGTGCGGTAACCACGACATTATCTAATACGACAGGACAAAGGACGAAGGACAAAGTACCAGTCGAGGAGAGGCTCTTGTGTAGAAGTAGGCAGAAGCAACTTCAAGTTGGAGACAAGAGACACAATAGAGGCGAAGGCGTGGCGCCTGGCAAGATAGAGTTTAGACCCTTGGCCGAGTCTCCAATAGCCTCGTATGCTTGCAACCTAACCTTGCGGGATGGTAACAGCTCTACTTCTTAGACGCTCCTCGCAACCAAGTAGAGGGAGATAAGAGACTGGCTAAGACAATTGCAATTGTAACTGCAACTACAAGTACAATTCACTACTGCTACTACGTGATCGTATTACCTGTCCCTTCTGAACGCTGATTGCTCTCCTCTATCCGCCACCCTCAGCCTCTGGCCACATCCCACGCTTCTGTTCCACCCACCGCCAGTCGTGGCATCGCATTGCGACCACCCACGCAGCCTTTGCAGCATCGGCGCCATAAACCTGATAGTTACAACGCATCCCCATCGCCATCCATCCCCCTCCCCATCGGTGCAGCAGTCGGTCGTCCTCGGCCATCCTCCAGACATCCGGGCCTCCACCTCTGCTTCGGCTACTTGGTGCAAAGAATCCGCATCCGCCCAACGTCACCCTCGGCCTCAACCTCTCCACACCTTCAGCTTCGTCTCATCTATGACCTCGCCCAGAGGTGAACGAGTAGCGAAGTGAAACTCGACTTAACAAAACCCAACCACCTAAACACCGATACAACGCAACTCCAACCCAACCCATCCCAACACACGCAACGCTATGCCACTGACCCCGCTTCAACAAGGTCCCCCGATACAACAAGACCTAGATAATGGCACCAAGCTTGCTATGGATCTAGATACACATTCTTCTCAGGCAACTGCTTATGCGCAACCCATAAGTAACATTGGGTCAGATTTGGACAACAGTTGGGACGATCGGGTGAATATGGAGGAACCTAGCCACGCCTATCCCCACGACGCGACGGACGACGACGAAGACATGTCAGAAGGAGGGGCGCCTCTGACTACCGCATTCTCACATTCGGATCTGTTAAATGCTGAAATGGATATGATAGATGCCGATATAATGGGAAGTGAGAACTTGGCCCAGGTATATATGGACCCTCACTTTGACTCCATGTCAGATAACGAGAACGACCTCCACTACCCCAATACCTACCCCAATACCTTCCACAATCCCGGCCAGCCGTACCATAATACCCACGACGACAGCGATGAGAGTCTAGACACCACTCAAGCTGAAGGCATGTCTATGCCACCAGACGGTTCAGGTCTGCCGGCGGCCATGTCAGAGTTGTCGCAACAATTGCAGCACCTACAAGAGGGACAGGAACAGTTTGAAGTGGTTGTGAATGAGCAGATGGGCGGTCACATGAACAACAGTACGTCCTTTCCTTCGCCCTCAGCTTCTCTATCTATACAAATCCCCTGGTTCCGGCGAACCGCCGAGAACCATTTCATTTTCATATATGACATCTCTTTGATCTACACCCCAACCACAGGACTACAAAATGGGTCCGATCTTTACGGCAAAGCAGCCTTGCTACAGGCCCCTTTGTCAAATTTCACTATGCCTCCTTTGCACCAAGATTATCATTTAGTTAGCTTATGAACTGATGCTGACTATGACCAAGTGGAAGATCATTGGAATTTAAGTCTAGGCGACTTCCTATATAGTTGGGGGTTGACTGTCTCTCAACAAGAAGAGAGAAGGCGCCAACGGGGACCCAATCTCGGGGCCGTTCATCATCAACGTATTCTCGATGACCTAGAACCCGTGCGTTGCTCTGATCTTCGAGGCGAGCTATGCGATATTCAAAGAATCAACTGGGCCGAACTTGGTGTTTCAAGACAAGAGGCGACACAGATGCGCCGACATACATATCATAATTATACCAATGTCCCATGTCCTAGAAACCAGCGGCATGTAAGTTATACCCTCTCTGATATTGAACCTACAGATGCTAATCGCAATCCTTAGCCACGTCGCCATGGCATTAAGCTGGTTAATCTAGTTAATAATCAAAATTTCTTCAAATTCCGGAGGTTGGATTTTGATCATCACGTACGATTAACACATTTTCAACTAAGGAATGTCATGGCGTGTGCAAATCGAGGGCATGTGTTCTATGCTGGAAAGTCGAGGATATTCCAGTGGAACCCGTCAAGCGTTACCAACTCAATAGGACCAACTTCCGTGGTAATGGATTTGACGAATCCCACCGTTCAGCCATTCCATGGGTTTCCGGGGGGTATCCAGATATCAACCTTGGCCACGGCGCATAATATCCTCGTTGCGGGTGGTTTCTGCGGGGAGTATGCCTTAGTGAACTTGATGGCACCCAAAAATACCAAACATACTGAAGGCCTTATCACGGACGAAGTTAACAGCATCACAAACCATGTTCAGGTTCACTTGTCACGAGCGTCTTCCCTCCCCGTGGCTGCTTTTGCCTCCAACGATGGGGGTTTCCGTGCTTTGGATATAAGCACAAACAAGTTTATAACGGAACATAAATACGAATACGCCATAAACTGCAGTGCAATTTCTCCAGATCAACGTCTTCGTGTCATGGTTGGAGATACTTCCGACGTCATGATCACCAATGCAGAGACAGGTGAAGTCCTTCAATGTTTAGAGGGCCACCGTGACTATGGATTTGCCTGCGACTGGGCAGATGATGGCTGGACTGTCGCAACAGGCAACCAGGATAAACAAATTAAAATATGGGACGCGAGGAAGTGGACCTCCTCCTCTGGCGCAGCGACCCCTCTTACAACCATCGCAGCGGAGATGGGAGGCGTGAGGAAACTTAGGTTCTCACCTCTGGGCTCTGGCAAGCGAGTCCTAGTTGCCGCGGAACCAGCGGACCTTATCAGCGTAATAGACGCGCAGACCTTCAAGAGCAAACAAACGCTGAGCTTCTTTGGGGAGATCGGAGGCGTCGACTTTGCCAACGATGGCCAGGACCTACTTGTTGCAAACTGCGATAGCATGAGGGGCGGCATAATACAGTACGAGCGCTGTAATTTTGCCAACCAAGCCTTCCAGAGCCTAGAACCCAACCCGGAAGGAAGGGCGTATGACTGGGCCTCCGACAGAAGCCCAGCCAGGACCAGTTACAGAAAGTCGGCCACTGGTCTAGGGGTCAATATCGGGCATTTCTAAGCTCTCGGGGCGAGCTCTGTACAGCTTCCCAGCGTACAGCTCGAATATCACCACCAAAGTCTCACAAGAAAGATGAGACATTTACCCTCTTCTCGCGCCTTCCTTTTCCTATTAATTGCCGCGAGTGCCCTGAAAGATCGACCAGTCGTCGAGAATGCTTCCAGTCTCGGCGCTCTACCTCCCTAAATGTCTCACTCAAAGTGAAACATGAGTAAACCTCTTTTCCTTTACGAAATTTTATGATTCCACGCCTATTCGGGAACGGGGGGGGAGCTTTCTTTTAGATGATACCATGGGTTGTTAACGAAGGCGTTTTTTATACATGGACAAAGTTTTCTACATAGAAACAAACCCTCGATGAGAGAGCATGGATTTGGCGTGTTCGATTGCCTAGATGATGATGATGATAGCTAGGTTTTAACTAGCTATAGTAATAGACTACGATTGATTTCTCTATAGCAAAAGTTTACTTTACTAGGCGATACCATGCATGATATGTGTATACGTTGCGATTTGAGTGTGGGGCTGTTTTGTGTTGTGCATTTGGACTTGTTATATGTTTGCTGCTAAGGCTACATACAAAGCTACCATTGCTAATAGACACTAGAAATTACATGCAGACGAATTCAACGCAAAAAAGGACATAATATGATACGTACACCATCCGCGCAAAATAGACAAGACAGTATCATCAGAAAGCAGCCAGCAAGCACACGGCATTAAAAAACTCCTACTCCCAGCAAAAAAGTTGTATGTACGATCTCTGGTGTTCTGTGTTTTTTTTCATTGGCGCTGAAAAAAATAGGGAAGATACATACAGCAAGGGTTCTCTTGATGGGGGGCTTTCATATACACAACTTCCTTTGTACATTCCGGCCAGAGTTTTCATTCATACGAAGGCATTTCCACCCGTCCCTCCACACTACAATCGGCTGCATACCCCATTTTCCCACCCTAATATATCCATTCCATCCATCCATTTCGAGACAAATGAAAACATATACTATTATTGGTGTTGGGCGTGGGAGATGGGGGGCTCGTTTAATGCTCAAGCCGCTTATGTGAAGAGTTGGATAACACCCCAGTATTGCTCGCAGCCGAACTCACCCGGTTGCTTCCATGGGTCGTTGGTGAAGGAGAACATGACACTCTGACCTCCGCAGGCCTCGGTGATGCTCTTGATGGCAACGGCCTGGGCCTCCTTACCGGGGCAGGCGGCGCCATTGCAGCTTCCGGCCGAGGGCCATCCGCACTCCAAGTTGATACCGGACTTGCCTGGGCAGAGCTGGTCGACGATGTCGAGTTGGCCCTTGACGAAAGTACCGGCCTTCTCAGCTGGGGTATCTGGGTTGAAGAAAGCGTGGATGTTAGCTCCGACGACATCGACGGCACCGCAAAGGGCGCCCTTGTTTGCTTGCCAGGTGCTGAGGGGCTCAGTGGTGGTGCAGGGTCCGTTGTACCCAGCGGCTTGGAACTTAGACTTGCAGGCAGAGATAAAGACGGCGAGATCGGTGGCAGAGGCGTGTCCCTGGAAGATGGCCTCGTTACCGACGACGATGAGCTCGACCATGCTGAACTTGCCCCAGGCGATGATGTCGGTGACTTGCTGTTGGGCACCGGCGATTCCGGTGTTGCTAATGAAGACACCAAGAATCATCTTGAGTCCGTGGGCCTCGCATGCATTTCCAATGTTCTGGAGACCAGAGCAGTCGCTGCTGTAGACACGAACGGTGGTGAACCCGGCCGCGGCGACCTTCTTGATATCCTCGGCAACGTCATTTGCAGCCTTGCACTCACCTCCCTCGGTGTATGGGGAGTAGGTGATGGCCCATTGCTTTCCTGAGGACCCGAGCCCGCCGGTGGAAGGTGGGCTGGCTGACTTGCTTGGGGCAGGGACGGCGGTGGTGACGGGGACTGGAGCTGGGGCTGGGGCAGCCTTGCTAGTAGGGGCTGGGGCCTGGGAAGAGGTGTATGGGCACACAACGACGTAGTTGGTCTCGGTGATGGTGGTCACAACCTGGGGTTGGGTGTAGGTACCGGGTGGGTAGGTTGCGGTGGTGGTCGCCTCTGGGATGGTCTTGGTCTCGGTCAGAGTGATCGTGGTTGCTGGGATCGTGTACACGCCTGGGGTTGGGCATGTGGTTGAGAATGGGGTTGGGACCACTGGGACGGTCACGACGACAACGGTATCGGTCGAGGTGGGTGTTGGCGAAGGGACAGGCGCCGCGGAGGATGGTGGTGGTGGGGGAGGTGCGGTGGTAGCTGGGGGAGGTGGGAACCAGACTATTACCAACGCGTCAGTGAGGCTGTTCTGTGTGTGTGTGTATATATATATATATCAACATATCCAAAGACTGTTCTCTCCAGAGCCGTCTCTTTCTGCTCTACTTACGGCTTCCCTCTCCAGTGATTGTGGTGTAGATCGTGGTGCAGCCGCACGTCTCAGCCGCCGGTGCGCCGGTGCTCAAGAGTCCCGTGTTCATCAATCCTCTCTTCTCCATGTGGAAGGCCTCGTGGTTGTGACGACGAGCAGCATGGTTCTGACGGGCGCTCACGCCGGAGGCCAGGGCCGCAGCGGCCACAAGAAGGGTAGTCTTCATCTTTGATATCTGAACTGGAGAACGTAAATCAGACCTGCGGATGGGTAGAGGTGAGTATTATGGATTTAAGAGTTATTCGTCTGCGTGAAAGGTCAACAATAACGAATGCCCGCTGAAAGAGTGAAGCGGTGGTGGTGGTGTTTGGGGGAGAAAGAGAAGGAGGTGATCACAACATCAACATCGCGAGAGAGAAGAGGAGAGAAAGGAGAGAAGTAGGAAACGGGGCCTGGAGGTGGTGAAGAGGGCGGCGCAAACGAAATGGGCAGTGACAGGCTCCCGCGGCGGGCAGCGTCGCATTCGCCAATAGCAGCGCAGGGCCGGCGAGGGAAAGCAGGAACAGCTTCTTGTTGACTTGGCTTTTCAGGGGCAACATGGCTGGATCAGGGTTGCCAGTAGTGGCCGCCGGGGGGGACCCTGGGGCGGATGGTTATTATTGGGCCAAATTGGTTGATTCGGGCTGAGATAAGATGAAATGAGATGCGACGCCCTGGGCCTAAAAGCTCCCTCAGCACACAAAGGGTAGTAAAGGGGCCATCTAGCTCCAGGTTGGCGGGGCTGCCACTGGGCAGAAACACAGATTAATTATTTCAACCAGATGGCCCAGCCCCCCGAGTGCTGCTTGGGGAGGTGGGCGAGTAGTCGTCTAGTCCGTAATGCTGCTGGAGTAGACGGAAGTCTGAAGTCTGAAGTCTGAAGAATAAACGATGCGGCGACGGGGCCGGCTCAGGTTCAGGTTGAAATTACCACTGTAGAACGCCTACTCCCTAGTGGCAGCGTCCTAGTGGTACGGTACCTGACTACGACGAGTCGAAGGGCCAATGGAGGCGTAGTGCAACGCCAACCATCCACTCGGAAGACGCAGCCATTGTTGCCCTGCAGAAGGTCAATTTGCGGGGAGTTGATTTATTGTGATTATTGCCTGTTAGACAGTTCCATTTGGTACCGTACCAGTACCAAGTAGTTGCACCCAGCAGTAAACGGGTACACGTGTGCTCCAGGCTCTGTCCAAGTCTGTACAACGCATCTCCGGAGCTTCCAGGCTCGCTGATCGCGGTGGCGAGCCCTGTAGATGCCCTGTGGTTTCCCGGTAGAATCGCCTGTAAAGGGCCCTAAGGGAGCCCATCTAGCATCTAGCACCTGTAGGCTGTAGCACCTCGCTGCTTCGTACCCCCTATCCATCCAGTATCCACCAAGTTCCAACCCAAAATAAGGCGCCCTGCCATGCTCTGCCCAGTGCCAGCCGCCTCGCTCAGTCTCTGCTTTGCGGTGCAATCTGCGGCGCCTCCGAGTCAGTAGTCGTTGGCCCAGCGGGAGCAGCGACCAAGCAACCGCCGGACATTACTCCGTGTAGAGACACTTGGGACTTCGTATTGGGTGGGCTTGTTTCCGTAGGACGTGGCGAGGTTTGTTATTGTTTCTATTCTCTGTTATGCACCCATCCAACGGTGCGGACTCCGTCTCAACTGACCTCAATCAGCCTTGCAAATAACTAATAAAGTCCGTACAACAAACACCAAATAGCCTCTTCGTTCTTCGTATTGTATTAATCTATAATAATATCCCCCCATCGAATCCTGCTCCTCCACACGTTACCAACCGCTCAGTCCCCCTGGCGATCGCCCATCTCGAGCCCTGAGCCCGTCCTAGCGCCCTCACCGCACCGCTCTCGCGCCGCCAAACGGGAAATTGCGCCGCTGCTATTTCCGATCGGTTAGCGAGGACAGGAATAAATTAATTTTAGTAAAATGAGACGAAGATGACATGGAGATGACATGAACGAGTACACCGTGCAGTGTGCACTGTCCACTGCCCACCACTGCTCCAGTCCGAGGATTCTCGTCGTCGCGGCGAGCCGCCGAACTTGGTGCCACCAGATAAGGATAATAATAGGGGAAGCGAGGAGGTGAGAGAATATGAGACTCCTCTTTCTTTCTCTATTTCTGATAGTGCTGGTTTCTCCTGCATCCCTTACGACAACTTGATATATCACTGATTCACCAGCTGGCAACTCACTACTGTGCCCCTACCCGGCCCGATATCCCTCCCCAAGGAAAACCAACAGCAGTTCTCGAGTTATAGGCAGACATTCATTTCATTCAGCAATCCCCCGCCAGACATTTGAGGGGACGTCTGGCGGGGGAGATAGACAGGCTCAGATCAACAGTTGCATTTCCACAATCAAGCCCGTGCGCAAAACGGTCATGGAAATAGGGGATTGGCATTGGGCAAGCCAAATTAAAAAGAAAATTCAATAGAGGGGAAGGGAAAGTGATGTGAGACAGATCTGAGAGCTCGGGGTCTTGTGGTAAGTTTTGCTGTGTGGCTGATTACCTTGATGGTTATAGTGCGTGGCGTTGGTTTATGGTGATGATCTCGAGTACATAGGTACAGTAGCTACAGTAGGTAAGGTACATAAATATCGTAGTAATGTTTGAGTTGAAGATATCCCTTACGCAGGCATACAATAAATGTAAGATATCAGTCGCGGGCCTGAGGATAGCAGCAGGGGAGGATGGACATATTTGTTCAGCGTAAAAGCAAAGTGTAAAAAGGTTCATAGCGAGTAGTTGAGCAAGCAAACAAACAATCCATATTCGGGAAGCAGAAAAAACACCCAGCGATACATACGGCGATCTTACCTATGATTTCCATTGCTTTTATCTGATGCTCATTCTGCGATACTATTTCAGTGTGTGAGCGCAGCAATAATCTCCATCTCTTCTGGCAAGATGGAGGCAAGGGGCACGACTAGAAACAAAAGCATTTTCAAGAACCGATAAAGAAAAGAAAAGTTAGACATTTACATTCCTTAATATATAGCTATAGTATATAAACTGTCACGTTTTTAAAGCAGTCATGTTTCAATATGAAAAGACTTGGTTTCAGTGGAGTCCTGGAAAACGACGCGCGGTTATAGAGATAGATATTGATGGTCAATGTAAGGCAAGGCGCTCTGTAGGACGGCAAGAAGCGAACGGAGGGGAACTTGCTAACATTGTTGCCCTGCAGACTAGTCTAAAATAGCTGGTCGTAGGCTATACTATTGATCAGGATACAAGTTGGGAGAGATATGATCTGCTCCTTGTTAAGCATGAGCAATACAGAGTCGTCTATTGTAAGAGGCGGGTGGAAGGTGAGGCTAGCTAGGGAGGGTAAATAGTTAAGATCAAGAGGGGAAAGAGGTCGTGAAGACGCCAGGGTATTAAGTAGAAGAGAGTAGAGGGGAACTAAATGTGTGTGCAGGCATAATAAGCGCGTTACTGCGTGGGTGTGTGAAGTGTAGAAAGCGTGGTGTTGTAGGGAAAGAGGAAGATATGGATTTTAGTATAACGCGAAGCAAAAACACGCAAATTAGTAGATCTTGAATTAATAAAACAAAATAAAAAACTTTACCAAAGAACAACGTGAAAAAATAATCTTAAAAATGAAGTATTGAAACAGCAAAAGAGTTCGGCCCGTTCGTTGGAGGGCCTACATCTCTTGCCGAATAAGATCCGATTTCGTTCTTGTTATTTTCGTATTTTGCCTTTTTTTTTTACGTCCCCCTTTTTTGGGGCCTGTGCCTACGTACCCTAAATCCCTGTCGGCCTCGAAAGTACAATTCGTCCTGAACCACTCAACCAAGTGGCCGCCCTTGTACCCCTCAAAACAAAAAACGCTTATTTGGTTGTATATAGAGGGTGTTGGGAGTTCTAACCAGGCAATTTCTCACCGCCTACCTATAGCCTTGTCGGCGGTGACTACCTACCTTATCAGCTAGGTTTACTACTCGAGTAAACAAAGCAAACAGATCTACTGCTTTAGCAAAATAATATGAAGGGCCTGTATCCGCCGCTCATATATAGATATCACTAGTCGTTATCGGGTAGCACGCCTCTGCCCAGGCAATTTAGGAAGGTAGTTTACTATTATTCCGGACTAATCGTTTAGTTAAAAGATCAGGATAGCTTCCTTTTGTCGAATCCACATAGAAGCCAAGAGACGTAGCTTTTAAGTACCAAGGCCGGCTTCTATATAGTAGCCTCGTGGTCTAACCACTTGATTTAATAAAACGGGTCGCGGCGTTAGCCTGGGGCCTTTTCGAGGCTCCTTGTTTAGAATCTTGTTTAATAACATAGCGTTCCTCGCTCTCTACTATAATCGGCCCTGGTTCTGGTGCGGTTCGATTGTAAGGTCCAGGGGGAGCAGGCTCGAGGTGTCCGGCCGATATTAAGGGGCGAATATAAAACCAGACCGGTAGTTGGAGTTCGAGAGCCAGTTCGTTATGCCTGCGAGCCTTACAGAAAAAGCGATAATACATTTATATATTGCCCTGTTTCTTGTTCGAGATATATCTATCAGTTTGAACTTTTACGCCAGTTTATATAACAATACCACAAAACCGAGAGTCTATCTCCATATAGAGCGATAGGCCTTATACATAAAGAGCTATAGATAATGAAGGATATTAAAATCACTCAACACTGGAAATAAACAATTTCCATTCTAGTATATATGTTTAAATCCGTACCTGCATTTTATCCTCGTTAGTTCCCAGATTGGCCTACCCCTCTCCAAGAGAAGCAAGCCTAAAACATATCAAAAAACAGGAGCGAAATTCCCCTCCTCCTCTCGAAGGCCAAGAATACCAAGTAACACATAAACAAGTATGACTTGTATTCCTTGGCCCCAAAACCAACACAAAACCCAAGGCCAAAACTCTGGAAATAAATCCTGAACCGAAAACCTCCCTTGGCGCCTGGTCTCCTCGAATATCCTACACCGGTTAATTCCCATTCGTTGTCACGTCACCTAATCATTCAAGGTTCGTGAATAAGAGAGGGGATTCTCATAGGGGAGCACTGAGTAGGGTTCAAGTTATCATGGAATGCGTTTTTGTCAATGGCTGGGGAGGCATTACGCAGGAGAATGATTATTACTCTCGTCTGACTTTCATTTCTTCGTCGAGCAAGCAACTAAGGTGCTTTCTCTTGGTAGATTACGGGAGGGAGGGAGGACATCAGTATAGAGACTACAAGAGTGGAAATTATAACCGATGTTTATGTTCAGATGATACCAATATATAAACGAAGAGTATAAAATGGATGGAGGCAGCACTGGCGTATATGACAGGCTGAACAATAGTGGCATGCAAATCATGCTCTAGCTCTAACCGGTTGGTGAATACTACCCTAGAAACATGCGTGGCCGTTTAGAGCTATTTAGATACAACAGAGAGGTGGGACATGTGTTCCTAAGGGGGTGTATGGTTATAATTCGAGCATTCCAACAACAACAATATCTTCAAGTTCAGGAAAGCAAGGTGCTTATTGGCTTGATACTTAAATAAGAGGGTGCTAGTAGACTAGAAGTAAGAATATTGAAAACATAAATATATGTCGAGTATGCTAAAGTCTAGACGAAAGGGTATATAAATGAAAGATACAACAATAGTAAACATACAAGCTATTAATGTTTCTAAATAGTCTAGACTATTAGTAAAACAAACCACAGTAGAAAATGAATAGTCCCTCGGCGCTAATTGGTCAAACGGATCAGAAATGCATGTGATATATATATGGGCTTAATTTGACAAACCCAACAGCGGCTTCTCCGAGTTTGGAAGGGGAAGGCATCCATCCGCTCGCTCAAGATTTAAACCCCCCAGTTTAGCTCTTCCGAGAAGGCCTTTTATTATTATTACAGCCCTATGTGGAATATAGAGATGGCTCTATTCATACGTTCTGGAAACCTCGCTGGACTACTAACAAGATTGTTGTATTCATGGTTATAAATGAACTCGACTTTCATCAAACCTAACCAACCAAGCTCACCCAATTACGAAACACCACACACAGGCAAGGAGCAAGGGCAGAATAGTACTTAATGACCAATGATTAATTATTTTTTCAAAGCTCAGGGCCTAAAAACACCATTCCTATGCGAAAACGACAAAAGTAACAGGAGCAGCAATGACGACGACGATAATTACAACTCAGACCAGCAACAAACGCCTTCTCCAACCCCGATTCTACGTGCCTGGGCTTATTCAATCGATTTAATATCAATCAAAAGCCCACCCACCACTTAATGCATCCGCTATACAAGAATTTCAATGCAGTGCAACAACATCCCCTCACCGCTCAACCGGAACATCCGAGTACTCCTCTTCATAGCCACCGTGGTGATTAGAAGGCCAAGCACCAGTATAAGCACTTCCCTCCTTGCTACCGTATCCTGACCAGGTGGCTTGGGATCTGAGACGCCGTTCCTTCTCGAACTCACCCCATCGCTTCATGGTGATCTTGGAGCTGTCGAATTCGCCCTCGTACTCAATGCCGGCCTTCTTAGTCTTCTCCCCAGCTGTCTTACGAGTATCACCCCAGGAGAAGTCGTCAAACTTCCAGAAAGCATAGGTAGGGAGGATGAAATTCCAGATTGGAAGGGAGAGCAAGTAAATACCCATCCATACGACGTATGACCATCGGTGGGCCGTCAGTACAATAAGAATAGCGGGCAGACCCAGAATCAGAGCGAGAAGGACAAGGGGAATAATCTGAGGAGGCTGTCTAACGATGGAGATGATGACTAGACTAATGTTAGTGATGATTTGGAGTAGGGTGGACTAGAGGAGTGACTTACCGACATAGAATGTAAACGCAATGGCGGCAGGGAGGACAAGAGTACCAACCAACTCAATGCCGACAACAAATTGCATACTGAAGCAGAAGGTACCGCACAGATCCCGGACAAGAACGAGTTCCATTAGGTTGTGGACGGTACTGTTAATCCATCTACGTCTCTGAGATAGGAGAACGCTGAACTGCTCTGGTACGGTAGTCTTGCACACGGCCTGAGGGACGAAGATTTGCTTGCGCTTCGGGAATGTTCGAAGCATGAGGGTTGACAGATATCGATCTTCTCCAAGCAGGAGCAAGTTCTTCTTATGCAGTGTGTCGACAACGTTCTCAGAGTAGTGCTCTACAACATCAGGGTTGGCAAGGATAGGCACCCAGTAATTGTTGCCTCCCTTTGGCGTTTTGATCCGGTACATGCAGAAACATCCGGGTAGACAAGTTACACCACCAAAGACTGATTCGAAGGATTTCGACAAGTGATGGGAGATGAAGTACTCGAAGACTTGAATGGCAGAGACCCAAGATGCTCTCTTGTTGGCGATCTTCGTCTCACCGCAGAGACCCATAACCTCAGGATCCTTCACCATAGCGGATATCATATGTGTCAAGCTGTCCGGGAATACCTTGGTATCGGCATCCACCATAAGAACGACCTCGTAGAAATCCGGAGAGACACCCGTGATCTTCCATAAACCATTGAACATTTCGAATTCAAGCTCCGTCATGCGCTCGTCAAACATAACCTTCTGTAGGAAGGACATGAGGATGATCTGACTGTCACGCTTGCCTCTATTTCCCGCCTTGCTTTTAGATGCTTCATCCGGTGTGCCGCATTTGACTATACACAGCATTGGAACACGTTGCTGCCTCTCCAAAGGTATCGTAGAGTTGGCGCCATAATCGTAGAAGCCAGAGTACACCTTAGCCATATTGTGCCTCTTGGATCCGCTTGCGACAGCAACATAAGAAAATGCGGGGACCTCCTCTGGGAGAACGGAATGATCCTTCATCATGCTGAGGACGATATCTGGAGTTGCTACTGTTTCGCCTTTGCCCTTGATCATACCATCACACACCACTAGAATGGCCTTGTGACTATTAGGGTAATCCGTCATAGCAACCGAGTCAAGAGTTGTCCGAATAGCGAGTTCATCCTCCGAATATGCAGTCACGAGACATATGGCATGAGCAAGAGGATAGCCGAAAGGTTGCCAGTCAGCAGGGGGTTGCGGTACAACAGCTTCGTGGATGAAGCCAGCGGGCCCAGGGCCTTCGTAGTCGGACTGACCGCTATAGCCATTCGAATCAGCCCGCAAAAAGCTATTCCGGCTGCTGTTCTGCTGCGTGAACATTGCCTTGGGGGGAAGGAGGGCTGCAGTTGAAGTCTGACTGGCCATTGTAGTAGGTGCCGGACGTCCCACGCGTGATAATCTATTATCTCCGGCATAGGGGCTCGTAAATCGAGATGTCGTGGGGAGGAATGTGCTACCGCGCTTGCTTGTTCTGTCGGACCCGGCAACGGTGCTGCTGGGATCTCCTGGGATCCTAGGAGGAGCACGGTAGATGTCGTCTGACCACTCTTCAATCTGTTGGTTTCGCTTCTTGGAGTTGGAAGATTGGGAGGTCTTTGAAGCAGCATATTTCCGGCTGAGGAACCACTGGAACATCAAGGCAAGGACGAACTTCGACACAACAATCGACAAGATGAAGACCAAAGATACATACAGCACGACTTTCGAGGCGATACAACCGACAGTCTCTGTATCAACGGATCCGACTTTGATGATTTGCTCGAAACACTGAGCCATCTCCTTGTCGGTTTTGGATTGAAATGAGTGGGTAACATCTCTCCCATGGACGGCAGCGTTCAGGGCAGATGATCGGTCGCTGATCTCGACGAATCTTGAGGGTACAGTCACCTGCGTTCCATTGAACCACTTCAGCAGGTCAAGGTCAAGGACGTTCCCGGAGTAGACCATCAAATTTCGGCTTGAATTTTTGATGTCATCCCAGGTAAAATAGACGTCCCCGGCGCTGTTAAGATTGTAGAAAGCGGAACGGGCATTTGCAATGGTGTGGCATTGATATCCTAAGTATTCAGGTACGGTCTTGTTGACAGGGCTAGATCCGTCCTGGTTGAAAGTCGTACATGGGAAGTACCACGCAAGATCATTATTAGCGTTTGTTGGAACATCGGATTTTGCACTTCTGGTGATCAGTCCCTTGCATCTGCCATTGACGTTTTGGAACAAGAAACTTGCATCCTGGCCGGCGTGCTTCTCTGGAAGGTCATACAGAACATTTGCGTTGTCCTTAATTCCTTTGGCAGCTGGGTGATGCGATCCAGATAGATCGTAGGCGCTGCCGTGAATGATCATGTAGCCACCTGTAACCTCATTGACACGTAGTCGAAGTCCCGGGTTTCCACAGACAGCTGCCGTAAATCCGAAGGTGAGGAAGCCCACTCCAGCCATGATAAGGAGGATAATACTGATCAGGCCCATTTTTTCCCTCCAAGCTCGCTGCTGAGCCCTTGCGGGCTTCCCGAAGCACTTCAGCATAAAAGCCGGGCACCAAAAGGTGACGATAGCGCAGTAGACATTCCATAAGCTTGGAGGCTTCAGTGCATCAAGTTGCTTTTGTCGCTCCTTCTCCTCCTTTGTCATTTTCATTTTTATAGTTTTCTCACGAGTGAGCTTTTGTCGGCTGCGCGACGAGCGGCCAACCTTTTCGCCCAAGCCCATCTCAGGTCCAGCGCCATGGCCTCTTGAGCTCTGCTTTGTTGGGGCGGTAACGTCGGACTCGGCTTCATTTGAAGTTCGCAGGTCGGAGGACTCGGTAATATCGTCGCCATCTTCTGCAATGGGGTCATTACCGGTTGACGAGGGCAGAACCTCCATCCTCGCTGCATGCTGCCTGTAGTGGAAATTCGGATGGTCTGAGGTGATTCTGCCGCGCTCTGGTCGGATCAGACTTCTCTTCCTGTGCATATCAGGAAGCCCTGATGCTGGTGGTCCATGGGGAGAGCGTGCCAATGGTTCGGTGGTTGGCGATGCAAGGGGGGAAGGGAGGGTTTCTGCGAAGGAAGTCTTTGAGGGTCCGCGTTGATGATGCCTCGAGGGAGATGCTGGCGATGCTGGCACTCCTGCAGTGGAATAGTATCCTGCCTCCTCATCTTGTCTTCGTCGTCTCGATGAACTTCGGTATGAGCTTCTCGGCTCGCCGCCAGCGTAGTCGTTCGCTCCGGGCCGTTGAGGGAGCGACATCGCGCTAGAACGAAGGTGCTGTCAGTAAAGGGTTGGTAGCAGCTAGCAGTAGTCGCGATCGACCACTACTTGGTACTTCCGCTGTGGTATGCAGCAGAAATCGCAACAGGGAGAGTGGTTGCAGCTTGGTTCGCACAACAAACAAGCAGGCGCTATGTTGTGCTGTGTGTTGCGTTGCGTTGCTGTGTGGCAGCGAACAGCACGTCTGGCCTGGGCACGACGACAACGGGTGTAGGGGTTGAAGCAAGTTGCGAGATGCAAGAATGCAGAGTAACACACGTACAGTGATGAGGCAGAAGAATGCAATTAGAGGGAGAAGTGTTTGTTTTCTCTCCGTCATGGAGCCACCCCTGCGGGCACGACACAAGCGGGGGGTGAAGTGTTCCTTGGACGACAGACGATCTGAAGCAGCCGTGGCTGCTGGGTTACAGGATTCTTCTGGGATCGGCCACAGCAACGGATGCAAGATCGGGGTTCACGAGGTTGGTTGACGGAGCTGCAGTGGAGGTTTGGGGGACGAAGGAGGATCGGCGGAGGACCAAGATTCATCCAAGAACTCAGCCTTCTCCTCTAAACGCGATCTCGTCGTGTCGTGTCGTCGTCGTCGTCTCGGCGGGATGAAGTAAAGTAACTCTGGGCGACGGGGGAAAGCGAAGGTGGCCGCGGCAGTGCTTGCGGGAACAGTCTACATAAAAATAAAAGCGATTGAACGGCGATAGAAACAGAGGCCTTAGAAGTCAAACCAAAAAACGAGGGAGAGGGAGAGAATACGGAGTAGATGGCCGTGAAGAGGTTGAAGCCGCGAGATGTGGAAGGGAGGAAAATAAGCGTCCGAGTCCTGAGTCTTGTCTCCTGAGTTGCTTAGTTGCTGGGAATTCTCGCTTTGGATGATGAAGATCACGAGATCTGGGCCAGTACGGGCGACGGGAGCGGAGGCGCGGTAAATAATGATGGTTCGGTACGGTGCGAGTTCCCGTAGTGGAGGCGGGTGTAGTCCGCCGTAGTGACTACTGGGCGACTACTACGTATTGTGTCTGGAATAGGCAAGAGACCCCTGCCCCGGATGCTAAAAATATCCCTGTCAGGGGTTGGCCCGGCGATCTACGGAGTACGTCGTTCGACTGGATTATATAAGCTGGGCTCTTGGTCCCGCCCGCAACCCCCTTTTCATTATTGATAAATAAGGCAAGGAAATCAGATACATAAGGGAGAGCTGATACCCTTCTTTCTAGACCATCTCCCAGTCGTTCTCTTTCTCTGCAAGTCTTCAGGTCATGAAAGGCTACCCCCTACATTTCCCCCAGCCGGCCAGCGACAAGTCCCGGGTGTCTCCTGGCAAATTGCAATAATACGAGGCGAGAGGGGCGGCCTTGCAGTTGAGCCTTTTTCGAGACGTGACGTGACCTGTCTCATCGGTGGCGTTCGAACTCCGAGGGCCAGAACCCCATCCGCAGTGGGCCGACGACGCCTGGCAACTCGGGTTTTGGTTTTGCAGCGTGCGACGGCGACGAGGCGACGAGGTGACGAGGTTGATGCCAATTCTTTTTGCGGCAGTCAATTTATCCTCAGCATCTTGCAGCGCCTCCTGCGGCCTTGGTACGGAGCCCTCCGAACAATACGTGATCTTCTAAGTTTCAACGGAACAAGCATTGGCGCTCCGGTCGATCGCATCGCGGGAATTAATGTAATTTATTACACGGGTTGGCTGGTTTTCCGGGACGGGTTTCGAACCCAGCAAGCTCCTGACGGCGGCTGGCATTCATTCCCAACATACCATACCGATGCAAAGCTCGCAAGTGGGGTGGATCATGTACTGTATGTTCAACGCCCTCCCGTTTGATGATTATTGACCGGTGTGTGGTGGCGGTGGTGGAAGCACTTGGGGTTTTCAATAAATGCCTGTCTGGTCCCATTGAGCCTCATGGCTGCCGCGAAAAGCAATTCAGGTCCCACCGGGGGATGGCGAATTTTCCATCGGCTCGCTGGACCGGACTCCTTTCCTTTCAAACATTGCTGGCTGAGTTAAGCGCGATGCAATGAGATGCGGCCATTATTCAGTGGCAGCCTTGCTTCGTACGGCCTGCCCAAAACGAGACGGCTCTGCAGAAACCTGTCCAGTCAAAATGTTCTGTTCGCAACTCTCCGCAAGGGGCTGAGTTCAATGGTGGCACTGCCCTGAGCTTAGCAGCTTAGCAGCTCATTATTAGCTTGAGCCTTGACAAGACGACGACGAAGGTTCGAGCCACTGAGAGGTCGGCTCCCTAATCCTCCCTAGTGCGAAGTATATATGTGATGGAAGTAAGTAACGCTTTTGAGGGACAACTCCATTAGAGAACTACCTAACCGCTATAAATCTTGTAAGGCTGAGAGGACTACTGCTCTTCCTATCCAGTAACCGCTTTCCCGTGCAGTTAGTCCAAGCAATGATAGGTCGGCCTGCATTCAGCCTCACTGCAATGCAGCAATGAGTTGGCGTACGGCTGAAGCTTCAGCAGTGCGGAGTAATCGTGGACACTGAAGTCCACGATTAAGTGCGGGCAGCTGTACGTAGCTCGTACTTGTACATTATCTCGGGGACCCACGGGCTGGATTTGGGATTTTTGGGACATCGATAGGTACTCGATTATCCGGATAATATTACTCGACGCTTCATAGATTAACCGTTTGTGTGGTTGTTGTGGTGGTGTTTCAAGTACTACGAGGACCTCGGACACAGGTCTCCTTCCCCGTAAACAGGGCCCTTTATCATCGCGGGGTACAGTAGTAGCACAGTAGCACCCACAGAGCGACCATACCTCTCTATCTGAATAATAAAAGGCGGTATATTATTCTTCGTCCGGGGGCATTCTGCTTTTCCACCTTTCCATCTCGGATCTTGGAGCGGCATTTGATTTTATTAGCATGCTCTGCTTGGACTGGTGCCATTTCCGTCAATGCCATGACGACGATTGTCCTCCTCGGGGGACCAGTGTGATGTTACTCAATCAGCTGGACGTGCCGGCCCGGGATACCCAGCTCTGCGGTTTTTCTGCAACTGGAACTGGAACCACACTTTTGGATAGTTCCGGTGGAAAACTAGAGCGGCAGTACTTGGTAGTTCTGCCAGCTCCTGAGTAAAAAAAAATAGGGCCCAAGACTCCACAACACGATCTTCAGCTCAGCTCAAGGCAGCTTTTGCAAACTTGGAGCACAGCGTCCCACTCCTGCAGCCTACCGCCTGCAGCATGTACTTGGCCCATCTACCTCTTAGACATTGACCTGCTGCAGGGTTCAGCGGCGTGCTGTGGTGCTGTACATGTACTAACTAGTAGGGCAGACAAAGATCTGACGTGCGAGCCTCCACTGCTTGCGCTACGCTCTTGTACTTACGCAGTGCTAGGAGTGCTAGCAATAACTAGCAATTATTAGCAATTATTAGCACTAGCTAGCACTGCCTGTATAGAATATGGAGTATGGGCTATGGAGTATTTACATACGCACAGAGTATAGTATCGAGGTAAGCTCGGGAGGTGCTTTGCACCGCGTTTAACGTTCCACTCTGTTCTTCCATTCCTGTCCTGCATATAACTGATATCCAGCATTCCGCTGTCACTTGGCCGCCCATAACAGCCGCAGCGGTTGGCCCCTCCATGAAACCATCACATCGACAAACCCTCTCTGGGGCCAAGTTGGTTGAGCTCGTATACTGGAGCATTCACTAGCATTATTGGGAAAGAAACGGGCCCCTACGGTACTTGCTAGTTCCCAGCATGTCCGTACAGGGCCACGCGCCCAGTAGAGTTATTAGTGAGCACTAACCGCTAAACCACCACTAAACCACCCACTGAACCGCTGAACCAGAGAGCAACGCCAGGGACACCCCTAAGCGTCCATTAAACCATTCCAATTCCACTCCCAATTTCACCTCCGCCCTCAGGGGTGTCGATCAACTAAGTTTTAACATTAGCAACTAATAACCTACTCCCTTTACTGTTTACGCGAAACAGACGGTTACTGTCCAGTACAGAGAGAGGTCTGCTCTGCTCCGGCCTAATACGTATGGACTGGGAGACCCCAAGCGCAGCATCTCAATAACAAACAAACCAACCACCCCACCCCACGCAGTTACCAGCCTACCTTACCTTACCTAGAGTTCCATCCCCTACTCGAATAGATATACGAAGGCCTTACCAGCAACCGGTACTCGTAACTCAAAGCGCAACCCCCAGAACCCCTCCGCGCGCCGTGCATGTTTCTGCTGCCGCGGCTTCCGAACCGAACCACGAAGCACTGAAGAGCGAGCAGCGTACTTCTTCCAGTGCACTTCGTAGAGTTACTAGTACTAGACACCAAGAGGCAGAAGCAGATTCAAATTTGGCGCTTCCTCCCTCCGCCTCCCTCCGCCTCGCTCCCCTCTCTGCCTCAGCCCCGTCAAGCACGTCAAAATCCAAACCCGGCCCCATCAGGCCCAAACCCTCCTCCTGGTATCTGCTCATTGCGGCTGACCTGACGGTAAGACACTACTGCAGCTTGCTTCAGGACCCTCTTCAAAGAAAAAGCCTTGGGCTCCTCATGAGTTACCGTATTCTTTGCTAATTCATCGTTTTCTCACCGCCAGCGCCACTCCCGGCTTGTTCAAGGTCCCTTTCCCCCGGGCTACTTCTAGCTTATTGCGCTCGTCCTGTGCTGCTGCTGCAAAAACACCCAACCCTCTCTCAACCACGAAACTCTCCCTCCCAAACCACCTCCTCGAATTCCCTCCTTTCGCCTCCGCAATCTCCAGAAGTACAAACCACGGCCGTGCTAAAGGGAAGGGTACATGCAGGCCCAAAGGCTGCGGATCTGACCCAATCTCACGGCGGCCAAGCGTGCGAGAGACTTTGGCCGGGCGAGTGCAGACTGTTAGGAAAACATGATGGAAACACAATCCCCCCCTGGGTCCGTCCCCAGGAAACCGCTATCCTCAGACCCCTCAACGCAGTTCGACGCCGATGGAGACAAGGAGAATATGGGCAGGAAACAGCCCCCTCCCCTTCCTATGCCGACTATGGGCCGTATGCTGGGAGCTCCAATGTCCCCGGTGAGGGTTAGTATCCATGCGGAGGATTGGCCGCCGCGGGCATCAAGCGCCAGGATTGAGGGTGGCGATGATCATGAACGGAAGGTATCGACGGGCAGTGAAGCGGATACGACGGAGCAATACGAGATTTCAGACCACCAGGTGCCTATTATACAGGAATTTCCATTTCGACCCAACTTCACGAACAATGTGGCAGAGCCCGTTCAACAACCCCAGATGGCTGGGACTCCTGCCGATAGTTTAAGTTCGAGGTCCGGCTCCACTGCTTCTTCAATCAAACATTCCGGCGCCAGACGCCAGTATCCTGAGCGGATAGACGAGAATGGAGACGATGAGTTCAGCCCGCCTGTGCCTCGATTCCAGTATCACCATCAATCTCACAATTCCGAGGGATCGAACTTTCGCCCTCGCGTGTCCTCGATGCAGCAACCGAATGAGCAAATAGATATGGGGACATCAATTGGCCGACATCTAACTCCCACGCTTCCAGGCGCCAGAGGGGCTCAAATACCCCGTCCAATGTCGGCGTATTCTGATATGGGACCCAGAGGTCGTTCTCCGTCATCATATATGGCTCCCCATTCCCCAGGTTGGAGCGGATATCGTGCACCCTCGGCGCATTCTGGACGGTCGTACGAAGGCAGACCGATCTCATACGTGGATTTGGCAAACATATCTTATCCTCAAGCCCCACCAGCCGCTATTTCCATGGATAATTCCCAGTTAAGGTCTGTTGTAGGAACCAATGCCTCGCTGCTTAGCATGGGGAAGACCCTTGAAATGTACCGGCAAAATGTGAAGAAGTTGAATGATGCGGAAACACAGTATGCGTTCGCCATATTTTTGATACAAACTGCGCAGGAACTTGGCCTTGGCCAGGATGGTGGCGCTGATTCGTCGCGGAAAAGTCCCAAACTTCCTAAACCAGATAGTCCTTCCCTGACCCATCCTCAATCGTCTCCCCAAGAACTACTGAGTGAAGCCAAAAGCATTCTGCAAAAATTATCTGATCGGAGTTATCCTTTCGCGCAATACTATTTGGCTGATGGATATGCATCTGGACTTTTCAGCAAGGGGAAGAAGGATTATGGGACAGCCTTCCCCCTTTTTGTAGCAGCTAGTAAGCATGGCCACGCGGAATCGGGATATCGAGCTGCTCTGTGTTACGAGTTCGGGTGGGGATGCAGGAAAGACCCCGCAAAAGCCGTACAATTCTACAGACAATCCGCTTCAAAAAACCATCCAGGCGCCATGACCCGTCTTGGCCGAGCATGCCTATCCGGCGATCTGGGTTTGAACAAGTATAGGGAGGGCTTGAAGTGGCTCAAGCGGGCGACAGAATCCGCAGATATGCAATATAACGCAGCGCCGTATCATCTGGGTCTCCTTTACGCCACTGGATATGGAGATGACATTTTCCAGGACGAGGTATATGCCGCCCAGCTCTTCACCCAGGCTGCTGATCTGGGCCATGCGGAATCCTGCTATATCCTCGGCGATGCTTACGAGCACGGGAAACTATCATGTCCGCGGGATCCGGCACTGAGCGTGCACTTCTACACTGGAGCTGCGCAGCGAGGCCATCCTGCTGCCATGATGGCTTTGTGTGCCTGGTATATGGTTGGCGCCGAACCTGTTCTCGAGAAAGACGAGAACGAGGCCTATGAATGGGCGCGCCAAGCAGCGGAGTGTGGTAAGTTACCCCGTTTGAGCTCCAAAATGCCGTTTAAATAGCTCCTAACATGATTCCACAGGCCTCACCAAAGCCGAATACGCCGTGGGATACTTTACTGAGATGGGTATCGGGACACGCCGGGATCCCCTAGAAGCCAACGTCTGGTACGTCAAAGCTGCAGATGCAGGTGACGAGCGGGCCAAAGTTAGGCTGGCTGCTATCAGAGCCGCTGCCAGCGGGGGCACGCCAATGGAGGTTGCCTCGCCGCGGAGCGGGAAGATGAAGAAAAATCCCAGCGGGAATGAGAAGGAATGTGTTATCATGTAGTGTTGATGACGGGACGGCCTAATGGATATATATCGTGAAACGCGGGCATAATAAGGGATGCTCGAAGCCCCGCGTATCGAGACGAGGGAGGGGAAGACCTAAGATTAAAAATTGGGGACAAAAAGGATAACAAGACACCAGCAAGAGAAGGTACCTCACAAAGGAAAAAAACCCCCACACACAAAGTTATTCAAGAGCCAGACAGAAAGCAAGAGGGGAACCCTCGAGATGAAACTAAATCTCATGTATATAGGTTCGGGGAGGGGATATAATGTTGTAGGGGTGGGGCCAAAGGCTAAGCACACATTCACGAATAAGCCGTTTGAACGTTTTGACGCATCTCACAACAACCGGCGTTTATTGTTTTTCCTGCTTTTTTTTTCATCTTTACCCCCCGGCACACTCATTTTTCTTGTTTTCCAGCATAGAGCAAAAACGGGATTTCTGGTTTTTCATTTTGCGGTTTTTTGTTTTGCACGGGATTTGGGGAATTTTGTTTTGGAAGGGGGAAAGGGGAATTGGAGGGAGGGAGGGCATTATTTGGGAAATTTTTGTTATCATGTTTGCTGTGTGGAAAGCGAGGTACTACGTAGGTAGTTGTGTGGTTGTTTTTATGGGTTGTTGCTTGTGTGTGTGTGTTCGGCCATCGCTCGCGGGTTGCATTGTTTGGAGGAATTTGCATATCTTTGCTAATTAATTAGTCTACCTATTAAACTCTAGAAAGATTTGTACTTTGCTCCTGTCAAAGGCTATTTTGAACTGCTATTCCGCTGTGTGTTGTTTGAAACAGGTGTATTTTCAGTGCACGGGATGTGATGTGATGGATGCCATTTGTGGATTTTGAATTGATGGAAGCGACTTGAAATTTTCTAACTTGCTATGGGAGCAATATATTCGCAGGCTGCAAAGCTGGAAGCTAGCTGCTTGTATGGGTTATTGCTATGCTAGGTAATGTAAAAGTGCAACGCAAGAAGCAAGAGAGGCCTCTGAAGATTATAAGATACGCCAGCCTGCCCGCGCCATATGTAGGGGCAAGGACCATCATCGATCATCGCATTCATTCATCAAGCCACCCAGATAAGCCAAGGCGAAGATATACGCCACCAGCGCCAAACGCATAACGCTATGCATCATAGAGCAATAAATGCATGAAGCCTCAAAATCGAAATTCAAATAGAACGCCAAGCAACACCCGTTCAGAATAACTACCCCACCCACCATGCAAACTTGATGACTGATGCAAACCATCCCACCTTCCGAGTATCTGTTTCGAAATGGGCAATAAGTGGAAAGCTATGTCTGGATGATCACTCGATATCCGGGACAATATCATTAGGCTTCCTAGGATCAAACCATGCTACTCTCCTATCATCGCCACCCCTAGCTCCAACCGTGACCCAGACGTGTTTATAGGGGACCTTGACGTTGATCTGCTCTCGGCATCCGTACCATCGAAGACGCTTCCCAGGTTCCATGTTGCTGTTCCCTAATCCACCGTTCATCACCCATTCTTTTACCGCAAGTCTGATGAATTCGATTTTCCTTCGGAAATCATTGGCTTGAGGAATGCCTGAAATCATGGGATCAATCTCTGGACGCCTCTTGGTTGTTGATTTGACAGTACGAACAGGTTTGTTCATGAAGTTGAGGAGGGTTTGGACTGGATATGATAGGTGTTGACGATCGTCGAGGGCGGAAGGCGGTAGACTGCCTTTCACTGAAAGGTCGCGAGCAGCCTCGAGTGGTAGATGATAGAAGTTACACCAAGTGCCATCTGCTGAAATAACAATCTTTGTGTGATCTGGAAAGTTGAACTAGAAGGGATTAGTATATAACTCAGTTAGGAAAGGGTGTTGGGATACTAACTTGGAAGTGGCCGTCGCCGAACCCCCAACAGCCGACGTCACCCCATCGCTGGTAGAACGTAACGACGTTGCCCGCTGCTACGGCCTCAGAATTCGTTTCATTAGGCTTCCGTGCCACAGCATCGTCGAAAGGGTAGTCATGGTCCCTTCCATACGCAGTCATGTAGTTCGCGAACTTCTTCCAGAGAACAATCTTTTCTCGCTTTCTATCATCCCACTGATCCACTCCTCGAGATAGCCTACCGACCTCGCCCTCTTTGCCTATGGTGATCTTGTAATTCTGTGGATTCACTTTGCCACGTGAAATTCCAGACTCGCCATTGTTCTCATAGAACTCGATATTGGGTCCAGAGATAGGGACAAGCTGTTGTCGATCCGCATAAGCCGGGTTCCCCCTATTTTGCAAGTGTCTCTCTGCGTCTCGCACGACGACACATGAAGGCGGTAAGTCACCCTTGCTTCTATCTTCAGAGTCGACTGGCATGGCCCTGAAAATGCAGCCAACACTGCCGGTACTTAAAATATAGCCAAGTCCAAATCTATTCGTGTAGTCAACCCATTTTACAACGATTGTCGGATGAGAGGGCGGCGATCCGGATTCCAAAGCAATAGATCTGCTATTAAGAGCTCTCTCCAGCTCCGTCTGAAGGCGACGCAGGCCAGCCAAAATATTGTCTGGCTTAGAATTTGGCAGGGCTTCCAGTTGCTCTCGCGGGTTGAAAAGAGATACCTGTTTTTTTATTGACAGAGTAACTGTGTCTACTTCGGCCAGCTTCCGTTCTTCTTCGGCCTTCTTTAGTTGGCTTGCAAGGTCGGCTGCTAGTCGATCTTCAACACCGGCCATTTTGTCTTCATGACGTGATGCAACGTTTCTAGATCTGGAAGATTCAGACACAGATCTCGATGAGGTTTCCGCAGACGGCTGGCGTGGTTTCCTTGCGCGGGTTGTTTGAGCACCAGCTGCGGGTCTCGCCCGTTGTTGAGCCGCAAAGCTCTGCGGGACCGATCTGATCGGGAGAGAAAGAGATGGATCATCCAGTCCAGGTTCACGAACCCGCTCAGGAATCTCGTTCAACGCTTCCGCTGCATCCTCGGTGTTGTCCTTATGTTCCATGACTTTCTGTGCTTGCTCTCTCAACCACTCATCAAAAGGACGATACACAACGCCTTCAGGAAGGGGGACTGCTGGCGTCAGACCAGCTTTCTCCTCTGCAGTTACCTCTCGATATGTGCTCGTATGGCGCTTTTGTGACGAGTTCCAAGGCCCAACCTCGCAGTTTATGCACAATTTTTTCAAGTTCCGCAAGTATAGATTGGCCCTTCCAGCTCGAACGCCGATAGAGAGAAACTTATCACTTGCTGGGGCCTTTTCGCGAAGATCGGGTGTCATTTCTTCACTTTGGGGCATCCAACCACACGTGAAGAAGGGATGCTGGACTATGGTATCGGGGTCCGGCCGCCGTTCGGGGGTTTGCAGCAACATAGCGACAAGATCCTTGGTTTCTTCGGAGATATAATTTTCTGAGTTATTTAGTTTTGGCCAGTCATACTCCAGTGCCCTGGCCCGCCGGTATATTTCATCTTGGGTCGTTGACTGGAATGGAGGTTTCCCTGTGAGCATTGCAAAGCTAGTAATGTTAGTAGAATAAACAAAGGAGGGCTAGAATATCTTACATGATGATTCCTAGACTCCAGATATCGACAGCATGGTCATGTCCCTGCTTGTCTTTGGACAATATCTCAGGGGCAATATAATTTGGCGTGCCGCAAAGCGTTGTCCGCCGGCAATTACTCCAGTCCTTGCCGGACATGAGGAGCGCTGCTAGGCCAAAATCGCCAACCTTGACATTCATCCGCTCGTCTAGAAATATATTCCCCATTTTTAAATCTCGATGAATGATTCCTTTAGAGTGCATATACTTGATTGCGCCAGCCATTTGTACGGTCCAGAATCTGACCTCGGGCTCCGTTATAAATTTTCTTCTCTTGACCATATCCATCAGCGATCCGTTCGGGCAAAGTTCCAACACTATGTATGTGCACTTTTGGAAGGAGAAAGCGCGTTGAAAGCGGACGATGTTTGGGTGATTCATTTTAGAATGTATTTGGAGTTCGGTTTGAAACTGTATAACGCATTAATATTTGGCCAGTAATCCCGGCTCATCGGACTGACCTTCTGCTCCATCTTCTTTTGTGGCATATGGCTCTTAACAATCTTCAAGGCATATACCTGTTTCGTGCCGGCTAGCCGTCCGTCGTAGCATATAGCGAACCCTCCCTTACCAAGCAGCTGACCCGTTCTATAAATTGCTCCATTTGGGCGATCGGAGCTTGGTGGCTCGTGAACGTCTGATGGAGGAGGTGGTGGATGGTCCTTCTCCTTCTGTGATTGTTTTAGAGCCGGTGCTTTCGGCTTTTGAGCTTCTGGCTTTCGCATATAGGCGTTCGCGTCTCGGGGCGATAGCGCTTCCATATCTATGCCGTCTGGGAATATAATCTCGCTGACGATGTATGGTCTTGCCTTCAAGATAATTGGTTCGATGCACTCGTGGTAGGGTAGGTCTTCGAGTCCGTCGCTTTTCGGGGACTTGTGAAAATCGCAGTCAGCGTTTATGAGAGTCTCGACTGCTTCGTTCTCAGCGTTGTTATGACAACAATATACCTGCAGCACACGCCGGTTAGTAAAGAAAAAGAAGTTATGGTGTTGGTTATGTTGTAATTTGCGCTCGCAGTCGCGCGGAACTTCGAGTGCTTGACATAGAATTCGGCCTAGAAGATCGAGAACTTCGTCTTCAAACGGATATTCTTCGTGGAGGGCCCTGACATAACCAAGCTCGTGGGCCCAGCAAAGCCCCGCCTCAGTTGGAAAATAGACAGTATGATTCACGAAGGGTTGTATGGCTTTCCCCCAATCTTCAGCCTGGATTCTTCTTTGCAACTCTGTGATAGCACCATTGGCTACACAATTTCCCACCGAGACCCAATTGACCGGGACCCCATAATAGTGACCCGCCATGTCATGATCGAGGGGAGGTGCGCCGCGCCGTGCTGTGGTTCGAACAGTAAAAGAATATGCTTACAGTTGGATGTGATTGATGGATCTATTCTTAATCAAACAAGTGCTATAAAGAGCACACTGAGTTGAAACAGATGTTCCGCATCGGCGACACGCTGAGTCGCTCACAAGAAAGATATAGATGTCGACTTGTCGACGTTACTAGTTATTATCGGCGTGGGCAAGGTAGCGACGCATCGTGAGTAAATAGAATCGCTCGCTACGAAGTACAACCATAGTCTGTGTTGTTGGCACAGCAACCATCGCTTACTCCGTAACAAGGCTAGGGGCCTATTGACAAGTCTTTCAGGGTTGCCTACAGAACAACCCCAACGACAAGCTCTTACGCTCTTACTACGATGGCGGAACAAAGTGCATGCTAATGGATGGATGATGGACATGGCGAGAGATTGCCAGTCCAGAGTACCAATGATTCCCAAATAAGCCAATCCTCATAGAAAGCTCTATCGTTACAGTCACAATCAACCGGCCCTGAATGCGACAAGCTCTGCAAAATGGTTCCTCTTCCTCTATTCAAGTTTGCCGCTTTATTCGTAAGGCATATTTCCAAATATGGCGCGGTAAGTCAAAGCCCTCTGCGATTCCCTCGCGTTATGGCACGAACTAATGCCTTCTAGAATTGGATCAAAGCTGAAGCCCATGACCATCCAAAATTCCGTACAATTGCGGCAAGATATGGGCAAACGATGCATCAGATTAACATGCGAATGGCCGTGACGCTTCTTCGAGATGCAGCAGCCGAAAAAAGAGCGAGGGAACGGGCCGAGGCTCCTACGGTCAAGACTGAGGAGCAGATGCGCCATGATGAAGAGAAACACAAGGGAGTGAATGCTTCACAAAGTGTATGGAAACGGAAATTCCGACCTCTTTCCGAAAGCAAGGCAGTCGACCTCTTCGCAGATGTTATTGGGGACTCGTTCATTCTACTTATTGCGAGTGGGTTGATCCTGTACGAAAGCATAAGAGCAAGATCCAAACCAGACGCAAACGCCGAAAAGATTACGCTTTTGGATGAGAAGTTGCAGGAATTAGACATAAGAGAGAGAGAGTTGGAAGAAGCAGAGAAAAAACAGGAAACCCGCGTTGAGATATTGGAGCAAGCTCTAGAAGAAATGAGAAAAGCTACTGGCAAGAAGAAGTTTCTTCAGCTAGCATCATAACTAGAGGAACGGACCAACTGTCTTCCTCTGCAGTGGTTTTGGGAGGATCGGAGGGATGAGAATCTCCCTTCCTTTTCGGCACATTTGTAAAAGGAGTTTGGGTGAACTGGATTCCCTCGGGTTGCGAATATTATATTCCCAAGCCTAATATTAGATGGGCCACTCGCTCCTCTATAGTGCCAGTCTCATCAAGTTGAGGGCACATCTAGATCTCTGCTCTATATATGTATATTCTACTCCGCAAGCAACAGTTCTACACTCTACAACATAGTTCAGCGCTCTCGCTTCCCCTATTTTGGGTGAGTGAACTTCCGTAACAGTCATCCCACTCGTCGGCGGTGGACTGCTGCAACAACTAACAACTCCCAACCCTCTCGAGACAACCCATCACTGAAATCATTTCTACATGTTTTGCGCATCATTACGGAAAAGAAAGGAGTGGGCTACTCTCCCATCAACTCTCCTTTCCATTCAGCAACCAAGATGGCAAGGTTAGTCTTCATTAACAGCACTTTTCTACGGAGACCTGATCTCCCATTAGAAAAGCAGCTTGAAACGCACGACCTTGCAATACCGCTCCCCAAATGCTATCAGGATAGTGACCAAGAAGTCTTCCGCATGCTCGTCCTTTCTCCATCTGATGTCCAGCCTCCCGCGAATCCAATGCCTCGAATCGAAAGGTTGTATCACCAGACAGGTGGTCGACAAGTTGGAATCATCTTCCTGCTACAGGAAAAGGCCTCGAGGGGAGGTGGATTTGTCGCATACATGAATCTGCAGGCCAGGTACTCCGTTACCTCCAACGTTAATCAGACCGCTGCTTATTGACTCGAATCAGTCTCTTTTCTGCATTCGAAATGCCCGTCATCCCTCTGTTTTTGCTCTCTTCCCTCCAGCATACCCTTGTAGCATTCTCTCGACAGCTCGTTCACGCCCGTATATCTCCACCAGCTCCCCATATCAATCCCGGAACTGCTCTACTGCCGTACTGCACCCTCAACCCACCTATTCCAGAGCATCCCAGGAATGTACTCAGCGAAGCATGCCACAGCTTGTCTGAATTATCCCAGGCGGCGACAACGCGAGAAGGGCGGGCGGCACTTCGTGATCTGGTAGCAGAGCCAACAGGTGCTATTGCAGAGGATATCTTCGGGTTCTGGGAGCAGGAGTTCATTGCAGAATGAATGGCGGCATTGACAGGAGTTGGCCCTCGGGGGAACGAGCAAGCGGTGAAACGATATTTAATATGGGGATTCCGATACAGATACCTACCTACCCAGGTACATATCTGGCATTGATAGTTAACAGATACCAATGATTGATATTATCGCCCAGGGGCATATAGAAGCAGCCAGCAGCTTTGCAAGCGGTCTACTCCGTGATATAGCCCCTTCGACGAGGTTCTTTGAAGCTCCAGGCTGGAGTATCCATTCCTTGGCCGTTACAACCCCGCAAGCCAGAACCAATGACGTATTTGGGCGCTGTAACAGCAACGTAATCCAATCAATAAAGCAGCCTGGGCAGCCATGGCACGCTGCTAAGCATACCAGCTAAACAGCCGAAAGCGGCAGAATGGGCATGCTGCTTTGCGCCACGCCCCCTTCGGTACGCCTGCCCCCTATCGATGACGTCGTGCTTGCGCTTCGTGGAGGGACAATGCTGGCGGGGGACACATCGGATCATGTTCCCTTCCTCCCTACAGCTACATCCACCTCAAACTATAAAACCACGACACTTCCCCCTCCTGATAACCTCCAATCCATATACACACTCTCCACAAACAACAACACCACAATCCATCTCACAACTTACACAAAACTATTCAGCCCACCACTCACCTCAAACTACTCCTCTACCAAAACAACAGCAACCATGGCACGCGGAGAAGCAGTCAAGACCAGATGCCAATACCAGGGCGAGCACGACAACTTTGTCGTCTTCGTTGATAGACCCGACCTCGCGAACGATTGGAAGACTGACAAGTCCATTCCTCTCACCCACATCGTGAGCACATTCAAGGTCTTCATCACACACAAGTACGTTTCACTGTCTTTTTTACCCCGCACGGTCTTGGCTTGCTCACCAAGCTTTCATCGTATTGGAAGCATGTCCATTATACGGAACAAGTTCGCTGATGCTAACTTTGATATCCAGGTCAGGAGCGCAAGGCGGATATGACGGTGCCTCAAATGCCACCCTTGAGAACGAGTTTGGCACCCACAACGAGGACGAGGTCATCAAGCAAATCTTAGAGAAGGGCAACATGCAAGAATTTGAGGTTGGTCTCCCCCCAAATACTTTCCACATACTGGCATCGCACATACTAATCCTCTACACAGTTCCCAGAGAGACAAGGTGGCACCAACGACAGCAACGGCCTACCAACCCGTTTCTAAGCGGTTTCTCACCTCTTTTCCTGTCTATTGACTGGGACGGCCATGTTGCACCGGCAAGGAATTGCTCAATAGATCAGATGATTTGCATAATTGCGGCTGAGGCCGGGCAATATGCTAGGAGATCTCCCACGGGCTCACTGCTGGAGGTGAAGCCCTTGATGGTGGGATTATATGCTATGGTCTAGCATATGATGGAGGCTGGCTGCTACGTTTAGCTATCATAAATCCTCCTGTATAAAACAAACAAACAAATTCCTCAAGTAAAAAAAAAACATTTGAAACATCAGTCGCCCATTTAACAAAGTTCCAGTGACAAAATGCAATTTGATTATCATATGCAACGGCAAGGCAGCCTTGCTTGGCCGGAATGCAGGTGTTCTACTCGTTCCTATTCCTTTCGTTCAAGTTCCCTCCCCGCCCTGCCTTTCCCTTTCTGCCACAGCTCCCCAATTTCTAACGAAAGGAGGGCGAAATGCCAAAATTGTCACAAGCACTATTCTCATTCATCCTTGCTTCGTCCCCATCCCTCCATCCCCTCAGTTTTCGTATCCTCCTTAGAAGCCCTGGGGGCCTTTACTTCCCATCTCATCGAAGGCCCTTGGCCCAACCGTTATATTCCATACCCCGTAGATATAATACCTCGTTTGTTAAAATTTCAATAGCTCCCGTTCCGAGCTATTGAGCAGCAGTAGGGGCGGATGGTGATGAAGCTTAATTGCTGGAACTAGGAATCTATTGGTCACTTTGAGACATGCAGTTGTTGGCGCTATCAGGGATGCTCGAGGAGGGCAAACGTTGAGAACAACGTATAAGTCATTCTTCAGATGCACGGAAAACCGAATGCAAGCGTGTACAAAGCAGCATTGTGACAAGTCCAACTAGGAGAAGGAATCAAAAGCCCCGCCGCGTGAAACGTAAATCTGCGGAAGTATCATAAAATATTTGCAGTATTCCCAGGTATAAACAAGAGGAAGGAGTAGGGATACGGACAACCTATCAATGGCCGTTAATTTACCCCAACTCTCAATGCTCAAAATGTCCCATCACCCCCACGGACTTGAGAAGGCTGCTTCCCTACTATTCGTAGCCCATCCTATAAATACCCCACTCGTTCTAGAACTCCACAATGCATACTCCGTACAAAGTATATACCCTCTTCCAAGAAACGGAAGCCCGGAAATTAAGATACTTATCGCAACGAGATTAATGGCGGTCATGGCTGCTTACAAGGTGGGTTACACCCGCATGCATCTCATTTCCCGTTTACGAGAGGCGAATGCAGCCGGCTTCCATGTTTCTCGAAGGGTAGTATCTTCTTGCGTTAAGGCGGTTAAATTCGGGGTATGGGTTTTAGGAGGTGGAGATGGGGGGTGGGGGTTGATGGTAGCTTTACCATAAGGGCACTTTTATACGAAGTACATAGTAATATATGTATAAACATGCTATTCTAACCATAGCCTCAATAAACGATTCACAATCAAGATGGCCCATAGACTAATAGATGTTGATATTTGTATTTGATACTATCAATAATGGGTTATTTGCACAATGGTCCTGGTGTACAAAGATATAGCGACAAAAGAAATTTCTGTATATACATGTCGATAGACAAATGGGGTATCCGAAAGTATTAAAAAATAAGTTAGACGCCAGCCCAATGCATGCATGCTTTCTTTCCCGTGGGCGGGGGGAATTTATCTTTCTTTCTCTCTTTCTCTCTTTCCAATACATCCATCTTCCTTCCCAATGAAGGCTTTAGTGTAACCAATAAGTAAATATTAATACAGATACGACCTGGAGGACGGCGGTTGGTTTAGAACCGATGGGAGTAGCTCTTGCTCCAGCATTCTTCTTGGACGTAGGAGTTGCTGCGCCGACAGTCACAGTCCCGACGACCAGAATGCCTGATCCGCCAGGTTCCAGACTCACGACATCGCCACCGATGGTTATGCGGCCACCAGCAGTGAGTGTTTGTCCTGCGATGACGATGCTGTTGACAGATTGTTTAGTGATGGTGGCAAGAGTGCTAGTAGAGAGCCCAGTAGCAACTCCATTTATGGTTGGCGTTGGATCACCGGGTATAGGAAGCGTGATTATTTGGCCATCGGTGGTGATGGCTCCGCCGGGGTAAAGAGTTTGTGATCCAATTACAAACCCGCCATTGGAGTTTGCGGTTATGCTTGATCCGCCAACGACTACTACCGCGGGGAGAGCACTTGTACGGGTGACAAAAGGTGTGGCACGAGCCGGGTTGATGACCACTGCACCTCCTGAAGAAGCCAGAGATACCTCCTGTCCGTCGACCGTAATGGCGGATCCTGGACGGAGGGTTTGGGAGCCAAAAACAAGGCCGTCGGAGGGGCCTTTAGTTATGGTTTCAGATCCAAATAGAACGGGGGCTGGTGGCAGCGGGGTGGGCGTGGGAGGCGGGGCGACCTCTGACGAGGCACTAGACGGTGGAAGTTGCGAAGCCCCTCCATCTGAAGGCTTAGGATTATTTGTTGGCACATCAGTAGGTTGAGGAGGTAGCTGTGATACTTCGCCCGCCGAGGAACCGGGAACAGGTTTTGATGGGGCATCGGGGGACGAGGGGCCCGGCGGGGCAGACTCAACTTCAGTAACAGGAGGCACTACAGTAGTATCTACTGGGGGGGTGACTTGCGGCGGCAGTTGTGTAGGTTGGTTCCCATCCCCAGGCACTTGTGTAGGTTGCTGCCCATCCCCAGGTACTTGTGTAAGTTGCTGCCCGTCCCCAGGTACTTGTGTAGGTTGCTGCCCATCCCCAGGCACTTGTGTAGGTTGCTGCCCGTCCCCAGGCACTTGTGTAGGTTGCTGTCCATTTCCAGGTACTTGTGTAGGTTGCTGCCCGTCCCCAGGTACTTGTGTAGGTTGCTGTCCATTTCCAGGTTCTTGGGTAAGTTGCTGGCCATTCCCAGGCTGCTGGCCATTCCCAGGTTCTTGTGTAGGTTGCTGGCCATTCCCAGGCTGCTGGCCATTACCAGGTTCTTGGGTAGGTTGCTGCCCTTCTCCAGGTAGCTGTGTTGGTTGAGCTGGGAGAGTAGGAACGGTAATAGGCAACCCAGGAAGGTCCGTAGGAAGTGTAACAGGGAGTCCAGGAAGTTCCGTGGGAAGACTAATAGGGAGCCCAGGAATCTTCGTCGGAGGAGTAACGGGGGGCAAAGGATCACCGGTAGGAGGAGTAAAAGGGGGCCGCCCAGGGAGCTTGGTCGTAACCGGTAGAGGGTTCGCCGGGACTTCTGGAATACTAGTGGGAATAATAATAATAGGACCTGTTGGGACATCAGGCGGGTTTCCTTCCCCCTGAGACTGCCCAGGCTTCGGTGGGTTTCCATTGTCTGATTTCGTAGGCTGTGCTCCTTGTGATTTGGAGGCCGTATGGGAATCGGCTGGTTGTGTCGGTACGGGTTGGGTCTCTTGCGGAGGCGTGGGGTGATCATCTTTGGACGTCGGGTCCGGATTCGGATCGACGTTTGGTTTTGAGGCCGTGGGCTTTCCTTGCTCTCCCGTTGGAACGACAACAACTTCAGTCTCCGAGTCGGTTTTCTTGGCGGTTGGTAATGGGTCACTTGGGGTTGGCGGGGCGGATGTTGGTTTAGTAGAAGAGTCTTTCTTTGCGGTTCCTACGTCCTGAGGAGTGGTGATGTCAGGCGAGGTTGGAGAGGCTGGTTTATCAGTTAGATTTGTAAGAGTACTAATTGATCACCATGAAAGGCCATTAGAGCTTAGAGAAAGAGGCTTACGCTTTGCTGGTTTAGGTTTTGAAGGGTCCGCTGGTTTGACGGCCGCTGATGATGTAGATAACAGTGCTGATTTAGACGGGTCCACTGGGTCGACGACCGCTCCTCGATTAGGGGACTCGGCCGTTGGTTTTGAAGCATCTGCTGGCTTGGTGGTTGAGGGCTCTGCTGGTTCGGTGGGAGACGGCTCTGCTGGGTTGACGGCCGCTGCTTGATTAGGGGAGTCGGCCGTTGGTTTGGAAGCATCTCCTAGTTTGGTCTTTGAGGGCTCTGCTGGATTGACGGCAGCGGCTCGATTAGGGGCCGTCGGTTTTGAAGCATCTGCTGGTTTGGTGTTCGAGGGCTCTGCTGGTTTGGTCTTTGAGGGCTCTGCTGGTTTGGTGGGAGATGGCTCTTCTGGGTTGACGACCGCTGCTTGATTGGGGGAGGCAACCGATGGTTTTGAGGCATCTGCTACTTTGGTGTTTGAGGGCTCAGCTGCTTTGGCGTTTGCTGCTGGCGCTTCCTTGGTGGGAGTCGGCTCTACTACATTGACATTTACGGCCACGGCCACCTCCACCTTTACTTTCTTGGTTGTTGAGGGCTCCGCTGGTTTGGGAGTGGCCGGTTGGTTGGGCTTGTTGTTAACAGGCTCGGCCGCTGTGGTTACAGCTTTGGGCTCCTCCAGCGTGCTCTCAATAGTGACGGTTTGTTTGCAATCGGCACCACCTACTGGCGCCTTAAGCTTGCCATTCACCGAGACCACTGTAGCCGTACAATCCGGAGAGGCTACGGCCTCAACAGCTGCCGGCACGGTCCCATTCGCATCTCTGATCCCCATCCTCATGTCCTCCATGACTCTGGCCCCCAATAAAACATCTTGAAATATATGTAAGCGTTTCACGTGCGCGTATAAAAGGGTGGGATGGCGACTAACCCTCACTAAGTGAGCCTTCCGCAACTGCGGTAGGAATGAGAGCCACTACTCCCAGTGCGAGACTGGCCAGGAAATACATATTGAACGAGATGTGGAGTTGCGACTCAACTCAACTCGCCCATCGAGGTACCTGCGATACTACAAATACGCACGGAACGAAAACAGACGGCGAAAGAACGAAAGGAAGGAAGCTTGGAGGGAGCAGGTGACATTTCTATAATATCGTGCAGTAAGTAGTGCCAGGGAGTACACACTGAGCACTGTACTGCGCCATCACCGAGCCTTAGGATAAAGGAAGATAGCAGGCCAGGGGAGCAGATCCATACCGTACCATAGCTCTAGCCACATGGGACAGGGGAGAACTGATCGAACCCTCTGCGAAGTAACAGTAATATACATTGTACGAGCACGTAGTAGTGTCAAATTTAAAAAGTGCGAGCAGGGTTGGAGGGGCAGTAGTCTAGATGCACCACTGCCCGCTCGCTGATCATCCAGTTGCAGTCGCAGTCGCAGTTGCAAGCTGGGGAAGCTTGGATTCTTCGCAGCGATCGCGAGCAACATTGGCCAAACCGTCCCGAGCCAACGGGCAGCCGCCGACCATTGTTGGAATTGGAACGGGTAATTGATGGTGTGCGCAGCAGCAAACACAACTGTGGTTTTCCCAGATTCGGCACCAACACAGTCAGGCACGTACTGTACTCCTCGTCCTGTACGGGCAGTACACAGACACCAACACGACTGTAACTGTCGACTCCCAAAATAACCAAGGATGGGATACATCGTGCAGGAGAAGGAATCCTTCAGAGCGCTGGGGCGAGTGACCGACGGTGTCTTGTCGTGGGCAGAGGCCAATCGCAGCAGACAGAGCCAACAGAAAGCGTGGCGGAGCGACGCGGGCACCAGCGAGGATGGGATTAGCGATGTTATTCTTGCAACCAGCGCCGTGCGCCAGTACCAAGAAGTGCAACCCTCCGTGTTGTTCACAGCCCCGGGGAGTATTTTTGGGGTTGGCCGAGGAGGGGGCGAGAGCACTAATAACTAACACTGGTATTGTATGACCCGTACTGGACTTCGATCGCGGCATTACAGTATTGTGCTTATCCCATCAACGGCGTCCATCTCCGCTGGATAAGCCTTTTGTCAGTCTCAGGTGCTTGGTACAGGGTACCCAGCATGAATAATTGACACATACAAGCCTCAACCCAACTCCCATTCCTCTCACAATGGGCTCCATGGATACTTCGTAATGATGCGATGTTTCCGCGGGGAGATGAGGATGCGCGAGATAAACTGTGCCGCGAGGGATCGTCGCAACCACTGCAGCCAGCCAACGCCAACGCCAATATCTACTTTGTACAACTACAGAGTACTGTACTACTGTACTTCCTACGACGTGCTGTACTGATACGGCCTGGCGGGGGAATAGGCAACTCCATTTGCCTACCTAGGCAAGGTACGAACGAAGTGCTGTAGGCACATATCCACCTACCTACGGAGTACAGTCAGTACCTACGAGTAGGGTAGCCTTGGTACTACGTACGTACTTCGTAGGTGCATTGGTTTGAACAGTGTCTGGCAATGCCTAACGACACCTACGGAGTATGCGACATCCAGAGCATCAGATCAACACACGATATCTTAAAAAGAGAAGAGCGAACCAGCAAATCAAATACACCCACTACCCTTTACTTAGCTAAGCTAAGCGTGCTGAAGAGCGTATAATGTTGATAACGTGAATGGCATTATGGCATTATAGCATTATAGCCTGCCGCTGAGTCAGGGTGGTGCGGGTACTACACCCGGTGCCGTTTCGTATACGATTACTCGGAGGAGGAAAATGCCAATCTGCCAATATACGAGGCCATCCATCCGCTAAAGGATGCGGCTGCTTCACGGAGGAAGATACCAAGGATACCAAGGTAATTCTCGACTATGAAGTATTCCATATTTCCTATATACGGAGTACTACTACGCCTTTTCAGCTCCACTACTCCAGTACTCTGAACGAGAATAACTTGAAGGAGCTACATGGTGCTACGGACTTGCCAGAAAGAGCTTGGAAGCCGTTTACGACGCATCACAGAGTAGCGCCACTCTGTCCTCCAGCCCTGGTGTTGACGACACATGTTACCCTTTGCCAGTCTCCCAAGCAGCTATAGCCGTTGCAGAGCCTGTCGGACACGTGTGTTGCTGGCTTGTCCGCGAGGATCCATGGCTCTTGAGACCCCCAATTTACTTCGAACCATGCAACGCCATGTTGACCGCCCGCGCGGCTGTAGACAGACAGACAGCCCCCCCAAATCACCCCAGGAGACCTCAATTATGCACCGAGTCCAGCCAGGTGGCGCGTCTAGGGCCCTAACCCACATTAAGGCTCCCTGACTCCAGTCAGATTCGTATGAAGGAGCAATACTAGTTTCAGTTTGTGCATATTCCTCACCCAGATTTCCCGATTTGGCCGCCCTATCGAAACCATGTGGCGAGGCTGCCAAGCTCCCCCGAGGATTTCCTTGACATACATGGCAGCCTTAAGTATGGCTGTTTGCCTTTTGCATTCGGTCTTCCCTCAGTGATTGCAAAATGGTAGCCTAGATGCCTCCCTCGACCTCAATGATTGCAGTTGCAAAATGATCTCCTGGGGCCCGTTGCCGGTGTTCATGGTATTACGCCTTGTAGGCCTTGCCAGTGGGTTACTAGCAGCTACCAGCAGCCCTTCATCGTCCCTCGCAGTCCGGGCAGTGGGACCTCCGCCTCTAGTGATCCCTCCTAGCCAGCTTTGGTACGTGCAAATCATTTCCTAACATTTCGTGGAGGATTCAACTAACAAATATCGTGTTATACAGGGAAGGGAATGACGGTGCTTGGTCGACTTTCTGGCTCAGTGTTGGAACACCGCCTCAAAATGTTAGAGTGCTCGCCTCGACGGCCAGCAATCAACCTTGGGTGATATTGTCCGAAGGCTGTTTTTCCAACGATCCCTCGGATTGTGACCACAGCCGTGGGGGCATCTTTCAAACAAACGCCTCGCGTTCGTGGTATGTCCCATCATGGTAAGTAAACAAACTGTTTTATTTCTAAGTATGTCTATGTTGGGATAACGAAACATATCGAGGGTCTGTCTTGAGACATTTTGATATCCCACTGTTTGCGATAACCCAGTAGTGTTTGCCCGTCTAGTTAGAGATACCTGATCACATGTTTTATATCAACCATTTCATGAACGAAACTAACTTCCTCGCTCAGGATCAAGAACAAAACATCAGCTGTTTTTACCGTGGCCATTGAATCGAATCTTGGGCTCACGGGAAATGCCCAATATGGCTACGATAATGTCTCACTGGGTGCCAACAGTGGAACTCCCTCCTTGAGTAATCAGGTTGTAGGAGGCATTGCAACGAAGGAGTTTTTTATGGGATTGTTCGGTTTAAACCCAGCGGCTACAAGCTTCTCCACCAATAACGAACCGGTTCCAAGTTACATGTCCTCTCTGAAGACTCAGAATATCATCCCATCGCTTTCTTATGGATACACTGCTGGGAACAAAAACCGCAATGATAAAAATTTTGGGAGTCTCACGCTAGGGGGTTACGATGCTTCGCTATTTGAGCCCAATCCACTTACTGTTGTATTCAACTCTCATGCCGCCTCAGATCTTACGATAAATGTCAACCACATCGCAACATCATCTAAAGACGGGACTCGGGCATTGAGCATATCTCCTTTCTCAGCCTTGATTGATTCGACTATCTCACATATGTACCTTCCAGTTGAGGTCTGCAAGCAATTTGAGGATGCCTTCGGGATCGTTTACGATGAAGCTAGTGGGCTCTATCTCGTCAACGACACTTTACACACCCAGCTTTTATCTCAGTCACCCACCGTGACTTTTACCTTAACTAACTCGACGTCAAAGGTGATGGTGGATATTGCCCTTCCATACTCAGCCTTCGATCTGTCCGTCCATTGGCCTGTAGCTCAAAACACCACGCGGTACTTTCCCCTGAAACGAGCTGCGAATAATACCCAAACCACACTTGGCCGCACTTTTCTCCAAGAAGCGTAAGTTAATTTCCATTCCGCGCAAAAACCAAGGCTAATATCTTTAGATATCTTATTGCAGACTACGAACGCTCAACCTTCTCCATACACCAACGGAAATGGGATGACAACGCCCAACCGAATATACAAGCCATCATGCCACAATCTGCCGATTCCGGCATAGTCCCAGATAAAAAGAACCCTGTAAACATTGCGGCGGTCGTGGCTGGTTCTATAGGTGGGTTTGTGTTGATCACAATTATTGTTGGCGCTGTGTTTATGCTCCGTCGGAGAAGTCAACAACGGAAAGCCAGCCAGGCTAGTACGGGTACTTCTAGCTCAATGCCACCCGGGAAGACTCTTTTGCCCTCGGTGGCATATTCGACATCCCCATCGGCGGCATATCCGGTGTCTCCCTCACTGGCATCGCGAGCCACTGCGCCTGGCCGGCCTCGCTCCGTGTCATTCTACGGGGAGGACCACCTTGCTACAGACGCGATACTGAGGAGTTCCGGGCCAAATGCCGGGCCAGTTCATTCTGGAAGTGTAGCATCCAGCTCAGTGCGTTACCCGAACAGCGACTACGACGCGCAAACAACACGCACGAGGAGTCCAGAGCTCGAAGGTTACCCAGGCCCATATCGCAGCATGGCATCCAGCCCAGTGTATTATCCCAGTGATTACGATGCACAAGTCATGCGTACCAGGAGCCCGGAGCTCGAAGGTTCACCAACGCAGCACCATGCCAATATCGGAGCTAGCTCGACCCGGAACTTGAGCGTACGCGATATACAAAGGAATAATACAAGGAGCCCAGAGTTAGAGGGTTCCCCAGTTACTCCAATTGCGGCAACCAATCAATTACCGGCGCAGGGTAGAATTCCTGGGTCAGAGGAACTGGATGTGGTCCATGAGCTTCCTGCCCGAGAGAATGTTGACCGAGGGCTTCTAGATGATAGCAAGAAGCCAGCATGGATATGAGCTTCCTGATCCGGAAATCAATATACGATCGTATTCGAGAGATCTAGAACACCAAGACTTTCCCAGGGGCCTTACTCTGTAGAACGATGGTATTAGCTCGGGACGACGCCGAGAGCCCCTCTTGAGAGCGCAATCATCCGGTTACAGAAGGGGAATCTCAGGACTGGCCATTTCTGAAACCTCACCCATCCATGTGGCAAGATAATTCCTTCTTCGCGGCCTTCTCGGCCATCAGGATCAGCTACCTAGTAGCGCTGCAGGAGGAATCCGCAGGATTGATCTCGCCAAGCATCCAAAGCAGATGACAAGTCCAACGACACAAATCCTTCCGTCTCGCAAAGCGACATCGAGCAACCGAGGTAAAAAGCACACCTTCCAGTATTTCTCAAATGCTTGACAATAAAGTATTACAACGTTTTTACATATTGCAACTCCCGAAGTATCAACTTCGTCGCGATACACGAAAGATTCCACATCGCGCCTGTTTCAGCGTTCGGATTGAAACTTGCCTACACCATCTCGCCAGGGTACGCGTAACTACGGAGGTACCGAAGGGAAAGCGGAAGCTAATGCACAACACTCTACCTTATTATCCGACGGTACCTCCAGCTTGCACATCCACGCACATAGCACGTTGGGGCTTGCCGACCTTCCGTACCCTTTGAGTACTGAGGGGGTATTATCCGGAATTACCCCGGCTGCAGCGGAAGGAAGGGCAGGAGGAGGACTGTATGCATAGATATACGAAGGGATCTCGGTGAAAGAGCTTCCTTTTTGGATGGAGATCTTTTGTGCTACAGCCTGACGGTGCGGGGTTTTGCAAGTGGATGTCGTTTGGAATATGTCCGGAGATGTTTTACTTTTCCAAGGCGTACTTCCAAGTTCTAAATATCCACCCGAGGAAAAGCAAATTGTACTCGAGTGGAATTATCACATTCCTTGCCAAATTTTCATTACAGTTCTTGTTCCTTGTTTACTTTCTGAAATAACGTGGATGGATAGATGGATGTAGTTGACTATATTTGTAATACCACCTAACATAGAGAATTCAACGAGCTATCTGGCTTGGGCGTTGGGTTTTGGTGTATACAATTACTTAGATATATGCATATATGTCAGAACCAATAGAAGGGAAAATAATTATAAACTTATTTCTAGACAGATACGCTGTTATTCTATGGATACATGTGAATTTGTTTGACTCTGTTATATACCCTGCCGGCGAGTCAGAATGCATATTGACCTTTCTTGTCAATTTCCTACTTTTATATCTAGGGAACCATCTATCCCTCAGAGATCAACCAAAGCAATTGTCTATCATTTGGTAGCTCGACGGCACGATTAACAGGGCCTTGTTGCTACCCAGGTGTAGCTTAGCTTTCAATCGCCTAGAAACTAGCCAATTTAGTTATCAACCTCTTCATTGCCAGCGCCCAAACTCCTCACTCAGCTAGGGGAAATAATAGCGATTCTATTTCCCACAGGACCCTTTAGCTAGTCATGCTTCATGCAGTAAATATGACGGGTTATTTTTAAGATTTTTACTATGAGCAGTTCCTTGAAAGTTAGGAGGGCCTGTTATTTTTAGGGCATTTTATGAGGTTGACGAGATCCATTAGTAAAAGAGGGTTCTCGCCCTAGGTTTATTTGTAAACCTATGTTTCCCCTCTCTATTATAACCCTATACCTGCCTCTACTTTGTCTTCTGGCAAGAAAGTTTCCTTTCTCTGAATGAATTAGTATTCACCTAGTATATTTATCAAACTGCCTAGGTCAACTTAAATTTTATAACCCATTTTGTTTAAAGCATAGATCTCTAAATACTATCCTACAACTTTCTAGCTCTTGTATTACTATCCTATGTAGCACATATCCTCACCCGCTTCCCTTGTATACATAGAGGGTTTATTTCCCGCTCCTCCCCACCCCTCCTACCAGCGTATTTCATACAGATTTTTGGGGATATAAACTTTATAGGAGCCGGGAGAAGTGGTTAAATTAACTACTGATACTAGAGCAAGCCTAATGTATTTATGTATATTTAAGTTTCTACCTCTTTAATTTAAAATGCATATGGTATATTATTAACAGATTTTCGTTTGGACTTAAAAACGAGATATTGGTATCTCACGCTCTCGATATATAAATAGGCTTCTTAAAACCTATCTGTTTAGTTTTTTATAAATATTTAACAATCGAATGGGGCCTTAAGTTCAGCTCTAACACTCTGATTAGAATAGGGAGATAAATTTTTACTCCGGAACTTACCCTGTGATGGTTTCTTTCTGAGTAATAATGAAGCAAATGGGACCATTAAAGTCGTTCGTTCTAGGTTATATGCAAGCTTTTAATGGTGGGTGCCCCTGGGTTCGAAGAATCGTGCCTAGTTATTTATTTTAACAAGTCACTTGAATTACGTATATAACACTTGTTCAGTTTAGATGTGTCATCTATTCAATTTTTTGGGACATATCGAGGAAAGAAGGTGGGTGGGTGATTCATGGTTATTCTATGAAGAAGATATCATGGTTGTTGTAATGGCTCCTGGGTGGTGGAAGGATGTTAAGATAAATAATGTGTCCATGGAGTTAAGATAGCTAGCAAGCTGTAGGTCCAAGAGAAAAATACTCATTAGCAATATTTGGCTAGATAGGAAACACTTGTCTACCTAGAAATAAGCACTGTGTACACTAAGAATTAAGCTACATCTAGCATGCTCGCTCTTCCCCTAGCTAATAAAAAGACCGCCACCCAACGCCTCTTTTCTCTTGCATGTATAAGATGTGTTTCTTCGAGGAAAATAAAATCCCTTATACAAGAAAGTGTCATATATGATAACCGCATTCGATAAAACCAAGAGTATGGGTAAAGAGAACAAGCCAACTCATACGCTATCCTAATAACTTAGTCTTGATTTTGATTTCGTTGTGTAAATCAGTAAAATTTCCACACTATAGTAGAACCTCCATATCGATACTAGTCATATTAATAACTCCTCTGTAACGATACTCCCGGTCCCGAGTGTATTGATATATTGAGGTTCTACTATATCTCGTTTATCCTTGAAACTTTCGTCCTGTAACAACGCTGTAAAAGGAAAAACAACTTATTCGACTACCATACAGTAGCAGCGGACACCTCTTCGTCCTATCCCGCCACGACAAAACATTAGCTGGGTAGTTTCTTACTCGCCGCTCTCTCCAGTCTTCAGTATCTGTTTGTTTTGTTACATTATGTGCATGTAGTTGTTCGGCAAGACATGGCAACGAGGGGGTAGGAAATGACAAAGATAATGATAAACATTTAGTAGATATGGTGCCGTAGGAATGACGTAGAATAGCATAAATTCAAATTTTATAGGGGGTTGGTGGAGGCAAGGAAGTTTAGAGATAGGGAGGGAGATGGAACACTCATAGATAAGTAGTATAAAATTTCAAATGAAATGTTTGCCTGAGGGACATTAGGAAGTATACATGGATCTAGAGTCAGGAGAAGGTTGAATCAGGAGAAATACTCGACGGGTTTGGATAGCACTAGATAGCTGCTGGCAGGTGCTGGAAATGAAGAGCATTTATAGGCGTAATATCTGGTGCCTGGGGGGAATCTGAGACCTACCTAGATGTCTCAAATACCAAGCCTAAACTAGGGAAGAATGGCCAACAACGTGACGAGCCAAATTAAAGCATCTCAAACAAGAGTTTCCATTGTTGACCAGGTTTTTGCGCCACAGATAGAGATACAGCGCAGGGTCAACGGTGTGGTCCCAAACCAAAGCCCTTCCAAGCCACTGTAATCGTACAAATCGCCTTGCCTTTACTCCACCATCTCAATATCATCTTCGCCGCCTGCGGGGGCCCCAGCAGCAGCAGCTTCACTGCCGTTCTGCTTTTCGCCGCCGCCTCCGAAATAATCCTCCATCTCAGCATCGAGCTGTTCTTGCGTCTTCTTGGGTCTGCCATCTCTAGCAATTCGTTCACCGCCTCCACCTCCACCACGGCCGCCACGTCTCTCTCCTCGCTCTCTCCTAGCACCAGGTCGTCTCCCATCTCTTCGGCGGGGCTGAGGGCTGCGAGACCGGGTACCACGGCCTGGCACATATCGGTCGACATTGCTTGGAGCCGGTCCACTGACATCGGAATGGCGGACAGGCGAATCGGATCGGCTTCTGCCTGGTGGCATTGTGATACGATCTGCCAATGAACGGCCAGGGACAACGACCGAGTTGAAGGGGTTTCGGCGGCCAGCGGATGGACCTGAGGGAATGGAGATGAGACGAATTGGTTGACCTAGGAGATATTAGAGAGATACGATATACTTTCATGATTGTCCTACCCTTTGCATTTGCACCATCAAATTCTCGAATAGCCCGCTTTGCATCCTGAGGGTTTTCATAGGTCACATAAGCTATGCCCTCAGATCGGCCAGCGCGGTCGTACACAAGTGATAACTTGAGGACGGTGCCAATTCGATTGAAAAGATCCTGCGCACAACATAAGAATCCATGTACAACCAGCTACTGGAGGGTATTTCATACATCTAAATCATCCTCCGTCAAATCATAATGTAAATTTTCGACAAGGAGCTTCGCGCTTGGTTCGCTGGAATGAGGTTAGCTTCATGAATGTGAAGCTCGAGAGGATTGTCATACGAGGATCGTTCAGGAGTATAACGCCTTTCGACGCGAGCTGGTCGGCGCCCCGCTGGGTAGATATGAGCGTAATATTCCAGGTAGCAAAGTGGCTTTGCATACAGTTATCGTCGAACTTATCGTGAACCCACTCGCTGAAGCCAATTAGCAGCTTTCCAAATATATAGCGGGCTGGGGAGAACATACGAGTCCATGTTTCTACTATCATCTCGGATGGACTGTGCGAAAACAAAGAGGTGCCTGGGTTAGCTGATGTGTTCAATTTATGTACTTTCCTGGACCGCCTGGGAGAGCGTCGAACGCGGTGGATCTGACTGCAACAAGGCCCATGGAAGTTTCGGAGAACAATTATATATATGAGGAAGGAGGAGGAAAAGGTGTATGAACCTGTCGAGTCGCAGCATGTTAGCATGTAAACAAATGCGCCTCGGGATAGATTGACCTGACCTTTCTTACGCCGTCACGAGGGTATTCATTGCGGTCATTCCTGCTAGGGCCACGGCGTCCTCGAGTTCGTCCACCTCTCTGCAAAGGGCGTCAGCTGCTTGATCCTCTCAAGAACGATTGCGAGGCTGAAGAGCGGGAGCTGGCTAGAAGGAGCCTTACGTGACGTTCTGACACGATCTCGTCGAGTGCGCGGTCCATCTTGCGGTAGTAGTGGATTGAGGGATGTAGCTAGGAGTGGTAAATTGACGTCAGATAGTTGTGAAAGGGTGTTGATGGAAGTATCAAGGATTGATGCGTTCAAGTCGTATTTTGGTTCTGGTGCCTGAGTCGGGTCTGACCTCGATTAAGTCCCGCCTGAGGGTCCGCAAATGCACGTGACACGCCCTCGACATACCTACCTTAGGTAGGGACGTGGTTCAGGGGTTGAGGTAAGTGGTACTGTAGCAACTTCACGGTTGTCATTTAATTAGTTGATATAGCATATACACTTTACCTTAAAGAATTTGGTGGTATATTATTACTACAAGTTTAGTCTATACTACAGCGAATGGTACAGAGCATCCAGCGGCCATACCCCCCTGATTGCTCGTAATCCTAGGGTGTATTTGAGCACCCAACAGCTATTATACAAGTCTCGCGTTTCCAATGGCCTCGAATCCTAAAGCTGTAGAGCCATTGACGTAATTTTCTAAGTTTGGCCCTGCCAGCTCATCGGCAGTACAGGCATACATGGGCAACAGTCCCCCAGTATAGTTGAATCCCCATTGTCTTCCAGCTAAGACTTCTCAACGGTCTCCTGTTTCCCTAGCATACTTTCGGTGGGATGCGCTGGGGGAAAAGCTGATGCGGTACCCGAATAGAAGAACGAGTACGGGAGGTCGACCTTCGTCTCGTACGGCTCCTTGTTTTCTCGATCCTTGTGGATATATAAACCGGCCTGTGAAACACATCCGAAATGGCCCCCTTGGATTTCGATCGTATCGTTTGCATCATCGGATATCTCCATGGCTATTCCATCCACCGGGCTGGGAATTGTACCAACAACGACACTCCGAACGGACGGATCTGACCCGCTGACTTGAGTTCGTGTAATTTCATTGCTCCCAGGTTTGGTGGTAAAGAATTGGATGAAAGCTCCTGGCTCTGCTAAAATTCCGAGTGCTGAGGTTTGCTGTTCTTCCATAGTTCTATGTGAAAACTCTAGCGGTACGTGATTCTTGCCGTAGTATGTTGTTTGGGGATCCAACGAGAGCAGGCCCTGCTTGTTGCCCCAGCCACCACCTCCGCTTACTGTTATGATTAGCACAATGGCATTTGAGGACTATATCGCAAGAATAACGGATACATACAAACACGACAAAGTATATCGCCTCTAAGAATCCGTCGAGCAATGTAGATTGGATGTAATTGATCAACCTCGCCCCCATTCGTATGTTTTGTTACAGGAAAAGGTCCATTATATGAATCAACAGGCCCAGCCTCGGCAACATCCTTAGGAGTGATAAATGCCCAGACATAGCTCATCGGATTGGTCTTTATATAGGCGTGGACCGCACTTTCTAGTTCGCGAGATGCAGGTCCAATGCCGCCGGCACCAAAGTCAAGCTTGCGAATGATGTTGCCAAGCCCTTCCGTAATTCTTCTATTTGGGGTCAATGGAATAGCAGGAATAGACATCATCGTTTTGTCTTGGTGCATGCCATCAAAAACGTTAATGATCTGTCGGCGCTTATCTACGAATTTCACCTTGGTGAAGGAACCATCCGTAGCTCGCCATCTCGATGCCAGGAGGGTTGAATATTTCCCGGTCGTAAATAGGGTGTTGGCCAAAGGCACTGTGAGATCCATGGGATGCTTTTGTCCGCCCGAGAAAGTAAGGGTGGATAATTTTTCGTTACTCGGTGCCGATGAATCCTCTTTGTCCCAAAGGCCCGGAAGAATATCTTTTGATCGGCCGTGGAGAAAAGAAAGCCCTTGAGGTGGGGGGATCACTTGACTCACACTCGACGCAAGTTCGATAGAGGGAGCTAACCCATCGACACAAGCACAGAGTATATCAACCTCGATAGGGGCAACGCCTTGATTCTCCAACGGTCTGGTAATTTTCGCCAGAACATCCCGGATCAATTCATCATCTTCAAGCCATTCCACAAATTCGGGTGTCCCCAATATTACTAAAGCTTGAGGATTCCTCACGAATTCCGTCCATTTTGGCTTTGAAATGCGAAACGTTCGCTCTAAACCCTTTAAAATCTCAAGTCGGGCCTAGCGATTGTAAGCGGCGTTCACAAATGTAGCGGGACTACAATGAACACGAGCTTACTTGAGAACTGGATCTCGGTGCTATTATGGTGGTTTGAGAAGTAAGCTCAAAGCCTTGGGGCTTTGGTGATTGGGGATGGATCTGTCCGTGAGGTACAGCAGTCCTAGCTGAGTACAGGCGACATGTTGGCAGCCAGTGAGGGCGAATTGTTCCTCTGGCCGTCTTCAGGTGTAAGAAGCCTCTGGATGTCACAGATCTTGCAATCATCTCACCGGAGACACGTGTTGATGTTCCTACCTTACTGCTGCGGTTGACGCGTGTTTATCTCATCTCGGTCAAAATATGAAATTAGCGATGTCCTTCCTATCCGAGTAACTCGTATTCATTTGAGGCAGAGCCCCGAGTTTGGATCACGTGCTAAAGCGCCACGCAACAGCCAAGATACAATTCCAAAACAATGAAATTGAAATTCATAAAGTGCCAGGTTCATGGAGACGCCCGTGGAAATCATACATCGGCTTTACTTTAGTAGCTTGTATTGGTTGTCACCTATCGGCACTGGGTGGGTACCTGTTGATGATCAAGGCTTGAAGGATCTTATCATGCAGCCCATTAAGTGCGGTCGTCCTACATATTGTTTCAAGAATGTCTACAGACAAGTGTACAATGTACAGTTCATGTACCACGTATTTGCCTGCCCACCTATCACGGAACAAACACACTCTGTCTCACTTGCAATGATTGATGGAACAAACACCACGTTGGCTATTTCTCTTGGCTAGCTAAAGAATGATACCCGAAATCAACCCGAGCCACAGGATGAAGATCTTTTCTTTTTGAGCGGGAATGCCGATTCAAGCTGGCGATGTGGCTGATAACTAATAGCTGTAGGGATGCAGCCCGTCCAGCCTTCACCAATGAGATATGAATGTCGGGTCGAAGATGGCGAATCTCAAACCACGAGATTTGCTCTTTGTGGTTAGCAGCTTACGTGAGTCCTCTTTTCATACTTCGTACCTGTACTTTCATATCGGAGGGCCTACTACAATAGATGGCTCGCGCAGCATGATGCGCTAAAAGCCTAAACTGGCTCACTGGGTGTTAGGTTTGAAGCGCAGAGTGCAGAGAACTGGCAGTTGCTGTGGCGATGGCGATCCCGAAGTGTTGACTCGTTGACGGTTGAGGTCACGAACTTGTGGCACTTGTGCTACTCCGTACGTCCTCAAAAGACGGACTGACGGGGTTCTGCGGGTCCCGGAAAGTATCGAGAAGAACCATCAAACGGCACGGAGAGCAAGTGTATTTGAGCATCTCCACACTTCGTCATTTCTGAACGACTGTCAAATCTGGTAGGCGGCCGAGCTGAAAGGTGATCCTCGTTCGGGGCTCCACCCTTCGACTTTGCCACAGGCTAAGGGGCAGATAGGCAACATACCCCGTATAAATTTCCCTCCCCCCTGCCAGGGTCCCATAAACGGTGGGCAAATAGGGCAATCTTATCAATAGAAACCACCGATTTGGCACCAAGTGACCATTTGTTGCTATTATTGTCCCTTTGAAATGTGAGCATCGGGCAGTTGCCCCGCACTAAAATTGCACGGCAACGAGGCCCGAAGGGTTTGTTTCTTGCAATCGTGGGGGCTTGTGAATCGCGAAATGAAATCCCGACCAGAGAGGGAATTGCTTCTGCAAGATCGGTCAGGGGGTGGATGGGGATAAATTCAAAGAGAGGCAGATGCACGCCTTTCCCCTCGCTCGCGGGCGGGGGGAGGGGAAAGGGGAAGGAATTGAAGGGAAGGGAAGGGGGCAACATCGGAGAAGACTGCCGGCCGCCTCCCGCGGCTTGAGGGACTGGATTTGTAGCATTGTGCAGAGAGGCAAATGCATGCCCAGATATGCAACAGAGTAGCAACACCGTCGCAGCAGCACAGGAGGAGCACAGTAGCGCACTTCCACCTTGCAATTCCACCTTGCGGTTGTTGTGTGGAGAAGCCACTACTCATGATCTCCATACTTCGTCTCTCCCGTATCTCCCGTATCGACCATTCAGCGATCGTCTTGCGGTGGCGTTGGCGGTGATCCCACAGGGATATGCGGTGGCTCAGGAGTGTCATATCTCCTCGATGTTTCGAGTGTTCCCACTACGAAGATGAGATTGATTCCTTTGGCTCTAGACACGCAGATTAGCAAGGCGTGGTTGCGAGAAAGCAGAAGTGCAGTTGAAGTGTAGTGTCGTGTAGTCATCCTAGAAATATATATTTCGCAGGTAGGTAGTATCGGGACTTACCTAGCGTTTGCTATATTCCATATTGCGCTCGCATTATTATCCCTTATCAGACTCCTCGTGCGCTGAGTGAAATGATTGATTGAGGACGGAGTAGAGCGATTCCGCCTTGGTATGATGGCAGTTCGGCGTTAGCGCCCCCCCCAAGCGAAGAAACATTTGATGAACTGAGTGCACGCTAAGCGTATAAGACACACCGCAGCAAATTAGCGACAGTAGCGACAGGACCCGTGGTGCAGCGCTGCCCGGGCTGATCCTCCTCCTTCATCCACAAGTCCTCTCCAGCAACGTACTTGTACATCTATTATCTTTTTGGCTGCTTTTGGCCGCTGCCCTTCGTCTCTCTTCGCAAGAGAGTGGTCTGTTTTCCGGCCGTCCGTTCCCTACCCTACGCTCCTTTTTGATATTCACAAGGCTGCACAGCCATAGTCTCAGTCCGATCTCGTCGCCGTTGCGCTGTTAATCTCACCTCGCCCTGACTGCGAGAACCACCCTTCACCGAACCCGATCTTGAGAGAACGCCGACCACGACCACAACCACAACCACAACACGTACACAATACGCATACCCTCACGCAAGCGGAGCTAGTTTGCTATGCGGGCTGACTTGTCAGCTTTGTGTTGAACCAAAGATTTCTCTGCTAGGCTCACTTTACGCACCCGGCGCTGTGGGTGCCCAGGCAACGACTGGTCACCTTTCAACCCTCTCGCAATCCCACCACTCCGAACAATTGCCATTGTGGAATCCGATCCGCTTCAATTTCTTTAAACTCAGACCTTCATGCTATCGCTCTAGGCTGGATATCGAGGCTTGCCGTGCGCCGTTGGAACCATGGCCGCGACAAAATCCGAATGGCACCAAAGCCCTCCGACTAGCTCGAATCCGCTTGACCTTCGCCCTTCTACAGCTGAATCCATTGGACAATCATCGCCGGGACTACAGTCTCATCGCGCAAGCAATGGCCCTTTACCTCTTCCTTCCTTCGTTTTCCCTGCCAGAGCCGCGCCAACGTCGGCCCCGTCTTCGTTCTCGAGAGCCACAGGCAGACGCCCAATGTCCGCTATCGAGGTAAGAGGAAGAGGTCCTTCAGGACGATTAAATGGGGGTGACTCCGACGACGCTGGTACACCTGAGCTTCCTGCGTTTTCCTTCGGTGCGTCGACAAATAGTCCACCTCCTTCCCCTCGGTCCAGAACTATCCCCTCGAGACCTGGCCTCCACCAGAGAGGCACAAGCGAATTCATTGGAGGAGATGGAGCCAAAACTAGTTCAAATGGCCTCATGTCAACATCGCCCACCAAAGGTGACGGGGTACTGCCTCCACCGACTGGCTTTGGACCCCCAAAAGGGCGACGAGGACATAGGCACGTTCGATCAGCTGCTATTTCCGGCCACGACCTTTCTATGATCCTAAAGCCACCGACGAGCCCAGTTGCTATCCGAGGGAATTCCGCGCCCTGCTCCCCTGCAGGAGATCATGACCGGCAGCATTCTTCTTTTGCTGGGCCTGCCAACCCTACAATGCAGCCCGCGGAAGACGGATCCAATCTTGCAACGGCTACCGAAAGCAGCACAAGCACGGGAAGCACGCCACTAAAAGCACTAAACCGTGCTCGTGTTGGATTCTCAGACAATGTCGAATTCATCCCGCGCCCATTGTCCATAATCTCATCCGACAGCTCTTCGACCATCACTGCGAGACAAGGCCATTCTGTGACGAACAGTATGTCATCAATAATTTCAGCAGGCACTGCCTCGCCCTCTTCAAAAGACAAGCGTAGCATGCTGTCTAATAGTCGGACTATGATGGATAGTCGTCCGCGCACCGCAGAGCCAATCCTCGACCGAGAGTCTAAACAGGCTGATGATATTTCCACGCGCCGTAACTCCATCCCGCTGCTGATGGATGCTGTGGCACTGTCGGCCTCTGCTCCTTCTACCCCTCGATCAGCTAAGAAATGGACTTTCTTCGGCCACGATTCGAACTCTGGCGAATCATCCCCAAAGTCTCGCCCCACCAGCGCCGAATCTACAGGGAAGGAAGGCAAGCTGGCGAAGTTAGAGACTCTTGCAGACCCCGAAATCGCACTCTCCGACATACCAATTCAATCTATCGAGCCGTCCAATTCCCGGAGATCGTCAATTTCCAGGAAGCCGAGCAAGAAACAAAAGAAAGTCCGGACATGGGCAGGATCTATACTTTCACGGAAAACTCGCCAACGAAGCCAGAAGAAGTTGAATCGTCGATCACCTACCCCGCCGCACAGATCTTACGCATCGATGGACGATCCTTCAAATTCCGACGTCAACCAACCTGAACAACAATCTCCTAACCAAGAGCCTGATAATAATATTGCATCTTGGAAGCCACGAAAGTTTCCCCCCCAGGAAGAGGCCATGAGCCCTATGATTGATCTTGATGCTGCTCTAGGTCCTTTCAATACCCCATCGAGTTTTGGCGATGACTGGGAGGTGTCACAGAAAGGCAGTACCAAGAAGAGAGCGATGCATAGTGCTGCTGGTATTGGAGGATTTGCCGGCCCAGGAATGCACTATCATCGACGTGCGGAGAGCGCACCAGAATTTGAGAATCCTAGGTTTGGTCTTCATCGTCTGGGAAGTAGCTCGACAATGGCAATGGAGGATGTATTCGAAGAAGACGAAGAGGACGAGTGGGAAGATGCCAAAGCTTCATCGGATAAGGAGGATTCGGGTAACACTCTCGAAGATGATGATTATCCTGGATTGGGAATCGATATCAAAATTGAAGGCGCGGAGGATGTTGTTGCTGATAACGACATGGACATAGACCAGGACGACGTAAATTCCGCGAATCGTGGAGTAAAGCGAAAGGGCAGTAGCTTGAGTGAAGGGGATCGTCGCATCGCCAAATCTGAGCACTCAGCTATCTCAGTGATTGACGAACCAATCATGGAGGAATCAACTGACCCTGTAGAGATCATTGATGATTCTTCTTCTTCCAGGCCAGACTCTAGAGCACGATCCTCCGACTCGACGGCAACACCACCCTTCCAACCCGATCATGGAAAAGAACTTGCGCCTGTCGATATTCAGCCGTTTACCCTGCACCCACCATACCTCACACCTACAAGTCCGCGCTCCACGACCCAGTCCTCGCTCCCTTCGCCACGATCACCATTCTCATACGATACCCAACGAATCTCCACTGCTACATCTTCAATTACCGATGAACAGGGGTTCCAGTCGCTTCTGCTAGGAGAACCTGGCCCAGAAGTGAGGTACTCAGTTGATGATGTCCCATCTCTCACAAGCAGCAATTCAACTATGACCAGGGATAGTGGCTATCGGGGCGCCCACAACCCTCAATTTCGGGATGGACAGCGGTCAGCGTCGCTTTCATCTGCAGCTGTTAGTCGCAAACGATCAAGTATGGCAAGTTTATCTCGCTTGATTAGCAGTTCCCACGGGGAGAAGAGCAAACTTTCTATTGAATCTCGTCCTCCAACGACTGGCGAAATGGAAAAGAAAGAGAAAGCAAGCAAGAGCAAGCGAATCAGCCGCATGATGCAGTTCTGGAAGCCTAAGGAGACTTCCTGAATGTGTCAGCTTGACTACCAACCTCGCCACTCTACAATGTATCCGCTGTGTATCCTCTAGACTCTCTAGACTCTCTAGGGGGACCGAACATAGCGATGCGTTCTTGCCGCCCACATGCTGCTCTGTTACATTATGGGCAAATGTTTTTGACGCGCCTGTTTTCTGTTAAGGCCACCTCATCTCCAGTTCTCTCCAAGTTTTGCATTTGTTGCTACAGCGCCTGAGCGATTTTCTAGCATTGAGCAAATGGCTTTGCACAGAACAACGTCTACAGATTCGATGCGAGACCCAGCATATGCATCTCCACGTCGGTGGAATTTAGAAAGATTGTTGACTGCTAGAGCGATAAACCGTCTGGGGACGCATCTCACATTTTTAATGATACGATGGATTGTTTGCGCGGAACATAAGGGATGGATTAGCGTTTGATTTTTACTCCACATTGCATTAGCTACGCTCGCCCAAGTTAAACGAAGGGTTCCTAATACGGTTCACTTCGGTCTTATGGCTTGCGATGATAGGGAATGGGGGAAGTTGCATACTTGGCGCTGGTTCTTGCTCGTCCGGACTGTCTTTAAAGACTAGGGCAACGGGTTGATGTTCTCGAGCAAGAACCTGGACACTGTACACCAGGGACGCTCGCACATTGATGCTGATGCGAACATAATGAATATATCTTACATAAAATAATGTCTTGCAATTCGAGTTCTACCAGTGACCGATATACATCTAAATATAAGTCCGAATCTCTCCTCAGACGGGAGATATGACCTTGGGCAGGGTAAGGCAAAAGGTCCTACACATACCTCAGCGCTCGTACAGCCGGAAACATCTTCAAGCTAGACATCGAAGACGTTTCAATATAAAACATTTTCATTGTCTGGTAGCGTTAGATTCCAAAACTGGCACTTCACATGCCTTATCCCAACTGAACTATATCGGCGTAAGGTACCACAATTGTCATGGTGGGCCGGCAGTCGTCGCCTCGTCCGCAAGCCTCGGCAGAGCGAGTCCCATTCGTTATCAAAGCTCCAAGCCTCCAACTCCAAGCTCCGACTTCCTACCACCATCAACCACAACTTCTCAGGAACTCCAAGCCAGCATTCCCAGTTCCTTCCGTACCGTCCATAGTATTCCCTTCGAAGAACACGCATATCCTCCTTTTGCACTCTCCCTCGCCGTAAGAGCACACCCCACCAGTCCCTCAAACACAATGTCCAGCACATCATCGAAATCATCCTCCAGGGGAACGACACCCACAAAGCGGATACTCACCGAACTCTCAGCATTCTCCTCCTCGCCGCACCCCACAATCCAAGCTCTATCTCCAACGTCTCCCTCCAACGTGCTCTCCCTCCACGCAATCCTAATCGCCGACCCGTCCCTCTTAGGCTACGCCGGTGGGCGCTGGCTCCTCTCCATCTCCGTCCCACCTACATACCCCATCGCTCCGCCGGAGATAAAATTCGTCACGAGGGTGTGCCATCCGAATGTAAAGTGGGAGACGGGCGATATATGTCTGGATTTGCTGAAGGATGCTTGGACACCTGTTCTTGGGATTGTGGGCGCCCTGGAGGCTGTGGGGAGGTTGTTAGGGGAGCCCGGCGTGGATAGCCCCTTAAATGTGGAGGTTGCTGCGCTGGGCAGGCAGGGTGATAGTGTAGGTGTGAGGAGTTTGGTGGGGTACTTTACTGGTGAGAACCGATTTGCGGGGGAGTTGGTGGAGGGGAATGAGGGGAGATGACGACGATGTTGGTAGAAAGGGGGAAGGTATAGAAAATCGGATATAGGTCCTTTTGCGAGGCGGGGGCCGGGGAATAGACGTCGATGGTTTTGTGAGGCGGGAAGGGCGTTTGATGGTTTTGTGGGTTGGGCATTATATGATATTTCTTGAGTCGGAAGGGAAGACGGCAAGATGAGCGCGATTTGGCAGCATGGATATCTTGGATGTGAATGAAGCGCAACAGAATGATTTATGGCATAGCCTTGAGAGCGTATATACCTGCATTGTTATGGAACAACTATCATCCTATGAGCCATCACAGAGTGCTATCAGTCATTAAGCAAAGTCATTCGAAACTCCATTGCGTAAATTTACATTTAGTCAAGAGACACAGGACGAAGACTGAAGCAAGCATTATGATATGGTTCAAATGTTACATTAAGCCTCCTTCCTATGTAAAACAGGAAAATGACTTTCAAGCTGGACGCCCCTCTATGACGGTATACGTTTGTATACTCAAAGCTCATCAAACCTCAATCAAATCGATGTTATACCGCAAAACGCCCTTCACAAAATAACTTGATGCCCGCGGTTCCTTTTTTCCTCCATTGGTCTGTACAGCCCCCCGTCCCTAAAGTACAGATGTGATATGCCTTTCGCGTAGTGCTTGACGCACTGTCAATTAGCTAGCTTTGAAGGTAAGAGTGGCTCTGCCAGACATCTCACTCGTTGTAATGGTAGACCTGGGAGGAAGATCTGTTAGTTCAAATGTTCCAAATATGGATCAGTCTAAATGAAATACCTTGTAGTTTGGCAGCCCTGTAGCAGCCCATCCTAACCTCTTCGCCATCTTCGCAAATCCCTCCGTTTCAATTAGATGGTAGAATGCGAAAGGAGGAAACATTGCTCCATCTCGGTGAACATCCGCCTTGACCAGTAATGCTGTCCCTCCGACACCATCAAGAGGTATTTCGAACTTTGGATCCCCATTCACTTCTGCCATATGCGCCATCAACACTCGGTAGGTAGCCATTTCGTGGTACCCCTCGAGTAAAATCTCATCCGGTTGCATCGCCGCCGCTAGTTCTTGCGCCTTCTCGCTATCCTGCCAGCTATTGAAGTCGTATGGCCTTTCGGCAGGGAGCTTCGTCTTCGGATCCGTAAATCTCTGGAAGCAGTTGGCAACAATAATCGGCTTCTCGTGCGATGCAAGATCTTGGATCAGGGTTGGAGGAGTCTCGACGATATCCGAGTCCAACCACAGAACCCAGGATATGGCCGGCCCAAGCGTTGTGAACAGGAGCGAATTTCGAGCCTTTGCCATCGCCGCCCGCCTTACCTTCTGGTTCTCCATCTTGTGCCTTTCGGCCTCGGTCTGGGAAGCCAGTGGAGGGTCGAAATCCTGCCTTTCGATAATGATGCTGGCAAATCGATTCTTTTCCGGGCCATATTTCTGGGTTTTGGTGATCTGCTCCTGAAGCGCTGCTGTTGCCGCGTTTCCTTCACGGTTCTTCGGTATTATGAACCCCACCGTAATCAACTCATGGGGATATGATAGCGCTAGCAGGTTGTCCCAATATTCCTGGTAAAATCGTGCGAGCGGTGTCAGGATGAGGACGGTCTCTCGATGGGCAACAGGATCGCGCGTGCTCGTCAGATTATTCATATAGTAATGTACCACTGGAGGCGGTATTCGTTTGCCATTTGCTGTCCTTTCATTTTGCTTTCTGAAAGGAGATGTCGGCGGAGAGAGAGGATTCGAAGCAGCGTTGACTCTTCGTAAACGTGAAGCAGCGGAGTCGCTATGCGATGGTGATAACATGAAGACAAATATCACTATACAGAACACTACCCCGACAATTATTGTTAACGGGCTGGTGCGCCGCAGTGATCGAATTGGCCCCATGGCGCCGTAGTCCCTCCGGTCGAGCGTCCTGGATCGATAAATGTTGGTGAAGTTAAGTGTTTAGGTCATGCGTCGAGACGGCGGGGGGCCGCATACGCGGCGTCTCGTGCTTGGGAAGGGCGCAGAGATGGCAGATCTTCCTTCGACGTGCGGCGGTTTCAAGATGCTGCTACTGCGACTGCGAATTGGTGGGCGATGAAGGCGTGCAACGAGCGTGGGAAAGGAGGTTTTTGATGAAGCCACAGGTCCAGCTTACGGGGGACTTTTGTGAAGCGTTCAATCAATCATCCCGACTAGGCATAGTCAGGTTGGGAAGCGGCCAGCCGGTTTCAATTCACAGATCGCCAAAGTTGTTTCCCGCCCACGCTGGCTGCAGTGAGGAATGCGTTGCCAGATGCATTGTTATCTTTTGCTAACTTTTATTAATTGAGACATGTTCAATTATCCTGCTTTCCCATAGTTAGTTGTCTCGTTGATAGAACGTCACAGGAGAACATGGCTTATTTAAAGGAGTATAATCTTTCATCATCTTTTGACCTGGATCTGGTGGATCTTGCCAGGGGTAAGTAATCCTCCAGCTCGTGCCCGGATCGTCATATCTATCCACCATCAATTTAAGTCTTATTAATCGCTTCATTCCCTGTATTTCTCAAGAGAAGTGATATATCTACTGCTTTGTCGCATAACGCAAGCAGTCTTAGGTGATTGCCCTGATAGATGATTTGGTTTCTCCTCAGCAGTACCTTATCTCAAATACACCTGATAACCTTCAAATTACTCGTATTCACCTCAAAGCTGAACAATCTCGACATGCTTGGCAATGGGGACCATGCTGAACTGTGGCTGTCATCATTCTTATTAGCATTGTCTCAAGTATAGAGAGAGTATAGATGCATCTATAATATTACAGAGGTTATGTGATATAATAATAAAACTTTGGACGATATCTATAGCCTCTCCCTACCCATATCGAATTCTGGACTCGGCTGGTACCACTTCCGTACCTCTTACCCAGACATCAAAAGGGCTTTTGGGTCCAGCTGATTGCGGATCCATGCAAGCAAAGTGGAAGTACTTGTACCCGATAATACGAAGATATCACGTCCCTCCGTACTTCATACCGTACCTCGAAGTTTGCTAAAATAGATCGGCCGTGGTCAAATGAAAGGTCAAAGGTCAAATGAACGGTCCGCAGATCAACCCCGCCGCCACCCGCACAGTAAGAGAGTTGAAACGCTGCATCAAAATGGCATAGGAACGATTTCCAGACAGTCCTACACGATGGGTCTGTGACACGAGTCAGATGCGAACAAACAAGCCCCGAACTCGTCTGGAATAATGCAACGGTGAGCGCAGGGCAGAGCCAGCGCAGCAACGATGCCGTACACTGGTACGTCGGTAGAGTGGAAACGGGCAGCTGGAGACTCATTCCAGGCCCGTTGGTGGCACGAGATGACCACAAACATGACCAGTCGTGCTCGGATGTATTGAATAGTGTAAACAAGCTGCATCGAGTTGGTTGGAGGATGTGGAAGGCTGAAGGCTGACCTCGAATAATAAATTGCTCCCTCCACTATTGGGCTAATTGCCCACGCTCTCTCACTCTCTCGGACACCCCTTTCTTGTCACCTCGGCGCCCTGTGACCGTCAAGGGCGCTGGCCAGTCGCAGTGCCCTTGCAGCTTAACGCTTACGCCGTACAATAGCGTACCAGACTGCGAAATGTCAGTAACGCTTAACGCTTGACAGTCCAGAGAGCCCTAAGGAAACCCTCTAATTGGTGCGTTGCGAGGCCCTAGAACTTGCCTCTTGCCAGTGACCAGTTACCAGCCAGTGACCAGTAAGTTGCCACTAGACGGGCTATCAAGGGCTTCAGCCTGAATCTGCCGACGCTGTTATCGTGATCGTGAACCACCAGTTCGGCTCGGCCTCGACTTACCACCACTCTACGGCTGCTCAAGTACTGTACACACCGCTGGCCCAGTCTGGACCATATCACCTTCGACAACTCCTCACAATTGTTGTCACTTTCCCTTTCCCCGAAACCAACATTCCCAGCGACCACTCGAGCAGATGGCCTCTCGCGTCCTGGCCTTCCCCCTGTGCTCTTCATAGCATCAATCTCCCCCCTCTTCGTTCGCGCTGGTTTCGCTGAATGCTGGCCCTAACGTATAGACGCCCAGAAGAATCCTTCTAGGCGTTCCGAGACTCGAATACTCCCTACTTCTCACTTCTGGGTCCTCGCCTCGGGACAACCTCTCCAGGTTCTCCAGGTGGTTTCTATTCTTCCCCCAAACAAGTGAACGGTAACCCGCCATCATGGAGCCCGTACCAGAGACCGAGAGGATGGAGGAGTTCAGATCCTCCCCAGTCCCAACTCTTCGATTACAGGAATCTCCACTTTACGAAATCCAGAGCAGCGATGGAGAGACATCCAAGAGACCCCGTACTACTGATACAACCCCTCAGTCGCCACGCTCACCAATATTTTCCTCGCCCCCGATACCATACCGTCCCCGAAACACATCTCCATATTCACGAGGCCATCTGAGGTCAAAATCAACGACCAGCACTCTTGCACCTCCTATGTCTCGAGCTCAAAGCATGCCTGGATTCAACGCCGCCGGCCACCTCCTTATTTCTCCCCAGCAGCGGCCCTCGAGTCCTCTTGGATCTCCCGATCGTATACGAACACCGAGAAAGCCCGTTGATGATGTCTTTCCAGGCTTGCCAAACCAAGGCTTGAGGGATATTAAGAAGAGGGCAGACTCGTCATCAGACGACCACACTCCAAGGGCTACGGAACGAAGCAGCTCCCCAGTGCTAGGCTTGCCACACGCATCTAGCTTCCCACGAACACGCCGCCCATCCTCCCCTCTTCGATATCTAGCTCAGCAGAATGCTACGGCTATCAACACGGCTCCTACGACTCCAGGTTCCATTACATCCTCTCCCTATCAGTCCCCAAGATTGAATGATTCCTTACTCGGGACAAATTCATATACATATTCTGGCTCGTTCAGTTATCCTGGTTCATTCGCCTCATCTTCTGTACCTTCAACGCCAACTTCTGCAAGATCCCGAAGTCCAAGCATATCTAGTTTAGAAACCATTCCGGATTCACCCGATGCGGAGGAAGCTGCCGTGGAAGCAGAACGGATAGCACAACTCAAGGCTGATGCTGATGCAGCGGATGGTGGCGACGATTTAAAGACCAAGGGAACCCATGAACCTTCAGTAGGTCGCGGAAGAACAATGGGACCAGGTTTTGGCAGGGACAAACGAAAGCGGTGGAGTGTCTGTGGTGCAGAAAGGAGAGGGGATCTGAATCTGGATACCATCTGGGAGGATTGATCACACGGCTGAGTGTCGAAAGACATAGTCTATGGGGGATATTCACTGATGTCGGCGGTCTCCGATCAGATTATTGCCAGGCGCGATATATTTCGCTCACAATCAATGGTCATGTAGACCGTTCATTGATATAGTCCCAAGGAAAGTTGAGGACGTGCTTTCCTAGGCTTCCTGATGTGCGGGTCATCTCAAATCAAGTACTGGTGGACGATCCAGGGCCACTGTCTGCAATGGCTTGTACTCTGAAGGGCCCTTCCTAGCTGCAGCTATTAATGTACGATACCCTTTCGCAAAGTTTTTTCAATTATTAGGTTACGGTTTGCATTCACGGATGGAAGGAGTAATGGAGGCGCATTTGAGGTATTGCATTGCAAGGAGGCTATTTTATTTCCGGAACTGTACATGATAAGAGAAGTATTCTCTTAATAGATTGATTACAATCCATTATAACCCCCTTGGAAGGGCAGAAACAATATTCACATGAATTGTATGAAGTGCTGTGCTTTGACCAACTCTGTCTCGGATCACTTGTGCAACACCACCTCATTAATGGGTATCGAGAGCAGCCTGCAATAATGACTCCGAGGGCCAAGTCCCATTGACCTTACTATGAATGAGAGTCAGAATACTCTTACTCATAGAATTTCAAAGCAGCTTCTATCACTTATTCATTTACTCGCTCGGTCATCGTCCGCTGCCATTCCCTATTGAATTTGATATGATACTTTTCAATATGCTACTTACTCGAGCACAACATACAATAGCGCGGCTGTGCTGTTTCCCACTGCTATACTTGCAGTGCTTTTAGCTCAAGAAACGAGAAGAAGCTGTATGCTTATGGTCTTTAACTATGACGGACTCTATAGACGTTTTACTAGACTTTGATACGAGCACTACGTCTACATCAAGTGTAATCGACGGCCCATTAGACTCTAACCACCAGCAACATTATTGTGACAATAAGCGTTACCAGTATCGAAGCGGTTTCTGCGTCTTATCTCGTCTAATTATATAATACATCACCCGAGGAACTTAGCTTGCTTCTATGACCGATCATATAAGATATGGTTTTTGATGACCTCCTCGTTATCCTCCACACCCTGGGTTTATTATTCAGGAGTATAGAGATACAAGAGCGTATATAGAGGGCGGTATTGTCCAGAGTGGGAAAGAGATATAGATAAGTATTAGACAATTTGATCATAAAATAGAATTGTGTGTTCTCTGCTCTTGTGATGCAGTTTACCTTCTTATTTAAAAATTATTGCCCGTAATGACTTATTAACGCTATCTTCATTTGGTATTGCCGTTTCCACTCCAAGCATCAAATGATGAGCACTTCGTAACACAAGCATCTACTGATCTCGCTCATCCATGCTCCGAGGACCCTAATAACTTGAGTAGCGGCCGTGAAGACCAGAAAGTCATTGAGGGGGACTAGGAGAGGGGTATGCAGCCTTACCCGACCGAAGCACTCACAGAATGGTAATCATTGCGGGTGGCAAGATTGGGAAAGCCATGGTAATGTCTACTCGTGTTATCATTAGGTCTTTACAATTAACTTGATTGGCTATCCTAATCAAAAGGAATCCGCCGGAGCCCGTCTCCTCCACCCATCCGCTTTTTCATCTCCTGAGCAGCAGCAATACTGCTTGGTACTTTAATACCGCAACAATCACCCCAGCTGTTCATCTGATGGACATGTTTCATTCCATCCTTCATGACTATAACTTCCCCACCCTCCGTCTCCTCCCCTTCACCTGGAACCCCAGCTTCCTCTTCCTTGCTCATACCCTCTACAGCAGGAACTAGTGACCCGAACATAAAGTGCTGCATAACCGGTAGTTTCTTAAGGACTTCAGCCACGAACATACGCTTCATGCCCGCTTCCACCTTCCCCCAAGACTTTGCCGAAGATATATCGTCTAGCATTGGACTATGCCATCTCAAACCCTGAACATTCTTTACACTGTTGACAAAATTCACTTGGCTTAGATATAAGTAATCGTTTCCATATTCCTCTAATATAAGGCTCTGGTGTATCGAAAGCGGTCGTATGAACGGATGGTGCAACAGCTGAGACGCGCCGAATAGGAAGGGGAGGAATTGGTAATCGTCCAAACCCCACACACCATGCGATCCAGCCGGCTCTAGATAATATGTTTTTTGTATAAGTCTCATCAGGTCAAGATATCGAGTAAAGACCTTGAGGACAAGAGGTCGAAAGTCGGATGGGGTGATGATACGGAGTTGGTAGAGACAAAGCAGCCAGATCATGAAATTCAGCTCATGGCCCGAACCGTAATCTATCCTTGTACCGTTGCCAAATGATTGTAGGAAATATGTAGAGGTCTCTAAAATCGCATCATCGGACGAGATGCCAAGCTGTTTATGCCATTCCGGATGTTCCTTAGCTGCTAAGTCGAGGAAATCCCGGAACCCTGGGTTTCCAAAGCGCGAGTCTCCTTGGTCTTCGGGCGGGCTTTGATTCACGACATCTTCCACCTTGTCGAGGATATCGAGGATGTTTCGTACTGCGGGGCTGATATCATCGTCCTTCACTGCAGAGATTGGCGTGTCTACGACTGAATCTGTGAGACCGAAGATGAATGCTAGAAGCAGCTGGTAGGTCGGAGATGATAGGAAGAGTTCGTGGTCGTGTGGTGAGAGGATCCGCCTTGTGGGCTTCTGGAATCTCAGGGTTGATGTTGATGGGTCTGGAGGAGGAGGCAAGTTCGGTGTCTCTGGTACTTCGAGCGGGTTTGCAGGAGGTTGTCGAGTTCGAGGTTGAAGCTTTGGAAGGCGATTCCGCAGATCGGGAATCCCTGCGGGTGGGATCGATTGTTTACTTTGGGTGCTCTCTGTAGTGGGTGGCATTTTGAGGACCTATGTTGATATGTTGATATGTTGATTTGTCAAGTTGTGCTGCACCCAGAGAGGAAGATGAAGCTTGATGGTGGGGCTGGAGCAGCTGGTGGACTCAGCGGGGGTCGTCCCGCTCTGCATTAGCGCGTCATTCCAAAAAATCGAGCTTCTTTTGCAACTGCACGACAATACAGTAATAACAAGTTTGGAAGCGCTCAGCACAACTTGAATATTCTGCGAACTATTGATTTTCTATCATGACGAACTCTGCATCTGCTGAGCCTTCAGCTATCCTTTCACATCTGCACCGGACAGACGGCTCCGCAACCCTTTCGCAGAATGGCTACACAGTGATTGGTGCTGTCAACGGCCCTATTGAGGTTCAACGACGCGATGAACTTCCAGAAGAAGCGGCAATTGACGTGATTGTACGCCCAGCAGCTGGTGTTGGAGGTACAGTATACAACATTCCACATCTCACAGTTGGATTGAACCCAGAGTGCGTGTTCTGACCTGCCCTGTTTTAGGCACACGGGAGCGACATCTGGAATCGATCCTGCAATCTACTCTCCGCCAAATCATTCTCACCCATAATTTTCCTCGGTCCCTGATCCAAGTAACGCTCCAAGTCACGAGTACCCCGGAGAATGATACCGCGGGGGCAAAAATTGTGCAAGCCGGTTCGGTATGGGAATGTACAGGCAAATTTGGCTGTCTGATGGCTGACTGAATCTCCAGCATCTAGCTATCCTTCCCACCTTACTTCAGACCGCGGTCTTGACCCTACTTGCCGCCTCCACGCCGCTGGCCATGATCGCGACTTCGGTCCTGATTGCCGTCAACTCTGAAGGAGAATCTCGAAACCTCATCCAAAATCCTAATCCCGAGCAGGTCCGAAGTGCCAATTCAGTCCACGTATTGGGTTTCACCTCCCATGGAGAGCTGTTACTCTCAGAAAGCGAGGGAAGCTTTACATTGGATGAATGGGACGAGGTCTACGAGACTGCGAAAGCGCTATGCTCTGGTGAGAAGACAGCCGATGACAATTTTATGCAAGGCGTGGGATTGGAGAATAACAAAGGCGACATGATGATGTTTATCAAGTCAGCTATGGAACGGAAGATCGCCGCAGACCTGCACTACAAAGTGTGATTCGGGAGGAGTTGCCCACAACAGAACATCTATGTTAGAGTGGCTAGAATCTCGTCTCGATTTCCGGGAACACATCCCATCTCGGAAGGTCGCCGATGTTGAAGAAAAGGAGTCGAGAAGAAATAGTAAGGGGCCGCGTCAAGTTGTGGGGGCATTAAACGCCAAGATGTCAAGCTGGCGAGGAACGTGACCTCTTTCTGCTCAAGTATAGGACCCCGACACAAAGCCAACAGCTAGGATCGGGCTGCAATCCTACAGCGCACTGCACTGCTCAAGCAGATGTATTCAAATATAGAAATAAAAAAGAAGCTTGAACTTTTTCAGTGTTTCTCGGCGAAACAAGCGATAAGCCGTGTTACAAGTTCTCCGTGTCTACCAAGAATATGGTTTCGAGTCAGCGGACCCTTGGCCGTTTCGACGTTTCATCTGCTGTCTGTTCCCAATAGAGTCAATAGAACATGGCAAATTAGCCTTGGACTTTTGAAATGCGGAGAGCTTGTTACTGTAGGGAGTACGTACCTTCGGCGCATGGGGACCTGGTAGGCTTGACGGCACCAGCGGCAGAAAAAGCAGATGCACGGGGTTTGATCCCTCGAGCATTCTGTGCAGTGACAGCAGTCCCATCCTGTTGGTTAGAGGCTTCCAAACATCATGCTGCCTGCAGCTGCCCAGGTGTCACAGCGCACATAGTGGAGCCATGGAGGACTCCACTCTGTAGCATTGCTTTTGAGCCGTACTCCCCGAGGGGTCTGAAAACGCTAGCTTGTCTGGCCCGTGATCTTTGAGACGATGTATCAAAAATTCGCCTGCGAATGTAGTAGTCCGTCCCAAGTGACCACAGAATCCGACCAAACTCCAGCCTCTAGGAAAGGCCCCTATAAAGACCGGCCCGACGCCGAGTCTCTTTGTGTTGCTCTGGCTAGACTTCCGTCCACCAACCAACCAGACTCACCGTGTGAGCTATCATTCTCGAAAGCAGAGCTCTGGTAGCTTGCCCGTCTCGCCTCTTCTTTTCCTGTTTTTATTGTCTTTATTCCCACATTCACTTCCTATCTTCACTGGACATGCTCTTGTCCTCCTCTATTTAAACACTTCTTCATGCATTTACACGGCGCCAATCCATCGCATAGACTATAGACCGAGAGTCTCCTTTTCATTCCCTCAAGATACCCCATAATTCGTCGACCACTTCAATATTTGTCGCATTTTTGTTTATACACGGGGGCCTTTTCGACTTCTGCACTACCAATCACTACCAGTAACACCAATACTATTTTGCTAATAGCCGCCCGATTTCGAGCTCGATCGCATTGCGCCTCTTCCCCAGATATCATCTGCCTCCCAGCGAGTAAAAAGGTACATCACACAGCGTCCTGCAGCCTTATTCGCTTACCTGTCAGCCATCACAACATCACGTACGTTCTCCTTCTGCACTGTGTTGTGCCCTATCATCTAACACACGGGTTCACCGTGATGGCGCATTGATTCGAGGCCGATGTGATATCGAATCGATGGATCAAAAACTAACAGTTGTTTCCTCTAGAAGTTGGCCATTTCTTGCCGTCGTGCGTATAAAATCGCTTTAGAGCCCTTGGCAACCCCGGCATCCAGTACCAGGACCGAACCACAATTGTAGATATAATATCTCCCAACTCCTCTTCACCAACGCTACGAGTTCGATCTCCAGTTCCCAGTCTCTCTTGGAACTGCAAGTACGAAGAAGACATCCTCGACCACCTCTGTCATCTGCCATTCATTTGCACCAGATCACCTGACCACTTCCGGATCCGGCAGCGATTAGATCCGCGACAAAAATCTTATCGCCGCCACACGCCCCGCAAACAATTCCCGAACCCCCGGACCCGCGCCCCCGAGCCCCGTCACTGTCCCACCAAAAAGCCTTCGAGACGACTTCAAACATGTCTGAGTTGCTTTCCCCGACGGCTACTTCAATTCATCCCGCCCTGGACCTTACTAAGCTCTCGAGCCCCCTTCCACCACCACCGCCATCCACTCTTGCCAGGATTGATGAATCCTTCACTGGCTCCTCTCTTTCCGCAACTCCTTCACAAGACACGGCCATCTCTCCGTCGCAGTTGTTCAAGGACGGTAATGGATTGACCGGAACACCGCAGTTTGGAGACGCTCTTCGCGAGTATCCCCAGCAGCTTCACCCAAGCCCATTGACCGCTATCAACCTTAGCACCATACCCGACAATGATAATTCTGAATCATCCTGCTCTACTGCGCCTACAGTAGGACAGAATCCCATCAGCGCCGCCGCTTCTCTACCTTCATCCCCAGCCTTCGGTTCCGGTTCCCGCGCGGCACACATCTTCCATAGCCACCGCAAGAACGCCTTGTCAGTTGAATCTATCCCAAAACAGACGATTTTGAAGGCGATAGCCTCGGCGGGCAGAAACCAGAATCAGCATAACATGTCTCTGGCGTCGTCGCTATCAGGCATGCTTGGTGTCCAGGGTTCCACGGACAATCGGCCGGGAACGGCTACGTCCCAGAAGCTCTCCTCAGCTTTGTCCGATCTAGCCGGTAGAAACGGGACTCCATCGACGCCCCGTTTCAATGCTTTGCAATCACCATGTTTTTACCACGAAAGATTCGACGATGCTGTCAATATTGATAGAGTGCTGGAGGAAATCAAAGAAGATGAATACATGTCGCATTCGCGACTTATGCAGACTGCCACTGGGGTTCGAGAAGTATCAAAACAACTTCAACGCCGCCCAATCAAGAGAGCAGTCCGCAATGTTATGATCGTCACTAAGGCGAGGGATAATCAACTGGTCAGCTTGACCAAGGATTTAGCCACATGGCTCATGAGCACCCCACGATATGGCTCTGACCTTGGCGTAAACGTCTATGTGGATGCAAAGCTCCGAAATTCAAAGCGTTTTGGAGCGGCCGATATGCTTGAGGCTCAACCCCGCTTTGAACACCTCTTGAAATATTGGACTCCGGATTTGTGCTGGAGTCAACCAGAGAAATTCGACTTGGTCCTTACCCTAGGTGGGGATGGAACTGTCCTCTTCACCTCGTGGTTATTCCAGCGCATCGTTCCTCCAATTCTATCTTTCAGCCTGGGGAGTTTGGGCTTCCTGACCAATTTTGAGTATGATCGATTCAAGGAGCATCTAAACAAGGTCATGGGAGAGGAAGGCATGCGCGTCAATTTGCGTATGCGATTCACCTGCACCGTCTACCGAGACGGAGCAGGAGAAGACATGGAAGAAGGAGAACAATTCGAGGTTCTCAACGAGCTCGTCATCGACAGGGGACCATCTCCATATGTCTCCAACCTCGAGCTGTATGGGGATAATGAACTTCTCACCATCGTTCAAGCTGATGGCTGCATCTTTTCCACCCCCACCGGCTCCACCGCCTACTCATTATCAGCTGGTGGCTCATTAGTACATCCTGATATCCCTGCTATTCTCCTGACGCCTATCTGCCCTCACACCCTATCATTCCGGCCCATGGTCCTTTCCGATACCATGCTCCTCCGTGTATCTATCCCTCACAATTCCCGAGCCACAGCCTACTGCTCATTCGATGGTAAAGGTCGCGTGGAGCTCAAACAAGGTGACCACGTTACCATTGCTGCATCGCAGTATCCATTCCCCACCGTTGTTAGATCTGGAGCAGAGTGGTTCAATAGCGTGTCTAGAACTCTGCGATGGAATACCCGTGGAGCTATGCAAAAGGGCTGGGATGGCGCGGAAGAGAATAAACAAGAAGAGGTAGAATGGGATATCGATACCGATTCCGCATGCTACGTGAGCGAGGATAGCAGTATCAGTGCCAGTCCTTTGAGGAGACAGATGAGCATGCTTGGGATGTAGATGCTTTGTGCTTCCGTCCACCACCATTATTTCTGGCCTCATTTTTCGGCTAGTTGATATAGATATTCATTTGGGCTTGGGATGATGTGGTAGATCCCGTCGTCACTTTCATTCTTTGGGTGATGGACAGGTAGAAACACTTTCTAGATAATCTGTAGACAGGTTCTAGATTCAAGACTAGGAAAATAATCTGTTTAGTTATTCCTAACTTACTGGCTCCTACGAGTCATTCGAGATAACTACTGTTCTCCTGCATTCTCACAGTACTCTCGCTACTTCCGTGATATGGACCCTACTTTTTTCATGGTACCGTACTAAATAAAAAACCGGATTAGGCCGTCGTGAGCCATAGTTTTTGACCTCATTATTCTGCCATCTTGCTGTCCGAGTCTTCATCTGTGCTTCAGTTCGATGCTCGTCAACCCTCAAGATATCTGCACTCCTCACGAACTTTTTTATGATAATTAGCTTCATCTATGTCGAGGAGCCCGTGGCTTCAGCTCAAATGATTCCTGCCCCTTGATCTTCTAGGTTTCTCTGACAATACCAAGTGCTTTCCGTGCGATGCTGTACTTTATCCTGCACCTCCGAGGAGCTGTTAGGGTAAATACGGAACCCCTGACCGTAATCGACATAGTAGAGAGTTGATGGCAGTTCGAGTTAGAAACGACATTTCAACCGCCAGTCACAGCAATTCGTAACACATAGCGATTCACAGGTGAGGCACGCAGTAAGAACAGCTATAGTTACTGTTTATCATCAGTTCATTCATCGTATTCCTGGTCTTGGTATCCTAGACCATCAAAGCCCGCAGGGAAAATCACCAGGAAAATGCTAATCAGCTTCTCAGCAACACTACCCAAGCACAAACCATCACCATACCTAACACCAACAAAAAATTCTCACAAATCCACGCGTACTATCGCCAGTTCCCTTGACTCAAAGACAGTAGGCCTTGCACGCAATCTAAATCGCCCTTCTTACTCGGACTTATCTCGCCACGCATAAACTTCTCCACATCCTCACCAGCATCCTCACCATTCTCCTGGTCTTCAAAAAGATCCGGCCCTGCATCCTTCCCCTTCTTCTGTTTATGTTTTGAGGGACCGCCAAAATTGACAGCATGTGAAAGCACGCTGAGGTTATCTCCAAGGATGGCCCTCGAACTTGTGCGGTTGTCCGCTCGTGCGGAAGGTAATGGTCGACGACGGGGGTTACCTCCATTTTCATGCGGAATCCAATTTTCCTTATCTGAGTCCCCGGATGGAGATCTCAGAAAGCGATTTTTCCCGTTATTCTCCGTACTCTGTGATGGTTTCGAGGACTTGGCTGGATTCTGCAACCTTGCAAGACTTGACATTGCCCTCTCCAACTTAGGCTTCTTGCCCTGCTTGCTTGATTCATATTTCGTGGACGGCGCGTTCCGTTTATTGCTATTTGGTTTAAGCACAGAATTACTCGTGGAGCGTAGTAGGCTAATTGCGGCAACGGCTGAGCCATGAGACTCATTCTCAGCCTGCGTCGTCAATTCGTCTTGAGCATCCGAATCGCAACAGAACTCCCAGGTACGTGCGTCCCTTGACCGACCAGTAGCTAGTCGAGGTACGAAAGGTTTGGTTGCTAATGCTAATGCTTGCGCCGCTTGGAGACCGAGAGGATAGGCGCTGTGGCTCCGTTGAAGTATCCTGGTTCGCTTCTGGGGGATGATATCTTCTGAAGACGACGGTCGTGGAGGGAGTGATCGAGGAGGCGACGGCTCAGATGAAGTAAGTTCTGCCTTTCCGTCAAGGGACATTGATAATCGTATTTGAGAAATAGGAGTTGGCTGTTGACTCTCAGGACTGGATTGTTGGGGATGATCAACTCTTCCAGGACATGAAGTGGGCTGTATCGCACTATCACTAATTTTCATGGTTAGTAAGATTCCTTTTGCTGGGTGATATTTTACTCACGTTGGTGGAGTTGAGGTGCGGGTTAGTTGAGGTGAAGGCATAGAAAATGAGCCATCGATGGGCTTTCCGGTCATATGTCCAGGTGTGGAGGAGAACGATGTGGTGACAGTTTCAGGTACAGATATTGAGCTGTTCCCATTGCTGGAACTCATTATGGGTGACTCGACATTTGAGGCCGAACTCATTGGCTGTATTGTCGATTGCTTATCGCACGCGATACCTTCTTGCACCTTGGTCTCCGAAGTATCGGCAGGCACCTGTGGTATCTCTGGTGCTGGCTGTTCCGTTTCCCGAGCACCCTCTACATCTTCCTGACTGCTAATCATTTCTTGTTGCGAGCTTGGTCCTGCTTCCTCTGTCTCCTGACTACTACAACAGGATGCCGATGCAGGATCAGACGAGAGGGCTGCCATGCCTCCAATCCCAAACGCGGCAATTTCGTGTGGTAGTAACGGGCGCGACTTTCTTCTGTTTATCTGGCGTCGATTCTGGAACCATATCTACTTAAAATATCAGCTACGAAATTAAATGGCACGCGTCTGTCAAATGCCCCGCGTCAGGGTCGTATTCCTGACCTGTACTTCTTTCTCATTCAGAGTGACCTTCTCCACGATCACGGCACGCGCTGCTTTGTTTGGTTTCGGGTTTTGTTTGAACTCTGCTTCGAGGATGGCTTGGTCTTCGGGCCTGGGATAGATATATTAGTCAGTCTGTTTGTTGAAATGGCTCCCAAGGTTAGGAATGGAACATACCTAGTTCGCTTCCGTCGTTGTTTGCTGTGCGTCCTATTCTCAGAATCTCCAGATGGGCCGTCTCCCATAACAGAAGATGTATTATGTTCTCCAACCGTGTCAAAATCCTCCTCGTCGTGACTGGAATTCGAGAGTTCCCGTCCCTCCATAGCAGGGCTCGGGGACGAGGGAGGTGGGGGTAAAGTCGCGGCGTTCATTGCAGTGGATATATCATAAACATGCCAATATACTAATTCAAAGAGTAGGATAGTGCAATGAGGAAGGATATCTTAGAAGAACTGGAGGAATTGTATAATTGCAAACTAAATGGATGTTGGGTGATATCAGCGAGTGGCACGCCCAGGATAAATAGCTCAAGTCGCGAGGCGCGTCACGACACAAGCGAAATGTCAAGCCATGCCGGAACAGGCCGAGAAATCAACATATTCCATCTACGCGCCTCATCAACCCTGCAACATCATGATCATACCTCGAAAAATATCTTTTCTTTTGAGACTTTAACATAACTCGGAATGCACATTTGGGTCTTATCTAAGAATTATCCTGTTGGGGCTGGAGGTTCAAGACGTTGCTGTTTGGAGCCGCATATTCATGAAATATGCAAGTACTCGGTACAACCTCCGTAAGGACTTGCCCAGTTCGCCCAGTGTGGTATTCAAAATTTACGATTAATACAATATAAATAGTTGGCTGATTAATCGACTATTTCTCTTGCCACATCATTTGAGCTTTCTAGGACTAATTTGCTCGTTATTATCGCGTTGTGGTTTCCTATCAACCTGCTCTTACGACCGCGGAATACGTGGACGTCCCTTAACAACAGAGCTTGAACTTGACGCAGCAGCCGAGCTTGTCGATGATGGTAATGGCACGAATGGCTCCGTATGAGTCGCATGAGCGAGACCGGGACTTGAGAAGTTCCCAGTGATTTTTCCCTTCCCATTGGCCACATCCAAGCCCAGAAGTGTGCGCCTAAACATCTCTAGACTGGCTTTAGGTTGATAGTATGGCACTTCGTGACCAGACTATTATGGAATCATGTTAGAGCAGAGACCGCGAGAGACTTTGGAAAGAAAACTACTCGCCTCGTACATGCGGAGGAAGGAAAAGTTTCCATATTGACGGACTTCGCCGTACTCGGTGCTGTCAACAATAAAAGGATCGTATCCGGCCGCGGCGAATTCTTTCTTATTGGTGTAGTTGACTGCGAGAGAAACTGCCTCACCACCAAACCTGAAGGACTGTTAATATCCATCATCTATAGCATTAATGTCTCGAGGATTGTAATACCAATTGCATATATAATCCGCGTCGCCATAACTGTTTGAAAGGTTAGAACTACAGTATCGCTTTCATAAATTTAATTGGTAGAACTTACATGAGAGCAACTCGGACGCTGTTGTTCAGGATTTTTTCCAGGTCTTCCTTAAAATCAGGGAAAACGAAATCGCCAGTCTGCTGAAAAGCGAAATAGACATCATCGTTAGAAGTCGAGCTATAATTGAGATCCACACCTAGTGCGGCCGAAGTCGATGCCAAATTCAGATAGTTAGCGTAATAGCTCTCTGGAGTTGGGTCATCAAGGGGGTGCCTGATATCATACTTGACACCGTTAGTCGGGGCATCTAAGGGCAGAATGAAGAACTTACAGCGCCGCGGCCGCCATAGGAATAGTAAACGCTTTCGACATTATCTCTACATAAGTTCGCTGCTTCAGTGCATATCGCAAAATCTGCGAGTGCGCTTCTATTTGTCTTCCTGCATGACTCTATTTGATCTAAACATCCACCAATCATACTAAGAAAGTCAGCCTACGACCTCATCAAGGTCAGTTTTCAATGTGGTGCTGCTTACTGGGTTGCAAATTTGGCGTAGTTATACACTACAAGAGGAATCAGTAAATAGGCTCCATAATCCGAATACCGTACTCACCAGTTTCGTTGTAGGCGACAATTCCATAGGTATCTGAAAATATTGTTAATGTGTTATGTACTTTGAGTTTCAAGCTTCTTAGCTGACTTACTGTTTACAGCAAACTCAGGGTAGCTGTAGCGGAGAGTGTTAGCATTATAAGGTCATACAGGGGCTTGAAACGCCTCACTAGGGAACTTGAATAGCTTCATCAATCAATCCGTTGATTATGCCAAGTGTGTTGAAGTTGAGCTGGATTCCTTGGCTAGTGCCATTGGCGATCAACTAGTTTCATATCTTTAGCTCATATATTCTGCGGGAAAGGGAGTAAAAGCGTAAAATCATTGTGGCTAGGTTGCAAGACAAGATTCCAAAAGCAGAAACCAAAACATTCCTAGATCCGAGAATAAAATATACGAACCTCGTTCTGCTCATAGAAATAATCGAAGAATGCTGACAAATTGCTCTTAGTAAATAAGCCATGGCTTCCGGTAGGAAAGTAAGCCTACCAGGCCCGTAATGACCACCATAACTGACAGTATGTTAGCAAGAGTGGTGTTTGTCAGTCTGAAGTGGTCAAAATCACCTTTCGGTCCAGAGGTTGAATTCCTTCGACTGCGTATTTGGATTAAGCTGGGGTAGGCCTCCAAGGAACCCCTGAAGCACATGCCATGCTGCAACAGCTGCTAGTTCAGTAGTATCTATCGCAGTGGCATTGATAACCGGATATCTTCCTTGGGGCCCTGCAAAAGATGCATTTTCCACAACGCCTGTAATTGGGTTCAGGCTTCCTGGCTCTTCCTGTGAATATGAGAACCCAACACCAAGGGGTTGTGAGAGAAAGAGCATGTTAGAAACTTCTGTCCAAGAATACGGGTTGATTTGGGAAGTGAGGTTCTTGGTGATAGAGCAGGGACCGAGTTCTATACATGTTAGGATAGAGTTGGGGAAATTAGGTATCCAACCTACCTTCGAAAAGTCCTATCATCGAATCCGAGCCTGGGCCACCATTTAACCAGAGTGTAATGGGTGCCTCCTTTGGATTGTGTCTTGCCTCGAAGAACCAAAAGAAGGTGTGTGAGTTCTCCTATCAATTGTTAGTTTCCCGGTAGCAGGAGTAGGATTATGCGTGACGTTTACATCAAGATCAATGTATCCGGAGTAAGAATTGACACCTGGTGTGGTCTCGCAGACACCTTCTTTGCCTGGTTCCTTATACCGAATTGTAATATTTTGAGGTGTAGTGAGCGTCTTTACGCCTACAGTATCTGCCGGAAGCTGTCGTGCCCGTTTTGGATTATATTTGGAATGAGCTTGGATATTTGGCCGGGTGGGTTTGGCTCCGTCGACAACAACAAGGAGTACCAAGGCGGCTACCAGAAAACAAATCATTGTGATAACTCAATAGGAGCGGGATACAGTACTGAATGAAACGGCTATAGACAAAATATATCGATGAAATTCCTTATCACAGGTCACTGACAACTCGTCGGTGGAAGTAGAGGAAGCCCCGCACTTTATAGCCCGTGGAGGCATGATACCTTGCAGGACGAGGCAGTTTCTGAGAGCTTTCTGCAAGCAGCCGACGTCGAGTAACCCCAATGCCCCAATGGATTGGTAGCATGTTACCCACATACTGGACTTGGGTACCATCCCGACAGTTGGTGCTGCAGCCAGCACAACGAATAGATTCCGTTCTTTCTTGTAAAACGGCGTTCAGATGGACATCTTGACTCAAATCATGGATCGGACACGGGAGAGAAATAGGCAAACGGCTCTCGACAGAGCTTCTGGGAGTGGACAATCCGGTAGAATACAAGCATTTTACTAGAGAGAATTCGGCAGGTCCTCAATGATATGCGGTAGATACAGGCTGGTATATGCCAGGGCAAGGAATAACTTTATAGCAATCCCTGTAGGCCCTGGCCCCATATACAGGAGGGAGCGGTACTCGATGTTATACAGACAGGCGGACAACAAGATATTCTAAGTCGCTGGGCAGGGTGCCGCCATCCAGGTGACACCCAGGTGAGATGATGCCACGGGTCTAGACACTCGACTGACCCGAAGCCCACTGTTTGTTATAACGTTATAGTACGAAGTAGGTATTCAGGGATCGAGGTGCGATCGCCAGACTCGCTCAAGAACAATGTTACATGTACCCTTGTAAATTGGTGACAGAGAAAGGCGATGGCGGCATTCGGATTCGGATGAGGGGTAAAGTTGTAATAAACAAACCAGCACAGACCGCCTTGCTGTTGGTTGCTTCGTATTGTGATTTATGTCGCTGGCTGGATTATATTATCAAGAATTCTTGACCTGGCTCGAGGATGGTGCGAACTGGTGCGGACTGGTGCTTTCACAGCGTCGATAACCTGGCCAGCAGGCCAGCCAGTAACCGAGCATAGGTACTCGAGTACAGCTTTATCTTTCGCCTCACCGCATGTCACGTATGACCCCATCAAGGTACCTACCTAGGTAGATAGGTAGGCACATTACTCAGCACCTCGAGATCATATCATTAAAACACGAACGGCGTTTATTGGGCTAGCTACGTAGACTGTGAGGCACAGCAATAGTTTGAAGGTTCCTACTTGACGCTGTTTGTTCATCGCTCAGTAGTCCCACCACCCAATCCTCCCATTTCCACACGCTCGCTGCGCAGTGTAGATCGCATTTATGCCTTAAAAACAAGAGAGTCGTTGCTATGTACCCCTAGCGGCAATACCAACCAACACAGAAATGCAAATATCGCCGAGACAACGTTCTAAGATGCTGCCATGAGGGGAGGGCAAACAGTTGGAATTCAACCATTTAGAGGTCCAAGTCGTCCTCACCGTCAGGGAGCGGGACATCAGTACCGCGCATCTCTTTGTTTGCTTCCAAAAGTTCAGCTATGTCAACGCTCTCAGTAGGAGGAGCAAGGGCGACGGGGGCAACGAATTCCTAGAAGACTGTTAGCATGGGGGAGTTCGCCCAAGGGTCCTAATAACATACCATGCCTGCGTTATCAACACACTTGCGGCCAAGCCAGAGGAATGGCTTCTCGAAGTTGTAATTGGACTTTGCAGAGATATCATAGTATTGGAGATTCTTCTTTCGGTGGAAAGTGATTGTCTTGGCCTTCACCTTTCGCTCCTTGACATCAACCTTGTTTCCGCAAAGAACGATGGGGACGTTCTCGCAGACTCGGACCAAGTCACCTATATTACAAGGCTCAGTGTCTGTATTTAGGTAGCACGGGCATCATGCTCACTTACGGTGCCAGTTGGGGACGTTCTTGTAGGTAATTCGGGAAGTGACGTCAAACATGATGATGCCACATTGCCCACCGATATAGTAACCGTCACGCAGACCTCCGAACTTCTCTTGTCCCGCAGTATCCCAGACATCGAATTGGATTTTGCCTAGGTTCTGCGCTTGTATTAGCTAAAATCGGACGACTTGGGGACATCTAAGAGCATACCGTTTGGAATCCGAGAGGGTGAACTTCGACACCAAGGGTCGCGATGTATTTCTTCTCGAACTCTCCAGTCAGATGGCGTTTGACAAATGTAGTCTGTTATACTGTTAGCTACTGATATCATATCAGATGCTCGCGACCGCTGCCGGTCTAATAGCGATTAGGTCCGTTTCATCAAACAGCCAGGGCAGCACCCAGCCGATATAAAAAGCGTACCTTGCCAGTTCCTCCATCACCAACAAGGACGAGCTTGAAGGTGTGGACAACTTCTCCAGTAGCTGGATCCATGATTGTTGATGTGAAGGATGTCGAAAGTATGTAAACAGAGCAGGCAAGGTCTCCCGACGCTGCGATAGAGTGGTAAGCGCAAGATCTAAAGGTTGCCGATACCTAATGGTTCCTATAAGGTATGGATGAAAGAGTATGACAGTACCTTTATGTACTGCGTTGTGCTGTGGACGTGGTGGAGTATGATTTGATATCGCAGAAGATTGCGAGGTTGTTTTGACTGACGCACGGCAATCGGTGGATCAGAGTTTTAGCGAAGCAAATGATCACGTGCCCCGCCCCCCATTTAATACCTTATGGGCGAACCAGGATGACAGGTTGCCTAGCATTTCAATACGTTCACTTATCGCCATACCGTAGAGATACATGGTATTGGTTTTCACAGTTATTAGTAGCATATTCTGGTTCGAATTGTATATTCTTATGGTACAAAGCGGCATCGACTAAGGCGAGAAGCATGGAGTCCAACTCTCTGAACCAAGCCAGCCTTTACTTTCCTAGTATTGCATATCAAAAAAATGGTTTATGTTAGATGGAAGCAAGTAGGGGTAGGGCTATCGATTATCCGAAATGGTCCATTTTTCGATACTAAGCCGATCGTTTGAGGAAACTCTTTCAAGGCCTGCCAGAACGCCTCCATGGAACACCAACGCTCAAGCAAACAAATTCTTAACCTCTACCGAACATCGTAACTTAGTGTCATAATGGTAATATATGGCAGCCCAACATGCCTCGGCCACCCCAATTACGTCTTGGCATTAGAGTTAGTTGTAATTCTTGTGTCTCGGCACCTCCAGAAGATCGGGATATCTGGACAAGAATATTGCGCTTCGAGGCCATTAGCTCGGGCTCCATTATGGGAGGGGGAAACAAGCTTACTCCTTCATTTCCCTGGACGCATTCTCCTACCCTCTTCAAGCCGTCATGGTTCGTGATATTAACGTAGCCAAAATTCCTTACCTGGTCTCCGGCCTTCAGACCCGCAGAATGGGCGGGGCTTCCATCGACCACACTATTGACCTTCGCAAAAGGAGGTCCGAGGATTTGCTGCGGGTGGGACACAGAGGAGGCTCGGTCATCCGTACCGGTCGTGCCATTTGCGAGTTCCTCCGCTATTCCAAGTTCTGCCTGCCGAGCAAAATGTTCATGTATGTGCTTCTCGATAACAGCCATAAGTGCCTTGTAGTCGTTCTTGAGATATATGATGCGCGACCTCGTTGTCCGAACTGGGCCGTATTAGCTGGATACCGACCGAATGGAATGGTAGACGGGGCTTACTCTGCGCCACATCGATGTCTGCTCGAGGAAAGCCATCAGATGTGATGAGGCTAGTATTCATATCAACGCGATGCTAAGTTTCATCAGCCCAAGTATTTAACTTCAGTGATAAAATATAGCTCAACATACAGACTCTAGCACACTACCCAAAGCTCGAAGTTCAGCCTCGATATTGTCCTTCTTTGTTTGGAGTTGCGTGAATGTCAAGCCAGCTGTTTGGATGCCATTCGTGCCAGCTGGATTAGAGGTAGGACCTGAGGGGACCGTGGGTGCATGTAAATTCTCCATCCTTAAGGGCAGTACCATTTAATGCCTTGGAGTTGAAGTTGGAGTTGAAGTTGGAGTGGAAGGGCCGCGTAGGTGGAAGCTTCGGGTTCATCAACCTCGAAATCAACAAGGGCGGGACGCGTTGGCGGGGTTGTGGCGTATCGAACGCCAATCTCGTACGTGTTGGCCTGAGGCTTCTACTCTCATCGAATGTTACAAGATGGAGAGCATGCAGCCTCAGGCCAAACAGGCACTCCAGCTAACCGCGTCGTAAGGTACCTAGGTACCTAAGTACTGACGCGACTCCTCTCTCGACCGTGCTTTGGTGAATGCGTATGCTCCTGAGGCGCTCGTTTATGTCTCTCTGAATTGTTATATATGCTAGCTACCTAAGGTAGGGTGGATAACTATGTACGCACTGAAATAGTGGTGTGTACAAGTACTAAAACCTGGTTGATAGGTTTTCATACACCCCACACCAAAAAGAGAAGGTACATTTTGGCACCATGAGAGATCCAGCGATCCTGACATATGCCATCGTCACTTCCTTCTATGATATGGCTATGGCCTTATGTCGCTTTCCTGTCTTGATTACCTACTATTTCGGTCTCTCTCCTCTCCTTCTCCGCACCTTACTTTGCTCAGCAGGTTTTGATGCTATAATCAGAGTCGACTGTTCATTAGCATCAATTTTTCTTGCTCACCTGGAGAATTTTGCACTAACGTTATTATTTCTTGGTGTCTTGCCTTTAAAAAAATAATGGATCCATCACATGCCCCTCATCAAGGGACGAACCCGTCAGATGCTTCAACCCCAAGATGCTCTCGTAAAGGCTCGACTCATATCTCCATAAAGTCCAGTTGGGGAACTCCTATCCCTCCGCCCTCAGATCTAAGAAGCCTGACGACTGATGCCAACCAGGAGATGTTTGATGATGTCGACTTAGAGGCCAACAACGCTGCCACACTCAACAGTAGTGCCGGGGAAGGTTGGAATACCTTGGACAATATAGTTGCGTTAGGCCTATCCATCACTGCGGAGAGTGTCCAAATTGACGAAGCGACTAAGCCCAAGCGATTTTCTCTCGACGGGGCAGGAGATTTCACGGATACTTCTTTGCCTTTGGATTCGGAGCTGCCCTTCAACAAGTGGATAAAGGCCCTGCAGAAACGGGCCGGACAGAGGAGGAAGACCGTCCGTTGTGGTGCGGATTATTCTGCTGCAAATCGAGAACCCCTCGATTTTCCCGCTCCACACAGAAAGTCAGGTCACAAGAAGTCCTCTTCTGGATCCTCCTTTGGCTTCGTAACCGCCGTTAAAAGCGCAAGTGTTAGTCTAGCAAGCTTTAGCATTGCTCCTCGCTCCAGAACAGGGGTTTCGTTCTCTCGCCATGGCAGAAAAGACCGTAGCAGCAAAACCCCCAACGACGGACGATTCTCCGAAGATAGTACATACTCAGCTAGAGATATGGTCCTTGAGTCGGATATTGACCAGGCAGTCATGAACCGCTCGATACAACGCCGCCGAGTACTCGAGGAGATAATTGGCACCGAGGAGAGTTATGTTGCCGATATCAAATTTTTAATGAATGTAAGGAAATGCCCTACATGTTGTTTCCTGATATTTTGCTTACATTTCCCAGGTTTATGTAACTCTCCTAGCTTCTATTCCGACTCTTTCGCCAAGTCTCAGAGCATCAATAAATCAGAATCTCAACGAGCTAGTCGAACTTCACGAAGAACTTCTTGGCGAGCTACATCGGGTAGTTCCATATTCCGAATATACTCAGGTAGATTATAGAGAGTCGGTGCTATCCCAACCACCCAACGGCCAAATTAGATGGGGGAGTCTTGATGCGGTTCCTGAAAACGCTAGAGAGCCCCCCTGGCTTCAGAAGCTGCCCGGAATGACCGCAGAACCTAAAGTTGCAGCGGACGTTGCCAATGTATTTTGTAGAAAGGTACGGGTCTTGTCCAATTTTGAAGGTTCCTCTTTTTTACGTGTCCATGTAGTTAAGTCGATTCTTCATATATGAAGAATATGGTGCGAAGTACGAGTTGATGATCAAGGATGTGGCTTCAACTTATAGGACTATTCCACAGTGGGAGTCATATCAGAAAGGACTCGAGGCACTGGCATCATCCTTGGCTTCAATCAGCAGCCAACAGAACAGTTCAAAGAAGGCACTCGCAATCGGTGACCTATTAGTCAAGGTTAGTCTCGTGTGAAGCCTGAAGGATTGGCTAATCATTCCCAGCCTATTCAAAGAGTTTGCAAGTATCCTCTCTTAATTGCTGAGCTGCTGGAGCAGACGCCAGTTTTTGACTGTCCCGACTCGCACTTGGCGATCGGAAATATATTAGTTAGACTTCGTGAGGCAACGACGGAAATCAACAGAGCTACTAATGACCCTCGAATGAAGGATATCATGGAAAAATCCTGGCTTTTGCAGGACCGCGTTATATTTCCTGACAGGGTATGTAAAACGCATCTGATCAAATTTGGAGAAGCTAATCGGAAATCTAGTCTAACGCCCGCTCGAAAAGCGCGGTCCGCTCGCTTAGGCGAATCCATCTTTGTGGCGTCTTGCACGTCTCCTGGCAAACTAAAGACGGGGCTGATGGACAATATTTAATCAGCTTGCTCTATCGTGACTTCCTGTTGCTGGCTTCGGTTGCCAAAGCGGATCAGCTTTACACAGTCCAAGCTTGTATCGCGCTTAGTGAGCTTAAGGTGGAGGAAATTGACAATGGAAGAGGTGGGTTGAATTTCTTGAGGAACACCGCGGGCACCTTGAAAATCTGTGGCAGAAAACTAACCCGTTTTTAGGTTTGCAGTGCCATACAGTGCCATATTCATGGAAGTTGGTATTTGAGTATGACCACCAACTATTCGAGATTATACTAAGTACCTGTTCTCCGAAAGAAGAGCTGGAATGGCGAAGTCGATTGACTAATCACTCCCACAAAGAGCCTTTTGATGCTGGAGAACAAGCGGTACTCACGTCCTTCTCCTTGCCGATTAAGTCAATGGGTACTGTTTTCGGAAAGCCAGGTAAGATCCTAATTCCTTGACCGTCCCTCTTAACTCGGCCGATATTACAACAAGCCAGTATCGACGCATAAGGCTGATTTCTACCAGGGACTGTTGCTAGAAGGCTATCTACCCATAGGGCAACAGTAGGCCCCATGTCTGGACTTTGCCAGGTTATTATAAAAAATACAACTGTCTCCAAAGAGCCATCATCTTCCACCAACATCAATAGATCATTGTCTGTTCTTACGACAAATCGCATTCCAGTTATTGCCCCATCCCGTGCCGAACGTATCCGCCTCGAAAGTCTTCTTGCCGACGTATGGACCCGAGAAGTTCTCCCGTATCCCGGGATGAGTGGTAGGGGTCGAGGCGAGCACCTTGTTCGCGCATCCGCAAGCTCCATGATACGAAAGCTCAGTGTCGCAAGCATCGCAAGCAACTTTAGCAAGCGCTCCAACAGTGTATCAAGTTTACAGAAGGTCGCGGCCGATGGTGCGGTGACTGATAAGGAAATTGTAGGCCCTGCTTCTACAGTCCCGGAAGGTCAGAGCTCAAGCGGAATGAATGGTATGCCGGAAGCCGATGATGCTGCCATGTCACGTCTGTCGGTGATTCAAGACCAAAGGAATAACATCCGGAGACCATCAGTCGATAATATTTTGGCCTGCGCTAGTATTCCACCTGAGAGTCCACCAAGTACTGGGAAGAGGATGGGAACACCGACAATTAAGAAGAGCTGGGGCCATGAGGAACAGAGGATAACCACCCCACCCCTGAGAACCTCAAGTGCGAATAGCCTCAGCCAGAAGAGAACCGCTGCTCGGTCGAGTGGCGGAGATGCACCGGTAGAAGAAAAGGAGAATATACCTCAGGTGCAGATACGCCCAATATCCCAAACTCTACAACCGTCTGCGAAAAGGGACAAAAGTTCCACCAAAAGTAGCAGTATGCTGTCAGAGGGCATCCGCAATTTCTTCCGCTGAAGGGGGTTTATATATATATGGCATTGGAAGGCTGCTGGCACATGGAAGCCATAAATACGGTCTTCTGATTTTTAGTTGCAGTATAGGGAGGGAAGCAGTTTATGCATTGGCTTAAACTGTAACATTGCCGTGGTGGTACGTGCACCCAAATTGGGAATAAAACATAACTATACTTCGTATGAAGCATTAAGAATAAAAGAACCCGGATTAAAAATTTATACCTTCAATAAAATATCAAGAACCTGGCTCCCTGTACGAAGTAAAGATCCGGAATTCCAGCCAAACAGCGGCCGCTAATCGGCTACTGCCGCTAGCACTGCGGCTGTGCCCGCACCCTAGTTCCCGCTCCGATGCCCCACCTGCCCTTCAAAAGAGATACAGTACGTCCATAGGTTCATATGGATACAAGCGTTTGTTGCAGAATATTCTGGGCTGCGATTTTGGTATGCTCTCCACTCCTGCAGGTAGACAGTCCGATAGTCTCGGTTTAACCTCCTTATTCCTCAATGGGACACTATTGGGTCGTTCGTTGCTCACACAAGTCACACCGGCAACGCTCGCCACTCTTGGAGTTTGCTAGCCAATCTGCCTCAATCCGGTTTCTTTATCCCATTGGCGTAGAATCATATCACAGCCTATGCTTCGCTCCTTCGTCTTTCATCCTCTCCTATCGTTCAGTTTCTTATGATTCGCACACTTGACACGCCGACCGAGCACTTACCTGGATGTCCCAAAACCGTAGTGATTGGTTCTAGTTCCCCTTGTTGCTATCCCCCACACTCGCTAATCGCCGTCAAAAGTGTGGCTCCAGAGATCTTGCACAATCTTGCACCCTCCTACATACATATAGAGAAACGATGCGCGTCAAAGCGGGGAAGGACATGGGGAAATTCAAGCCTCCCTCAATCTAATATCTCCCGGTGCTCACGGCACTTTTATAAGCCAATGCAGTAGGTAGGGATCATCGCCAAGACATAGGAAGAACACTTGCCGGCAAGCCAACAACCACTTGGGATATTTGCCCAATATGAATATAATTAAACCATCCTATCACGGGATGATAAATCCGGCAATGCGACCAGCTGATTCGCGGCAGACCTGGGCCATTTTGTCTCTCTTTGATTATCCACACTTCGCTACCTCGCTATTGAACCTAAAGGGAATCAAGCTTTGTTGGGCTGGATGGGGAGGACAAATGTCGATACTGGGAATTCAGGGTAGATCCAAACTTATAAGAGTCGAAGGGATGCGGGACCCCGCTTCCCTGCTTCGCCTACATCTGGAAACCTCTACCTCTCTGCCACTAATACTGTTGAGACCAAGTCCACCGCTGAGATGAAGTCGCTCACTGCAGCCCTCGGGCTCATCGCACCTGTTCTGGCTGGCCTTCGTTTCCCATGCTCGACTTTGACCTTTCAACGCCTTGATCCTGTCGTCCAGCCAGGCTCAAACCCGTCCGCTCATGTTCATCACATCGTGGGTGGAAACGCCTTCAACGCCACTATGACAGGAGATGTTAGCCAGAGGGCCACCTGCACTACCTGCCAAATGGCGGAGGGTAAGTTATACGGCACAGAAAGCAAGAGAGACATTCACTAACTGTACCCTTCAATTTAGACTTCTCTAATTACTGGACTGCCACCTTGTACTTTAAGAATCCTACCAACGGGTCCTACCACCGTGTTCCCGTTGTTCCTGTTCAACCTCTGTTGGGAAATTCGAACGGTGCCGAAGGTGGAATTACTGTCTACTATACCCAGTTTGACTTATCTAAGGATAACCTGAAGCAACAGCCAATCAAAAGCTTCCAACCAGTAATTTCACTTGATGCTATGGCGCCTTTGAAGATACTCATACTATATAGGGCTTTCGCATGACGGTGGGCAGCCCAACTAAAACCTCACAACCGCAAATCGGCCTACGTTACCAATGCCTGCAAGGGAATAACAGAGGTGCAGAGATGCCCGACTTCCCCACCAAGCCATGCTCAGGCGGTTTATTCACTACTCACCACTTCCCTGCGTCAGTACCTGTTTTCCAGAAGGTGTAATAACCTTATGCTAACCGGGTTTAGGTGTTGGGACGGCAAGAACCTTGATAGCCCAGACCACCAGTCTCACATGTACAACACTATCAAGTTGGATGGTTTCACGAACGCCCCAGCATGCCCTTCCTCCCACCCTGTCCGTGTACCACAAGTGACCTACGAGACCACCTGGGATACGACCAAGTTCAACAGCATGTGGCCTTCAGGCGGCCCTAACCCTTTTGTGTGGAGCTTCGAGGGTAGTGGGTACGGTACCCACGCTGATTATATGTTCGGCTGGAAGGGCGATGCGCTCCAGCGTGCTATGGACAAGTCCGAGTGCTTCTACGACGGCTGCGGTTCTATTACGAAGCAGGCCATGGCTACCGCCAACCAGTGTACCATCAAAGACATGGTTCATGAGGAAACTGTAGGATGTATGTCTTCGGATACCCTGACACCACGATATAAGTGCTAACTTGTAGTAGGGCTTACACAGCTCCCACGCATGGACTAACCGGGCTAGTTTGGCAAGAATCCGCCTGTGGCGGTTCTGTTCTACCGTTAAACGTCACGTTCATTCATTCATTCGATCTTATAGGTCATTATGTTCAGATTAGGTTGATTAGTAGCACATAGCCATTTAAATACGCCACTTTTTGTAAATCACAGAACATAAGTGCGATCGTGATCAGGCTCACTATTGGCTAGCCTTTTAAATGACCCCAATACATTATATTAGTATCGGCATAGACCTAATTCCAAGCGATCTATAAACCCAAGTTGATTACATAGATATCTCTACTTGAGTAATCGGTAGGGAATATATCGTTCCTGTTTTCAAAATCGAAAACATATCAATTTCACATTCACGTTACCTTGCATGACATTTGTCTCGATCTATTATTATGCACTGCAGCAGCGTTACATCAGCGGCTGAATCAGAGATGTGGAGTGCGTAACAGTCGTGCTAGTGCTAATTGCAGGAAGAGAGACTCTGCTCTAGCTGCTGCGGACCGGGGGGGTTTAAAGAGGATGAATAGATTATGACAAAGCCTGGAGGGTTTGAGGAACATGAGGGGGAAGCGCGGTGGGGTGTTGAAATTGCAGAACAAGACTTGGAGAAGTGAAGAAATAATGAAAGAATATGAGTGACGTGTTTGGATGAGCCGAGGGATGGCAAGAAGAATGAAATGAATAAGTCTATAGTTGTGACAGAAGAAGAAGAGCTAGCAACCCCTTCCCTTTAGCCCAGAATATTTATATGTTAGGCATTTATTACGAACACGATTCATCTGCTACACAACGGTGATCTCCTCCCCTGCCAAGGATTCTCCCTCAACATTGAAATCAATTCTCCATGCCAGCCTTGCCACCCACTAAGCGGTGTCTAGGTCGGCATCGAGGTATCTATAAACCGTAGTTCTGATACCCGAAAGTATCCCTATAAATACCCCCTATGGTAGCAACATGGTAGGAACAAGGCTCTGGTACACAAAAAGCGACAACAAACTCGAGCTAGATACCTATTTATAGACTATAGAAGAGTGACTCTGGCCACCTACAACTTCCCTAACTATAATAGGGCAGGGAAAAGCGCTGCCTAACAATCTTCAGTACTAACCCTTGGTAGTAGACCCGACGTCGCCCCATCGAATGTTGGAAAAGACAACGTGGGTGTCAGAGTGCTGAGACTGAATAACAGATGGGGTGCCCTGTCCGGCTTGACAAGGTCCATTGTTACCGGCGTCGAGCCAAGCCATCTCCTGTGCAGCGTCGTTCCAGATACTCATTGCCAGAACCACTATGAGATTTAGAGTCAGCAACTGATAGCAGTTTGGGGAGAACTCTAGGTTCTGAAGTTTTAAGAAGGTATCCATAGGTACTTACTCCCGCGCCCCAGAGCCTGGCCCATACCAGCCAGACCACCAGTCGAACCCTCTGAGCCACAACTCGAAATCGTCCCGCCGCCGCCAATTTCCCTCCCGTTCTGGATGTACTTGCGCGTGATCTGGGACAGCCTGCCACCGCTCGCCATAAACTGCGTAACAACTGTGAACGGCTTGCGGGTGTCGACCGTCCCGCCGGGTGCCCAGAAGTTGCGCTGCCCGCTCGCGTACGGGTTGTATCCGCAGCCGCCCTTGTCACAGTTGTTACCATTGCACGGGTGGGGCGTCATGGCCGTCGCCATCGAGTTGGCCTCGAGGATGTCCATCTCATTGCAACAGTAGCCCTGGCATTGAGCGTCGCAGTAGCCGTTGCCGGCCGCAGCGTTGCCCTTGCCGTCGGCCGCCATCTCCGACAGATAAAAGGCGCCATTCTCCCCACAAGGGAGGGCCGAGAGGTCGACATCCACAGAGAGCTCCTGATTGCTGAGGAGATTCATCAGGACGTATTTGCCGTCGTCACCCAGGAGGTAGACGCGCGGGGACGCGGCGTTGAGTACGCCGTTCGTTTTTACGTAGTGATACATGGTCAGCGCGTTTCCTGAGGTAGCAACTCCCATAGCAGTGTAGTCGGCCGCCGTCCTCGAGCCGGCAGCACCTTTAGCATATCTGGAGTCCTGGTCGAGCACGACGGAGGTGTTCTGCTGCAAGCAGCCTCCTGAGGTGGTGCATTTCCATGTCGGTAGCAAGGGATGCTCTTCAGCAGCTTGGGCGACAGGTATGCTAGCTAGCAGCGAGGCTACCAGGCTGATGAACGAGAGTTTGAAAGACATGCTGTAGGAGTTGCTCAAAGTCGCGGGAGTCTGATGCTGCAGTTAGGGCAGCGTAGAAGAGAAGTAGGCTTTTTCATGTCTATATCTCTTCGTCGACTGCTTTTGATCGATCGCCACCTCCGATGTAGGGAACATATATCCGCGCTTTCAATCATCATCTATTTAGGCGTGATGTTTACGGCTGTGTCCCGGGCCGCCAGCCTGGAGTTGTTAGTTTCAGGGAGAGGAGTGCGGGGAGATTATAATATAATACCTGGTTGAGGGTAAGAGCCGGCCAATCCCATATTTGTGGGCATCAAGGCAAAGGACGCTTGCATTGCTCTTGTTGTCACACGTAAATGGTATCCCTCGGTATATCTCGATCGATACCGAATGGAATACTCGTACCGCGAGAACTTGAGGCTTGGACCTCTTGTGTCCGACATCGTGCATTTGGCGGAAGCCATAATCTGCAGGGAGCTTGAAGTAAGCCTCGGGGGCCTTAGGCGGGCTCCTTGGCATAGATGGACAATATAATTTTTGTTCAACTATTGTTTGATCCGTAGGATCTGGAGATAGAAGAGTGATTAAGGGATTGGATGAAGGTCAAGATAGGGGTAGTGGACCAGGCGGCGCGGTGGATCGGGAATTCCGTTGTGTCGGTCTCCGACTAGCTCCGTGACGAGTAATTAACAAACTACAGTACGAGTACTACTAGCCCACCAAAACTATAACCTACATCCACTTATTCATCCACTTATTATTCGACCACCATACTTCCTGTACTACCCTTTTGCCTTAATTACCGTGTCCCGCCTCCTGCACATCTACCTAAGTATTCAGACAATTCCAAAATAACCCATCCGGCAACGCTGCCCAAGTCTCCTCCAGGGCCCTTTGCCGGCTCGCCGTCCCCTATACTCTTCAGCTCAAGGCAAAGCATTATAATCAAAAATTTTAAGTGCCACTAGATGTACTTGATCCGGTTTAGATCGGGCAACTAGGGGGCCCAATCTAGTATCAGAATCGCGTTCTAGAACTACTGTTGTACCCGGTGGGAGGCATAGACAGGGGCGCTATCCTGTATGAAAACAAGTGCTAGTTCCTAGCACCTAGGAATCTGATCATTGAGGACTTCCAGATAAGAGGTAGATGGGTACTTATTCCGCTTCGAGGTTGGATCACGAACTATTATACAGGGTTCTGACCGGAAGAGTATTCCGTCCTTCACTAAACCGGGTCCTCGGCTTGCCCTCGCAGACTTTACCAGGGTAATCATTTGCTGCCCCGCATTCTGCAATGCCCTCCTTTAGTTAAGCCAAGTATTGACCGATGTAGGATCGACTTTAAACTTTATTTTATCCGTGTCGCGCAACTGTATAAAGAGAGGTAATGTGCTGTTGTTTCCCTATAATACCCCGAATATTAGCTTCAACCTATATAACTCTACCACGGGATTTAATAGATACTCACTATTGGCTCTACGTTTATCACACTATTAACACTTATTCTCTATCTCCACTACCTAGACTATGCGCGTACTCCCTTCTATCGCCCTCCCATCCCTACTCCTTGCCAGCGTGAGCCGCGCCCAATATGCAAATATAACCGCAGTCTCGGCTTGCACCGACCCGGTCTATGTCTACTTTCCACGGACCAGAAACTACCCAACACCAACTCCTATCCCCGACAGGTGGCCAAATGGGCCACCTGTAGTTCTTTTACCACCGTCCAATACGTCTCTTACCTATCCTCTCGAAATCGAACCGGCCGACGGAAGCATGACTATCAAATTAGCAGCGGCTGACAACCCTGACGAGAGTCGATTGGATATTTACTACGCTATTGGCAGGGGCCCGTTTTGGTACGATGTAAAAGTCGTCGGCGATGGGTTTGGGCTGGGGAAGGTTTGGTTGGGGGTATCGGACGGGGCATGCCCGTCCGTTCTCGTAGATGAGCAAGGTGTTGTGAGCTGGAAGAGTACGAGTACGCGTGCTACATGCGACACTCGTCTAGTGAGCCTTGTTTTGAACATCTGCATATAAGTGGTATTTCGGAGGGCGTGGACGAAGTTCGGACCAGCGACTACTTAGGTGCGAAGGCGGGAATCAAAAGTACTCATGTCGAGATGATTAACACAGCACGGTTACGAAGCACGTATACATATACGAGTGTCGGAGTATTCCTTTCTCCTGTCTTTACACCAGACCATTCGTCTGTCGTGGCTAGCCGAGGTCTCCCGCCCCTGACAATACCCACAAAACTCACTATAGATCTATCACAGGTCATCGAAACCCTACTTCGCTCAATCCTATTGTAGCTTCCACAACATCGCTAGAAATAGTTCAACCCATCAGCTCCTCGGTCTTTAGAAAAATATCCGATGGGATGTCTACCGAGGATGTTACTGTCAATCCATGAGCCTGGGACATTAGGTGATCGCGGCATTTAGATCCGCATCCTGATGGAGAATGTTTTATCCTCGCTGCCATTGCTGTTGGACACGAAAACGAAGCCGTCTATGGTTTAGCCCCCACGACGGATGCGCCCGTAGTCACGCGGGCGCTTCCACCCTAGCTTCCGCTCCTCCCGCCTGTCAGGAACCCTGGATCTACCTAGGTACTTTATGTCTATAGGTCGGCTCATGGGCGCGTTTGCAATTCTAGCTACACCTACCACTCTGTATGGCCACAATATGACACGCTCTCCTCCGTGGCTAGCTAGGCAGACTGTCTCAAGTCATATTTCTTTATCCCACCAGTTCCCTAGGATCTTTATCGCTCGGCCCGCTTGTAGGATCGCTAACGTTACACATAGTCATTCACACAGCCTCAACTCGACCTCCTGCTCGCGCAGATGTTAAGTTAACAGCCCACGCAGGCAGCCGCCGCAACTACTGCTGTTTGCTAGTCATACTGCCCCAATCCCATCTCTTTATTCCATGTTTGTTCAATCATTGCAGCCCACGCTGGGTAGCCCATATATATCCTGAGCTATGATCCCCAACATCTCCAGGCTGTCTTCTACGCACTGCCTCATATTTCTCGCTCCCCTCTCCGCAACCCTGTGCCTCTCCCCTTCATCATTTCATCCTCTCTTATCATTCAGTGATTGAGAAAATGCCGAAACCGGGGGCGGAGAAACGATCGCGGCCAGATGATGACAGCAGCGATGAACACAATAAATCGCTAAAACGACTGAGGCTGGCAGAGGAGGAACTCCAAATCTCGAGATGGGATATTGGCAGAGAAAGCCCCGCGGAAGCTACCCCAGCCCGCGATCCTAACAATGCTGCTCATCCGCTTGGGACAGCAGAGGCTTGTAAAGCGGAATATAAGTACGAGCCGTTAGATCCATCCAAGAATGAGACTAGACTTCTTTGCATTTTGCCAATCCAGGACAACCAACACCAATCGGAAACCAAAATGGTACACTGCACTCTTTCTCCGGCATCCCTGGATGTTCCTCCAGTTTTCGAGGCATTGTCATATACCTGGGGAGGTGATTCAAACCCATCGCAAATAATTCTGGACGGAAAGCTATTTTCAGTGAGGAGCAACCTTGGAACCGCCCTTCAACACCTTCGATATCCGTCGCATACTAGGATAATATGGGTCGACGCTATATGCATCAATCAAGAAGACACCAAGGAGCGTAGTAAGCAAATTTCAAAAATGCGAACAATCTACCAGCTTGCCAGTGGCGTCATCTCATGGGTGAGCGGTCCAACCACAGTAACCAAACTGGCCTTCTCCCTACTAGATCAACTGAACGAACGGCAACGCGGTGAAATTGGCCGTGACACTCGAACTATTATACATGATCCTGATAATCTTCTCGGCTGGAAAGCCTTCTTGAGGTTCCTTCATCTTCCCTACTGGTCGCGAGTCTGGATTATACAAGAACTGGTAATGGCGAGAACGATCACCATTGTCTGCGGAGAGGACAAGATTAGCTGCACCCATTTGATAGCCATCCAGAAGCTGCTGGAGGTATTCAAGAGCGACTTAAAGCAGCTCATTCCCAAGGATCCCATATTCCGGGACACAAAACGATGGACCGATACCGGACCGAGAAATATGACGGCTGGATTCGAGAATGTTTTATCTGATCCACCCCCGCTGGTGGATACTATTATCACACATCAAAATAAGGATGCATCCGATGCTAGGGATAAGATCTATGCCCTCATCGGCTTGACAAATGCCAGGGACAGCTTCGAGATTGACTATGACAAGAGTATAAGGGAGGTATATATGGATGTAGTGAAATATGCCCATGATACTACTGGCCGGCTTGATATCGTATTCGAACGCCCACGAGAAGCGCCCAAGTTCCAACTCCCTACTTGGGTACCAGACTGGAGTTCCAGATTTCAACTCATAAGTCGTCTACACATGGTTGGCAACGGTAGTCCCGCGGAAGTTGTATTCCGTCTCAAGGAAGGCATTATGGATGCAAAAGGGTTTTGTTTTGATAAAATTGCGGCAATTTCTGAAGAATCCAAGACGCAGTATGCTTTCGACGACGATGTTCGCTACACTATACTGGATTTCCATGCTTGGCGCGGGTTTTTCCGGGCCAAAAAAGGCAGCGCGAGCTACTCAATTGAGGATGATGAAGCCTTCTGTCGCACACTCGTAGGTAACTGCTTTCAGAATAATCCAGTCAAAAATTCGACTAGCCGATCCGGCTACTACCACCTAATCGGCGCCATAGCCCGAAAATCATTGATATTCCATCCAAACATTGAACTCGATGAACAGCTTATGGAAGCTACTCACAGCTGCGATGATCAGTGGGATCACGCTCGGCGCGATGCTTGGAGCTCGATGTTAGTTGGTTGGATTACAACTGCCGTGCGAAAGCGACGATTTATCATTTCATCTGAGGGGCGAACAGGCCTTGCCCAACGGACAGTGAATGAGGGGGATATGATTTGTATTATTCGGGGGTTCAAGCGGCCTGTAATTTTACGACCCCGACAAGAAGGGGGGTTTATTTTCTTAGGGGAGGTATACATAGATGACGGTAAGAAATCGAGCGCCGAAGAGGAGTTAGAGGCAGGGAAACATAAGTTGGAAATTTTTGAAATACATTAACTGGGCAGACAAGATTAGGCGTTAAGGATCATCGGAGAACAGGATGCATAAAATGCAACAATATATTGGGAAAGATCTGGTAATGGTTGGGTTTGGAAATCTGTATTTGGCAAAATGCTTTGGAGTACGTACGCAAATTAGACTGTCATACGGGGCCGCATTGGAGGCGTTTGTTGAACCTTTTGGATACGTCTAAATTGAATAGATTGATTGACTAAATCCAAATCCTGATTAATTAGAGTGATCCAAAAACATGGTTCTTAGATTGAAAATGGGGCTTGGGACAGATTTCAACATGTTAACGAGCCAAGCTGACCCATCTGTGTTCAAGCAGAGTATCAACGCGTAAGTCAAAGTAAGAACTAGTAAATGGCAATATATAATCGTAACTAACGAGCAAAGTGCAAGAGGTAGTAAAATTTCGTGTGAATGTGGGTGGCAAATAAATCCCTACCAGCACTAGCTATTTTAACATATTCCTTATACTTGTACGAAAGAGTAAACACCGGGGTAGGAACATTCTCACAAGAGGTGGGACTCTAGAAGGGTGCAAATAGTACTCAAAATTCTCTCACGCTTAAAAACTAGACAAAGCTATTTCATGGTTCGTGGAGTCCGGGCAGTGATAATATGGAAATATATCCTAGTTCTAGTCATTCTTTCCAAGGCTAGCTAGCCTTAAGAAATAACTGCACGGTGCTGTGTAAACAAAATAGGATCTGGAATGGGGCTTCAAGCGCGAATGAGCATCACATGATCTGATGGCTCATGGAGGAAGGCTGTTCAAATAATACATACGCCAGGCCTAGTCTTTCTTGATAAAGCCAGCTCAAGTGGGAGCTGGATAAAGAATTACGGGCTATTGAAATATAGAAATACATCCAGATACTGCCTTGCTTTACAAGGCCAACCAGTCTCAGGTAGTAACCGCGCCGTGTAGAATACGAATCGGGAACGAGTCGTGACTTCGCGTTCGAATAAGAATTACATCGAAATGAGTGAGGATATTTCTCCAACCGGCTGACAAAATAGAGGGCGCTAAAAATTAAGACACTGTTCCCCTGCGCCGTAAAGCCACAGAAGCCATTTAAGCCAATGTTGGTTGGTGGAGGACGGCGGTTAGAAGATGGAGGATATTTCGACATCAGGCTTTATCAATTTGCGATTGAGGTAATGTTCAATCAATGACAACTGGGAGGAGGAACAGTAATCGGATTCGTTTGCGGACTCCGCGTTTAAGTAGGGAATATACTGAAAGAATCTTGAGCTCCTCTATCAGATAGCAGAGGGAGTGTCCGACGACGTTCAAGACTTCCTGTTCTGGAAGTCGGCTCTATGGTGGCACGGCGGCTAGAACATGGCAAACTTACATCCAGAGCACGCCATTACTTCACTCAAGTAGAAAAGGTGGGGTGAGGGCGCCCTTATGCCTAACTCAACTGCAATCCACAGAGAGGTCCCAAAGCCAGGCCATTCGTCGCATCGTGAAATAATCAGCCGACGATGTAATGCTTGGTCTTGGTACAGAGTATCGATGGGCCACTCGCCATCATGCATTTCCTCGTTCTTCGTACTCCAGTACTTCAGCAGCACTCACACACGAGAACAGCTCCCGGCGCTTGCATGGCGGTGGCTGAGCAGGGGGCCTTGCACGTGCCGGCCATCTATTTGCGTCGCCAATGAGAGGAGGAGAGGAACCGCTCGAGAATACTACGTGCTTACGTAGCTCACTGGTGTAAAGCCTTTCCGCCCAGCGGCCCGCGTTGAGGCCTGAGGGTTGAGGTGATGATGGCGGCGCAAGGTGCAGAATTTCCATGTCACTCACTACATATTGTACGTAGTGTCCCCCGCAGCAACTATCGATTTGGCGATTGTGATTGTGATAATGAGTGAGAGCGAAGCCTCAGCAGATGGTGCGCATACGGATTATTTTGAGGAACAAACCATGGCGTCGCTAAAGCGGAGCGGAGAGAAATGACGACTTGGCTTTCTCCTAGGACGGTCATGCCACCCAAGCCTGGCTTCTGCTCCTGATACGAAGTACTCATCCCCGCAAAAGTCGAGATTGGTTGTGACCGCTTCTATTCTTTGCAACCCCAATCCGTTGAATAGTCGCGCGTCGGGGGTCGCACTGCTGTTCTTCAACGGGAGGCTGGGGAGAGGCAGTGTACGGCGGGCCTGGCCGGTTAGACCCAAAGCAGGCCCCGATCAATCAATCGTACAACTTCCTCGGGATCAGTAAGCATTGTGGTGTGTCTTTGCCAGGCGAGCAGCGAGTGCTGTTCTGTTGAGTCTTATGCATCTATTGATGGTGGGCAAGTCTGTGGTGCAACTCCGACACCATCGGTTTGATCTCTGCGCTCTCAAACCGGCCGGCGTCGGGCCTCGTCTCATGTCACGAAGGCTATCCCTTGCCAAGGAGTCGGATCGGATGGAAGACCAGATGAGGATGTTTCTGTGCGGTGATTAATAATGGGCCAAGAGACGATTCATGGGATGGCCTGGTGGTTGGTAATAGGGTGGTACGTTCGGAGGTTGCAATGCTAAATAGTTATTTGCAAAGACGGTGAGGTGAGGTGTAGGAAATGAACAATGAAGCCAAGACGAAGAAACAAGAAATGCTCCGTAAACCGCCTAGCCTCCCCTGACCGGAACCCCATGGCGCCGCTAACCCACATGCTGCCTAGCATCCCGCGTGGTGCATCTCGGCTCTGCAAGTGCCCGATCCAAGTTCAGTGCTCTGAGTGCTCTGTGTGTTCTACCGCTCTCTCGCTCTCTCGCCCGTATTCCTCTACGCGCCCGCCATCCACCGTCACCCCGCCGCCGCCCAATCGCTGGATCCAGATGCGTCGTCGACTGCCTCATTGTTCGACCTGCCGCCCACCCTCCAGAGACCATTGTTCTATATGCGTCTGATAGGCTAATGTGCACCTGCGGGCGTGGTCCATTGGGAATATTGCCTCTTCGCAAGTCCCCCCGTTGTACCTTGGGACCCGTTAGTACGCCTCTCGCTGGGCGCTGGTACTGGCCGTGCTCTGCCCGCGCTGGTGTCTCCCATGTACATGTACATCATGGGCACATCATGGTACCAGCAGGTCACAGGCGGACAGACGGTACGAACTAATAAATGCAATAATGGCCTCCCCGAAAGAGCTCTAACATGCCTTCCCCCTGGTCGCGCTGTTGCAGGCCCTGGCTATCCTTAAACTTGGGTTCCCGCATCTTGAAGATCCCCTCCTCGCTACTTGTATCACCCAGACCCTCCCCAAAACTTCCCAAACGTCTCATATCGAAGATCCGACACTCTGTTCCCCCACCCACGCTCCCAATTCCTCAAAGGCAATCTTCCTCGCCCGGAGTCTATCCTGATTCTACCACTCTACCACGCTACCCCTTCCAGATACACCTCCTGGACCCAGACCACCACGTTCCATATGCCTCCCTCCAAACCTTGAATTGCATTGCCCTTCCATCAGTCCCCTCCCCGCCGCTCGGATGTCCACTGTTAGAGGAAATCTGAAAACCCGCTTCATGGTCTGTTCCCCCCGAAACATACCATCCCGATCGGCTGAGAAGAAGAAACCCCCGGCTGCCGGTGTCTGATACAATCCAAACGTGAAGGCGGATCCTTGGGATCCCGTCTGCTGTCGCCCAGCAAAAGCCCGGCCTTGGGGCCCAGAGATATAGTCCATCGCCCCCCCCGCCGCCGACCCAGTGAACGGGTCTTACCTACTCGACCAGCTGCTGTGCACTCGCCGCAGTTGTCCGTAGCATTCCTTTCTTCAAATCTATTCTTTCGTTTTCGACTTTCCGCCGGTTCGGATACTTGCCCCGCAACAACCCTTCGACGCTCTTTTCTTGTTCGTCCCAGTATTACCGTTTAATTCAAACCCTTCGATTCGACATTTGGTGCCTTTTGGAGAGTTTTAAATAGGGAAGAAGGAAGTCGGACGAAACGGGATTCAGAAGGAGGATAGCGCAAGGAACTTGAAAGGATATCTGGAATATTCGGAATCATGGGAAAGCTTATCAAGAACCACTGGGCCCGTCTGATAATCCTCACGGCTGCAGCCTGTATGTGTTTTCTCTCCCAATGTTTCGCCTCCCCCCTGCTAACTTTATTTGTGTAGACCAAGTCGCAGCTGGAGTCCACGGTTACTTCTGGCCCAAAATCTTCTGGGACTTCTTAACCAAGAACCTCGACGGAGCGGTGAAGCCTTTCCCCATATTGCAAACCATCAATGTGATAGCTGGGATTTTTATGTTTGCGTGGGAATGGCCGCTGGGATTACTGGCCGGGTCGTGGTTGCACCGCAGTATTGAGGCGAGATTGGTGGTGCTTCCGATGACGATTCTGGTTTCTGCTCTGTTGTACCAGGCAACCAATGCGGCGTTATATTATCTGGTGGGCATGATTGTATATTTCTGGGCATACAGTGAAGGAGAGGTGAGTTCCCCCATCTACATCTCACGCCTTGTATGGAGTGGCATAAACTAACAGTTTGATAATATAGGTTGTGGTAGCCAAACCATGGTCACTTCCCCCTCGAAACAGGCCAGGGAAAGTATAGTACTCCCACGAGTCTGTACTTCCCTCGAGAGCCCGCGCACGCGCCCGGCCTCTTGGAGTGTTATTATTCAGGGCTTTGCACCCATCAGTGATCAATCCGTCAATTCTGCCTCTGTCTGACAATCAGATATTGCACGCTTACGTACATACAATTGACCCACCATACAAAGATAATCCATCAAATATCAAGAAAATAAAAATCAAAGGGATGTGGCACGACAGTTTTATACATGAAACTTAGGGAGTTGTGATGTTTTAATGGATATACCATTTTTTTGCGTGTGTTGTTTTTTACGCCTACACAGACCTTCCTTGACGAGCATCAGCGTCGGCGTATTATTGTTTTGAGCATCGGTGGGAAGTGGTGGATCGGTGTAGATAGGTATTAATAGGACGTCGGCCACAGACAGACCCAACTCCTCCATGAACTCGGTTCATTTAATCAAGCACTCTCTCCCTCTGCCCCATCCTCGTTTTCTTATTCCGTCATCAGGACAACTGAACATGTTCCCAGCGCCTTGCCACCAAAAATGATAATCCGCTTGGAAAATCTTCACATGCCATTTCTCCCAACTTGGTCCCCCTTTTTCCATCCATTGCTTTTTGCCTTCCCTATAGAAATCCCAAGCCATCAATCTTACTTTCAGCCAAACCAATCCACCACAGCGTACCGTTACCTCACCCTACCCCTACTGGTACCTGCGTCACCACCATATTATCTAATACCACGCAATACTGCGATCGTGATTCCGTTGGTTCCCAATCCAACAATTAGTGTTGTTGGATGCTGCCCCACACGCACCCCATGCCCACCCAACACCTCGGTTCCAACGTGGCAATATCGCAGCAAAGTGGGTACAAAAATGATATGCAGCCCGGGATGTTCGATGTAGTGTTTATTGGGTAGGTTTACGGCTTTGGGCGTTTTTGTGCGCGCGGTTGGACAGGAGAGGTTATGGAGGGTGGCGATCGGACATGTATGGTAGTTGGGATGTTGGGATATTGGGAGTTCGAGTGGAGGGGATTACGAGAGGAAAGGGGGGCTTGAGTTATGGGTTATGAATGGATAGGTAGGTTTTGTGAGTTATTCTGAGGGTTGTGCAATGGTAGAGGCTTTTTGATACCAACACAGTGGAACGCTATGGTTGGTTTATTGTGGAGATATCCAAAATCAACATTTGTGAGGGATAGCTGGGGAAGCTTTGTCTTACGCAGTACTATTGGAATCTCTACGGTAAAACCGACTCGATTTTACGTGTGTCTAAAAGCTTAATACGATATCTGATAATCTACCTAGGTACTTATGTCAATTCCCCAACACCACCAATCCTCATCCCCACCTCCAATCATTCCTTCTTCTTCCTCTTAGCAGCCAACCCTTCCCCCATGGCAGCTGCCACATCCTCAATAGTACGACCTCTTTTCCTGCGTTCAGTTTTCTCTTCTCCGAGAATGGTGTCTTCGGCAACGACCTTGTAAAGCGATGCGATTTCTGTGAAAATGCCTCCGGTGCTTGGAGTTTTGGAGGACGACGATGGGAAACCGCCCTCTTCGGCGTGGGTTTGGGATATTTCTTCCACTGTGCGTTGGGAGAAGGGATATGTTAATTTTTGCTGCTCGTATGCTTTGGTGTGAGGGGATAGGAAATCAGAGGAAGGGGGGAAAGGGAGGAGTGGAACTCAGTGCTGAGAACCCTCCTTTTCTTTTGGGAACAGCATAAATCAATGGGATAGGTTACGAGGAAGTAAAAAACAACAGGAAAAGTAAAACAATATATCACTTACTCTCCCTAACCCACCGATATGCCTTCGGCGGCATTCCCGTCACTCCTCCCGCAGATTTCATCATCCCAGGCATCCTCTGCTCCAACTCCCCCAGCAATAAAGGCAAAACACCTAAATTCGACGCTGTAGTAAAAGACTGGATACACAGCGCCGTGAAGCCCTTCGCCAGGCTTGCAAAGCAACATTTCAGGCCAGAAGCGATGCCAATTTCGTCGGAAATGTGGTTGAGTCCGAGAGTTTCCGATAAGTTGCTAAAGGAGGCGGGAACTGAGGATATATCCCCGCAAATGGGGATACTGGGCTTTTGCCAGGTGGATGTTGTAGGTGGGTGGGAGGAGACTGTTGTGGTATTTGGAGGGGCAGATGAAGCCTCCGGTTTGGGATGTGGTGCGCCGCCAATAATGCCGCCGTCGAGGAATTTGATAGAAGGAGATTTGGTGGTAAAGAGTTCGGCGATGGAACGGGCGCTGCTGGGAGATATGGCATTCAGGTCGAGGTAATACAGGGGCGTGGCTTTTGGTGGTGAGCGGGCGTTGAATGCTGCACTGATTCTGGTTGCTATGTAGAAGGCGTCCCTGGGAGGGACGATGGAGAGGATATAATCGGATTCTGCAACGAGGGAGGTGTCATCTGGGACAATCTCGACTCCTGCGTTCTGAGCCCGAATCCGGGTATCTTCGCTGATGCGGTTATTAGTTTATAGAACACTTAGAAATATACGGATTGGAGGACAATCACTAGATATACCTGTCATAAGAACGAGCAAAAAGAGAATAACATGACATGAAGGTCAGGAGCGGGTTGGGTAATCTTCAACCGGGCTTGTCGTTGGGCAGACTACAGCCTACATTTTCATAAGATCTCGAAGTGGGAACAAGAATCTAAAATCAATCGCAGATAATAGATAATCACTTGGACGTACCTCCGTCCCTCTACATTGGTGACAACTCTGAAGTTATGAGCGATAAGCAGCTTCGCAATACCCATCCCCATTTCTCCAATGGATAGGATGCCTACCGTGGCTACAGGCGATGACATACTGAGCTAGATTCCGTGTCAATATTAAAAAAGGTCGGTTGAGAGACTGAGGAACTTGATCTGGAAATGAAGTTGAGATATTAAGTACCTAGGTATGTTCATGAAGTTGAGTGCAAAGGTGGGTGTGGTGGGTAAGCCGGCGTTAATCGGATATAAGAAAATAGTGTGATTCCAACTATAATCTCGTTATTTTGTAACTTTCGGCCCCGCTTCCGAAGTATAGAGATCGGTCATTCATTGCTATAAATAATCTATCCATCCTCAGCATGAAGATATTACCAAGGTGTAGATCGTAACTCCCGGGGGAGGGGGGAAATATGAAGAGCTACTCATTCGAAAGCAACGCAATGTGATGAAGGAAAATCGTGATAGAAATTCCAATCTCACAACATCTTGTCATTAGTTCTATTCATAGCGTGCATACCATCTAGTTGCTCTATAACCCCCAAACCTCACTAATCTCATTCACAACCAACTCAGGAACCGTAATAGGGAATTCATGACCACCGTGAATGACCCTCCATTCGACATTCTCCGCTCCAATAGCTTCAATTGCATCATCATGCAACTCTTCAGGCACACTGGGCAGAGCATCAGTATACTTATCCAAACAACAAAAACCACACAAATTTAGTTGGTATCAGGGGAACTCACATAATAGGATCCGTCTTGCCCGCAATAATCAAAACCTTCTCCTCCAACTGCCTCAACGACTTCCACACCTCCGCCTTCCCCGAAATACTAGCAAACTTAATGGAGCTAACAAAACTCCTAATAAACCCCTCATTGTTGGCAATCTGCCACTTCACCGCACTAGCAACCGTAACATTCGGTCGATTCTTGCTCAGCGGCACACTATTAAAGTTTGAGGTATCAGCATCCTTAATCTCCTCCGCAGCAATGACAGCTTCAGGGGTAGCTTTGCTTTTGCTCTTCATCAATTTCTGCGCCGTGGTAGTGTTGGGAGGACCGCCCGTCAACCTCCGTCTGATAATCCATTCCAGCACGGGATCTGGGACGAGTCCAGAGGAGAGAAGTTTACTGCTCCACCCGAAATGCTCTGGGCGCATTAACCCCGCTGGAGCAAGCAATACAAGCCCCTTCACCAGTGCAGGGAAATGCGCGGCGAAATCAGCGGCGATGCCTCCGCCTAGTGAGTAGCCTACCACGCTGAACCCCTCCGGTGTCCATGCTACGGAGGATGAGGTGATGGCGAGTAAGATTTCCGTGGTGTACAATCGAGAATCGTGCGGCAGGTCGGGACTATCGCTGTATCCTCTTCCCCAGAGGTCGACGAGCATCACTCTGCAGCCTTTGGAGACAAGTGTGTTGGCAATCCCGCCGAGTGAGATACAAGGCGTGCTGATGCCATGGAGGAGGAGCACCCTTCTTCCGGTCAATGGACCCCATTCATATACTCTGATCGATCCATACTAAATGATTGTCAGGCAACCGTTTTATGTCAAATTAAATAGAGAGATGACACGTGATCATACGTACCGGACTATTTACGTCCCTGGCGCCAGGGAAGATGTCAGGGGGATAAGGCAGTTCGCCTTGTTCTTCTTGAGAGACTCTGGGGAGAACAGTAGTCCTCGGGCTGGCAATGATCTTTTTGGGTGTGGGTTGGATGGTTTTTGCGAGGGCGACGACTGCGAGGGTGGTTGCAACTGACGAGGCAACGATGAGGTAGCTGTCTCGACTGAACCCCTGACAAACCACCCGATGAAATATCCTCTCCATCGTGAATAAGGAGATGTTGGTGCAGAAATCTGCTTCAACTGTACTTTTGGACGGAGATGTTCGCGCGCTGAAAGAGTGGCTCACACACGATGGTGGTGACGCCTTTCGGTACGTACCGAGGTAAAATTCTGGGTCTTAGATTGTAGTTGTCCGCTAGCACGTTTGCTCGCACTTCATCCATGTAATTACCAAAGCAAAACATTGGCTCATGTCTTTAAATTTACTATTTTGTATGATTTATATTATTGGCGCATCGCCATTGCTGGCCTACTTTATCGTCTTACTTAGGCTGACGTATATTTTCTCCCGGTTCAATAAACAATGCTATCGGACACTAGGTAGGGAAGGTTGCTACGTAGGTGATATTAACACAATCATTTATGTCACAACTATCATCATATGCTCCGCAAGAAGTTTATGGTTTATAAATCGCCACGAGGCTTATGTATTCTATAGCCATATCGCCGACGTCCTACTTCACAACGAAAAACACCTATATAAGGACAAAACTTGAACAGGTGGGTAATGTTATACTGGTAACAAGTTCCAAAATTGATTGCCAATAATGTAACGCCTTCATTGAATTCATAATCTACCCCGAGCCCCTGCCTGGACATGAAGAAATAGTGACATATGCATCATGGTATCTATCGCAAATGGAAATCGTCATAACCGGATATCTATAAAATAAATCGTACGCTGAAAACAAGAATTCGACGGGCAGTACATCATTGTGGACTGTAAAAGGGTATATTGGGGGTTGGGTGGCCGTAAGAAGAGTTGCTTGCAGGAGTGCGACTCATTGGAACTTGTGGGTAGCTTTGGCGTTGGTCTGGCATCGGATCGAAGGCGAATTCAACGTTATTGATACCTAGGACATTCGTGGTTGGATATTGTGATACAGTAGGTGGAGCAGACGTGAAATCCTGATTCATTGAAAATCCAGAAGCATGGTTGGGATTGTAATTCTGGGCTGGGACCTGGTGAGGGAAGTCTGTGTCCAGAGATCCATATACAGGAGCTTGGTCCATTTTAGATTGCATAAATCCGGTATCAGCGGAGCTAAACGCTTGGCCCTGGTTGACATGATCAAGGTGGCTGGCATCCAACGATCCAAACACGCGTGGTTGGTTCATGTGGTGCATATTAAATGCATTGGGATTTGAGTACATGTTGTTTTGGTTGTACATGGCTTCCGAAGTTGCTGCTGGTTGTAAACCATAGTTTCCAGTTGGCCCAGCGGTCGAGAATGCAACAGGCTGGACAAATCCTGATGAAGCCAAATGCGGATTCATAGGCATATGAGGTGAAACACTATCCATATTGAACGGGCTCGAGGACTCCATTTTAGCTCTTGTGATTGGCGTGATTGGTGTCACAATTTGCTCGACAGGGCTGATGATGGTGGTTGCATCCACAACTCTCGCTTCCACCAGTTTTAATACAGGCAAGCTAATGTGCTCCATGTGCTTCGCTAGATGCACTGTTAACTTCTTCCACGTTGCAAAGGACTTCCCACAGAATTTGCACGGCTCGTCCTGTGGCCGGTTTTGAGTCTCGTGGTGGCACTGCTCCAGCATCCTCCAGGCTGGCTCGGTCAGCCGCGCCTTCTTGATCGCAGCCTTGGTCTTCTGCTTCGGCTCTGGAAGTTTGTGCTCCCGGACAAGATGTTGCAGGAAGTTGTCCTTGCGATAGCAAGGGTGTTTGCAGTCTTCCACTTGACATATCCACCATTCCAAATGCCGATGTCGTTCATTTTCATGTCTGACCCAATCGGCTTTCCTCTTGAAGGATTTGGGCTCCTTGCATTTATCGTAGGTACAGGTGAAAGGTTGGACATCTTCATGCACGTGCTTTGTCCAATCAGATGGCTTCTGGAACTTCTTAGATTTGAAGCAGAGCTGGCATTCAAACTCGGCCGGCAGAGTGCGTGTTGGAGGCACTGGGACACCCTGAGGAAAAGTGTCATCTGTAAGAGCACCTTCTCCGGGATTTGAGTCATCGTCAGAGAAATCAGTTACAAGCTGCAAGCCAAGCCCGGATTGGTCTGGCTCCCGAGGGTTTCCTTTAGCATCCAACAAAGTGGTACTCCCTCCCAAAGCGAGACAGTGACGGCCGGCTGAGCAGTTGCGGTTTCCGACAGCTTGAAAATGCTTAACTCTCAGGTCAAGCAAATTCTTGTACCTAATCTCCTGTTGATGTGCGATCCTACTCACAAGCCAATTGTATCGAGAGTCCATATCAGGGTTCAGCCGTCGAACGTGGACCTTGAATCCTTCATAGTTTGGGATGATAGGTTCTCCAGATTCTACCTTTGGGTCGCTGTCGTCTCCTTGTTCATCCTCATCATCCTCATCGTCATCTTGGTCATGGACCTCCGCTTGTCTCATTTCTGGCTGTCTAACCTCCGCATCGACAGGAGGCGAAGCCAGGGTTGGAAGGGGAGGGCCTCCATGCCCTCTCCACAAACTCACAAGGCTCGTCTGTGGGGGGTTTTCCGGCGGTAAAGTTAATTCACTCTTGCTTCTATTGCGCTTGATCACCGATCTCGGCCAGCCAAGGTGACTCGGACTTTTGGGTGACGTTGGGGTTGCACTGAAAGAGCTGTTGCGTGCATGCGCTGTACCCCCTACAGCTGCGAGCGGGCCTGCCATTGCCGCAAACGCGGAGGCGGTGTTGGCGGTCGGCGTCTGTCGCCGGCCAAAACTTGAAGTCCGTGGCGGAGGAGCAAGGTTTCCTTGGTTATTATAACTCGTGTCTACTGGGCTCTGCGCTTCGTCGGGTATATTTTGGGCACTATGAGCTCGCTTGAGTCTACTGTCGCTCCTTTTACGAACGATACTGGCTAAACGGTCAAGTCCCTGGTCAAAAATGCTGTTGTGGCGCGTCCGATTGCCCTCCCTTGGTTTGTTAATGGCCAGCTTTTTCAGAAAGCTACCATCTGAAACAGCGTCGAAATCAGCGAGACTAGGCTCACTACGCCGGCGAGTTCCCCACGTTGCCGCCCTTGAGGCTATAGAAATGGTGTCCGCATGGAATCTGAATTCCCTGATAGCATCATTGGCCGTTTGAGGCTGGAACATGGTCGTCGTTATATGAGGCACTGATGGAGGGTCATACCATTGCCGAGGCTGGCCCATTAATTCAATGTCGGCCTGGGTGAGATCGATGTTGTTAGGATGATAGTAGACCTGGCCCTCGACTAACTTATTCTCACGTATGCTGGCAGCATCATCCACAGGAGCTATGTCATTGTCCTCCTCAGCCGGATCTTGATGGGCACGAGGTTCCGATTGCTGATACCAATTCGGATTATTGAGAGGGAAGTATGATTGGGTTGGTTGCTCATCTTCGCCCTCGCTGCTACCGCCTGCCTGCGATCTCCATTCCTGCACCTCGATATTCTTGTGAAGGATGCGCCGCTGTTCTTCTTGTTCACCCAACGTCGGCATTTCCTCGTTTGAAACCAGTCCTCGGCTTTCTGGGTCTAATCCAGCTTGACCAGTCCTGTCATTAGATCTCCACGATCCATCGTCCTCACGGAAAACAGGGAATGGCGAGGTGGGTGAATTAGTTTGACCTAATGCTTGAGGCACAATATCTTCCATGTTGGTATAGCCCGCGGTGGGCTGTACAAACGGACCGCCCTGGTTCTGTCCGTAACCGTGTTCCCATTGCGACACGGTAACATGTGGACTCCGATCAAGGTCGGCCATAGTACCCGGCTTGAAACCCTCCGCGCTGGTATGACTGCTCCCGCTTTGATCTGGAGTCAATTGTAAAGCAGACTGGCCCGTTGGCGCTACAGTATCCGGCTCTTGTGACGGTTTTTTGTATAGGTCGTTGTTCAGCTCGTGCTGGGAGATGGTCGCTTCCGCGTTTATGTCATTGACCGCAGCCCCCGGAGAAGGTGTGTTGGCCAAGCTTGTATGTATCGGACTTAGGGGATATGTCGAAGCCGTGAGCGTATCAGAGGGCGCTTTGCGCTCAAGTTGGGCTAAAACGTCTGGCAGATGTGGGTCCGAGTTCTGTGACTGATATGAGACTTTGCCCGCGAGGTTCGAGGGGAGGGAGTCTGTTCTCTGGACACCGGCGTCGAAGTCCACACCAAGGAACTGGTCGAATTCGCTGAAATCGCTCGGTTGGTAGGGACTATATTCGGAATAGCTTTCGCCAGGCGTGCTATTTACGTTGTTGGAAGGGCTTGCTGAGTTGCTGGTATTGTGAGAGGGGTGGAAGGGCGATAGATGGTTGTTATCGAGGAGGGCCGAGTACAATTGGGGATCGTTTTCGTTCAGCTCCAGGTCACCAAGGAACTCTTGGGGATCTTGAGGGTCAACGAAAGCGGAGGCAGAAGTGGTTTTTGTTGTGGACGACATCTGCATGACTGGGGGGCCAAAACAAGAGTAGGAGGCTATGTCGTCCCCAGGAACGAGAATAGATATATAAATGGATTGATATGGCCGTGCTGGCCGGGCCGAAGACAAATCGGGGGGAGAATGGTGCTGTCAAGAAGCATACGGCGATATCTGGTTCATGTTGTCTGAGTGTGTAACCTGGAAGATGGGGATGGGGATGGAGATGATGGAGATGGGGTCGTAGGGCGGGCGCTATAATAATCGGTGGGTTTGCGGCGGCGGTGCGGTGCGGTGCGGTGCGGCGCGACCAGATAGAGAGGAACAATACGCGCCAGAGCGGAACGTCGCGGCGGCTATTGGGGGGTGTTATACAACGGCCAGGTTCATTGATAGAGTATCGGGCTCCTAGAAACGTGCAATTGCAAGCAATTAAATGAATTGCACACAGACGAAGGGAGGGAAGGAGAGAAGAAGGGAAGGGGGGAGACACGAAGGAAGAAGCAACGCCGCCATCGCTGTAGATGTTGGTGATGGCCGCTAAGCGATAACACTAAAAGAGACCAGAGAACGCCTTACGGGACCTGGATTGCTGCTGTGACGATGATGGCGGCGCGGTGAGTCGGTGACCTGGAAGAACAGGGCAGGGCTGGGCTTGAACTGAAGCTTTGGAGCCCTCGACCTCTCAAGAGTCAAGACCTCGGGGCCCAGTTCCAAGGTCCACGGCTCAGGGCCCAAGGCTCGAAGACAGGCTGTTCCCCTGGCTGACAACACCGACGGAGCCCAGTAGTGCTGGATGAGCCTCGATAATTGTGGCTGTGCTGCATTTCTCTCTTCTTTTTCCGCCGGATCCACAGCCTGATGACCAGAGAGCAACAGGATGACATGATATGAGACTGCTTGTATCGATATCTTCCATCACTACTCCGTACTACTCTTGTTTATGCATACTGTTCGCGGGCCGCCAGCGTGGTGTTGGCCGGCCCTCGTGCTTCTCTCGCCCTACAGCACCGGAGCCCCTTGCGCTGAGACGCCGAACTTGCTTCGTGCTCCGGAGGAGTCTCGCTCTTCATTCATGCGAAATAACTGCTACAAGCACGAGCTCCTCCAGCAGACGATTCCCTGAAGCTTTTGACCGGACTCGGCCCAAGTGCTACACGGCGATCGAATTGTGGTACTAGTAGTACTAGTCACAAGAAAGTAAGAGTTAAGCACAGCAAATACTCAGCCCCTTCAACTCTACTGCCCCGCCACCCCGCTGCCTCTCCAGGACTCTCCTACAGGACTCCATCCAGGACTCGAGCAGCTGTGCCACGATCCGCCCCCAATCTAGCCTCGTCGTGTTTCGGCGAATCGTATCTACTCGAGTACAGCGTCATCCAAGCCTCTCGACTCTAAAGCAACGCCGCGGAGGGGTTCCGTTCTGCACTGCAACAACGATATGCGCTGTCCAGTCTCTCGCCAGCTGTATCAGACGCAACAATATATCCCTTGCTGCCGGAGGAGCGCAGAATGCCGAATTACCGCAGTTCAGCTAATGATCTCGAGCTTCATGGCGTGGGACTCTTGACTTGAGGTCGGGTCTTAATTCATCTACCTCTTGCATTCACTATGAAGTCGGGAGGCCAGTGACAAACTGCAGGCAGCCACGCTTACCATTAAGGACTAGAATCTTGCATTTATCCAACAAAGCACATGTCCATTACAGAAGTACAATGTTATCACATTTGAATGAACCAGCTCAATATTTTAGTCAAACCCAACAGTATTCCGCCTACCCCGTAGGGCTGTCTGACAAGTAAGCTTACAAAGAAAGGCCGTTGTAATAAATAGACGAACTAGTGCTTGCCGTTGGCGGAATCACCAAGGTGCTATATAGTGCAGCTGAGGATGCAGGGTCGTATCACTCACAGTACCTGAATATCCTGGAAATTGGAAACCGACTCTAGCATTGCAGTCTAAATCGAGGCAAGGACGCAGTAAATCGTGTCCCATTATCTCGTTGGATTCCGTGCTAGGCAACCACCCTGCATATTGTTCTTGTCATCGCCATCATCATGAGCCACGTCCATAGCCTTGATTCTGAAATCATTACCAAGCGAGTCTATGTAGACATCGGTGTCTTTGAGTTCTGGGAGGCTTGGTAATGCAAGCACGTTGAGATCAGTCTTATTATTATGGTTACTCTACCTAGCAACACCAATCAGTTAAGGGCTGGAGACTACATAGCATCGAGCTAAGCTAAGAAAAGGCTGTGAAAAGGATGTGTCTTAAATCAATGGCATTCTCTATTCTTGTATTAATACCCTTCACTCAATCCCACAGTTCCTCTAATATAAATTGATAGTCTTTTGTCCTCCAAATAGGTTCATGTGCAAGGCACCACCAAGTTTCTAAATATCGACAGAAAAACATGCGGAAGGGAGGGCAAATATAGCACTTGATATTAATTATTCTCTCCTGGGCGGCTTCTGAACAACACGTGCCACTCTTTCCTAAATGCTCAAACAACAATGAATTCACATAATGGTTGCAAATGCAATCCAGTTCAATATTCACCACACTGAGGGGTCTTCAAAGCTTAGAGTACCTAGGTACACAGGTGGATACAAACCAGTCAACGACCCGTTTGGGGTAGCTAGGAAATATAACCGAGGACGGGTCGACATGCAACGAAAGATACCTATGATATGCGTATCTACCGGTAGGCGGCTAGTGGACAAGCAAAGAATCCGCTAACCCGGTCGACATGCAACAAATAATGGTATATGTGGCTAGTGGACAACCAGAAAATCCGCTAACCGGTCGACATGCAACGAAACACATAGTCATTTAACGGCCAGACGTGGATTTCTTCACCGACGCTCGAGATGTAACGAAACCATATCTTTCTCTTAGTCCTTGGCAGGTGCGAAGAACAGAGAGGCTCCATTAAGTTGGTCAAGATCCAATAGCATCAGTAAGCTTGATCTAATTTGGAGAGAGGAGCATTAGGTTAACACTCAAAGTGCAATAGTTACTGTGCTACACAGAGATCTAGTAAGCACTCCTCGAGTTAAGTTCAAAATAGTTAAACTCTTTGTAGTAGCACAGCTGCAACTACCAGAAAGTGATAGTGATTCACCCAAACGTTCGAAATGCAACGAAATGTGACCTTGCTTCTCTTAAGTGGAAAGCATACAAGAACGAGCAGGATGATGGAATTCACCCTTAGAGTTCGAGGTGCAACGAAACTTGAACAGCCAAGGGTAAAAGAAAACTATATATTCTGCGCGGGGTATTGAAACAGCGATATGAAACTTGGTTGAAGTGTTACACTGCAAAAAGGGGTTGCTTGTATCCAGGTAACTAGGTATCAACGAATGATCAATAAATCTGCTCGATCGCTCAAGATACAGCGTAATAAAAATCTAGAGCCAAAACCTTATACCAGCCTGTGGTTACAGTAGAGGGTTCAAGTAAGGGAAAGTGATTTGGAGATTCGGCGGCAAATAACCCCTCCATCAAGCCCCAGAATGGACATATCACCACCGCTTCAACAACACCCCACTGAACTAACTCAGGCAAGTCACGGAGGCAAAATAAACGAAAATTGGAAACCACATCCTAGTTGGTTCAGGGTCGACTTGTTTCAAATAGTAAACAGCATCTTTGATGAATGAGGGGAAGAAGCCGCCGTAGCAGAGTATGGAACAGAGCTAGGTGATGGGTGTACTTCGTAGTTGGTGCGGAGGTTGTTATATTTGAAGTCGGTTCTGCAAGAGAAATTAGAGAAGTAGTAGGAGTATATCTCACCCTATGTGCCCTTCTGTGGGTCTCAGGAAAGGGTCCAAGAGACCTCTATCCCAACATGTTGATCAATCACTCGAATGCCAGGATCTGGGTTGAGATCAGATGGTGCTCAAATGTATACAATATGATATACGACGACAGACCATTGTTTCATAATTTAAATAAAATATCGGTATATAGCTTGATCTTACAATTAATTTTGTAATTTTGGAGCTTCGTGGCTTGTATCCCATGGTAGACGTTCGCGGCCTCTTGATTACCATCCATGCCTTGACAACGAGCTCCCATCATATAGCCAGCTATGTAGCATATATTCTCTATGAGAATCACTTCGACCACCAACTTTATAGGGATCGTTTGCGACCCTTTCCCCTACCTGGGAGAGAGATGGTGGGTAGACCCAACCTTTATAGCCCCAACCTTTATAGCCCCAACCTTTATAGACCGACAAGGCCTGTCATGCCGTATAGCCCACTTGGCCAGTTAAGGTTACCCAACCCAAGCGTTAGGCTTACCTTCCTCCCCATATCTTCTCTCCTTCCCGTGTCGAAGGCCATATTCGGTATTTCCTTCTATATTACCCATTAATCTCCCAACTTCAGCGTTAACGCAACCAAACTAGCATAAGCTCCGACAGTCAACGCTGTCAAAACAACCACCGCGTTCCCACTCGTCCTAAACCGCTTCTTCCCCAACCCATCATCCCCCACCTCGCTGAAAAATTGTTGATTCCCCTCATATCTCCTATACATACTCACAAGCAATACCCCCGCCCCATATGTCGCGAACAGGGCGCCTATAGAATAAAACTCCGCCGTGAAAATCTTGAGGACCACCAGCGCGAAGGAGAACTGTCCCAGCGCTGTGCGAACGTATGCCCCTTCGAAGGTTCGTTGTGCGGCGCGGATTTCAACCATTCTGGTCGCAAAGTATTAGCTTGTGGCTCTTGACGTGGGGGGGGGGGAGGGGGGAGGACTTACTCCTCAGCTGTAAGAACCACCGACCGCGCACGATGAAGTCTCAATTGCAGATGGTCCTCAGGATGAGGCTGGAGCGCGTGTATTAGTTCCATGCTGGATTCTCTAAGAGGGGTCTTGAGAGGGGCAGCGGACGAGGGTAAAAGATAGGTGAGCGCGCCGCTGTCCTTGAGTGGTAATGAAGTACAGCATAGCCTTACCTGGAACATGCCTGCCAGATGACCTAGCAGCGCCATCTTGCCTGGCTTGACGCCTTGCGAGTACTAACTGGCCGTTGGGTTCGTTTGCAAGCCAGGAATGAGCCCCGATCTCCTGCCTGTTTGCTTGTTCGGCGTGGGGTTGGTCAGCGCCGCGAGCACGACATACGCGGGAGATAAACAAGCGAACCGCAGCTCTCAGGGCTGTGGGTGTTTGGCGAATAGATTGGCTTGGTACATATACGGAAGGTAGTAATAAGGAAGACAACAAATGGCTCGTCCGTCAGTTTGCATGGAATTCGAGGAAGAAGTTGTGAGATCTGGCGGTGACCGCAGCGGGGGCGAGCGGGTGTTTTGCTTGACATCATGTGACTGAGTGATAGAACTGGCTAAACAAATTCCCGTAATAGTCGTGTTAGGTGGGATACCTGCGATTACGGAGGTAGACATCGAACGATTGGTTTATACTATCGTCATTGCAGCTTCCGCGTGATGCTACATGCATAGTGATGTTTCTAGGCTATGCCTTATAATTCGGCAGGACGTTTACAAAAGGTACTCGTACAGATACTACCGGGACAGGCATAGAAAACCCAATGCTAAGACTAAAAGGCTGGAGAGGGGTCAGTACGACCAGGGAGCCGGATCAGGTCAGGAAAGCGCGTTTGGATCAAACCGCATCATCTTTGTTCTTATGGAGCTCATTACAAACATCCTTCATCATCTTAAATGCACCGGCCATGCTGCCATTTTCTTCCTTCGCAAACCAGTTAATGTTTTGCCTTTCCCACCCTTGTTATTCGAATTAACTCCGTAGCAAAGCTCGAACCCCATATATCCCGCTCGTTTTCCGTAGCACCATTATCTTTCCCCCAGACCGGGTCTTCATAGCGATTCGTAAGTGTCATTAATGTACAATATACAGCAGCGACGCCTCATTTCAATCCTGCTGTTGGGTGTTTTCCCCTGGTCTCCATCTCGGTCTGCTCGTTGTGTCTGCTGTCCTTATAACCCTCTGTTTCTTGCACCAAAATCACTGTTGGGGGAATGCCGGCCATTTGCAGGTTCTGTGTAGCCCTCTTCGGCATGTGATCGAGGAAACCAGTCAATTTCTTCCCTTATTTCTTAGCTCCGAGCACATCTAAGCGAAGTCCAGTATGTAGTGTGTGTAATTCATGCTGCCAATTTATACGGCACTTCTACGTTTGTTTCCTTCTCATCGACCTGGATGTCCGGAAGGGGGAGGAGGTTGTTGGCCTGGATAATACATTCCCGCCGTGGGTTCTCCGTAGCCATAAGTTGGAGCCGATGCATGCACATCTCCAGCGAAAGCTAGCGGACGAGGAAGTGCCTCGTTGGGTGTGGTCCAGGAACCATACCCTTCGCTGCTGGAGCCAGCTGGCTTTTGATACGAGTATGGTTGCTGCCAGCTCTGGTATCCTGCTGCGGGCAGAGGACTTGCGGATTGGGGGTGAGGGAGCGTTTCGTTCGCAGCTGAAGGTACGCTTGGGGGTATCATACCGCTTGATGGTGTTGCTAGTGGGGGTGGGTACATGCCGTGAGCGCGGGGTTTGGTGGTATAATGATCTAGGACGGGATTCGACGGGGCTTGAGTATAAGGCGCATATTGCTGGTGGTTTTGCAAACCTTCCAAGTTGCTATACGAGATTGAACGCTGAGGGACAGACCAGGATAAATCGTCTCTTGGGCTAGGCTCTGCTTGAGGCGCCGCCCAGTTCTGTGGGGGTGGTATCTGTAAGCTAGGAGTAAACGGTGAGAAGGCGGGCGTGAGAGGTGAATCTTGCGGGTTTGGTCGCCAGTACGATTGCGGCATTTCTGCTTGATGCTTGATGCTAGGTGAAGCATCTGGGGCCATCCAGTTGGTGGCGCCATGATTGTAGTCAAAGTTCCGCGATGATGTGACCACTGCAACTTTGTCAGGGAAGTTGTTGCCAGAGCTCAACGACTTCACACCCTTATTTTCCGGGGAAAAGCTCTCAGTCCTCTGTCGTTTCATCTGTGGGCCTCCAAGATCCTGGATTGGAGGCATATTCAGCGGCGGATAGGGCAAATTGGATGGTATTTCTGGGATATGGCTGGATGACGTTGTAGGTGATGATGACTGTGATGGACCCCCAGGTCCATTTTGAGTCCTGGAATCCCTACGTCTTGGATCTGGCTGCGGATGCTGGTCAACAGGGAAAAAATTGCATTCCTTTTTCAACCTGATACAATTGGAACATCGATTCTGTGGATCCCCTGGTGCTGGAATACATCTAATCTTCCGCCGACGACAGTGGCCTGTTTCGGTCAGTTATTTATTTCTCTAAAGGCGGTCCCAGCGATTCTATCCAACTGGTTGGGCGCTCACCGCATGCGACAGAAGTTCTGTGGTAGCCTAGCTTATTCCTTCTTTTGTCCGCTGATAATGCGAGCGCAGCAGCATCCGCAGTGGCTTGCCCTCGCACATTTGGAGTTGACATCGATCGTTTAATCTTTGTTGACTTAGGGGCCGTCGGATGTCCTGGGTTCTTGAAGTTAGGAGATACCGGCTGGCCTTGGGAAGCTGGATGAGGTTGGGTGTGTCCCAACGAAGGGTGATGGAAGTTGGGAATCAAATTGGAGGAAGGCTCAAAGGTCGAGGTTGGTATGGGATATTGATACGCCAAAGAAGTTGATATGGCATCTGCTCCTGTGGATGAGAACGCGTTCGGTGGATCTCCTAGATTCCACATTCCTGGCTTCGAAGAGAATCGTGTCTGGACAGAGACTGCCATCAATTGCGGTTTCGTCCCATTCGAATGAAATTACAACGGACGGGTTTGAAGGTGAAAAAGGCGCGCCTTCGTTAAGTGACGACTGGCAGGCTCGCTTCAAATGCACTCGATTTCGAGATGCTCGTGTCTTGTGCTGATTTCAACCCCCGATGGTGGATTTGGAAATGGCTTCGAGTGGCCAACTCGTTCAATCGCATTCAAAAACTGGTGACGAAGGCGACGCGAAGTCGATTGAAGCTAGCACTATCACTAGGCCGACGAGTGGCGATTGATAGGATGGCGGGAAGAAGCAACAGCACGGCCAGCTGTGCGCCCGTATCAGGGGAATCCAGCAAATGTGTCTTGTGTCTTGAAGCAAGATGAGGCAAGACCCTTTGTCGACAGGTCTGTGGCTTGGGCTGCGACAGTGGGGACTATACCAATTTGCAAGTGGACAGACCAGTCGAGTCTTGTTCTTGTGAGAGTGTGAGAGTGAGTCGCCGTGAGAGGAACGGCGAATGGGAGGATATTGCTTCACGCCACTCGCAACGATCTTTTAAGGTGGGCTACTCCGTATTGCACCTGCAGGAGGGGAAGACGACGTTAGACCCCGATGACAAAGAGTAAGACATAAAAAGAAGTATGATCCAAGGCGATCAAGATTTCGAACCAAAGGCCAACCATCCACCGGGTTTCAGGAAGCTATTTGTGGCGGGGAATGGTGGTGGTGGCAAAGAAGATAAGGAAGCTTGAAAAGAAGCATATCATATCAGACTGGAGAGATCTTCAAGTGCAGTGGTATGGATCTACTTTAGTGAGTCCTGGAGACCGCCAACATTGGAGGTTCACCTCTGCAACGCCGTGGACCACTCAGTACCACCCCCTGGGAAGTTCGATTTTGATGCTTGTCAGCGCCCCAGCGGCCAGCTCAAGCCCTGGCATACCTTATTATTCAACGCGGGCATCCTTGGCTCTCTTGCCGCCATCTTTCTGTGGTTCTGAAGGTGGTATACTACGCTGCTGCTTTCCACAGTGCCATGCCAGTGGAGCGTCCAGGCTTGTTGAAAGCTAGTCCTAAAGTTCCCCCCAGAGTCCTCTTCAGTGCCCCTTCCATACCTCATCCGTGGGCCTGCCTACTGGCTGGAGGTCTTGGACGACAGCCTCTAGGACTGGAGAGGTTTTAGAAGCGCATGGGAGATTGGCGGAGCACGCCGGAAAATTTGCACTGGGCTCTAACCGTCTGACTATCGGGCTATCAGCTATCAGCTATCAGCTAGAGGGTACAACACAGCTAAACCGCTGACAGGTTAAGCCTCGTAGCAGGCTGGACCTTTTGAGAGCTCCTAGATTGGGCGTTTGAGACAGACAATGAGCCACGAGCCGATTGCAACCGGCTGGCAGTGGAGGGACTGAAGCATTGAAGCGCAACAATATCCTGCCCGGCGGTTCTCAGCATGGAAGCAGTTCGCCCACATCAGCCTCCGCAGGCCATCACATCACCCGCATCTGGGCGCTTTGTAGCAAGACCGCAAGACCTCATCAGCGTTCGATAGTCAAATTAGTGTCGCGCTACGGGCCAGCCAGCGATCTCCTTGGGGCATCAAGGACTAGTCGAGGTTTGGAGGAGACGTGGATGTCTGTCTGGAAGCGAAAACACCCCAGCGCTGAGCAGTGGCCACATGGATCAACATACAGAGTAAGAACCAGCAATGTACCGATATGGGGCGTTGGTATTGGCCGCTGCACTCTCGTGGGAGAAGTAGCGCGCTGGCTATACTTTCGGCCCCCAAGCCGAAGTCTTCCACGGCTCTCCTCACTCGCCATCCGCAGCTCGATACAGTAGCTACCCAGATGCAAAGCAACCTTCGATCTTGGGGCTATCTCACTCTGTGATTGCCGCTTCTTAGCCTCCGTCAACGGGCTTAACGAGTCAATAATGATACAGGACTCCCTCCCCTTTGCCTGCGCACCAGCCTTCACCGTCCAATGCCCATGCGTCTCTCTTGTCCACTTCCAGGATGCCTCTGTCGTGTGGGCGCCTTATCCGTCATTCATTACTTGATACTTGACTGTCACGGTCAAGCCTCGTAGTTCTCTTCTTCCCATTGGTACATGTCTCACGGTCTTACGGTTGCGCCGCTGACTCATGGAAATCATGGATGGGTTTGGAAATTAAGGTACAAGGCCTGGGAACTCAATCCTGCATTATTATTATTGACGTCGCTGTGGATCGTCACTGGTCACTCAATCATCCTTGGTCAATAAAACGATCATACGAAGGACTCCGTGGATTCCCCACATTGTCCACCCCTGATCGCTGCTGAACTCGTCGATCAATTTAGTCCGTACGTGCACCGTACTCCGAATGTGTTTTGACCTCCATCTTCGTTTGTACAGTACATGTACCTAAGTATACTGGCTACCTGTGTGCATGAATTTTGATAGCGAAATAGGCATGTACCTTGGTAGGGGGGTGAGGCTTGGAGACAACAGGGATTTGGCAGGTAGAGGAAATCAGCGAGCATGTAGGTAACTTATCTAGGTAGGTAGGCTATCCAGCTATCCAGAGGAACAATCTAATATTTATAACTTAAAAGGCGATAGCACAGGGTTTTAGATGGCCATCTCCCACAGCTCACCCAGCAGCTCGGCTCACACGCGACGATATAGCAAACTACGGGCGGACATATATCTTATTATCCCATCAATTTAGCTGATGCCTGTAGGGCCTCATGGAAATCGAATTTCAAACGCTTGGCACAACTATAATCGAGCGAAGTGACTTCAGCTGGTCTGTTTCTAGTCCTCAATTGGGATATTGGAAGCGAGAGCCAATAGCAGTGGTCCGTCTGGTACGGATACCAACGGTGCGGACGTTGGATTCATCCCATATGGTTTTGTCCTTACGTCGAAGGGTGGTTGCGGCCAGCGTCCGAGCTAGGGGAGCAAAGACGGATGTTTCAAACTGCAGCGCACGTTCTGTGGTCTCTGAGATCTTAGCTTGTGGAGGAGTCGACAGAACACTTGACAACAGCGGTGCGCTGCAAAGCCATTCGACCAGGATGGATATTTTTAGACTTGGACCAATGCAATGTCACTGACGGGAACGCACGGCTACTGCACGCATGCCACGCGCATGGAACCCTTGAGGATGGGATCACGACCATGGGACAGGAGGCCACGGGGAGCATCAGATGGACCACTTGTTGGCGATGTTGGCCTGTGAGAGAGGGGGCACACAGTCAGACTTCGCTGCTGGTGTATGGAGTATTGTTCTTGTGCATCTGAAGGAGCGAAGGAGTGCAAGTAGCAAGGAATCAGCGACAACGGACGATGCGTAGAGGATGTCAGTGTGCGACTTTTTCCCCGGCTTCACGGAGCGTGATTCCATTATTTGCCGTGGGAGGCAATAATACAGTACGAAGTATTGAAGGAACCTGGGCTCTGGAGTCTGGATTTAGCATTCGGATTATCTTTTGGCCCAACCTTCGACATTTCGAGGGGCGCTTCCGTGATGGAGTACGGAGCATTCGGAATCATAGGGGCACTGTGGATGGAGACGCTAAGGTTAGCTCTGTGTCTCAGTCCGAGGGTTACATAAAAATGAATGGTTGAAGCTTACGAAATACGAAGAACAAAGTACAGAACTGAGCAGAAGGGCGTTTGTTCATTATTATTATTATTATTATTATCCACGTCGTTCCTACATGCCAGCCGCACGATTGCTCTCTATCAAATATCTCCCGCTCTCGCAACGAGTCGCAACAAGGTTTCCAGCGAGACGGTTCAAACTCTACGGAGTAGGATACGTAGCCTTTGAACACCACTGGGCCAGACCCGTCGGAAGTGTTCTACAGTACCACGAATCCACCATTTGGCAGCAATGTGGGGGGCGTGGGGCCTTGAGGCCTTGAGGGAAACCTAAAAGAAAAGAAGGTTTTAATTGTACGTTTGCAACCTGGTACAAAGTACTCCTTCAAGCTCAGCTACTCCTGCTGCTGCTGCTGTTGTGCCGAGTACGGGTATGTATGGCATCTACAAGTCAGCGATTATTCAGGACGCCAACCCAAACTGATGGCACACACCCGCCGCAAGATGGGTCTCCTGGTCGGGTATCCACTATCCTGTCGCATGTGCTTCGATCGATTTATCCACGGTCTCGCGTGGCCTTATAGAGGATACCAAACTATAGGCGATTTCTTACTGTCGACTGCTTGACTGGGCGAGCCGCCACTCTGGAGATCTTCTTGTTATTCTCCGAACCGCCTCCCATCATAGCCTGAGAGCTTCTCGGCAGTACGTAGTAGTTTGCAGCTAACTACTCCTCCATGTCCTCATCGCCGCCGTCTACCCACGGTCTAATATTTATCCCACACTGCTGAGCTACGCAAGGTCTAGGACCGCGGCAGAATACCTTGACCCTGGCTGGGCGATAGGTCAGTTGCGCAAGTGTCGCATCCAGACCTGATATCGGGTTGTCGTGGGATCCAGCTTCAGAGCATCCTGGCCTGCCACGAGTTCAAGAAGCTTTCCATATTTGCCTAATAGCAGATCCTGAGCAGTGCAGTGTGCAAAGCGGGCAGATCCCCCGGCCCTAGCTGGTCCCCAGGCACAGGTCTCGAGTTCGGTATCGATGCATCGTGGGCAGCTCTTTTCATTTCATGACCCGGGGATCGACGTCAATACAAGGCCTTGTCTAATTATCTCCACAGCACGGAGTTTTTGTTCTTCCCACGGACGAAGCACGAATACTCCTGATAGCGAGGCGCTCCGGGAATCTCCGGACGATACGATGGTGATCATGATGCGCTGCACCGGTGGTCATACCTATGTCCGCATCGGGTCTGAGGACAGGCGATAGCTGCTGCGTACCTACCTACCTACGTACATGTACATGCCTCCACTTACCTTCCTTCGTTCGGAGCACATCAGAAGTACGAAGTAATAATTGTCCACGTGGTCGGCATGCAGTCTTCATTCAGCCCAGCACGACCCACAAGCCTGGAGGGGTTGCAACTTGCAAGTGCAAGTGCAAGGGAGGCAACTGCTCCGTACTTTTACTACGTGCCTGTGCTCCTTTCGTATGTACAGATCGAGAATAAAAGCTCGCTGAGAATGGCTACCAGTGAGGATGCTCCTCCGCCTTCACCCAATAGCGACCGGCGGATTGTTTCCGTCGCCGATTCCTTGCAGCGAGTCTGAGACCTCGACGTCGCACGATTGCTAGCTCCGCGCCAAATCAAATGAAGTTTGTTGAAGGAGATTGCGATTCTGGAAAACTGACGCTGCTCCTCCCAGTATCGCCTACGAAGTACTACATAATCCTGCTGCAGAGTCCCTTTCAAGTCTCTAAAATTAGGTGCAACCCAGGGCTCAACGTGGCACTTATTGATTGTTAATCTAGCGTTCAGCAGCTTCAGCTTCGTCTCCGGGATTTGGCTTAACTTGGGGTTGGGTTCCAGCGAGTGCTTTCACCGGCTATTATCATGACGCCAGCCTCAATTCTTCATCCATATTACCGGACGTCATCTCGCACATTCTATTGAATGCCGTTGATGCAGTAGTATTGCCTCCCGCATAATTATCGCGGCCTTTCAGTTCCGCGGGGCTGGTCTCTCATCCCATCCCATTCTGGGGTTATTGGGAGCTGCATGTCCGAGAAATCACGTTTTCATGGCCAAAGTGCTGCTTCCGCTTATCGGTATTTCTCATCTCAAGATCGTCACTACTATCAATGCCGGCCCGTCATGCCCTTCGGACCCTTCCGCATCTTTCTTCTTTTCGTATTCTCATCAATCATTCGTGCTCGTGAGGCAAGGCCCTTCTCACGAACTCCGACTTCCGGATCATTTGGAATATCATGCCACGCACTATTGCAGCATGATTAGATTGCCCACAAGGCAACGATGGGACGCAATTAGTAGCAAAGGCATCATAAACCTAGGTAGTGAACTACGGAGTAGATGTCCCAAAATGAAATTTAGCAGTGAGTTTTTTGGAGCCTAGTTTTCTCAAACTATCGGAGGTATGAAGGGATATTAGGCAGCCTTGTATTACATTGAATTCCAAATTTGATGTAATTTTGGGAGATGAGAATTGCCAAGTTTGGAAGTTGCACGTCGTGTGACCATGACTTCTGTTGTCTTGTTGTTCGAGGCCGCATATCGTGGCCTGGAGCACAAAGTGCATCGCAGACAAATTCTCTTACCCGACCTCGTTTAGACCATATCAAGACGCCCGGAATGGAATATCTTAATTTTGCCTGGCTTCCAATATTCTGACGAGTATTAATTCAATTACCACAATCACTATGACCAACAAGGGCTTGCTACCTCGACGGCGCCAAAGTCAACAAGGTTAGGCTTCCATTGTTGCGGGCTTGATACTTCAGTATGAGATATGCACAATTGATAGAATATCATATTTCTTCTAAGCTGATGCATTCTACAACGCCAAGAATATTGCGCTGTCATATCATATCATCATCTAGCGGTAAGAAGGCTAGTTCCACTTCATAATATCCGACCTTCTAGGCCAACATCATGAGCACGCTTATGCAAGCCATATAAGTACAAGAATAGGTATGAGGCAGAAAAAAGGGGTTTCCCTCAACGATGAAAAGCTCCAGCCCTTGAGATTAATTCACTCTATTTCTGTCTCGTCAGTACTCCCAGGTAACTCAATTTCTTTGAGCGCTGTTTAGATCACAATCTCGAATTGAAGAGCAGAAATTCCTCGTACTGAAATAACTTTCGAATGAAAATTGTTCGCGTGCAATTATGTTTATCTTTACTGTTCGATATCTTAGCTACCGGGTCCAATACCAATATTCAAATCTCTTCGAGCGGGTTAGGCCAGTATTTTGGTCGTTTCATACTGCAGAACACTGTGTTGTTGTCCATTTATTCAAGAGATGGATTTTGGAAATAGCTGCACAGTTAAATCGTAGCTGTATAGATATGCCCAGATGCAATGACATTCTCTGTGGTGGGCCTCAACATTAATCCTGGTCAGACTCTTCATTGTATCTCTTATATCGCCTCCCATCAAGAACAATACCATTTTGCATGTCCTTTGCCCTCCCCCATTCAGCGCAGCTGTTGTGATGGACTATTATTTCAGTTGGTTAACAATCTGAAGCCTAGCTCTTAGGGTAAATATTCTCAATCATGTTCCCGACTATTGGGAACTAGCAAGTTGATGCTTCTCACCCCAGTAGACATGGAACTTTTAAAGCTTAAAAACAACTCGCTAGGTGATAAGTAGATGGTTACCTACATTAATATTCTTAACATAATTAACATTAACTTAGTTAGACACTCCAGCATCGAATCCCCAATCTACTCAACTATGTCTCGTGGTACCCACTTAACTACTGGAAATACAAAATCCATGCTATGTCTATATGTTATCTGCTATGGCTCACTCTAACGCTCGATCTAAGGTTCGAAAAGCAACAAAATATCTTGTACCTCTATGCTTCTTGCCGTGTCTGACTAGATAAAGATTCACTGTGCTATTTGAGGTGCAACGAAGTGTATGATTGTATAACAGTGGTTGCTGCATTTGATCGGGAAAAAATGATTCATTCTACCGTTCAAGATGCAGAGAAAGACACTATATCTCTATGCAGGTTAATTAATGTGGCCGAACAAAAATCCACTCCAACGCTCGAGATGCAATGAAATATGCCATGTCTCTATGCTAGCAGTGCGTGGTACAATAGGTTGGGTAAGGATTCACTCCAGCGCTCGACACGCAACGAAATACACTGTATGTCTATACTGGTTAATTAATGTGACCGATCAAATATTCACTCCAGCGCTCGAGATGCAACAAAATATATATCTGTACGCCTCTTGTTAATTAATGTCTGGTTGGAGAGTGATTCACTCTTAATGTTCGAGACGCAACGAAACTTCCTGTATCTCTGAGCTGTTTCCCGATCAGTCTTTGGGGATATAAAGATTCACTCTACATTCGAGATGCAACGAAAAGTATCCTCTGTTCCCATACTATATACCTCAAAGAGTATACGCTGCTTGTCAAGCTGGTTAAATAAATATTAGCTCTAATATTCGAAATGCAACGAAATCCTGTTTGTTATGTTTTACTCAATAATTATACATCCCAACGTTAAAATGCTACAAAATTTTCTGTATAGGCAAGTAAAATCTTGTATGCAGAGTATGTATCACCGCCAGCGCATGTAATAAAATAAAAGTACAGCATCTACATACCTGCCCACAAAATATATCGCAAACCGTTGAGCTCAATTGAAGGTCCAATGACACTAAATTGTAGAGCTATAGGAGCTTCCTATCCTGATCTAATCACATCGCACATCACCACAGCCATAATTAAAACAATTGCGGGTCATATATTCCTAGCATTCAGCTGCTTTTCTGCAAAAGTCATATATCTCCTTGCAGACATAATCCGTAGTTTCTTGCCCCAGATAATTAGGGGTATGATTAATAAGTTGAGGCCAATTGATATGCAGCCTATGCAAGTGAACATGCCGTGCAGTCCAATGGCGTCCGTCCATGGGTCTTGTGCGTAAACTACAATTGTTGCGAACGCGTTGCGTACGAATGCCATACCGACTAGTGAATCACCAATAATCTGGAATTTTAGATGTCAGTACTGAATAATTTGGAAGGTGTGTGACAGGAAGGCCAAGGAGGGATACTTGCCTCACAATATGAATCTGAGAGATATGTCAAGCTAATATCACCCAAGGAAGTAGCGGTGAAGCCAAACATTGCAGTCCCAATACAAGGCACGATCCACGGCATACCCTGTACAATATTGTACTAGTTAGAGCCGGAGCCTCTCATTTACACTCGGATCAGAGTCGGGAAAGACTTACCGCCGCTGTGCTATATCCATACAAAAGCAACCCAACAGGCCCGACAAGAGCGGGCAAAAGGGCAAAATAAAGACGCATCTCGGGCTCATAGATTCCGCCGTTCCTTCTCGTAAACCACAGAATTGACCAATCGCTCATAGGGCCGCCCCATATAAAGCCAAGCAAGCAACCGATGAAAGCGGGCAGCTGAAGAAGCCCGATGCCGACTTCACTAAAGTTATAAGGGGCAATAACGAAGTATTCTGCTTCGCTTGTGACGAGGATGGAGAACCAGGCTAGAATCACGCCGTATTGTAGCGCTAAATAGGCAATGGCGGGGATGGTACCTATGATTACGAATGGTTGCCAGGTGTGGCGGAGGATTTGGTTAGCTGGGATGTTGGTTGTGGTGGTGAAGGCGAGGCGTTCGCGATAGGGTTTCATAGGAATAGAGTGGTTGATCCCGGTGAAGGAATGGGGCACCACATTTAGAGACCGGGAGGCTTCCATTTGCTTCTTAGCCTCTGCTTCCCCTTGTGATGTTTCGTTTGTAGTTTGGGTACTGTTATTAGGAGAAGTGCGTAAGTCCAGCCTATTTTGGGGGATGAATTGTGTTTCTTCGTAGAAGAACACGAATAATAGGACGTTGATGCCAATGAGGATGGTCGTCCACCAGTACATCCATCGCCACCCCTCAGAAAAGGAAATGAGCCCTGATGCTACGGGTGCTAGGAAGGTCTGCTCGAATAAGCATGTTGCATTTAGCAGTTACTTTTTAATAGAGAGCTTACCCCAATGGTCACCATGAGCAGATACAGACCATTCATGGTACCTCTCTGGTGAACGAAGAACATATCGGTAACCTGTAGTTGGCTTAGCATGTAGAATCTTTGGCCGAGGAGCGAAACTTACTGTCATCTGAACTAGAGTCTCACTCACAGCTCCTGATAGACCAGATATAACCTGGGTTGCTACCATCTCCCCAAAAGAGTTCAGTTTAGCTTGCCAGATGGACATCGCTAATGTAACAATGGTACTTATAATATATACTGGCCTTCTTCCATATTTAAACGTGAATGGTATGAAAATGATACACCCAACAGCCAGGCCGGCAGTGTTTGAAGCAAAAGTGGCATTGAGTTGTGCCCATGACATATCAAGCTCGTCGATATAGTCTTGCCAGGCTGCGGGGCCGATATCGAGTCTATGAAAGCCGCATCAGACAGGATAGATAAATAGAGTATATATAGCAGGGGTAGACGCACATGGTAAAAGTCATTAATGCATAGAAACAAATGATACTAAAGTTCACAAATTTCCTTCGCCTTGACCAATTCTATGGGGAACAGTTACTTGGGTTGAACCATAGTTGATGGATATGGATAAATGGCTACTCACAAGAGGGTCATTCGGATCCTCAGAGGGCTGAGGCTGGAGGAGTAACTGGCCATCACGGTGGCCGGTTGAAATGCCTCCTGCTACTGTGGTCAGCAAGGCATCATGGGATGGATATGAGCGAGGTCAAAGACAAGAATAGGATATAGGGAGTTCATCTGGGCCGGACCACACTCACTCCTTTCTAATCGAACGGTGCCGGGTGCAAATGGCTCTTCGGAGGGACGCTGCTCCATATCTGTGTAAGACACCTCTGTCGGGTCCATTCCCTCATTGGTCATTGGGTCCAGGATGGATGAGGACTTCGTGGCCCACACCCCGGGACGGAGATGCTCCAAATGACAAGGACGTTATTGACCATTGAGATAATTGAGCATCACATTGAATTACGTGAGTGTATCCTCTTTACGTATAAGTATATGCCGGGGATAGCGGAGGTGTAGGGTAGCATTTGCTGCGACGGGCGAAAGCAGGCGTGGGCAGAGAGAGGAAAGAAGAATGTGAAGATACGAGAACGAGAAGGCGTATGGCCAAGTTGAACGGGCTGAGGACAGAGTTCAACATGTGAGATGCAAATGATGATGACGATGATGATGATGGATCTTTTCTGGACGAGCTCCGGATTCTGACAGGGGGATGGTTGATCGCGGTGATACGGTGATACCCGTGGATGAAATCTAGCGGCGCTGATTGGCGGCAGTGAGATCTCGAGCTTCCTCTGCCAGCGCCATTGCCGAAGCCTCTCTAGCCCGAACCGGAAAGCAAACAAACTTTAAACCTCCCTCATCGCAACACACATCGCACCAAAAAGCACCAAAAAGTTATGTTTGTCAAACCTTAACCCTGCCACCAGGGCGCTGATATTTGTGCTGCTCATCGTCATATATGACACTAGCCCGTCATGTCCTCCTGTGTTCCGGCTCTTCCAGGCTCATGAAGTCAAATTTTCAACGGGCGAGAACTCTAGCGATCGTGGTTTTAGGTAGGTACATGATAACGCCAAATATTCTTGTAATCATGAATTGCGTGGGTAGTTAAGGGGCTCCGACCTAAGTGGGTTTGAATATGGCGGTGTTTTGATGTTCTTTGTCATTTCACTCTTGTCCTGGTGGAAATGTCATAAAGTTTGCTAGGCTGTGTCCTACGAGACTTTAAGGGTGAACTTGGAGGATAATGGCATCAACAATGAGTATCTCGGATACCTAGGGTATGAATACTTGGCGCGTTATCTTGCTTGGAGAAACCCCCAAAATTGTTTCCATTCAGCTGGCTCTCACGCCAAGGCAAGGAAAGGTATCGTTCCAACAAAGATAGCACGGGCAGCTGAGGGACGGAATGCAGTAGGGTAAGATGTCGTTGAAATGCCTTTTGCTATCTTGAGGGGGAAGGCATGAAGCACAGTATCTGAATATGGAGTAGCGAGGCCGAAACCCCGCGTATTCCTGTCGCTGTTCATTCCCCTCACCCGTGTCCATGCTTAGCACTTCAACTCCTCTGCTTCTTTGCATTGATCGGATAGTGATTAGGGAATCCCCCATTCCCCTTGCCAAGTTATCCATTGCTGTTGCGTCTCCCTTAGTTCGAGTTGGTACAGAGAGCTGATTAGAATATAAAGGGACTTTCTTGATATCCACAAGGTATTGATTGAGACGGAAGTTGACTTGTTTCCGAAGCATGGGCCGACCATCCATTCTATCTAGATCTCGTTGACTCAAAAATGATTAAACGCCCAGTGGCTTCTCTATAGGAGTGAGTCTATCGGAACATCCCCAGCGCAAAGGCGTTATGCCACGGCAGTCATCCTCGACATGAAATATGGAAATGTTCAAGTCTGTTGCCAGTTAGAGATAGCTTAAGGTTGTCTCATTTTGAATTTTCGACTTCGTCCAGACAAACATACACTCCTTCAAAACAATGAGATTGACAGTGGGGCCCGGGGGACTACCCTAAATCCCTCATATGTGCCCGGCAACATGCGAATGCTTCAACAAGACTAGGCTCTGTTCAAATGACTCAGCGCTGCCATTTCCTCACATTTCGAACGATTGAATCCCATTCATGACTGGCTTTGACACACATTGCGGGCCTAGTAAGTAGGTTTAAAAGGACCCTGGCGTTACACTGTAGAAAGAAAGACACTGCTGGTCGCTTTATTCTTAAGTTTCGAAGCGGCCAATCTATTGAGTTGATGTCAGCAATGTTGTCAGCGAGCGTTCGACGGTGATCCAGCAGCAGCGTGGACGGCAACTCCGCAGCACGTACATAATTGGTCAACAACTGAGGCTTGCAGATAACACCCACCCGTCCGATCAATGCCACATCCGCAGCAGTAAGCTCCGCCATCAAAAGTCACTCTCACAGCCACTCACGGAAAGGGAAAGGCAATAACACTTCCATCTGTCAATCTTACTACAAGCTCTGGTTTAAGCCCAACCGTTAGCTCGGGCGCTGTCGTAACAATTCTTCCCACTACTGCAACAATACGACCAAGTGGCTTCTATTGGTATTGGTAGAGTTGGGAGTGCTCTAATACAGGCCATGTATGGCTTTATTTGCGGTCGTGTCCGCTGCAAACGTCCGAATGCCCTGTATTTAAGAATGGATGGGGCAGTTGTCCCGATGTTGATGAATATCCTTACGGGTTATTCTCCTTGAGGATCCATAATCAATACTTCTTGAAGATATAAATCAATACTTCACTCAAGCGGGAACTATGTCACCTGGCCGGAGGTGACATACCTTTTCGTCAATGGGGCTCGTAATGAACCTGGAACCTCCTTCTTCGCGTGGCGTGGCTGTTGTGCAACACAAGCCCCCATCCCTCGGAAGGCAATTATCTTTCTATTGTCCAGCTTGAATTCCAATTGCCCTGGCCGTCTTGTCTGACCACCATCCCTCCTCTATTTGTCAATTAGTCAGAATGCGTCAGAACGCCTCCCAGCCAAATACCGGTTACTCACACCAGCATCTTCAACAGATACCGAATAAGGTATCCAGCGCGAGACCGAGTCCACAATTATTTGCAGCTTTTGGCCTGATGTGTAGGCTTCCTTGCCGTGGGCCCCCAATATACCTCTGACCAGAATATCCTAGCTACCAAAGGTTGGATATCCTCTCGAAATGGTCCCCCCCCTACTCGTTTGTCATTAGGATCTACGCTACTAGGCAAGTATTAGGACCAACTCCTCTCTCGTTCATTCCAGTCACTGATGAAATATCCTGAACAGGACTTAGATGGACTTATCATCTGATCTAGTCAATGCCATTACTCTCTTCAAGCATAGCCGGCCCGACTCGCCGCTTGTTCAAGGCTTCCGGACTCCCAGTTTCAGCCCCCATGCTATCGTGACACTCCAAACCCAACTGTCGGTGTTGATGGTATCGCTCTGCCGTCTCTCCATCCAAAGTTCCCAACCAATCCAGCATGGCAAAGCTACCCTAGACGCGCTCTTGAAACGGCCCGTTGCCACTATCACGTAGTCTACGGCAATGGAGTTCACCTGATCCACGCTGCGTCTTCCTTCGGTGTTCAAGCCACATGCGGGTGCTACCACACAGAATTATGTCAGCGCTGAAGCCGTTAAGGTTACTTGTAAGCTTCTTTGCAGTCGCCAGAGGCTTGGGTTGTGCTCTATTGCTCATGTAAGCCTTTGGGTTGGCGTCTTGTCCTTCTTCATCAGCCGTCTTGCGCTGCTATTTAACTACTAGTCGGTTGAACTTTTGAGAATCTTCCAACTTCCGAATACGTTTTGGTATTATTGCCATTCAACGCCTTGAAGAGCTGCGTCTTTTTCCTAGTCTATATAAACACCTGTGTTATTAACGCCAAAGAATCGCAGCATCAAACAACCAATCGCCCAATTTACAATCGGTACCCAGTGCCGCAATAGGGCGTCAACCAACAATTCCCCGCAATATAATAGGGAATCACAGCCTCTACTCTCAGTTAAGGTTGCATGCGTTCTCTGCTGGCATCCAACCGTGCTCCTTCGATTTAGAACATTGATATTATCATCGAATCCTTCTGGACAGAGCATTAATCTAATTACGTCCATCCCCATACTTTCGAAAATTGGTCGGCGCCCTTTCTTCGAAACAGATATGTCTTACAACAAGGGCGTCGAGAATTTTAGAGATACCGAGTATCCTATGATGCAAGGTCCGTACCCATATATGGGGCGGCTTCAAAATACTAACGATGAATATCCAGGGCAAATATATCTCGACCATGGGGGCTCCACAATATACGCCAAATCCTTGATCGACCAGTTTTCGAAAAAGATGATGTCGAATTTATACGGCAATCCCCATTCGGGATCCGATCCAGCACATCTGTCTGGTCAAGCGGTAGACCAAGTTCGGGAAGCAACTCTGCGTTTCTTTGGAGCGGATCCAGAACATTTTGACCTGGTTTTTACAGCCAACGCTACAGCTGCCATCAAATGTGTGGCGGATAATTTTCGAGACCTTGCCTTAGCCAGTTCGCCATCCGGAACATTCTGGTACGGATACCACAAGGATGCACATACAAGCTTGGTGGGAGTGCGAGAATTGACTAGTGGAACACATCATTGCTTTGCTAGTGATGGTGAGGTCGAAGATTGGTTAAATGGGCACCTACCTCCTTCTCTCCTATGCAGCGGTGCTGGACTGCCAGGCCTCTTTGCGTATCCTGGTCAATCAAATATGACCGGGCGTCGTCTTCCCCTATCATGGACAGCGAAACTTCGTCAGTCATCCAAGCCATCTCACCAAAATACCTATTCGCTTCTTGATGCTGCCGCACTCGCAACGACCACGCAGATCGATCTAAGTGATGCAAATGCGGCGCCCGATTTTACCGCTGTCTCTTTCTACAAAATCTTTGGCTTCCCAGACCTAGGCGCTTTGATTGTTCGGAGGAAATCGGGACATATCCTGTCGTGGAGAAAATATTTCGGCGGCGGCACTGTCAATATGCTCACTGTTTTACATGAGACAACTGTTCAGCGCAAAGATACAACTATACATGATGCACTCGAAGATGGCACTTTGCCATTCCATAGCATTATTGCATTGGGCTGCGCAATGCAAGTCCACCAGCAGCTATACGGATCCATGTCAAGAATCTCTCAACATACCTCCTTTTTATTTCAACGACTTTACGCCGGCATGGTTGGACTTCGTCACTTCAATGGTCGCCCTGTGTGTGTCCCTTATAATGAGAGCTCAGCAAGGTGCTCCTTTGCGGATCCGAGGACTCAGGGAGCAACAATTGCTTTCAATATTGTTGACGCTGATGGCTATTACGTTGGCCCCTCAGTCGTGGAATACCTAGCCAATGAGAAGGGTATATATCTCAGATCTGGAGGGCTTTGTAATGCAGGTGGGATTGCCAGTTATCTGAAGGTTGAACCATGGCAATTCAAGCGTGCATGGTCTTCGGGATATCGTTGTGGCGCGGCAGGACCTTTAGAGATCATTAATGGGAAGCCTACTGGGGTTGTAAGGGCTAGCCTGGGAGCTATGTCAACCATTGAAGATGTCGACACTTTTGTTGATTTTCTGTTGGTAACGTTTGTGGAAGTACTAGGACATCAGGCGAAACCGCCACAGGAGCTGGTTACCCGTGGTGTCTATCACGATGGCGAAGATTCGCTTCGAAAGGATAGCGGCTTCGCTTCTAGCATCGATGGCAATCCCATGGGAATGTCAACTAGTCAACAAGACCCAGCAGAGTTCTGTATAGAACGGGGTCCTGTGAGGCCTAGGGTGCGCTTAACAAAATCTTTTAGCAACCGTGTGGGGGATTTTGATGCCGACAAGGCCGGTCTTCCGCCTCAGATCTTTCGCCGCGAAACAGAAAACAGTGCGAGAATATCAGCAGCTCAAGCGCTAGCTAATGAGAAAGTAAATATGGACCAAGGACATCGGCTTCGACGTCAGGAGTCAAGAATTTCACTCAAGTTCTGGAAGGGCCCCAAGTCGATTTTCTCAACTGATCGTTAAATTCTATATAATACAGAAGAGTCTATAGCACCACGGCAGATTGTACATCTGGTCGGCGTGTCTGCATTCCACTCATCTAAACCGCTGTTGATCTAGGGGGGGGCGAGTTAAAGTGCTATTCAAAATGTAAATAGGTCTCAAGTTATGAATGTGGAGCAGCTTTGCTCGGAAAGCGACAGTGATCAGCAATTCAGCATTGGGCAGGAGTATAAGGAAACGGTAAAAGTCCACAGGATAGGGTTTAATTATTTGGTTGTCGAACTGCGACTGATTTCCCAAACGATGTTATGAAAACCTGATTGCCACGTCACAGACACTGTAATATAATCCACAGCCAGACCACTCTTCATGGGTAGCCGACATGCCAATCGTCCGGTATATATGCCTATGCTTCAAAGCATCAACATCCTCCCCAAGGTAGCTCAAATCCACAGATATGACAGAAACACCATACGCCATCCCAGCTCTCTCTATCTCTGTTGATCTCCTATGCAAGCCCGGGCTTGAAGATTCGGCATTCAGTCCTCCTCCATCTCGGGTCAGTTTACTGTTATAGTGCTATAGCACCTCTTCGATTTTCGAGGAAATGTAGGTATGCTTGGAAACCACAGCCGACGAGGAAAAGCTACAAACGCCCCAAATATTAGCACCAGCACCCACATGTTTATTCCGACTGTCCTGGAGGTTCGGGAACATACGACATATACCGCAACAGCAGAGAACACCGTCGCGGCAACTGCAGCACCGTTCTGTGGGTCTTCCGTTGAGCCCGTCATTGAGTGGTGGTTTGATTTGAAGAGGGCGCCGATGACGGAGAGGATTACAATTGCGAAGACGGACATTACTATGCTATATTCGGGAAATGGATTAGTGCTTGTGAGCTTTGGGACGGGGATAGGGATGTGTATGGTGGGTTGGAAGATGGAAAAGAGAGGTTGCGTACCAAGACCATGCTTGCATTACCCCGACGACGGGCTTCATCTTGGAGAGTTTGTTGGGTGGTAAAATTGGGGAAGAGGTGTTTTAATGGGATGAGCCCTTGGGCAGGCTGACGATGTGATGAACAGTAGATGGCGGCTGATGTTGTGATGCTCCATGTGAGTCCCTACCTGCTAGCTATCGTGAGGAAGCTGACGTCTTGAGCTTGGCTACCTCAGGCCGAGACAAGGACGAAACCGTAAACCGCTAACCAAATACGGCTTCGCGCAGTGACCAGGTATCAAGTACTTCGTCCTTCTCTCACTCGTTATCCTTTTCCTTTTCCTTTCATCCAAACAAAAAGTATTTATTACGTCTTCAAGTAGCATTTTAGTATGCAATATCTCCCAAAGCAACTCGTTCCCCGCTCTTTGGATGCTTTGGGCCCATAAAAGTATGATCTTTTGAAGCATCAAATCAGACCTCACAAGACTCACAGGTACTGCATGAAGCGTGCCAGACTCCCCAGGTCAAAGACTCGACCTTCTATTGATATATTTGATGGAAGCTCGGCCTACCATAAGCGCATTCGATACCGCCTTCTCTATACTATCCCAAAGTCTTTTCTCATTACCCTGCAACCAAATATCGCGATACTTTGAAGACCGAACTTGTCACAGATCTTCAGAAACCGCCAGCAGACCCTCCTTGGATACTAGATAACAGTGGCTCTGAGAACTGCGGGCGCCACTCAGTAGATTTCCAAGTGGATTATTTTCAGCCGATGGGAAACCTGAGAAACATAAGCGTTTCTTAACAGGTTATCCCGCGGTCCCTTTTACAAATCACCCAAGAAACGCAATGAATAGTTGCGACTTTGGAAATACCGTGCAGCTTTGGATACCATGACGAGTAAATATTTCTTATGGAGTTTTGCTTTGGCTTTCGTCCTCTCCAAAGGTGCTTCCGTTCTTCTTTTCATGTTTCGCCCAAATTATTACCTTTTTCTGCCGGTCAAACGAGTGTAATCCGATTCCACCTGGTCGGGTTATGAAACGTCGGTAGAGCCCGGGCGTCGGTACCTATAGGATTTGCGTGTAATTGCTATTGAATTGTTACGTGAACATCCTGGAGGAGGAGGTATAAGGGCCGTGGAGGAGTGGAAGGCGGAAGACCTCGAACTAATAAATGAGTAGCAATCAATGCACGACGACCTAGGTGGATTTGGCAGGTGCAAACCTAGGCCTGGGTCGAATAAAAGCTCCACAGCTAGCTCCAAAAAATATATTCTGAGCATTCTGACTGTGTGGATATATTATTAGAGGGGTCCGTCCGGTATTTATGGGGCTAACTGGAAGACCGCGGATTTTCGCATTTCAGTGCCCGGCGAACATGTCAGCTCGTGAATATGGAATCACGAACCCGGCCCCTCGGGATGATCAAAGCTCAGTTATTATATATAGCCTAGCATCTATATTTTTGGTTATGTGTGAAATTTGCTAAGATCCCAGGTGCGGATTATCGCACACTGCCACCGGTCTGCGTTGGTACGGATTGGGTAGCGTTTCGGGAGCCTGCGCTTCCGGATGGGCACATTGGCAAGGTTTCCGAAATAGTCGACTGCGGTAAATCGCAACAAACGCAAAGGGATCAGTGACTTGGCCGATAGTGGTCATCGCGGAGTATAGCGTCCTCTGTCTGAGGTAACGAGTTATTTATATCTGCGCTTATGCAGAACTCCTTCCGAGAGACCACGGCCAAACGAGGGTGCCCCGTTCAACTCCAGCGAATGTACTCTATAGGAAGTACGGAGTGACTTGAAAGGAAGGTACCAAGCTTCCCATATATTCGTTGCAACAAGGAGGATCACGATTCCGGCCGCTTCGACTTGGCCTTACCTGAGAATAGCAGCGTGAGCCACGTACTGCGTCCTCCGTCCTCATGTCCTGCCACCACAGGGTCGGCCGCTGGTCACTGTGGCTGTACTACCTAGGTAGGTACGTACTTCGAACAGTGCGTACGGCACTGCACCTATCCTTCTACCTTGGCACGAAACATCGAACAAATCAACACGCTGGCTACAAATCCACGGTGATCATTGTTGTGCCAGCCCGTGAAAACGCTCCAATTAATGATCAGCGATCAGTGATCACCGTCCTGGGCCTGGGTTAGGGGCCGCGGCTAAACGGGGCCTTATTAAGATTATCGCGATATTATCCCACTTGGTCGGTAGAGAGAGATGGCGTTCTCTTCTGAGTAACTGCCGTCACACAATCCTACTCCACGGAAAACGATCCACCGCTGGAAATGCTTTATCCAAGAACAAATGATGCCGTCAGTGACGACGGTGGAGGTAATCGGTAGTCGGTACACGGTGTACGAAGTATACTCGAATACTTTACACTGTCCTGCGCCAAGAGTGGATCTCCTTGGACCTTGAAGCGCTGGATGCAAGGGCGCTTGTCGAGTGCCACGAGAGGCCAGCGTTTGCGCTCCATGAAACAACAAACGAACATAGTATGCATACGCTGCGCCGATAGGCTACCGTCCTGTGGATTCTTACCAACAACTCTGCAGGCACAGTAGAAACAATTCCCAGCTACGAATCACCCCTGCTGTGCGGTCAGATGTGGCTTGGAGGATCCAGTATCTCTTCTTTTGTTGCCGCCTCTGTTGTGAATGAAAGAATGCTTGCTCCCGCCTTGGTGAGAAAACGTGTACAGATGTCAGACCCAACGGCGACGCAGCGGCGGTGCTGCGCCCATTCACAGCGACGGAAGGTGCTGGATGGCTATATATGACATCGCCGTGCAGGATCCAAGGGAATCTTTTGTTTATCAACTTTATCCATATTTCTCCAATTTCGTTTGGTTCCCAGCAACCTATCACCAACAACCCGCAACTACCAACCCCTCCCCAGCGTTCCCTTACCAAATCCCTCTGCTCCTGCATACTGCTATTTAACTCTCAGGAGTTTCTCGCTGACCTTCTTTCAATTTTCTGTAAGTCTTCCGTTCCTCACTTCGGCACTTTCACCACGCATCAAGCTTATAAGGTTGTTGTTTTCTAGCATCCTCCACCTCGCGAAATCCATCAAAAAGACATTTCACGTGTACGCCAACAGTCACTCAGATCTCCAAGATGTTGACTTTCACCGCTGTGCTCCTGGCAGGAATTGCCTCTTTCGCTACCGCCCAGAATGGAACTGTGGTCACTGGAGCTTTGGGAGATGCCCAGGTCGTTGTAGGCAACCCTGCCGGAGTGACCTACGTCGCAACTCTCCCGGCCAAGTCCTTCTTCAACCCCAACGATCCTCGCGGTAATGTCAAGGGCTCCGTCTCTGCTACTTCGAACCCCGATGGCGGTGCCACCTTCCAGGTGTCTTTCTCCAACTTGCCCACTTCGGGAGGCCCATTCAGTATGTTTGTTTACTCCCTCACCATAGATCGTGAATACTGATTACTTCTCAGCCTACCATATCCATGATGCTCCGGTCCCGGCTGATGGAAACTGCACCGGTACCAAGGCTCATCAGGATCCCTACGTTCGCGGCGAGGTAACTGTCCCCCCTTAATCCTGTTTCTCCCAAAACGTAAAGCTAACCTAACTCTCTCAGACTCCTGTCTGCGACGCCAAATCTCCCGAGACTTGCCAGGTAGGCGACCTCTCCGGCAAGCATGGCAAGATCGAATCCGATCCCACCACCCAAACCTACACCGACAAGTACGTATCTTTGACCCCAGGCTCCAATGCGTTCTTCGGCAACCGCTCCATCACCTTCCATTTCGCCAACAAGACCCGCATTTCCTGCGCCAACTTCGCTCTTGCGTCGGGCAATGCAACCCAGACTGGCTCCAACCCTGCCGCGACCTCTGCGATTCAAGTCATCGGAGCAGGTGTTAAGCAAGGTGTCCCTGCGCTCTCCCTGATGGGTGCTCTCGCTTTGGCCTTCGCCTTGTAAGCTGTGATAACGTTAATTGACCATGGCTATGGTGATATCCGGCTGGAATTGGCGTTTAGGTTCACATAGAATGGCTGCTTGATGAAAGGTCAAAACTGGGTAATGAGAGAACTTTCGGTTGTAATTGAAGCATGATCCATCCTCGCGATGATGTTACGGGTTGAAAGGGCATAATCAACTCCGTTAATACAAAACAAAACTTCTAAACATCCTAATTTTCTGTGCTTGATGTGCTAGTTTCAAAGACCACTTTATAAAGTCAACCATTCGTAATAGCTACTATAGCTATAGTGATTGGCACATAAGAAAACCCTAGTTCCAACATGAAAATCGCCAAGTTGAAAATTGCCCAACTAACCTCAGCACCTGAAGATTCAAAACTGACAATACTTCCACAGGTTCCGAATTTCCTTTCATTTGCTAGCAAAACCCTGGAACTAAGAGCCGGTAATTGTACATAATGAACACCTACGTCAGGGTGTGATCGACGGCATGGACAAGGTGGGCGGGCACATGAAGCATGGTTCACTCGGCAACGGGTCGACAACGGTAAAAGGGGCCGGGAAAGGGGCTGCGGGGAACCTCCGGATTTCCTACACGAATCTCATGAAAAATAAAAAGCGCGGATACGAGTACAGAACCAGCAAAGAAATAATGAACTGCTACGAATCGAATACAGAGCTAATTCAATTCATATCAATTACATCTTCCACACGATAGCTAACATTTGTTGAGACAGGTAGACAGCACTTCCGAGGTAGGATCCACAGCATATATATCTGTACTGGCGCGGTTCCTAAAGCCTGAACAGCAGGGTACCATCAAAGACATTTCCCCGGAATATTCATTCCGATTTCCAGGAAACTGGACCTCGAGAATCCCACGAAACTGGGGGAATTTGGAATTGGGCTTTCGTGACCGTTTAGCCGTACACGTACATTCACTTCAAGCAGCTGCTGCCCCTAGAGCGCTGAATGTCTCCGCGGATCTGATATTCATAGAGCAAGGAAACTACTGGCAAATTCAAGTCCCGGGGAAAGGGGGTTTGTGGTTTATTATATCGATTGTCAATGGATGCCGATGATGACGACGCCCTGTGGTAGGCAACACTCATCACTCGGGTGTTTGACCTCGAAAAAGGACATGCCGATGGAGCGAGTGCTACTTGGATTAACGCTAATAGCATTTAGCCTTTATATTATGCCCTCTCGTTTTAGTCACCTGTATCTCTTTTTCCCTTTGTCACTTTTTGTCTCATGCTCCTTATGGCTTGTACTGGACTCTCTAAATCGTGGCCAGTAGAATGCGAACGATTATCTACTCTAGGAGAAAGATCAAGTACGCATGGCATGTTACGGTCTGTCTTCCTGCTCAAAGTGTGATAATTTATTGAAGATTACCACTTGTCTTATATAGGCGATGTTTTTACACTTACCTTTGCTTAGCTATTGCCTATTCGTTCTAATCGGTATTACTCTTTCTGCAACCTAACTACCCTTCTTTACTCTGTATTTCGGCTTTTACCATTCACCTTTACTTGCCCTGTTCGGTAACGAATCTTCGCTAGTATTTACTACCTCAGATATCGAATATACTAGCTGCATCCGAACCAAATGTCAAACCAAGGTAATCGTTCCGGCTGGGGAAGGGTAGCGTCCACCCAACCATGTCTGCCCTCTATCTGCGTCTGAACCTCAGATATTCTATGTCACCACTCAGTATATTAGAATCTGGTTCTAATATGGTTCTGTATAGTTTGACAAGCATTATTTCGGGTGATGGGTTGCTGCCAAGTGTAGTGCGAGTTGTCCAGTGTAGTATGAGTCGTCAAATTTATTATTCATCATGAGTTTCCAAAACTATAACAACGGGCTCCCGAATGTATGTCTATAGCGGCGACAATGATTGCTGTTATAATAGCAAGTAGAGTGTCCCTTTATGATCCGCCGCAGCCATAACTCAAACCCGTCACTAGAGACATACATTCTGGATAGGCTGTGAGGTATGTCTAAAACCCTCCCATTTATACGGAGAAATCAGCTATGTATCTTTCCCAACCGTTTCTTAGATCTTGGAAAATCCCTTTTGCTGGGGAGCTTAATTCATCCTCAAATGTTAAGAGGGAATGTGTGATGTAGTTTGGCAGCGTGGAGTTGCCGGTTTACATATAAGACCTACATGTCTTTGTACGCCAGGTCCGAGTATAGGGGCTGTCTCTTATACACATCTAGATGTGTATAAGAGACAGTCTTTGTACGCCAGGTCGGGTAATGGGGGCCCCCCCCCCCCAGCAGATGATGCGGGGGAAGTACACCAAAGGAACTTTTAATCATCTACCCAAGTATGAACTTTGTTAGGACTGAAAGATATTGTCCGATGTTCTATTCTAATTAGCATATTGTGTATTGCGAATCGACATGTGAGCAACTTCGATGGAGCGGATTGATTTCACTGATTGAAAAAGGCACGGGCGAGTAAAGTCACATTTCTCTATATGTATTATTATGAGGTAATAGTGTAGAACAAAACTCCACACGCTCCCCTACCCAGCGTGGAAAATATGTGGGATATCATGATATATCGCAGCGGGGGAAATTCCAAACTCCTATCCAAAGTCATCCCGACCAAGACGAAGCCGCCCACCCCAAATCCCTAGTCTAAACTCGCAATCTGCGATAAAAAACGAACGTCAAATGACGAAATATGATTAGAAGAAAGAGAGGTACGCACGCGGTGACAATGGGTCACCGCCAAGTCCCATGGAGCTTCGCTCTCCTCATGGGCCGATGCTTCAAGCCAATCTCTCCGGCGCCCATAAGGCTCTTCCACCGCCTCCCCACGTTCCCCCTATCTTTCCCTAGACTTCTCGCGCAATCTTGCCAATCGCTCTTAGTAAGCTTTAGCTTTTCCAGCACCAGTTCAACGAGCATACGATCTTCCTCCGTAGACCACTCCTCGTTTGCTTCCTCAGGGTTTTCATTTTCTGGCACCTCGTCGGTGTCGCGCAGTTGCTCTAGTAGGTGAAGGGTGTGGAAGTCCTGGCGCTCGAGGCCGAGGGGCAGGACTTCGGGTGCGAGGCGCATGCGTTTTGGTGTTCGTGGGCCACTTCCTTCGTCTTCATTCTCATTGTTGGGCTCCTCCCACTCGTCGTTACTTTGTTCGTCTGTCGGCTCTTCCTGCTCTGGGGTTTGGCGTAGCATGGAGGCCCGATCCATATCGTCGTCCACTTCTCTCCGCCTCTTATTTATTCCCCTTGGGGGCGCCGCCTTCACTTGCGCATTGCCGCGCTTTGTGATCTTCTTCCTCGGCGTGAGTGCTGGTGACGCTATGTCGTTGGTGTCGGGTTTGCGCGCGCGCAGGCGCAATTTGAAGGGGGAGGGGGAGAGAGGTGTAGGTATATCGGTGTGACTTGTTGGTGGAGAGGGTAGTGGAGTCGGGAATGGACTGGGAGCTAGAATTGACTGGAGGGAGCGACATGTCGAGTAGAGGTTGTTGAGTCTGGGTGATGAAGAGGAGGAGGAGTCGCAGGGTAGAGGCGATGGAAGCAACATTCTTGCTAAGTCCATCGAGGGGTTTGCTGTTGCGTTGGAGTGTGGTGTGGTGTGGTGAAGTTCGCGCAGACTGAAGCTGGATGCGACAGCGACAGCGATTGCGATGCGACTGGGAATTTGCGATGCGCCGGGTGTGCTCAGCAGTGCGCAACACCGAAGAATTGGTTATATGTACAATCGAATGTGTAGCTAGGACTGAGACCTGTGGTCGGATAAGAGTGCTTCTTGCAGCGACAGTGTGGTGTGTCGTACATATGCGAATGGATATGCTTTTTCGTGGCAGCGCAACGGTGTTGAGGTGTGGAGGAAACAGGAGGCCGCTGGATTGTGGGCGCGGCGGGCGGAGATTATAATGCAGTTGTGTTAAGGGCCCACGCCTACGCCTGCGCCTGCGCCCGCCCCTGCAAGCCCGAGTGCAAAAGGGTCTCGTGAGGCGGGAGGGAGGCAGAGGGGCAACGAGAGAGAGAGTGAGAACCAGAACAAGAACAAGAACACACCATGATCTTCCCAACAGGAGACGTTCCTGGACTCCTGGAGAAAGATAGCGGGAGCACAAGTGAGGGAGGGAGCAACTGGGCCGCCTTGGATCTCGCGTACAATTGCAATTGATCTTCCAGTTCCCTCAAGGCCATCATCATTTCAGCTATTATCTCTCCCCCCTTCCCCACCCACTCGAGGGGACAAGACATCATCGTATGATGTCGCTACCAGCCAGAAGGTTTGCTCTGGAGATGCCCTTGCATTCTTTTCGCCATTGAATAATAATGTCTCCTAGCGGTCTTACTATATCAATATCTTTTGCTCAACCAGCGTCATGGACTCTTGGTACGAGGCCTTCATCCCTCTCGGTATCCCTCTCGCTGTCCCTCTCGCTGTCCCTTTCGCTGTTTAATTATAACTCCTCGGAGGGTGCTACAACCACGATCATCTCACTCGTTCTTCCAAGTTCAAACTGCCTCGACGATGAACAACTTATTACTCTGTTCGCTATCCTCATCCTCGTCCTCCTCGTCCTCAATCGATCAAGACTACCTATCTCAATGGGCTGCTTGCGCCGACGACGCGGGGTGCATACGCACCCCCATCTATCTTCTGGCGATCCTTTCTCAGCTATCACCTCTCAACTTGCCCTCTCCCCACCCCCATCCTCCTCCTCCCCTTCAATGGCCAATATTGGCCGTTCCCCCTTGCTGAACTGAACAATGCCGTGCAGCTTTGAAACGTTATCGTCCTCGCTGATATACTCTGGCCCCTACGCCGTACCAACAAATGCAATGCAAGGCAGAGCAAAAGTGTCTCTCCTGCGAGTCATTCGAGGGAGCGTTTGCAGTGCTGCTGGCCTCGCATCTCCGGGCTGCTGAGTGGTTGCGCGAGGGGGCGCCGACACGCGAAAAGACGCGTTTTTTTCGCGTTTCGCACCGCCAATCAGCCGGGGGAGCGCGACAAAGGTGGGGTACGAGTACGAGTGCTCGTATCAGGTGGTACGTACCGCCTGCTCGTTGGCGCCCGTGGCCTTTCCCCACTCGTTCTATTCGCAGACTTGCAAGTGCAAGTTGTACTATTGTTGAGGGCACAGCATGGTCGCTACCTAAGGTACCTACCAAGTACCTACAAGTTTTCCTGGTTCTTTCATGTTGCCCTTGCGAGTACATACTCTGTCTGTTGCAGAGACACCAGGCAGTTACCCGGGTAGTCATACACGTTGATGTTTCCGTCGTTTTCAGAATATGAGAGCTTCGGCCAGGAATGGAGCCCCAGGAGGCTCAAGCGTCCGCGGTCCAGACTGGAGAACCGTGCTCGTCTGAGATTTTGGAAATGGCCCAACGTGCTGCATAAGAAGAGTCGGGTTATGCTGCCTCTGTATCTCTGTGCATCTGCACGGTAGCTCGGACATCCGCTGGCCACAGTAGTACAAGGCGTTGTTTCGCACGGAATTGATTCAGATAACCGATCAATGCAAGATCTCAAAGTACATAAGTACTTCGCAGGGTACGAGCGATTGGGTCGCCAAGTGGTGTTGAGCAGGCTGGGAAGGCTTGTGATAATCGCTGTGCAGCCCGAGAAGTCTGGAGAATTTTAGGATCTTTGATATGGTCGCTTTTTAATACGATAGCCATCACATTGCTTCGAAAGTGCCAGAAGTTTTGTCTTTATATAGAACTCAAATGACCTCATCCAACGGCCCCGCCATTTTTTGGTTACTGCTACCCAGAGACCGCTGCAAACTGAATAGGACGCACGATTATTGTTTGTTCTTTTAATAGAATCATCCGTGGTTTGTATGCCAAGTTTTGAATACCAACCCAAGTAGGTAGTTTTGCCCAAATTGGATTTTCGAGGTACAAGTCCTGATTCGAAAGAGAACGGCTGTATAATTATATATGCACACCATCTCATCCATGTTATGGTAAATCATATCGTACCTTGGTAGGTAGTCTACAGAGTTAGTGAGACCTTTTTTTTCCCTATCTCGTATGGTAGCTAACATCAGCTCCAAGTAAAACCCAGGCATATATACCTTTGCCGCGCTAATAAAGAGTTTGGATAAGTCTTCCTCCTATGCTAGGTTTCTAGTCCCTTCGGTGAAAGAGATCTGGTTCTAGCTATAATATCCGTGTACTAAATCTGAGGGAAGTAAACTGCTGGGTTCGGTGAAAGCAGAGATATGGTGCAAAACACCAAATCCAAAAACCCCATTCTCCTATATCCCTTTTCCGTCTCCGTTCTTTAATGCTCCTACTCCTTTATTTGACTATTTCCATGATCTTAGTAACTACATCATAGTATAATTTTTGGACATCGTTAATTTCTTCACATATGTCAATAACTTCATTTGTGCCAATCTTCCTAGTTCCGCCAACTTTTTCTACTTGCGTCAATCTCCCCATTTCCGCCAATGGTTTAACTGTTGCCATTTACGTAAGTTTGTTTTATAATTAAACAATAAGCTTCTAACTACGAAAATTGTCTCCTCCCATCAAAGGGATAGGATCGATCGGAGTATTCTGGAGATCATACCGAGCGTAAGGAACGAGGAGGGCACGACGTGAATGTGATATTCATTTCCACTGAAGCGGATAGAAAGTTTGAGCCATCCAGCCAGAGTAAGATATTGAGATATTATGTTTGTGGGGGACAGGTGACTGGTTCTTGACGCTTCCTAGGTAGAAGTTTCATTCCTCGCCCCAAGAAGCTGGACATCACCAGTATTGGCGGTTTTGATCTTGCGCTTTATAGAGGTCATAATATTGTAGCTAGTAGATATGAGCATTTCCACGGTAATATAAGCAACTCATTCTAGAGCCACCATATGTACAATTTGATGGACTAAAGAAGTGTAAACATCAATACATCGATTCCAATCCATATACCCAGAGCGCCATCCAAGACCTAAAAGTCGCATACCTCACCAACCCTCCGCAGCCTTCATCTTAACATACAACCCTTTGGCAGGCCTAGCAGTAGCACCGGTTTTAATATCCATATTCTCCTCATCCCTCTCCCTCTCATCATTAAGCTCGAATTCAAACTTCCCAACCCACGCAGCCAGTAAACAGGCAAACTCACCCTTGGCGAATCCTTGCCCTATGCAACTTCGTGGTCCATGCAAAAACGTTAAGAATGAGTAGTTGCTCGATGCACCGCCGCTGGCGCTATGAGGGTTGTCTTCAGATGGCAACCAGCGATCGGGGTTGAATTTGCGAGCGTCGGGACCCCACAGCTCCTCAGATCTGTTGACTGCCCAGGGAACGAGCATGACACGAGTACCCTTCGGAACCTTGTGGCCGAGTATGGTAGTGTCGCAACCTGCAATGCGGGGTGTAAGGGGAACGGGTGCATAATAGCGGAGGACCTCACTACACACAGCGTTGAGGTACGGCATGTGGTCGATTTGCTGGCTGGTAATTCCTGTATCTGCGCTCCAGCTAGGAAGATTTGCGTGGATCTCTGCACGCAGTTGGGTTTGGACCTCTGGGTGCAGACAGAGCATGTATATTGCCCAAGTCATAGATGAGGCCGTGGTTTCGTGGCCAGCGGCTAAGAAGGTCATCATCTGGTCGGCGAGATTCTCCTCCGTAAATGCGCCGCTCTCTAATGCCACACTTAAGATATCCACATCTGTTAACTCGTTCTTGTCGAGTTTCTCTTTCTTCTCTCGGATCAGTTGCCGGCAAACATTTCGGATGGTAGTGGCAGCACTATCCATCTGCCCATTTCTTTCAAATGGTAGTGAATTCACAAACCATGCTGGTAGGAACATGCCCATGAGCCCTAAAATAATCATCCCTCTCGAGGGCGAGAAGATTTTCTGGTATGTCGCGCTGAGCAGTGTCTCTGAGTCCTGAATGGCACCAAAATCCTTCCCCATGCCAGCAAGCCCAATGATATCAAGAGTTGCCCTCGAGGCCCAGCCTTGCACCTCAATAACTACCGTATCTTCATCGGCATTCTCATTTTCCCGCACGTCACCAGTGGTATCTTTGCTTGCACCGGCATTTATCAGTTCCATCATCTTCTCCACATTTTCTCTGGCTTTCGTCCAGAATATTGGATATAGATCTTTGATGTGTCTGAAAGCAAAGGCCGGCATAAGATGCTTTCTCTGGAATTTATGCTCTTCTCCTTCGGCTAGCAGGACTCCGATTCCGAGGACTCGCCCCAGATTCGTTGTGACTTCCTCTGGCCTAATGAAATCATAGACCCGGGTGGTAAGGACTTCACTGAGCGCTTTTGGTGACGTGACGAGAAGACGCTCGGAATTAAGGAACCCTAAATAGCGAATGACACCGTCGTTTGGTACAGTATTGATCCTGCCACCAGTGTCAGTATTCTATGCGTTTCACATTTTGGCTTCCTCCATGAGACTAAACGTACCAATCAACCATCGGAGCGCCAGTAGGTCTCTTAAGGATTGCAGGAAATTGACCATTCCAAAAACTACCGCCAGTAGGTTCAGGGAGATGTCTCAACGGACTTATGAACTTCGGCCATATTATAACTCTCCAGAAACTCCAGGCAAAGAATTGAAGAAGCGATAGCTGCAAGAAAGTTCCTATATACGTTGGATTCGAGAATAAAAGCAACCCGGGCCGATATTGGACTAAAGCATATGTTGATACTGCGGACAGAACCACTGCTGTCCTGAGATCAAACTCAAACCCCGCCATTGCGATTTGAGCTGAGTTTTGTTCACGGCCTCGGTTTCAAACACAGAGATTGCAAATGTTAGAGCCACACAAATCGCCGATACCGTTTCTGATAATAGGGAGCTAAGAGGAGTTGAAGATGTATCGTGTGTGCGAATGCGGTGTTCTTATGTATCTGGCCAGCAGATGCCTGAATTGATGTCGGCGCGGAAAGAAGGACGCGCAAGGCATGAGTCGGAATCTATCAACGCTCCGAAACTCCTAGATGCATCCACTCGGGGTCTTGTATTGCACCGTGGCTCCTAGCAAAACCACGAATCAGCGATGCCTTTGCTTGCGGATGGACGTCACGATCAGCAAAACCAACAGGTTTTTGGGAGATGTTGTTTGGTCTTGGTGTGGTCTTGGAGATGCCGAGGTGTTTGTGTCTAGTGTCTCGCGACAGGTTTCAAGATGCGCGGTTAAATGATAGGACCAGATAAAGCTGATATAGGTAACAGAAGATAAATAAAATAAGAATTTTATGAAATTGACGTCGGGTCGGAAATGGAGACGTTGCAAAACCTATATATCATGTGAGGATTTTAAACCTTTGGGGTTGCAGGTGGGGTTGGACGAGGTTGCACGGTCCCTGTCGATTGCTCGCCCGAGTATCTGGGGATCGTACTCCGTACCCTTGTAAGTGTGGCTAAAATCCGATTGTAGATCAATGGTTCAGGATTACGTATGAGATGATATAATTTCTTTAATGCTATCTTTTAGCAGTTACTGCTATTTGTGAGCTACGGTCTACGGACTAATTATAGTGCCTATTCGAGCGAAGGAAGAGGTGTAACAGTACTTATTAGAAAGGAGACTCGGTTTCAATACTGTTTTCCGTTGAAACGAAAAATCTAAAAGTTAATCGATAATACGAAACACTTCGAGTCTAGTAGTAAATGATGGCCTGGACAAAAGTTATGAATATGTAATGTCTTTTTGTTCTTTTGCTATAGATACAAGCTGTAAAGACAGCCCCGGAAACTAATGAAGGATATATAGGCGCCATCGATGATAAAAACATCGATATAGGTAAGATATCAAGACCCCAGCCAGCCAGACCCTAATGTTTCCTGTTCCCATATTTCCCCAACTCCATGCATGCAATGGAACATATATCTGATGCCCAATCATCAAAACAATGAATGCAAATTCCTATCGCTCGTCTCGTTTTCGTTTCATGTCGTAATATTATATTTCCCTGTCGTCTTTTTTTGAAGGCCTATGAGAGCTCGTTTCGCCGTTCATTCGTGCCGCCGTTCAGGAACCTCTTCCCACCCCTCAGGAACCACCGCCACCCGTTCAGGAACCGCAACCTGACCTACAGGAGCTAAGCCCTCCTTCTCCTTGTATTTTTCCTCCGCAGCTATTCCATGTCGATCCCCAATTATCGGCGAATGCGAATGCGAATGGCCATTTTCGCTATGCGGTGAATGGCCGTTAATCATCATGCTATGCTCCTGGATGCCATGCCGATCCTGGGCATGGATATCGGCCTCCGTGTTCGCAGGCTCATCCTTAGCTGGTGTCCATGCGAGGTAATCTCTGCGAACCTCGACGTAATCGTAGGCGAACTCGCCGAGTTGGTCATCGTCCATGCCAAGTAGTTCTGCTTCTTCGGAGGCGCGAAGGTGTAGGCCGGGAATCATGTTGATACCGTAGGCTAGGATGGCGGACATGACGAATGAGTAGGCTGTGCATGCAACGATGTATGCAACTTGAATGTAGAGCTGTTTGTAGTTGTGGTTGAGCCATCCACCGTTAATGGCTCCTGTGCTGACTCCGTCCAGACCGATGATGTAGTCGGCGGCGAATAATGCGTTGAAGATGAGACCAACCATGCCGGCAATACCGTGCTCAGCGAACACGTCCATGCTGTCGTCAATGCGGATCCAGAATTTGACTGGGAAGTGTTAGCTTGCCGAGCGATAGCAATATATTGAAATGGCCACATACTCTTGGTAGCAAAATTGGAAATAATGCCAGTAGAAATTCCAAGAATAATACTAGCCCATGGTGGAATGAATCCAGAAGCTGGAGTTGCAGCTACAAGTCCAGAGATTGTGCCGGAGCACCATCCAACCATCGACCACTTTCTATATATAACATAAGCGATGGCCCCAATTGTCTAGATATGGAGTTCCACTTACCTTGCGAGGCGATAATCTAGCACGCACCAAGTAATAGCAGCAAACATGGCTGTGAGACACTGGAATAACCGAAATATCAGCATTTGGAATATTCATGAACAGAAGAGTCGGGGATGCTTACCGAGTTCCAGCAGGCCATCACAGCGCGAAGATTAGCCCCGAAAGCCGAGCCACCATTGAATCCAAGCCATCCAAACCACAGGATAATAGTGCCAAGGGTAATGAGAGAGACGTTGTGAGGGCGGAAGTTCAACATCATCCTCTCCTGACGCTTGCCCAGGACCATCGAGTACGCGAGGGCGGAGAGACCGGATACGATTTCAACTGGTCCACCACCAGCGTAATCCAAAACCCCATATTTGTAGGCCCACCCATTTACATTCCATACCCAGCATGCGACGGGGCAATACACCAATGTTGCCCAAAAAAACACAAAGACCATGGCGGGGATAAGTCGACCTCGTTCGGCAACAGCGCCCATAATAATCGCGGCTGTGGTGGCGCAAAATTGTAACTGTACGATGATTAGCTTTTCAAAGTTACTCGGATTTCAGGACGAGGTATATTCACCTGGAAAAAGGCGTATAGAAGCTCCGGGACAAGTGGTGATCCAGGTGATGGCGTGCCAAGCGTGGCCCTTAGACCGAAGTGTCCCAAGTTTCCTATGAATCCATTTGTTGCGGAAGAACTGAAGGCCAAGGAATAGCCCCAGAAGTACCATTGGAAGACAATTATTGAAAACGACCCCATGCACGCCCATATCATTGAAAGTGCCGACTTCCGCCGTGCGAGTCCTGAGTATAGGAAACCCAGTCCCGGAATCATGAGCAAGACCATGCATGATGAAACGATAATATATGCCTGGTCACCAGGACTGAACCATTGATTTAGATTCACGACCGCTAATTAATTGAAAAGTCAGTCTGGAATTACTTGGGATAGAGAAACCAGGGGCGTGCTTGAATTTTGAGTGGAAGGATAATAGGAAAATTTCCCTACCAGAATCACCACCGTCCATTCCCGTGCCATTGTATGGTGCTGGTGCCCCAACCCAGGCATAATTCGGCGCAAACGACATGTTTTGTACTACGGCGTACCCTTCGTTCGATTTGGTCCTGTCACTCCCAACGAACGTCGATTGGGTAGTCGGGGCGGCCAATGGAGGCCTTGAAAGTGATGTCGAATGGGGTTCTAAGATTAAACCAATATAGCAATCTTATTGGGGTCTAATAAAAGAGCAGAGAAATGGATAGGAGGTAGTGCTAGGATACAAAGGAGGAGACGGTTGTGGAGTTGAGAGAAAAGAAGGATAGAAGATGGCTGTCCTGTCGAGATAAAGGATGGTGCTAATATCTCGATTGGTGTAGGGATGGCTACGGAAGCGTATCAGAGTTATCAACTTAGTCAGTGCTAGTACGTAGACTACGAGCAGTTCAGAACGATAGGAAGAAATCGGGGGCTTATGGCCCTTTAGTACTCGTGCCTGGTAAGCGGCATATAGCTCACCTCGACCTCCCACATCCACCCACGCAACCGGTCTACCCATACGGTACGCCCCCGGGGGAGGTGGCAGAAATATCTAGGGCCCCTGGTACGAAAATCGACGCTGTGGAAGGAGGCTACTATGTGACTATACCGCACAAGCAGACGGTGGCGTCAGGAGGCGACCGAATTTGGGTTCGGGGATAAACGGAACGCGGTTTGGGTTTTGGGGGTCGCTAGGTAGGTGGGCGACTCAGCCTGGGGAGATTTGAGACTATGGGTCTCTACTCCGTATATTGGTATAAGGACCCTGTCAAGATCTAGCTCGGCGTGGGATTGAGATCACCCAAATGCGCTTGCCCAGTATTGCCCCATTCGCCGACCTTCTTTTCTATCCACCAAGGGAGAGATTCCTCGAGCTCCATTTTTCAAGCTCAACAAGCGGGTAATTTCAGCAAATGGGCCTCCCGTTCCCTCCCTACCTAGGTGCTTCCCTTGGCATAATTTGGCTGCTGGCGCTGAGAGGTAGATAGAGTTACGCTGCACATAGGAGAGCCAAGGTGGAAGGGGAAGGGGAGGGGGAGGTGGAGGTGGAGGGAGATTCGTGACACAAAAGCTGAGGTCCGGAGAAACCCATTCATTGGGCGAGCCGGCAGAAAGCCGTGGTTTATCGTTGTTTATAAAAATGTGTCGAACAATCCAGACTAATTCCGGACACAGGCGACATCGCTGCCGCTCGCGGGTAAGCCATTTGGTGGGTTTTCTTTGCAGTAGCGACGCAGATATCAACACCGAGATTCTGGAAGGGCCGGAGGAAAAAGCCGGGCGCTAGGGTTTTGATTGGGTGATAAAGGCATCGCAGGGGAACCCCAATATAGGGCGGACGGGCTAGTCGTCCTTATCTATTTGCCACCATTTGAGAGCCCATCAGGTAATTTTTTTCGTTTTTGCTACTGTGGGGTACATGAACGCGGCATCGTGGCGGACGTATATAGATTCAGAAACGGGATATAAGCTTCATACGAAGTACTCAACTGGTTTGCATGTTTTGGTTTCGCAGAATGTCTCTCGGCTCTGTGGTACCCATCCCGCCCTCGGGCTTCCCCACCGCTGGTGTGCGGTGCCTTGTGCTTTTTTGAGATGGATAGACCGACGTGGAACAAAGCCAGGTCGAGGCTAGGTTGGCCGGTCAAGGACGCAAACTCAAATAAATGGCCACGCGAGGCATTCGCCGGAAAGATCCATCGCCCTATGTCTCGAACCTCCGTCATCGTCGCTCGCGGCCGCTCGCTGGCGTTCAAAAAAAAACGAATATGGCTGCGCAAAACCCCCCACCGCTGCAGTTGAACTGGCCAATTCAGGTTTTAAGAATCCAAGATCTCTCGGCTGAGAGAATGCAATCTTCTGGGTCGCTGTCTCATCTCCCACGGCGTCACGGGCCAGCAGCAGCAGCAGCAGCAGCAGCAGAGTTTTCCGGGACCTGGAAGCAGTGCTGATCCTAATCCTAATCCCGATGAATTAATGGATATTCATTAAATGAATAAGCTGGAAATGCCCAGGTACCCTCGGACTTGCTCCTTCCTCGATGACGGAGACATGGGAGCTGGAAACATCGAACTGCTCTTATCTTTCTGTATACGAAACCGCGTCGTGAGAGGTCAGAGATAACATTTAAGGTCACGGTCTGCACATCGGGCATAGTCTTATCTGTCGTTGGAGCGGGCCAATGGGAAGCGCTCTTCATTGCAAATGGCTTTGACAACAGAGGTTCCGATCGCCGGCAGTGCCCTGGTGGAGCCTGCAGAAGGAACCAAGCCACCACGCAAAAAGCTTGTCTGGTAGTCTGCGAGTGCTTGTCTCGCGGGCGGAGGCCGGAGGACCGCGTCGTGGTACCGGGATATTTTCGTACCTGCTACTCGTGCACTGTGCACTGCGTGTTCTGCTGATGAGAGACCCTAGGTTTGTGAGGACACGAGTACTCCGTAGGCCCTCGGGTATCATGTATAATAAGGGTGAAGGATGAATACAGCCTACCTACCTTAGGTACCTACTCTATAACATACTGTACCGAAGTACTTCGTAGTGGACGGCGTAGGTGACATTGTTTGCAGTCTTCTGCAAAAGTCTTGGTGTTGCGCTCCTCCTACGCAATGGAATCTCAGGCCTCAGGAAACAAATGTTGCGGCCTGAGGTTTCCATGTGCTGGCCTTGCGCGATGTCATCGCCGGGTCAACCTCGGATTTTCTTTCTCACCGACACGTGATCTTCTTCATCACACACGTGACCACTTCACCCCCACCATCAACCAACGCGTTCTGGACAGCCATTAACGTTGAAATGGAGAATAAACCTCTAAGAAACTTCAAAGAGGTGGATGTGGGGACCTTTGTGCGACAGACGTCTGTTGCGCGGGTGAGTACGCTCGTTTCTTGCTTTCGTTTCTGGTGCATTTGATCCAGATCTAGCTGGTTCGGGGATGATTTATTTCAAAACCCCTCTTAAACAGAAATCGATACTAATAGCTACCAGTTCCAAGTGGGCCCAGGTTTGGAGGATCATCCAGAATTAGGAAAATGGCGGATGGGACTCACCGCGCTTTCTCAGAAGTACAATGTAAGTGGATGCTGCGTTTCCGGAGACGTGATGCCTTCTGTTGCGCCATATGTCGACTTTGGATGTCGTTTTAGGTTTCTATTGCTAACTACAGGATTTCAGCTCTATTTTGCAGGTTATGGAGAGACCATCCACGTTACCGTTCCTAGAAATGTCCTCCAGACGATGCCCGGAATTGCTGACCTCAAGATTGCTCTCCCGAAATCAGTAGCTTCGCGTGGCGTTCCTGCCCATATCACCTCAATAGGCGAGATACCTAAACCTCATTATATGAACAATCTGATTGTTGCAAACCTCGGCAACTTGGAAATAATTTTGGTGTGTTGTGATGACGGGGATGTTCTAGCATACTATACACATCTCATCGATCAGGAGATCGCAAAACTGCAGCCAACTGTTCTGAGACGCGCCTTCGATAGCCTGACTAAACCGTGAGCTTTACAAAATTATCAACGTTGGGGGAAGCAACTAATTGGTTATAGTATGTTCCACGAGAACGTTGGAATCAGCGCCTGGGGCCTCGCTGTCCACGAGAAATCCCGTCTTATTGCTGTTTCCTCGAACGCTGTCGAAGTTACCCTCTTTAGCTTTGCTCGTAACTTTCATGGTTATCCTGTGGAAATACCCGCCGACGAGTTGTTTTCCAATTCGGAGTGGTTTGCATCCCCAAGGATGCAACTTTTCACCCGTATCGACCAGCCACCAGCTTCGGTCTACCATAGACGGGAAGGAGGATACAAGGTAACGTTCAGCCTCTTGGGTCGAAGTAGTAACATGCCTGCCATATCATTTGCTAGCGACCCCTATGGCGAGGCTGAGATGATACTCGCTGTAGATATTATTGGCAAACTGGTAAGCATTCTCTTGGTATTAGCCTTTCCCATTTGGAGGGTGGTGTATGGCATGTTCTCCAGTGGCCCCTGGGGGATTTAACATCACTAATTCCTACATAATGCCCTCTTTTATCTTCTTTGATTTCCCATGCTAACAATTTCTAGTGGCAGCTGAATCTTTGGGGACGGAAGAGCCGAACTCCACTACTGAAGCGTGTCTACGGAATGCAGACAGCCGAGGGGGCCAGGATGCAAGTTTAAATCCCCGATCTTACAAGTAGGTTGGTACTAACTCTTCAGGTCTTGGGGGGTTCTCGTCCTTCCACTAAAGGCATTTAAACTCGAAGCGGAGCCAGCAGATGCGTTGGGTATGCCAAAATGTCGTCACATCATCAACCACTACAAATCTTCCGGAAAAGATACTCTGTGCCTGGATATCACACCATCTAAACACGCCGTCAGAGACCCGACACTGGATAAATCGTCGGTGAGCTTAGTGCTTGAGAGCGATGATCCACCCGAACGGCCAGATGGTCCAACATTCTATAGATTTGCACACCCATCGCTGTCCTCAGGCCCTATTCCAGATTCTGCAACCACTCCGTTGGTATCGTCACCAGGAATCGTGGTATCGAGCCGCACCGCATCAACGATATCGCCACAAACAGATATAGAAATAAACTCACGACGTCAGATAGCTGATTTCAAAATTATGTTGAATGGATTCGCATCGCTGCCTGGCCGAATCTTCGATGATTGGAGAGAGCTCGGAGCGCTACTGTTCCCCCACCATACAGCACAACCTGCCCCCTACATTCTCCCCGATGGTTCCGCCATTCTTCGAACCTATCAATTCGATATCGAATTGCTCCCACCTACGAAAGCAACTCCGCCAACTATATGCACAGATGTCTTTGGTATGCCCGCCCGAGAATTAACTAATGATCAGCAAGGCATCAATCGATTGAATATGGTGACCTGTATCCCTGAACTTTCTCTAGTGGTTGTTGCTTCCCAAGCCGGAGTTGTCGCACTGATAACTCTCACAAAGCTGGAGGATGGCTTCTCGACTCGCGGGCCAGTCGTTATGTTTCGCCTCGACTATATCCTTCCATTCAAAAACCACCGGACCCATAGTGGGACGGGATTGCTGGGCATAGCTGTCTCGCCCGTATGGACAGGCCAGCCTGGGGGTAGCAAATCATGTGCTGGGCCACAGAGATGGCGGTTGATCTTGCACTATAGGAATTTTCATCTTTTGAGCTATGAATTGTATCGGGATGGAAATAATGACTTGTTTGTTACTTGAGGAAATCCACACTCGACTGGGCATTAGCGGGGAGTTTAAGGGAGGTTTGTAACATTAGCATGCAAGGCGGTGTTATTTGGGAGTGAGACCAAAATTGATTAAGGGTCTATAGCATTTTCATTGCCTTCCTCGAAGTTCCTTCGAATAAGGCGTTGAATTCCATGGAAATACTACAGTTCCGTAGCTTAAATAAGAAATCCAATCCATGTTGTCCTAATATGTTACTGAATATATACTTTTACTCTATAAGCTTATAGCCTCTATCTATCCCTTCTCTCTTACTTAATTCGTTACCTACCCTACTGTCTATATTAACTAGACGCTCCTGAGCGTTTATAATATATAGATAGACCAGATACTATAACAGCACGAGCTTTGAAAGAAGAATCAGGACTAGTTAAAATACCTCGCTCGACAGTAACCCCCTTTTGCACAGACTCATAATATGTAAAAGTCTCCTTAGCTAGGAGACCCAGGGAATACATACACTATACTCGACCCTGAGATTAGCCAGGCTTTTTAAACGGGGACTATACTACAGAGCGGCTGCTCTCTAGTACAAGATCGGGAGTTGTTTCCGCTGAGTTTCTACACGATACCTGACACTTCTCTTATTATATATTTACATCTATGATAGTCACTTCCGAGCTAAATATTTATTATCTAGATTCGACCCTTTACCTTCGACTCTGGCTGCTCTAAGATCTTCCTCAACAATCGAATACCTATAGTAGCCTAGCAGCTATTTATATTTATAGAGTTATATATACGATTATGCTTAATAGGACGCCTAATAGTAGGCCTTACGCGCTGCAATATCTATCTTCTGCTAATAATAAAGAGTGGAATTCAAAGCAATATTAGTGAGTCCATCTAGCGATTGTGGCCGGTCTTGGATGAGCTCAAAGGTATATAGAATACCCCTAATGTTGAGCCAGGAATTGGAGTTGGAGTGGTAAGTGCCGGGTGCGACTCATGTATTCGACCAACTCCACTCCTTGCCGTCTCCCAAGCCTCCAACACCTTCGGCGATCCAGTTTTCCTAGTAATTAGTATGGGATACAGGATTCCGAGCTGTGCCTGAAATGCAACAAAAGTACAGATCCTGCACAGAGTTTTCAACAAACCCTTACACTTTGGCATATGGGCAAATACCACTTAGCTGGCACTTTGCCTATAATACAGGACAACTTCCATAGTATTAGTTAGTTAATCATTCAATTTAATCACCATCATTCCACACCAAATAATTAGTCGTAACCTCAATACCAAAAGACAGCTACTCTTTATAGGTTCTATAACTGTATTATATCGCACAGCCTTTAGCTACGAAGCGCTATAGTGCGCATATGTCGGAGCAGTATTGAGGGTGGCGTCTGGTCTGTCTCTTGGGTGATGTATTTGTGTATGTTGTTAAATTGGATTTCAATATAACGACTTTTAAAAACCCCTTGTTGTTACGTGAAAGTTTTCGTGAGCACTTAAGAGACCCAACAGGTTGGTTTATAACTAACGAGTGGCTAACCAAGTCTCCGAACTATTCGTAATGGACGTATATATGAGCAAGATCTAGTAGCCAAAAGAGATAAGGAAAAGTATCATCCAACATCAGCTGCATACGTGCTTGCTACAACCAATCGACCAGCGTCCACACCTCAATGCCACGTCAACCTAGCGATCTTCAATACTCCGTTGCTACATTATGAAATTTCATAATATCCGGAGTTCAAGATTCAATAGGAGTCGCAATAGACTCTAGTACAGCCCTCGCTTTTTTGCATTCCACTGGGTTGAACGTATATAAACTTGGCTCCTGTAGAGCCTGCGTTCCTCATCACGTCAATGACAATGAGATAAGTAAATAAAATTATACGTCAGCTATTAAATATGCCAGCAAGAAATATAATACTCAAGCATGCTCTATATTTTATATAATAGCATTCGACCTCGGTATGCAATAGCGTACGTATAAGAGCATTGATTGTTAAAGAGCAAATAACATTTGTTGCGTACGAGATACTTCGTACATTTTTAGGTAATGCGGCACAGCAATCCCTCGAGGACGCGGCCCGATTACAAGAATGGGAATCTAGTTTTTACCATGTCAAAATTATGCGGCGAAGGAGCAAGAAGCAATAATGCCTCGGTAGCCGTCGGGAGGATGAGAATGAGGATGAGGTAGCGTCATGCCAAGCGAAAATCAATACCCTCGTTCTACGAAGGCAGGAGGAGTTTCGCGAATATGACAAAGGCAGAAGGAAGATAGAGAAGTTATAAGGGTAATTTCGGTGTTCTATTGTATCCATCACAAATATATCGAAAGTACTTCAGCCGTATTTAGGATCAAACTTTCCTGGTTTTTGGAAGGTCCACTAAGTCTGAATCCTCATCAGAACGGCATAGGAGAATGACGCAGGAGATAGAGATTGATATGCAAAATGAACACAGCATCAAGATGGCTTTTACCTTTTACCGGTGGCCCCTGAATTACTTGATGGTGGGAGAGGACGGGATTCCACAGTAAGAATGTAGCTATCATGAGTTTTAACGGAGATGAACCCAAAACAGCTTGGCTAATAGCTACAGAATGAGAATAGTCCACTAAGTTACCACCCACCAAAATATACCAAACGGTGTAATATTTCACATGTGGAGTTTGGCTAACAAAAAGAATGCTGATTCGTGCCCCTTTTTCGACCAGAATGAACGCGAGATGCGGTGACGAGGGAATATAAAAATCTCACTCAGCAATGCACCTCGGCAAGGCATATATAGGGGTTTGGAGAGAACTACATCTTATCAGTTCGGAGGCTATTTTCAATTATACTCCTTGACTTAGTGCTTACTTAGGAAGCTGTATTTTCCCATCTGAGTCTCGGTAGCTAAAAGGGAGAGGTGAAAGGGGGGGGGGGGGAGAGATCATGTGATAAATACATAACTTCTATGAGTACTGTGTATTGGGAAAAGAGATGTGAAGATCGATTGGTAGGAAACCAAGTACGGTAAGATAACAAGTGCACGTGATATTCTTAGCAGAGCACCAAGTCCAGCGACCCAGAACCAGAGCACAGGGATTTTAATGTTCTAGCTGAACTGAAGCTCCGTTCATTTCCCCAAACGCTGTGTTCTTGAAAAACATTTCCTCCTATTGTGATTTGTTCTCTGTTGCAAGAGATTTGAGCGGTCGGGAAGGTTTCATTGGCTGAGGCGAGCGGGCTGCATCAACAGGCCTTGGGCACTTTCGAGGGCCAGAGGCCAATACCGCGCGCTTCAAACCCCCACGACAGTAGCAAATTTGGGCACATGACCCAAGTGAATGGCCGATCGCAACTGAACAGAGAAATTGAGCGCCAGACCAGCGCTTAAAGGTCACTATCACACATGTGAAGGACCTACGAGAGAGGAAGAAAGGAAATCGCGAAATTCAATATGTTCCTGGGGATAGGTACCGGCAGTGTTCGCTGGGCGAGAAGCTGATGGGCGAATGCAACCAAATCAAGCCACCAATGAGCCATGGAGAAATTCTCCCGATGCAGAACGATGGCTCCCCTCATGATGACAAAGGGGAGCTCCCATGTGCTGGTTGCACCGTGGTGGTAAGCAGCATCTACAGGCACAACAATAGCACAACAGCCGCTGCTCAAGGCTGAAAGGGGCAGTTCGCCCGTATTGGGTCGCACACTCTCATCCACGTTTGTCGCACGCGAAGTCTGCGTCCGACTTGGCGGGAGGAAGCATGGGGGAGTAATCGTTTCTTGATAGTGTTGTCGAGGAGAAGCCGCGTTTCGAGTTTCGAGTTCTCTCACGGGGTGTTCTGTTCTAACGGACTACGAAGTAGAAACTCTCAATGCGGAGGCTTGTGCGGTACTGACTGGTTGGCAAGTGCCGGCCACGGATGTTTCCACCGCCAGAAGAGGAGCGATTCCGCCGAGTCGTGGTGCTTTGCCAGTGGCGGGCAGCGAACGTTAGTGAAGGTTGGGTGAAGCCACTGGAGTCTGGGGTTGCTGGGCGCCGTTGCTCCGATCCGTTCGCTACCAGCGATGGGCTGCAAAGGACCAAGGTTGAGGATGTCCGACGGGCGACTTCAGTACTGTAGTGCTGAGCAGCCAGTAAATTGACAAAATGTCCGAAATATATCTCGGCAGGTCAGCAAGCCCGTTTGATTGGGTTGAATGGACGAGGCTTTACGCTGTGCCGCTGATCTGAGATTAATTCAATTGATGATGCCGCGCAGCATCACGACGTAATTACTCCTGTCCGGAGCTTGGGGGGGGGGGGGGGGCTTGGGCCAAGTTGCCCAGGTATCTACTCCGTGCTAGTACTATGTGCAGCGTGGAGTGAGTACCTTTTACTTCGTGCTCCGGAAGCACTTTGACGTACTGTAAGTACAGTATATATACAGTACGTACCGTACAAAGATCGGGAGGCGCTTGGTCCTGATTCCGAAGCGAGATTTGATCTTTACATGGTATGATATGATATGATAATGATTCGGACGTATGATGATAAAGATGGAGAACTCCAACAGTCCAACTCCACTCCGTACTACTACTTCATCAAGTCGCAACAACTACTGTACCTCTAGAATACTTGCCCCTCGGCCAAACAAACTTCGGCCCCTGAAGGGGTCCAGCGGCCCTCCCGTGCAGCCGCGCCAGCCAGGGAGCCATGGGCGATGCAAAGCTGCTAGCCAGCCGAGCCAGTCAGCGTCGAGTGCTTGCGAGTATTAGCTGCTCTCGAGCGTTTCACGGCCATTGCCACCAAACCAGATGGAGAGAACGCCCAGGCACGGTTCTGTGCGGGCAGGGGAGGGGCAAGGGGGGGCAAGGGGGGCAGCTCCACCGTTGCACCCTTTGGGTTATTTTTGGCTGGCTGCCGTTGGTTTGGCGCACGTTGTGTTGTTGACGGTGGACGAGTATCTGCGTATCATATCAGAGGGGACTCGTCCAGTTCTGTACTTTCGAGCAGGCGGGATTACTACTGGGTGCTGGGTACTGGGTACTACTGGATACTGGTAGTGGAAGTGGAAGCTCGGGGTCAAATAATGTGCGCTTTAAAGACGCTCATTTCTCGCTGCCAACGGCCAATCAAAATCACTACTTGGCTCTTAATTACCTCTGTGCTGGGCAGCCTGGGCTAGGACTCGCAAGCAGGGCGCTCTGTGCTCGGGCTCGAAGCATTCCGTTTCCACGGCTGTTTCTTTCTGCTTCCATTTTCCAGTTCATGTACGAAGTAGCTCCCTTGGTACTTGGTAAGGAGCCAACTTGTGCCCCAGAGCCAGAAGCCAACCTGATCGTGACGGTCACATAGTGACACCGAAACATCACATAACACGAGTTCCTTCACAAGCCCCAACCCCGACGGGCATATCTTCGTACATACTACATACTACATACTACATGCTACATGCTAGCCCATAGTGCTGAAGCAGCTCGGTACCATTATTCTTCTGCTGTAGCCTCTGGGGACTTCGTTCGTAGTGCGAGTACTACTGCACTTCGTAGGTACTTCGTAGGTGCTGCATAGATAGTACTCGGACCGTAGTGCTCGTAGCTGGGTCCGGCCCTTGCGCGCGCTAGCAACTCCATACTGTTTTCTATTGGCGTCGTGTACGTACGGAGTCCTCAAAACCACACGCTGAACCTCCGCCCCCTTACGACAAACACGCCGTGCGACCTTCCAACCACACCACCACCGGTTGAAGAACACACTGCCTGAAGGCATTGGCCCATATCCCAACCTGCAGGATCATCAAGCTGCCTGTCTTGCTGTCTTGCCAGAAACCTCTGCCCGATTTGCACAATTCTAACCCGAATTATTCGATTCCAGTCGGCGCGTTCTGCAATCCGCTGCAGCATCGATCACCTGTCTCACCCGTACATTCTCTCGCGCCCAATATCCATTATACCTGCGACACCGACATACTCGAACCTGTTCTCCATACCTACCTAGTTACTACTCAACTGCTTCACCAGCCTTCGCCGACTGGCTTCTGCGCTTCACTGGCTAGAGTAGCACAATTAACTTATTAAATCTTCCGGGAACGCATTCTCGGCACGGTATTATTGTTCTGTCGATCAGACAGATTTACAGGGCCGGGTCCTCGCATCATTCGTCTCCCCCCGACTCTCACGCTGGCTACCCACGATTCCTCCGTCGATCGCACCTGCCGACAGCAACAAGTCCTCCATATCCTTTTCAGAGCTCCATCGTGCTACCCTTTTGATATATCCATATCTTCATTTGCCTCGCGGCAGAATTGCTTCTGTTCGTGAGAACTCCTTTTGGGGTCGCTCCGGTCTAGGTAGAGTTTCAAGCGCCCCGGCCACCCTTTGACACCCCTTCGTTTCAACCAGGCTCACTGCCCCGACGATCACCAAACCGCCACTTTTCTGGAAAACAAACAAGTTCCTCTCTTGAAACTGTAATCGACACAACTCATCGAGGCTACGATCGTGTCGCATATTGCTGGATGAAGGATTACTAAGTGGCTGTGGTGACATCCTCCCGAGTTGAACTCGCTTCTTCTCTTCACTTCGGATTCGACCGCTTTGATAGCATCCTTCCCTTTCGGCGCCCCCGATTCATCTATCCTCATCGACGCAGCCTGTTATGTCTTCGTAGATACGGCCATCGACAGTGAACTCCAGCCAGTTCGAAATCGTGGCAGAGCGCGTCGACCAATATTTTTTTCATTTGGGCACAACACGACCCGAGGCGCAATCATGCCTCTTCCAGAGCCAACGTTTCCCCTGGACAATGGCTGCTCAGTACTGTTCAACAACACCCTATACGCATACACGCCCGACGCGTTCCAAACACTTCCAATAACCCAAGGTGCGCGATGGAAGCAGTTACCTTCGGGAGTTTCTGTCAAGGGAGGTGTGTGTGTGAAGTCGACACCGAAGGATGAAAACAACGCCGCGTTGTATATCGTGGGTGGAACGGCAGCGTCCAGTGATTACCCAGGACTACAACGGTTTAAGTTTGCAGAAGGAAAGTGGGAGACGATACAGCCGACAGTCCAAGTCACCCAAAACAGAGTCTGGCACAGTGCCGTATACCTCAACGCTTCTGATTCCATTCTTGTGTATGCCGGATCTCAGGACGGTACCCGGCAACCCAGTTCGCAAACCTTCACAATAAAGGCTTTCGCACCCTATGCTGCTTTAGCGTATGAAGCTATCGCGCCACCTGCGGTATCGCCCCTGTTGATGCCATGGTCGGAGGATATGGCATTATACATTGGAGGAAGTGATACTAACAAGAAGGCTATGCTTTTCAGCGCTGCCACCTCCTGGGTAGATTCTGGCACGACCCTAGACACACCCCTATACAACACTACTAATATCAGATCGGCTATCATTAACGGTGATGATGGCAGCAAATCTCTTTACACCTTCGATATGTCAGTCTCTCCAAACTCCGTCAATCGAACGATCCTGCAGGGTGCCGATGGCAAACCAGTCCAGAATGCGAAGCCAGTCAATAGGAGGAAGGTTGAAGAGGACGCACCCGCGAGAAGACCAAAGAAGCGGGTCAAGAGGGCCGATTTGACGATTGCGAATTGGCCGGCTTATAACGGCACGCTAGCGCCTTCGGTCACGAGAACTGGCTACTCGATCGCGCAGGATCCCAACGGGCTGGTTGTAATATCTGGTGGAAACGAGGACGATGTCTTGTGCATGTTCAAGGCAAGAGAGAATACCTGGATTAACGCCACAGCGACATTAGCAGGTCTTACGAACCAAAGGATACTTAACCTTTCCCCTTCATCCACCTCAAATTCCATCTCCCCCGCGTCGGAAACCGGAACACCTACCTCGACGGCTTCTACTACTACTGCTGCAGCGGCTGCGGCGGCGAATAAATCGGATCCTCCCTTCCCGGTCAAGATCCTTGGTGCCGTCTTAGGATCCATCCTGGGCGTTGCTTTGATATTAGTGGCCATCCTTTTCCTTCTTCGCTGTGCAAGGAAACGTAGAGAACATGCTGATCTTGGCCACCAACGTCGCTCAAGTGGCATCCCGGACGAGAAGGATGGCATGGATTTCTCGGATAGGGGCCTGCCACCGATGAGCTCCGCGACCCATATTCGAGGCCATGCACAGGACCCGTCGCAAGGTTCCTTTTCGTCGATGGCAATCTTCATGGGCAGGGTCGGCCATAAGAGAGGTGACGGCAATGGAAGCGTTGGGAGTGGCTCAAGCAGTCAATTCAACAAACAATACAAGACAGCCATTAGCAAGCCTATTCCCCAGGAGTCAACTTTAACTCCAGTAAAGCTGGAACCGGTTCCATATCCGGAGGAGAGGATGCCCGCCACAAGAGCGCCTATGAGCAGGGTCCGCGGTAGCACGAGAAGGAGCTCAGGATGGAACCGGTATTGGTCTGGGGGAAGTTCTCTGAATATTCTTGGATTTGGATCGAAGCGGGCGACCGACTATGAAGACTCGGAAAGAGACTCTGCCTCCAATTATTCCGAGAATCACCGGAGTCAGGTGACTCAACACTCAGCGTTTCCGCCCCCTCTGAAGCTTCCAGGACAACCGGAGCTAAATACTGTTGCATCAAGGAGTCCAACGATAAACCCAAACCACTCGAGCACGTATCCCCTTACGCGAGCGATGTCAGGCCAGATTGAACGAGCGAACTCCTTTAACTCAGTCTCATCATATAACGATGACCGGCACGACGCCTTCTCAAGTGGTATTCCAGCCAGCGTTCACGAGCAGAATACTTGGACACCTGTGGACAAATCCGACTGGTCGTCGGGACGGGATAATACCAGCAGTATGTATTCAGAGAGCGTGTACCCACCAACACATCCGCGAAATACACAGGTCCCCACGCAAGACATGCGTTTTCCCGTCCCGCCATCAACCCAACGAACGCCGCGCCAACAACGCGACGACATGAGCTGGCTTAATCTAGGGAACGAAAAGATTGGCTGAAGTAGGCCATTATTTTCAACCTACTTAAAAATACCCCGAGCTAGACTGCTCTCTATACATATACATATACACCGACATACTTTCTCATTTTCTGTTGATCACTCCCTATTAGCGGCGCCTGGTTCTTTTTTCTTCCGATTTCTACTACCATTTGCATATCCGCAGGGGATCTGGGGCAAATCTCGCGCGTATTGGAGCAGGTCAAAAAGCAGAAGAATTGGCTGGGTGTTTATCAAGGCGTTGTCTCCTCCGTTATATTTTCTATTCTTGAGGGTAATGCAGCAGGCGATTGGTTGATGCTACGGCATTTGTACTAGATCTTGTGGCCTGTTTTGTGTGGCATAGTGGCGTCATTGTTTTTTGTGTGCTCTTGGACGGAGGGGGTTGATGGTAACTGACTTGATACAATGTCGTTGCCCATCTCACTATCATTGGCTGGAATGCAGGCCTGGATGTCTAATGCTTAACTTGGAGTGGGGGGGTGTTGGGACGGTGCCGTGGACGAGAAGGGGAAAGCCCCGTTGTGGACGGGGTTGTAGAAGTACGGAGTAGGCGTTGTGACGAGAGAGATGAAATGAAAACTATTACTATATCTTATTGCCATTCGCTATGTGATTTCATAATTATATATGACGCTGCCAGTTACGAGATACCACGGCTTACAAGAGGTCATTCATTACCACATCACTTCTTTGTTTTTCCTCTCCACCCCCTTTTGGGCGGTATGAGCCGTTCAGGATCTTGGAGCTACTCTCCTTCTTCTCATTACACAAGCTTACAACTAATTTCATCAACGGAACTTGTTGGATCTTGAGCTTCAAGAAAAGTTAAGTAAGCGTCAACACTTGGGGACTACTTAGCCCAGAATCTCGAGAAGGAACCACCTCAAGCTGTACAAGTAGATCAGCTTGTGAGGTACTTGCGTGGATATACACACCAGGTTATATCCTATGCCTCTAAACATTCATTGCGAACAAAGTCGACCGCACCGAGCCGCTCCTTTGACGGGGATTCAAGCCTGCTCCCGGGAATGTAATTTATTTTGGGGGAACCCCTTATCCGCAACAGTGCCTCACCCTACCAGATATCTTCAGTTCTACGCATTCGAAGGGCTTCTAAAGAGCAGGGGTAGCAAGTGGTGCTTCCTGCTACTTTTACTTCGTGTTACTTGCGCGGTTGGGCCTTGAGTAGATGGATCACATACATAGCTTTCCTGAAACTGTGTTCACAAATAGAGCCCCTTGCCTTTTTATATGCCCTTACTTTTAAGATCCCTAAGATGATTTTTTGAACTTCTATATAATAAGTTTCTGAATCTCTATTATAATATTAATAGGACTTATTTATAGGACTATCTTGGACCGTGCGAACTTTGACTATTCAGTCAAATTGTATGTACAGTCAAGTTGCACGTACAGTACCTATATCCCGGAGTGCAGTTGTCAAAGTATATACGGATTTTATTACTTAAATATACGCTAGGATGGATCCTCGGAACCTTCGCCTTGGCCCAAACATTTATGTATGTGATTCTGTCAAATCTTGACTTCAAGATCCACCTTATCGATTTCTTTTATCTTGCGACTTCCCTTCTATATGCGTGATTACACTGTATGACTCGACGCTATATCACGTGAAGGATAGGGGGGCACTTGACACTAGCGACTCACGCCTGGTATAAATATCGTTACTGAACTTCTACCACCTCTTCTCCTTTTCTCTTCGAATCTTGTACTATAGAGTTAATCAGCCTTCTTTGCACAATGTGAAAGTGGCACAAAAGAACAAAACATAAATAACTATTATAGTAGTCAAAGATCAAGAGTTAAAATAATAGTCCAATGTTGTATATCCATAAAAGTGTGTATGTTGGGAAGCTATGAGTGCTGAGATAGTAGTGGAAGGTTGGTTACTTAGTAAGTACACTCGTAAGCGAACAACCCCTTGCCTCTGATCAACGACCTCCTCCAGTGATAGGCATTTGAATGACATAACTATTCCACCACCACAACACCTCAAGTAACGAAGTGTCACAATAACTTCTCGGCGGTATAGAGGGTGTAGGGCAGCAAATGTGAAAGAGATATTTGACTTGAGAAGGTGTGACTTTCGTTGTCGATAAGAAGAGAACATTGATCCTAAACTTGTTGTGAATGCTTTAGGACGTTTTGCGAGTGAGATAACACGGGGTTGTAGAGGCGTAGACCTTGAGGGTAATTCCAAATTAGGTATTGTAGAAGTCAACAGTACAATGGGTATAAATGTGGTACTACAAGATAATGCTTTGCAAAGGACCAGGTTTAACTGTCGTTATTGTCTCGACTATTTTTAATTACCTCGAGTCTCAAGGCTGAGTAAATCTATTCATCCTGTGCTACAATGCCTCCTACGCATACAACCAACTCTGGCCAGCCTTACACGGACTCGTCGTACCACTCATCGGAATACAGTAGCTTACCCGTTGGCCTGAGCCGGTCCCCCAATCCCCCAATCCCCTACCCACTCCCACAGCCATCAGATCGGTGGTTGGTGTTTTGAGTTGGTTAAGGCTGTGCATGGCAAGGCAGCATCTCTAATTAGCGTCATCGCCTAACAACATATTGCCATTATTATTATTAGAGGATCGCTTTACATAATTGGAATTGAATATTATTATATATTGTAGCTAAAAATGGCTTATTATATATAATAGCCGACCCTAGGGTGACCATAATGAGTAGATTGCTTGCACAGGTTTAACAAACTCAAAGTATCAACCACCGATCTGATGGCTGTGGGAGTGGGTGGGAGATTGGGGGCCGGCCTCAGGTTAACGACTAAGGGGCTATTCCTGATGACAACGCTGTTGGCATCTTGGAGTACTATTCCCCAAGGATCTTGGGGCCTCTGGAAGGCCGCTTACACGATGTGAATACATAAGTACAGCGCTTTCATTATACTCAGGACCTTGGCCATTCTACGCCTTGGAAACAGGTATATTTTACTAGCGCTCTCCCGGTTTATTCTTCTCGACGCTTTTGTATCAGTCCTCAGATCAGGAGCAAAGAGCATTCCACTCTTCAAGGCGTAAACTCGTTCTTCGCCCTCGTTTTTCCTCATCCATATATCCCCAGCAATGTTGTGTCTGAGGCAGTTACTCTTCGTCGGGGTTCTCACCCTCTCCTATGTCGGAGCATACGACCTGCGCAACGTACCCCCTTTATCTACAACTGCCCAAAACTCGGGTCCCGTCCCTACGGCTCCCGCCGCCATCCCCGCAATAACAGACGGCAATGTCGGCGTCTGGACCTCAGCAGCCCTCCGAGAAATAATCAAAGAAAGAGACGAGTACGCCGCGCAGGGGCACTTCGCTGAGATCGAGCAGAGAGACCAGGACGTCTTTCCCCTCTGTCCCGAATCGTGGCGTGGCGGCGTCCCCAAAGCATGCTCCGACTGTGGGAATGACACAATCGTCCCCGGCCAGTGCGACCAGGTTATGCTCACTGGAAGCCAGGAACGCTGCCAATTTTCAGGCGGCTGTGGTGTGTACTGTCAGTGCGTCCCAGGTGCCGTGGATATTACCCCCGGCAAAGTCACGTCCATTACCACCGTCGGCGGCCAGGCCGGAACGGTCGTCTATGAGGCCCTCACGCTGGCTGAGTATACCGGCTTAAAAGCGAGCACAACTGTTACTATCACCGATCTCGTCGCAACGAGCACTGACAGTAGTGCCGGCATGGAAACTTTTGTTGCTGTTGTGGTAGCGGGTGGTATCGCGTGGTGGGTTGCAGGTGAGTCTTGCTCTTTTCTTCTCGTTTCTGCCCTTGGCCTGAGTATGTTGGAAGCACAGCAGCTAACTGAAGTGTAACAGAACAGTTCGGCGCGGCAGCAGCTATCGCAGCTATACAACCGCCCTCTAAGCTGCCGGATGGCGGAGAAAAAGACAACGAAGTGTGCCAGAAGGATCCAAAAGAGGACTGCGCCGATTGTGGTGGAGCCAACAGCGTAAAGCTGTGCTCGTCAGGGCCCGAGGTTGGCTGTCCCTGCGACGAAAAGCAGAACTGCCCCAACGAACCGCCTCGATGTACCGATACTTCTTGCGGAGGTGATGTGAGTCAATAAGCAATACACAGCTTCGAGTATTGAATTTGCACTGATATCGTTTCGATAGAATGGAAAATCGCAGTGTTCCGCGTCGGGTGCTATCAACGGCTGCACGTGCTGCCCAAGCACTACGATTTCCTGCTCTGACAGCAATTGTAACGGGGACGTTTTCTCCCAGTGCCAGGCGGACACACACCATGGTTGCGGATGTTTTTGGATAGGCAATAACGGCAGAGACTTGAATATCGAAAACAGCGACCCCGATTCCATCACGCCGGACCAGCTGTCCTCGCTGGCGGCCGCTGTCTTCACCACAGCCTGGGGCGCCGTGTCCAGCTCTGTGCCGGGCCTTCTGAGGAACCCCCCCGTCGTCAGCTGCCCGTACGAAAGTTACACGCCCACCGCGAGCCTCAACACAGGCACCGCGTCTGTCACCTTCCTGCCCGTCACCAATTGCTACTGCATGTGCGGACCGGCCATGACGCCGCAGTTCTGGGGTACTAACTCGGCCCATAGCACCACCAGCTGGTGCATGAACGGGGGCACCACCGCTCCTGGCGACTACACATATGTCAGTAAGGGGTGCGAGCCAAGTGCTCCTGTCCCGACAACGGCTCCCTCAACAACAATGACGGTTCCTGCGCATCTTACATCGACCAGTTCAACGACTTTCCCAGTCAACACGCCGCCTTCCAACGCCACCTGTAACAAAAACTCGGATTGTAGTAGGTACACATGCACGGGTGGACCGGCGGCAAAATGCGTGGCTGGAGCAGCAGGCGATCCGTTCACTTTGCTATGCAGATGTTGAGTCGAGAAGGAGGATCCGTATAAATGTAGATAAATAGCATTCATGATCATTCCTTTGTCGATTGATACTGCTACTTCATATCTCATTATGACCGGCCACCCTTAAGTGCATTTACGTGGGTTTGAAATGGTCGGGCATTACGAACACACTGCCATTCTGTAGTAGGCCAAAGGCTTCTTGTCTACTTGACAACAAATTCATCCGGGTAAGGTTCTGCGGAAGGACCGGCACAGTGCTCCTTTGGGTTGCAAGAGGTCTGGCCTCATAAAACATGCTCGAACTGGCTGTGAAGGAGACTGCAGTACCGGATAAAATCTGACCGCCGAAAGGATGATAATCTGGGTCGTCAAGAAATGCTTCGGCGTCGTTGATTAAAACGTCAAGCCCATCGGAGCAAGTGAGTATAGGTCCGCGGCCAGGCCAGTCACAGAAGCACCCATGTAAGGGAAAAGAAGTATAGGCCTGGTTTGCACCTCCATTGCAGTCGGTGGAGCTGCAGGCGATGTATTCAGGACAGCAGGGACAGCCGTGTAGGGCTGTTTCGGTGCCATCTGTGACAAGCTTGCCATCCGCCTGATTGCATCGTGGGGTCGACGACGTTTCGGTCTTCCAATCGTCTGATCCGCGGCATTGGGGATCAAGACACCTAACTGGAGGATCGAGTGGACAATTCCTGCTACTCGGTGTTATCGCTCCAACGTCGTTGTTCAATGATTCGTATAGGGTAAATTCTGCTAATACGTCGTCGATTTCCGCGGCAGTAGCCGCGTCGAGTAGCGCGCTTGTAGGAGGGGCCGCTCTTCGGTTGGATGCGACACAAACACAGCTATCAAGGAGTTCCGACCGACAAATCTCCTCGTTGGGGCTGCCGGCACATTTTGGGTCGTCGCAATCCACCAGGCGCGGACAGCAGCGACAGCCAAACACTTCGTTCCCAAACATGACGCCATCGCGTTGACGGCAGCGATAGGGAGGGACTGCCCAGGAAATGCCCCCGCACGCAGGGTCGTCGCACGCGAGGGGCGCCGGCACTTGGGGCCATCCTATCTGATCTGGGCACATTGGGGCGCCCCGCGAGAATTGACTGAGATCTTCTGCATCTGTGCCGGTGGTGACGATGGCTGCGCAGCCGCGGATGACGAACTGAACGAGGAAAACGAGCATTGTGAATGTGGCGGGTAGGTAAATATTAAAGATCGTTTTGCCCGTGGGGTAATGAACAATTTCACAGGCGATGGGAAAATTGAATTTGGGGGCTGGTGGAATAAAAATGGTCGAAGATGGAGGAAAAGGGTGGGTATCGAAATTTTGGAGCCTGCAGGATTAAAGCAAGTTGGCGGCATCAAATTGTCTATTGGCTACGGAGTATAGGGTACCTAGGTAGTTATGTTGGAAGCTATGTTGGGAGAGTAAGCGGAAGCTCCCAACTGGCCTGAGTAACGAATATCAGAAGTCATGACCAAGGATACTGTGAGGTGGTTGGAATAAATGGTATGCAATAAATGGTAGGCATTAAGCTCAATTCAGTACGATATAGTAGAGATTATCTATTCTCCACCCCTTTGTCGATCACTAGGTTGGGACATAAAACAGCGACCAAACCCCATGAATTCGGCGACCACCGTACCTGGACATTGTGTTTATCTGCAATCTCTACGCTTATGACACACCCGGAACTACGTGTTCTCTATCTTCTGCAGTAAGGTACTCTACTTAATTACCGCTCCAGGCCTTCTACCCTATCCACGAACACGCATGAGCGATACAGCTCAAGTAGTCATGATCACTACTCCTCCCAACAGCTCCACGTCCCCTCCTTTGACGCCACCTCTTAGCACAGAGAAAGGGCCCGGAGAACCAACCTCTCGAATCTTGAGCGCAGGACACGCTTATAAACTTGGCCACTCTCTGTTCCCGTGGCATTCGTTCCGTGTCGAAAAATACGAATTCGGCGATTTGTTGGTAGAGGTTGTGTAAATGCCAATCTCTTTTTAAGGATATTGGAAGTATAAGCCCAGGTATATCCCTTCTCGTGTAGCCCTTCTCTACTAACGTAGACATTGATATACGATTACTGTCCCTTTACTTCGACCTTTGCCCCTAGTTGGCCCCCTCGGGACTGCTGTCTATAGTAGGAGTTCATTAGCACTGATGAAAGAATTTTGAGAATGACAAAGTATTGGGACATATTATTGAGATGCCTCTTTATAACGCTTGTTATCCCTGCATATAGCTATTCAAGTAGGTTGCAAATTTTTCTTTTGGATGGATTATATGTGATGGGGAATCTGACGAGAAGGTAGATGGAAGGATGAGTCCATGGGAAGAATCAAAGTATTTTGGAATATGAGGAGTAATGGAGGCACTACTTATCATTAATGTAGCTGGAAATATCTTCAATACTAGGAAATAAGGATGGAGGTAGGAAAAACAATGGCTAGAAGGGAAAAGAGGAAGGCAGAAATAAAGCACATCAATTGCCTATGGGGCCTTTTTGCAGATATGTAAATAATGGCCTTAACTTTCGAAGCTTGCGGAAGTCAAGGCATAGGAATTACCTACTTGGATGTGCCACTACGGGGGATTGAACCCTAACTAATAAAATATACAACCTCAGCCTTCCGTTGCTTGTCACGCCGATCAACTGTACTAGGTCGAATGTATATCTATAGGGCTCTGTGCTATTGATCTGGTTATTTGTATTAGATAGAGAGAGTATACTGTCTGGGGTCAGCTGCTCTTGGCTTCCAAGGCAGAGAGGACTTTGGTAGTGGTACGATAGGCTTCGGCTTATATAGCACAAGAAAAGGAGCAAACAAACAAACATTCAAACGCTGGTCAACCCCTATTGGATATTTTCAGTAGTAGAAAGGGTAGTGACCCAACGAGATGTCACCTGGAGGCAGGACGCGTCATTCAGCAGCGACATTAGGGACCAGCTGCCACAATTATTGAATAGTAGCTTCCGAATAACACAGCCACTGGGCTTGCCACCGAGAGACAAATCCTCTGCGTGGTGGTTGTACGAGGCGTCACGAGCTGACCACTGACTGGAAATGGGCCGGATATCGCGGCAACGACGAGCTGGTGGGAGAGCAAAGGGGAGCTTTTCAAAGCTGACCTAGGTATGGAGGATGATCGGGCGATAGTTACGGAGCAGCTAGCGATCATTTGACACTTGAACTGGGCGAAGTAACGGGCTTCTGCGAAGGAGGATTGCTTCCCATGTTCGTGGCTGAAATTTCCACGTAGGGAGAGATCGATCCTCGATGAGATTTGCAACAAGTCCGTGCGGCTTGTCGAAATAATCCACTTGGTTATCTGAAGATGCTAATAAATCTATTTGAAACAGTTGTCTGGTAGACACCTCTGGAGCCTTCCTACCAAGTAGTAAGCTTGACTTTGCCAAAAGAAAAACAAAATTGGCACAATGACGGACCACCGAGTGGACCCCTATTAAAGGTATTGATGTTTTGAATGTCATATGCAAAGTAAGGACGCAGTTAACAACGGGAAGACCGAAATCAGTATTTTTGTGTGCGGCGTCTGGCGTTTATGGCCCTTTGAGGTAACCACCAGTGAACCATCAGCATGGGCGGATGGCGGCCTGTGATTGGCCAGATTCCAAATCGCGGCTCTATCAAACCTTCTATATCTAGACAACATTAGCGCCAAATTCTTCCACAGCTTCTGGAAGCATTCATGCATCATTCATGGCTTTTTATCTGCATAATCGGGATAGTCACGCGATGCGGCGAAGACCGAGGCAGAGTGAGACTTTTTCTCTGTTCTCGGGACTCGGGACCCTGGGTTCTGGTTCTTATCCACATCCTGATTCCTGAGCAATAATGGCTAATCCCCTGCGTTTTGGGTGACTCCCCACTCACCGCACCATGGAGACCCCTTCGGTTTCTATGCTTGCTCGTATTATTGTAGTTCACGAGGAGCAACGCTTTGTCTGGATATTTTGAAAGAAAGGTTCGCTGTCTAATACTGCGTCAGGACACTCAGGAGCCCGTCCGTTCCGTAGTGCCGGCTGAAACATTTGATGCGGCGATCGTCCGTGTTGAGGTTTTACCCAGCTAGAAGCAGCAGGCAGGGTTCGCCAGTTGCACTCTAAGGCCCTTGCCAGATGCAGAGATGTGGGGAAGAGAGCGGGATGCCAGTGGGGGTTTCTCCATATTGGCTTGAGTTCTGGTTTGAATCTGGCTTGGGTTGCCCCGAAATGCACGGAATTGCCCGCAAAGAAGCCACTCACTGGCACCTAGAGTAGGACAGAATAGATGCATTGGTCCGGCAACTAATATTGCCCTGGAAAAATTTCCTTCCTAGAATTCAGCCAACTCTGGTGAAGGGCAATGTGACATGTGTAAGGGTGCCATACGGAGGTATCCTTCGTATCCTTCGTGCTCTACCAACCAAGGAGGAAAAAGAAACGAACCCCCCGCGTACCTTGCGCCGCTATTACCTACATGTACATGTACGAACATGTACAGGAGATATTCAAGGGGTTTGCGACCCAAGACATGGGGGATCATGGCTGAGAGCAGCGGATGCCGCACCAATAGCACCAGAGAGATGCTCTCTTTCTCTCTTGCGCTCTCCATCAATACCTTCATTCTTCTCCGGTGCGTCCTGAGACTCCTTACCAGTAGCAGGATAGCCTGCACTCCCCCCCCCGTAATCACCCGCTCTTGGGGCAGTGGGCAGAGTTCATGACGGCTCTTCGGGCGGTCGTTCCTCGATTAGCGTAGCTGTGGCTGAGAGAATACCCACACGGGAGTTGTTGCGCTCGTCCTCACAGTGTTGTAGGCTTGCCAAAAAAGAGGCATCTCCTCCGTAGAGCACCTACTGTAGGTACGGAGCACTCGAGCAAGATACGAGCAGAAAGCTATTTAATCTTTTCCACGACTCGCGATTAGCCTTAAGCGACGCGCCTCCACCAATCAGAATCCCGGATCAGGTCTCTCCGTCCCCCACCCTCCCACTTCCCACTCCCACTCCCAGGCCGACTCCAGCTCACAACCATTTCCCGCCGCGACGGCGACCCTCGATTGCGACTGCAGCTCAGTCCACCACGACCCCAGAATGAAAAGATTTCCTTCACTTCCCAGAGGACCATAGCAACCAGAGCACAATCGTTGATCGTAGATCGCAGATCACAGGACGCAGACCGGAAACAGCGACTGTTCGAGTGCCTCTTCAACGCATAACGCTGCCGCCACTGGCGCTGAACTGGAAGCTCTCAAGCTTTGCCAATTACTTTTTTATCCGTCATATCGCACGGCGCAAACATACTCGCACCGCCTCGGGCAGCACGACCTCGATCCGCAGTGCTACTCGTGGGTGCCGCAAACTCGATGGATTCATCTAATGTGTGGGACAATCAGGACCCGACGCTGTCGGTCCCTTCCCAAGATGACTTCAACCAATTTCTCGACATCAATATGAATAATCTGAGCGACACCCTCCAATTCGAATTCCAAGATTTTGCCGGCCACCAACCCCAAGGGCTGCCGCAGTTGATACATCAAAATGACCCCGAGGCGATGGATCACTCTGGCTTGGAGAATAATAATGGAGGTGGTATGAGCCATGACACGACAATGCAAGAGCACATGCCATCAATGACCACGGCTGCGAGCCACCCCGCCATACTTGGGACGTCCCTTGGTCACGAGCAATCTTCCGATGAAAGCCTACTCGAGCTAGATGCGCAAATCCAGTATCTGCAACAGCAAAAACAACGGAGGCAACAGCAGCAACGGCAGCTGCAGGATCAACAGCTTAATTTCTATGTTCAGAATGGGGTTATACCACCAACTCCCAACAGTATTGAGCTACACTCAGGAAGCTCTCATTTCTACCCTCATACCGACCCTGCCCAGCAAGCTGTTTTCGAGAGGTATCGAATGCAGATGAAAGAGCAAGAGGTCAGTCCTCTTATTCAATTTGCTTCGCTACAAAATCCCCTCAAGAGTCCGAGAACGGGGTTGCTCCGTTCAATCTTTAGACATATCATAATGTCCTTGTGCTGCTTCCAGCTTGTGAGCCTTTAAACTACACGCATAGCTAACACCATATTAGATGGCTTTTACTCCACTCGCATCTCCTGCAGTCACCCCTCTCGAAGCCCACTTCAACATACCTGAATATACGGTGCCAGGAGCCTATTTCAGCCCCCTAAGCTCTCCAGCTCTTCGTGCACAAAACGGGCAGCAATCCACCGTATTTGATCAACGCCATTCTAGCACAACAAATTCTCCGGCCGATATGAACATGGATTCTCTATCGCTTCCTACAAGCTCTGGTACCCTTTCGAAAAAGACGGGCAAGAAACCAGCCGCCAAACCCCGGGCTGCCCGTGCAATACGACAATCGCCGATTGTTAAGCCAAAAAGAACTAGGAAGGGCTCCATAGCCACCCAAGCTCTGGGAGACATTATAGAACCATCGTCTTCTCAGGTCACTACTCGACCCAAGCAGCCAAGCTCCCAATCTGGACCTAGCACTGAAGAATCTGAGAACGGGTCAATATCCCCTGAACATCTCTCAGATATGGGGCCTCCGCCCGTGCCTACTCCGGGCTCAGCATCACGCTCTCCTTTTATTACTGCCCAGAAGGAAGATCCAAGGAATCAACGCGGCATTCTCGGATCCCCTGCAACTCCTGCTTCGCTAATGAGACTCCCGCAATCGCCCCAGATCAATCAGCCGCTAAGTAATTTGTCGATGGACGGCGATGATCAGGGTATGGATGGTTTCCTGCTTCCCGAAGCAGCAAGTTCTACCAGACCACAACTTTCGCGTCTTGATACTCAATCTGATGGTCAAGTCACTCCAACCATGAGCTCTACTGGGGCGAAAACACCCGCACCAGCACCTCAAACCTTACCCTCCCCAGCTCTTACACGGCCGAGGGCTGCGGTGTCTGCCAGCCAAAGTCCCCAGATTGACGCCATGAATGGGTCGAATACGATAAGTGGAGGTGTTCGGAAGGCATCTCAGTCGGCAGGTCGCAGTGCTAAGAAACGAGCCAGCAGCTCTGTCCTCGCGTCCCCGGCTCTCTTACCAAGAATATCGCCAAGTATAAAACCTTTAATTCCAGGGAGTGGCTCAGTGTCAGACGATACTGCCTCGCTGTTATTGGCATCGAAGTCAAATTACCAGAACCTTCTCGAAGGTAACCACTTGCCAGGAGTCATGTACCCCTCGGAGCTGTCAACAAACCTGACCTCGAAACGCACCTCTCACAAAATTGCTGAGCAAGGCCGTCGGAACCGCATTAATTTAGCACTCCAAGAAATTGCTACATTATTACCGCGAAGTACGAAAGATAGCTCTGGAGATAAGAGCGGAAGCGGCGATGCGGGAGAGACTAATGAGACGGAAGCAAACGCCAAGGCAGGCGCTCAGAGTGCGAACAGTAAAGCCAGTACCGTGGAGCATGCGATCGAATATATTCAGCAATTGAAGAAGGATCTTGCTGATGCAAATAAGAGGGCCGAGGAGGCTGAAAAACGCTTGAATGGGACACATGAAGCAAAAGAGTGATAGAGGAATTTGGGTCTGCTTTTGGAGTTATAGGGTTAATGATACCTGGGCCTTTTGCTCACGCCCTGGATGTGATTCTGCAAAGAGGCAGTCAATTCAGAAAGCATGGTGGGGAGTTTGGTTTACTACCATATATATGCTCTTGTATTTAGGTCCCATGTTGGGACCGCGTTTTATCTCACCAAGGACATGGAAAGGAATCTATGTGAGGCTGTTCGTCGGCAACCTAATTACCTATGCCGTCGCCGAAACTCAGCATTAGAAGGATGTATTTGGATATAGTAACCCGAAATAAAACAAACTACACATATACACTTATACTTAACGCTGGTATTGTGAGGAGTGTGTCCCGTTTGACTAGCTTGAAATTTTGAAATTTGGTTATTTATTCATCGACAGAGCATAGAGCGAGGCTCAAAACCCTCTGGATATCAAACTAAATGCCCCACCTAGGATTTCTGGCCTGTTTCCATATCGCCATCTCCTATGCAGTGACATCCTTTGCGGAGCAATGTGACGGACGCATTCATCGTGGATGAGTAGCACCCGTTATATTGCCACTTCGATTGCCCTTAAAAAGCCTATTCGGAGACTTTTGTATCTATTCAGCGTGGGGGTTTCCACACTCGGTAGAGTCACTACACTCTCGGCCCTGCTTATGGCCAACTATTCCACTCATTAAATAGGGATTTTGCATCCCATCAAAGAGAGTGAAGTAATGATCACAGCAACCTGTCCTATCTCGGAGGGCCATGACAGGTATTTCACTTTTTCTCAGCTTCGACATCAAGCACATCAACATCCAGCTCTTCCATAATTCCCAGCACCACACTTATGCTCTCCATAAACCCATTGACAGCAACCCTCAGCATCCTATTCGTTGTGGCTTTGTACTCAGTCCTCAACACCGTTTCTTCAGGAGAAGCCGGCGTGTTGGAGTTGGAAGCAACGGTGGAAAACGATCGACGCACAAGCGGGGAAAGTTCGTTATCGACACGCAAGGCTTGGAGGGCAGCAGATGCCAATCGGGCAGTGGGGAGAGGCAGGTCGATGGTGCTATTATGACTTGATTAGATATTCCCAAACAGGAAAGACAACAACAAACAACTTACAGCGAGCAGGGGAACTCGGGGTCTAGCTCCAACGGGGTTGCCATGTTGCCCACAATGTTTTGATAAATGTCGGTCCAGGCGCATGAATCAAATGTCGGATATGAGATTGGCGCTGTTCCAGCCTGATTGTCCAGGCGCAATATGTTGACGACGGAGACGAGGGGCGGTGGTTGCCCTGGGAACGCGCAGCATAACACACGCTAACTGGTTCTAGATGCTGAACCACAAACCTCACACACGACAACCCAAACATTCTTCAGATCTTGCGATACAAGATACATCCTTCCTCTTCTTCTCTCTAACCATCGCTTTGGCACCGAAGTCCTTTATTTCTACACTTCCTCTCTTCACCACATCACAGCATATCCTAAGAGTATGTTTTGTTTATAAACCGGATCAACAAATAAACACAAGTCGCACCTCACAGTCTGCCAACTGCCACCCAATCTAGGTGAACTCAAGCCCACAACACACGATCCTTTCAGCAAGTCTGCCATATTGGAAGCTGCGACTGCATTGTTTGGACTCGGTACAAGATAGTGCCTACTCTCAAGATGACTCCTGCCGTTAAGTATGGGCAGGTCATCGAGTACATTCCCGGTAAGCTACTTCCCATAATACCTCTCCTCCCCTCATGACCGCTCGAAGCAAAACAATGGGTATTGCCTGCCAGCCGAGCATCATTACTCCATTGCTGGAAATCAAATAAATGGATTATCAAAACACCCACGAATGGGTAGCATTGGTGTCTAGCTTTCAGCACGATGGGGCCGTGGCAACAGAGCATTCACAACAACCTTCTCCTCTGGTTCCGTTCACTTTGCTAATTATTGCAGACCGATTGTACCTAGCTTCATACACCACTCCGCCCACTGAAGACACTCTCTTCCCATACCCTGACCGCCAGCCTACCCGACGGTCCCCAAGCAAGCGGTCGGCGAGAGCGGTGGACGGTCCATCTGCTGTGTTATCCGAAAGAGATCGCACTCCTCCCTATTATTTCTCTATTGATGATTCATTGCTATACAATGCTTTCCACCATGACTTTGGACCATTACATATTGGACACCTGTACCGGTTCGCCGTCCAGTTCCATGACATTCTTGCGGCTCCCGAGAACAAGAACAAGCCAGTTGTTTTCTGGAGCAAGGCCGATGCGCGCAGTGAGTATTTCCATGATCTGATTTATACAATAATAGCAGCTAATTCATATCGTAGGCCGGGCAAATGCTGCTTGTATTTTAGCTTCATATATGGTTCTCATCCAGTCCTGGGCACCGCATCTTGCTCTCGCGCCCATTGCGCAAGCGGATCCACCCCTCATGCCTTTCCGCGACGCAGGATATAGTCAAGCAGATTATGGGATTACGGTGCAAGATGTGGTATATGGTGTCTGGCGGGCAAAGGAAGAGGGGTTCTGTGCCTTGCCATCATTTGATCTTGAGGAGTATGAGCGATATGAGCGTGTGGATCAAGGCGATTTCAACTGGTTAACACCAGACTTCCTTGCATTTGCATCACCTCAACATACGCCTATTGCGCCCATACTACCATCCTCACCACTCTATTCTACATTACCTACCACCGTTGATGCAGTGGATGCTCATCCCACACTTCCTGGTCCATTTAAGAATGTCCTCAAGCATTTCGGGCAGCGAAACATCGGCCTAGTTGTCCGCCTGAACTCGGAGCTTTACTCGCCATCGTACTTTACTGCACTTGGCATTGAGCATCTGGACATGATTTTCGACGACGGCACTTGCCCACCTTTAAGTACTGTGCGGAAATTCATCAGGCTTGCTCATGAGATGATCACCGTGAAGGAGCGAGGAATTGCGGTCCATTGCAAAGCTGGTCTTGGTCGCACTGGCTGCCTCATCGGAGCATACCTTATCTATCGTTATGGATTCACTGCCAACGAGATCATTGCCTACATGCGCTTCATGCGACCTGGAATGGTTGTTGGCCCACAGCAACATTGGCTACATCTCAACCAGGGAACGTTCCGTGAATGGTGGCTAGAGGAGCAATTTGAAATTAAAATGAAGGAGAAGATGGCAATCATGGCACCAACTACGCCTATAAGATCAAGCAAGCCATACATGGTGAATAATGGCCAGGTCGCAACGCCACCTAATGCCAGCCGAAGATCACCTCTGGGTGAGGTCGACAATGGACAACGCGACAGCATCGGTGTGCAAGAAGATTGTCTCCCTGCCCCTACCCCGGGTCAACCGCGAAAGACTAGCAGAGCAGTCGATCGTCACCATCCCTACACCCGCAACGTCTCCACTTATAGCACAACTGAAGATGACCACATGATTCAAAGAGAGACGGAGGTGATCTCAATTCATCGGTCCTCGATAGATAACGCAGAGGGAGAAGACGAATGGCAAATGCGAATGCGCACAAGCCGCAAAACATCTCGATCCCCCGGTCGAAGTGAAAAGCGCTCCATCAGCCAAACCACCACAACCATCTACACGGTCGACAATGACAGCAGCAACGACGTCGAGAACATCGGCGCAGGAGCTCGTCCAAAGACCCCCGGAGCCATGAAATCTGGCCCCGGATCCCTCAACAAAGTGCGTGGAAGCCCAAAGCGCAGCGGCGACAGCCTCCGAAACAAGGAGAGTGCAGGCATTCGAAAGACCAGTGGAAGAATTGGCAGCATGAGTGTCTCTTCTCCCCGTAAGGTCTCTGGACTGTAGGCTGCCCCGATACATCTTATTCGCCATGCTGTACCTGCATTGAATCCGGCGTTTGTGAAGCATATGAAATGAATCGTACGTACTGGTGGGCAATGGGGGCGTTTTGTTTGATGTTGAATTTTCCTGTTCGGGTGGGCTGTAGTTGAGCATAATGCGGTTGGCTTTTGTCCGTCTCTTGCTTTGGATGGAGTGTGGCAGTCTCTGGTTTTACGGTTGCTTTTTGCTTATTTGCGCTTGTGGTTTTTTATTTGCCGGATAGTTGATGAATTGCTGTTTTTCTGTTATGCGTCCCAGAGTTCCTTAGGAAGGGTCTGGGGTCGTCATCAATCACGAATCATGAAGGAAGCATGCATTGCATACAAGAGGGTGATAGAGAGAGAGAGAATATCAAAACTTCAAAAATTAAAACACAAATGCTACCCTGATGTGATTATAAATTGACGTGTAGTGAATCGACATTTGTAGAAAGAGGGGCTTGGGACACTGGTCCCTTGGACCCTTAGGATAAGACTACTTGGTCAACGAACGGCTAGAGGACACCTGAAAAGCGTGGTAAAATAATCTTGAGATGGCTCTATGTTTGATTCACTGATGCCTTGATACGAAAGCATTCCTTGGAAGTGTTTCAAAGCGGTGCAGCAGAAACATATATTCTAATTCCCTTACGGTCTCTGTCTCCCTAATAAATAAACCAAGGAAGAAAATGCGTAGTTATAGTTTAATTTGACCACTATAGTAAGTTGCTACCAGATCGCTTTTCAAAGTCAAATATAAAAAATAATTTCATTCAAGAGCTGGAACGAGAGCAAGCGTGAAACTTTTCAATGAATTTGTTTATTTTTTTTGTAGTAGTCTAACCACGATAAGAGCCAGGCATCAAAAAACAAAGTCGGGGGAAGCAAGCCTGCGACGAGAGTTCATCTGTCGAGAAGAGTAAAAACATGATGCCGGGCTAACTTAGAGCGTGCGTAGAAAAAGGGCAGGGTAAAGTGCAGTCTGAGGCATTAGAGTTTCTAAAACGGCAAGCGAAGGTTTGCGAAATTTGGCTCTTCTCTTAGGTGGGTTGCTTGCCCATTTCATCTCATCTCATCTGCGATAAACATGCAATAGTTCCCCCGCTCCCAGTTCCGTACCACATGGACCCAGAGTACCAAACATCAACGCCAGAATTGATCCTCTATTCTTCAGCCTTGGTCTCTGCTGGTGCAGCGGCAGCAGCCTCGGGCTGTGCCTCCTTTGTCTCGGCAGCTGGGGCGGCATTCGTCTCAGCGGCCGGCTCGGCCTCGGAGGAAGTCCAGAGGGTCTATGAGAGAAAATTTGAATTAGTTTAAGTCCCGGGAATTGTTTTAGTGCCGTGTTTGACTTACCAAGTTGTCTCTCAAGAGTTGCATGATCAGCGTGGAGTCCTTGTAGCTTTCCTCGCTGAGGGTATCAAGTTCTACAGGGCGCGTTAGATAATGCCAAAATAAAGATGCGCAGAATAGTAAACTTACCAGCAATAGCATCATCGAACGCCTGCTTGGCAAGGTGGCATGCCTGATCAGGGGAGTTCAAGATCTCATAGTAGAAGACGGAGAAGTTGAGGGCAAGACCAAGGCGGATTGGGTGTGTGGGTGCAAGGTCGGTCTGGGCAACTTCGGTGGCATTCTTGTAAGCCTCGAGGGACTTATCGGCCGACTCCTTTCGCTTGTCGCCAATAGCGAACTCAGCAAGGTAACGGTGGTAATCACCCTTCCTATAATCGGATAATTAGATATGCAGGTTATAGGACTAGGGGATCCAACTCACATCTTGTGGTAGAAGACCTTAGACTCTCCGCTCTTGGCTGAAGGAATCAGGTGCTTGTCGAGAACCTCAAGGATATCTTCGCAGATCTTGGCGAGCTCGGCCTCGATCTTTTGACGGTACTCCTTGATAAGGGTAACTTGAGATGAGTTTCCTTTCGACTCCTCCTTCTGCTCGATTGAGGTAACGATTCTCCAGGAAGCACGGCGGGCGCCAATGACGTTCTTGTAGGCAACAGAGAGGAGATTTCGTTCTTCGACGGACAATTCTTGGTCCTCGGAGGCAACCTGCTTCATGTTCTCCACCATTTCTAAACAGAGTTCAGTATATGCGGAATCCCTGGGTTGTATCCAAGGCTGCTAACCTTCATAACGCTCAGCCTGCTCCGCGAGCTTGGCGAGATAAACGGAGTCTTCGTAACCCATGATTGCGGTAGGAAGAGGTCTATAGACAATATTCTGTTAGCGAGCTGCCACGTTGAAGACTTTGGAGATGAAATAGATAACATAGCGAGGTGGAATGGCAGAAGTGGCAGATGGGAGTAGTAACGGATCCGCCATCTTGCCGACATCCCAAATATCATGCCCAAATCATGCGCCAAAGAGCGGCAGGCCACCATTATTTTAGCACGATCAGCGCAGGAAGTCTCAATGTGCTTTTAAAGCGCCGCGCATCCAACGCGAAGAATTGGCAGCTGCCCCTCACAGGGGTTGAGGGGCAGTCGCAGCCTCAGTCATCCGCTGATGAAGGTGAGGTAAACATGCCATCAGCTTCGGCGCGACCATGGAGGGTGAGAGAGATCGCGTATCCGAGGGCTCTTCTCTTCTCAGGCTTGCATCGATGATAGACACCGCGGGCAAAATCAAGGGGTTGCGCGAGGGGATGACGAAATAGAAGCGGGAAGGATTCTCACCAGTGTGTTGGGGAAGGGGTATTAGCTAAGGCCTTAGATGCTCAGCAGGTTCGAAGGGGTTCAGAGAATGTGTATGATGTGGGGTTTGGCAGGACGCCTTTCGATGGAGATTGAGTGGGAGGAGGGAGGTTGAGGTTGAGTGGAAGTGAAGGTTGAAGCGGAATTGGAATTGGGGAAGTTGATCGAAGCAGGGCCAACCACGCTTCCCTTTTCGCGCTAGCGCCGTTGTGCTTTGTAGGCACGAAGCGACCGCCGTGGTGATGGGAATTCGGTCTCTCTCTGAATAATAATGCACTATGGACGATGAACCACCAACTCCACTCCTTGCACTACTAGTGCGCCTGGCTAATTGATTACCGTGTGTGGTTGACATTGCGACTGGTCATCTCATGGCCTCATCGAGGAAGGGATGGGCACTAGGAAGCCATGAATGAAGGCTGGAAAGTACCCTCTGGATCCAAAACAAGGTTATGTTTGGCAGGGCTCTGGCTTACCTAGCCGATGAGTTTCGGAGGGGAAAAGAGAATAGAGATGGATAGTCGATTGCATGATATCTTTATTGATTGATCATTTAATAGGTTGTTTAACTAGTTATCCTTATGAATAGGATCACTGCTTTAGAGTTGACACGTTTACAATTCAATTTACAGATTGGTTAATAGCGGCTCTTTATCCTGTTCCACGAAGATCTTAGGTAGAAGCACTCTCATCGTCCACTCTCTCTGCAGCTGTGTCTTAATAGCCTCCGCTCATGAAGCTAATTATAAGCCTCAAGGTGGCGTTCTAGCAAATTCAAAATTCGAGGCTGATCGCATGAACGGTACCAAGCCCCCATAACACTCGCCGCGCCTACGAGTGCCAGTCGCAATTCCCGCAAATCTCCAGTGGCGATTAATGCCGGCCTATGAAACCAGTTGCAGTAGCAAAATTGCAGTCCTTGTGATGCATTGTGGCAGTGCTGCCGCCCGGACGGCCGCCCGCGCAAAGGTCGCGGCCCTGGATCCATTGTTTAACATTTGCTTAATATAAACTCTAGTAAACACAATGGCGGGATTGGGGAGCCTTCTTGTGGGCAATCAAAGACATTGTATGACAAGTACTTGCAGTATTGTACTTCGTAATAAAGCCAACAATAAGAAACTTAATTACATAATATACCCAAATGCTACTCTTCGTACGAAGTAGGTACCCAGGTACTGCAAATTCAAGTAACGTGACCACACGTGATTCAAACTTTTCCCTAGCTTAATTAGGCATGGCGCAACTTGTAATTCTCGAACATGCCTGACAACACCACACAATATCATCGCCATATCTTCAATAACTACGCCATTTAACGCCAAGGCGGGGTCCTCTAGCAATCAGTAAGGGCGCCTCAAACTCTCAGATACCTCCTATGAATTTAAATGCCCTAGAATAATCGTAGGATACGATCGTGCCCACTGTAAATGTTATAAGGTGAGGAATATCTTGCAGGTTGTCGTGTATATAAAGGCCGTAAATGGCTGCTCTTAAAACCCCTTAACGATATTTTCAATCTCACAACATCGAGGTAGTTTATCAAAGTCCTACAACCGTCGCTATTCCTAAAAGCGATCAAATGGCAGAAAAACGTCAAGAACCGAAAGGAATGCAGGCCCGTCGTGAATCGTTGGATATACTACACGAAATGTCCACGCTACTAGTGCGTCTTCCGGATTCATAAAAACAAGCATTCTATTGACCTTAGCTACAGAATATTCGTCTTACTTCTAGTCAACTGGCAATTTGTACGTCATTGATTGAAGATGGGGTGAATCCCGAGACTTTAGCTGTATGTACCGGGCTCCAAGAAGATGCACTATAGATCTGACACCTGATTTACGCGTATAGAGTGTGGTCAAGGTTTTGATGGCTGAACATCCGGAGGAAGAAAAAAAAACATAAAGGATCGGCGTGAGATAATGCGAGCTGGTGAAAGAGTGCGATCTGGATACGGTATCGGCCGTGCGAGTACTTATGCTTCGTCGAGGTCACATCGCCGTCTTTTCCCGTTTAGCGGTGCTGAGATGGTGTTTCTTCACCAGCTTTTGGAATACCTAAAAGGGTCAGAGATAAGACTTCAGCCGGAGGTTCTCAAGCGGTGGATGAGAATTGTAGCATACTCGATGCATTCTGCGATTGACGATACCACGTTGATTGAGGAGCCAGTCGAAGAGACTATACACCAAGGCTTCGAGATACATATAATATACAGAGTAGAAAGTTGATCCGATCTATTACCGTGGAATGTTGCCAATGACTTGGATAATGGCCTGATTCCCCATCGCCGGAAGCCGTTAACACCTGAGGCACTAACTCACCAACCTCCAATCAAAGACGCAAAAACCTTGGAAGCTGCTCGTCAACCGACCTACGTAGTGCCGGTCACCTCACTCGGCAGAAACCACCTCTCACCTCTACTTTCGCACCATTCACGACCCTCCATCCACAACCACCCCTCAGTACTGTAGTACATAACTCGATTGACCCCCCCTCAATCCCCTGAAGAATCACCACAACCTCATCATGTATCGTCAAAGCATCATCAAAGCTGCCCGTCCAGCACTGCGTCTGCAATCCCGCGCTGCATTCACAACAACGGCTCGAAGCATGGCCGGTGAGACTGGAGCTCCCCGACCAACTGGTCAACTCCATGGGTACAACACCTCCTCCGCGCTCCCATAAGCTCCAGACCTCAAATCTCTCATGAAGAAGTATAGCTTGACTAACACCATTGCCTCGATAGTGACGCATTCACAAAGCGCGAAAAAGCAAACGAGGATTTCACCATCCGCGAGCGGGAGAAGGAGAAGCTTCTCGAGCTCCGAAAACGCCTTGCTGAGCAACATGACCATTTGAAGAAGCTTGAAGAACACATGTAAGCACTGCTCTTGGCTGATACTACACTGTTTTCAGGATACCTGCTCTATTGGGTGACGTTTGACTAATGAGTACTTTTTGCAGTGACGAGCTATCCAAGAACTCCGGCGGCGAGCAGAACTAAGCTTAGCCTGAATGTTTCATAGCATGGGCTTGTCTGTTGTTGGAGGATTGTTGGCTTTCTACTCTGAATCCTTTTTGTGAGCAGTGCTAAATCTGTCACCGTCTGAACAGTCGATGGGAAGGATATAGTATGGATACATGTGGTTTAGTGGACCAAAGGAGAGACAATGATAGTTAAGGGAGCGATGAGCTTTATAAGGATTTCGAAATGTATTACAAGTAACGAACATAACTCCGCATTTGCATTTCTTCTATGATATAGAGATTTCATCTATACAAGTTTTCGGCTCAATATGTGTTTATTCATCCACCTTCGCTACTGTTACAGTGCAACTCATCGTTTTAATGCAGATGACTCGGAATATTCCCATTTCCCCTATTTCCACGAAATTGGCATGGGAGTCACATGCTAACCTTCCCAATTACAATGTCAAGAATGCCACAATCATCAATAACTTAAACGCCAACCTAAATACCGCCGTGCATGAAAGAAATTCATCTTCTCCCGAGGTAAGACCGGTAGAATGACTCCGCTGCATCGTTGTCCAGACCTCCGTGACCGTTGGAGCCAATGCTCTGCCCCAGCTTCTGGGCTTCAGCTAGCTTAGCCTGTAGCAATGTAGCATTCTGGTCAATCCACTGCAATTGCGTAAGGTGATCGTTCAGTACCCTGACGATATGGGAGAGCTAGAAATTCTCTAGTTAGTAGGGTTCTTTGCCTTCATCACAAGTTTCACTCACGGGATCATCAGTCTTGCTGCTCTTGTTCAAGGATGCTGACGCTTCGTTGATCGCTTCAATCATACTTGTAAGATTCTTGCCCATATCATCAAGTCGATCGGTCAGCTTCTCTGCAAGGTTATATGTTCGTTCACGTTCTTGATCAGGGCCTTGTAAAGCATCGCCTGGGCCCACTTGTCTTGCAAACATTTCTTCAACCTCGGCTTCGTACCTGTCAAGCCATCCCTCAAGCTCAAGTTGTTGACTCTCTACATTGGCAAGCTGTCGCTCGGTTTCAGCTGTTTCCCGTTCTGCCTCGTACGTGTTTTGGTATAGCTTTTGGATCTTGTCTCCATTCTCGACAAGTAATCTATCCCAAGCAGCAACCTTGGCGGCTTCATCTTGGAAATCCTTTTGGTATTTTGATAAGTCAGAAGCCCACCGAGTTATGATCTCATCCATCGTCTTGTTCTTTAGACGAGAAAGTTGTGAAGCAGGGCCGGTAGTGGATGCTCCCAAGGCAGGCCCGCCGCTTGCCTGAGGTTGGCAGGAGGTTGCACCAGGACCTGAGGTAATTCCAGATCCTCCTGCGGCGGTAGCTGGAGTGGAAGCATTCGCACTTGCCGAGGCCGGCTGGGTGGTCGCGGGTTGGGTTCCAAAAAGACCTCCTGCTGGAGCTGAAGTGGTTGTAGCCGGAGCTGAAGCGGCCGGACCGGAAGATGCTGCAGTTGCACCTCCTAAGTTACCGAACAAGCCGCCTGACGGCGCAGCTGCTGTGGTTGCAGGTGCAGCGCTGGCTGCGGTACTTTTGGCACTACCAGCGCCAAACAGTCCTCCTGATGGAGCGGCGGTCGTAGTCGCAGGTGTGCTACTAGCTGCCGTGGTTTTGGGAGCACCACCAAACAATCCTGCACCTGCAGCAGGTGGTTGGAACGATGGTAACGAAGAAGTAGCAGAAGCTGGCTTTGTCGAGGGGCCACCAAAAAGTCCAGATGTACCGGTTGTGGTTGCTGGAGCCGCGGTTGATGAGGCTTGAGTGCCAGGAGTGCTTGTAGCTGGGGTGCTGCTGAGTGGTTGGAAGCTAAATCCTGGCTTGGTCGCTCCAAAGCTAGGTGTGGATTGTGTTGCGGCAGCGCCAGAACTTGTAGTAGGGGGATTTGAACCACCAAAGAGGAGTGAGTTTGCAGGCTTTGTCAAGTTGGTCCCTCCTGCGGTAGGAAACAACGAGCTTGGAGCCGCAGATGTCTGAGCTGGAGTCGCAGGTTTCGAAGCGGCAGCGGCCCCGCCAAATAAACCACCGGCTTGTTGTGTCTGTTGATTACCCCCGCCAAATAAGCCCCCCGCAGGCGCCTGAGAAACTTGGCTGTTGGTTGTGGGTGGTGGACCAGCAGGAGTCGTTGAGGATAGAAAGTTGAACGTCTTAGATGGAGCTGGAGTAGTTGACGCTGCCGGGGCAGTAGTGGAAGCATTGTTGGCTGGAGATCCACCAAAGAGTCCCCCAGTTGGCTGGTTCGTGTTACCAAAGAGCCCTCCTCCACCTGGTGCTGCGGTTGTTGGAGTCTGGCTCGGAGTATTGGCTCCGGATTTCTGACCGAAGTTGAACGCTCCAAAAGAAGTCGATCCGCCTGCTGTAGGGAAAATGCTGCCAGTCGCGGCAGATGAAGTAGTACTTGGAGTGGCAGCGGCCTTTCCAAACAATCCACCAGCGGGAGGGTTGCCCGTGCTACCACCAAACAACGAGGGTGTAGATGCTCCAGAGCCCGGGTTCGAGGCAGCGTTTGCTCCAAACAGGCCTCCTGATGTTGCGGTACTTCCGCCTCCGAACATCGGTTTGGTAGTAGTTGTCGATTGTTGACCGAAAGGTGAGGAAGTGGCAGCTGTCGAACCGAAGAGGCCACTCGAGCTGGTCTGGCCAGGATTTGATGAACCGCTGGCGGGAGTATTCGATGAGCTATTCCCAGTACCAGCAGTGCCGAAGTTGAATGGAGAGGCCATGGCTGGTTATTGCGAAAGGTAGGGTTGGTTGTCAAGGGTAGGTAGCTAAGGACAAAGGTTAGAGCTTTGGGGATGGAAGGAATGCGATATATTCAGAGACAGATTGGTCGTACCTAAGAGCTCGACGACGTACCAGCCTCTACAATCTAAACCTCAACGGAAAGTTGTAGTTGTGCAGCGCATTCGCTGGCGCGTTGAATGCGATATCTTTGTTCTGGTTCAGCGCGTCTGCACAACCGTGAAATTTCAGGCCAATGTTGAATGTAGCGAGCCAGCTCCGTCGGGCTCCAATCAACAGCTCCCAGCCGCGAACGTCTGCCACCGCACGCCGCCAGTTCTAGAGCCTTGTCGGCTCCCTTTCCAAGCGCCTCTACGTAGTACTTGTGCTGCGGTATCTACGGTATCTACGGTCCAGCCCTTGGCCGTCTTACAATCCCCCAAACCCAGCTTTAGACATCATTTGGATGCAAAGCCATGGCAGAAGACGAGCACCGAAATCTAGAGCCTCCTTCAAGGAAGAGCATCGAGGATCCTGGAGCACACGGCCTTGGTATGCGATTTAAGCTCTTACTCTGGGTTAGATTATTATACTGATCCCACTGGCACAGAATCATCTGACTCCTCCGACGATGACCACTTCTCTGATGCTCATTCCGGACCGGAGCGCGGTTCTGGCGTGACATCTCCTGTCCCTGTAACTCGAGTCGAGAAGGTGGATAGCGAGCCTAGCTATGGAGAAGTGCCCGGCACAGAAGCCTACAATATGAGGGAAAACGATGCGAAGCCGGATGAGATTGCTATTGTACCTGATGCCGAACAATCCAGCCAAAGCTCTGATTCGGAAGGGCCCTCCTCAACTCCTGGCGATCGGCCGATTCCTAGCACCATGGTGGAGAAGATCGATCCGTCCGAGCCCAGCCATGGCATGGTGCCCGGTACATTAGCACACGAAAAGCGTGCTGCTGATGCTGTTCCGGATATGGTGGTGAAATCTGGAGAAGGGAGTCCATCCTCAAATCGATCCAGATCCAACACCACCCCGGGGGACCTTCCAATCCCAGTCACAAAGGTTGAGAAGGTGGACTCCGAGCCCAGTTATGGAGAGATTCCCGGTACTCGCGCTTTCGAGCTTAGAAAAGGCGATCCCCAACCTGATGTTGTAGAAGAAGTTGGGGATGCACCAGGTAAGAATGTCCATGTATTTTATACCTCAGACCGATTGACCGAATCAGGGTCGCCAACGGCTGTTAGGTCCCCGAAAATAAGCCATGCGAGACGAAAGTCATCGGCAGCGGGGAGAAAGGGGCCACAGATGGACTACAATGAGGCAGAGGATGGCTCGGACGGCGGGTTTGGAGACGACTTTGACGATTTCGAGGAGGGGGAAGAAGATGCGGAATTTGGCGATTTTGATGATGGTTTTCTGGAACCGGCGGCATCCCCTTTACCCCGTACACAGTCACTACCAGTTACACCAGTTACACCTTCGTTTGTGAGTAGAAATCTATACTATGACGATAACCCATTGTCCATGTCCTCCGCTATGAGAACTTGCTAACAAAACCCCAGCCGGTCCTAGACTTCTCTGAGCTCGACTCTCCGGAGGAAATACAAGCAGCAACAGAACCATACATGGACGCCCTCTTTCCACCAGACACAATCGACACCTCAATCCTCCCACCTCTCATAGCAGAAAACCCCATATTCCTTACTCCCCGCAGCGCCTCCCTTTGGTCCCAACTAGTAGCACCACCACCTCTCCAACCCCCAAACTGGATCCGCTCTCGAATCCGCCGACTGTTCCTCGTCTCCCTCGGCGTCCCCGTCGACCTCGACGAGATCCTCCCAGCGTCCAAACAGAAGAAACTAATCCTCCCCTCCATCCACCTCAACCCATCATCCGAGTCCGCACGCACATCCTCAGACCTCCGCTCAATATCGCGCCTCAAACAAGGCGACGGAAACACCTCCTCGACATCCGTAGATTCCCAAGGCAACAACCACACCTCGCGCTCCGGATCCAGAAGACGGAAAGGCCCTCCGCCTGCACCGCAGCTGGATCTCGTGTCAGCAAGACAGTTATGTGCTATAACTGATGAAGCCCTAAATGGGTATACGGTGGAAGAGTTGAAGGAGCATATAGGCAAATTAGAAGCTATGCAAGAGACGGCGAAAGAGGTTTTGGAATACTGGATCACAAAGACGGATGAGAAGCTTGGCGAGAGGGGCGCTTTTGAAGGCGTGATTGAAAATCTGGTGAAACATGCTAGGAAGGTGCGGAAGTAATATGATCTAGCTAGGTATATATGTCTATTGGTTAAGGAGATGCTTTTGGGGGCTCGCGCCTTAATAATACCATAATTACTCCAATATCCCACATGTATCTATAATACCTCTATTTCCAAACGTCGCTGTGCCCCTCGAGATAATGACAAGTCGCTGTTTAGACAATGATCCGTCTTGTTATGACTTGAGCCTAAACGCCCCGATCTTCATCGAGGAAGCATAAAGGTCCACTTTTAAAATAGGTGTTACTAGGATATTACCTAACGAATCTACAAGCATAGCCAGTAAGTATCATCACGATATCACATTCCACACAAGGCACAATCACAATACAATAAGGCACAGTCGATCATTTTAAATAGCAGCGCATTTGATTTGATAGCTAAGCTAAGCTCGCACAGTTCGAGCAGTCTCCCCTTTGCAATAGTAGCCAGAGATACATGTGATAGCTAGAGGGGTTGCACAGGTCGCAAGCTCCGCTATGTAGTGTGATGTGTTGCAAAGGGAGTCTAAACTTTTGTGGAAGCAATTTCTGTAAAAACAACGTGCGAATTTGTGTATCGGACCAAGGAAAAAATCGGTGTGTATGCTCTCGAAAGATCGTGTACTGAAAGCTTGCAGGGCTAAGCCTTTTTCGTCAACAGAATGAACTGCCGATGATGGAGGAAAGCTGGCAACGCTGCGGAACACGCATCGGAGTACAAACATGTTGTAACGTGATGTGTGCAAGTTTTTGGCAAGAGCGACGTGTAGGGTTTTGGCAAGCGCAACGTGTTGAGTGTAGAACCAAGGAAAAACAATTGTCATATGCTCTCGAAAGCCCCGTGTACCAAAGAAGCCCGCAGTACGAAGCCTCGGCCAGCTGAATTAACGGCAGCCAAGGAGATGAAAGCAAAGCTGTGTAACACGCATTCGAGAGCAGACGTGTGATGTGATGAGTAGAATGAGGGAAAGCGGCGCATGATAGTTCCGTCGTGGACGCATGAAAAGGAGATCTCTAATGCACTTTTTGTACATGGGCATCGTGGAAAATGCAGATCCCCACCCATCCGATACTTTTCGAAGTAACGCTAAGCAGGAGAAACAGCTATCCAGGCTTTGGACGCGCGGAGAAGTGAAGTCGCAGGAAAAAGGCAGATTCAAGTGCAGGAAAACGCCATGTCGCTAGAACAAACTCCATTCGCGAAACCACGTGAGAATATGTTTACTATATAGCATGTTAGAATATTATAGGATTATAGGACAGACAATTGGAGAAACTAACCTGCAATGGCTGGAAGTTTCCATAGCCATGCGTGGAAGGCATGCCCATAGATTGGTATTGGGGTGGGGGAGGAGCTGGGCGGTATGGAGTGCCAGCTGGGCCGGAGTTGTTCTGAGAGCGGCCCCAAGACAGACGGACACGGGAGTTGCCAATAGGGTAGCCCTGCATCTGGTTGATAGCCATCTCAGCTGCGTGACGCTGGACAAATTGAACGAAGCCACAGCCCTTTCCGGGGGGGATCTTGACATAGGTGATCTCGCCGAAGCCCTGGAAGAAGGAGCGGAGCTCATCCTCAGTAACATAGCCAGAGAGGCCTCCAACGAAGACGGTGGTGTTGTTGGGGTCGGTGAACTGATTCATTGGCTGGGCAGCACCGTAGTAGTTGATTGGAGGAGGTGCACCCATAGAGTACATTCCTGGGCCACCCATTCCAGCACCCGCAGCCGCACCAGGGCCCATACCACCTTGCATTGGCATACCAGCAGGGCCAGCGCCACCGGACTTGTTCTTGGGGGTAGCAGTAGAGATTCTCATGGGTCGATTGCCGCAGTAAACACCTTGCATCTCAGTAAGGGCACGTTGCTGATCTTGCTCATCGGCGAAACGGACGAATCCATAACCACGGGACATGCCAGAGATGGGGTCGGTCATGATCTTGGCTGACTTGCAGGATGGGAAGCGGCCTTGGAAGAGCGAGACCAAGACGTACTCATTGACCTCTGGGCCAAGATCGCCAACGAAGATCGAGTATTCGGGACCACGGTCGTCGCTGACAAACAAATAAAATTAGCACGTGCTGTAAATCAAAGATGTGAATGGGAGTACTAACCGCCTATCGGCAAGTCCACCACCGGAAGCCCAGTTAAGCTTGAAAGGGCGGGAGGTGTTGGGAATCATAGATCCATTCAAGGAGAGGGCCTTCGCAGCGGCAGCTGGAGTAGCGAAATCGATGAAACAATAACCAGCATTGCTACAATATGTTAGAGAATGTTTCCAGAGCCAATCTCAAAGGTACGTACCCGGAAAACTTGTCGCGAATCATCTTGACGTTGACGGACTCGCCCATACCAAACCAAACGGAGCGAATGAAGTTCTCATCAATCCATGGCTCAAGCTCACCCATCCTATATTATCTTGTCAGCAAGTGCAAGGAAGGGGGATCGGGAAACATCGTGGCAGTAATCGATACAAGATCGATGCGACTCATGGTGCTTCGCGCATATAACGGATAGGGCAGATGGATTCGGGATTAACATACCAAAGAGTGGTCTTCGCATCACCAGCGGCGCTACCACCAGAGCCTTCAACTCCGCCCTGTTGTGCGAAAGGAGCAGGAGAACCGCCTTCCTGGCCTGGTTGCTGCTGCTGCAGAGGTTGTTGAGGCTGCTGGGCAAGTCCCTGAGGAGGCGGAGGGCCTTGCTGTTGCATGCCATTGCCATTGTTCTCCTGTTGTTGGAACTGGGCTTGCTGGTTGGGATCGTACTGGAAAGCCATTTTGCGCGAAAACAGCAAGTTGACTTAACGAAAGGAGTTTGAATTAACTTTGAAGAAGATACAAAGGAAGCTGGGAATCAGTAAGTTGATTCACAACCAGTAGTGAACTGTGAATCAATAGGCAACGTCACGTGGACGTGTAAGGTTGAGGGTTGAAGGTTGGAAGTCGGAGAAAGATCGGAAGCCGAAGATATGCCGAAAGGTGAGGGCTTTTTTGCACTAGCCCCGATTCGTCGTGTGAATGCGCACTAGTCCTGTTTGCACACTGTTTGCACTCGTCAGCCACATCTGTGTGAGTCATCCAGGTTGATTGTGGTTGGATGCGACGACGGTGAAGATTAGCAGACCCTCTGGAAGTGCGTTGAGAGGAAGTGAGGCCGTTGTCGAAAGCTGAACGCTTGGTGAAAATAGATGGATTCCTAGGAGGGCGCAGACCGTGGATTCCAGTAGGCAGACAATTTCCCAGATAATGAATAATATAACAGCTACTCTGCAGAAACTTATATAGCCTCTAAACTGAACCCTTGTCGCCGACCCGCCGACTTGGCATAGCTGCTGTAAATAGTTTTGTAAAGAAAGGAGACAAGAAACTGATTTAGATGTTGATATTAGAGTTAGGTTGAATTGATTAATCAGAGCGCAAAGGAACGTCCAATAACGAAGTGGTGTTGAGTTTGGAGGTAGGTGATAGGAAAAGTCTGAAAGAACTAAGTCAATGTTATAGCAAAAAGGAGACGGAACGCGAATAGTAATAATAAGCAACGGCAGGTTTCAAAGTGCAAGTGTTTAGCTCAATGTATGCTCGCAAGGGTTTATCCAGGAGCGGCAAGTGTGTGAAGCTAAAATTCCCCAACTAGAGCAAAATATAGCATGTAGAAAGAAGACAGGTGGTGTGCTCAGGGCCACCCTCTATATATTTGAAGGTCAACACGACAGATAAGGTAAAACCTGGCTTGTGGTTCTGTCGCAAGTGTTGGGGAGAGAGTGTTGGGAAGAGATGCGGACTGCTCGAAACTTGTCGTTTTGACCACTTCGAATTACGCGAGAGTAAACAAATGGCGCAAGGCGCTTCTGCCACCGACTCCTGAGTGGTGGTGACCTTGCAAGCAAGGTTTCCAATGCGCGGTATCCATCCTGCAAGTCATACTGGGTCACTCTTCAACTCCTTTGCTCCATGTTTTGGGCAAAGATAGCCGAATCATGACGCGTAAGAATCTTTTGAACAGATTGGTGTGGATATCAGGAGAAGTCGTCTCAAAGCGCCAGATCAACAAAACTCAAAAATGCTAACTTCTGTACTAGGCTCTCAGCACTGGGGTCCGGCGTTTGCCCTCGGACAACCAATTTGAATAACGAAAAAGAGGCTCCAAATATTCACTTCACTATAATATACGTCGCTTGACAACCAAAGGAGAGAAAATATGACAGTGCTATTTTATCCAACCGCCAGGCTTTCGAAACAACAGCTATTCTGAAACGACCGCTATGTTGTCGCCTTCGCCCGCTTCATCATTGGTCGCACATTGATTTGCAGGGGAATAATTGATCTACTCGTCTTGAGAGACAGTCTGTGGAAAGGTCCATATCTTCCCCGCGAGGCCACTTTGCCAATGCTAAGGGAGGGCGATGGAATACACAGCTCGGACACGGGGGTATTTTCCATTTCTCAAGGGGCTCGATTTCAGGGCTAATGGGTGCGAGCTTTCTGGTCCTGGAAACTAGCACAAGGCCAGAAGCAACCCACAACTTCGCCATTGGGACAATATCGCCACCAAGTCCCTCGCCGTCAATATTTTGCGGATCTTGAGCACCTTCCACTGGACAGGTACCAAAAATCGCCTGAAATTATCTATGCTTTATTATGGTACTTGAGGTACCCCAAAAAGCAACCCCATCACCAGCATAAGGAGGCAGGGCGGACCTGGCTTCAGATCAACTACACCATCTCAGACAATACCTAGCATCATTATGGCCGGTATTGCCCCAGAATGATATGCCCTCTACTTCCCGCCGGATGCATTATCACCCAGCCCGCACGGCTTTGGCCGCAGCAAAAGTCCTCCCGAGCTCCAGATATATAGGTATATTCATCAACAAGCACACTTGAGCCCTACACGTGGTTAAGCGGCCACGCTGGCCCTTCCAGCCTGAAGATCTGTTGGAGAAGAAATTCCAACATCCAGATAATATGCCCTTGGCCGCGGTTGTATCGTTCGAAGATCGTGGGGCGCATAGATTCCAGTACCGATTCCGAGTGTATCCGCATTACGTTCCAGAGGGTCTGCCAATGTATGGAGGGATGGTGGGGCGGGAATGAGGCTTACCTCACAAATTCCAAAACCAGCTCGAAGATATCTAAACCAGCCTTCGTGAAGTCGTTACGTAGGGCGGAAAGAGCTTTAAAGCAATATTGTGCAGGGCAAACCCGATTCGAGATTATGACAACGCTTGCGCCTGCAAAAAATCGACAGCGTAACGGCGTTAACGACGGGGAATGCGCTGGAAGGGATCGCTAGGGATGACTCCAAATCTGCGAGCGGCGAACAAAAAAAAGTCAGTCAATTGTCTCCCACCCGAGTCAAGGGAGCAGCGCCAGCGGAGGTGAAATTATACATCGGCCACTGGCCTCTGCGGAAAAAAGCTTTGCGCCGGGCTGCCAGCAAACGCGCATCGAACATCGCTGCGGAAAGGATAGCGGCCTAGAGCAAATGGAATGCGCCAGGAGCGACAGTACACATGTCCGCGCCATGCAAGCTTCCGGACATGTGCAACGACGAGGCTGGCGGCCACCGCAACAAGCAGACGGCGGCAATAGCTATGCGAACGGAGGAACGATAGCTATTTTCTGGGGGGTTGTGCTGCTGGGCTGCATTTGCGTTGAGGGGGGATTTTGAAGTTTGAGCCTCCATCGCGTGTGGTCCAGTTAGGCGCAAGAACTTTGTAAAGGATCGACTTACATGACGACCAGGTTAACAACTGCTGGGAAAAAACTGGAATTCCGAAGGGGGGAAGCAGCAAATTTCGAATTAACACCGAGGCGACACGGAAAGGACACGAAGGACCGGAGATATCGACAAGGAACAATTGACGCAAACGGAACTGCAGAAGGGGAGTTCGATCGGGATGGGGGGAGGTGGATGACGGTGGGATGGAGGGAAGGAGGGGGATTGGGATGGGGGAGAGTAGGTATAGGTAGTGAGTCGTAGGGAGGGCGCGGCGGGCGGGTGGTTGAGTGGTTTAGTGGTGTTAATGGGTTTAGTGGGCAGTGGTGCAGTGTGTGTGGTAGGAGGTAAGTTAGTGGGTAGTGTGGTAGTGCGGTAGTGGGTGGTGGTGGTAGCGTGGCAGTGGGTAGTGGTAGCAGTGGGTGGTGGTAGCGGGACGATAGCGGTGCTGTAGCGGTGCTGTAGTGGTGCCGTAGAGCCTGGCAGCGCCTGGAGAGCCACGAAAGCAGTACTGGAAAGACCCAGACAAGGGCAAGGGCTCGACTAGAGCCACTCGGCCTGTTGCTAGCCCCAGCGCAACGGCACCGGAAAACCAAACAAAGAGGGCTATTCAGCATGCTTACAAAGTGTGTTAGTTCGTTCTGGTGGTCAGGCAAGGAGTGGGTGGGTTTGGAGCGCCGATACTTCCCGTGGTCAGTGATGGACAAGCTACGTAGGTGCTCTCTGGACTATTAAGCAGCCCGCAGCCTGCCTAGCCTGCAGCCTGCAGGTACCGGTACGAGTACGCTACTCACTACAGAGCACTGTCTCAAGGTACCTACAGTCTTCGGGCGAAGTACGAAGCACCATATCAGATATCAGGTACCAACCTACAGTAGGTGAGTCCAAGTCACGCCTCCGTAACTCCGTCGCAACACAGTCTCACAGTACCGTCTGCTGCGAACGGCGCTATTGCTCACGGAGAGGCTTCTGTTTCTGATACTGTATGTTCAGATCAGCTGGTGAGCGAAGGGCAACGACACCCATGGATGATGCGGCGGCGTCGTCGTGATTAATGCCGTCTCACTCCTGCGTACCTTACCTTACCCTACCTACCTACGGACCGCCAACACGAGAACGGAGCTTGTTGCCACCGGCTCAGCTTGGGGAAGGGATGGCATGGGATAGGATGGGCCCCAAACCCACGATGCCATAGCAGCCACTTCTTCTAGGCCTCCCCGCGCTCTGGCATGGAACGCCGTCTGAGGATCGCGCAGGTCCGGCCTCGACACACTTGTGAGAAAGCAAAAACACCCGGGTGGCTCATCTCCTGTCCTCCTCTCCTCTACGGCTCTAACTCGCGCAACAAGAATGAAGGTACCCCAAGTAATTGGCCGGAGGAGGTGGTACAGTGCCACACTGGAGATGTCCCTGGACTGTCTCGGCGTCGACTGTGCTCCAAGTGCTCGAGTGTCTACTGGTCTACGAAAATAATAGTCGCCCTCTTCGCGTTGGGGGGCCGGTTGGGCATGGGGATCAGGCGCCGCTCTGCTGCTGCTGATAATCATGACCGTGACCATAAATGATGGACGGCTGGCTGGCACGGGCATAGCTCCTCTCCAAGCTCTCATCTCATCCTCGGCTCTAGAATTGCGCAGTGCAGAATCTGCAAAGATGCAGCCTGGCAGTGCCTGCATAGGGGCGTTGCCTTATACAGTTAAGAAGCAGCAAGCAGCAGAAACATCGTCAAGAGCCGGAGCAAGAGCAAGAGCAACAAAGAGCAACGATCAGAAAGAAGAAAGAAGAAACAATACGTGCTGTATCAGCTTTGAGCTAGACCTTGATCTTGGAGCTTCAATCAAGCTGATACCAAGCCCTCGCAGAAGAGTCGCTAAAGCACTGATTCGCTGACAACCCGCCCTCCACTCTGCCCTGTTCCTGACCCTCGTAATCTTCAGATCGAATTATGATTATTATTATCTCCAAGAAACGCGTTTCCGAGCGCTTCCATGGGTCGGCAAGGGCTAAGTTGTACGCATGACGCCATGTGGACGGAGCCACCGTAGTACTACTACTTGTAGGTGGTACGTAACCTCTGTTAAGCTGACTTTTGACTCTGACGAGCTTCGACTTGTCCAAGTCCGCTTAGTCGCCATGTCAAAGTCTCACCAACTTACGAAGTAATACCGGTCATTTAATCTCGGTGGGTGCTGTACGTACGTGTTACTACCATAACGCTATTATGGCTATATATATACCACCTACCAGTAACTACCTCATGGTATTACCATCCCCAGCACGGGGTCCCAATGAACTCGTTGGGGCTGAGTGAGCAAGCAAAAACACGACACCGTGTCCCGCTTCAAAATACTCGCTCGGCGATCTAGGGGCTTGGACGTGCGCTCAGTTATTTCCTGAATCTCGGATGGGAAAGATTTGCACAAAAAGCTACGATTATGACGGGTATATGTGACATACCTTGGTAAATCGGAGTATACTTCCGTTCATTATTAGGAATGGGGAGGGATACTACCGCACATCAGACACTCCTTGCTGCTTAATCTGCAAGGCTGGGGACATTATTAGCCCTATATGTATCCCACCAATACGATAGGTTTCAGAGCCATTACCGATTACCCTCCGGGGCAGATCCAAAACAGGAAAATCCGAAAAGGGCATCCATTCCATTATGTAGATTTCTGATATCAGTTCTTTCGTTCGTCTCGGGAATGTCATTTTATAGACGGGCCTGTCAGGTACAAGGTGCACCAACCAATGGCAGACAAGAAACAAGGCCTCGGATCTCAGATCGTCGTCCTCTCCCTTGGCCTGTTCACTTTTTCTAAATACCTCTACTAACGAAAAGAAAAATTTGACATTTCTCGGCATCGCATCCGGCGGACTTCCAGACATTCCGGTTCTCCGCATCGTCGTTCCTGTGCCATATGGAGATACTACGCAGTACCAAGTTTTGGGCGTGCGAATTCCCCAGTCCTCGCCGGCGCTTCCGGGCACCGCGTGGCATCTACAACAAACGGTCTTTTGCAGTCACCAGATAAAGCGCTGCCAGCAGGGCATCCGTCTTATTATAATCGACTCCAATCCACGCAACCCGTGCAATGAAGAGGTGTCTTACTCGCCACCTATCAATACGGTATTCCCCTTGTGCGGGGTTTAGCAACAGCGCCGTTCCCACGCCCGCCGACAGTCTCGAAACCCGATCCCTTTCGATCTCCTGCGTTTCTCCATGCTGCACTGCCTGTGCCTGCGCTGCGCTGCATCATTCCTGCACGTAATAACCTTGGCATAGTCTATTGGGCACCCGAATATCTCCATCTCCATCTCCATCGTCCAAACTCCGACACATGTTCCAACCTTTCTTTTTCCTGCCTCAGGCTCACTTTTTCGCAACGAAAAAACGGAAGGAAAAAGAAAAAAAGATCCAGCGATGGGGAATTGTGGAGTGTGGCTGGGGCCTAGGCAGGGATGGGTGGTGTTTAAGTTACGGAGTACGTGCTCGTCATAGATCTAACCCACACCAAACTGGGTGTGTGTAGTAGACGTAAGTAGTACAAAAGTAGAGTGACAACGCTGTGGCGGGTACGAAAATCCTCGTTCCAGAATCCACCGATCTCGAGACGCAAGAGGGGTGTTTACCCCTGGATATCTATCTCCAATGCTACGTACACAGAAAGCTTATTAGCATTGGCACCACAAGATTGGCAGTGCCTCTTTCTATATCCGTCGGGAGCCGGTGTTGTACAGAGTAGCGCGGTACAAACGTACTGAAGGCACAAGTACCAGTACTCGAGTAGGTACTCAAATACAGATATACTACGTTGACAACCTCACTCCGTCAGAAACAATAAACTAGCATTTAAATATAATATGATCTTAGACCACTATTTATCATAAGAGCTTATAGGTTCGGAAATATAACACACTGCATTGTTTATCCCTTTCCTGCCTAGTGAGTGAGCGGGTAACAAACAAGTTCCAGATCTACATGTGCATCATACGGGAACGCGCAGATCACCCCGCCTACCTATCTATTCAACATCATCTGCTCCATCTCGCACACCTCCCATGCATGATCCTCCTCCTCCCTTGAAAAGGCATGCCAAACCTCACCCCTCCCACCCCTCACCTAAGATCCCCATATACAAAAGCAGCCGTAAAGTAAGACAATGTAACACAAAAAAGGAAAAAGCTACCTCCGCATCCCCACCCCTCTCCCTGTCGCGGATCGATCGCCATTTATTAGGGTTGGGTTACACTGCGTGGTGAAAGCGGGGATATGCTCGTCTGTCACATTTCTAGGCCATGTACGTAGGTAGGTACATACCTTACATACATAGGTACATCTAATACTCGTTAAAACTTGACCAAAACGGAACTGTACATACCTCTCTCTGTCTCTTTCTCTCTCTATCCTGTTTAACCCTTCCCCCCACCACCTTTGTTTTTAGTAGGGAAAGGAAATGCTCACCCGCTTTTCCTATCCTTCCTTCCCTTGAGCTAGATAGTAGCTGTATGTAGGAGGAGTGAGGAGATAGGGGGAGCGGGTGGAAGAAGCGAAGAAAGCGGTGGGATATAGAGTAAGTCTTGAGATATTGATATTAGCAGTAGAATAGGAGCTACTAGCAGCTAGCTAGCTAGCTAGTAAAAGAATTATATTTCATGCAGACATACTTTTGTGTATTACAATCAATATTACAATTCTTACCCATCCATCCATCCATCCATATCCACTCATTACCTCGCACCACATCATATCACATCACACGCAAAACATCAAAATAGCCCATCCATTATCAAAGAAGTCTTTCATCAATATCCATATTGGCGTGTATTTCTTTCTATCTACGTACAACCCCCCTCTCTCCCTCCCCTTACGTTTCTTCCCCACCATCAACAACCACTATAAAAATCTTTAAGCTTTCATTTCATTTCACGGCGGCAACTGCTCCTCCTCCTCCTCTCCCGTACACTCCTCACATGCCCCAGAAGCTCAATAAGATTAGACCCCCTTCATAAAAAAAAACACCAGGACCAGCAGGAAGATCAACCCGCAAACCCCTTCCCCCTGGGATTAGGAAAAAGAAAGTAGCAGTCATCAAGAGCCCGGTTTCAGAATAAAAAGTGGCCCGCCTGCCGACTTGCAGCCTATTAAAACAAAAGGAATTACCAAAAAAATGTCAAACTTTGATGCTAGGGTGCGCTTAATGTTTGTAGTAGTATTTCATTTCAATTCCCCCGCCACCCCCACCCACCTCCCATGTTTCCCTCCGATGAGAGAAAAACGAAGTAGTAAAAAAGAATAACACCGAATCCGGGATAACGCCATATCGCCGTTTGCTGTGTATTTCGCAACAGATTTGGAAGAAGCCCGAGGAGTTACAAAAGGTGACGAAGAGGGTGGAGGAGGAACCAAGTAACAAGAACTGAACGCGACGGTGGTATCTAGGAAATGAGGCAGAAAAACGTCGGAATATTTCGTCATAGAGCTCGGAGATCGATCGTTGTGGAATCTTGTTGGTACATGCAGCAACTGTCTAGCTACTATGTGCACGCATTAAAAAAGCTGAATGCGTTTTAGTAAATGTTCATCGGTTGGGGAATGGTATCTCTGATAGCGGAGTTTTCGCGGGATGGAGCTGTGAACCTACACGAGCTAATGGATCGGTTTGGTCTGCGGGCACGAGTGGGGAACTCTCGAGGGCGCCAGATGCTGGGCTTGAGAATGGGCGTGATTCTAGCGGTGGAAGTAGTTGCGAATTTGGGATGGGTGAGACTCCGTTTGTAGCCAGTGCGTGAGTATTATCGCCGCCTGCCGATGGTCGCATCTCTCTTCCCTTTTCCAACAGAGCGCCTCCCAATGTTGCACATTTCAATATCGTCTGAATAAGGTGGTTCTGTTTGAGAGGCTTGGAGAGGTATTCGTCCATCTGTGCTTGGATGCACTTCTCGCGGTCACCAAGCATCGCGTGAGCTGTTAAAGCAATAATTGGTGTGCGATGTGAACCTTGGCGCTCATATTCTCGTATTTTGGCGGTAGCTTCGAATCCTCCCTAAACGCTGTTAGCACCTGACTAATATATGAATTATATTGAGCTTACCATTATGGGCATTTGCACATCCATAAGGATGACATCGTATCGCTTCTCCTTCACGGCATCCAGAGCTTCCTGCCCATTGCCGACAACGGTAACGACGTGATGGTATTTCTCCAGGATCTTCACGGCTAGGCGTTGATTCACAATGTTATCTTCCGCCAGAAGTATATCAAAAGACTTGGTATTATCGGCCAGAGACGGTGCCGCTCGGTTCTCCAAGGCTGGGATCATTCCATTTCCAAGATCAATGGCTAGACATGGCGTCGTCATGTACGATGTGATTCCCAGATCCAGGGCAGACTTCAGGCTGACATGGACGACAGGGGCCAAAAGCACAATCGGAATGTACTTGAACTCGTCGATCTTCCGTAAGCTTCCCGCCGTATCGATAGAGTCGATAATAATAACGTCGTAGGTAGACGCAACTTTAGATCCACCTCCGGATAGGTTGACGTTTGCTTCGGAATCCACAACCACAGGCACGAGACCAATCTGCCGAAGCATAGAAACGATGTCCGTACCATGGCCACTGTGCCCCCTGTTGATAAAGAGGACATTGTGACCTCGATAAGCATCAAGCTGCTTCTGAATAAAGCCGATGTCAGATGTAGCCAAGCGAACCGTGCATGTGAAGAAGAACGAGCTGCCTTTGCCATATATGCTCTTGACCCAGACGTCCCCTCTCATCAGATTGACGAGTCTCTTCGAGATTGAGAGACCGAGACCGGTACCTCCAAACTTCCTCGTCATTGAGCCATCAGCTTGCTGGAAGGTGTCGAAAATCAGATCCAGCTTGTCGGCTTGGATTCCGATGCCAGTGTCAGAGACGGAAAACTCAACGGCATATTCGTTCGGGGCGCAGTGATCTTGTGCAGCCTTGCGGATTGTTAGAGATACCTCGCCGTGCTCGGTGAACTTGATGGCGTTGCCGACGAGATTCAGGATGACTTGGCGTAGACGGAAAGAGTCGCCGACGACGTGATCGGGAACTGAGCTATCGACGCGGTAGGTAAGGTCGAGGAATTTCTCGTTCGCCTTCACCGCAAGTGTCTTAAGCGCATTGAAAACCGTGCCACGCAATGTGTAGGGAATTTCTTCCATGATCATCCTATTAGCCTCGATCTTTGACAAATCCAGTATATCATCGATGATCGTCAATAAACTGTTTGCCAGATTATGCACGATGTTCAACATCTCGCGCTGATACTGAGTAAGATCCGTGTCTAAGGTGAGCTGTGTCATTCCGATGATACCGTTCATAGGAGTTCGAATTTCATGCGACATATTGGCCAGGAACTCGGATTTGGTCCTGTTCGCAAGTTCGGCAGCTTCCCTGGCAGCCGTGTTTCGTTGAATACTTTCCCGCAAATTATTAACCATTAGATTGATCTTCTGTTTCAGTTCATCCATCTCTCCAGATGCTTCGACTGTGATCAACTTTGTAAAATCTCCATCGGTCGCTGCGTTGGTGATATCACCAAAGGCTCTGACTTGGGCGGTCAAATTCATAGCCATTGTGTTGACATCGGTTGTAATCTCCTTCCATCGTCCACCGATACCAGCCACATCAGCCTGACCACCCATCTTACCATCCACACCGACATCTTTAGCCACCCTCTGGACTTCGTTTGAGAAAATACTCAGTCGATCGACCATGTTATTGATCGTCTCCTTCAAAATGAGTATCTCACCCGCAGCTTCAACCTCGATCTTTTGGCTCATGTCACCGTTGGCAATAGCTTGCGTGACCGTAGATATTCCTCGGACCTGCGACGTCAAATTGCTAGCCATGGTGTTGACATTTTCAGTCAGATCCTTCCATTTACCCTCAATATGCTCGACGCGAGCCTGCCCACCTAGGGTTCCATCTGTGCCGACTTCCCTAGCAACCTTGCTGACCTCGAAGGCAAAAGTGCCCAGTCTATCCACCATGGTATTGATCGTGTCTTTCAGCGAAGCAATTTCTCCCTGTACCTCTACGCTAATCTTCTTCGTCAGATCGCCTTGGGCCACGGCAGTGGTGACCTTGGCAATCTCTCGTACTTGGGTTGTGAGATTCATAGCCATGCCGTTGACGTTCTCTGTCAGATCTTTCCAGGTGCCTTCAACATCGTGGACTGTAGCTTGGCCACCCAGTCGTCCTTCAGTACCGACTTCCCTTGCGATCTTCGTGACTTCTCGTGCAAACTGCTGCAACTGGTCCACCATGGAATTGATGGTCTCCTTAAGCTGCTTGATTTCTCCTTTACACTCGGCTTGGACTTTCTGAGTCAAATCACCCTTTGCTACAGCTGTTGTAACCATGGCGATATCTCGGACCTGAGTTGTCAGGTTATTCGCCATGGCATTTACATTAACAGTCAACGTATTCCACATGCCCTTCACCCCCTCAATCTCGGCCTGTCCACCAAGGATACCTTCAGTACCAACATCTCTTGCGACTCGCGTGACTTCTGAAGCAAAAGTTCTCAATTGATCCACCATGGTATTAATAGTCTGCTGCAACTGCAGGATTTCTCCCTGAGCAGGTCGCTCGATCTTCTGGGTTAGATCTCCATGGGCCACAGCGGTTGTGACCGAGGCGATTTCACGGACTTGATCTGTAAGGTTCTGGGCCATAACATTGACTATCTTGTGTTAGCCGTGGGGTGAGCAATAAACAGAAATATTCGGACTTACCGTTGTTTGTCAGCTCCTTCCATATTCCATCCACACCTACGATCTGTGCTTGGCCACCAAGGATACCTTCGGTTCCGACTTCTCTTGCAACTCGAGATACTTCACTAGAGAATGTCTGCAGTTGGTCCATCATAGTGTTGATAACCTAAATAACCGCACGTCAGCGGATGGGAGAAGCGTAGACAATACCGCATTGGTGCTAACCTTCTTGAACTTGCTAATCTCAGGATCCAACTCCTTTGCGTGGATCAAGACCTTCTTGCTCAGGTCACCCTTCGCCACAGCGGTGACAATCTCTCCAATCTCTCGTAATGCCTTTTGGAAAGCCTCGTTGGCCTGCTGGTGCTTCTTGAGTTCTCGCTCGAGGGTCTTTACGCGCTCCAACTCCTGCCGGTTGGTCTCCTCCTGCTCTCGCTGGATATCGACACATTTCTGCTTCAGGAGCTCGTATTCCTGCTTCCCTTGCTGGATGAGGGCGGCCTGGTCGAGCACCTTTTCAAAGGCGGCCTCGGGGAGGGAATCGTCGGCAACCTTCGCGATCTTCTGGGGTCGTTCATCGAAGGGGCTCTCCCGCGAGTTCAGTAATGAACCAGTCGCACTCTGCCTCGAAGCACCATGTTTCTTCTGCCCGCCCGTCACGACATCAGCAAAACCTGAAGGAGAGCCTAATTCGCTGGGGGTGGCCGGCAGAGCCTGGTGATTTACCACATTCGCCTTCAGTTCCAGCCTCTGTACTCGGTCCACCAAGGCCGAGAGCTCCAACTCCAGCTGAAGCTTTGCGGGCGTGGCGGGGCCGGGCAAGCTTATTGACCCTGCAGGCTGCGATGAATCGAAGTTGCTCCCCGTCGCGAGACTCTTGAGGATCGTGCTCGCTGCAACGAGGGTGTCTTCCTTGTAGTGCGCCATGGCTAACAGGCGTACGCCTGGGCGGGGTTTGGGGGGGGGGGACAGATGGATTCCTTTCGTCTAGAGGCGCGGCATGAGATTTCGATGGGGTGTGAATTTCGGTGTGGTCTGAAGCAACGAAGACGAGACGAGGGATGGCGGGATCAAGGGGTTATGCTAAGGCGCAAGAGTCAGTGACCCAGACTCTCGTAGCAGTTGTCTTTCGCCTTTGGGGATTGATCGTGCAGCTGCGGCGGCCGATGGGGGTAGGGGAATGGGAATGGAAAAACGATGGGTTTGGATTCTGCGAGTGGCGGGTTGAACGGGGCGTTGGCAAGGACGTGGAACACACCTCTCTAGAGTTCTCGACAGTATACAGAGCAATAGCACGGGGACCCTCCTGAGAAGGGCGTACTCGAGGGAAAGGGGGCGATGGGAGGGGAGAAAGCGAAGTTCTCGTGGTCGCTCTCGTATCGATCGTCGTGGAGCGGACCTTTCCTTCGTTTCCTTGAGGGAGTCCCTAGTTCGCAGCGGCCAGCGGTGCCAGTAGCGCAATGTACGAAGTACGAGTAGTGCTGCTATGGCCGTAGTAGTGGTTCAGTTCAGTTCAGACGGTACAAAGACGGAGTCGCTAGTGTGGAAGAAGCGAGTTCCGATTTGCCGGGGGAGAAGAGTAATAAGGTAAGGTAAGGGAGGCAATAGGGAAGTAATCGAGGTAAAACAGAGGCAATAGAGGGTATGGCCGTAAGAGAAGAGGTGATAACCACGGGAACAGGGCGGAGAGCGTCACGGATATGGGAAGAAGTGAGGCCGTAGGAGACCACACAGCACCGTGGCCACCGACGCACCATGCATCCACACAAGCAAGTTGAAGGGTCGGCGCAAAGAGTCCAGCCTCAGGCGGACGGCGATGGGGGTGGCGGGGCATGTAATGCTTGTGTGGCAGGTGGCAGGTTGGCCTTGGTCGAGGGTGTTGTTCTGGAGGTTCTGGATGTTCTATGGTTTGACCTGGTTCTAATGCAACGCTGCGCGCTGTGGGCAGCCAAGCCAGTACGAGGAGTCGAAGAGGTGAGGCTACGATGTTGGAATGCGGAAATACGCAGTCCTACGTCCAGCTAGGTAAGGTACCTAGGTACAGTACTATATAAAGAGCAAACTCCATATACTATTAGAGTACCTACTTCGTACTTAGGTACATACCTAAGGTAGGTAGGTAAGGTACCTAGGTATTCTCTTCAGGGTTAGTTCAGGGGTCTATCTGTGCGGTTTAGCGCTGAACTTATAAATTTCCTCGTTCGTGATGTTTAGAGTTAATAGATGTCACAGGTTCAGTCGTTCTGTCAGTGCATCCGTGGTTTATTAATTTACGGAATATTAGCTGGGGGCGCCGAGACAGGCCAGGGGCCACAAGATTGGGGGCGGCCGGTGGGGAGCTGGACGGGTTCTATCCTGTACTTTGCTATTACTGTAACTCTGCCCTTCCCTTCCTATTTCCTGCTTCCTTGCAGTGCGCTGCGCGCTGTAGCACAGCAGCAGTTACTCGTAGCGGATTAGTATATCCGTACAAGCACATCAGCCGCTAACAATAATAAGTGGCGCCCCCTATCGCCGTGTGTACTTTGTACTTCCCTCCCTTCGTGCTTGGTGCTACTGCCCGCTGGACTTGTTTAGGTTCTCACTGCGTTGGCCACTCAGGCCCCTGCCCTTCCGCGCCGATGACGTCGTTGCCGTGGAGCAGTGCCGCCATGCCGCTATGCCGCCCTGCCACTAGCCTCTTTTGGCTCCCCAGTCCTTTATTTTATCCTTTATCGCCAATTGTGTCCCACCACCCCTGGACTCCTGGGCTGCTGGACTCCTACAGAGACTCCTACTACGTAGAGGGCTGCTGTCCTAGACACTAGCCACTACTCTGTACTGTACTTCGTGCACTATCAACCAACACCCAAACTAGGTGGATTTAGCTAATGGTTCTATAAACTGCCACACCCACAAGACTACAGGAGCACAAAGAAGATCTCGTGCTCACCGCACTTCCTATTTCTTGTGTCAAGGCCTTGACATAATTATAGCCAGCATGCAGTATAGACACCTACATACAGTACATCCCATCACCATGCTAAGCCCCCTCCCTCAACCTCGAAGAAGTCATTGATCGCCCATCCGCCATCCACCATCCACCACTCTCCATCTCAACTTCCCTTGGATGCGTACAGATCGCCCACCTCTGTCGTTTCAGCATCCTCCCCGTGCCGGCTTAGCCCCCTCAAACACGCTGAAAATCCAGGCATGGTGCACCAGTCACGGTGAGTGCCGCTCTCCTTATTACTTATTAAAGGGTGGGAGTTCACTACCGATGATCACGCCGAGGCCGATCACTTGACGGATGCCTTCTGCCTTACTTTACTCCATCATTCCACACGGGGAATTTAAAAAAAAAGGGGGGGTTGTTCCCACTACCAAGGTACGAGTACCTACTCTCCTCTTGGCCCCACGTGATCTGTATTTCCAAGGTTCTGCCTTGCCGTGTTAATTATTGATCTTTTTTTTCCCACTTGAAGTGTTTTTATTTTTTGCTGCTAGGGCTGCGGTGTGGAGACGGGGGAGAGGGGGGCCACTCTTCGCGTGTGTTGACGCACTAATTATTGCCCGACTCACTAGGTCGTCCCGGGTCTTAAGAATGTTCTCGGGATTTATGGTCTTTATTATTAGGGTGACATCTATACGAAGTACTTGTGGAGTTGAAGGTAAGCAAACAAGCACATAGATGATAGATCCCAGTGGATCAAATCTATTTTCATCTCGTTTCCTATAACTTTTAACAAGAAAGATAGATCGGGTGGGAAGGCGTTGGTGCTGTTGCGGAAGAGGGCATTGCACGCTACTCGGGACGACCTTTATAGCCATGACGCTATGGGCATACCTATCCGGATGCTTGGTAACCATCGACTTGCCCCGGTACGAAAACTAGTCCGAGAGGGAGAGTAGGCGGACCATACTACTTTTTAAGCTCGTGGGTGGTGGACGGGTGATATTGGTTCGTAGTTTGATACCCACTTGATTTCCGGTAGGTACAAAAAATACGACAGGAATTCTGGATCCGACAAGTCAGTTTAGTTGGCGGTAGTGCGGAATCTGACTTGGATGGTGGCGGAATTACTAGGATGGTATATTATTCCAACCTACTCAGTATAATGAATTCAAACGTTCTTCTAATATATAACCCTCTTGAATATTTGCAACAATAACACCCGGTACATACTGCTGAATAGATGAAGGTATAGTCACTAGCTGATGTCTAGAGAAGTACTGGATATGATTATGAAAAAAAATATTGTTACCAAATATTTAAATAAGAAATAAGGAGCAAAAGATAATCTATCTAGTAATGCACTACTCCATCAAAATGCTCGCAAAATATATCATTTGTATTGTGTAAACCCTAGCAACAGATTAATTAACACCATGGTATCTCTCCAACGCCGGCCCAGCAGTTCCTAGTATGCACTCCACAAAATAAATAAACAACCCAGCACGCCTCATGTCATTAAGAGCCAACTCCTCATTCCCATCATTCCTTCTTTCCCCCTTGTCCCACCTCATAAACCCCACAGCTAAAACCCCAATTTCATCATCACGGCGAATTCTCATGTAAACCTTCATTTTTATCTTCTCGGCAAATTATTCGCCCCGAATCTACTCCCCTGTGCAAGACTCTGCCTCACAACCATCTCCGCCGCCGCAGCTGCTGCAAGTCTACTCTTCTGCCTACTGCGATCTCGGAGATAAGTTGCGGCTTCTAGCCGCATTCTCAAAATCCTTAAAATCATATCATCACTAGGGTCGGCTTGTGCTTCCTTCCTCTTCTCCTCCTTCGCTTTTTTCATTGTGCCGAGATTGCGAGACATCATGATGCTCTTCGCTCTTCGCACTGATGCGGATCCCATGAGCCCGCCGAAGGATGCTCCGAGGGTGGCAGGCGCCGAGAGACGGTTACGTTGTGCTTGGGCCCGTTGTGCAGTTGCCGTTGCCATGCGTTCTGATGTGCGGATTAGGTTATCTGTTGTGTCGAAGTAAAAGAAGTTTAACGAGGCCAGCTCGTGGTATTTTGGTGATTTCAACACATCGGCGGGCACGCCTAGAACTTCGCCAGTCTCTTCATCTCGAGAGTGGAAGAAATTGAAGAGGATCTCGAGCCATTTGAATACGATGTCCATCTCCTGTTGGGTGAGTGGCTTCTGCGCTGATGGCTTATCCGATAGTGGGGGAACTAGCAGGCCCTCGATCGCCAGTAGGACTTCTTTCCATAACCGGGTCATCACCATAACCATAGAGGCGTCCGTCAATGTCTGTTTCATGATGGCGAAGTTTTCGTCGAAGTATGCCAGGAGAGGCTTCAAGGCAGTTTCAATGTCAAGAGGGGTGATACTAGGAACGACAGATTGGCGACTCTTCCATAGCATGGTTACCGAAGCGACAGAAATGCCTCCTCCGGATATTAGGTACTTCAGAGCATCCTGGGAAAGGGAGGAATTGATGTATTGCGAAAGCTAGGTAATAATTAGTTTCAAGTGTTAAAAAGGGTGGTGAAGTAGAACGAACCTTATCAGTAATAACCCTCGTCATATCCCTCTCAGTCCGCTTCGCCAAACGGAAAGCTTTCCCAAAGTAAAACTGGATGTCATCTCGTTCTCCTTCCATGCTGACACGCAATAGGAGTCTACCCTGAGTATCCAGATCCAACCAATATTCTCGTGGCATGTAGTCCATGAAATGGGTTGGATCTAGTTTGAGGTTGGTCCGACCGACGTAGTCGTGATCACCAAACGTGTCCCAATCCCAAATGGTTGCAATGATAACAAGCGGGCCTGATACTGTAATATCAACAGACTCGTCCCAACGTGGGTTGAGATTCCTCATAACAATCCTGGTCTTGGCTAGACGTTTTTGATATTCGTCACCAAGAACCACGTAAGGATCGCTAGTTCCATTCGGATCGCAGGCCTTGAGATCTTCGGCCTCAACAATTTTGATTGTAAAAACATACTTAGAAGGTCTCCGCTTTTTTTCTTTAGGAGGTGCAACTCTTGTTAATACCTCTGCGCATGCGTCGACATTCATCGTCTTCTCAAGATTATCTAATTGCCGAATGGCATATTCAAGATTGTTCAGTTTCACAAATGACTGTCACGTAATTAGTCGGGTCTGGCATGCAAAGCGTGTTGGTGTGATAATTACCTCGGGATAGAACTGGAAGGGTTCAATCTTCTCTTTATTGTTCCAGGCGTCCTTGGCGAGCTGCACCCACTTCTCCTGCTTCGTCTGAGAAGCAGCTGCCTCTTGAGCAGGTGAAAGCCTGTCCATCTCTTTATTGAACATCTGATCGATAATTTCACAGTACCGCGCAAGACCAACACCAAATGACTTCGACAGCGAAGTCATAAATTGTGCATATTGGACATCGTCATCCCATTCTAGTTTGAATATTTGATCGCTGGTTTGATTGTATAACCGGAACATGTCGATAACAGAGGAACTGTGGCGTTCGTCATCGGTAGCTGGATGATTGGGATCATCCGACCGAACTTTGAATTCGTCTTGCTTGATCATTTGATCTATGAGGTCACATATCTTCTCATCTGTTCTGCGGATCCAGCGACGGACAAAATCAGCCAGGCAGCTCTCAATGTGAAATGCAAAGGGTTGCTCTGGTAGAGCAGCATGATGAATTCGACGAATTTCTACAAGCTCTTTGTATAGATCAAAACCATCCTGTACATCAACTTCCGAATCCTTCGTTTGGGCCACATGGAGGATGCGTTGAATTAAGTCGTTTGCATCATTTTCAAAGCTGGGAAACATTGTCTCAACAAGGATTGTTAGAGGATTGACGCCCATAATGTCTGGGTTCTTCCGGTATCTCTTCTGGATCCTCTCACAAAGTTTTACAACCGCCTTGCCAAGTTGGACAACATGAAAGAATTCCCATTCTTCTTGGTCTTGTGGAACCTCAGCCTCGAGGTAGCTTCGATACACTTCCGCGGCTTTGGATCGAAGGCCTTCAGTAAGCTGGCTTTGGTAAGATTCCACTTGAGCGTCGTCTTGGGAAAATGAGGGGTCATTGTAGAGGTGGCTCTCCAATATAGTCAAGACAGGACCTGGGGACGGAGGTTTTGGGTCATAGCAATGCTGCAATAAGTCATAGAGATCTCGTAGAAGGCCGTCGTGTAAGTTCAAGAGGATCTGTCGGTGCAAGGCATAATCCTGAACCGTCCAGTTTCTTTGGTCAATTTCCAATAGCCCGAGTGAGTGAAACTGAGCATGAGGCCGTTTGGTCTCAGCTGGAGGGTTTTTCACGAATTCAAAAGCAGCATCTAGCTCATCCAATCCGATTTCCTGGTCTAGGAATTTCTGTGCGGCAACATCCAGAAACAGAACAAGTTTAGTGAACTGAGGAATGCGCCAGCGAAGACACAACTCTGCTATGAGCTCTAGAGATTGTCGAGATAGGGGTGCATTTGCTACAGAAGCATCGTCTGATTGTGGAGCATGGAGCTGCTCAAAAGTCATCGCAGTTGATAGAATGGTCCTGTAATAGGCTCGGGGCTCTGGGGGGATGAACGTATATGTGGACTGCTCAAGATAGATCCGATCGGGGTTTTCAGTTTCGAGCGACAAAGCGCTCATGTCGGCAGGCTGATCAAACGAGTACAAGGAGTTCGAGTCTGTCGGGTTCGAAATGGATTTGGCTAGCTCGGAATATGCCTGATCCTCAGCACTGTGTGAAGTAGGAGTGATTGATGGTAGTGGCTTGTTGTGTGAGTCGGTGGAAGATTTTACGAGCTCTGGCTTGGCTTTCAATATTTCAGCTATCATTTGAGATAGTTCTGGGATCTCGGCCTTTTTCCACGTCTGGTATCCTTCATCGAGGTCGAAGTCATCGTTCCTCAAGGTTCGCTTTGTATTAGAGTCAAGGCAATGTTGGTAAGCCTTAAGATCCATAAGAGCTGCCTCTTCCGTCCAGAGTTTTCTATTGGCGTCAATATCAGATTGCATCTGTGAATTTCGGAGGCCAAAGATCTTTCCTACGGTCTGAACCATTACCATGTCCTTAACATCGAGGCTAATCGGGACAACAACTTCTATCGTGGTTTCCGCCCCTTTCCCAGTTGTATTTATGAATAGGTCCTGGTCATTCGTCAACAACTTCTTTTCCAAAGTCGTCAGCCGACTCATAAGCTCAGGCCTATCCTTATCATTTCCAAGATCTTTCAAGGTATTGCCGATCAGTCTTACGAAGAGAGCAACATGCCGATCTACCAAAATCTTCCACGAATCATCATCAGGGCCTTTTTGGGTTTTCTGGAGGGCTTTGGTTGCATTCGAATAGAATATAAGGACCAGATCTTCTACTCGTCGCTCCTTGTCCATACGTCTGCGAAAGCCCTGCTCCGTGAATGCTGTGTAGGCCTCAGCAAATGTGCGCTTGACGCCAGCGTCATTGTATCCTGGGAGCCTCTCTGTCCCCGTTACAACCCCTTGTAAGCGCTTTTCCAATGGTGACATGAAGCCATGCGGGAACTTTGCACTTTTGGTATCTTTGACCCGGGAAAAGTCCTGGATCAGTTCACCGATCATAACCGTCCTCCTCTGCTGTATGGGTTTCGGCGCTGCAACATATTGCTTTCTCTTTGCGCGAGGTTGAAGGAGGTGGTGGAGGTATGCGACTCGAAGAGCGAAGGTATAGCCATCGTTGTAGCTAGGAGGTTTTGGTCGTGTTCGAGATATCGTTCGAGATATGGAGCGACGCTGGCTGTTTTGAAGGCTATCGACACGCCTATTCCCGCGAGAACGAGTTGATGCGGTCGACATGTCGTATTGTGGAAGGTTGGCCTTTGGATTTGGGGAAGGGAAAAGGGATGATGTTGGCGGGGTGTTGTCGTACCCTGACGAAGGGCACTCTACTATGCGAAGGTGCACAAACGCACGTTGTGTGAATGTGGTGGTGTTCTCTCCGCAGCTCGAGCGCCAGATGATTAGCGAAATTGTGTTCTACCACAGAGAATGTAGCATGATTATTCTTTGAATTCACGGTAATTGTAAAGAGTGTGGGATGCCATCAACCTGGTTTAAAGGTCGCTGGAATGGCTTACGAACTAGAAACCTACTTTTGTAGGCGAAGCTGCCAGGCCCAGGGGTCGCCGGGCCCCGCTATGGCATCCCTATTTAGCACCGCCGCCCAAAACCCGAAACCTCCTCTGGATCTACTAGTAAGTAATAAGTTGTGGCCACGGCAAACAACATGATCCAGAGCCTGATTCTTTCAGTCTTTCTGGGAGATTTCGGTGCATTCGCGGCTATTAGCGACCTTTGTTTGTACTGTACCTGTGATCAATGCTTACATAGGCAGTTATTGCTGTTTCGTATCCCATGACCGATCTAACAATACGAAGGACCTTGAAACATCCCTAGTGATTGGAGGTGGAGCTATCTCTTATTACAGGCGTTTGCCACCCATTTTGGCAACACCGCTCGCAAGGACCGGGGTGATTAAAATATAGGTTGGAGTCGAAATATAAATGGAGTTTTCATTTAGCAAATTTAAATTTGAATTTGAACTGAATTTAGTTCTTTGTTTACAGTAAATGTCGAAATCGGTGCTGCCTAAGGGATTCTGTGATCACTGGATATCGGCGGATTTTCGTTAAGCACGTGATACCTCTTCAGTGTTAGGCATCAAACTGCGAGTGCCACACCTGAGGAACTTTGAGGAGTTAAGACGAGACCCATAGTATCATCAATATCAACCACTTCTTTACCTTCGTACTTGGATCTTATTAAGCCTTAGGCGCTACAATACTTGCATAGCGTATAAGACTATATAAAATTGGAGCGTCATAGGCCTTTTCATTCACACGACATGTGCCAAATTCGCGTTCCCGGACGCTGAGTCGGCTGGCAAGTGGTATCACCACCCAGACATTTTCTCGTTACTGGAATCTGCAGACTCATGTTCGTTCCCTAACTTTCTTGAGAATCGCTGGGAAAACCTGCTATAGATCGGATGAAAGATCATGCGGAGGCAATTACACACGAATTGTAATGAGGTCAAACTGAGACGGCAGAGAGATTACCTCTTCGATTTTGCATGTGAAGTCTGGCCAAAGATAGCGCTGTAGAGACTGAAACTTTCCGTCTATGCACCCCTAGAGGTTAGTACTCGTTTCGTATAAATCTTAGGCCTATATTCTATAGGAAATGTAGCTCTCTATCATCTAGAGAGCTGTATTCATTCTTAACCTTGTACTCAAGGAAGCTGGTTCATATACTGCATATGCCAAAGTACTTACTTTGAAAGGAAGTCTATTCAGTCGGGCACACTGAGCATATACTAACCCTGTCACATTCCAGATGAGAGCACTAACAATTCTAAGTTGTTTCGAAGAGTGCCAAAATCTCATTCGGGATGTGCTTTCCTCGAAGCTGCTCGTCTACGCTTTCAACTACCAAAGTCCTTTCTATATATACTATATGACTAGACTTCACTATTCCTGGGACATATAGTTCGCTAGGATTTAAATAATACAGAACTTGTCACTAGTCTTCAATTAAGGTATTGGATATCTCTTCCATGAAACAGCAAATTTTATCGAACACAGTCCCATGGCAACTTATCGGCTTCGAAGACCAGATACGCATATCTGGAAGAAATTCGCTACTTATAAAGCAAGAGCTGAAAGTACCAGGAATGCACACATTATACCACCCATGGACAGCTCCAAAGTCTTTGTTGACCCGCTGTTTTTGACATCGGTTGGTGAAGCTGATATAACGAAGGTACTTGTGGTCGCGTTCTTGGCACCAGTTATTGACGATGATGTGGCAGAGGTATTTGTGGCTGCGTTATCACTAGTCTTCATTGTTAATGGAGGCGGTGGATTGGTAAATGACGTTGGATATGGTGCAGTTTCTGTGAGGATTGGTGACTGGTCGGCACTTTGACAAGCTGTTCCCCATGTGGAGTTCAGTGTTTCTTGAACACAACCAAGCCAAGTTGGAAACATCGATTGCTCGACTTCGCAGTAGTTCCAACACTGGAACCCTTTTATGGGAGTTGTACAACATCGTTCGATGGCATCTAGCAACCTATTATCCCCAAGTTGAGCATCCGCCCGCAGAGAGCAAAGAGAGAAAGTCTCGTAGCTATAAGAGTTAGCACAGGTTTGTGACGTTCATAGTGTTGACCTCCTACATTTTCGGGGGTTCCAAATTTGGCCTTCTACATTGATTGGCAGTCATGGTTTTAGAATATGTGATAAGAGAAATATTTCAAAATAGGTAGAGGAACAACTACGTCTTAGTTGTTTAATGATCTTGCAAGTTGTGGTTTTCCTACCTTTGATGTTCCTTCGCAGCACAATTATTTATATATTTATATTCAATGGCGCACGTGCCGCACAAGAAACAGAGATCTTACCGGATAATGGATTGCGGTTAAATCTTACGAAGCACAGTACGATGATTTTATGATTAGGCTAGATTTGCTGTCAACCATTGGGTTGAGAGCTACGCGAGCACCGTGATGCTAACAGAGTGCAATATATATCCTTGTAAAGGACTCAAAGGATTGGGAATTCAACGGCTCATTGGATTCAGATTTGGAGGTTAGTATTGTCGAGGAGCTGGCTGGACCCTTAGGAGTATCGGGATGAATCATGGATAAAACAACCGAATGATCACAGTCAAGGTATGGGGATCAATTGAGCGATGGTTGCGTTGCAGGATTATAGTTAGATGGTCATATGGTTGGAGAAGGCTAAACCACTAGTTTCGTGTTCTCAGAGCAGGTGAATATTCAGGGCGCACTCAGGCAGTAGTACCTCAGTATTTCAAAACGACTAATAGACACAAGATCCTGTCACTAATATAAGTATGGCAAATTGAGTTGTATTGGTAATTAACTAGCTGGCCAGCTTCTCCCTGGTCCAGCTGTCAAGCTGTGATCTTTGTGTTGATCTGATCGCACTGTGTGTGCAAAAGAGAGAATGAGAGCCAGGAGCTTATATGCCCAATTGGTCCCACTTATCCATGTGCTTATTCTAATACAAATGGGAATGCAAAAACAAAGTAATAATCAGTGGTTAGAGGCGCCCCACCCCACCACAGTATAGTACTCAAAGAAGTCATAATAATATTAAAATTATACGAAAAAATAAATTTCCAGCTTTATACACATAGAGCGGATACCCGATTATATAGAATGGCCAATTCCGGTGGTCGGCTAAACCGAGTAACTGTCCTAATTACTCCGTAAGCGACTATCCGAACTCAAAGGTTGTCCAAACTCTGAGACTGTCCGGCTTAATGGAGATCCTAAGTATAGTACTATAGTAGGGGTGTTAGGTGTTTCGGTAGACAATAAATTATGGTTGCCTTATATACATATATACCAGGTAGATAGATATACTTTAAGGCTATCTCTCAATTTTGTACTTGGAAGAAGGATATACTGCTCGAGAAAATGCTATAGTATTTATAATAATATTTCTAGGACGTTCTATAATACTATGTTAATCCTTAGGCAGAAGTTTATTACTCTCACGTAAAGTAAAAGGTAGGGTGTACCGATGTTCGGCGGGCGATGTTAGCAATTTCTATGTAGGTAGGTGGAATTAACATTCACGTGCAGATTCCCCGGAGCAGGGAATATAAGCTAATACAGGTTTTAATAAGCTATGATGGGGCTAGAGCGCAGAAACTGTGGGGCCAAATATCTTATTGAGTTTTCAGGCTGACACTGATTTCGACTTTTACTGTAGACTCTTTTCTTCACAGAACACTACTATAGAAAAGAGGAAATGACCTAGGTAGTCTGAAGTGCAACCACTCACTCATAGGCACGTGCCTCGCAACCGCGAGACTCGACAATCGGATCCGGCTTGCGGCGTGCACGTGACCGTGCACGGACCTATGGCAAACATCGGGGCGTCGTGGAAGCTTGTCCGTTATGACCACGGCCTAGACCAACGTGGTTGACTTCAGGATACCTTGCCATCTGGACCTTCTGAAGCTCCGGTGCAGAGCTCCAGTCCCAATACCGACTCGTACCTATCTCCATGCTATCTCCCCAAATATAATATGCATGCTGGTTCATGGTTTGGGCTCTACCAAGCATGAGTGATCAGCTTGGGACGTCGCAGAGTGAAAGTACAAGCTCCGAAGCACAGCACAGCTCATATCCCAACAGACCCAGAAAGCATCATGGCTACCAATCTTCCTAATTCCGATATTGCCCTCAGTGATACGGCATCTCAACCAGATGATCAACCGATAGCAATCCCGAAGACCTCGGCGTCCTCTCAACCATCAAACGATCTGAAGCTAAACGACTACACTCAACAGCACCAAATATCCTCGCAAGAGTCGGAAACGGCTGGCAAAGCTGCCAAGGCCGGGATGGATGCCAGAACTAAGATCTCCAGTCTGCTGAAGGATAAAGAGCAGGAATGGACAGCTGTGGCGGAGAAGAAAGGCCCTCTTCGGCTGCTTCATCTGCCCATGGACGTCTTAAAAGAAATTGTGAAAGAAGTGAGCTCCTCTGTTCCTAGCAGCTTGCTGGTCCATCTAACATGTAAACTATATAGGTGACCCATACGAATGACCTCACGGCCCTCGCCCTGACACATTCTGCACTACATAACCTCGCGATTCCGCACATATATTCTCGATTTGACATTGTATGGCCGGATGCACATGCCACCACCGATCCTAGAACTGGCGTAGATGCTCTCACATACGGGCTTGCTACGCTATGTATGGGTGATGTGATTGCAAATAATGGCGGGGAACAGTCCTTTACCTGCACAAATTGTGGTGCCGTCAACAATACAGAGTGCAACCATGACTTACGGCCGAACCCTGGGAATGGTCAACGACGTATGGGCAATCAATATCCGCAGTTTACGCGAAAGTTTTCTCTTGGGAATGGGCCGGCAGATTGGGTCCAAGAATATCTTATTACAAAAGAGAGTGGGAAAATGCTTGGGACGCTTGTTGCTTTGGCAGTGAAAAGGATGGTGAATTTGGAGGCATTCGTTTGGGATATGCCCACTGGCGTCTTAAGAGATGTTTGGCTTGCGCTGTCATCTCTGCAAAGTAGGCACCCTGGCCGAGAATGTCGCCTGGAGCGCGTTTGGGTTAGATGGCATGATAATTCGGATCCTGTCAATTCAGCGGCAGGTCAAACTTCGCCCGCCGCCTCAAGTACCACTCCGCAGATGTTGGCCGGTAGCACAATGACTTCAATTGGATGGACGGTCCCTTCTGGCACCAATCTAAACCCTCCAGGTCATTCCTATCCTCGCAGTTATGCTCAAAGCCATGTGGAATATCCGACACTGAGTGTCCTCCCCCCTCTGAAGAGTCTATCTGTACTTGATATTGATGAGCTTGATTATCTGGATGAGATGAGTATGCTCATTGCAAAATCAAAAGACTGTTTGCGGGAGCTGCGGGTCGGGATCTCTGCAAAGGCGGTCAACAGAGATTTTGTACTTGCTTGGGATGGCCCCGAGCTGCAGCAAGTTGATCATAAAGCGCCGTGGCCTGGGGCGAGTACGATTGGCGAGAGGCGGTTGGGAGGCGTCTTAGGCGCTCTCGTAGGCCGCATATTCGATATCCGCAAGAAGCAAAGGGCGATCAGACCCGAGAAGAAAGACTGGGGAGTTTCGGCAGCTTCATCTACTCCGGTGCCAGCAGATGCTCCGCACGTAGAGACGCAGGTTCCGTTCCCCACTGGGCCCCAAACGGACGAAGGGTTAGGGAATCCACTTCTGGATACATCGCAGAGTAGCTCTTTGGAGGAATACTGGGAAGCCAAAGAAACACCAGCAGCCGGAGAAGAAACCGCTCCAACCCCGGGTGTTGCTTTCAACATCGATGGTGGGGCATCATTAATCCACTCAAATGAGCTCCATGACACTACTCCATCGGATTTGGTGACCGCTCCTCTACAACTAGATCATGCGCAGTCTGATATGGACTCACTCAATGCATTGATCTCCGCCCACGGGTCTGCTTCGACCGCCCATACACACTATGGTGCTGTCCTCCCAGGAGCTACCACAGATCTTCCTTTGAGGCGTTCGCAACCCCAATACCGAAAACAATCACATTTCTCTGAAATACCTCCATCTGAAAGAACAAGATTGGAGGGAAAATTGAGATTACAAACTCTAGAGCTGGAGCGCGTTCCATTATCTGTAGTGGTGCTCCAAAAAGCTTTTGACTGGACGGTTCTAACGAACCTGACTATACTGGACTGTCCTCAACACGACAGGCTATGGGTCATGTTGCGACGACATTTCCAGCCGTCACCAACTGGTCCAAGCCAGTCTACAAAACAGGGATCGACTATGGCCCTACAGTATCATCTGAACCTCAGAAAGATCCACACTGATGCAGCCTCCACCTCTCTCATAGCTTTTTTGAAGGACACTCTGGCGCCGAACACATTGGAGACACTTTTCCTTCAAGACCGGAGACGGTCTAGTAATACGAACGTCACAATAGTAAGATACATTTCTACCTATATTATTTGTAAACAGCAGGCTGATGACAGCACACAGGACGCTATATATCGGGGCCCCTTGAAAAGGCACCGCGCCAGTCTCAAGAAGTTGATGTTAGACAGCTCCGACAAGATACCACGAGGGCCAAGCTCATCGGACGGCTCACGGTACAGGACCTGGATGCCTAATCGCGATGTCCTCAACTTCATCACCAGTGGACGCATGTCTAGTCTTCGAGAGTTGAGTATTGCCGTTGACTATAAGGACTGGGTAAGTTTCGAGCCTTGTCCCACACATATTGATCCGTAAGGTATGCTAACGATGCCTAGCATCACTTCCTCCAACGACTACCCAATGTCCCTCATTTGCGCTCTCTGAACATACCGTTTATTGCAGATCATGTTACGGCTGCATTTGACCCCCGCGAGCTAGCTCTGCAAGTTGTCGACGTAATCGTGCTCCGTCCAGAAGTTGAGCTATGTTACATGGGCGTCTCGCACAAATGCTTCGAAATTCTAGAGAACCGTCCGCAAGACGAGGCCCACGGATCTCCAGACAATCATTCCAGCGCCATCAGTGCCGGCCATGGAGGAGTGACAATCGACGAGGACGATGATGATGAGGATGAGGAGGGAAGCGACGATGAAGATGAGGACGAAGAAGATGACAACGGGACTGCTATCGCGCCTGTAGATCCGGACGAGACGGAATCAGAAATTTCGGATCATTCGGATTCGGATTCGGATTCTTATGATGAGTCTGAGGACGGTCTATCGAAAGTCAGACTGAGGTTGAGAGAAATCCTCTTTTATGACGATAAGGTTGCTATATTCAAAGCACGGCATGGGAAACTCTAGAAAAGAAGAAAAATAACTCCCATACCTATTGTGTTAATAAACTATCGAGGAAGCCCTCGTCTCCTGCAGGAAATATCAGGAAGTACGATCGTCGAATCCCAATTCTTTTTCTCTTCTTTTTCTAGTGCAATAAAATTCCAAGAGAAAGAGACTTTAAAAAAAGACTTATTTTTTTCGTCTTTTGGCTTACATACGTTTTCCCGTGGGAGTTATACTGAGCGCGGCATTGGGAAAGTAAGGACTTAAAGCATTGAATTGCCAGATTTTTGCATCTTGTTTGTTGTTTTTTGTTTGCCAGAATAAATAGGGAGTGATGGGCTAGGCTGGGTAAAATCTGGCAGCTGGAGTCTGTATTTTTTTTTACAATGGGAGAGAGAGGGGATAGCGATAGCCTTGATCCCTCCGTTCTTCCTCCTCTGGTGAGGATTAGAGAATTAGTGGGGACGTGTTAAGTTAGGGAGAATATAAAGCGATACCAGGTGTGAAAGGTTGCGGGATGAGAAATTCCTTGTATGTTTTTTTATGAGGTATGGTTCGATTCTAAATTTGGGTTTATGTCAACTCTACATGGGTTAGAATCTTGCCTATAATGTTTCATCCTGAATTAGTGATTTAGAGAAACGAATGTTTAGTTCAGAGACTAGTCTAGCTCCTTGGGTTTTATGTCATGCACAGTCATTCATTTCCCTACGAAGATTGGAGATGGTAACGTCACTCAGATTAATCCATCGAAATGGAGCGTTGGCACCACAATGTTGATTCCTAATACGAATCACTTGCCTTGTGTGGCGTGTCTTCAGGTGGAGTAGATGTCATGGCAGTCAACGATGATCCATAACATGAAACATCATTCATATTATGGGTTGTGGCTGTGAATGTGAAAGTGTAACTATACCCCCCTTCCATATACGAAGTACCTCCTATCATAGGAGTGGAACGACGTTCTCGCCACCCACGGGGAAATGATTCCGCCAGCCTCGTCCCCAGATACAAGTCCACATGTACGTACAAACAGAGCAGGTAGTTGCTCCTCTCAAGTCACAAGTACCGTGATCTTTTTTGATCATGGCTCAGCAAGATGCCAAGCAAGCCGGGATTCGGGGAACCCCCCCTCCCCTACAGTCGATCAAACTCAAACATGCTCTCCTGATCTCTACGCCGCAGAACACTACCTTCGATGTTCGCTGACTGATTGCGGGGCGCCCGAGGGGTGTGGTGCACAAGGAACTTCCTAAATGGGCTGTGTGGGTATTCAATGAGGCTCGACGGGGACATCGCACAGCCTGCGTGCCATGCGTCGAGATATCGTGGTACAGACTGCGTGGAGCTGCAGGTACAACGAACCTGAAACACGGCCATGATTGTTCTCTTTGAGGCACCACGTTGAATTGCGAAGGATGGATACGGAAAGGGTACCATCAACGCGCCGCCCCAATTAGGGATGCGTGGGAAAAGCCTCATTGGGGATGTGGATGGACCAGCTGGCACACAGAACTGTGGATACGGCCCCATAAGGTATTCATGTCATCGCAGCTCACACCAGTTCGCCCAGGTGTTCTCGCATTTCCCTGATCCAGCTTGGTTCTTGCCCACGGGCAACTTGGGGTCCGGGAAACAACCTGACAGCCGTTGTTGATGGGGTGCCCCCCGGCGGTTATCAAAATTGTCAGCGTTTCATTTTACCCCATCCTCGTCATCCACGTGGGAAAGCTGTCGAGGTATTATATTGCCTCTGTCAAGGGCTAGAACCTCGCAGAAGTCCGGACCTCGTGGAATACTCCGTTAATAAATGGCCTCTTGCAGCAGGTGGCAATATCACCTTGTCCTCGGTCGTCATCGAGATAACCCATTTGGCCATGGACACCGCCAGGCCCGATGAGGAGGGTCGTGCAGATGTACGAAGTATGGGTTTGCAGGATAAGAGATGAGATACTGGTATCGATAAAATCGATAAACCGATCGAGATGCTCCGCGATGCGGTATGTGCGCGATGGCGAACGCAACGGTGTCTCGTTCCTAATGATCCTTAGATCTGCATCCTTTTCCTTTACGCCTCCGCAGGTAGGTACTGGAAGGAAGTACTTCCGTACCTCGCCGCAACGGGAATGGAGATATACTGCTGCGGTCCCTTGTTTATAATTAGCAAATAGCCTAAGATCCTTGGGGGACGAGGGGACGCTGGTACGAGCACCTGGCGCTGCTAAGTACTGGTACTTGCACGGTACTTGGCAGAAGAGACAGGGCATCGCTTGGGGGAGCGGCTCTTGATTACTCCGGCCAAATCTCATCGGCGCTCTGGTACGAGCAGTCTGTCCCTATTCGAGCGCGGCTTTGCGATTGGGGCGGGTGGCGCCTGGGGGCTTCTAAGGCCCAGTACCTACGTACTACGCGCCGGTAAGCGTCAGCAACTGAAGCTATTCAGTAGGCATGAAGTAAGCCGCCGCAAAGCCTCACACGCTACTCGGTAGGTATCTAGCGGCGGGCGCTTAAAGGCCGCATCGTGGACCTCGCGGTGGGCGAGACGAAGGCTTTCTTTTTCTTCCTCGAGACGCTGTTGATGATAATACTCAAGCCTCAAGCCCTCAAGGCTTTCGAGCTACTTCATCGCGCTTAACAACCTGGTCCGTTTGGCTGGTGACCAGGGCCGATGTTTATATGGACGGGGGGGTCCTAGTACCAGATTGGTATTCTGGAAGCCCTCTGGGCGCTGGCTTGTTTCGCCGTTTCAAACTGCTGCAAGGCACATCCGCAGCAGCTTGCTGCGCGAACGATTATTCGGATAATTCGGCGCTCCCCATCCACTCCACGAACAGGTCTTGCAGATTCCCCTCGGTTGGATCGAGCATCACGATGCCGATGCAGAAGTACGTACCGGTGGGTTGACGGTACGTACTATCGCAGGCGGCACAGCGACAGCTCGTGAGATCGTAATGCCATTAGTTCGAATTTCGAACTTCGGCAGCTTGTCGTTCGCGTGCCTCCTCGTAGCCTGGTTCTCGGATGAACCGATCGAGCTTGCTGCCTACTATAGTCCCAGTTTTCGGCGCTGCGATTGCTCGGTATCCGAGAGGGGTTCAATTATTTTGTTAAATATCACAAGTGAATGATTTGAGTATCTCAAGCTTGGACGTTTCCCGGGTATTTTAGCTTTTCAGATTATTGTCTGTGCATCTCGGAAGCTTTCTCTACCTTTTTATTGGTGTGTTCGCTAAACGAGCACGCCGACAAAACGCAATAATTTCGATTTCATCCGAGTATCCGTGGAATACCTCGGTTTTCTCTATAATACTAAAGATAAAGGGGGGTTTGATCATGTGCACGACCTCGGCTTCTTTAAGTCGAAACCAAAACCAAAAAATGATAAGAGTTTTATCGTCTTTTATTTAACTCGTCATCTGTAGCCTAGTACTGCACTGCACCGGCGTTGTGCTGGTTGTCTGTCTGGATTAGGTCCGTGTGGATTTAGAGTTGAAGCCATCTCAAGGGAGCTAGGCTAAAAGTGGGACGAAACTAAACACATCGTAACTCTACTGTACAGACCAAGTTAGTTCTCGTAAAGAGGTTAAATTAGCATCTCGGTGGTTGTATGGCCCAATATTAGCCGGCCATGTACGAAGTGGTCCGTAGTAGCCGCGAAAGTACTTTCGTAAAAAGGCCACTCGAGAAAATCCGAAAACCCAATGCCCCTGTTGAAGACCGTGGTGCAAGCAGGAGGAGAGCTTCTGCAGCGGTCTGTGGAGTTTGGACGAACCTGGCTCACAGTGGTGCCGATTAATGTCGACCTGCGCGGGTTTGCCCAGAGAGAGCTCCCTGCAGATCTCGTGGCTATTGTCCAACTTGGAATTGGGTGACCTTAAAAAAGACCTACGGAGCGGCTGATCAGCGAATCCTGTCCTGTGTGCTGGATCTAAAACGTGGCAGTGTATTTCTCCGTCCGTAGTGGCCGCTCCCTTCTTGGCCAGCGCGGTGGGTTGAGGGACGGTCGAAGGAACAACATGCGTTGCCGTGTTTGAAACCATGAGCTGGGCTGATTAAATCGATATGGATGAATGGAATCTCGCGTGGGGTAAATTGGCGGATTATAGTGCTGCTTCATGGCATTCTGGGGTCCGGGATATCGGATTGAAAAATGCAAGAGTCCGGAGTACGACGGCGTATGCTGCGTATAGTACTTTGGCACGGTAGTAGTCGTACGGTGGTGGTGCAATACTACGCCCGTAGGCTGGTCAGGTTGACTCTGCTGCACTTGGCCAGCCTCCGGTACGAAGTACAGTAGCAAGGCCATTACTCGCCATGTCCTCCGTACCGGTACTTTATGGTACCACAAATACATCCGGAGGTAAGTAAGTAATAGCTGCTTTGGCATATGAGAAGATTACCGCTTCTGGCGCTGTGCCACCTGGTCATCGCTGCTAGCGTGTTTGAAGAAGCTTAGCCACGAGCTGTCGAATAGCAGGCCCAGCTCAGTCGTTGCGCCAGACAACGGCCTTCATCACTCAACTCATTTCATTTCCTGGTTGACTGGACGGCGGGCACGCCTGTGGACGGTCAGGTCAGAAGGCCCGCGTAGGCCTGTGTCGGTCTGCGGCGTGGGCAGGCAACGCAGCAGCAGAATCGCCGGCTTGACTACAAGTGAACTTGGTTGCAGCAGCAATACGGACGGAGCAGCAGCAGTTGCAGAGTGCCGAGTCGCGCCGCAGATGGGTGCAGATGATTGCAGATTAATCCATCCAGCGCCGGCGGGCTCCAGTACGAAGTATTGCAGAACAGGCCGAGAGAGAGCGTGGCCAGCAGGTGGATGGAGCCTGTCGCTGCAGGCTGGTGCAGGCTGGTACCACGCTCGCCGGCGCTGCAAGAAGTAATCTTATTTTTCTGTATTCCGGAGGTGGCACTGCGTCGTGAACAAAGCCGCGGGTTGAGGCAGACAAGAGGTTGAGAGATTGAGATTCTATTCTTGTATATTTTTTAGGTCAAGGCAGGGCGGAGGCTCAGAGGGGGTGGAGCCGGTAGAGGGAAGTGCCCAGCGATCATCATCGGTGAGCCTTGAGCCTTGAGCCTTGAATAGTGCTGGTGCGGGAGTGAGAGGGAGCACAGCGCTAGAATCCCTTTACCTACGGAGTACTAGGTAGGCCTTGGCCTTAGGCTTAGGCTTGGGCTTAGGGGCGTTAGGGGACGTTAGGGGACGTTAGGGACTCTAGTGGGGACTCTATAGTGGTCACCCTCTACCTACATACCACTATACCTACTAGGTAGTAAGTACTGTCATCACTATCACCACTGCCACTAACTGCCCGCTGCTCCACCCGCCGCGGGGCCCTGAAGTTCCCTGAACCCACCCCTAGGTACCTGGGTACATCCTCCACGGCGACCGCGCCCCCAGCACTACTGCAGCAGCGGTTTCTATCAATAATAATAATAACACGCGCTAGACACGACCGGGCCTCGCATCCTTCAGACCCCTCGACCCTCGACCTGAGCTTCGTTCGTCCACTGCAGAGTGACTACACCCACGTCTTCCCACCCCTACGATCGGCCGCTGGCCTGCTGCTTGCTGCTGCTGCTGCTGCTGATGCACCGGCTGGCATCATGGATTCAGGGCTTCATGGCAAAACCTCCCTCTCACTGTCAACAAGGCTCGTGGCGGACTGGGGTCGTAAACCGCGGTCCGGGGTGGGCGGGCGCTCGTCGGGGATGTGTGTTGCGTCGAGGGCGCGAACATACTGTATCGTCGTCTACTTTAGAGCCATGAGCCCGCCCTCAGTGGAGGCGGAGACCTTCAACGGAGAATAACGTTTGTTTACGCCTCTGCGATCCACCAAGAAATACCCAGGTCGACAATAGGGTCTTGTCTCATCTAATCTCCCTCGCCCATCCCCTCTGCCCTTCTACAAAAGCACACGCCACCCTCACCCTCGCCCTCACCCCCCCAATCCCGACCTAAGCCAACCCCTGCCCTCCAGATCTCCACGATTTATACTTCGTCAGATCCTCTTGAGATCCGAAGCCCTCTTCTATCTATTTCGAGTTACTCTCGAGAATCCTTCCGTATGTGCAGCCGTCATCGATCACCACCCCCATCTCATCCTGCATTCATGGATTCCCTCTATATAGACTCGAGTACAGAACACTCACGTCAGTCCAGGTCTAGAGCCAACAGTCACCTGTCATCCACCGCCCTCCAGCTCCAAGGCCTGAACATCTTTGAGTCTCCCGTCTCGACACCCCAACTGGGCCCAGTAGATATTCCACGGACCTCTCAGCCAGCTTACTCTGATCACAACACCAAGCCATCAGTTCCTTCTACGCTCTTCTCTCCAGTGCCTCAAGGACTCACTCCGTTCCCGCTCCTCTCGGACATTGATTTTGATGCCGATTGGGCTCAACTCGACTCAGGAGGACAATCAGGAGCAACACCATCCCTCGTACTAGATCCTGCTCAGTCATCTCTTGGCCACCACGCCTTGCCTCTCCGTTCGAATTCTTTCCCAGCAAATATGAGGTAGGAAGAAAAAGTGCTTGTGCTGTTTGATATCCTTACTTACAGTTCCTAGTACTATCGGGATTCAACAGTATGATGCCCGATTCGAGGGTGGCATTCGTCAGTCATACACATGGCCTCGTACGCTACAGTTTCCAAGCACTCCAAGGTCTCTACTAACAGGCACTAGACTTGACGCATCCAGATTTTGAGATGAACGAGCAGTTTATGCCTCACATCCCAAGCCCGCCTTTGAATCCTTCCATGCTCTCAGCATATGACGACAAGAATCTGATGCCTATCTACGCTCGTTCCCTCACATCCAGCCCGCCCCGAGGAACCCTCAGCCCCGAGCAGAGGGAGTTAAAGCGACAGCGTGATCACGCACGGAGAGATTCCAAGACCCGTGTGAGAAGAGAACGCTCGGTCAGCAATCCCTATGTGGTCTCTCATACAGCTTCACCAGATCTTATCCCACGCACTCTTGGGGAATATCCCAGCAGCCTTACTCCCAGCCTCACTTCTGGAAGTTTGACTCCCTCCCCGCTACTTTCTCAAGGCCCCATTTCACAGGGACCACAGCCATCTCCTTCTCTCAGCACCTCGTCTTACCTTACTCCGTATTCACCGCAAATCGTCGAATCAGGAGCTCCTGATATGTATGGGCCAGTGTTTGCAATGTGAGTCACTTTTCATCTATAAAAAGACGACAGAATTCTAACGTCATACAAGGAGCCCCAATGATTTCACGCACTCACCCACATTTTCCTCCATGCCATACTCAACGGCGGGACAAGATTCGGGCCTTCCGACCTATGTGTAAGAACCAATTACGCACCAGAACGATCCGAAACACTTGCTGACAGGATACAGATCACGGCCGCATTCGCTCTCATCAGCTTCGGACCAGCCACACATGTACACACACCAACCCAGTCAAAAAGTAGGCTCCACCGACTCTGCCGATCACGTCCGGGTCGTCCATAGCCGCCCCAAGCCCCAATGCTGGGAGCACGGGTGTAACGGACGACAGTTTTCTACATTTAGCAACCTCTTACGGCATCAACGAGAGAAGTCGGGCGCTGCAACAAAATCCAGCTGTCCAAATTGTGGTGCGGAATTCACCAGGACTACGGCGCGAAACGGGCACATGGCACACGAGAAGTGCAAGCAACGGCGAAACTCATAGAACTAGGGGCAGCGGGTGGCACGGCTTTCATGCATTTTAGGAGTATATCTTGGGCTGGGCTTTGGCCTTTTTTTGGGGGAGTTGGACCTAGAAAACAATCCGTTTTATGGCAGGGGATTGGTGGACTCGCGTTATACCTCTCCAGGACTAACTACGCTTTATGTTTGGACGAGAGCACGGTACATATACCTCTATACCTAGCGTATACCTATTATACCCTTCTTTGGTGTCGTTTATAAAAACAGAATATTTCGAGAGCAATGGAATGAACTTCATCCGTCATGACTGAGTACACATCCGTAAGTTCATGACCCGAGAGCTGAAAACATGGGGTCCACGTTGCATTCAGCATTCTTTCCTCTGCACCGCTACGTTGTACGAGAGTAAGTGACGGTGCAAGGGGGGACGGTGTACCGCGTAAAACAAGGCCTTGGCCTTGGAAACTCAGACACCAAAAGCTGCCAAATAAAGATGCTGAGCAGCTGTAATCAAAGACGACGATGCGACTGGTCTGGTGCAATAATTAGCCCTTTGGTGCTGAAAGTGTCGGTGCAATTGGAGCCGTGGAAGTCGTGGGGTCGAAGAATCGTGGTTCGTTGGCGGACGGCAGCGGTGGACACAGCCCCGTCCCAAATAGCAATAGATTCTTGCACACCGGGGGGTCGTTGCGGGTGGTGCAGGTTTGGCGAGGGAGAGAAAGAAGCCTCGCCGCTGACGGACTGACTGACTTACATCACCCATACAATACCCACCTCGACATCACACCTCGTATAGTGGTACATTTACAGCTACAGCTACGGCTACGGCTACATCCACTCCCACTCCCACCCTCCATCCGAAGTGCCATGCGACGATGGTACGCAGAGATGCACAACGGCTCCCCAGGCCCTGGATTGCTGCACCGGCTGAAGGCGATTGCTGGCCCGTGGAGCGTCTCAGGAAGGGTGCGTCGCGTGGTCGACTCGAGGGTTTGCTGCTGATGCTGGCCCGATGCGGTGTCAGATTTAGAGCAAACCAGGTACGACAAGACCCGGAGTGCGAATTACACACCCATCTTCGCAAGAAGTCCTGCTGCTCCGGATCCAGAGTGGCATGGCGGATGCTGCGATGGTAATGATGTCAAGCTCGTCAACTCCAGCTACCACCGAGGTACTATACCGTACGTAGTAGGTCCACTACGTACAAAGTTACTGCAATCAACCAAGTTGAACCAACACGTTAAAGTTCCCCCCGTGCCCCACGACTGCAGCGGCGCCACCGAACTCTGAAACCGATGTTGAGCATGGTGAGCGCTGCGGAAGCCTGACGCCTGAAGGAAGGAAACTACCGTTTTGAGAGACCCTGAACAGTTCGCTGAATCGTTGAAGCCGGAGCGCTGGATTACCTGCACTTCGATCTTGAGCACGGAAGATCTGCACTCGTACCTCCAACCATTAACGTCCGTCAGCTCTGTACCACCGAATCACCAGCCCCGTCTGAGTATGTAGTACAGAGGAACTTAGCCTCTCCTGGCTAGCTATATCGCCGTATTAGCGACTTTCAGCCAGTCATTTTCCCTTGATTACCCCGATTCTCGTTATCGATCTCGTCACCTCGATCAATGCTACGTATTACTTTCCGTACGTACTCTGACTCTCCGAGCCTCTGACCCACCACCATCCATGGCCATAATGAGGACCATGACCATCCAGGTTTCCAGGACTTCCCTGAAAAACATGGGCTGCTGATATGCCCGTGCCTGCCCTGCCAGCGTGCCACGCCGCTGAAGCGCTAGATCTGCCCGGCACTTCTGCCTCATACCCAGGCACGTCAGCCATGTTGTACAGCCTTTGGCTGTGCGTGAGATTGAGGGGTAACAACGGAGATACTCAGCAGCTCATTTGCAGTATTTATTTATGGAATCATCACCACACCCTCCCCTCAGCCGAGGCTGCAACGCTACAGGCACAACCCAATCATTCGACCACACAACATTCGGCCGCTCCCTTCAGAAGGTTCAGCCTCGCCAGTTTCTGAGAGATCTGCGAGAGAGTTGTCACTGCCCGTCAGACCTACCTAGTTGAGCTTCGTACCAAAGATTAGCTAATTTATCCAACCACGTGGCGTCGTACAGTAGTTATGAACAGTAACTCGGGAACCGAGAAACTCTTCCTTGTCTTGCATGTCCAGTACGACGCTCTTTTCGTTGCTTCTCGTTCTCATTTCCCGCTTATGCCGGCCACAGACGATGACGATACTGTAGCGATAGCAACGCAATCTGGGGATGCCCGAAGTTCGAAGACGACCTTCCCAAAATGAGGTTACAATATTCCCTGCGCGGGTTTTCGGACCTTGCGTTGCGGAGACAACTTTCGACGGACGAGCCCGTCTGCGGCACGGTACGCGGTACATATCAGGAATTATTACCTGCAATGACCACCTTTTCTGGACTTTGTAAGAGTTCCCGAAGTTAGCACGGGGATCGACCCACCCCCATTTCTTTAGCTTTGAGCTTTATCACAGTGTTGCATGAATTGCCCACACGTGAATGAGATCTCTCTTCTTCAGTGGATGGCTCGTCCGAGATGTCTTACGATAACTCACTCCAGTTCCTCTTATCACTTACGTTCCCCACGTCTCAGTGCCGCTTCCGCTGCTCGAGATAGCTTAGTGGCTGGTTTTGTTATTCCTTACTCCCGCTTCACACGTTTCTGGATTACTCGCAGAGACTAACATAACTTTATTTTGGCCGTTACCTTCTATTCCAATCATGAGGTGGCTTGAGAAACGTGGCTGTCTGTCACCTGCTTCAGGATCAGCACTCGTCCCAGCATGGACAGTGATTCCACATAGCAACTGCCGTAAGGGCGATGCCGCCCGCATATTCGGACTTTACGCCTTCCTACATTATATTTAATATTTCATCAAGCTCCTTTGTAAGATCTACGGTCGATACACCCCCACGACGTATACCGTCCATGTCATATAGGGCTTATGTTTCGCGCCAACCTCGATCAAGAACACCGCCTAGGAATCTAAACCTCATTTCATGTTTCCAGAAGGGCATGGGGATGATCATAACGCCACTACCTTTCCCATAACGCCCAACTACTTCTGTTCTAGTTTTCGAGTTGTTTGGGCTATTGCGGTTTCTAACACTGTGAGGCTTTCTGGATGCACCGAGTAAGCCGCGCCTGTTTGAGGCTGCTGACGCCTATAGCACGCCACGCTTACTTGTCGCACAACACTGTCTCATCAAAGATATTACGCGTGTTACTGTATCTCGTGGTCGACCCGGCATAAGCCGTGGTACTGTAAGTTTACGCTAATGGGTATGATTAAGGGGTCTACCCTGCGTTTTATTTCATGCCTCATTTTTTATTCTGATATTCAAAGCAATTGGCCTGCGGCGTCAGAGTCGGGTAGTGCAAGAGATATAATGACATGGGGGCGCTCGTATGGGTCATGGTTCCTCGGATTCGTTGATTTCCGCCTTGCGCTAGATGTAGCGGCTGTGGCAGAAATGTAAGCGCTATATTGAAAGGTACGCAAGGAAACCCCTTGTTGAATGTTCCACGAGATGGAACGTCACAGTTCTCGGACTGTTCTAGGCCATCTGGCTCGTGTCGAATATGTACATGGAGACCACCTCCTGACTTGTGTGAAATCGATGGTCATTTAGAGTCAAACCAGTATACACTCAAAATGGAGTTATTGGAATTGTAATATTTATATCGATGGGACATGATAATAAATATGTCGAAACTTGAGCTTTGCCTCAGGAGTCAATTGCTATAAGCTATAGCTTGCTCGGACTTAGTGTCATGGTGTGCTGTTTGGCTTTTCTAGCTTTGGGAGCTGAGATAGTGTCATGGTGAGCAATGCTATTCTCCTAGTTGAGAAGAGTTTAAGAAATATATGTGCTTTTATGTTTTGATTAGGGAGAAGGTTTGGGTGGACGTCTCTATCTCAGTGATTAGGGCGTGGCACTTGAAGCAAAAAACCGGACTCCGCTATGGTGAGGTTCAAAGTGTGGGGATATACTTTGAGGTGGTTATTAGATAGCTGAAGTATCTATCTTGACATTTCCGGTTAAGCGCTCAGTGCTGCAAGATTGCAATTCCGCAGCTAGCTAGTGAAGGACTTCCGAGTCTTGAGTAAAGGCTGACGAATTAAGATGGATTGTGTAGGACTTATACTATTGGGAAAGAAGACTACGCACTATAGTCATAATGGAGGTAGTTAAATTATATCATTTATGAGCTTCTACAACTTTCATAGTCGATTGAATATATGCGTACCTGACTACAATGCTGTATATATGACCTCCTTATCGTCACTTCTAATAGGATTCATATTAAAAAGTTAAATATTCCTATGCTGTTGAAGATTCAAAAATTGTTATATCTTAATTGATACGGTATTAACGATGTCGAGGGGCTAGAAGGACACTCCGTAAATACTAGAGGAAAGCGGATATAAAACAACCAACAAGATAGCTAGTTAGGAGCCTATAGGATAGGGGATTGGTTGATGGGAAATTCATATGTTGTCGCACTGTCGCTATATCGTTAAGTCGTCATGTACTAAAAGAAGACTAAACCATGGTTTAGTGTTCTTGGGAGTGAATATTTAGGGCGCATCTAGGTGGTGGCTTTTAGGAGGACTAATAGCCACAAAATCCAATAATTGAATCATATAGGGCAAAATCAGACTATTCGTGTGTATGAGCAAAAGACAAAGACAGTCTCCCCTCCCCTTGTCTTTCGTGTCTTCTTCTTTGCTGGTATGTGTGAAGGAGGCAAGAGAGCCAGGAGCCCAGCTGGTCCTGCTTATCAACGTGCATAATGGAAAATCCAAATAATTAACCACAGGGCAAAGACGACACAAGAGATAGGTGTGATTGGGGTTGTCCCGCTACAATAAAACTAGTACTCGCAGTTCGGAATCTGTGAATTTTGGAGTTGAAATCGTAGTTGGTTGTCCTCGAGTCAACTCTTTGGAATTTAATTTACCCCTGTTCGTGGCCTCAGACCTCAGGCACCAACACGTCACAGCAAATCACTTTACGCGACCCCACGCGTATTCTCGTGTTTTCGTGTTTCCCTCACCCTTAACACACAGAACCGTCAGAAACAATCGCAAAATAAACCGTATCTCTTACCACCTCCCCTCTATCAAATCCAGACAAAGTTAACCGCAAGAGTAAGGACCATAGCCCTTGTTTATACTGCCCAATTCCCAAGGAAGCACACAAGAAGGAACCCAAACTGACTTGACATGCATCAGTGCTGGAAGCTAGACTCGAGCAGGCCGACCTGCTGAAGAAGGTTGTTGATGCAATCAAGGACCTAGTCCAGGACTGCAACTTCGACTGCAATGACAGCGGTATTGCGCTCCAGGCGATGGACAACTCGCACGTTGCGCTCGTCTCGATGATGCTCAAGGCTGAGAGCTTCTCCCCATACCGATGTGATCGCAACGTTGCGCTCGGCGTCAACCTCGTCTCCCTTACCAAAGTGCTCCGCGCAGCCCAGAACGAAGATGTCCTTACGATCAAGGCTGAGGATGCTCCGGATGTTCTGAACTTGGTTTTTGAGAGCAGCGAGAGCGATCGGTTGAGCGAGTATGACCTGAAGCTCATGGATATCGATCAGGAGCATTTGGGCATCCCTGATACCGAGTACGCCGCCACTATCTCCATGCCATCATCCGAGTTCAAGAGAATCTGCATGGATCTTATGCAGCTTTCCGAGTCTGGTATGCGCCAAGCTGACCCCTGATATTGATATATTTCGAGGCTAATATTACGGTGTTACAGTTTCTATTGAAGCCTCTAAGGACGGTGTCAAGTTCACATGCAATGGCGATATTGGTAATGGTTCTGTCACTCTACGAAGCCACAACAATGTTGAGAAGCCGGAGCTTAACATCGATATCGATCTTACGGAGCCCGTCGCCTTGACATTCTCCCTCAAGTACCTCGTCAATTTCTGCAAGGCCGCAGGTCTTTCCAAGACTGTCAAGCTTTGCTTGTCTAATGAAGTACCTCTGTTGGTTGAATATGCGCTGGCTGGAAGCAGTTATCTGCGGTTCTATTTGGCTCCTAAGGTATGCTATATACCCCCTTATCCCATGTCTATGGATATCCGTATTAACAGCTTGTCTAGATCGGTGATGAAGAGTAAATGCGGCAATTAGAGAACGGGTAATCATGATAGCATGAGTTTTATAGCATATTCTACGCGGCGTGCAGGTTGACTTGGCTCTGGTTGACTTGATTTACGAATATGAAGCGTGGATGACGAGTCAGTAATGGGAGGAGCACTGGACGGTTTCCAGCTCCGAACACAGAATAACAATGTGTCACTGATATGAAGAAATACACAATATTTCCCCCTCGGAATCCATGCCCCCAATGCCACCCTGTAGTGATCCGTATCCTGCTGTGAAGTTGGAAATTCATGGTCGAGTTTGTGGTGTTTTCGAGCCTAGCGCGGGGTATTTCAAATCGTGCATCAACCCCACCATCGCAATGGCCGATTCGCTTGGTGAAGCCGAGATAAGAAGTTGCGGCCCCGAACTTTTTCTTTTGTTTATTAACATACACAAGGCAACTACATCTGTCAAAACTATGCCATCGTTTGAAAATACCTTCTCTTTCCATTACCTTTTCATGATATTCCAGTGCCGCCTTGATCAACCATTTGCCCTATCCTAGTGCGCTCCCTTGACCGTTGTCAATCCCATTCCCAATCCCAACCCTTACCGCAGCGATGTCTGCAGACGACAGCTTCCCAATTCCGGAGACAAAAGTCCTGGCCATTGCCAGTCATGTAGGATACAATACCTCCCTCTAGTCCTTGAGCTTTACTGACGCTGTGCTGAAGGTCGTGTACGGGTGAGTTGCCTCCATGCCGATGAGTCAATATGACCCAGCTGAGCAGTAACAAGCTATGTCGGGAACACAATGGCCACATTCGTGATGCAGTCTCTTGGCTGCGAAGTCGCTGCATTAAACACCGTGGAATTCAGTATGCTGCCTCAATCTACTCTTTCAACAATCATTCTGAAAGAGTCATAGGCAACCATCTGGGCTATGGCCAGGCAAAGGGCACGCGAGCCACAGCGAAAGAGATTAGCGACATTTACGAAGGCCTTAAGAACTCCTTCCTCGATGATTTTGACATGATGCTTTCGGGCTATCTTCCCGGGGCCGCCTCCGTCGAAGCAGTGGGCATAATTGCGCGGGACTTGAAGTTGAAAGCTGCGCTGAAGCCGGGCAGCTTCTTTTGGGTTCTGGACCCGGTTATGGGAGATAATGGGAAGTTATACGTTGCGGAGGATGTCGTGCCTGCGTATAAGAATCTTATTAAAGATGCTGATCTGATACTCCCGAACCAGTTCGAGGCAGAGTAAGATAATCCATCCCTAGCTAGGGAACCTGGTACTGACGAGGTGTATAGGACGCTATCAGGTGTCAAAATTGTAGATATGGAGACACTCAAAGAAGCCATCACGACCTTGCACGAACGATATCGTATCCCACATATCATGATTACCTCTATATCCTTGCCCAACCCCGAAGGAACCGCATCCCTCTCTGTCGTTGGATCAACATTCACTTCAGGCGCTAAACCCCGCATTTTCGGGGTTAAGATCCCGGTTATAGATTGTTTCTTCAGCGGCACTGGCGACATGTTCGCCGCGCTGTTGCTTGTTCGCCTTCGAGAAGCAGTAAATGCCATGGAAGGTCTAATGCAAAAGGCCGCCTGGGTCAGTGATGATGATGTAGAGGCTACCGAGCTTCCTCTTGCAAAAGCGACGGAGAAGGTGCTAGCGAGCATGCATGAGGTGTTGAAGAAGACGAAGGAAAAGAGGGACGAGGAGTGGAATAAGTTCCAGAACAGGGTAACAGGACTCGGGGAGGATGATGAGCAAACAATTAGAGTGGTGAAGGCTAAAGCGGCGGAGGTTAGGCTTGTGAGGAATTTGGGTTGCTTGAAGCATCCTGATGTTAGATTCAGGGCCGAGAAGGTATAGATGTCCAAAGAATAGAAGGACCGGTTGCATGGCTTACAACAGAAGGATCGGTTGCATTACATTAGAGCATACAATACCCCTAGCACACTCCTGATCAACACAGATCCAGGACAGCAAATCCAATTGTTAACCCTCATCTATTTTTCATAACCATAACTCCATTAACACATTTCTCATCTTGCGTTCTACTGGCAACGAAGTTTATACCTTCTCCGCAGACCTAGCCCGTACTACCAAACCCTCCTGCCCCTCTAACGCTCTCCTCTAGCTTCTCTACTTCGACAACCTCCGGTGTATAAATCCTCTCCAGCACCAATTGCGCAACACGATCCCCCTCCTTAACCTCAAAATCCTTCTCACTATGATTAAACAGCAGAACCTTTACCTGGCCCCTGTAATCCGCATCGATAACCCCGGCGCCGGTATCGATCATGTGTTTGGATGCCAGGCCAGACCTTGGTGCTATACGGCCGTCTATTCGTCGGCTGTTAGTATAATAAACTTTTGATTTTATTTTGTTTTAAACATGCAATTGGAGCCGAATTGGGTTGAGGATGGGTTGGAGGGAAGAAGACATACATGTCCCAGCTGGAACAGCCATGCTGATATCTGTATCAACGAGCACCTTTCCTCGTGCTGGTACTACGGTATCCTTAGCCGCATATATGTCATACCCAGCGGCGAAAGCGCTCCCACGTGTAGGTAGGCGCGCCTTGTCTGAGAGTTTCTGGATGAGGAGCGCGGGCTGGGCGTCGACCTTCGTCACCTCTGGTGTTGGGTTGGCTGATGTTGATGCCATTTTTGATGGTGCTGTGGGGGATGCTGGGTTGGGTTTGAGACGTTTGGGGAGTGGTGAGGCTGGTGGGGAGGTTGCGGACATGGTGTTGTGGAATTGAAACTGCGAGTAGAGGGGTTGGCGGTGTATAGTAGACGCGAAGGGAACGCGGTTAAGTTGCGGTGGAGGACGCGCTCCCACAGGTGTGGATGAAGATGGGTTTAGGTTGATATAGTGGTTTTACTTTAGCATTTTAGCGGTAATGGCATCGTTTACTAGAATTAAGGTGTGCATAGATTAAGTGAGACAACCTCCTCCGCGCTCAGCTTGTATCACGTCTATGGACAAAGACCCTGCTGCTTGAGATGTAGTATGTCGCTGGCTGAAGAGATTAATATGTAGCGTATGGTAGAGCACTTCATAAACTGTCTAGGCCTGTTTGATACAACTTCAACGCAATCACTATATGCAAGCAAGAAGATCACTAGTAGTTGATAAAGTAAAGTCCATTACGCAAGTTTTAAATACCCGAAAGAAATTCTAAAAGATACAATAAAAGTCCTACAACAATCGTTACGTCATCCAAAGAGTCGCTCGCTTTCGAAGTAAGAGACAACGCCATGGTTTCCATGCAGAATCACCAACTAAACCCAAACCCAAGGATATCAACCTGAAAAACCCCCGAAAGCTATCTAAACAACGCTACCATCACGCTCCCCATAATCTGCGGGCATACTGCTCTGCATGCTAATCCTGGAGCTATTCTGATGTGCCATATCCTCAGGGCTAAACACCCTGACCGATTTCTTCGCCTTGGCAACCAGTACCTGTGCAGGACAGACCACGATCTCCTCGTCGCCATCGCCCCGATCATCGCCCTTCTTGACCACCAGCGGGAAGAGAACAATTCTCACCACGGCTTTCTGGTCTTCCAACTCCTCGTTGGACGTCGTGTCCCCGCTGCGTTCATTCATCAGCGCGGCATTGAAGGAAACCTTACTGGCGAGATCGCCGTTCGCATCATATTCTGGCTGCAGGGGCGGGAGCATCATATACTCCGCACGTTGAGTTCGCATCTCTATCGAGAGATCCACGGCTGCTTTCATCACCCTCTGTAATTGCTCCTCTATTTGATCTTCTAGATGACTGGGCGGTGGTAGAATCTCACTCAATGTCTCCAATATAGCGTGGACAACGGCTTGCGTGTCTTGTCCTCGTTGTTGGATGAACGCTTCTCTTTTCGATAGAAGTGTGAGAGTGGTGGCACGCCAGTGGTGGACTGCTGCTGGCGGTCCAACTTCGGAAAGCAATTTCTCCAAGGACTTGAGCTTCTGCCGCTGTTCTCGGTCCATGCCGAATAAATAGCGTGTGAAGATAAATTCCCACACCATGGTCATTGTCATCGACATAAACACATCTCGGCGCTTGATCCTATCCGCAAGATAGTTATCCACATCCGAACCATCCAATATGGCATTGTCAAGTCGATCAATTGTCTTATCATTGTTGATCTCACTCGTGAGTCTACAGGCTCTCATATCAGAAAACTTCGAGAAGCGCAACACCCATTGCTGCACATGGTGGCAGAGTTGTTGGCAGGCGTTGTCAAAGTAGTCTTCATCTCGGATGGTAAGGAAGTCAACGTCATTCGTCTTCGACAATAGGATTTGCCTCTGCATTTCTCGAATTTTCCCCTTCGCTGACTCCAATCCCGCCCGCAACTGTGCAATCTCTTCGTCCTTGTCCTGCACAGCAGCTTGCACCTGAGCCATCACAATTCCGTCCATACCTGTAGATAGGTTATGGTGCGCATCGCGAACTTCCTGTAGCTCGCGCGCCGATTGCGCGTGTTGCGATTCGAGCATGCCATATCGCTCATTTTGCTGATTTCCAAGAGTAACATTCGCGCTCTTCAGGCCGTCGTTAACCTCTGTAAGTTTGGTAACTTCGTTTTGTAGCCAATCGAGCGTTCGTTTCAGGCTGTCGATTTCTGCATCTTTTTCCACCAACGAGGAAGAGGTATGATGCGTTGATTGCAATGTCCGTTCAGCTTGAGCTTTGGCTTCCTCGAGCATGCGATTCTCAGCAGCTAATTGTTCGACTTTGGATTCGAGGTCGAGGACTTGCATGCTTTGACGGCGGCGCATGCTGTGGGGTCGAGTCGGAGAGCGTGGTGAGCCCATGCGGCCTTCACCGAAGCCGTCCTATTCCACTTGTTAGAGTTCCACTTTATCAATCAATTGTGGTAGGGCTTATATCACTTACATAGACATCTGCCATGTCTTTGGTCCGGACCCGGCCCTCGTTTGCTGTTGGGTTTGTGGTTGCTGTTATGCTCGGGTTGGAAGCGCTCACCGCGGAGGTGGCGGCGGCAAGCTCAGCTTCTTTAGCGATGTCCACGTGACTCCGTTGGCTGAGAGACCTCAAGTCGCCGGAGATTTTCCGATCGCTTCGGCGAAGTGGAGGAGTACCAGAACGACTGCCCGTTACACTGTCTGGGCGAAGTTTGGGATCCGGCGTCCGCAGTCGATTGATGTTAGGAGAAAACGATCTCTGGCTTTGGCCACTTGATGGCCGCTTTTCTTGACTTAGCTGACGGGCAGCTGCAAATCCCAAAGCAGCTGCTCCAGCAAGAGCTGCAGCGCCCGCAATATTATTGTCACTGAACGCAGCGGGTCGCTCAGCCTTGGGTGTTTGGGAGCGATTAAGCTCGCCATACTTCTCGTCCTTGGGTTGTGTGGGTTCTTGGATGCTTGGGGACTGGATCCGTTGCACGCGTTTCTTTACGCTGGTGTCTTCTCTTGGTTTTGCAGCTTGGTAGACTTCTGGGGATTCAAACCGCTGTAGACGTTGTTTAAATAGGCTTTCTTGAGTCGGTTTTGATGAACTATGGCTACTGTCATTTCGAGGAACCTCTGTAATTCTGTCGCTCTTCTCTCGCTGTGGTGGAGAGATACCTCGGCTTGTGACCTTGGTACCATGATGTGAGCTTGGCCCATCCTCGGCTGACCGATGGATGGTTTGAGATCGATGGAGATCTATATGCTTCTCTTCCTTTGCTCGTTGAGACGGCAAGGTATCGCGACTTAAAGTCCTTTCCCCATCATGCTTATGTGATTTGTCTCCAGTTGGCTTGTGTATTGCCGAAGTTCGATGGAGGTCGGGTTGCTTTTCATGCTTAACTTGCTGAGAAGGGAGAAGATCTAGGGATGATATATCTTCGTGGTGTTGCTTGACTGGTCTCGCTTCGTGCGACCTCTCGACACGGAAAAAATCAGCGACATCATCACCTCTGGGCCTGGACAATTCGCGCCTCTCCCGTTCAGCACTCTCATGGCGAGACTGCTTAGCTGGGGCGCCGGCCGTTGCCCTGTGGAGCTTATGGAGGTTAACCGTCTCTCGTTCTTCATCGACAGAAGGCCAAGAGAGGCTGGCAATGGCAGCATCTGCGGCAGAGATATGTGCGGGTGCTCCATCAGATGGCGAAGCGCCACGTAGATGCACACCACTGTCACGAACATGCTCATGGTAATTTGTAAAAGCTCCTTGGTCTGGAATTGGCGACTCTGTTACAAATGCACTATCTCGGTTGGGCCCATATGCATCATGAGAATGCGTTACGCGATAATCATCTACTTCGATTTCGGTTGGATTCTCTTCGGCAACAACTGGCAAATCAGAAAATCCGGTGCGGCCAAATTTACTGTTTCCAAATAGATTGCGGCTAACAGGAGTGTCTTCAAACACAATACCACCCTCGGGGCTATCTTGATTATCAAAGCTTGATGGAGAGGAGATACGTTGATTGTTGACTGGTGGGGCTCCCACGATGGGCGAAGCCTCGGTGATATATGCCTCTGGATAACTGACACTTGGAAGGCCGGTTATTATAGCATGACTGCTCATTTGATCAAGCTCCGCTGTGTGATGTGGCATGATTGCCCTTGCTTCTGGCGCCGGAGAGGTTCTGGCGAGTTGTTCTTCCTGAGCATGCATTGTAGATTTTATGCTCCTGGTTGGCTCATGTGGTATAATTGCTGGTGTATCGGATTTATTATCCTCATCAGGAGCGGACCAGAAGCCATCGCCACCACTATCATCCTGGGTATCCTTAGCTTCTTCGAACTCTTTTGGATCGGCGCCTTCCCAGAGAGCCGGATCATCGAAAATATCATCCTTCGGAGCTCTGCGATCAATGCTCATTTTACGCTTTTCTTTCTTTGATAGTTTTCTAGTCGGGGTGGGTCGCTCTGGCTCCTCGACTGGCTCGATAGCCCTTGAACCACTGCCTGTTGGGTCCTTTGATATGGTTGGCGTGTCATTGGAACTGTTGAGGAGTGCTGCGCCTGCAAGAATCGCACCTGTCGTTGCTAGAGAGGGAATGATACTATCCTTTGCAGGCGTCGTCGAAGGGGACCTTCCCCCGATCGGAGCGCGGGAAGAATCCCCAGACTCTAACAGGGCAGAGTTCCGTTTCGCACCTTTCTTGCCCTTTTTATTTGGCCTGACGAAATCATCCACGGGCACGGCTTCGGTTGTGCTTGCAATACGTGATAGAGATCCATCCTTGGCAATGTCTTCTATGACTGGCAACTTCCTTTCCACCTCCGCTTCTTCCACCTCATATGCCCAAGATGTCAAAGGCTCTTTTGCCAATTCGGTCTCGCCAGTCGCGGTTAGGTCAACCGTTGCTTGTCGCTTCCTCTTGTCTTTTTTCGACGACTTCCTTGAAATGCCGCTAGCGAATGGTTCGGCGTCGTCGTCCCTCGCTGCTTCAACGATTAGATCCGTCACCTTGCTTTCATATGCTAGGGGTTTGTCCGTAGTTAGGGTGCCCTGTTCCTCTCCACCACCATTGTCTGCTACTTCACGCTCGGGGGCAATTGATGTCTCAACTTCGGTACTGTCCAGTGGTGCGGCTAAGTTGCTAGCTGCCGAAGTCTCTTCCACCAGGTCCACAGAACCTGTTCGGGACGCTCGTTTGTCCTTTTTCTTGTCCTTTTTGGATTTCTTCGCGACGAACCCGAAGCCATCGTTTGCAGCTTCTTGACTATTTTCTTCCTCATTTTCAGGCGAAGCTTCGGATATGACAGGTGGAAGCTGAGCGTGCTCAGTAGAGAGTGACTGCGAGAACGACTCCTCGGAAACTCCTATTTCGGTCTTTTGGAGTTCAGATGCACTAGCTAGCGCTTCTACCTCAGCTGGGGCGGATAAGCCGGACTTCCTATTCTTCTTGTCCTTTTTTGCCTTTTTCAACGAGATAGGAGCCCATTCGCCCTCTGGATCCCGAGAGATATCTTGCGGGATGATTGTTGGGGCCTGTTCCTCGGCTACGGTAGGCTCAACGGTATCCTGGCTGCGAAGAGTGCCAGACAGCTGCTCCGAAATTGAGGAATCTTCACCATTAGCTTTACTTTTGTCTTTATCGCCTTCCATAGAATTGCTAATAAAGCTAGCTTTGAGATCATCTACCGCAATTTCTGTCCCGGGTTCAAGAGTTGAGGGAACGGCTGAAGGTTCTTCGACGGGTGTAGTTTTCTCAAGAACGTCGTCAGCGGGGGTTGGAAATCCAGATTTACTGTTCTTTTTATCCTTCTTGCCCTTCTTGGATTTCTTTGTTGAATATGAAGCCCACTCATCTACCGGATCTTCGGTTTCTCCCTTTGCAGTGTAGGGCTCTTCTAGCTGGGAAGGTTCTTCGTCGAGAATGTCTCTGGAACCAGGTGTATTAGATGACTCCTCGAGAGGCTTGTCGGCGATACCCGTGGCAATGGTGTCTTTCGGCTCGGGCGGCGTTTCAACTAGCTGTTCTGCCGTAGGTGACGTGGATGCTTCCTTTTCAGGAGAAGGCCCGCCAAACTCTACGTTATGCTCGTCGCCAAGACCAGGTTTGTCTACCACCTCTTCGATTGGAGTAGATATTCCAGATTTGCGCTTTTTCTTATCTTTCTTCGACTTTTTAGTTGACGTTGATGGCCATTCATTTTCCATTGGCTCTTGAGCCGGCTCCTCGGCGGCATAATCTTTTGGCTCCGAAGGTTCAATGATAGCATCTTGCGAAGTAATGGTAGGGGCACCTTTCTCTATCTCCTCTTCCAAAGGCGTTGTCTCTTCCGATATCTCTATTGGTGTTGAAAGACCCGACTTGCGCTTCTTCTTGTCTTTCTTCGATTTCTTCGAAGGGATCGCGGCCCAGTCATCATCTCCGGCACTTTGCGGTGGTTGTTCTGTAATAGGAGCAACTGACGGGTCAATTATGGGAGGGATTTCAAGAGTCCGCTCCGTAGCAATAGCGGCAGGTGATTCCTCAAGTTTTATTGACACTTCAGGAGCTTGAACCGGTTCGCTCTCAATTGGGGTAGCAGCGCCTGATTTACGCTTGCTATCCCTTTTAGACTTCTTTACCGGGAACGCCCATTCGTCATCTCTTATTGCTTTGACCGGCTCCTGAGTATCAGCAGTAAGTGAATCCTTAATTTGGATCGGTTCTTCAACAAGATCGGCTGTGATGATGGTAGGAGATAGCTCTGGAGCATTGATAGAGTCTTCCGATGTTTTGGTTTCTTCTGAAACGCTTTCCATTGGCGTTGACACACCGGATTTACGCTTCTTCTTGTCCTTTTTAGACTTCTTGCTGGGGACCGCCCATTCGTCGTCTCCAGGTTCTTTGACCGGCTCCTGAGTATCAGTAGTAAATGGATCGTCAATCTGGATAGGTTCCTCAACAAGATCGGTTGCGGTAATAGGAGTAGATCGCTCCGTAGCGTTGACAGAATATTGCAAAGCTTTGGTTGCTTCTGGGATGCTTTCAGTTGCCGTCGACAGACCAGAATTCCGCTTTTTCTTAGACTTCTTCATGGGGACCGCCCATTCATCATCTACCGTGTCTTTAACCGGCTCCGGGGTATCTGCAGGGGTTGGGTTCTCAATCTGAATATGTTCTTCAACAATATCTTTGGTGATAGTTGCAGTGGATGGCTCTCCAGCGTTGACGGGCTCTTCAAAGGCTTTGGCTTCTTCTGGAATGTTTTCAATTGGCGTGGAGACTCCGGATTTGCGTTTTTTCTTGTCTTTCTTGGATACTTTGGAAGAGAAGCCCCACTCATCCGCTACTGGCTCTTGAGTTGTCTCTTGGGTTGTAGGAGGAATAGATGCATCCTGGGTTGTGGATAGTTCTTCGATATCTTCTGGGACAGTGGCGGAACCTGGTGCGTCCACACTGACAGGTTCTTCGGTAGGTGCATCCGTCTCGGGTATGCTCTCAATTACAGATGCGCGCTTCTTCTTATCTTTCTTGGATTTCTTAGAAGGGAGGGAAGCCCAGTTATCTTGCATAAGAGTCTCGGCGTGCTCTTCTAGAATAGCGGCGGAATTTGATGCCTCCGCGTCAACCGGTTCTTCCGCAGGTGCGTCTGTCTCGGGCATGCTTTCAATTACAGACGCGTGCTTCTTCTTATCTTTCTTGGACTTCTTAGAAGGGAGGGAAGCCCAGTCATCTTGCACAGGCGCCTCGGCGGTGTCCTCTGGAATAGCGGCGGAGTTTGATGGCTCCACGCAAACCGCTTCCTCGGGAGGTGCACTCTGCCTAGGAATGTTTTCGATTGGGGTAGAGGTACCAGATGTGCGCTTCTTCTTGTCTTTCTTAGATTTCTTGGAAGGAAGGAAAGCCCAATCATCTTGCGGAGGCTCGTCGGTGGTGTCTTTTGTAGTGTCGGGCGTCACATTATCTAGTTGCAAATCCCGGGCTTCCCCCCCGGGTGCGTCTTTCTCTAGGAGAACCTCCGGCTGTAGGCTTGGTTCGGTGGCATCCGGCGAAGTATCCAAAGATGTGGAGATTCCAGGTGGGTCCCCTGAACCGCTTGTCGTATCTTTTCGTTTCTTCTTGTCTTTTTTGGATTTCTTGGCCGTGAAAGCATCCCAAATTCCCGTTCCTTCAACATCTAATGCAGTAGCAGGCTCTCGGGAATCAACTACTGCGACGTCTCTTGGTACGCTCTCAACTAGCAACGAAGACTCGATGGCCCCATCCTTGCGTTCGTCAGGAGGGTCTACGAAAGTAGATACGTCTGAAGGTTGTCCCGAGTCAGGCTTGGAAGAACCTTTGCGTTTCTTCTTATCCTTCTTCGAAGGAAAGCTGTCGAAGGCATTGTCCGGAGCTTCAGCAGATGTTTGAGGGAAAATCGTCTCTTCATCAGCAATTGGATCGCGGTTGATAATGTCATGAGCAGTGGGGTTCTCCATGGCAAGCGTTGGTTCTGGTAGATCTCGCTGAGCCTCCTCGTTATCACCCTGCCCAGGTTGGATAATACTTGGCTTCTCAAGATCCTCTGCATTTTCGTCGGGTGTCCAGGCTTCTTGCATGCTCTGCTGCTTTTTCTTATCCTTTTTCGATTGCTTTTTCTTAGAAGTTTGAAATTCATGTCGAGACTCATTCGGTGGAGGAACGGTGGCGTCTATATCGGTATCGATATTTTGGTTGCCCGAGAAAAACTGCAAGTCTTGTCCTTCCATTGTCTCTTCCGGTAGACTATCGAACGTTGATGCGGGGAGTAAGCTCTGTCGCTTTTTCTTATCCTTCTTAGACTTCTTTGATGTCAGGGTAAAATCATCAGGAGCCTCGTTGGCAGCTTCCGTGGAAAGGATCGCAACTGGCGTATCGGAAGTCGAGAGATCGTTACTTGCAAGAGGTGGCGTGGTAGCACGCTCTTGCTGCAGTGGGGCGATCGGTGCGACATCCTCTTGAGTTGTAATACTTTGGCGCTTCTTCTTGTCCTTCTTCGACTTTTTAGATGGCAAAGTAAATTCATCATCGGCAGGAACAGATTCGGGCTCCTTAGGAGGAGTAGGAGAACCATCGCGAGAAATGGTAGGATCGAGCGAGTCGTCCATCTCATTGTCATTGCCAGCAAAAGAAATGTCCTCCATGACCATGGTGGCAGGAAGAAGGCTGCCTCGTTTCTTGCCCTTCTTGTCTTTTTTAGACTTCTTCGGGGAGAACTCAAAGTCATCAACAGGCTCGGCAGTGGCAGGTTCGTTAGACGGTTGGATAATGTTAGGCTCGGAGATGTCGACATCTCGAGTACCTTCCGCATCAGCATCTGGGATGCTCAAAGGTACAATTTCACCACCAGCGCTACGAAGGCTCTCGCGTTTTTTGCCCTTCTTGTCCTTTTTAGACTTCTTCGTAGTAAACTCGAAGTCATCCACGGGATCAGCAATCGCAGTTTCGCTGGCAGGTTGAGCAATGTCGGGCTGGGATATATCAACGTCTCGAGTAGCTTCCGCCTCAGTATCTTGGCTGCCAAAAGGTACTGCTTCATCACTAGCGCTACGAAGACTCTCACGTTTTTTGCCCTTCTTGTCCTTCTTAGACTTCTTCGTAGAGAATTCAAAGTCATCAACAGACTCGGGAGTCGCCGCGTCAGCAAAAGGCGGGCTAACTTCAGCTTGAGAAATATCAACGTCTCGAGTTACCTTGTCCGCCTCAGTATCTAGGATGCTCGAAGGTATAGCTTCGTCACTCGCGCTGTAAAGACTCTGACGCTTTTTGCTCTTCTTTTCTTTCTTTGATTTCTTGATGGAAGACTCAAAATAATCATTGGGCTCGGCGGTTTCAGAGGTAGGCTCGCCAATTAAAGGCGTGAGTTCTGTTTCTGGGAGAAATTCGGAGTCAAGTGTCGGCTCGTTAGCTTGTGCCCCTGGTTCGCTGGGCAGTTGTTGCTGAACATCAGGTTGGAGAGTATCGACATCTTGTGATTCCTCACTAGCTTTGGGAATAGGCTCTGAAGAGACGTCGTCATCAATTGGAGTAAGAACCGTATCGCGCTTCCTGCCCTTTTTGTCTTTCTTAGACTTTTTATCAGGAGCAAACTCATTATCTTGCTCGGTAGTGATGGCTACGCGTCCGAGATCCTCAGCAGTGGCTTCGTACCACTCGGGCTGTGGAGTATCATTGTTGACAGGCTCTTCAGCTCCCGTGGCGGGGTTTAGAGAAGGGAAACCATCATCAGTAGCAGTGAGAGCTAGGCTTTGGCGCTTTTTGCCCTTCTTGTCTTTCTTGGACTTCTTGGTACTAAAAGCAAATTCATTTTCCGGTTCCACAACAACAGGGGCAATTGCGCTCTCTTCAGCAGGCTCTGGCTGTGGCTGTGAGATATCGTCATTGAGGGGCTCCTGGGATTCTCCAGTTGGAGTCCCTGGAAAAGAATCATCATATGTGGAAGCACGATGTAACTTATCAGCCTTTTTGCCCTTTTTGTCCTTCTTGGACTTTTTAGAGCTAGAGCCAGATCCAAATTCTTCCTTCAGTTGTCGTGCTAGCTCAAGCTGATCTTCCTTATAGCCAGCCGCAAGACCATCTCGAGCCATCTCGCCATCGTTAGTCATTTGCTCCTGAAGCTCGGTTGGATACTCATTTGGTGGTTTGTCAGCGACTACTGATTGGGACGTGTCTCCAAAATAATCGTTACGCGGCTCCTCAGCTTGAGGCGTTTGGGAAGTGCTTCTACGCTTCTTGTCTTTCTTGGATTTCTTCCCAAATTCCGCCTGTAGTTGTCGTGCGAGAGACAGCTGGTCCTCTTGATACCCTGCAGCTAACCCATCGGCCTTTGTCGTACCCTCGGTCGTGTCCGGATTGGGCGTTTCGGCTGTAGCCTCAGCTCCCTTGGTAGCAGCATCTTCTGTATGCTGATCAGGGGAAGCATCATCCCAAGCCGCCGGCTCTGAGAACCCCTGTCGGCTCTTCTTGCCTTTCTTAGACTTCTTGTTTCCCTTTTCAAATTCGGCTTTGAGTTGACGAGCAAGTTCCAGCTGCTCCTCGGAGTAAGCGTTTTTGGGAGCGCCGCTTTCTGTCACGGGGCCTATAGAAAGGCTCCTAGCGCGAGGAAGCAAGTCGGTGGGCTCATCAACTGGACGTGACCTGGAGCTCTCAGGATCAGGTGTTGCAGGCAGACTTTGGCGCTTCTTCTTATCCTTCTTCGATTTCTTACTTCCGGAACCGAATTCCTCTTGCAGCTGTCTGGCAAGACTGAGCTGATCGTTATCATAACCAGCGGCAAGGCCATCAGGCTTCGTTGGGTCAATTGAGATTTGCTGCTCAGTTAATCGGGATTCATCAATGTCGAAAGGTTCTGTCGCATCAGACCAGTCACGAGTAAAATCCTTCGCTCGGTGACCTTTCTCCGACATCTGTGTAGCGAGAAGTGCAGCACCAGTAGCCACCGCAGCAGCAGAAAATACAGCTGTAGCTGAGGGCAGGTAGTCCTCTCCCTTCATGGAGGGTGGCGCAGTGGGGTCCGCCAATTCCCCAGGTGCTAGAGTGGCTTCAAGATCCCTCGTTTTAGCTGATCGCTTACCATCTATGGTGTCCGCTGGATTCCCCAAGTCAGGCTCTACATCCCAGGACTTTGATTTCTTCGACTTTTTCTTGTTCTTCTTCGAGCCGGGAGTAGCGAATGCCTCGAATTCTTCCTCTGCGACCTTATCAGGGACAATCGGATCGTCGGTCGCTGCTTCAGGCTCGGTGGGCTCGGTAATTGCTTCACTCGATCCCTCCATAGATGGCTTTGGGGCAAAAGACTCTTCAGGGGTAAAAGATTGTGATTTTTTGCCTTTCTTCTTGCCCTTCTTGGAACCCGGCATCGCAAACTCTTGGAAGTCTGCAACCTCTGTTGGGGCCGATGCTTCTGCAGCCTCCTCCTCAGGCTCCCACTTCATTGCCGCTTTGCCTTTCTTTTTCTTTGACTTCTTCGACTCTTGAACAGGCAGGCTTTCTAGAGCTGAAGATCCTTCAGGCAGATCTGGAACAAGCTCTTCCACAACGTTTGAGGGAGTCCCTTTCAGGAGTTGGTCATCCACATCCGGGGGGGCTTGTTCCGTTCCTTGAGGGAGTTCTTTGACGTCTGCTAGACTTTCATCTCCAGGCGCACCCTGAGGATGCTCTTCTACGGCATCTAAAAAGGTATCTTGGAAGCTATCTTCATGCGTTTCCTGATAGGTTTGGTCATGTGCATGTCCCACAGAAGCTTCTTGGCTGCCATCTGCCTGGAAATCTGCAGAAGACGGCTTCGAGATGTCCACTTCCTCCCACGGTTCAACTACCGCTACGGATTTGCGCTTATTTTTCTTTTTGCCTTTCTTGGGTTCAAAGCCGTCAAAGTCATCGGATGGGAAGATCTCTCGAGGGGTTGTTTTGCCAACTTCAAGTGGTGCGCCGCGGGAAACCATATCACTCGGCTTGTGCTCATTTGCCTTGGTATCTCGGGCCTCTGAAAGCTCAAACTCGGCTGGGGTGGCAGATGATTCCTCGACAGGTGGTTGGTCAGCGGAGGGGTTGGAGGCTTCCATACTTGGGCCGGACTCGGACTCGGCATTCTCTGGCTCCCAAACTGGAGCGGATTTGCCCTTCTTTTTGTCCTTCTTCTTCCCTTTCTTCGATTTCAAAGAAAATGCCTCCTCTTGAACATCTTCCTCTAATGCCGTAGGTATCAGTTCGGGATCTTCTACACTTTGATCTGGATATGGTTCTTGGGGTGGCTGTGGCTGTGGCGAGGAGTCGTCCATCTCGATGTCGAACGCTGGGGTGGCTTTAGCCTTGTTTTTGCCCTTTTTCTTGTCCTTCTTTGACTTGAAAACAAGTTCGTCTACGCTTTCGGCCTCGACGGGGGTTGATGTGTCTGTTACATCTTGGTTCATTTGTGGGCGAGACTGCCCAGGAACCTGTGGCATATCCTTCTCACTAGCGTCCCAGTCAACCTCCGATTTAGAAGATTTCTGATCTAAAGCTTCAGACTCGGTAGGCGCCTGTTCTGCTATGGCATCTCGGCTTAGCTCAGGTACAGCCTCCTCGACAACTTGTGATGTGTCCTCGTCAGGCTCTTGTTCCCAGGACATCTTAGATTTGCCTTTTTTGCCCTTTTTCTTGTCCTTTTTAGACGTAGAAAAGGACGGTTCATCAACGGCCTCGGGCTCGACAGATATTGGCACATCGACTGCCGTCTCTTGGGTAGGCTCGCACAGAAACTCTTCGGGCATTTTCGACACCCCCTGCTCAGGCTCTTGTTCCCAGATCATCTTGGATTTACCCTTTTTACCCTTTTTCTTGTCCTTTTTAGATGTACCAAAGGGAGTTTCTTCAATACCCTCGGGCTCGACAGATATTGGCGCTTCGATTGCTGTCTCTTGAGCAGGCTGGTGTAGTGACTCTTCGGGCAACTGCGACACAGTATCCTCTTCAGGTTCTGGTTCCCAGGAAATTTTTGATTTACCCTTCTTGTCCTTTTTCTTGCTTTTCTTGGACGGAGTCGTAAATTCCTCTGCGGTTGCTGAAATAGACTCCGGGATGGAACGATCGGCTTCTATGATTGAGTCTTCTATCTGATGTGATGGCTTCTCGTCCTCATCGAAGTCCAATGTTACTGCCTTATTTTTCTTCCTGTCCTTTTTCTTATCCTTCTTAGACTTAGGCAAAGAAAATTCATCATCTGGTTCGGCATCGGCGTGACTGATAGCTTCTCGAGGGGCTTCGCTGCTGGCCTCCGGTAGAGCAGTATCATCTAGTGTAGAGGACAAAGCAAGCGATTTGCGCTTCTTCTTATCCTTCTTCGACTTTTTCAGGACAAATTCATCAGTTGGCTCGGTTTCGGGTTGAGCCATTCCAGCATCAGTATCCCGCGCTAGCTCACGAGGCATATCTGATATGAGCTGCTCTCCGAGTTCTCTGCCGGTAATCTCCTGCTGAGGGCCTTCATCGTATGATGATCCAGAAAGGGCCCGAAGAGCCCGTTCCCTGTCTTGCTTTAAGCTTTCCGTGGGCAGTTCGATTTCCCGCTCGAGGGTATCATTAGCCTCTGGCTCTTGTATACTGTGCAGGGTGTCACTATCGGTACGAGGTGGCTTTCGGCGGCTAGGAGAATCCACATCATGCTGCTCGGGCCCAACACCATCATAATTTCGTGACATCGGTGATGACCTAAGTAAATAAGAACTTCTATCTTTCGACATTGGGTCGGCCGGGGCGGGCTGCTGTTGTAGTAGCGGTAGTTCCTGTGGGTCGGCTTCATCGGACTTGTGAGATGAAGCTAAGTAACCAATTGCAGACGCCAGTGCCACTCCAGCAATTGCTTGAGAGGAAATATCACTAGATGTTCCAGTTTTTCGATCCAGGATGGGCGACGATGGTCGACTTGGTGAATGGGCAGGAAGACTCAAAGCATCAGCATATTCGGACTCGTTAGAGGATAGGTCACGTTGCTCAAAGTCGTTGAATGGAACATTAGCTTTTGGAGTAGACTGCTGGGAGTCGAGTAGCCCAGCGGACACTTTAGAAGAAGCAAGTTCAGTGTCGATAAATAAAGGCTCACTCGGACGGTCTACCCAGTCGGGGCGAGACTGATCGAAGTCGCGTGACTGCGAAAGATCATCAAAGTCAAGCTGCGAGGAGCTCCGCGATGTTGTTTTGCTTGGAGGCAAAGCTGGTAGAGGATCCTCAGGTTCGTTCTCCTCAGTTAATCCGCGTCGACTGCTTTCCGGAAGCCATAGCGGCCGATACTCTTTTCCATTCTCCCAGGATGTCGGCCTAGACCTATTGCTTTTGGGGAACATAAGTGAGTCCGGGGTTGCGGGAGATTGCATTGGAGAGGACCGCACCAGACCAGGCGATGAAGGCGTAGATCTGTTCCCCATGATAAATTTCAACGGCACTGCACTTTGACTTGGAGATTTCATAGGGGTCTCCTGCAAATTTTTACGGAAAGTACTTCTTGTTCTCTCCTTAGCTAATCGCTCGGCTTCTGGAGTGTCTGGACGACTCTCAGGCAGATGCGGCAAGTCGTCAAGTGGCTCAGTATCTGGAGTCACTGGGTCACTTGGGGGTAATGGGAGTAGATCGCCATATTGAGGATCGATAGACGGTCTAAAATCCCGTTCAGCGATCTCAGGATCGAATATCTCGTCTCTTGCTGACGAGATATCATTTCTCTCGGAATGATCTTGCAACAGAGCCTCATCATAGGCTCTGGCGGCTTTTGATTGTCGGTGGTGCTGAGCGGCAATAGCCACAGCAGCAGCACCGGCAATGCCGACACCCGCGCCCAGGGTGCCGGCATTACCTAAAAAAGAATCCTTCTTCGAAGATGCACTTCCTGTTCTGGATCGAGATTTTTTCCTTTCCGTGTCACTACGTCCTCCGTCGTCTTGGTCATCATCATACCGGCGCGAATGGTGGCCACTTGATACCGAACGCGAGAGATCACTCGTAGACTCGGCACCCATATCGCCATAGAAACCTGAAGAATCGGGAAGAGAGCTTCTTTTCGACTTCTTGCTCTTCTTTTTCACGTCCTCGTAGTCGTCCTTTGATCCTTTGGGACTCTCATCTCCCGCACCTGATTCAGACTTGGAACCGAACATGCCAAAGAATCCGCTGCTTTTCTTTTCCTTGTCTTTCTTCTTGCTCCTCTTTGAGGATTCATCCCAAGCAGGAGCCGAAGCAACCGAAACAACAGACCTTGTGTCGTCAAAATCATCTTTAGTGCCGCTTCTTGATTTTTTCTTTGACTTCCGAGGTTCATCATATCGTGATGTGGCTTCCGAAACTACCGACCGAGAGTCATCGCGATCATACGTATCAAAAACAGCACTGTCTCGTGATGAAGACTTCCTCGACTTCCTTGAATCATCAAATTCCCTATCCTGGCTTGTTTCAGAAGGGGTGCTTGGTGGAAGAGATACCTCGGTTGGGTCATGCTTGAAGGATCTTGCTATTTCAGACGAGATCTCAGGGCCGGCAGAGCGAGCAGGGGAGTCGTAACGGTCGCTATCGCGCTTTGACTTTTTTTTTGATTTCTTAGGCTCATTCCATTCATCATCGTCGTTCTGCACATCATCAAAAGCGTCAATTGGAACAGAAATTCTTCGCTCATCACGCGATTCACTGGGAGAAGGGAATTCTGCGTCGTCGTCAAAGGTCGCTGAGCCTTTCTTGGATTTCTTTTTTGACTTCTTGGGGGTTTGGATGTAGCTTTCGGGTTCTTCAACAAATTCGCGACTAATGGACGGTTCCGCGAGTGGTGTAATATCCTCAGCCTGAATGCTTTGCCTTTTCGCCTCCTTATCACGCTTCTTCTGCTCTTTCTTACTCAATTTAGGAGCATCGAAGTAGGACTCGGGCTCAGGCTCTTCGAAAATTGGAGTAGGATCGGAGGGGGCTACATCTATGCTTTGTCTTTTCGCGATCTTATCCCATTTCTTTTGCTCTTTCTTGCTAAGCTTGGTGGGAGCCTTGTCATGGTCGGGCGACATGCTGCGCCAATCTCGAGGGGTATCATCTGCATCCCCCATGGCATAGCCTGGCGAGGATTCCTCGGCACCAGACAAGGTTGGCGGTATCTTACTCAGGTCGGAGACGGTTTCCGCAAATGGGGTTCGGTAAGCCCCAGATTCATTCGTACCAGGCGGAGAATCTCGTCTACGGAAGGACGGGTCATCGATGACAATGTTGGGATCGAAGCCTGTGTCTTGTAGCCCTGCAGCGACTGTAGCTGTAAAGTCCAAGTCATCATCAAAAGCTCCAGGAACACGGGAGAGCTGGGCACTAGATATTTCTGAATCTGGAGAGGGCGGACTCCGTCGCCTTCGGCCTTTCGTTTGTGGACTCTCCGGCTCAACAACTACGCCACGGTATTCGTAAGGGTCGACCTGGCTTTTCTCTCTCTCATCATCCTTGGGTTTTTTAGATGTATCGCTAGAGCTTGCTGCTGCGGCAGCTACGCCGCCCCCAATAACACCAGCCGCAATCGCACCCCATCCCTTGCTCTTTGCAGTGCCAGATGGCTTGGACTGTGGTTTGATCTCGGGAGAAATATCACGAGACCGAATTCCTGACGCATATTCTTCTCTATAATCTGAAGGACTTTCTACGTCAAAATGCTTGGTCTCATTTTCTCCCCAGGTAACTGCTTTAGAGACGGTCGAGCTTGTTGGTGATGAAATCACGTTGCCCCTTGGCCCTATAACGACATCCGATGCAGATGAGCGGGGTTTCTCGTCCCATTCTTGAGACTTAGGCTCTGAGCGGGCGGTTTCTGAGTGATCTGACTCCGAGTGTGCATATTCTGAGCGAGTGGCCTGCTGCTCTGGTCGAGGGGATGGTACTGGCGTGGGATGGACGAGGTTCAAATATGGACGAGGCATCGAGGCATCAGCATCTCGTTTTAAGTATCCAGCCCCGGGATCTGAACGATCTAAGCTGATGGAAGGAAGGCTAAATGTCCGCAATTGCCGGGGATCCTCCAGGATATAGTCTGGGTGGAAGTCTGCATTAGGAGCATCGTAAGGTCCCTTCTCTTTGGGATGCTCCATTTCAGGTGGCGTAACGATCCGCGGTGTTTCCTCTTCTTCGGTTTGGTCGTACTTTGATACAATCGAGGGATCGGGAGAAGCAGAGCGTGAGCGGATAACTTGCGATGCAATCTTCCGGGCCATAACAATTTCACGGTAAGCTCTATCGGCTTCTTCCTGGACATGATCGCGCTCTTTTGCAGGTTCTCTGCCGCGTGGCTTGTAATCGGGATCGTCATGATCGTAATCTGAGCTCTGCCAACTACGTCGCTCATCCCTTCTTTTATCAGATCTTGACTCACGATAACTCTCAGCAGCGACAACTGCAGTTGCCGCTGCGATCGCAGCACCAGCAATCGGGGCTGTAGAGTGCTCGGTCTCCTTGTAAATGGCTTCTGCCTCATGTAAACCGTGATCCCGCCTCTCATCCCGTTCAGAGTAGTCTTTTTGGTAATCAGACGCATAAGTCGATGGCCGTTCCTTAATTGAGAAACCTGTTTTGCGGGTGAAGTCTGGCTCTCGTTCCACGGTCACAACGGTAGGTACTGAAGCGATTCGGTGGTGTCCATGGGAGTGGTCCCCAGCTTCTGCTCGATCGCCAGCCTGATATACGCGGTCTACTGACGATGTAGATGCTACAGCCTCGTTCTTAGGCCTCCTATCGTCCTGCCGGGCTTCTGAACGAGGAGCCACGTCTGAACGGTCATCACGATGATCGTCCCGGCGCCCTTCGCGGCGCTTCTCACGTCTCTCATCACGATCGCCATCACGTACCTCATCACGTCGTTTCTCACGCTTCTTCTCTCTACGCTGCTCGTCAGAATAGCGAGACTCGTCCGTCTTCCGCTCCTTGTCGCGGTGCTTCTCTTTACGGTCGTCTCGGGTCGGGCTATCGTGCTTGTCCCGCCGGCGCTCATGCTTAGATCCTTTCCTATCGCTGTCTCGACGCTTCACCCGACCTTCATCACGGTCTTCATCTCGGCGGCTGTCTTTTCGGTCATCCTTGCGGTCTAAAGCTATTGCTGCAGCCCCAATGGCGGCAGCACCTACAGCGCCTACTAGAGCACCCTGACCAACGGAATGGGTTCGGCTTGACGATGAAGGGGCCATCCTCGGCTCAGATGGCGCAGGATATGTAGGCTCATATACATTCTGGGAAACAGGCGTATAAGGCTGAGGGTGCTGCAGTGGAACAGGGTCCGGTCTGGCCGTTATATAAGATTCCGATCCAGAAACAACGGAACTCCTTGCAGCTTCAAACCTTGACGGATCTGGACCTTGAACTGGATAGACCCGTTGTAGTGGTGCCTGTGAACCACTGAAGCTTTCATTTGGCCCTGGCACGTATGGCTGCTCGTGTGGGCCAAAATTGCCTGATGAACTCCACGGAGATATCTCTTCAAATCCCACAGGTCGGTCCACAAACCCGTGAAGAGAATTATGAGGGCCAAAAAGTCGAGGATCGACCACGGTATTCTTCCTCGATAGCGGGCGCTGTCGCTTCTTGCCCCAGAATCCCCAACCGCCATTGGTCTCACCGCCAAACGCCAACCTTGAATCAACACTGCCATCAGACTCATTATCCGACGCAGACTCCCAACCATCCTCGTCAACTGTATCCGAACCGTGCGATATTTTGGAGGGTGCAAGGCCGCGACTTCCTCCGGGGAGTGGGTGGCCACTCGGGCTCACTCCAACCACATCTGACCGCTTTCCATTCCTCGCGTTTTTCAAATCTAATTTGTTTTGATCTCGCGCAAGCTTTGCGAGACCTGCACCAACAGCTAGAATTTCGGCTTCTGTATTACCACGGCGTTCTGGCCCACTTGGTCGATCCCTATCACTCGCACGATATTTCCCCCCTTCCCTCTCTGAATATCTTTCCCTGTCGATCTCCTTGCCCGTCCTAGACCTAACGCGCCTGAGTTTGGGTCGCTTTATATAACCTGTGCCATAAGCAAGATCACTGTTTACCGAGGACGAAGAGGAGTTATTAAGTTTGAATAGTCGGTTGCTCCTCCGTCTCCTTAACTTCCGTCGCTCGGAAGGGGCCGTGAAGAATGAGCGTATACCGGATCGGGTCGAGGGATATGTACGCGATATATCAACAAGTTCCATGGAGGATCTTGAGCTCGATGAGGAGGAAAGGTACTCGGTAGGAGCTGGGCGCATTCGTCGCGCTTCATCGTGTTGATGATGTTCAGCATGTCGCGGTTCGTTTCTCGATTCTCTTGGGCGCCTAGGGCTTCGCCCACGCCTGTCTGCCATCATTATGGCTCCTTCGTGCTGTTGTCCAGCTTGCAACTTGCATTTGTTTATTTGTTGACTATGGGGCGGTTCGGCACGAGGGAGCGGGCGGGTGTGAGCGAGACGGGAACGAGAGGGAGCTTGTTTGGGGCCGAATGTAATTGTTCGTCAACACTGGAAAGCTTGTGGCTGGGGGTGGGGTCCACGCTTGGCAAACAAATCTTTCCTAGTGTCGTCAGCTGAAGCTTACTCCCTACGAAGTACTTTGTAAGTAGGTAGGTATCAATTTTCGTGTTGCGATCACTTTTGCTAAAAAGCGCTTTAAATATTATGGATGGTTAGGTTTTGCAATGGTGCTTTTATATTGATTCGTTGACTGTACCGTGCTTAGTAGTCGGTGACCAGCTTCAAGTGATTTGCGCCAGGATGGTAACCTTACCACGTGATGCGACACCATTTGGTTGGACACGATAATAGATTGAGGTTTCTTGTATGCACGATGAAAATTGAGCTGTGGTGGGGAATTAATCAATTTCTATATTATTTTGCGTCAAATTACTTGTTGTGGGAAGACAGTCCTCAGTTTGATCTTGAGAGGATACAAAAATATATTAAACCCATCACTGCATTACTAGGCCAGTGTCATGGACGAAGTAAACCTAGAAAATGATATCCAAAAGCTTCCTTGATATTACATTATCCCTCTCAAACAAAAATAGAATCACGACAGACTCCACTCTGCTTGTCCTCCCAAAGCCCCCCACTCAATATTGATTCTCCCCATAATTCACCCTAGAATGAACTCCTTCCATTGCTTGCCTTCGTCCTGGCAAGAATTCTCAAAGGCCTCCTTAAATACTTTCCCTAACCCCACCCTTTTTGAAATACCAGATTTCGTCTCAATCAGAAGGACATAGTAGAGGTCCCAGGATGACTCTTTCCGCGTTACGGGGATATAATGCGACCAAGCATTATACTCGCTGTCGCTAAATTTCTTTGCATCAGATATTGCTATAAACTCCAGCGGAACGTTCAAGTCTCTATTGGGGTCTTGTTTGTCGAGTTTTACCCAAAACTTGTTTAAGAGGATTGTACCGCACCAATCTTCCTTATAGTCGAGGATGCTATACCGGCGGAAATCTCGGGCATCACCCGCGGAGAGAGGGTCCTCTTGAATTCGGAAGAAAGCCGACCACGTCTTGAATTGAAGATATGGCATGTATCTTTCGGTACTGCTATTTCGTGCATCCGTATTTAAATCGAGTTCCCCAGTAATATCAACACCATATGGACATTCATCAAGAATTAGTTCGAATATTCCCGACTTGTTTATACGATTTTCTCTCTCAGACCTTTCCACATACCGGCCATATTTATCGTGGGTTTGAGAATCGACGTCATGGGGAATATGGTATCCCTTCCAGGTCGATTCTTCATGGGTAGGCTTGGTCTTGGATTTCCCATCCCACACAAGCCTCAATTTCCCGTTTCCATCGCGGATATACCAGGTAATCCAGGTGTGCCTCATTAGCCAAGCGTGAAGATTATCTTCACATCCAGCTAACATTTGGTCTTTGTATTCCATGACCTGGGTAGGGGTGTTCTTCCACCCGCACCATGACCAGCTTGGGAACTCCTCTCCTCCCTCACTTGGGCGAGCAAAGGCGGCGTCACGGGGCTCCCATAAGAGGGCCCAGTCAAAATGAGAGGATGGCAGGCCGTACACTAAGCTCCCCCCCAGTGCATTGCAGATGAGATTCCCCATCCCCGTGAATGCGGCAAGAATATCCTTCGGTTGTGTTAATCGGCGAGCCATATATAGCTCTAGAGCTTGTTTATAAACCGAAAGAGGACGGCTTGGGAGCTCTTGGAGCATGAGCAGCGGAGAGTCTTTGAATTCGATAGACCACCCGGCCGATTCATCTTCACTAATGATATCAGGGGATCTTGCGGTACAACGGCACTGGAAGAACATACGGCCGGCGGTAAAGATGAGGTTGCGGGGGGATAATAGCCGCTCTTGGAATGTCCAGCCACGAGTGTTCCATACAGATTTCCGGATATAGTTTTCCGCTGGCTGGTTTGACATCAAACGGACGTTTGGGCTGTATTGACTTATGTTCTGACTGAGAGATTGTTCTTTGGCATTTCCATCTGCGACCAGAGGGTCAGTATTTAAGATTCGCAGTCCCGATCGAGCATCGTCTCCATCAGCGGCACAGATGGTCAGGTATGCGTTGCCATAGACTTGATCCATGACTCGGGAATTCAGTGCCCATGACCGGTCGCTGCCTTGAATAATGCAGAGCGAATCAACCCATAGGTATCTTTCCCCAAGATCCCTAACTAGGTCGATCGTGTCTTTTATGGTGCGGGGCATCAATATCTCCATATTCCGAATCCCGCCACTTTTCAAGAGCTCCCTCACATTCTTCTGATCTGTTTTGAGAGAATGCCCCTTCGGACCCCAAGTATAACTCAGGGCAACATACCTCTTCCCATGAGGTAGCTTTGTCAGGCACATTTCGGTGATATCAATAACTCCGAAAAAGGTCTTCGAAAGGGGAACGGCTTGTGTTTGGGGCTTGCAAGCTTCGCCATGTGAATCTTCACAATATGCAATCCATCGTCGTATCAGTGCAGCATCTGTTTTAACATTTTTGAGAGGTCTTCCAAGGAAGAGGCCCTTCCCACCATTCCGGGGTGCCATGAGTACGACGTAAGTATCATACAGTTCTCCGAACTCCAATGGGGCCTTTACTTCCCAACGAAGGCGTATGCGGCGTGTGCAGGGCTGGCTGCCAATGATATCTCCGTTATCGTTACGTCTAAATATTCTTCCATCAATCTGCCAGCCTACAATTTCGACGAGTTAGTGTTTAGTAAGCCTACAGATTTCAAAAGCGACTTCAAACAACCAGAACAAAGGAGACTCAAATGGAGATATATAGAGTTGAAATTTGTGTAATGGTATGTCTCGGTATTAGGTAGGACACTTGACTACCATGAGTAAGGCAACAAGCAAGAGGTTATACATACTAACAAAGCAGGTGACGTCGGCCATATAGAAATCCTCCTCTGTTTTCACGCCATTTTGAATGAACCATTTGCATTGGTCGTTCAGCGAGCTGACGGCAAGGCCACAAAATGGGCACTCCTCGCGCCTTCCATGCAGCTGTGCAAGTGTTCCGAGCCTGAACTCATGAGGTCCAAGCCCTAGGCCATCTGGTCCAAGATCACCCAGTGGACAGTCGGAAGTACTTCCCGCTGCCATACGTGGAGCACGTTGATGCTTAGAATACTCCGAAATAATAAATTTGGCTTCTGTTAATTTCATAGATGCACAACGGGAACAAGGAGTGCCGGCACTTTGACGGAAGTATTGCAACGATCGGTTTACCTAAAAACCATTAGTCGTTGATTTTCCAGAATGGGATCTGCTTCAAGCGGGTGTATCGACCCTATATATTCTTAAAAAGTGCTTAAGGAACTGCTTCCATAATTCCTTCACCCGGGGGGTCGTGGAGCTTGTTAGCTACGATATAGTTAAGGTGTGTCAGACATCATACCATTGGTACTCTATCGTGCTGAGGTGATTGCGCAGGTGATGCTGCATTGTCCTGTGCGCTTTGCTCTGGAACGTCCGACTCAACATTGTTGGGCTGATTGGGCGGCGTATTAGCGGCCGACGTGAGTGGTGTTGGATTGGTATGTATGCTTTGGTCTGTTGCTCCTGAGTCGGTATTGGGATGGCTGAGTGCCTCATTATCGTTGGCTGTAGACGGAGGGTCCTGATTGGGGGGGTATGTGGTCTGCGTTGTTGTTAGCACTCATTTAAAGACCAAGATACAATATTTACCATATCTTCAAGCTGCGTTCCACCTTGGTTGTCACTCGGGCTCTGATCCATATTTCCACCGGATAAGTAAACCCCAAAGAGCGAGGAGAATAGCTTAGAATACAGTAGTGCGAAAAGAGAATGCTTCTCCACATGTTAAGTGATGTTGCCAGCAATATGCCAAACCTATTAAAACGGGGGAGTCTAGTACAGTTAAATACATACTCGACCTTTGAACGATCAATCGTGCTGAGCCGCACACATCTTCTGCGCAGCCTTAACTTCAAAGCAGGCGCTTACCACGACTCTCGAAAATTTGTGGCTTGTAAGCCTCAAACAGAGCGAATCACTTATGTCAGTGACCCGCGCCATTTTGAAACAGGCGCTGTAATTGCTTCTTAATTGTCCAGCTAGATGAGACGCCGTGGTTTGGAATGAGGAATGAGGTGGTGGTACATAGATCGCATTGGCCTGTAGGCATGTGAGGTAGTAACGGCTCGCTCCGGTATTGCCTGCCTCTGTTTTCCAGGCTGGAAGGTTCATTGCAGCATGATCAATTAGCTCACCATTTTAGGGCACTCGAAGAGACATGTGGACCGCCCTCGTTTCAGTAGATCTCTAAATATGTCTTTTTTTACCTATTATTGGAAGCATGGCTTAACAGTAAAGCCTCTCAGCAACTGCTCTGGGGTGGATTCGGAGTGGACAGCCTTACCATCGAAGTAGGGGCTGCAAAACATTGTGAAACAATTCTCGGGAGTCGGGAAGTAGAAACAAAAGGGAACAAAGCAAAACAAGCAGCATTTGGTTCGCTTCCACTCTCCAGACGTATTACGTATTTTCCTACCTCCTAGCAGTACGAAGTACAGGCACTTTGTAGAATAGTAGATGGTTGAATATATCGAGAGTCAAATTCGGCAAGCCATGCTCATTTAATATTAAGGGGGGTTTAAATGCATGGCCATTCCCCGTACTTCGTACTACCTAGGTACGTACCACTATTCGAAGTACCTTCGTAGTGTGATTGTGGAGTTGGAGACGCCATGCCAGTAGTGATGGTAAAAATAGATACTGTACGTTACGAGTACGAAGTACTCCGTAAGTAAGCGAGAACATTGGGACTGTGCGGGACACGTTGCTTCTAGGTTCTTGCTAGCGAGCTTACTGGAGTCTGCCCCGGACCACCCACCCCACCCCTAGATGTCCTTTGTGGAGAGTACTCGCACAACGAATAGCTTCATAAAACAAGCACGAAATTGCAGATGGGCTCGCCCGGTGTCGACGAAGTACGAAGGAGGAAGGAGCTAATTAAAAATTGGCTAACTTGTAATTGTCTCTGGCGTGATGAATTAACATAAACCCCAAAGTAATAAGTAATTGCGCGCCATTTGCCATATTACATACTGTATGGTGCTGATCTGTCCCGATCTGTTTCGGCGAACAGAAGAATGAGTCACTTCGTCGTTATTATTATCATTGCGACAACTATGCCACATCCTCTGTGTAACAAACAATGTTCTGGGCTCACCGACGACGAGGGAACGGCAGTGGTCCGCAAGAGCATGCCAAGTAGAACACGGATCTGTGAACCATCCGTCTTACCAACTTCTCCCACTGGGGAATATCCCCCCGGCCCATCCCGCAATTGGCTTAGCGTCCTGCCAATTAGCGCGTCAGGCCGCGTGACAGAGGCACATCGATGTCTCCAAGAACCCCCTTCTTCTTTTGGCTATATATTCACGTTCACTGTCAAGAGTATCTCCCCACGAGATTACTTGCAGTCGTCATTCCTTTGCGTGGAGCTTTTTGTGCCCATTTTCATTCAACCCCGTGCTTCTATTTAATTGTTTATTACTTTCTACACCCCTCCCCACGACTGGCGCTTGCAATTTGTGCTGTGGAAGCCCCGCTTAACTTTTCTATAGCGAGTCTTTAATAAACCTGATAATACGATCGATCTCGTGCAATAGCTTGCCAAATGGTGGGCTCCATTCCCACCCCTGGTACTCCAGAAGGGAACGATGGCCCTCATCGCTCAGCCCAGACGTCGCAAACCCATGATGAAAAGGGGCAAGACTCCGAACAGGAGAAGAATCCAAGTGTTGATACAGCAGTAGCCCCAGAATCAAGCCCTGACACCTCGGCCAAAACCCTTGAGGCGCCGGAGCCCGAGCAGAATGATGACAAGCAACCAGATTACTCCAGCAAATCGCAGAATAAAGTCTCATTCTCTCACTATCTGGTAATCGAAACATCTGTCCCCCGGTATGGCAGCCGTGGGTTAACCTATTTGACAGAGGATCTTCACGTATTCTACGCTCGCCGATCGGCTCTTTATAGCAGCAGCTTTCCTGGGGCAAATTGGGACTGGTGCGGTATGGTTGAATTTCTAATTTAGAATGTCCAAAATACTGATATCCTGCAGACCCTACCGCTGATGATCGTTGTATTCGGTGAGAATCTCGAAGGAGCACCCTATCTCTCCCAAATTTCATGTATTAACCTCTCTACGCGAAGGTGGTCTTACGGGCGATTTTACTTCCTACTTTGCCCCGGGCTCTACGACCACAAAAGCGGAGTTTATGAAAGGACTCAATAAATCAACGTAAGCACGCCATCCCCAGTCTCTTTTATGTTGTCGTGGGCCAACCCCGCCTCCGATGCCGATTCTTGTTTTCCATGCGCAGGAATTTCGCATCGAGTTGTCGATCCATAGGGGACCCCCTTTCTAACTTGCGAATATTCGGACTAACCAAGCTAAATAGGTTGTATTTTGTGTATTTGTTTATCGCTCGATGGATACTGAGCTACTATTCGATGTTTGCATTTCGTATGACCGGCATTCGAATGTCGGCAAAGCTTCGTCTGGAGTATCTAAAGGCGCTGTTCTCCCTTCCCATCTCGGCCATCGATACACTCCCAAGCGGCCAAGCATCAAATACCATAACTACCACGGCCAATGTTTTACAAATTGGTATCTCTGAGAAGCTGGGAATTATCGTGCAATTTACATCCCTGCTAGTCGCATCGATCATCATTGCATTCATCACCAATCCGCTCTTGACAGTGGTGACCGCATCAATTATTCCGTTCATGGGAATCACTTACGGAGTCCTCGTCCCTATAATAATGGCGAGGACAAAGGATGTCGAGCATGCAGACGAAAAGGCGGCCTCAATTGCCGGAGAGGTACTCGGATCCATTCGCATGATTATCGCCTGTGGAGCAGAGGACCGAATCGCCAAGAGATACTCGGGATGGATAGAGGAGTCACGGAAGAGAGGAATAAAATTGGCCCCGTTCTTGGGAATGCAATTCGCTCCGATGTTCTTTGCAATTTATGCAACTATGGCTCTCTGCTTCTGGTTTGGATTCAAACTCTATCTTGAACACCGCATTGCTGATGTGGGAGAAATTGTAAGTATGATTGTATTCGTTATAGTCATTGTTTCTTTTCCCAAGAGAGGATCTAGTATTCTCATGCTAGGAACCATATCGCAACCCGATAGCCATTGCTCCGTTGCGCATGTCCTTCCGAGACATGGTGGGCTGAGAAATGCTAACTTCTCGCTTGATAGGTTATTGTCCTCATGTCTGTGATGATGGCTTCGTTCTCAATTTGTAAGTTCAAAGTACTGCTAAAATGAAGGATAAGCGCTTACAAGGACCAAAGCTCAGACAGCTGCACCTATTATGGCAGTTGGCAAGGCTAACAGTGCTGCCACCGACTTCTTTGCTGTTATTGATGCACCAAAACCGGGCGTGACGGGAATGAGAGATCCGGAAGTCTCCGCCAGTAGTGACATAGCTCTTGACGGCGTGACCTTTGCATATCCTAGCCGACCACATATAAAGGTGCTGGATGACCTCAATATCCGATTCGAATCCGGAAAGATCACGGCAATCGTTGGCGCATCGGGATCAGGGAAAAGCACAATCGTGGGCCTGCTTGAGCGCTGGTACGAATTAGATAATGAGAAGATATTCAAGTTACCAGAAAGCGCAATGAAAGACGATAAGGACAAGGACAAGGACAAGGATAAGGAGAATAAGGAGGCAGAACCCGAAGAACCCACGTTAGCACCAATCTCTCTCGGTGGCAACATCCTTATCGGAGGCCAAAACCTAGACGCAGTCGACCTGAAGTGGTGGAGGTCTCAAATTGGTCTTGTGCAACAGGAACCCTTCATCTTCAATGACACGATCTCCAGGAATGTGGAATATGGCCTCATCGGCTCCCAATGGGAAGGAGAAGATGCGGAAACCAAGAAGATGCTTGTGGAAGAGGCGTGTAAAGAGGCCTTCGCAGACGAATTCATCAACAGGCTCCCTTTGGTAGGTTTCTGATCTATTGCAAATGTATAGGGTATAATACTAATTGTCTCATAGGGATATGATACTCAAGTTGGTGACGCTGGGATTAAGATATCAGGTGGCCAGCGACAAAGGCTTGCCATTGCCCGTAGTATCATCAAGCGACCTAAGATTCTGATCCTAGATGAGGCGACAAGTTCTATCGATGTGCGAGGAGAACGACTCGTCCAGCAGGCGTTAGATCGGGTCTCCGAGGGTCGGACAACTATAACCATCGCTCATCGGCTATCGACGATTAAGAAGGCTGATAAGATTGTGGTATTGAAAAAGGTTAGTAACTTGTACACCATTGCAGCATTTCTGCAAGCCAAGCATGGCAGTCCCCGGATATAATTCTGCTATATTATCGAATTTTTGCCCTGTCCTTTGGAGGAACCAGCTCTAACATTCCTTCTAGGGCAAAGTAATTGAGCAAGGCAACCACGACAGCCTTTTGGAAGACGAAAATGGAGCCTACTGGGCTTTGGTGAACGCTCAGAAACTATCCATGGGCGAAACATTTGAGGATGAATCGGATCTAACCGAGGATTCGAAGCCCGGAGAGGTGTTGGAACGGACGATGACCGCCGGAAGTGCAGCAAGAACCGCAGAAGAGGAGGTGGTTTGGAAAGATAAGCCCTTCCTAGCAAGCTTTGCAACTCTCATGGCCGAACAGACAGGCCGTTGGCCTTGGTATCTCATCCTGGCGATTTCATGCTTAAGTGCTGGGGGTAAGCAGATACGATATTCCCTTGTTGGAAATCCTCGAGAAGTGCTCCGCAGTCAGCTAACCTTTATACAGCCGGAAACCCCATCCAAGCCTATTTATTTGCTCAGTTGATCAATGTGGTCACTTACGTGGGCGCCGCACTCCAAGCTGCTACTAATTACTGGGCTCTCAGGTTCTTTATTCTTTCACTGGGCGTCTTAGCTGCATACTTCCTGCTTGGGTACTCTTCAAGCACGATTTCTACGGTAAGGGCGAATTCCACAACGTCGAGGATGATTTATCTAATGGTCACAGCACATCACCTGCACATATCGCCAGGAATATTTCGAAAGTATATTGGCAAAGCCTGTGTCATTTTTCGACGACGAAGATAATTCTAGCGGCACTCTCACAGCTCGCGTTGCCAATGATCCAACTCAGCTTCAGCAGCTCCTCGGAATTAATATGGCCATGGTATATATCGCAATATTCGGTCTCGTGGGTTGCGTCATTATTGGATTTGTCTTTGGTTGGAAGTGAGTCGCTTCTTTGACATTACAACAGAGGCTCTTAGTTGGTTACTGACTGCATCTAGGTTAACTCTTCTGACTACTCTCGTACCGATGCCTCTTATGATGGCGGGTGCCTTCTTTCGGATTCGCTACGAGGTTCAGTTCGAGAAACTGAATCAAGCTGTTTTCGCTGAAAGCTCTAAATTTGCTGCTGAAGCCATTGGAGCTTTCCGAACCGTTACTTCGCTGACCCTGGAAGATATGATATCTGAGCGGTATGGGACATTGTTGCAAGACCACGTTAACAAGGCCTTCATCAAATCGAGATACTCGACACTTATATTCTCCTTAAGTGACAGCTTTGGTTTGTTATCCATGGCCCTGACCTTCTGGTATGGTGTAAGTACTCTCCACCTAGTTCTAGCCTACATTTTACCCTTTAAGAAAATTTCTGACTTCTCTCTAGGGGAAATTGTTAGCCGATCGCGAATATGACGCCGTGCAATTCTTCGTTGTCTACATTGCTGTCATTAATGGCGCCGAGAGCGCTGGTAGCCTACTCAGTTTCGGACCCAATATAGCACAGGCATCTGCCGCCGCGAATCGGATATTGAGCTTCCGAATACGGCAGAATAAGGATGCGAAGGAGCCATTAGAAATTCCAGACGCTGAAGGTGGTGTTAAGATAGAATTGCGGGACCTGTGGTTTAAATACCCAACCCGAGACATTCCAATCTTCCATGGGTTGAACTTGACGGTAAGCAGCTCATCTCTATATAGCCATTGACTATGTTATTAACGACAGCTTAGATCGAAAAAGGCCAATTCGCTGCCCTTGTAGGACCTTCAGGCTGCGGCAAGACCAGCATAGTCTCCCTCCTCGAACGCTTCTACGACGTCCAAAAGGGCAAGATAATGTGCAACAACGCCAACATCGCCGACCTCCCCACCAGCTCATACCGCAAGTTAATATCCCTCGTCGCGCAGGAACCGACCTTGTTCCAGGGCACAATCAAAGAGAACATCCTCCTCGGCGTCGACGAGTCAACGCCAACGGCGACCCTGCACCAAGTATGCCGCGACGCCGAAATCCACGACTTCATCATGTCTCTTCCTGAAGGCTACAACACCGATGTGGGAACCAAAGGTATCGCATTAAGCGGGGGCCAGAAACAACGTATCGCCATCGCAAGAGCGCTTATCCGTGATCCCAAGATGCTGCTTCTTGACGAGGCGACGTCGAGCTTGGATTCCGAGAGTGAGAAGCTTGTCCAGGCTGCGTTTGAGAGGGCCGGCAAGGGACGGACTATGGTTGTTGTTGCACATCGACTTGCAACAGTGCAGAATGCCGACGTTATTTTTGTGCTGGGTGAGGGCAAGGTGCTTGAACAGGGTGATCATCAGAGTCTTTTGAAGCGTAGAGGGGTCTATTATCAGATGGTAAGTTCTCCATTTTTTCGGATATCGCGACATATGAATTTTGATACTAACGAGTTTTGCTTTAGTGCCAATCTCAGGCACTTGATAGGTAAACGGGATGTGGAAGTGGTATCTGACTGCCGCTGCTCAACTCCACCGCCCTGTACGATTGTTGGATAGGGGGACTTTTTAATAGACGCCACTTTCTTGTATACGTAGATCGTTTGCATCACAACTCCAATATATATTCCGTGTCCCGGGGAGACAGCGAGTACAGCAGCATGGAACGTGACATCATTTCTTTAAGAAACTCTTCTGCTCCGCTATCCGCGCGATGATCTACTGTGAGTTATTCTTGGAGACTTGGCATCTTGAGAACTGTAAGTGGTTGAGGTTCTTTGTGGGAATCTCAAAAGATAGGGGAAGAAAGAAACAAAGATCGCGAAAAAAGGATATATTTCCCTCCGCCTTACTTCGTACCTATCTCAGGTACCTACGTACCGATCCACAATTCTTTACCGACACAGCGATACGAACTATATCTAGCCAATACTCCGTATGATCTACAGTAACCATTATGCATGTATTCGGCAGTTTATCCTCATAATAATACGTCGTTTGTCCATAGGTATCTAATAATAAGGTACTACGGACGTGCTATCCCTATTAGCAAAAACCACCAAAAGGGATAGCCGACTCAAAATCAAGATCTCATCCATGAAGAAACTCTCGGACTTCCAAGATCGCATCCATGAAAAAAACCCTCTCTGGTTCTCCAATGTGGTACTCCTGTACGTAGGTACTTTGTACCTGCGTACTTTATTAATGAAATACTTCGTATTCACGGTAGGGTCCGGCCCACGCAGCTCAGCAGCCAAGCAGCCAAGCGTCCAAGACATATTTCGCTGCTGCGCCCACTGCACAGGTTTTTCGCCAGCACAGACCGGCACTGGGACTGGGCTCGGGATGGCGCCCGCGCGTGCGTTTCGAAAATAGATGGCTCAGGGCTAGTGGACATGTACAGTACATAACTATGGCACGGGAGTAACGGTAGGGGGGGGCTTTTTGTGAGAAGACTACGGATTAGCTGTTTCTTGGTCCTTGGGAGTGGCGGCATAAATAGTAGCACGGAAGAGTAGTAAATATCTCCCCTACCTTAATAGGTAGGTAAAGGTACCTATACGTACGTAGGAGTATGTAAGGTATGCATAACTTCCCACCGAGTCGAATCTATCACCTACTCCGTACGTACGAGACTACGAGTCCCGAGTGACAGGTACAGTACATTAATAATTTGCCACCAATACTGGCTTGGTCCTTCGTGCATAACCTGGAAGCACTTGGCACTCTCGCTTGATGGATTTGACGAGAAGATCACCGCGCCCGGTCTCGACTCCAAAGTGTTTTGTCGATCAGTGTCGTCGCTCTGGCCGTGGCCAGAGTACGATCAGTAGTTGGCTCCGAAGTATCGCATGGCACACTATGACAACAACTATGACATGATGATGCAAGATACGAACAACAGAGAAATGGCGGGCTGGGCTGAGCGGGTCGGAGCTGAAGGTGACGGACACATGACGCACCATTGCCAGAGTTTAACGTTCAGGAGATACTTGTCGCCGTTGTCGTATTGTCGTGTGTCGTGTGTTTCGTGTGGCTGTGTTGAAATCAAGGCGTCGCTGAACTAAAGAGACAAAGGCGAACAAGAAAGAGTCCAGGCTTAGCTAATGGGGCAGCTAGAGCGAGAGCGTATAGCGGGTTATTGGCAAAGTATGAGCAGGACCGTGCTAGGCTTGCTTGGGACTAGCCACCCGTCCCCAGCCGGCTGCTAGTGTTTCTTTATATGGCACAAACCCTCCGGCTAGACCATATCAGGCTACGCTGCGTCCCAGGTAGTACTAGTGACCCCGTGGCTGAGGCAGCAAGCAAGCCATCGGTGGTCCAATGATTCGTAGTCAGACTCCACTGGTTCTCTGGTGCCCACTGGTCCCCTTTTTTAGCTGCCGGGGCCGCGGGAGACGCTGGACACTGGACACTCTGGCGGGCTTGGTCGTCGACTCCTGGTCTCTCACGCTGACACTGACACTCACTCTGAGTCTCTCTCTCGTTGTTCCGTTGGACATCGCTCTTCCACCGCAAACCTTCACTGTGCTTAGAATGTGCCCTCACTTCACGCTCGTCCACTCGTTTTGATCTTGCGACCCTTTGTGCTTTGCTTTGTGTTTATCCATCCCCCGTGCTTCTTGTGTTGTTTCTTTACCTTCGCCCTTCGTTCATCGTTCATCTACAAAACACCTCATTCCTCACCGCGACTTCGACCGCGACATTCCATCGTTACCCAGCCGCCGCCTCCTTTCGCTCGGCGCCTCCACCATCCGCGGCCCTAAACTCCTTCACATACCATTTCCTCCTCGCCCGACATCTTGTCCTTCGTTCCAGGTAGACCCTCGGGCCAACTTTCGATATAATAATTATCCTCTATTTCCTGGCTTGTCTCAAACAAAACATCATCAGTGCTCCCCGGAGCGTCTCGCTCGGCCCCCCTTCCCCAGATATCAACATAGATCTCCCCCATCATCCCATACAACATCAACGGCGTACAACTAGACATACGGAGAGCTTCACGGTTCGAGCCTCTCGGCGGCTATCGGGGGTAGATTTCATACAGCGTTCATCAATATGTTACAACAGATTTCCTCGTTGTCGGCCTTTTCCTTGCTGTTACTCGGGACCCTGCCGGCCAGAGTTCTCGCAGACCAGATCCTTCAGACCACCGGCTTCAGCACGTGTCTAGAGGGATCAAGTATCGAAGTCAAGAGTGCTGACGTCAAATACAATGCCGACAAGAAGCAAGTGACGTTCGATGTCTCTGGCATCAGCAAGACATCCATCAATGTCACTGTATGTCCCCTTTTTTTCTCCCATCAATTCCTGGGAGATGCTGACCTCACCCCTCTAGGCCCAATTAAACGTCACAGCATACGGTAATAATGTATACCACAATAGCTTCAACCCGTGCGAAGCAAGCACATACGTAGCACAGCTATGCCCAGGTATGTAATCCCATTCTCAGTACGTTATATCTTCAGTGTCTAACAGGCGGCCAGTACCTTCCGGTTCCTTCTCCGCCTCCGGAGTCCAGGCGATCCCCCCCGAATATGCGTCCATGATCCCCTCGATCGCCTTCTCCGTTCCAGATATCGCCGCCCAGGCAACACTCGAATTGAAGGCCCTCGATACCGGGAAGAACGTAGCCTGTGTGACATCGCAAGTGTCTAATGGCAAGAGCGTGAACACGCCGGCAGTCTCGTACATCGCGGCCGGTATTGCTGGAGCAGCTTTCCTCGTCACGGGGGCTTCCGCTCTAGGCGCTGCTGCGTCTGGAGGAAATACGGGGGGCTCGGGAACCATGAGCCCTTCATTCACAGAGGTCTTCGGTGTTTTCCAGGGCTTTGCCATGAATGGTATGCTCTCGGTCAACTATCCTCCCGTCTACAGGAGCTTCACCAAGAACTTCGCGTTCAGCACTGGTCTCATCCCATGGAAACAGATGCAGGTCTCGATCGATAACTTCCGATCGGTTACCGGCGGAAACTTGACGGAAGACAGTGTCGAATTCCTTCAGAATGCCACCCTCGTCTACGGCTCGAATGGCAATGCCAAGCGATCGATGATGTTGATGCTCAGAGATATCTCCACAAGCGCTAACACGACTACTAACCCTGAGCCTACGGGTTCGACGTCCTCGATTCAGTCCACAGTATCCGGGATTAAGGCTTATGCTGAGCAACTGAGTGTGCCGCAATCAAACACCTTTATGACGGTGTTGCTGATCGCTGCTTGCGTCATTGCTGTTATTGTTGTCGGTATCCTGCTGTTCAAGGTCATTTTGGAGACCTGGGCACTATTCGCATCGTTCCCTCAGAAACTCACTGGATTCCGAGAGCATTACTGGGGTACTATGGCCCGCACCATTGTCCAATTGATCCTGGTGTTGTATGGTATCTGGACTCTGTACTGCATATTCCAATTTACCCATGGAGACTCATGGGCGGCCAAGCTCCTTGCTGGAGTCACCCTTGGGCTCTTTACGGGAGTGCTCGCTTTCTTCACCTTCAAGATCTGGAACTGTGCACGACGTCTAAAGCAATTTGACGGCGATGCATCTGGACTGTACGAGAAGAAGGAGAACTGGCTCAAATACAGCATCTTCTATGATAGCTACAAGAAGGATTTCTGGTGGCTGTTTGTCCCGGTTATCTTCTACATGTTCGCCAAGGGATGTGTTCTCGCAGCAGCTGATGGACATGGACTCACTCAATCCATTGCCCAGTTAATTATCGAAGCCTTGAGTAAGTAGACCCTACTATGGAGTTCCTCTCCCCCCAAAATCTAACGTGTTTTAGTGCTGGCGCTGCTGGTCTGGAACCGACCCTTTGAGAGAAAATCCGGAAATGTGATCAACATCTTCATCCAAGTCGTCCGAGTGCTTTCAGTCATTTGCATTCTTGTTTTTGTCGAGGAGCTTGGAATTGCTCAAACGACCCAGACCGTCACCGGCGTTGTCCTTATTGCCGTTCAATCTGTCCTGACTGGCGTGCTTGGCATACTAATTGTTGTCAACGCTCTTATCATGATGTGCAAGGAGAACCCTCACCGCAAGAGACGCAAGGAAGCTGGTGAGTATCTTCTGCCCCTATTAAAATCCCACGTCTAACCTCTTAATAGAAAAACGCAACCGTGACCTCGACAACCTCACTCCTCTGGATGCGCGAAACAGCCTCTTAATGGATCCTACTGATCGTCCAATGAACACTTCCTATACCAACGACCAGAAGCTACCATTAGTGGCGAACAGCGATACCTCAATGAGGGAAGCCGCAAACCCATACGCACCCACTCAACACCGCTACCTCAACTCCACCTCAAGTCGAGAGGGCCTCGTCCGCGGAGCGGAGCCATTTGGTGATGCCCCACAGCACCCTACGCTTCCAAACGTCCAAGGGCCCGGGGGATACCGAGGTCTTGCATATTAGAAAGAGCGGTGGCCCATATAACGACCATTTCATTACCCTTGCCGATCTGCATTAGCGTTCAAGTTGCGGATATCAATTTCCAAAGATATACAAAGTACTGCTGGGGGGTGTTTTTTGTAGTATCAATAAATAACATAGACTGTGGTGTGGTTGGAAATCTGATATATGAAAGTGTGGTATTTGTTTCTTGTTGGATTTGGTTGTGTTTTAGCTTTATATATCTTTAGTCGATGATACGGCAGTGCTGCTCCACCACAGCAAAAATTATTTTTATTACGTCGAGTCTTTTCGTGACTTTTGTGACTTTTGCAGTTGATTTGACAGATACGTAGTTATCTTAAGTGTGATATCAAGGTAACACATATAGCTAAAGCACGCTTTAGTTCGACGTCGCCTCTCCCACATCGGACGAAGTCGTCGGCCTGGTGGGAGGGGCGGGGGGAGAATAAGGGTTGTATTCCAGCGATTTACACGCGAATAAGAAGAGGCTGAGCAATTCCAAGACTATCTATTCTCATGCCTGAATTCTCTGGCGGCTGTTGACCAAGGTATGTTGTACCTAGGAAGGGAACACGCTGCATCACTAGCGGAGGTATTCCTCACCCCCTACTTTCTATATCCCTTTTCTCTATCGAAAAGCGACCACTCACGTACAGTCTCTAACCATATGCATTCGCCTTGCTTGCATCCTCCATGGTGCTCCTTGCCACGAATACAAGCGGAAGCCGTCTTGTGAGGGATTATACTTCTTGCCTCTACGCTAATTATAATTTTGCCTGTGGCGGGATTGAATGACAGCCAGCGCCTCAATGACAGCAGCAGTCAACTTAGCAGCAGTAGCCTACTTAGCGGCCATTGGCTCCGTAGCACCATTCTACTTCGACCCCAACGGCCACTTTGTTCTTGCTTCGACTAGTTCCCTTCTCGCGAATATAGAATCTAGTCATAAGCAGCGGCTGGTGCCAGTTCTCTGGCGTGAATCTATCATATGTTGTCCGCGCAAATACGGAAGTGCTTATTCTACGTTACAAGGAGTGTTAGCGGGTGAAAAGGTGCTAATTGAGCTAACACTAATAGGTTGACTAAAACTACCACGATTTGCTGAAGGAGAATGATACTACAGAGTCAAGGGCTGAGTTTGAGAACCACCTGCAAGTGGTGAGAATCTTTTCTGCAAAAGTACGCAGATGCCGTTAGACTAGACTCGCGATATACAAGGCACGCGGTTCGTTAATGAGGTAGCAGGCAGTGTTGTTAGTAACTTTGCCAGGGCTAACAGTTCGTAGAATACCATGTCGTGGGGTGCCTTTATATTAGAGCTCTTGGCAAAATCGGCTACTTCGACGGCCGCTTCGACGACCACCTCTTAATATTCGAATTAACAAACTCTCCAATTCGGCTGTTACAAATAGAGATACTATTGACATTTTCGGTATTTTAGCATTCCTGTCACCGCGATTCCAGCTACTAATTTTCTACTTGAACCTGGGCCAGTATGAAATTGGTCCATATATACGGCGCTGCTATCCCTAATTTTAGATTAATTGATTTGTGTCGGATGCGATAAAGGTCATTTAGAATTGCCACCGGGTTTAGCAAGGACAACAAAGAACGTTTTACTTTAATGTAACTGACAACCAGTCTAGGTTAGTAGTATGGATAATTACCTTATCTTTTCTAGTTTGACTATAAGAAACAGAAATGTCTGGGGAGTTTGGCTAAGACTTATTATAAAGGGCAAATCCAGTCATTTCGCCCCTACAGAGACGAAATCACATGAATCTATGAGATTATGGTTGTTTTTATGGAGACCAGCACTGCACCTACCTATACCCACTTACCGACTTACTAGGAATTCTTCCATCTAAATTTAGTATGCTATAAACAACGAAGTCTCCGGGGGAAGCACGAGAGGTCTCGTTGCTTTGCGGATGGAGTTATCCATCATCTCTTTCACCTGGTCCTGTAATCGACAGTCCATTGGCGTGGCTTCTGGTAAAACTCTGCTGATGAGACAGCGTGGGCAGAGCTACGAAAACAATATCTGCAGATTTCAGTTCGAGGTCGTCCAACGATGCGTCCGGATCGCGAGCCGCGTGTACGGACAGATACGGACAGGTACAGACAGGTACAGTACTCCAATAACTCCAAGGGGTGGCACCATCCCGGGCAACTAGGTGGGCCACGCGGCAGCAACGAGTTCTTTCGGCCATATGCTGGATCAGGTAATCGATTACGTAGCCACACAATGCCATTACCTAGATATGACTCCAATACCGTGCTCTTGTACGGAACTCTTTCCTCTACAATCTTTGCCCAACAATGCGCCCATACTATATGAGTACATTCTCGGAAGCAGTTGACTCACACCCGGGGTTTGGACAAACCCAGTAACTCCGAGGCCGTTTCTTACAGTTGAGAACAAAAATATAAATACTAACGACTCTCACTGTTCTCCGTAGGTACATATTTCTGGGGGCACTCAGATAGATAACCAATGTCCTAGTTATATTTCTATCCCTCGACCAACTACAAAGCAAGATGACGGCCCCAACTATTGCCATAATCGGTGGCGGACCGTGTGGTCTAACACTTGCGCGTCTCCTGGAGTGTAAGGGTATTGACTACGTTGTCTATGAGCGAGACGAGAGTGAGAACTCGAATCGCGCGGGGGGCAGCCTCGACATCCACCCGGAGACCGGGCAACACGCGCTTCGGGAGGGTGGGTTGTTTGACGAATTCAAGAGATACGCAAGATATGATGACACAGTATTCACACTTGCGGACAACTTCGGGAAAAGACTAGTTAAGGTCGGTCAGGGTCGTGATGCCCCTGAGATTGACCGCAGTGACCTACGCAAGATCCTCTTGGACTCCATCCCGAAAGACAAAATCAAATGGGGTCATACTCTAACAAGTGCGACGGTTGGTGAGGATAACCTGCCGGTCCTTCAGTTTGCCAATGGTAATCTGCTGTCTGGGTTCAAGCTCGTCGTTGGAGCTGATGGTGCGTGGAGCAAAGTACGCAATGTGGTATGATCTTAGGACTCCTCCTTCAGCAAGGATATATTGACTTACTGACCACTATTTTAGATAACGCAAGCAACTCCCCAATACTCTGGGACGAGCTACCTTGAATCCAAAATTGGCCTTGAAAACCCTCTCTATGAAACCATAGCTAGCAACGCAGGAGCGGGGATGTTTTTGTCCATGGGTCCTGAAAAGCTGATCGTGACCCAACGGCAGGGTGATGGCTCTTATAGAAATTACTTTGGACTCCAAGTCCCAGAAGATTTCTTCCGCAACGGCACTGTCGACCTCCAGGACGTTGAAGCTACACGCCGCCTCTTGCTCTCGGATTATTATGCAGACTGGTCTGACGAGCACAAAGATCTCATCCGACACGCAACCGACCTCCGCCCCTGGGCGCTTTACACCCTGTCCACTGAGGACTTGGGCTGGAAGTCTGTTCCGGGTTTTACCCTTATTGGGGATGCTGCCCATCTTGCGATCCCTAATGGAGAGGGCGTGAACCTTGCAATGACTGATTCATTCAAATTGGCATCTAAGATCGCCGAGCATGGTATTGAAAACTTCGACCAAGCGGTACAGGAATACGAGGCGGACATGTTCCCTCGCGGAATTGCCACGATTGCCGATGGCAAGGGAATGGGAGAAGTCATGTTCAGTGGAGATTCCAAAGCGTTTCTTGAACTCATGGGTTTGTAGCCCACTGTCACGGCGGTGACTTGTATAGTACTTAAACCACCCTCGAACTCTACTCAAAAGTATGGGCAAGTTATATTAGCCCTTTTTATATTAAGGAATCTCACGTTATGTAAATACCTTGCAGTAGGAAGAGCTAGCAATAGAACATGACCTACCAAAAGTAGGGCAAAACGCTGCGGTTTGCTGTGGACTTTTGTCTTTTATATTGGGCTGATATCTGGTACTTATGAACGCTTTAACGAAGTGTGGCGTAAACACCTTAGAGTCGTCAAGCATAGTCACTGCTGCCTATAGGAATAGAACTAGATCTGGTCTAAACGAGGAGCTCTCATGCTGCAGCCATGTCCAACGGAACAAGAAATGGTCGCGAAACTGATCAATTTTATGACCTGACTCCAATTCCATCCCAGACCTGACAGTCCAGCATCCTTGCCAATGCCATTCGCGTCTTGCTATCACCCTCAGCAAAGAAACCTAGGCCAAAACAATTCGCTGCGGTGGAATAGATCCTTGTTGTAATCACTGTTCTATCATTGACAAAGACCTCCAAAATGCTTGAATCGAGAAAAGCTCTTATATTCAAAGTCTCCTCTAATGTCGTATCAGTTTCCGGATCGTGCTGGGAAAATATGGTAAAAGGGGCAACCTCTGGCGCGAGTGAGACATTCTGATCAACGCAGACAACACGGCTTCTGTCAGTCATAAAGTTATCTTCGGAGATATCATAGAACAGTTTGGTGTATGACACAAAATCTTCAATGTAGTTAGCTACTGCAGCTTCTCAGATCGAACGTCACATACCTTCAGAATGTCCAATGCAAAACCCTACTCGAGTACATTCCTGGCCGACAGTGATCTGACATTGCATTTCCCATTGGGAAGTCCCCACAGGAAGAAAGCACTGCTGATCAAATCCAAATAGTCCAGAAGAATAAATATCGCGAGGCCGTAGTGCGATTTCGAGGTCTGGCCGCCGCAGTTTCTCGAGCTGGGGATGAGGCTTTATCTGAAGTGTTCTCAATGTGAAAGTTCCATGATTGTCTACCGTGGCCTGAAAAGAAGTAATGCTCTCAACTGGTGAAGCCCGAGCTCTGACGACTCTTTTGAGAGTCTGAATAGCAATAGTACGCGGCAACGAGAGTGCTCCGGACCAGCCTTGCTGCTTACGCACGTCATCTGGTAGATCATCCTCAGTAACCCATCCAAAGACCACTTGCTTCCGTGCGTTCGGATCCCAGAAAGAGTTTGCGGCATAGTAAGATCCATGATCAAGGTATCCACCAAATTCGTATGTCATGTCAACGCTTTGTATTGCTCTAGTCGAAGTCTTGGGAGTTTGGAATGAGCCCGACAACCACAACTGGGATCGCGACAGACGCGTTTCGACATGTCGTGGGAGCTTTCCAAAACAGGGGTGGTTTTGCGACTCTCCACCCTCAACTCCTATAATAATAACTTCCATGGACCCGCCGTTCCTATCGTCTAAAGTGATGAAGTTCGTGACCTCCAAGTTCTTTCCAAGATCGCCGGACCAGCGAGATAGATACCGGTTAATTCCCACATCAAAGAGCGGACCAAGACTCCTCCAGCTTGTGAGGTCATTCCCCTTGATTGAGTAGAGAAATGTTGTGGGCGACTTGTTGAGGATGCCTCCGGAGATGATGCCATAAAGAACATCCTCCCCCTCATTTTCTAAAAGCTTGTCCAAAGAGGGCCAAGAAGCCACAAATGGATCTCGCCAGCCTGTGACTTGCAGGTCCAGAGGTGGTCCTGGAAGTATCGGATTGCAAGATTGCTTTTGCCATGTCTTCCCCGAATCTTTTGATATTGCGAGACTCAATGTTTCACTACCATAGTTGTACTGCCGTGTGTAGTGAATTGGTAACTGGCTAACGGACGTATAAAAGGCGGTCAAGACTCCATTTTTACTCCCGTCTAAATCAACTGGTACTAGGCAGCCGGTGAAGACGCCACATTTGTCGTAGACTTGATCTGGGTCGAGCCATGGAGTATCTGTGGTCGTCCATGAAATGAGATCTTTTGAACAGCATGCCCCCAACATATGTTACCCCAATTATTTCCTCTTGGGTTCCATTGAAACGCTAGATGATATGTCTGGGTTATTGGGTCGTAGCTGGGAGCACATGGATCATTCATCCACCCTTTAGAAGCTATGACATGAAATATTGGTCGCCATCGTCGAAAGGCTTCCTTACTCTTTTCATGAAGGCTAGTTTTTGCGTCTACCGTAATGTCCTTGCTTAGGTTCAACGGCCGGAAGCTTGCTACATGGGCAAAAATATTCTGGGGCTTGATCACGAGGCGTGAAGCAAAATTCGATACATTCACGGGAATCTCCATATTTATAACAGAATAGGGGGCCACACTTTCTACTGAAGTGGGAGGAAATTATGAAGATCTAGGCGATTGAGAAATACTTCGTGCGAAAGCAGTTGGCATTCATCCCTGAGTTCGATGCGAGCCGGCACTCTAGTCCCACAAAAAGTGTAACCACAAGGATAGAATAAATCGATGAAGAGCCGATATTGCCACTAAAACCCATAGGATCTGTTGATCAAGCCCCAGGGGTAGTGATACGAAATCTCCATTTGAGAATTGCCCATTTGTTGCTAGTAGTTGAAGCAAAATAATATGTTAGGTGGGGCTCGGACAACCTCGTACTGTATATGCGCACTCGACAATCTGCCTAAGTACACAGGTCCACTGGAACCGTCGGAATTGCGTCGAGGGATTTCGGCATATTCAATAATAATGCACAGAGAGTTGGTTTTAAAGTAGTGGGACGAATAATGCTCGGCTCTGGAGTCCTATTGCAGCTGCTTTGGTCCGAACCTGTTGGTAATTTGAGACCAGATTTATTCATACAAGAGACAAGTGTTTTATAAGACCAAATAATGGGGACAGTACTAGAGTATATAAAAACCAGTTCAGAGACTCGAGAAAAGTATTCTGAATAATGAAAAGTAACGAAATCATGATGCAGCTAAACGGTAACCATTGATAATCTAAAAATCAACAGTTGGTGACCAACATTTGTCTAGCTGGGAATTAATCCTGGCACTGGTAGGATTATAAGCAACGGATAAGCCAAAGTAGTGGTTATAAATGGATAAAGTCAAAGTGTATAGTAACCTAAGCCATAGGTACCTAGGTACATCATGTAAGTGTATGGGCCCTACAGATGGTTATATAGGGACGTGCTTATGCCAAGCCTGACACAGCAACACTAATCTGTATTCTGACAAGCACTGCTTGGAGTTAAAACACGTGCACAGCCAAGTTTCAACAGAATCAGTGCGGTATGGCCGGGCGCGGGATGGCTCCTTTGTAAATAGTATGGAAATTCGTTGGGGGTCTTCTAGATCCTGAGGACCTCCACAACAAAGATACGTGTACAGCTCCCCAATTAACAGTGGATGTTCCTAATTCCTACAATTGAGGCATTTCATTACGATATATTATTGAAAAAACAAACCCGTCTAATATAGCCAACAATGCCAGAGAAAGAAATTCTCAAACTAGTAGAGATGGACCCGAAACTAAAACAGTTTTAAACCTTAGGGAGTGGCTCAATTGACCAAAAAAAATAGTTCCTCGACTCAATAATTCGTATAGCGCCATCTTTTGACGATACAGATCCGGTGTTAGTCAGAGCCGCTGGCGAGGCTTACATGGCTCAGGACATCAAAGCACACGGACAACCACCTTGGCCAAACAGTCTGAAGCTACGTACGAGTACCGGTACGTAAGGTATACCGCTGAAGATGGAACTAAGGTAAGAATAAGGGTCTACAGTATCAACAGGCAAATCCAGCTGCTGCAAAGGGCAACCCCGTATTCACTTGAAAGTAGAGTCGTTCTAGTATTAGCAAGGCAATGGATGCGTCGGTACTCGAGTAATACTAGGTACCTTAGGTAAGGTAGGTATGTTGTTGAGGAGACGCAAATAATCTGCAGCCCATCATTGCATTCACCCACGCTGCAATGCACGAGATTTTTCGCGGATGGCGCATCCAATTCCACACGGCGTCAATCACATCATTCTGTGTCCCCCATTCCTGTGTGTCTCAGCAAGGATAGCGGAGATGCAGTATCGTTATCGATTCGCCGCCGCTTTCCCCAACCCGCGCCCGCAATACTACTGTAGGTCACTGTAGGTACAGTACATCCAGCTTATGCACTCCACGACTGCGACCTTGAAGGCAAGCGCTTCGTCCCATACAGGTTCCAACAGCCGATGAGTAAAAGAGGTGCTGAGCAGGTGCGGTCGCACAGCACAACACAGCCCAGAGCCCAGCACTACACGGCGGTAGCCTGATCGAGGCTCCAAGACCCTCTCATCACTTTCTCTTTCTCTTACTTATTCTCCTTTGCGCAATATCCTACACACCTTACACCTACATTCTTTATTTCTAAAACACGGGAAACTTTGCGACAAGCAAGACAAGCTATACTACATCGGCGCCAAGGCAAATGGCGAGAACGAATGGACGAAACCGGCCGGCTGATCGCGGGGAGACGTCCTTGGACGCCGCGATGAGAGCGCCGAGTACGACAACGCCTGATGTCGTCGTGCTCGATTTCGTAGAGGAGGAGGTTAAGGCAAAGGATACTTCTGACCCTGAGAAGGATCTTTGGCTTTCTACTTGCGACGGGTAGGTTTTCCCTTCTCCGCCGGCGCATTCGAAATCCCACGATAACAGGGCGCTTGCGCCGACATCATAAGCTCCTTATCAATCCCCTCCTCCTCCCAGCAAAAGCCAATGTATAAAGTCCATAAACTAACCCATATATTTCCTAGCCGCTATCAAAGCCCCATAATCCCCGTCCGCGTAGGACCTCACGCAGAAACCTTCCCCGTCCACCTCTCCATCCTGCGCAAATCAGAGTACTTCCGCAGAGCGCTGGACGGCACCTTCCGTGAGGCTGAGGATCAGGCTATCGATCTCCCAGAGGAAGATCCTTCGATATTCGGGTTTTTGGTAGCATGGCTTTATGAGGAGAAGTTTGTCCCGATTAAGCCTGTTGCCAGGGTGCTGGTTAAGGATGAGGATAAGGGGAAGGGGAAGGAGGGGAGTGGAGAGGGGAATGCGAATACTGCGCGAGGGGAAGAGGATGCAGATGTTAGTGATAGTGTGGGGAGTGCGAGCGACGACAGGTATGTTTGATTTCTGTTTTATAGGAGTATTTGTTTACTCTGGGGGACGGGAAATGGAGCTATGGTTCTAGGTCACACCTTGTCCTACTGTTCAGCCCTACGGGTGGGTTCACGAGTCATGGAAAAGGTGTAATACACCAAACTAGACTCCGATTATACTCTCCTTACATTTATCGCAAACCCCCATTATATGGCATATACAAATCAAAGATCAAGCTAACAATTCCCCTTCAGCACCAGAAGCCGCCGAAGAAATCAACGCCGGCGCCGACTAGATCGAGCCTGGGAACAACGTCAACGCAAACAGCCCAACCGCCACCGTCCTGAATGCAATTGCGCAGCCTGTACCACTGAGACCATCGGGCCTCCCTGCTGGAGCTGCGGCGCCCGCGCCTTGCCCGATCCTCGCCCACCGCACTGGAACGGGCCTCGTCACCGTCCACCCCCTCATCCCGTCATACTCGACGGACGGTATATCCACCCTCGCGCCCCACGTGAGCGCGAGAGGATCCGTCGCCGAGGATCTGGAAACGGTAACAATGCGGATAATATCCTACCGGAGGAGGAGGAGGAGCCCGAGCGAATGTCCCCCGAGGATCTACGAACGTGGTGTTTAGCTTATACGCTCAGCATCGACGTCTACGTATGCGCCGACCGCTACCTCCTGTCCGATTTCAAAACCAGCATCGCCGCCTACATAATCAACAACTTCGAGATCGCAGGCCTCGATGCTGCACAGCCCGCGATTCTATATTCCTGCAAGACGCTCCACGACGGGATCTCGGCACTCGACCCCCTTTCCCGAAAAGTCTTCGCACGCGTAGGGTTCCTGCAGGCGCGTCTATGGAAGAACTTCCCCCAGGAGACTAGTATGTTTTTCGAAGATAACCCCCGGCTCGCTATGTGTATCATGAGGGAGATGGTTGAGCGCAGGGAGGAGGATATCAAGGATGATTTGCCCGCTATGGAGAGACCTGTTGGCTCCGGGCCCGCGATGAATGAGGATGTGCCTCATTATATTGAGAGGCCGCGGCGGTATAACGCACCTTATTATTGATTGATGGGTATTTATTATAGATGCACTTGGTTTTCGGGGGAGACTGAATGGGACTTTTTTCGGACGTGTATGTCTTTCATGGAGATATAGGGTCGGGTGTCTGTAAATTACTCACATGCCACCGCAGCGCTATTGTTCATTGTTTGATATTGTTGTCAGTATGTGAATTTTTACTCTAGCGGGAATGTTTGAGCAAGCGGGTTGCTTTTTGAACGCGTAGTTAAGAGTCATATTATGGTTTTCTGATGACGATTTTGAGCGAAGGTGCTTAGTTGAGTTACTTGCCAGCCCAGGAGGGTTTCCAAATCTAAGACCATTGTAGCTTTCCCCCTTGGTTTTGTTATTTAGGGGAGTATGCCGGATGGTTGGAAGGGTTTAGCTTTTCTTTTACCAGCGGGCTTAGTTTGTACCTACCTAAATCACTATTATGAAAGTACAAAACTAGGAGTGGGAAGCGGTAGTGCCACAGCTGCATCACAAAGTACTACCAAAGTCATCTGTACTGTTGTTGCGCAATCGCACCCTACCAACGTTACAAAGATCCTACTTCCAGCATTCGAGCAGGACGTTGGTATGCCCATAGAATATCTCATGATCTACAACGAGCACTCGGCAGACTTGTTTGGAGGAGCTTGCCTAACTCACCTTTAAGGCCATATTTGAGATGTTGGATAAAAGTGCGATGTGCAACAAAACTTTAATAGGGAGTGGCTTAAGTTGCTCCTAAGGCGACAGTTGAGATGTCGAATAAAAGTGCGACACTGGCAAAAGTGCGACATGCAACAAAACTTTATAGGAAGAAAGAATTGAGAAGTTGTGACATTTAGAAAATGTGCGACATGCAACAAAACTTAGACTGGTTTTGTAAGATCTTAGATTCTATACAACAGGAGGTTAAGAAGACCCTCTAGCATAGCCACCTAGCTATGAAGGACACATCAGTATATGGCAAACCACTCGACCATCAACGCCACTGAACAGTAGGGTAGTAGAGTTTGCAATATGACTAAAACCATTTTGAAGTATGGACACGTTGGAGTCTATTTTCATCTACCTTTTCCAAGGTAAGAGTTCACGTATACTAAACATCTTAAGTTCAAATTAAACGCGGTGTTGTTCTGGTATGGATGATAGTTGATCTATTAGGCACCTGGGCGTATACAATGTTGAATTGGCATAGGCTATGAATTACTGTTGTACAGTGTTGGTTATAACACATGGGCTTACTCATTTCTCAAGCTCCTTCGTCCGCCTCCATGTCTGGTCAGCAATCCTCATAGCGTCTTCGAGTTTCTTGATTTGCTTTTCGGCCGCTTTCCGCTCCTCAATCACTGCCCTATCTTCGCCTCCTAGCATCTCAATCCTCTCCTCGGAAAACCCAGAGATATAATCAGAGGAGAGACCGAGGACAGGTCCATGCTTATCTTGTAGAAAAGGCTCGACGATACGGCCTGTGATGTGCGACAAGAAATCCTCTAGTGCTATCTGGTAGACTGTTAGTAGGTGTAAAACGGATGCGTGTAGGGTGAAGTGGAGTAAGCTACCTCGTAATATGCCTTCAACAAATCATGTATTTCGTTCTCAGTGTTCTGTACACCGCGTGGATGCATTTGCTTGAATAACTCATCAAGGTTATTCACATCCACAATTACCCAAGACTTATAATGTTGCGGAATTGTTGGAAGATATTGGGGGTTATTGTCATTAAGAAGCGTTGTTATGAATTTCTCCACTGGATTGGTGGTACGGTACCGCTCCAGTGCGCCCTGAAATCGCAAATGTTGCGCCTTGGTAACCTTTTCGAGATATAACGGATTGCTCGTCTGTAAGGGAAACGTGGTTATCTCGTGACAGAAAGTATGTAGCTCCAGGGTGGCCCGTTGTTCTGCGTCATCCTTGAATCCGGAAATAATATCTCCGAGGTCATTTGCTGTGTGACTTGGTACTCCCAATTCTGCGCAAACCTGATCAAGAATCATCGACGCAACGTCCTGGCTCATTGATATTATTGATCTGAGGTGATTTTGGGCTAATTCCTGCCACTTTTCTGTTTGTTTTCGGAACAAAGGCTTTAATATTGCGGGGTTTGATAGTCCTTCCAGCTCTTCCCCCTGATTTTTTCCAATTTGGGCTCGAATCTCATGATATATGCTCCGTTTCTTATTGGCCGCAATACTTGGCTTTAAATAATTAGCTAAAGCTGAGATATGCTTTACGAGGGACACAGTGTGGAAGCTGCAAGAAAGGTAACTTACAAGGGAGTTTTGTGAGGATTTCAAGGGTTGTTCGAGCGCATTTCTACTGTCCCCGATCTCTAGAAACTCGTACAAGTTTCCGTTTATCCTCATTTCTGTAGCGAAGGTTTTGGCTGCTTGGCGTACCATTCCTCGTAGCTTCATAGTATCTGAAGGAAGCTCTTCGGGGGACTTCAACGCTTGATGAGCTAGATCGTGGTACCTCACAACTATCTCATTGAGATATTTTCTTTGATCATAAAGTTCAGGTCGGGGATTTCCCAGTCGTGCCAATGTCTGCTTCTCTGCAGCCAGCAACGCCATAATCTTTATACGCAACCCAGGAAAAGCTTCTCGGATTCGACGGCAAAGAATGCTGGCCAGGAACTTCTTGAGCATTGCAGTACCTCGGCGTTGATGGGGAATTTCGACCCAAGGATGTTTGCTGAGAGTTGTCCTCTCTGTGTCCTCCCGGTCGATACCAGAAGTCGGGCCATCCTTGCTACGATTTTGGACAACAAACCAACCGTTGTCGAGTTTCAAGCCCTTAATTCCCTTCGCAACTTGAACAGTCTAAGTCAGGCCATTAGTGTTGCATTCACAAATGTTTGAGAATAGTTGATAGCTAACCTCCTCGGCACTCTCACTATCTGCTCTGTCGCATTTGGTAAATACTCCGATTACACGTGAGGGATTGATTTTTTCCAATCTGATTAGGTTCGCTATCGTTTGATTTGAGAGATCTTCATTTGCGGGTGCAACACAGCTGAGGATTAGGTGCCATTATTAGCATAGGATAAGCACTGGTATGGTGTGACTCTCACATGATAATGTTTTCTGGTTTCCGCATATATGAAGTAACCATTGCCCTGACTCCAGCCATTTCTTCTTCGGTGATCGTTTTTTCGTCCAGTATTGCGTCGAACACCCCAGGGACATCGAGTATGCCAAAGTGTGATCGATTAGGTCCCGACAACTCAATCTCTAGGACATTACTAGAGAAATTCTTCCTATTCGGTCCCTCTCCTGCAAGAATTCCCATGTGTTTGGTAGCCTGCATTCTGATTAGATGGTTCGGTTCTTACATGGAAGGTCCATTTTAACTCACTTTCTTTACAACATCCTCGAAAATTTCGGTCGTTATAGTCGTCATAGTCGGAATGGAAAAGCTGAAATTACCCGAATTGGTTTCATCTCCTTGGTAACCAAATGGATCTATATCTCCTGGCTTAATGGATATTTGTACATCGTCCGACGTACCCGGCTCTGTTCGTCTCGAGATAATTCGTGTCGCAAATCGAGTACACAGGCCGCCGCCGCCAACAGGGAAAGGGATGTCAGTCAAGCTTTGAAGCAAGGACGACTTGCCGGCTGATTGCTGTCCTACGATAACAAGCTATTCGAGGGTTAGATGTCTGGATTTCAATGAGCATATGTTGATCGTATACCTGAGGGAGATCGAGCTCTTGGCCAACACGGCATTCTCTTAGTTCGTCGATAGCATCGAAAAGAAGCTTGCTTTCCTTGCTATTAAATGGATCATCGGCCAACAACGTGATAGGCTCTGATACTGGGGCCTTTTCAGGTGTTGTCGTTGAGGACGATTGCTCCGGTGTGCTCTGGGTCCGACTTTTAGATTCACGACTCTGTTTTGCGCGGCGGGGAAGTGTTCCTGCTGAGGACTGACCCGAAACTGGTGTCTGGATCGGATTATCGGCCACTGGGGCTTGCGTTGCAGTTTCCATGATGATTATCTTGAGGTACAATGAAGTTGAAAACCAAGGGAAAAGACGAAGTGAAATATCGAGTGCCCGCCATACTTAACACCATTGGCACCTGCACATACAAATACCGCAGTAACTAACCTTCACATGGTCGCAGGCAGATCGCCCTGTGGCCTAGAGACGTGCATCATTTTGTTGGTTCCAAGCAATTTGTGCAAATCAGCAGCGTACCTGTACCGCCTAGGTCCGCGCTCAACGGCCCCCACACAAGATATGAACCATATTACTTCATTAGGCAGGCAAATTTCACCTATCATATCCCGTTGAAGCATCGGATCCCCCGAATTAGGTCTGAAACACCAACATGTCTCTTCTCCTGCAGATATTTCTCCTCTTGATGGATGGTCTGAAGTCTAATCGGCCGCAAGAGAGGTAAGCAAAGGAGGTGGCTAATGCGAAACGAAACGAAATGAAACAAATCAGAAACTAGAAATTCAAGCAGAATCACGGGGAAATCTGCGTCATAAATGTGATGTAAATTGGTAGTATAATTTTCGAGTTGGCTGGCATGGTTCGCTGACATAGCGTTCATAAGCCGGCTGGCTAGTTCATAAAAGCGCCCCCTTATCCTGTTCTTCAACATTTATATAATTGGGAAATGAGAGGTAGAAAGAATATGGCTGCCCAGTTTTTGAAATTAGAATTGAGATTTCTTGGAGCTGGAAGGCGGTAATTGGCGGACTGAGTTGAGGTTTGCGGTGAGATGAGGAATTTGGAAAGGTGGGGAGTTGTGGGGTTATATAGGTAGGTAAGGTATGTTGAGCTCCACAGTTCGTTAAGAGAATTGGCGTCTAAATGATGCTGAGACAGGAAACGGAGCATGTATGACGCACTGTTATCTTGAGGAATGTGTGACGCCAAAATTGCATTTACAGAGGGAAACAGGGCGACATACAATACATCAGCACGTTGAAGCACAAAAACATTGCATGCAGTGATAGGTGGAAGATCAAATATCTGTCGTGACAGATTTTCTACAAGCATCTAGCTATTCACACATTATCGACCCAAAGTCGCAAAACGCCTGACCTGAACATGGCATTATGTAAGGAGCTATCATGCAGAACTCTCCATCGCGTACATAGATACTCAGACAAAAAGACATCTAATTACACGCTCATATTGACACACCATCTATCAACGCTATCGCCATTTACAAAGCGAAAGCGATGACCAATCCACCGACCATAGCAAGACCGCCGGAGATGGCGTTGCCGGCAGCGGCGCTCTTGCTGGTCACGGGGGCGTTGGATCCGGTGGAGGAGGGGCTGCCACCAGTTGGGCTTCCAGTCTTGGGGGCTGATACGGTAGTCAGGGTGGAGGTGAGGTTGGAGGATGGGCCGGCGGTTGGGGCGGCGGAAGAGGAGCTGGTTGAGTTGGCGGTGCTAGTCGCGTGCGCAGTCGAGCTGGACTTCTTGGAGGACGAGGAGGTGGAGGTGGCGCTGGCAGTGCTGCTAGTGGAGTTCTTGGTAGGAGCAGCAGTTGAGGTGTCGTTGGCAGAAGAGGAAGAGGAAGATCCCCCGGTGATGTGGAATGGGAACGAGCGCTGGAATGTGGTTGGGTCGGAGTCGAGGGTGAGCTGGAAGCCGTATGTCTTGAAGGCGGAGGTAGATGGGACGGTCCACTTGAATTTACCAAGGCTGTTCTTGATTCCAGCTATTTCGCGTGTTAGTATATGGCCGAGTCATTTTGTTCTCGTTGCAGTAAAGTGGGAGACAAACATGCGACGGTCTCTCCTAGAAGGAGGAGCTTTGGGGCCTCTCCTTGCATCAGAGTAATTGAGATGGTTCCCTCGACAGATCCGGGGGTCCAGACGATGTCGAACGAGGATCCAGCGGGGATCTCTTGGTCTTGGGTGGGCGAGGTCATGACATCGAAGCCGGCAGTCTGGGCGACAACAGACGAGGCGAGAGCCGCAAGCGCGACGATGGTAGCTGAGAAACGCATTTTTGCAGATATACTTCTTGGTGGTGCGAGGGGGTTTTAAAGAGTGGACAGTATCAAAGATACAAGAGCTATATACTAAAAGAGTGGAAGAGTTTTGGTGTGGGATGAGAGAGAGGAGCAGCAGAAGAGGGAATGGGGGGGCAGCCCCTACACTTTAAAGCGCGACGCCCCAGAGCGAGGCGCAGGCGACAGCCAGAGCCTGGAGCCAACACGAACGGCATGCTGCCATTCGACGAGCGCTTCGTAGCCCAGGCTCGAGGGGAAATGAGCACCGGCAGGGCTGAGGCGAAGGCTTGATCCAGGAGGTCGTTGGGCTAAAATAAACTCCTCTCATCCCATCTATGATCTTACTGGCACCTCCACCATATAATATCCGATGGTATGCACCATGAGCATCTCAGCTTGAAGCCATAAGAATCTGACTGGATATACCCCGCATTATCTCATTCTTTCTTCAAACCACCCGGCAGACGGCAGCCAGTTCGTTCGGCCATTATTGCGCGCGTTCGCAGTTCACGTCTTCACTACGGAGTACTCACTAGGCTCGCTTCTGCTTTGGGCGGTTTCCTGGCATGGGCCAAATTACGGCTAAACGTCGAGCTTGGCAGGGACTTCCCGGGCGACAGGACGCAGTGCTCAGGGCTCAGGGCTCAGGACTCAGGGGCCGCTGAAAGCCTGAAACTGCCTCCAGAGCCCCGGAAGTGCCGTGTTTATTGAACTTGCTGTATTTGCTTCAGGGTGGTATTTTCGGCGGGTGGCGCATTGGCGGCGACAAGATGAAGAAAAAGCTGGAAAAGCTGGAAAAGCTGGAAAAGCTGGAAAAGCTGGAAAAGCTGGAAAAGCTGAAAAGCCTGCTGGTAATCTTAGCCACACACAGTCTCGAGATTAAGAAATAACGTCAATCGCTGCCTCGTGTGCAGCATCCCAGCTTCCAACGCACGATTCCTTGGAGATCCTGCAAAGTCGCGAATCACACATGTCTTACGAGTGCTGTACGGTCATTGGTCGGAATAAGTGTTCCGACAGCTCGGGTGGCCGCTTTGCAACAACAACAAGGCTCCGTGCAGAAAAACGGTTTCCTCGTTCTGTAATAATAATAGTACCGAAAGACTCACCAGGAGACGAACACTTCGCCCTAGAATAATAACGTTGCGACAGGCATACTTTGTATTTCCATAGTTACGAAGTATCCCTGATCCTAAGATCGATCAACGGCCCCGATAACCGGTGCCTGGCCGCTCTGTCAGAGACAAGCTTTCCAGGCGAAAATATCCACGCTAGTGGGAGTAGCGCAACCCTCGGGCCAAATATCGACCCGCTAATAATATCAAGGAGAACAGCACTATCGCGGATCAGAAGCCGGTCCTGTTGTGTCATGTTGGTTAGTTGGTTAGTTGCAACTTGCAAGGCAATTTAGTATGAACTTTCGACGGCCCCACGAATTTCGTGATCATAGTACGCATTATTACTTGTTATTTGCATCAATCCGGAACTGCCTTTGCCAAGCTACCGCGCACGTGACCCACCGCCGCTTTGTTCACCCTCGTTTCACCTCGTTCACCTCGCGATTACCTCCACTACCCGAAAAGCTTCAAGCTTCCAGACCGTTTAGCAGAGGAGGTTGTTGGTCGCATTCGTGGGATGAAGTGAACGACGTTTACTGCAACTGGCGCCGAAGGTAGGCCATTCCGGTACACCAGTTCCTTCGGACTGCTGGAACGGTATGAATCAATCAAGCAATCAGTTTTGCCGTTTATAGAATCAGTTATTCCCCAGTTAGCACTGCCATTGTTATGAAAGTCATAGCTTGCTTCTACATGCTGAAACGTTATCGCGACGAGGTACTTGATTTTACTGGATTTTTCTGCTGCGATCTTTGGCGCTCGTGGAACATTGCACATGATTGGCGCAAAACGAGTTGAGCTAGCAATGTCGCTGCAGATAGAATCAGGCTGAGAAATGTCTCATTCGAGCATTAATAAGCGCATCAAGAATATGCATTGTCGTTGGGACGCCAGCCGTACCTCTCAGCCCAACCACAGTGGAAGAGGAAGACTATGCGAAAATGACGGTGCTAGGCTCAGCCTCATCTCAGGATTCTTCACCTCTGCTCGTTCTCAACGTTTTTCTCTTCTGTCTGTTGATGCCAAAGAGCAATGGATAACCCGCAGAATGGCCTTCGAGTTCTCTCTCTCGGTACGTATCACGTCCTGCAATCTACCGCGCCCGTAGACGAGGCTCTGTACACGATGCTGACACACGAATCCCCAAATGTAGATGGAGGCGGGATAAGGGGTCTCTCTACTCTCTATATACTTGAGCGCATCATGTATCAACTTCGACCGACCGACGATCCAAAAAAACGAGTGAAGCCCTGCGAGGTGTTTGATGTGATAGCTGGGACTAGTACCGGGGGGTAAGTTCGCGAGGCTGTGAGTCTGGGTGCTTGAGGCAAGATTACTCAATGCGATTAGGTTGCTTGCGTTGATGCTTGGGAGGTTGGTAAGGATTAATCGTTGCGATCTGGCTTATTACCTCTCATTTCTAACATGTGATGTCAATCAGGAGATGGACGTTCAGTCGTGTATCAAGGTATACAAAGATCTCTCGTCCAAAGTCTTCACTCCACGAAAAAGGGTGGTGTTCGGTGGCAGCTTTCTTCATAGGCTGGCTGGCTCCGCTCCATTTTCCGCTGAGAAGCTTGAGGCGGAGATTAAGAAGGTTGTAGAGAATAATAGCCCGCTAGAGGATGGAGGTAATAAGACACCCAAGGCGAAGGGAAATGCAGGAGACGTTCCGCTACTCGTTAATCCAACCCAACGGTGCAAAGTGTAAGTATTTTCATCCATTTGAGCACTTTCTTATGTTTGGGGACGTGGAACGCTGCCTATTGAAATTCCCGCTATGCTGTTCTTAATTCCATGCATTCTTGGAAGCTTCCTTTTGTTAATTATAACTTTTCGCGCAGTTTCGTGTGCGTTACCATGGATAACAGCAAACCGCTTCGTCTCCGAAGTTATAGCTCCATGAAAGAGCCTGCCCTTGGTTGTAGTATCTGGGAAGCTGGCAGCGCGACCTCCGCTGCTCCAAGTTTATTCGACCCGGTGACGCTTAGTAACGGTGCTACACTACGAGATGGTGCATTATTGAATAATAATCCAATTCTCCAGTTGATGGATGAATTGAATGTGGAGTTTCCTGGTCAAAAAATTGCCTGCGTAGTCAGTGTTGGCACAGGCGTTGGCCAAACGAAAGTTTTAGGGAAAACTCTCATCTCGGTTGCAAAAGCCTGCGCAAGCATTGCCACCGATGCGAATGCCACAGCTCAACAGTTCAAAAGGTCATTCGCGTCAGAGAGCCAGCCGCTACACGATCGATACTTCCGTTTCGAAGTAGAGCAGGGGTTACAAGGCCTTGGGGTAGAAGAGTGGAAGCAGATGAATTTGATTTTCGGCGTCGCGAATGCATATTTGGATGATCGGAGAGAGGAGCTTAAGGATTGCGTTACGATTCTTCAGGAATCAACACCGATGTAAGCTCAGCGCAGCGATAGATGTCAGCAAAATGCTAAAGCTTGTAGGCTGTATGGTTCCCAAAAGCTTCACAACGAGTCCAAAGTGTTTCACCATGAATTTCTTGGTCTTCAGCCTGTGCATTATTTCGTGCCGAGAAAGGAAGACGAGAAAAAGCTGCGTCGACTATTGTTGACGACAAATGATAACAGACGACAGCAGCCAAGCGTCGTTGCGTTGACAGGTCTCGGTGGTGTTGGAAAGACGCAACTAATGCTCCAATATACGAAGGACTATCGAGATCAATTCGGAGCCATGTTTTGGATTGACTGCAGATCGGAGTTAACACTCTCGGAAAGCTTTCAGAACATAGCACGATTGCTCTCCTTGGGTACCGCAGCTAGAGTCCAACCACGAGAAGGAGAAACCGGGCTCATTAGGTTGGATGCACTCGACAATGTCAATGCTTTCAAGAGATGGCTACGAATGAGAATAAGTCCATGGCTCCTTCTTTTTGACAACGCCGACGAGCTGAGTATCCTCCGGTCTCTAGGCCGGTATTTCCCTACTGATGTATCTGGAAGCATCATCGTCAGCTCGAGACGACAAGAAGCGGCAGATTTATTTGGAAGCGATCGAGTCATGCAAATCGAAGGACTTCCGCCAGACTCTGCAAGAGATTTGCTCTTACATTTAGCCCGCATTAATCGACCCACTCAGAACCAACTGGAACAAGCAGGAGAAATTGTCGCCCAAATGGACCATCTTGCCCTTGCAATTGACCTTGCTGGGAATTATATCAAAGTTGTAGGGGACTTAGGCCAGTATGGTAGATTCTTCAGAAAAGAGCACGACAAACTTCTCCGAAAGGTCCTAGGAAAGGCAGCCTCGCAATCATATCCACATTCTGTGTTCGCTGCTTGGAAGCTATCCATGGAGCAAGTCCCTAAAACTTCCGCCCGACTATATCACGTACTCTGTTTTCTAGATCGGACCAACCTTGATACACAACTTTTTCAGCGAGCTTGCAGCTCTAAATGTCTCTTGAATAATGATGGTGAGCTGGTGGAAATCACTGCCGCAGTGGCCGGGATAGCACCTTGGATTCTTGATGCATATACTGACAGTAATGGCATATGGGATGAGCTGGAGTTTCTTGACAGTCTATATCCTCTGGAAGCTCTCCATTTCGTCCGTCGAAACGAGTTGATCGAAGGCCTATATTACAACGACAAGGCTGTGCCGACAGATCAAGATTCGGTACTCATCATTATGGAGCCGTTCGTACACGAGATCGGAAGGCTTATGCTGGATTTCGGAGAATTCTCCGACTTTGCCATTGACGCCATCACTCTCGTTTTGCACGGCTTAGAAAATGACGCAGAGCATACAGTTCGCACGCCAACTTCAGAAAGCCGATCTGATATCACAAGTCCTATTTTGACCCCTGATGGTGGCGCCTTTAATAGTCCATTCGATGCTAATCTCCGTCTCGAAGCTCTGTTTTGCCATTTGGTCGTTGCTCTCGAGGCTATTTATGGACACACTTTACAAAGTGATACCCTTACAGGTTTAGGACTCCCACTCGGTATGCATTCAATTTGGAACCACAAAATTCCTAGAGCGTCTCTATGCTTTGTGTTGCTCTTCGCCTTGAATTACCAAGGAAGACCAATTCGTTCCAGTTTCTCGTCCACTGAGAGATTACGGCGTGTGATCTTCATGGCTGATATGGCCTTTATCGTCGCACCACCACAATATGGACCTAGTCACTTACGGTACCTCATTGAGCTTAACAAGCATTGCTGGTCTTTAGGTTGGTCCATATACAACTTGAACTGTTGGATAAATATCACCGACGGGTCTGATATCCTAATTCCCAAATATAACGTCCCTGACCTGGACACTATCCTAATCAAATCAGGCAGTGCGGCACCTTCGTTCAAATTCAATTATGCATTTTTTTTCGCTGCTGTTTTGGAACGATCAATCTCTGAATGGCAGCAAGCAAGCTCATTCACAGTGAATGGCGGTACTAGAGAAGCCCAGGCGACGATCATGCAAAAAATTGCCATTAAAGCGCTACATCGATTATGGGAGCACACAGAGTGGCGCTCCACTACCAGAACTCCTACAGTTGTGCTTTCATCGGTGTACGGTTACCTGTTCGCTGCCGACAAGGCTGATGCTGGCAGATGGCCGGGTCTCCGGGATGATGTTGACCTGTTTTCAATTGCCGGCCCTCAACGCTTCGATGCCTTTTCCAAGACTACACTATATCGTCATATTTCTAGGAATCTAGGATCACCGTGAAGTATTAATTTGGGAAATTTAATTGCTGGTGGTTAACATCTAGCGTAGCTACGTGGTCAAGAGATTAGTCAAGCGTGGAGATGAGATATACCTCAGCTTCAGCTTGAAGTCCAGAACAAGAGTATTGCTCCAAAGCCATTCTCTACAATGAATGGTGCGAGGCTGTTTGTCATTGGTGGGGCCGCTGGCGAGTGTCTGACAAGTACTAAGTCATCGGCAAGTTAATACGCTGCTGATACTGTAGTAAATCACTCCGCTAATGTGAGTAAAGTACAGGACATTCGGCAAGCTTATCAACTAATTAGTTGACTCAAGTCGTTTAGGACATTCTTCATGTACTTTCCGGGGCAGATCGCTTCTAGTAGAGGTGCTCTTCGGAACGTCGAATACAAATCGCGCACTAAGCCTCTATTATTTTCATGACCTCGATTACCTCTTTGGTAAGAGCTCGATCCCTACTCAAAATGTTATCCAATTGCAAACCGCTGATAGAAAACAGGTCCTGCGAGTCTGTCGAAGATTGAAAACTCGTAGTGTGTAAACTGAAGCATACTCTTCGTCATCTTCATCTTCTCGCTATTCTGAGCGGCACCAGCAGTGGCAGGTAATCCGACGGGAGCTCCCAGTGGGTTAGGGATGCTCCGTAAATCCTCGTTTAGCAACCATTGGCGATCATCTTGAATAAGTCTCGTCGATTATATGGGGCGATAATAGTAATCTAGATCAGAATTGTTTCAAATGTCTAAGTTCGCGTTTCCAGATAGTAGCAAGGGGCTCCATCCGGCTTTGAAGAGTGTCCGGGGAAACGAAGCATGCTGTCGCGCCGGCAATGGTGAGAGGCATGTCTTTCGGTGGTCTGAGGGTGGAAACGATAACTAAGGGCCACTGATATCTGATGGATTGGGCGTCGTACTTCTGGAAAATCTGTTCTTGCTCTGCCTTTGATGGCCATCCGTAATGTCCGTTCCCGCAAAGATCTAGAAGATCTAGAAGATTTCGTCCAAGATATCATTGTCCAGGCGCGAATGCTAGCACTGCACTATCTGAACACGCGCAAATCCTGACTGCTTACCAGCATCTCGACGCCCAACTTCGCGTCACTCTACTCGCTCCTACTGGCACAACACGGATGACTGATTTCATTAAGCAACTCACCGCGGCCAAGTCAAACTAGTTTGATATCTATCGACCTGTCCCACAACAACAACAACTACCAAGTAAGATGTATTTCAATTGGGACCACAGACCGCAGACACTCCAGTCAAATCGTTTCCAATCTCAGTCTAATCTTCCTAATCGTCCGGGTTTACAATCACAACGTCCAGCTGCGCAGTCGCAATTGTATTCTCATCGATAGTCACGTGCGTTGACGTCCCACAGAGAGAACTCGAAATCATCATACTTGTGCCGGGAACCTTGACCGTATTCTAAGACCCACCTCCAGGAAGTTCCCGAGTTTGGAGTTAAGTGAATCATAGTGCGCCATATACATCACGGCCCATCAGGGTCGGCGCAAAATTAATGCCCTTGGTGACTTCAGGCGAGTTGTTGTAAGCGAAACGGAATAGGGGGGTATTCGCCAAGCCTTAGTTAGCTCGCTTAACGCCACGGAGTAAATTTTTATTTTTGCACAAGTCATGTGACTTTCATATCACGAGATCTTATGTAAGGGCAATCCGGAATTTTTTTTCCTTAGCGGGATATCTTTATCTATCGGTCAAGGAACAAAAACATCATCTATATCGATTTTTGCTCAACCTCTCCTACCCAACCGCCAAGATGAAGTACGTCCTAGTATCAGGAGGTATGTATGCTGTCATTTATTTCTCAAATTTTTGGCATTAACATTAAGCTAGGTGTGATCTCCGGAATTGGCAAGGGGATTATAGGTACTGCCCGCCAAGAATGTCGAGCCTCGTTATATCCTCACTAACGGCCTGCGTGCTTTCAGCCTCCTCGTCTGGCCTGCTCCTAAAAACTTTGGGTTTAAAGGTCACTGCGATCAAGATCGACCCGTATCTCAATATCGACGCAGGTTTGGCTGGTTTTCTCATAGGAAGGAGACCGAAGCTAACCTCGCAGGTACTATGAGCCCCAAGGAACATGGGGAATGCTTCGTTCTCAAAGGTAATTCGCTTCACTCCATCTAAACACCCACGTTGCTAACACCCTCATAGATGGGGGCGAGAGTGATCTTGATCTTGGAAACTATGAAAGGTATATCACTTTGTGTTACTATCTTCCGGATGCGGACTAACTCTACTACGTAAGGTACCTGAGCCTTAATCTCACAAAGGAGGTCAGTTCTTTCTTTTCAATAGACCCAACAGCTTATGCCGGCCTATTAACATATACATTCCCAGAGCAACATCACAACTGGAAAGATCTACAAGTATGTTTTTCAGCTCACTCTCCAAGGTAGCATCTTTGCTAATATGGACTTCTGCTAGCCACGTGCTATCGGAGGAAAGGAAAGGTACTTACCCACCACATGTCTTAAGGTGTTAAGTGGTCGCCACTAGTAGAGGTACTAATTATATCAATAAGGCACGTACCTGGGCAAAACCGTACAGGTCGTCCCTCACATTACCGATGCAATCCAGAATAGCATCGAACGCGTTGCCAAGGTCCCAGCAGATGACTCAGGAGAGGAACCGGATGTGTGTATTAGTATGTCTTGTGCCTGAATATCGCAAGAAAAGCCCTTTGCTGACAGATTCTTCTCTAAGTCGAACTGGTATGTGTCCACAAGCCAAAAAGGGCAGGCAACTTGCTTGGATATCTCCTCCCATTCTTCTGTTTGAGACTTACCGTCTGTTAGGGTGGTACTGTCGGCGATATCGAGAGTATGCCCTTCGTTGAGGCATTAAATCAGTTTCGGCAGAGGGCGGGCAAAGGAAACTTCGTCAATATCCATGTGTCTTACGTGCCAGTGTAAGTCCTATCTATCCTTCAAGGCCCTGATCAAGAGCAAGAATAGTCTTCTCTAAACTAGCAATTTTCCGAACCCTCCCTTGACGGGTGATTACTGACTTCTATTGATGGCAGGATACACGGAGAGGAGAAAAGTAAGCCGACTCAACACTCGATTCGTGGCGCACTTCAAGCGTGAGTTTCTCCCCCTGTGTTACTTAACCCTTTTCCCCCTGTCGTTCCCACGAATTTATAGTTTCGAGTTCTGCCACTGAAACAAGTCACCCCCTTGAAATATCTCAGATATATGATCGCTGATTAGACTTGTTTTAGGGGCCTCATCCCAGACTTTGTTAGTACCCAAATTCTATATTAGGGTACCAGCTGACAAGAGGCAGATTGCGTGTCGTTGCGAACGTCCACTTGCCACAGATACGATCCAGAAAATTGCCCGCAGTTGTCATCGAGAGGTTGAGCAAGTGCTTACTGTACGAGACATGAAGACCGTCTATGAAGTGCCGCTCCTTCTTGAACAGCAGGGCCTACTCAATCTATTTACGGGGGCCTTGCAACTTGATAAACTAGCGATCTCCCCGGCTCGAGTCGAAAAGGGCGCAGAGCTATGGCAGTTGTGGAACAAAACCGTTCTCCCCAAACAGCATCTGGATCAAGTTGATATTGCCATAGTTGGCAAGTATGTCGAAACTCATGATGCTTACCTTTCAGTCGTCAAGTCATTAGAGCACTCGGCAATGCGGTGCAACAAGGCTCTCCGTATCAATTTTGTTGACGCTGAACACCTGGAAGACTCTACACAGGAGAGTGATCCTACTAAGCATGACAAGGCCTGGAGTGTGGTTCACAGTGCGAATGGTGTCGTTATTCCAGGAGGTTTCGGAGAGCGAGGTGTTGAAGGAATGATCAAAGCAGCAAATTGGACCCGAACAAACCAAGTTCCGATGCTGGGAATATGTCTCGGCATGCAAGTCGCTGTTATTGAAGCAGCGCGGAATCTCTGTGGTAACAAGAATGCTACGTCAGAGGAGTTCAAAAGCCACTCTAAAGACTCGGTTATAATTTTCATGCCGGAGGGCAGCAGAACAGAGAAAGGGGGAACGATGAGGCTTGTATGCAACCCCCAAGGAGTCTTAAAGTCATAGTTACTAACTAGCGCCATCTAAGGGATCACGGCCAACGCACTTTCAGCCTGGAAGCGAACGGAGCAAGCTGCGGGCATTGTATGGATATGCAGATGTGATCGAAGAGCGCCACCGACATCGCTATGAAGTGAACCCGGACCATGTGGAACGGTTGGAGCAAGCTGGTCTCGATTTCATCGGCAAGGACGACACGGGAAACCGCATGGAAATTGTTGAACTGAAAGACCACCCCTGGTATGTCGGCGTCCAGTTTCATCCCGAATACCAGAGCAAGGTATTGGACCCGTCACGACCGTACCTCGGCTTCTTGGCCGCCAGTGCAGGATGCCTCGATCAGATCACGCAGGAGCTTCTGCAGGACACTAATGGCATTCTCAATGGAGGGGGTGAAAGTATACATTTCTAAACGCATACTCCGTGACGGGTTGTAGCAGAATCGCCTAGCAATTCCATTTCATGGGAAAGAGGCGCATTTCGTAGGGAGAGGCATAAGTCGCGGGGAGAGGCACATTCCGTGAGGAAGGGTACCGAATGAAGCCAATTGCCTAACTCTATATTCGTGACTACTTGGCCATCTTTAGAAATTTTAGTATTGGCAGTATTCACTATGAGCTCTCGAGTCAGGGCGTTGGCATTCAATAAAACAAAATTCTACCACATAACACTGTGGAATTCGCACGAAGAAAGGTGCTCCATGGAGTTCAATAAGCCAGCCGGGTGACTTTGGCAAGGGAATTTACAGTAACTAGAATACATAAGACTAAGTATCTCAGTGGCTCTGAGACATTGTAACCAACTTTTAATTAAGATCAAGATGGAAGGAGTTTTTAGACTTACTAGCCTCATGATGGTCCCCCTCATATCCCTCCCCTCTTTAATCCGCGTTCGTCAGACTGCTGGATTCCACCCCACCCCCCCTATTGCCCTACGTTACGCCTGCATGTAGTTCCGGTATATATCCCTTTAGGTAAGTTATATAACGTAGGTATATAATAGTCCTCGTAGTCGGTTATTATAAGTAGGTGTATATATCGGGCGTCGCTCTAGAAGTATTATATATAAGAAGTATAAGTCTACTATAGAAGATAGTAGAGAAGTTAAAGTAGAAGTATAATTTATTAGTATTTCGTTTACTCTAAATTTCTAACTCTTCCTTATTTCGAATAGCTCTCGAAGAACCTATAACTTAGATCTATTATTAATTAGAACGAAAAAGCTAAGTTACTATATATTTAGTTTTTAAATTTAATAAGTAAGAGTCTGAAGTTTATTAGATTCTAAAAGGTGTATATTATTACTATATATACTAAAGCTAAGCTAATAGCTATAATTATAGTACTTTATAATATAGCTACTATAGAGTGAAGATATTATACTTACGTTATAGTGAGAGATATATAGAGTTATATAAAGTAGACTGAAGGGGGGATCGAAATCGGCTCCCGCGGAATCGGATACTCCTATTAGGTTGCTATCTATTTTACGAAGTATAGAAGCCACAATAACTGGATCTCATAAGTCTTTCCTAGCTGTCAAAATCCGAGCCTTCCTCCATGTCCGAAGCCACGCTCTTGTCCGAGGTACTCCTTCTTAGTACATGGCACCGAGCACTTAACTATAGCTCTAGATTACCGTTCGTTCCTTGATTCTGAAGCACCGCCTGCCGTCCGTGTTCTCTGCGTTCTCTGCACTCGTCGCTCTGGGCGCACCTGACCGGGCCTTCCTGCCTACGCTTCGCGACCTCGGCGGCTCCTCGAGCAGTCGCAAAGTCGAACGTCGCTTTCCATTCGTCTCCGTTGATAGCATTGTCGCCATCGTCGTCGAGAACAGCGAGGACGTCCTCGACAACGATGTCATGCAGCGCATCCCAAAGCGCAGCCTTGAAGCGCGCGTCCGTCGCTGAAGTGCCGGTTAGTAGAAGCTCGGTGATGCGCGGTTTGAAAGACACAACAAGCTCGCGGATCCGGGCGGAGACGGTGGCCCAATATAGCTCGCCGTCACTCTCGGGTGCGATGGCAAGCCGAACTTCCTCGCGCGCGTGGCCCAGATCCGGATCTACAAAGGCCGCGTCCACTGACCCGTCCCGCGCACTGCGTAGGCTCTTGATCGTGCCGCTCAGGCTCTCGCGGTTGAAGTCGATGTGCAGGACACGCTGGAATGGGAAGCGCCACTCCTCGCGCTCACACGCATATGCGTCCGTGTAGGTGGTGCAAAGGCCCCGGCCATAGCCTGCGTACGCTGCTGATGTCGCGTATAGGTCCTCGAGCGAGTCTGGCTCGGCCATGAGGTTTTTGAGCTTCAGATAGCCGAAGACGTCGTTGATCTCTTCGTCTGTCAGCCGGATGCGGTCTGGTGAGCTGAGCACCGCCGCGGCGATAGGCTGCTCTCCGCCCAGCCAGGTCTGCGTCTCGTTGTAGAGCGCAGCGACCATGGCGGCGAGGATGGCTGTTTCTGGAGTCGCAGGGCGGCCGAGAAGCTTGTTTAAATGGCGTTGCGCACGCGCCTTCACGTACTGTAACTTCTCCCAGTTGGAATCAAAATGCTCCGGCGTGCGGTTCATCGGGCCAGTCGCTAGGCGGCGGAGGAGAGCAGTGTACGAGGCATCGCCTTCGACCAAGGCAATCCGCTGATGAGTGCCGTCGTGGAGCCTGACAACGGCAGCGCTGTTATGTCTTGATTAGTCTGCATCTATAGAGGGGATACATAGATATTCCATTACCCGTGACTGGTCTCTAACGCAAACCCGATACCGGGTGCTCCAATCTCCTCGTCGCTCGGACATCTCTCGCATCTGGGCAGTGGACATATGCGATAATAGTCTTGCGGCACATCGATCGACGCGCCACCTAGGACAGCCTGGCTCGAACTGACTAGATTGAAGAGGCCGAAGATCATGAACATGGACGTCCAGGTGGATGGTCTGAGAGGCATCTTGTTCAGCAACGGTGGCAGAGCAATATTATTGAGAAGTGAGGGGATGACCGAAAGTTCTCGTAGACTCAAGTAGGGGTAGTTACTTATTCGTATTCTTTTTCCCAAAACAAAAACCTACAGGATCGGGCTGTGAACTAACTGTTGGTTCTGCCATGGACTGTTTAGTTGTGGCGGGCGGGTCAGCATACGAGTACCCTTGACACCTGGGTAGCATAGGTAGCATACGAAGAAATTAAAGAATGCTTACAACTAACAGCATACGATGTGCCTATCTATAGACTTTGTCAAGATCCTATTATAGTTTATTCAGTATGCAGCACCTGGCAGTAATGTCTGGGCCAACCCCTATATTTAATTATAATGTACCTATACATATGAAGAGCGGTGCATGGGTACTATGAAACAGACCATTATCCTCTTCTACGCACTCCTCTTCTGCGCACTCCTCTTCTACGCACTATTCTCTTCTGCAAGTGCCTGGCCCCTTTGCGAAATTGCAAGAACATCATATTCTCGTCGTTATATTGCTTATTATTAGCAGGATGCGTACGAACTTGAAACTTATGGAATTGATATGACGAATCCTGAACAGCTTGATGATGCAGCCGATCTCACCGGGAAATCGAGAACTTTAGAGCTAGATTCTTTGCCATATCTTAGAACCGTCATCGACGAGTCCTTGCGTATGTGGCGTCCAACTAGCACACCTTTACCACGTATCACACCGTCAGACAGAACTGTATCTGTGGCAGGTACTGACAACCCACCGGCAACGCGCATCAATGCTTTTCAGTGGTTTGTACATCGAGATATGACTAAATGGGATCGGGCTCATGAGTGGTGTCTGGAACGTTGGCTAGGACGCCGAGAAACCGACAAGAAAACCGTCCGAGAGGATGTGCTATGGGCCTTTGGAAGTGGTCCCAGGATGTGTCTGGGTAGTAATTGGACTTAGTACGGTATGTTTCTCCAAACGGAAAATATGTGCTTCTATGTCAAGACTCGCTAACGAGATGAATCAAAGCTATGCAACATGTCCTTGCCGCCGTTTGTTCGAAGTTTACTTTTACAGCATTACCTCGCTTGGAAGGTCAATGCTGGCCATGATCCCCAACAGATACGCTTCCGATCAAAGTGTCTTTGCGAGAATGATAATCCAGTTGGATTGCAAAAGATAGGAAGCTTTCTTTCAACCTATTTTTAACTTGATTTAATTCATTTCTTTTTCAAAAAAAGAAAAATCTCGTACTTCGATTCTCCAATATAACACAAATGAAGCCCTTTTTAAAATCTGAGTAAATATATAGTTAAAAGTGAAAAATCGATATTATAATACGTACGGAACGCGATTCCATTATCGAGCCAAGTTAAAAAGTGAAGTGTAAAAGTCTTAGCGAAGAGAGCAGTTTCATTCTCTGCTTATAAGCCTCGGGTTCCCGCTTCGTAACATACGACGCACTAGATAAACACTTCCCTTTTCTCTGTTGAGTTTTCTCTGAATGGGAAAGATTTATAATTCTAAAGAAAGCTTTTATAGTACAACATTGCTGGTCCGCCGATATCAAATGCAATATCAGTTACCCATATATGTATCATGAGAAAATACAGCCTCCAGCCCAATAATTGTGTATCCTGGCCGCCCCCGACCAAGACTTCCAACATCAGCACTTTCTGAATTCGAACTTAAACGGGCCTTGGCCAGGATGGTTCTCATGCCCTCAATCTACCTCATTTCAAGCTCGGATTTCCTAGCTACGTTCTTTTCCAACATCCTCATCTCTCTCGGCCTTTTTGACAGAATTCCAGTCCATGACTAGTGCAGCCACCATTCCCAAACAAACCACGGCTACACAACTCCAAAAGGTTCTTGTGACCGCAAAGTTATAAACATCGATCACTTGTGACTTATCTGATGCGGGTACAGTTTGCAGGAGATTTGTTGCCCCCTGTTTGATGATACTGTCAACGTCTACATCAGGTATGTTCAAAAGGCCTTGTCGAAGGAGGTTCATGAAAATGTTTTGTGAGATGGAGATGAAAAGCGCAGCACCGGTACTGATGGCAAAGGCAACAGCTGTCATCCCAGCAGGAATATCCTCCACAGCAAGCGCAGTTTGGATAGCCGACCAAGGTTGGGGGATCGCCAGTCCCATTCCGATACCATACATGACTTGCCACCCAATCCATGCGGAGCGTCCTGTGTTTGGCTTGAAGCTTGTGAGGAAGCCGAACCCGATAGCCATCATGGTAGACCCAAGCAACATGAGAGGTGTGTAGTAGCCAATAACAGAGAGGATGAAGCCAGAGCTGATAGCAGCAACGGAGAGGGAAATAATAGACGGGAGAAGCATCTGTCCAGACTTAGCTGGTGAGGCATCTTTGATTGCTTGGAACCAGATAGGCAACTTTGAAGATATATGTTAGTCATAGTTGTCCACGATTTATTGCATTATGATTTGAAATGACTTACGAAGTAATCTGTGAGGTTAAAAGCCGCCGATGCACAGAATGCATACAATACGCATAGTCCTACAGTTTTGTTAAATAAGACAGACCGGGGGATAATGGCGCTTTCTCTTCGCAGCACCTCTAGAGCAACAAAAACCGCAAACGCAACTCCGGAGACCACCAAAAGACCAATAATTCTTCCGCTACTCCAACTGTAAGTGGTGCCACCCCATTCAAGAGCCAGTAATAGACACACGATGCTTCCAGAAAATACAAAAAGATGGAGAAAGTTAAGCTGCTTGAGTTTGGAAACGACGGAACCTTCATTAATTTTCTGATTCTGCGAGTTCTTGAAGAAAAAAACAAGAACAACAATCGTGAACCCACCTACTGGCATATTGAGCCAGAAGCTTTTCATCCCAAATGTCATTAGCATGTAACTCGGCCAGAACAGAGATTGGATTAATTACCACCATCTCCAGCTGACATATGTTGTCAGAGCACCTCCAATCACCGGTGCTACAATAGATGCAATGCATTCGAGAGCTCCAACCGTACTATTGTAAATTGGTCTTAAGTGAAGTGGAACAGAATGAGCGATCGCGCTGGCACAAGTCCAAGTTAGAGTGCAACACAAAAATGGACAGAACTTACATAAAAACTCCAGTAATAATTCCGGAAGCGCCACAACCAGAAATAGCCCTTCCAATTATGAATGCAGTTGAACTGGGTGCTGCGGCAGACACGATGGACCCAAGTTCGAGGATGGCTACGGCCATGGCCAAAACCCATTTCACTCGAAATTGCTCGTAGAGTTTCCCATAGAAAAACTGCGTTGAACATGTTGTGAGCCGGTCTAAAACTCTCATCAGCTGAAATGCCAAGGCGAACCGTAATTGACTTCTGTGATTCTGTGTAACCTACATGCTGAACCATACCACCCGATGTCTGTCAATGCATGGAATTCATTCGAGATGGTGGGAGTCGATGTCCCTACGATGGTATTATCCTAGGATTTTGGGGTCAGCAAGTGTTTTTTAAATGGCGACAAAAATACTTGCGAGACCTATAATGAAAATCGCGAGTCCCATTGCTATCGCAATAGGGAACAATTCCCACGGTCCAAGATACTCTGGTTCATCTCCATCCGCCTGTGCATTCGTTGTCGAAATTGGCTCGGCGTCGGTAGTGTTGATAGTTTTCTCATTGCTTTCCATCGGATCAAAGTTGATGACATTACCTGTAACACCCGTTGTTGAAGTGTCCATTCTGATGAAGAAAGCTGTTGTACAACGAAAAAGGTAGCCAAGAAAGGCGAGAGCTTGGGGATCGAAACGAATGGGCAAATGAACTCAAGCGGCTATTGGCGCTGCTGCAGTGCTGCAGTGAGACAATGCAGAGAGCGGAATTGAAATAGCTAACCGATATGCAGATACCGGAATTGTAAGGATCCAGCTCATTCCGACAAAGCTCAGACCGGGAGTCTGGTTTTTGGGGGGGGTTTTGGGTTTTTGGATTGGAAAAATAATGCACATTTATTTCATACTTTCACTATGGGTACGAATATCGGGATACGAGATGTTCCAACTTATATTTATTTTCCGATAATCCAACTAATTCTTTCCATACATCCCTACTTCATTAAACATTGAAGATTGTTGCATAAAACACTAAGACGAGATAACGAAGCTGCATTTGCATAGAAAATGTACTGGCTATCAGAGGTCAGAGTTCTTGACAGAGGAATTTCTGAACGTCTTTCTCCCAGAATGGTCGCTTCTTGTAGTCACCAGCTTTATTGGCATTGAATCAATGGCATCAGCAAGTTCGACTCCATTGCCCTCCTTGACAATGTCACGCAAACTAGTCATGTAAAGCCTTACACCAAAGACTATAGCCTTGGTTTTTGGGAGAACCTTGAGCGTTTGACGCGCATAGCGTAGCCAGCACTGGTCAATATCGATCGCCTCTGTCTCATCCGGCATAGTGTGACCTTTTCTGGATAGAAATTGTTTCCGTCCAACGGAATAGGTCTTTTCCATCGACCTGGAGACTCCACTGTATAAGGTGGGTAGGGTTAGAACGGTGGCAATAGCTTGAGTGCAAAAATACAGGAAAGGGGAAGTGGTTACGTTGAAAAGTTGCCAATTGTCGCCCGCCTTCATTCGAGTCACGAATCTATCGACGCCTTTGGCGATTCTTTCCTGGTAGTGAGGGACAGGGCCGTGAATATCCTTGAATGACATGCCGATGCGTGATGGACCGTTATATAATAAATAGAAGGTATATAGTAGTGAGAAGCTTAAGTAGAAGTTATATAACTATAAAACGTTTATACAAGAGATAGTAAAGTGAAAGTTATAAAGTAGGAGTTAGTAAAAGAGTTCTAAATAAAAGATAAAGAAGTATAAGTACACTGTATATTATTGGGCGTTTATAGCTTGGGAGGATTACTCGAGATAATTATAAAGAGTCTGATATTTTAGCAGTAATTAATATATATATAAATTCGTTTTCCTAGCCCAGCTAAATATGTCCTTGTATACCCGATCCATAAACTCCAACGCAAGCCAAAAGAAGAACAAGACTCAAATCAATAACCACCAATCTGGCCCTTAGGTATGGGTTTAATCCAGCACACAGTAAGATTAATCGCAATAGTCATAACACCGATAATCCACATCGTCTTTCCGTAGTCCTGGCCCTCATACCGGAAGATAATCGCAAAGACAATGCCACCGAGGTTACCAAACGCACCCGTGACACCAGATATAATGCCGTTGGCAAAGGGATGGATGTGAGGCACGAGGGCGAAGTTGGCACCATTGCCAGCCTCTAGGAAGAAGGCCATGCCGGCGAAAAGACCGAACATCGTAGTTTGGGAGTGTGAGTCTGTAACTCCGATGGCGATCAAAAATGCCCCGCAGATGATGGCTAAAGAGTGTATCCAGATCTTCTTGGCCCACACCGAGTGAGTTCTTTTGTAGATTATGTCTGCGATGACGCCTCCAAGGGGCCGGAAAAACACGTTGAGTAACCCAAACATAGCGGCCCATTTACCGGTACCCGTCTGGCCTAGAGTAGGGAAGTTCTTCAGGTAATAAGAGCCTAAGATGGAGTTGATGGCCAGTTCCGCGCCGAAGGAGCAAAAGTAGCACATCGCGATCATGACGGTTTGTGGGCTGAGAATCACGGCCAGGGCTTCATGAAAGGAAGGCTTGACGACGACTTCACCTCGAGCAGCGTCGAGCATCTCTTGCGCGCCCATCGAAGTCTCATTGGTGAAGAAGCCGTGCTTGGCCGTGGCGAGTTCGGCTTCTTCATCGAGGCGTTTCTCCGTGGATGTGGGTGTTGAGTCACCATTGTTCGGCTTTTCGGTGATGATGCCGGGGATGTTTACCACGTTCGAGGCCCGCACACCATGTGCTTGCAGGTTTTGTTGCACAGCAAGGTGGCGTTCAGACCATTTGCCAGTTGGTGTGTCAGGGCAAGTAACGAAGAGACCAATTGCTACGGCAGTGATCAGGATGAACGGCGCGATGAAGGACACTCTCCACGCAACATGTTCACTCAGGTGTTGCCGACTGCGGAGCGAGTCGTAGATGGCGGGCATGACGAAGTAAGTGATTCCGCCACCAGCATTACCAAGTCCAGCCGTGAGCGCGTTGGCTGACCCCACCACATTCTTGTCGAAGAAACCAGTTGACCACACCTGGCAAGGAACGAATGTCCCACCGAGGATACCAACAAAGAATCGAATAAAATAGAGACCCGTGGCATTGTGGATTGTACCGGCGAGTGCACTCGGGATGGCACCGAGCAGCAGGCATGCAGCGAATGTAACCCGAGGACCAAAATAATCACAGGCGGGTCCAGCCACTAGTCGAACGAGGAGACTACGAAGGTTTGTCAATAAATAAAACGATAGGGGGTGTAAGAATGATACTTACGTGGCTGTGAGTGCAATAATGTTGGAGTTGGCAACCTCTTTTTGACTTAATTTGAGATCGTGCTTAATGACTTCGGAGAGCTGGGGCGAGTTAGAGTTGATATATGAGAAGGGTCTCGGCTTAAGTTACCAATGGTGGAAACGCATACCTACATCATGATTAGTCTGGAGCTAGGTCCAAGAGCAATTCGATCGAAGACCTACCAAGCCAGGAAAGCAATCATGAACCCAAACCACGAGAAAAAATAGACTCTCCCATACTGGTTGAACGGGTTTAGGACTGGGATCGAGTGGGCCTTCCGATTGACTGGGTTGACTTCTGGTGCTTTCCAGAGTGTAGTGATGCGGAAGCCCATGATGACGCTGCCGTAGTCTGTCCAACTTACGACCCAAAATTAGAACGGGGTGGAGTACACTCGTCTAATTTAGAGAAATGAGGGATGTTTTGGCAAAAAAGGGTGATATAGATTACAAGTTTCCTGGTGCAATAAAATACGGAAGTGGACTGGATTCGAATGCTCTACATCTAGAATTAGAGAGGGTATCTCCATGGCATTTATAACCACTGATGAGGGATGTCAAGACCAACTGAAGGCATCTTTGATAGAGTTATCAACAACACCGCCTCTGACTATTATTTTCGAACAGCAACTCCGCGGACTGCACACCGTGGAGGTTTTGAGATCGCGAGATTACGGGTCCAACTATGCAGAAAGCCTAATTACTGGAAGACAGTAATATCAGCGCAACCCCCGGCCGCGATCGGTCCAGGCGGGGGAAACCCAGCCTGTAAGGGGATTTCGATAAGAGCTGCGGCGAGTGGGTGGCTCTGGATAAGATATTAAGAAAGTGGATCTCTGTAGAACAAAATCTACTGGGCCTTGCGGCAGAGGTGGCCCGTGGAGGTAGAGATAGTAAGATAGCAGACAATCAAGGGTCACTATGGCAACTTGCTACAGCGGACTCCGAAGTGGGAGACAACCTTGGTTATGTGTATACAAAACTCGTCTCCTCCACTTGAAAATCGTTGACTTGCCCGTTAATCAATAGCCTATATTTTGTATGGGCTGGGGGAAATGGTAAATGATACAGTATAGCTGAAGGAGAGCATTGTACGACGCTTTGATCCCGGATATTACTCTGATGAAGCAAGCACTGCGGCTCCAAATTCAGTATAATCTGTGCGGTTACTACTTAGTGATGATACTACCGATACGTCGAGGCGCCGCACATCTTACAAAAATTTGGTTGGCTTATCGGTGATAATTCGAACGAGTAGGAAGGGTTGTTTACGACGTCGCCACCCAAGGCATCGACTTCGATTGGGGGACTGAACACGTCTTGTTTCATTAGTACCGGTGAGCAGGAATTGGAATAATTATAAAGCAACCGCAGATGAATTCTGAATTTGTGATGAAGCTGGGATTGACTCTTGAGTGCGTGGGGGTTCACGAGGAGTAGAAGGCCCATTCGAGCTTGTCTTATCTCTACTGCCGACCCCAAGGGAATCCCCAGCTGTCCACACCAAAGATAAGAGGGCCATGCAGAGCAGTGAAAATTGGGACACCCCTATCTGGGGCCGCTGATGATGATTACCCAGTTCGCAGGCGCCCGGATAGAGTCGACCGAACCCAAACACTCTAGACGGGAGGAAGCGGAGCAGGAAAGTATATCTTGGTCCGAAGCCACCCATCTCGGGTGTGAACGGGGAGGATCTTGCTGGCATTGGGCACCAGTCTCAGTGAACACAATGATAACCCATCTTGAATTGGCTTCTATTTTTGCCGTCTTGATGTTGTGCCTGGCCGACTGGCGTCACCCTTATCGCTGACCTCTAGCCAATCAAATGGCTGTAGGATATTTCCCGGTATCGCCCCTACAAGGTACCAGCCCGCACGCCACGATTGAGTCCGATTGATAGATAGAGGATGGGCATCCTACTCAATTGGGAGTAGACTGATTGAGTGCGGTATGGCACAAAGACCGTTGTTGAGCTGAAGGACGACATTTTCCCCAAAGGGACCGTTGGAGAGGTACTGTAATAGCGAGTATCCCGGGCACCAATGGCCAAGAGAACGTGGTAACTTGTGCTGGGAATGGCCAGGCCTCCTTTTGCCACAAGACTTGCAATATCAGTCTCCACAACACATTCTTCGTCGCACAGCAGTCTCGGCATTCATACCCAAGAGCTCATTCAATTTAGCTGCCGCGCCCGGGGACACTAGGTGATAAGCGATCGCAACCCCAGAGAAAGGCAGCGCAGTTGGTGGTTGTAACGACTATGCAATTAATGTATCTGCTGAGAATTTCCGTGGCATTGGCATAGGCAATAGAGAAAGAGCGTGGAAGCGGCGGTAGGGACCGAATGGCAACCTTCTACTCATAAACCACGGCAATTGATAGCTGCTGTGCTCGAGTACCGGCGATTGATCGATTAAGGCCGGGCCAACAAAGTTGAGATGATATCCAAGCATGGCGCATCATTCCATCTATCGCGTAGTCCTCAGCTCACAGGAGAATATTCAGGGAGTAGAGCAGAGCAAGTCTCGCTCGAAATGGCAATCTACTTTGTATGGCAACCACAACGTGAAGCCGAAGCGAGGACTTGGCGGTGAACGGATGGTCGGTGAGACCCCCGCCAATGTCACGTGCCACAGTTTCACAGACATTCACGGATCGTGAACTTCACGCGTAGCGACGCGAGGTACATATGGGAGATACGAATCTCGCAACAAATGGACCATTTTGCCCTCCCACTGTCAAGCCAGATATACATTATACCAATGGACCCATACAGACATGTTTATGACAACGAGACCTCATGACTCGACATAACCTGGCCGCTCACATCTCTTGGTTGTTGTCCCATCAAGTTGCTCCGCACACCGGTGTTTCTGTGACGATCCACGCGAATACCGACTCGACAGCGGCGGCACAAACTGGAAATGCGGATATTTGGGACGAGGAGATAGAGCAAGAGGCACCAAGGATTCCTCCGACCCCGTCGCGGAGTCGACAGACAGAAAATACAGTCAATGTCGGGCAGGCTTTCGTTCGCCCACCGTTGCCGACCTCGATTGCTCCCAGATCACAATCCCGGAACGCTGCAAATGATCTAGGGGAAGAGACTTCGATGGGGAAGCCTGTTTCTGCCACCTGGCCGCCTCGGCCAACTCTCATGAGTCAAACCCAGCTTGCTACTCCCGCATCCACCACCGCTTCGTCGAGTCTAGGACAAAATTATTCAAGGCTTCTGCGAGACAACAATGGTCAGTCCATGCAGATAGGAGTGTTTTCTGCCACCTAACTGACAATTTTAGCTGCGCCCTCTGCAAGAACCCCACTCGACCCTTCATTCTCGAAGGCCCCAAGGCAATTACATACGCCCCAGACCCCGCGACAGTCCCCATACCCGGCCTTGAAACCGAAGACAGAACTGGTTGAGTCGGTTGACTTGACTGGGGATGACTATGGAGAGGAACTTCCGCCTCGTTCGAGCAGCTCAGAGGTCGTATTCGGGGAGCCACAAGTTCTATGGCGAGAAGATTCAGCATCGAGGCCCGAGCCTCTTGTAAAGAATTCTAAGAAACGAAAGAGTAACGAGATATCGATTGGAACTCTACGAAAGGGGGATGGGAGTGGCGGGCTCGTCGAAGTGTTCAAGCGAGATCGCCGTGAGAGACTAGACGACTTCGTGGATATTGATGAGATGATGACCGATCCAACCCAATACGTGCAACATGGGGATGCTATTGCTAAGTCCACAAAGCCTAGCGTCAAGTATGAAGATGCCAACACAGATTCCGAAGAATATCAAGCCACCGAATCCATCGGCAAACTTGAAGCTCGCTCACGCAAGCAGTCTAGCCGCGTCCCATCCGTGATCGAGGTCATTCCTCCTGGTCCGGTATTCGGAGTATCAGCTCCAAAAACAAATTCCGAATCGAGAACCTTATTTACTGGTCGACCACCCAACCTATCTCCCATGGTCCAAGTTGAAGCATCGCCAGTTTTTAATGCTGCCAAATCTCCCGATGCTGAACAGTCATTGACGCCTCAAAGACGACAAAACCCCCGGTTACAGAGGACTATCCAAGATTCAGATGATGACGAAGTCCTATCAAATATCGAGAGGAGAGTAATCTGCTCGCCAGGATTATCAGTGAAGAAGCGCTCTAAGGTTATGGATATTTTGAAAAGTCCCAAATGTCGAGCACCTCCGTTAGAGCGGCTTGATGACAAGACCCGGGATGTCGGGGGTTCGAAAACGAGAACTGGGAGCCCATTGCGGCCGATATCACAGAATGTTACATTGCGACAAGACAATGTGCCTTCTCCCTTCCAAAGAGACTCGCCAACGAAAGTATCTACCGCGACTAAACCGTCAATACCTGGTTCGAGCCAGCAAACATTTTCTTTTACTCTCACAGATAATGACAGAAAGCTAGTGAGCTTATATTTGACACAGCCTTCAGAAATCGCCTCATACTACGAGCGCGTGCGTAATTTGCTCGAGCGAAACTCGGTTGAGTCCATGCGTTATGTTGATAGAAAGGAGCAGGCTCCGAAGCAGCTTCACGAATACCGTATGACGTTGTTAGATATGGTCAATGCCTATGAAGCTCTTGATACGCTTCGAGAAAGCTATGGGACTCTCATAACCGAGAAGAAGACCCTTGCTCGGAAGATGTATGAGCAACTTGATGCAGGGATCGATGCTAGCGATGATGATGAACGGATGGCAATACTCTCGCATGATATCCGAAAATTCGAGAAAGAGGTTGGCCGGCTCCTACATGCTTCCGGAGCAGTGCGCGATGGCTTCGGGACCGGTGACATTCGTGATCCCGCCCTGGCTCCTTCAGCTACTCCCAAGCTACAGGAAGGCGTGCCACCCATAGCTTCTAGACAAAGTACGCTTGGCAGCGCCCAAGTGGTTTGGCAGACCCAAATCCCCCCCTTTCCACAGCTGTCATCATCGAGTGCAAATCAGCGCAGGCCCGACGAAGTTGCAGCTATGTCTTCGCGGTATAACGAAACAAGTCACGATCCATCCGGCATTCCATATCGCGCATCGCCTTCTCCTGTACGGCGCCGAAACCCGGCCGAATCTTCTACTGGCCAAACGCTCTCAGGAGCCAAACCAGCTTGGGGTGCATCCAGGACCACTTTGAGGCCACCTAACTTCCGCCGTGACCCATCGCCCATGGACTACGACTTCGATGATGGCGATTTTGATGACCTGCTCCAAGGGGAGCAAGGGCTCCCGAAAGAGCTGCCACTACAGAGACGAGTATCTGAAGAGACTGAGGACGATTATGGAGACTTTGATGACGATGATGACATGGTTGAAATAGCCGAACAGGTGGAAAGCCGAGTACCCCCCAGGCAGTCTATAGCGAAACAGATCCCTCAGCATGCTCTTTCTGATGCCAAAACGGATCAAGGTCGGAAGCGGGGAAATACTATCAAGAAAACGATGTATTCAAACGTGGATCCTGCCCACGCAAATATGTTGAAGCATCCTTGGTCGGCTGATGTCAAAAGGGCTCTCAAAGACCGTTTTGGATTGCGAGGATTTCGCCAAAATCAGCTCGAAGCAATTAACGCCACACTAGCTGGGCAAGATGCCTTCATATTAATGCCAACTGGTGGTGGAAAATCCTTGTGCTACCAATTGCCAGCCGTTGTTCAATCAGGAAAAACCAGAGGAGTCACTATTGTTATTTCGCCCTTGCTCAGTCTTATGAATGATCAGGTTGAGCATCTCAAAAAACGAAACATTCAGGCGTTTCTCTTGAATGGCGAAAAATCCCAAACCGAAAGGGACTTGGTCTTCAGCGCGCTGCGTGAATCTCACCCGGATCAATTTATACAGCTTCTCTACATCACGCCTGAAATGATTGGGAAAAGTGGGGCACTCCTTACTGTTTTCGATCAATTGCACAGGAAGAGGAGACTGGCTCGAATCGTCATCGATGAGGCACACTGCGTCAGTCAATGGGGCCATGACTTTCGCCCCGACTATAAAACCCTCCTTAGGGTGCGAGAAAGGTTTCCCGGGGTTCCGTTTATTGCTTTGACAGCCACCGCAACCGAAAACGTGAAGGCAGATTGCATTCACAATCTAGGCATGAAAGATTGTAAGGAGTATAAGCAAAGTTTCAACCGGCCAAATTTATACTACGAAATCAAGCCGAAAAAGGGGAAAGGGGTTGGTGTAGAGGTTCTAGAAAGTATGTGCAGTCTGATATTGAAAGACTTCAAGAACCAGACCGGTATTGTCTACACATTGTCTAGAAAAGGGTGCGAAGACCTGGCCAAAAAGCTTCAGAGCAAGGGAATTAAAGCGCATCATTTTCATGCCTCAATGGACCCGGCAGAGAAGAATGCAGTCCAGCGAGACTGGCAATCTGGAAAATGGCAAGTAGTAGTCGCCACAATAGCATTCGGAATGGGAATCGACAAGCCTGATGTTCGCTTCGTTATACATCACACGATGCCTAAGAGCTTGGAAGGCTACTATCAAGAGACTGGGCGGGCGGGCCGTGACGGCAAGCCGTCTAGATGTTATCTTTATTATGGATACCAAGACACTGCCGTTCTAAAACGGTTCATTGATGAGAGTGAGGGCGGTCTCGACGTCAAAGAGCGACAACGGGAAATGCTGAATAGAATGGTACAATTCTGTGAGAACCGGAGTGATTGTCGAAGGGCAGATATTCTTGCATACTTCGGCGAAGCTTTTTCCAAAGAAAATTGCAACCACAACTGCGACAATTGCAATTCTGATCGCGTCTTTGAGCCGCGGGATATGACACGTCAAGCAAAAGCTGCGCTGAACATTGTCGAGCAGGTGCAGCATGACAACGTCACTCTTCTTCATATTGTAGATATCCTTCGGGGAGCGCCAACGGCAAAGATTAGGGACCGCGACCACCACTCCCTAGAAGGGTTTGGAGTAGCTAGCGATTTACCCCGCGGAGAAATTGAACGTCTCTTCACACGACTACTGATGGAGAACGCTTTGAAGGAGCGTAACGTCATGAGAGGTGCTTTTCCTCAGCAGTATATTCATGTAAGTTCTCTCTAAGTTTCTAGGGTGATAGTTGCTGATATTGCATTCGCAGCTGGGACATAATTGTCGAGATTTTATGGAGGGTCGGCGTAAACTCGTATTGATGATGGAAGCGCCTACTGGAGCCGCGAAAGAAAGGCCCGAAAGGCCCGAAAGGCCTATGAAGAACCCTCGCCCTCCAAGTACTATACGCGGCTCTACAACCCAACCCCCTTCAACAATGCTCACTTCACCTCTCAGTGTTTCTTCCCGGAGCCATAATAATGGCGGTCGACACCGATATGCTGCGGATGAAGCTGGTGAAGCAGACGATGATACCGAGTCAGATGACGCGTTCGAGCCGGTCCCTCCCAAATCCATACGACAAGCGCGACGTCCAATTGCACTGGGACCACCGATAACTACTGATGATCGCATGAAAGACCTTCCCGAGCTTCATCGTGACACCGTTTACGAGTTTGTCGCTGAGGCTAAGAAAGTGGAAGGAAGACTTCGGAATCAGAATGGTCACGCAAGGGCGTACTTCACTGAGAGCGACTTCCGAGAGATGGCAATCAATTGGACATTGACCGTGGACAGCATGCTCAGGATACATGGCATAAACGAAGATAAGGTCCAACGTTATGGCAAGAAGTTCCTCAAATTGATCCAGCAGTTTCACGATAACTACGAAGATATGATGAGTCACAGTGCGGATATAGATATGGATGCCAATCACAAGAACGTGATTGATCTCTGCAGCGATGATGATACGGTAGACGATGATGAGTACGGAGAGGAGGATGGCGCCCGGATTTTGCAGGAAGAGCAGCCTTCGAAATACTTCATTCCCGCAAACGTTCGGGCGTTCAACGATGATATCGCCCGCGCCCAAACTCTGCCACAACGCAAGCATAAAAGCCCAGATGCTGCCCCAAAGAGTTTCAGAGGTGGCTCTGGACACGGCCGGAGCAAATTTCGTAGTGGTAGGAAATCGAGTGGCCGGGGAAGTGCTGGCTCTGCTTCGGGTTCCGGATCCGCTGCCAGCCGCCCATTAGGAGGGCATAGCAATTTAGGCATTTCCAGGCGAGGCCAAACTCGGAAAACATCCGGTGCTGCATCAAGGAAGGGCAACACCAGCAGATCAGGAAGTGGTGCTGTGCCCAACCCCTCAGATCTTATGAGGGCTTTTGGCCATATTCGCGCAGGTGGGAGATCAGGAGGCGGGCCGAGTGGTGGTGGCATTGGTATGATGCCAACATGAGCACTGGCAGAAATCACATATAGTTCTTAGTAACGGGGCGTCAATATTTAATGGTTTGGGGTTCACTAGGCATTAGCGGATGGTGTTCAGTCTTTTTGGAATGTTCCGTGGATGAAACGGTTATTTTGACGAGTGTGGAATTGAACGATGGGAAATAGATATCCGTAACATTGTAAGCGACAAAGCCTTCTGTCCGAGTTTAATTGCATAAACGCAGTATATACTGTGGCTTACCATTCTCCAAAATATGGGATTGCGGCCTTTGTTCCTATCGTTTGACTTGTCGGTTACCTTCTTGAGCCATGTCCTGATCGGGTCTGTCTGGGCGCCAACCGCAAACGCCACTATGCCATTCAAATTGCAAGATCACAAGCTCGCCTATTTATTATTTCAATTATTAATCTGCTACCTTTGGGAGATAATTTGTAGTCATTGTCCGATGCTATATTGAAACTCTAAGATACTCAACAAAGGGGTCCGTTCGGTTCGTCTGGCACTTGAGAGCTGCCCTCCTTAGCATGGAAGGCTGCTAAACAAGATTCCTTTGGAATTCGGACCTTCTAATACACTAAATTTGTATACAGTTAGCTAGTTACAGTACTGACTTCGTACTGTACGGAGCATTCGGTTTTTTTTTGTTTCAAGGCCCGTACGAATCATTGTATTAAAGGAACAACCCAACGAAGTATTAGCTGTTGAAGGGTCCAATAATATCGCAGATCTTTCAGCCCTGTGCCGATCACTCCAACCATGCCCACGGACGCTAAGCCCTCCCAACTCGCTTAAGCATGCCAATCGACCGAGTTTCCCTTTCTGGGTGAGGTGAGGCAAGAGATGTCATGTTACCGAACGGAGAGGATGGTATTGACTGACTTTATTAAACTTTGCACTTTTGCAAGCTTGCAATGGGAGGACCCAACGACGCGAAAACTACTTATTTACATATGTTTCTAAGTAGGTTCCGACGGCCAGGGCCATTATGGCGTCGCTGGCTTCGCCTAGTGGCTCTCGTCTTGTTTGTTGTGTTATACTTCGACTTTATACTCACGATCGCCGTCCGCCATCCCTTGACGAGGGCTGTTCCATCCTCGATATCATCGGCAGACCCATCGTCGCATAAGGATCGCATTTTCATCGCCAGCATGCATTGGAATAATGAGCGGATCATACGAGATCATTGGAGCGCTGCTGTCTTGGACCTAGTGACGCATTTCGGGCCGGAAAATGTTTATATCTCCATTGTCGAGGGTGGCAGCTGGGATGACACAAAGGGTGCTTTGAGAGAATTGGATCTGGACCTCGAGAGGATGGGGGTAGAGAGGGGAATCGAAATGTTCAACGCTACACACAAGGATGAAATTGAGAGGACACGAGACCCAGCAGAGGAGGGTTGGATATGGACAAGTAGGGGAAGGAAGGAATTACGGCGGATACCATACCTGGCTGGGATACGTAACCGGGTGATGGACAAGTTGAGATATCTTGCGGAAAGGACGGATGGCCGTGGGAAGCTGCATTTTGATAAGATCCTCTGGTTGAATGATGTTATCTTTACAGTACGGCTTCCCGCATGCATTGGTTAGTACATGCTAATGTTCTCTCCTTATAGACCGAAGACGTTACCACATTGATTGCAACAAGGGAGGGCAACTATGCTGCAGCCTGTTCACTCGACTTCTCCAAACCCCCTCTATACTACGACACCTTTGCGCTTCGCGACATCTCAGGTGGAGAAACAGTCACTCAAACTTGGCCTTTCTTCCTCTCCGCGGAATCACGGAATGCGATAATCTTTAACTCTCCGGTACCTGTAAAATCCTGCTGGAATGGCATGGTTGTCTTTCAGGCAGATCCGTTTTACGACGATCCACCACTGCGCTTCCGAGGGATACCAGATAGTCTTGCCCTCCATCACCTGGAAGGCTCTGAATGCTGCCTTATCCATGCCGATAATCCGTTAAGCGCGACACATGGTGTTTGGCTCAACCCGAATGTAAGGGTCTCATACAACCCCGAGGCTAGCAAGCAGGTGCATCCGGCCTCGGGATCATGGCCAGGTCGCAGAGAGAGGTTGGTGGGCATGTGGAGCAATAGATTGGCGCGATGGACTAGGATTCCACGGAGATTTGTGGAACGATACGTCGTAAACAGGAGAGTTCGGGTGTGGCGGGATGAGACGCATCGGAAAGGCCAAGACGATAACCATGATGGGACGTACTGCATGATTAACGAGATGCAAGTTGTCGTCCAGAACGGGTGGGCTCACATATAAACGCGGTACGAGTAGCAGGATCGGACATTATTAGAACCGTATCGTATAGGTCTTTAAAGATATACGCGGTGGAAGAGGTTCGTTCTCGGAGACTTCAAGACTTACATTTCTGCCTGCTGATTATGACAAGCTCCAATATGGATGGATTTGTGTTTGGAATATCTCTCCTACTGCAATGCCGGCGCAGTCGATATGGGTTGTGAATTGCATGTTGAAACCGCCCTCAATGCTCTTGAGGACAGATATCTGGGTCTGCGATATAATCAGCTTTGGTTCAAAATGCGGGTAATCATGGGGGTGTATCGAGGGCGAAGTTTCTGGAGAAAGCAACGGCACAACCAATGTTAATGAGCTGCGAAGCCGATAATGCTAAGAGCATTGTTTGGTTTGGCGCTTCTAGCATCCCGAGAAAGATGCATGGAAAGATTGAGAAGCCATAGTGGACAAAAACTGCAAGCTACATCTCCAGCGATGAAACGCTAACCTCGATAAAACCAAGAATTCCGCTGGCAGCAGCCGATGAAGGGATGGTATCGTATGAGACACTGAAGGTCGTGGCAGCTCGGATAAGGTTAGAAGCCCGTTTCTAGAAGGGTTCCATTGGTGTCGATGTTGCACAAATGGGAGGAGACCCAAGGAGCTGAAAGCGAATGATTTTGTGGTTGATCTAATCGTGGTGCTGCGCGAGCGGGTCAAGATGCTGGCGTCGAGTGCGAGCAAGCGGCCTGCAATTCGTTCAGGTCTATTGATGTTGGCGGCACCGGCACATCACCAGTGATAGTGGAGCAGGTGCTATATTGGGCGGCATCGGCGTGGGAGTTGGTAGTGATCGTGGCCTGGGACCAGATGGAAACACCTGGGCTAAAACGAAGATACAATTTTGTCTCATCATATCCAATTCTGGTATTCGATCACGTCCTGCCTCTTATCTCCACAATGGATGTCCAATTTGGTAGACGAGCTTGCAAATTCTCTTCATTGGGATGAAAGCCGAGCAGCATAGCGGTTCCTAGAGGCAAATATGCAGATTGTCTGGCTACTCTAGTTGTGAAGGGATGCTTTGCCTCGGCTTTTGCTTTTTGCTAATAAACGAAATGAGTCACGTGATGGAACATTGTAATGTAGATGTGATTCTATTCCTTTGCGGTACACCACTCACGCAACGTCTGGTAAGCTCTTCTCAAACTGCATCATCTCCCCAATCTCCTTCATCAACTCCGCCGCGCCCTCTTCACTCAGCGTCTGCATCGGCTGTCTCGGCCTACCTCCATATCCCTCGAAGTGCTGCAATATCGCCTTAAACCCTGGAATCGCCCTCTTCGTCAACGCCCAATCTGCCACCGCGAGTCTCGCCTGCGCGTCTCTGGCCTCCTCATCCTTCCCCTCGACATATAGGTTATACACGTTTACGCACGCGCGGGGGAACACATTCGCTGCGCCCACGATTGCTCCAGACCCGCCCACAGCCAGCGCGGGCGTGATGAAATCGGCAATGCCTGCAAATGCCATATAGTCAGACCTCTCGCCCTTCGCAATCGGCGAGACGCTCTTAGTCGCACCCGCGACGCGCGCCAGCTTGCCAACGTTGCCGCATGTGAACTTGGTGCCGACGATGTTGGGGTGTTGCGCCAGGGCGATCAGCGTCTCGGAGTCGAGGTCGATGCCCGAGATCGCGCCGGGGTAGTTGTAGATGATGACTGGTAGCGGAGAGGCATCAGCGACCTTCGTGAAGAATTCGAGGATTGCAACGGGCGTCATTGCCCACTTGAAGAAGCTGGGGGTAAGCAGTAGGACAGCATCGCCGCCGGCATCTTGCGCGTCTTTGCAGAGCTGGATAGTGCCGCGTAGGGACTGGTCTGAGGCGCCCACGATAATAGGGATGTGTGAGAAACCGGCGGCGTTGAGGGCCTGGCGGGTAGTGGCCGTCACGGTGTGTCGCTCGGCGGAGGTGAGGTAGACAGCTTCGCCGTTGGAGCCATTGGTGACGATGCCAGCCATTCCGGCTTTTGCGAGACGGACGGCATGACGGCCGATGGTGTCCAGATCCAAGTCCTCGGTTGGCTCATGGAAGAAGACTTGTGTTGGCGCGTAGATTCCAGGCGGGAGACGCTGTGATGATGCTGGTGAGGTGGATGCCATCTTGTCTGCGAGAATCGGGGGAGAGGTATTGCTTGAGAATGGGCGTGGTAATGGAAGAAAGGGTAAGAAGTATATGAGAACAAACTTGCCTTTTGCTTGGAGGTGGAGGTGGAGGAGCTTCAAGTCTCTACTTACATAATATCCCCATCCCCATCCCCATAGTCACGATAGTCGACGGCGTCCATCATCATCACTGACTCGAAAACTACGTATCTCCATCCACGATTCCACGCACCGCAGACTCCCCAGGCGGGGGAAGGCGGGGGACAGTGGGGTACCCCTGCCAAGCTACCGAGTACCTGGTACCCTACGTACATAGTACAGGGGCGGGGAAAGGCGGAGATAGACTCCCGGGCTCGCCATTTGCTCGCGCGTTACGGGCGAACCCCTGATTCCACCCATACCCGCCACATTCGGAGAATTTGCCGCGAACCCCGGTACCCCACTAAATACATCGCCATCCAGGTGCGGAAGTAAGTGTAGATGCGCCGCCGACAAAATGGGATGCCGAGATAAGAATTAAACTAGATGTAGCTCAGACATCTAGGCTTTCTTTCATATAAGTACATCAATAAGAGATTCCCGCTTCCCAATAAGCAATTCTACATCCGACACATCCCATTGCCTTCCCCCACTACAACTCTCTAATCCTCACATCCTATAACCTCCAATCCTCACAGCCGTTATGGGATCCCAAGCTCAACTCGACGTCGCCGACGTCAAAATCCTCGGCTTTACAGTTACAGATCTCCGTTTCCCAACGAGTCTCGATGGTGTTGGCTCAGATGCCATGCACGTCGGCACCAACGGCTCTCACCCATACGTGCGCCTTGAGACCAACCAGCCCGGTCTCGTCGGCGAGGGAATTGTAGGT